GTTATACATTGTTCCCTTGCTCTAGGAAGCTGAACCCTTCCGAAGTGGCTTACATTAGTGAAGCTAGTCGGTATCGGGAAAGTATTCCTAACAAGGGGTAGGACACTTGATGTCAAGGCCTTCCTAAGGGTGAGAAAATTAAGAGGGAGAGAGAGAAGCCTCCTACAAATGGGAACTATAAAAAAGCTTAGAAGTAAGATAAGATAGTTAAGATAAAGATATAAAAGAAGATAGAGTAAATAAGGAAGATTAGAGTAAAGATAAAGCAAAGTAAAGTAAGGTAAAGCAGGGTAAAGCAAAGCGAAGTTCTGTATAAGGTAAAGCAAAGCTGGTTTCTATTATCTTGTTCTTATCTAAAGCTATAGTCTTACCCCTTTTACCTTTCCTTATCCTTCTCTTTTTATATATCTTTGCCATATTATATAACATCTAAGACCCTTACTCCTATGTCACGTGATGCCCTTTCAGAGTATAAACCATTTTCCCCAGTACATTATACTATTCTAAGTTATAAATATAATTATCTTATTATATTCCTTCTATAATAAGCTCTGGTTATACCTTATTCCTTTGCTCTAGGAAGCTAAACCCTTCCGAAGTGGCTTACATTAGTGAAGCTAGTCGGTATTGGGAAAGTATTCCTAACAGAGGGCAAGACAGAACTTTGGGTTATTGCTGATGGGCTACTTCGATCTCATTAAAGGGAAATATACCTACTCTGACGACATTACGGAGTGGGATTATGGCGAATATGAAGGGCTGAAAAACAATGAGATCATAGCACTGAGGCAACAGAGGGGTCACGATAAAGAAAGGAAGTGGGATATCTGGACAGATGGATGTGAGGGTGGAGAGTATGGTGTACCCTGGTCTAAGATGACGACCTGCTTCTCACACCATAAAGATCAAGACAACAAATTACCGAGCGGCTGGACGGACTCATCGCAAAAATCAAAGAAATTCAACGGCCTTATATGTATGGGGAGAATCCAGCTGATGTCCTTATTGTAAACTCTCGCCCTCATTTATTCTATCTATCCTCTTTCCCTCGCTCCGCACACAGCGGCTAACAGGTAAACACTTTAGGTCGCACATGGCCTCATCCTTCGCTGTTTTGCCAAACGGTGGATCGGCTTATCGATTGATAACCCGCTACCCATAATGTTCGAACCCGGGGCGATCTCGGTTTTGAGGTACGTCCGTCAAATAGATTCATGATATCATGGTGCTGAGATCAACCCACCAACTAAAAGCTACAAAAACAATGATGTTAATCAGCCGGCCTTGCACATCGGCCTAGCGCTCCCGTCTGAGAAGGACGCAGAGTCGAGGACTGAAGGAATATCAATACCAATTGAGCTACCTAAAGCGAGCGGGGCATATGAGGTGAATGAGGCCGTAATCAAAGGTGCGTAGGGCCTAAGAAGATAGTATCGTATATCAGCTTAGATTGAACTGCTTTTCAATTCAGCATTTCCACTCCCTGACACCAAAGTGCTTCGAGTCTTTCACTATGGCAATTCCATCTATGGGAAAACAGCGAAGATTGTAGCTCAACTGCCAACAAAGGAGATTGCAAACTATTTTCTGAAGGTAGATCAGTTGGAAAGGTTCCTTTTGAGGCTGGAAACTGACCAGAGTATAGATAGTATCTAGTGGAGACACTGGACGATATATGTGTATGGGTGAGTTTGAATCATTGAAGGCCATCCGCAATGTTTCATCAGAATTTGTGCCCGAACCTCATGCTTGGGGGATGTTTGAATGGGAAGGTCCAGACACCTTCTTCCTCCTTACCGAGTTTCGCGACATCCATAAACAGGTACGCTAGAGAACCCTATGCCGTTGAGCGCTCTGACGGACCTTACCCAGCGGAGTCGGATAAATTAGCTCCTCGGTTAGCACACCTGCATGCTCGCTCGCAATCGCCAACTGGCAAGTTTGGCTTCCATATCCAGACGTACCACGGGAAAATCGCCCAGGCCGTAAACCAATGGGACGATTCCTGGTGTGTTGTGTTCTCACGACATCTCGGATACATAATGGAACTGGTCAATCGTAAACTCAAATGGCCTGAGTTCGAGGTGGTATGCGAGCTCATATTGAGGAAAGTCGTGCCTCGTCTCCTTCTTCCACTCCAGACCGAAGGTAGAGTACCGAAGCCTTCGCTAATTCACGGTGACTGCTTGGATGGCAATACCGCCGAGTATACTACCGGACATGCTTTTATCTTTGATGCCTGCTCGTTCTACGGTCATAATGAGTACGACATAGGCAATTGGAGAGCAACGAGACATGAGCTTAACAGAGAAGCTTATAGGCGGGAGGCGATACGGAGAAAGTCCGAGAACTTCTCCTGGGTCGACGTGCTGCAGGCGAAGAGGACCTGGGTGATGCTTTACTAAGCGTTTACATCTGTGCTAACTTAGTTAGCGGGGCCATGCCGTACCCACCTTATTCTAAACATGAGGTGTTGTGGGAAAATGTTGAATTCTCACATTAATGGCTATTTTCTGCGCAGAAAAATACCAAAGCGACAAAAGTAAATACTGTAAGAGTGTATATTTTATATCACCTACTATACTAGCTAGTTAAAGTACTGGGGAAATTGGTTTATCCAAGGATATGGCTGTGTTATGTGATACAGAGCATCATAACATCCACTATAAGCGAGTGGCCTTCTTTCCCTACTATATGTTAGGAATCTATTCCCTATCCATCAAGACTCATTAATGTAAGCCACTTTTCTGCAGACTGAGGAACAGTCCCAGCCAAAGGTAATACTTTACCCAATTTGAATATTTGTATGGCGTACTGAGCGGGGCGAGTGAGAAGCACACTTTAACCTGATGCTTGAATTGTGTTTGAGTGAATCACGTGGGTGTGATCAAAACTTTGCAATTACGTGCTGAGAAGTACCTGCTAGCTTTTCCTCGTTGGTCTTAATGCGACACTGCTGTGTACAGAGTACAAGATCCAGCTTCACCTTGAATAATGGATCAACTTATGCGATGCTCCACCCAACAACGACACTTGCAACAGCGCTAATACCTCAATGAACCCTTTGAGCGACCTCCACGTTTCACTTTCTTCATTAAACGCGTAGCCTGAGGTCCAAACACACCTCGTGGCATGAAGTGATTCACTTACCTGCACAACAACAGTTGCGATGGATATCATACGCATATCGGAGCTCGCGAAAGAAAGCTCGGAAATTGAGGATAAATGTATTCGCGCTGTTGTCACTCTCATATGGCCCTATAGCTCCTCCACACAACGAGCGGCGTTTCTTCTTGCCGAACCCGATTTTCGTCTTCGCAACAAGAAGGGACAGGTACGTGTGCAGCTGACGGGTGCCGCGGCAAAGGCTGTAGCAAGATCGAAGATTAGCATTGGTGACGAGCTTTTCCTGAATCTTGAGGGGGCAAGATGCATGGAGGCGACCGCTGGCATAAGTACGCCTGGAAAGAGCGTCGATGTTGAGCTGGCGTATAGTAATCGACTTGTGTGCAGCATTTTCAGGAACCAGGAATTATTGAAGAAACTCAACATAGCTGACAGACAGGGCTCAGAGTCTCGTTGCCCCTCAAGTTCGTCCACAAAGCCTCAAACACCTTCGCGACCTTCATATCAGTGGCAATCGAGTTACGATCGTGGTTATGGTCTTTCTAATACGCCGGCATCATCTGCTTTTCACAAACGCGCAAGAGTAGTCAGTGGCGACCTCGTGGACTCTCCATATGATCCCTTCGCAAATGACGTGGATACTTTGAATAGTGATCGCAAACGCCCGAGGCTGGCGTGGGGAGGTGAAGGCAGCTGGTCTGTAAAGGATGGAGTGCCGTCTCCCACGAAAAGAGGTCAAAGGTATGATTGGCTCCAGATGGTAGAAACGCAAGCGTCAGAAGAGTCGCGAGAGGTTGGAATGATTGCATCCCACATAAACACAGAGTCACAGTTGCCATCAACGCCAACAACAACAAATGCAGATGGGTCTTACAGCGAGACAAATAGGCACGAATATTTACCTGTGAGAAGTGGAACCACAGAAGATGAGGACGTTAACGAGGCCATTCCTTTGCACGGGAATTTGGACGATGAAGATATTGCTGTGGTCCCCACCGCGCGTTCACTACTACCCGCCGCTACAGCTTCTCGATTCCACGTATTTCGCGACCAGTCATCTATTAGAGCGCCTAGCAAAGTTTTGGAGGCTACACTGCATAATGGCTCTGCGACACAAGTAGCTGCCGATGTCAAACCAACCGTATTGCGCGATGACGCTACGTCTCTAGGCCTTATCCCCAAAGACCTCAACAAGGTCAAAGACAATTTTCCAAACTTGAAACTATCTGCTTGTGGCAATAGCCCACGTGCTGAGAACCCTAATCTACATACCTCAAATCTGCCTGCAGAGTCCTGCCGACAGCTTCAGTCTCCAAATAAGAGCCCCTCTTTTGAATCCATGATGCCGCCACGACTTCCATCTTTGCTATCCGACACTCCGGTACGCCCGAAAATGCATTCCCAACAACCTTCTATGCTTCTCGTACCCTCTTCTATTTCCATTGAAGAATCGCCACCATATACTGACACAGTTGGCTCATCACTGCAAAGTTCATTTGCGGGAAAACCTTCTGGTCTGTCGCCCATCTTACCAGACTGGATGTTGCAGCTTGGTTTCGGTTTTGTTAATGACACAATTGACCAAGAATCATTCGGAGAGAACACGGAAGAGCAAAATAAGAACGTCCATAGAAATAAGCTTCTGGATGAGGGTATTGAATCTTCGCACCCCAATAGTCAACCGCAACCTTTGCCAACAAGCGGAGCTCAGCCAAAAACGGCAAACGAAGAAGCGAGTTCTGATAATAAGGAAGCAAACACTGGATTGCTAAAGAGCCAAAACTTAAAAGCCACAAGTTCTCACGAGGATAGCATTGTTGCTCAGAACCTATCGGTTCAATATTCTCTGGGGACGAAATCTACGGTCTCGAAAAGCACGGAAACTCCCGGTAGCGGATGGCGTAGTTCTTCTGCTCAGCCCTGGGAAGCTCATATCTCGGAGGGTCACTTTTTTTTGGGAACCTTTACCGATACGACAGCGTCTGAGATGCACTCGACTTTCTACAAAGAGGCCGACGATTCCTTGAGTGGATATATTCACGGTCGTGAAGATGAAAACAAGGCGGACGCCCAAGACCACGCAGGGGAAGACAAAGTAGCATTTGATAAGACGCAGAGATCACCACAGACTAGGGACCTAAATATTGCGGTGTTAGGAAGTAAATCCTCAATATCGTTCGATGGCACTGATGATCCGGAGTCACGATACCCTTCATTACCACAGCTTTTAAGCTCTCAATCGCGCTCTGCACCACCGCTTGTTTCCTCTATGACGACAGTAAAGCCAATTGCTAAAGATGTACCCAGTGAACGCGATGAAAGTCAATTTTCTACATCTAAGCACGACTTGATCGAAAATATTGGAGCATATCATGAAACACCGTCGGCTTTGTTAAGAAACTCAGAGCCGCCCTTCCATAGCTTTCCACTCAATGCTGGTGAATATCGAAAAGATAGTTTTGAGGATGACAGGACTGGTGGTGCAATATCGGCATCTGAATTAACAGCGCGCCAATCGCAAAACCATGAAGATGAGGATTCTTCTAATTCGACATCTTTTCTGTGGCAAAATATGCCACTGAGTACCTCATTCTGTGTCCCGCAACAGGATCCTAAACTTCCTTTGACACCAAATCTTAGTCAGGATTCCTATCAAGAACAGCTTTTGCAAGCCAATTTTAACAGTGCGCAAGACAAATCGCTGCCAACTCCTAGTGCCACACAATCCGCTACCCACGAACCGCTACGCGAGGGAAGAACACAGTCTTTTGTCACGGAAACTGATTCAGGTCGCGCACAGTGGCAAGAGCATTTGGTTGGAACAGGTGAAGACACGCCACCTCGAGACCCGGCGAAGCTTGCTTCATTATATCTCAGCCCATGGTATGATCTTACTCCTAAAAAGGTAGAAGATGAGAAGCATGTTGGTAAAGCAGGAAGGAGCGTCGTATTTGTACAACAGGATAGCGATTCTCAAAAAAGTTCATGCGTTGAGGACGAGTCTGGAAACTCGGAGAAAGTCAACACATTAGAGTCTGCAAACGATAGGGAAACGTCTCCAGTCTCTCCAGCCCCTGTTGCTGACATTGTGCAGCAAAAGAACATGGATTCTGACTTTTCCTTCAATCTATCTCAAATAACAAGGGCTCGCGGCCTTCTCACAGACTTCTCATACTACTCACCACTACCTGGACTGTTTTCGAATCTCCGAATTCCCTCCAATTCGCATTGCTACAATGATGGATACGTGGATGTCATTGCTGTTGTCACAAAGCCGACCACAAAACCACTTCGCGCCGACAGAGGACAACGTGATTATCACACGACGCTTAGCATCACAGATCCAGCCTTTTATCCGAGGAATATGCGAGTGCAGGTGTTTCGCCCGTGGCGTGAAGCTCTTCCAGCAGCGGACAAAGGTGATATAGTCTTGCTCAGGGGCTTTGAAGTATTCTCTAGCACTGGAAATGTTGGAGTAGGTCTGAAGAGCGTTGAAAGCTCCGCTTGGTGTGTGTGGCGCTTTCTCGCTGATGCTGAAGTTGCTACTGCCACAGGCGACTCCAGTGTTGATGACAAAGCTTGGGCATGGCTGAGGAGGGAACGTAATGACCTTATTGACTGGAATCAAAGGGAAGAAATAAGGGGGCCACCTGTTGAGTTTGGTGAGCAAGAGCGGGTGTTCGTGAAGGACTTGAAGACTTGGTGGGCTAAAACCGCTACTGGCTAGCATTGAAGTAGCTTAAACCTTCATAAGGTCGTATGCAAATCTTCCTTCTTTCCCGAGGGAAAGATTTGCGTAGTGAAACGAGAGAGATTCAGGATCATTATTCTGCACTGTAGAGTGTTTCTTCGTGCTCACCGCAAATCTTCTTCCAAGATAAATGCTCTCCAAGGTCGCTCACGGCCCCAATATACCCCACGTTACCTTCCTGGATATTGTATGGCTCATCATTCATCCAACGCGTGCCATTAATTAGCTGGTTGCTTATCAGAGACTTCTTGATCTTGCTACAAGCAACTAGAAGACGTTCAGCATGTGGGTAAAACCACATCCGAGGCCACCACCGGTCTCGCAGCGACTTGTCACTTGTGAAATGCAACACCGGAAAGATGAAGCCGGACACCATATTGACGCCAAGCGAGACACTTGTCCAAGACGTATCACGCAAGGCTTTGTCGTCATCAATAGCGGCAAAAGGCTTCCTTGACGACAGAACATCTTCTTGAAGGCTGATGATGCCTTTAGAACTTGGCGATTTTAGATTAGAATGTGGGCTTGGTTGGTCAAATGTCGTCCAATCCAGAAAGCCCTCGTATCCAGCACAGGTCTGAAACATCCTTGATTCGTAATCAAGACCAACATGGAATTCCTTCCGGCGGCCATCATTCAGGTCTGGAATAATTTTGTCTTCTGTATTTGGAAGCTCAGGTTGGCCCGGCGCAAAAATGGTGCGAGCGTATTCTTGATCTGCAAACAGATTGGCCATATACATCTGATCAGAATTGCGAGATATATTGTCTGGATCAAAGGTGTCTTTCACCTTGTCCTTAGTTGCTTGGAAAAAGGCCCGCACCTCCGCGACGGGGCCCATGATAGTTCCTGAATTGAGCCAGCGGGGACGATGGTGCTCCATATCCTTGTCTGTATTAGGTCCAAATGCGTCCGGGGGCAGAGGCGACGGAGGCACAGCCCAACATCTTGGATGAGAATGTTCAAGAGGAAAGCACGTTTTGTCTGGACCGAAGATGATGCTGTTGTAGATTCCGCTCTTTTCCACGTAGTCATCGCCAAATTTTGCCCTCAATCGCGTATTAGCCTCATCTAGAACCGAAAAATAACGCTGCAGCAAAACATCGGGACCAAGTTGGAAGATGACGTCGTAGCCGTCCACTAAAAGGACAATGTCGTTGTCCTTGTGGGGTGGCAGAGATCTCAGGTAGCGCAGCGGTCCTTCAATTTTGGCGAGATGACTTTCCGATGCATTGAATTCTCCCGAACCCTTCCAGTCTATGAGAACGGGAACTGGGTATGAAAGAACAGTACTGGAAAAGATCAACCGGCAGAGATTGAGGTTGCTATCTGTGGCGACAGTTAGCAAGTGGAGGTGGGATACACGGCCGTTTGAGGCGTCGTCATAGGACAAAACATTAGGGAGCTGGATCCAGTCGGCCTTATTAATGTGTAGAGAAATTAGGGAAAGACATGCACACGCGGAAACAGCGATAATGATTAGATGAAACCTTAGTTTACGCAGTGTCATCCCCGAAAGATTCGTTAGCAACAGGATGGTTGTCTAAGAAGCGAGCATCGTGACTGGAAGATGCGGGATGACGATTGTTAAAAAGGGAATCAATGAAAGAGGAAATTGAACAAGAGAGCTTCGTGGGCAAAAGTTATCGTGTCTTCCACCAGCGCCGAAATTACCGTAGTGACGCTGTGCTAGGGGACATAGGAAAGGGTGTTTGCCCTCGCACCAAAGACGTGGCTCAATGCGACCACGCTTTGATTGAGATGCCCTAATAGGTGAGCGAGCCGAGCCTGTTGTTGACGGGTCTTGGCAGGTCACTTTGCTCATCTTCAACAGGCTAGATGAGCCAATCAGCAACTTCTCAGTGCGAAACATGGCCTTGGCAATGCATTTCGATATCATGCGGTTCAATCCGGCTTTTGATACTCCAACGCGGTAAAGAGATGTATATGCTCTGTGGCCCAATTTTGCGCTCTTTCGATCATCAACCTTGAGTTACTCTCTCCGAACAGAATGCTGAACCGCTCACATCTTGTAGGTAGACGTGAACTAGTAGTCGTGTCCCACGCGAGGGCGTTGCCTTCGCTGCATGTGATCGAGTTAAAAGATTGCGCGCAACATTCATCCTGTGGGTAGTTGGCATCAAGAGGTCAACAACTTTTGACTCCCTGTTCGTTCCGGCGGCGGACTTGGCGTCGTCGTACGCATAAACATTCGGACCAACCTCAGCATATAGTGTTGCGACAGTAGCTCTCACAGAACTGTGTAACTATATACTGTTATTTCTTAATTAAAAAAATTTTCTTTGGTTGAACAAATATTTCTCCCTAATAGAGGCAGAGGAGAGCCAACATGTAAACCATTTGTTACTGAACAGTATCTAAAATGGAGAGATATGTGTGAGTGTAAGCTTGAAGGCTCTCAGTTTATATAGAAAACTACTTCATGGATATACTTCGAAGTATTTGTCCACCTCTCGATATGGAAGTACGTTGCTAGCATCGATGTTCATTATGCTCGCCAAGTCAATCAAGATGAGCTCGTCCTTGGAGGGCTGATCATCTTGTCTGTTGCTACTCTTGTCTTCTTCTTATCCTCTTTCCTTTCTCCCTCACCCTGTACTTTTAGTCTGCATCTTTTTTGACTGCCCCCGTTGTTGAAGTCGAGAAGCCACTCGATCGGTAATGATGCCTTTGACGCCCCGTTTGTTGTATCTTCTGCATCGTTGCGAAGCCAACAGTAGCCAGCTTTAAGAATGACGCTTGCATATATCGTGAAGCAGCCCCAGCCCAATCTACGAGCCTGGAAAGGCGGAGACTGGAGGATCAGACGCGGGTTGCGGAACGTGGGGTGCAAGTGCACATGTACCTCTTTTATGAGATCGTGCCTAGAGGGTCGTACAAAAAAGTTCCATTCGTGCCTGTTGCGAGTCTCCTCATTATCGCTTCCTACGCGAACCAGTCGATGCGTGTTTCCAACATAGATCGTCAACGGCTTCACGCTATCGCTCGATTCATTGGCTTCAAATTCCTCAGATTCCGCCTGGCGACGCCTGTAGCTTCTCGGATACCTTGCTTTCAATTGTTGTTCTTTGTCTTGGTTTGGCACTGCCGTCGAACTTGACCGGCACATTGGGCATGAACTTTCAACTAGATTAGGCAGTAATACCTCTGGCGTATCTTCGTCCAATCCTACCGCGTTCATGTATGCAATGACGGTCAAATCTGCCCACGTGTTGAGGCAGAGCTCACACATGGTGTGGTTGCATGTTGTGGTGACAGGTTTGTGAAGCAAAGAATAACATATCGGACAGACGTCGTCTTCGTGAATCTCTTCCGAAATGGCGGATAAGTTGAACGGCTTGGACGACATTGGCTTCCGTTCAGCGCACTCTTCCATTCCAGCGGTTGTCCTGCTTCGTTCTCGAGCAGGTGAATGTCCCTCAACCAGTGTCTTGCAGTGAGAACTATCAACAAGAATGTCTTACTACATGGAGGGCGATTGACGGCCTCTTACAGCAGCCATGGAACCAAGGACATGATAAACGACTCATACGACGGTAAAGCGTGACACTGTGCCTCTCGGCACCAATACGATGCAAGCTGAGCAATCTTGGGTCAGCACTGTCAGGACACCGTTTGCAAGTTACCGCCCAATTTTCACGTGACGGACCTGGCGCCTCACACTGACACAGCCACAGCGGCGCTCTCGATCAGGCACGCGGCCGAAAGCGGGCCTGATGGCTGCGTGCTACGACGATGGTTACGCTTCACAGCTCGAATTGCTGGACGAGACTTAGCTACCCATACCCAGCTTCTACGGCTCTCTCCACACACTCACCTACATGCCCCGTCAGATTTCGGTGTATGATTCTACCTGCAGCTGTTCTCATTGGCGAAGTTAATATGCCATCGTCTGTTCCCGCTTCACGCAGCGCGAACTCCTGATGCCTGCACCAGCACGCTGTCTGGCGCACACTCGTTCAGCGCAAGCATGGCCAACTCCACATCCTCATCGACAAAGCAAAAAGAATACTTTGATATAGCAAGCCCTGCGTCATCTTCGCCCTCGTCAACACCGGGCCTCACAGGCCAGGAATGGGGCTTCCCGCGACATCAAATCAGCTCTCGATATCAGCCTCGACGCGGATCAACAGCGAGCTCGATCAGCGCGGGGGGCTCAGTGGACATACAGCCGCATGGTCGCCTCAGCGCTGCAAGGGATTTGAGCCAGAATGGTATCGTAGCACTGAACCAGATTCTCTCCACAGTCTTCGCCGCTAACTTTTTCTTCGTGGAACAGCTATTTCAACACTACTGCAACCTCCAATTGTGCGGACCGGCCTATTGCCGCATACCACTGCGCCCGCGTCGTCAACGCACAAACCCCCGAGCACGAAAGATATCCCTCCAGTTACGCTGACGAACATTCCCCATGTCGAACCATCTGTGTTTAAACCCTACCTCGCACAAGTAGGCAATTTGTACGAGTCTCGTGCAAAACACCTGACGGACGAATCTCTCGCGTTTCCTCCGCAGTGGCCAGGAAAGTCGTCAAGGGATGACGACTTCGCTGACGCATCCGATAGAAAGCTACACAGCGACCAGCGTCAGCGCCCGCAGCTGGCAAGGGAGAGCTCGGCTGGAACGAATCTGAGTACGTCACAATCAAGCAGACGCCGAGGCAGCGGGGCTCGACGGAGGTTCGAGGTCACGCCATTGTCCACCATTCCACAAGTATACTTCGAAGAGAATTTCCGCTTAGAAAATCCTAGGACCTTCGACATTGTTAGCGAGAGATCTGAGCTGGTACGGACACCCATTACCCATAATGATGAAGGTAAGGATGCCAATGGTACTGCACACGCATCCCTCGGCCCACCTCGAAAAGCGCTTGCCACGAATGCTATACTGCAAGAGAAGCTCTCTTGGTATCTTGATACCGTGGAGATACACTTGATATCCTCAATATCTGCCGCTTCGCAGTCATTCTTTGCCGCGCTGGGGAGCTTGAAACAGCTCCATTCCGAGGCAGCTGATTCAGTGGCAAAGATCAAGAAGCTACGGGAAGACTTGGCGACATTGGATAAAAAGATGGCCATGGGTGGTCTAGAAATCATCAGAATGAGGCAAAGGCGGGAAAATTTACGAAAGCTGAATGACGCCATGGATCAGTTAAAAGGCGTTGTGCAGGGCGCGACGCACTGCGAAGAGCTGGTTGACCAGGGCGATCTCGAGTTAGCACTAGATCGCATGTCCGTGCTCGAAGACTATGCCTGCGGCCAATTACAACAAACCTCCGGAGCTGATTCCTCGTGGTTGGTGGAGAACAGTTCTCTGCAATTACGAGATTTACGTCGGCTGAAAGCACTGGAAGGCTTTGCTGAAGGCATGGGCTCATTGCGAGCAAGAGTGGGCAAAGGATACGAGACAAGGTTTTTGGACGCACTGATCTCCGATCTAAGACACCACGTTACATCTGTATCGAATCAAGAGACGATGAAAAGATGGGCTCAGGCATCCTTGAGGGCGCGAGGCCACGCTACCGGCCCGTCAGTAGTGCCTGCCTATCTCCAGACAAATAGTCAACTTAGGCAGACGCTATCCGTTGTGGTTCACGGACTAAGCAGGTCAAAGTCGTTGACAATCGCCAGTGCCACTTTCCGGGATGCTATTGTGCGAGAGATGAAGTCGATGATTCGACATCAGCTCCCTAGCTCAAGTGACGATGATGCCGACTCGGTTACCTCTGTTTCAACGGCGAAGAGTCGAGCACTCACACAACAAGACAAGTCCGCACGGTTAGCACGAAATTTGCGTGCTCTTGGCCCCGATGATGCAGAAGAACTGTTCATGAGGATGTATTGCAGCGTCGGCGAGGCGTTGAGAAGATTGCAGACACAGGTAAAAATGCTACTAGACGTCACAAGCGGACAAGTATTGTCGCCAACGAGCACTGCCCCTAGATCTCCACCTAAGAGTCCTAATATGGGCAGCATAGACGCACTATCACCTCCACAAATTACGTCAAGACCTCGGTCCGACTCTACTCCGTTGCAGGAGGAGCTGATGCAAGCCATGGATCTTTCTAGTCTTCTCGGTCAGGCAGTTGATGCTGCCCAGACACAGGTGACAAAGATCTTGAAAGTCCGCTCCGAGCAAAGCACCAATCTTCCACTCGCTCACTTCTTGAGATATTTTACACTAAATAGACTTTTCGCAGACGAGTGTGAAGCAATATCAGGTCGATCTGGCGCATCGCTCAAGAGTGTTGTCAACACCCATATCGCCGAATATATATCCTACATGTCTCGCAATGAGCGAGAACAACTCGAGAGGACGATGGACAGTGACCAATGGGCTGCAAAAGATTTTGCGGCTTCAGACGAAAAAGTTCTTTCACAGGTATTGGAAGCAATGTCAAATGACCCAAGACCATGGATCAGTCATTCCTATATTTGGGAAGACAATGCAGCTCAAACCCCGAGCGGGACGCCTCAGATCAATGGCAATGCAGCCGCCGGAGGGTCCAAAGAACAAGCCCAGCCTGCGATTGTCGACGATGAGAGATTCATTCTCGCAAGCTCTGCAATATCTCTGCTTCACGGCATTTCCCGCTATCAAATCCTTGTTGCTTGCATACCTTCTATCGCCGCGGATGTTTCGCGCGAACTTAATGAGTATCTTCGATTCTTCAACTCGCGCTTGTGTCAGTTGATTTTAGGAGCTGGTGCAACAAAAAGCAGCGCTGCGCTCCCAAATATCAACACCAAACATCTTGCGCTAGCCTCCCAGGCTCTGAGCTTCGTCATCGCTCTGATCCCATATCTGCGGGAGTTCATGCGCCGCAGACCTGGTATGTCCCCGGAGAAGCTTGGAGAGTACGACAAGACAAAGCGCCTTTACCAGGATCACCAGGTGAGCATAAATGAGAAACTTGTTGAGATCATGAGCGCAAGAGCAACACGGCATGTAAAGAGTATGAAGGACATAGATTGGGATAATGACAGAAGTCAAGTGAGCAAGTACATGGAAACTTTGACAAAAGAAACAAGTGTCTTGCAAAGGACACTGGGACGATACCTGCCAGAACATCATGTCCGAGGTATCATGGTGCCTGTATTTGCAAGCTATAGAGAGCAGTGGGGTGATGCGTTCCGCCAGGCACACATCTCGACGGAAGCGGGCAAAGCACGGTCAGTCTTGCTTATTTAGATCTTGCAGCACAATGCTTTCCTGAATGCTAACGGGTTGCTCCTAGACTTCTACGAGATGCAGAACACTTTGAGTCCAAGCTTGGTAAATTGGATGGTGCGGCGGACACGGGCGCATATCTGGTACGATTGGTGCGGGAGAGGACTATTGCGTCTACTCCATCCTCTCGTCCACTCAATACCACTGAAGGAGAAGGTGAATCAAATCCTGCCGAAAAACAAACGGTCAAAGCCGCGGCAGACGCAAGCAGCAGAGAAGATTCCACCACATAGCAAGATCCTCTGAGTTGAGCGTAATCAAAATCTATTCCTATTCTGACGCCGATAGATCTTTCAAGGGCTGATGCTCATTTTACAACGTCGATGTCTGGTGGGGTTTTATTATGCTTCTTGTACCCTACTGGCGACTTTCGATCCCCAGATAGAGCGTACTCATCTCAGTAAACTTGCATCAGAGGAGTTAGATTGTCCCGCCCAAATGGGCTTTCTCTGTGAATGGCATGGTGGCTAATAAATAAAGATCACACATCAAGCATCAATGACGCTGCTCATCGCACAGCTAACTTTTTCAGCAAGTCTCGGAAATGTGATATATGAAAACCAGCAAGACTAGAAGAGTGATCAACGGATTTTCTTTCCGAGCATTAGAATTTCGGATCGATAAGTAACGTTAAAGTGGCACTGGCCCTATCCAGCAAGCAGGACTGCAAGTCTGTAACTTACAAAGCAATTAGCCCACTTTTATCTCGGACTTAGACCTTCCCGTAACAAGTCGTGCTATTTAAAGGAACTCCAAGCCCCTTTTAAGGTCTGCTTCTCCGTTATAGATCAGATTGAGATCAGTCATCGTATTTATGCATAGGTCTGGCATGTGGCGGAAGCATCTCCAGCGCTAGACCAGAGTTGGTCGAAGGTCGTCAACGCGGAGTATTCGAAAGTTACCAAGCAGCGAAAAGTTTCTACTTTTGCTTTTCTGCCTAAAGCGCCGGAGATCTGATTGCCACATGGTTCCCCGCGATGGCAATGACTGGCTTAAACATTTGGGTTGAATCTTACCACGGGCAAAATGCCTGATCTGGCAACAAAAGTCCTGGCACAATCCTTGTTTCATGAGCCCTTATGCCCCAATCGTTGATATTCTACTTCGAGTCAGGCCTCGGCCCAAGAATATATTTGCTGTCTGGCCAAATCCACTTCGCTGCAACTGATTTTTTTTTTTTTCTTCTTTTCTGGGCCCTGTCTCAACAAGATCGAAAATGGGTGAACCTCTCGACTTGTCTGGCAAATGGACGCTGTCTCGTGCTCTATCGGATGATAGTGAGGAGATGCTCGTACTCCAGAACTTTAACTACTTCCTTCGCAAAGCCGCAAAAGTAGGCACCATCACAATAGTATTTCGCCATGACGTAAAGGCGAGTCCGCAGACTTTTGAAGTCACGGTCATCCCTCCTGCCGGTTTTGCAAAGGAAAGCCGCACACGGCAAATTGACGGCGAAAGGGTTGAAGACAAACATTTCCTGTTCGGCACGAATTACGTGATCTGGAACCACAGGACAAAGGCGGACGAGCTTGACGACTATTTCCTGGAAGAAGAATGGGTCAACGACAATCTGCTTGAAGAGCTCATCGAGAGCGGAGACGGAAAATTCGTCAATGAAGGCGTGAGTACTGCTGCTATTCTTTTTTTTTCTCTTCGGAAAAAGGACTAGTTCTCACTCCCGCTCAGATTTGGGGTATGATCGAAAAGGATGGCAAGAGACAGCTTGTCAAACGTGCAATTGTGAAGACAACAGACGGAAGACGAGCAGTGGCGCGGCAAGTATTTGAATATTCCCCACTAGACTGATGTATATGAGAGAGCATCATATGACCGTCAAGTTCCTCACTTCCCCCCAACCATTATACGCTACGCCTCTCAAGTTCCACGTACCCTGCTCTTCCTGAGTATGGCCTCCGCAATCCGTTGCGCGGCTTACAATTCGCTGCCCCTTGCCTAGCGGAACCTTGACTTTTGCCGTCCATAGACACCACGCCCACTTTATCTTAGGCCTCGACTTAACATCCCTAGGGTCTCCATATCCACCAAAGTCCAATTCAGCGTCAACCCAGGTTTTTCCTCCATCTCCACTGACTTCAACCCTTTGTACAGGACCGTCGCTGCCATGGGGAACAGCGTATCCCCTGACTTCTACGAGCCCCTCCGAGTCAGCTTTCACAACGGCCCCATCCTCGGGCACTCCAATACTCGAGTTGACAGGCATATCCGTCATCGGCGGGACCTTTTGCCAGTATTCGTCCGCGATGGTCTGGTCCGTGACCTCGGGGGGGAGTATTTTGTAATCGTGCTGCTGGTAAAAGTTTTTACTATGCTCGCGCTGCACAGTTATTCTGTCCAGCCACTTCACACTTCTAGCGCCGGCCACGCCTGGCACAATCGCTCGTACTGGAGCGCCGTGCTCAGCAGTGAGCGGTTTACCGTTCATTTCGAGTGCAAGAATAACCTCCGCATCCGGATTCATTGCTCGCTGAAGCTCAATGGAGCCTCCGTACCACCGGTCCTTTTGGACCTCTTGCTCGAAACAAGCAAACTCCGTGTAGCCAGTATACTCTCCTGTATCTTTATCCCGCATCGTCACGTCAATTTTGGCTTTTTCAAGTACGTCTCGTAGTCGTGGGCCTTTCCATACACAATTCATAACGGCACCATCCAGCCAATCGATACCCTGGACCTCTTTGATCTTAGTACGCATGGTATGGCGCCGATTTCCAGCACACTGTAATGCGCACAGCACTTCATGTTGGTTGAAATCGTTCTTCAATTGATTGATTGTCAACGTGAGGCGCTCGGATACAGCACCGTCAACCACGACGATGTGTTCGGACACATTCAAATGCGGTATTGGTCCGTGATTACGGTCGTAAGGGTCTTTCACAGTGATATAGCTTTTCTATGTTAGTTTAACGAAAACAAGCAGGGTGCCGCTGTCTTCGGCGATACGTTTTGCGCGTCATGGCGCAAACTCACTTTGACAGTAGCTCCTTTAGCTCTGGCTCTCTGTTTAGCGGCTCTGGGCCGCGATACTCATAATCCGACATAAGGAGCTCTTATTAGTCTAGCGGCGTCAATCTCGAAGGACTTCAATGTGGACTTGGCTTGGCTTAAAACCTTGACGACGTTTCTGTGCTATACTGGGCAACTAATCTTTTGCACTTGTCAAGGTAGATGAATACGCTCAGTGTTCAGGATGATACATGACACGTTTCATGGAATGCGTGGTCAAATGACGGCTTTTCACAACCTATCGCAGTTGAATCCATTCGTCACAAGTGGAGTTCCATTGTCGACGTCATCAACATGCATCGTCGACCAAGTGATCGTTGCACGTGACGTAAGTGAAACCATATTTTCTCACATACCCTATATGCGAGTTTTTTGAGCCAGTAGGTACTCAATATCTGTTCTACTTCGAGATCCTTTGAGGCGCGTCTGCAAATTATTTCTCTCGCTTGGTGATTGGGTTCTTCTGCTACTACATCACTGCTTCTTCGTGCGGTCTTTGTACGTAATAGCTTTGGAGCAAAGAGTAAGCCCGACCAAAATGAAACGTTCAGCCTCAATTCTTTCCCTGAGCCTTGAGAAATAGAGAATAAACTCCAAATAACAGTTTCGCAACCTCTTCGACAATCTTCTACTACGTTAGAAACTTTTCCGAGACCATACGCATGGCTCTCCAAGCTGTGCATGTCGTGGAGCGAATATATTTCTCATCACGTCGCTGATCATTGATGCTTTCATATGCCGCGTATTTGTGTTTCTTGACTTGATTACCTATTGCAGATGTATTGTCGAGCTCAATCATTTAGGATTGAGTCACAGGCAATGCTACATATTCACCGAATGAGTATTTTGTTGCCTTCGCTTTGTTAGCAAATGTTTAGCACCATCTTTGCTGAACAGTATTACATCTAAAGTCGACAATGCCCATGACTTGCCATTCAGCGTCTGTGATGCCCCTCTTTCCTTAGAAGGTAATGAATTGAACGAAAAAAAAAAAAAAAAAGATCAAAATGATAGGTTGACGAGTGTGGGTATCTGCAATCACATGAGGAAGCCGTCTGGGGATCGCACTTCGTCCCGAGAAACGTCATGCTAGACCGTATTCGATGGTTGTGTATCCAAGACAAAAATGAGTCACCCCAGGCTTGTAAATTAAACGAAATATGGAGTGAGACCGCTTTTTCTTCCTCACGATTCTTTTATCATGGACAGTCAAAACTCTTATCCTCTCCAACGGTCAACCGGCTACGAGATCTCACGTGATGAGATGAACGTTGAGCATCACGAACGCCTTGAGAACTCAGCAAGGCGTACTCGCCTGGAAATGTTCCTCACTACGAGTGATAGAGCCCTGGTTCTCGCGGGCTGTGCCCTACTTCAACTACCAATATGGGGTAGGTCCGTTCGGTTGTTGCAAGTAGCCACTGACGCATTTTAGGTTTTGCAATGACTTATGGTATCTTCCAGCAATATTATATCGACAATTGGTCGTTTGATGGAAGCCAGAGTGCTGTTGGTGTTATTGGGACAACATACAATGGTGTGATGTACCTCTCAATACCCGTATTCTCCATGGCCTTTACACGCAAATGGGCAAGATATAGGCGTGGAGCTGCCATCATAGGCGTTTTTCTCTCCTGCATCAGCTTTATCATCTGTTCGTTCAGTCGTAACGTGTGGCAGCTTGTGCTTGCACAGGGAGTGCTGGCTGCTTTGGGAGGCGCGTTAGTTTACACGCCGACCACACTATCTCTCGGCGAGCATTGCAGTACAGAAAACCGCGCAGTCGCGTATGGAATCACCTTATCTTGCAAAAATATAACGGGTACTACATGCCCGTTCTTGATGCAAGCCCTTCTCAGCCGACTTGGATTTCAGCGTACCATGTGGATTTGGACAGGAATCGTTGCAACAACCAGTATTGCTGCGGTGACGGTTATTCCCATGACAAAATCGACGAATGCTGACTCTCCGACATTAAGGCACCGAAAAATACCGTGGGACTTTCTGCGACATCAAACGTTCTACGTTTACTGTATTGCTATCATTCTACAAAGCTCAGGATATGGAATCCCTCAGACATATCTGAATAGTTACGCGCATGAGGTTGCGTCAATCTCCGTCAATGCATCTACTCTTTTGATAACATTGTGAGAACAATTTTGACTCCATTTATCAAGATGTTTTTGTTCTAACTTATTTTTTAGATTCAACGTTCCTGGAATCGTTTCGTCGACTTTTTTTGGGTGGCTGTCGGATAATAAGTTTAAGAATTTTTCTGCAACTGCAACCACATTCTTCTCTGCCATTTCGTCTGCTATGGCTACCTTTCTACTTTGGGGACTTGCAGGTTCAACTTCGGATAGTATGTCTTTGCTAATACTTTACTCTATGATATATGGGTTCTTTGCTGGCGGATACAGTGCAACATGGGGCGGCGTTCTGAAGCAAATGGAGGCGGAGGCGGCTGAAAATAATGAAGCTATAGACACGGGTATGGTATACGGCTTATTGAATGGTGCGAGAGGGATAGGCTTCGTTGCTGGTGGAGTGGCAGGTGTTCAGCTGCTGAAAACTGGCAAGGCAGCTCTTGCTACTGAGTTCGGGTACGAAACCAAATATGGACCCTTGATATTGTACACTGGACTAGCGACCGGATTCGGTGGTTGGAGCATTGCGTTTCATGGCAAAACACTTCTAAGGGGCCTGCGAATGAGATTGCTTGGTTGAGGGCCTTGAAAGGAGGTTGCCTTGAGCAGTAGAACAATCCTGGGAAATGTGAAAAGATCTTCAGACCATAAATATATTTTATTCGCCTTATATCAATACCATGCCAAGGTCAGCATAGGACTGTCCTCTACTTGATTTGACCGCTTTGCATATCAATTGTCAAATTCTCAGTGCTTTGGAAACTTTGTGCAACACTTTACAATTTTGCAGTCCAGCTCCACTGCCATTGTAGACAAGCCCATCTGCTTGCCACGAATGTACATAAAGTAAATCCCCCTATGGCAATGAAGAAGCCTATCAAAGCTTGTGGACCAACAGCTTGAACCAATTCGCCAGAAATCGGGACGCACACCAGTGTGGCAAGAGAAGCTACAAAATAGCTTGTACCATAATAACGTCCGAACTCTTCTGCCCGGCACAGCTGTCCAATACATGAAGGCACAAGAGCCATCCAACAGCCCGTACCAAATCCAAAAAGAGCTGCAAAGATGTACAAAGCAGCCAGGGATGTAGTCCCGAATGGCAACCATATGATGAGCATGCAAATCTCTGTTGCAACAATGAATATGGTCAGGGTATTGAACCGCCCGATTTTATCTGCCAAATAGCCCGGGATTAGTCTCCCGATGCAACTGACACCATTGAGAACTGATATGAGATAGAAGCCCGTATCTTTAGGAAAGTTGGTAGATAAGGTAGCATAAGTGGGCAATATTCCAAGTGCACCAAAGATGACCGTTTCCAGTCCAAATATTGAAATAGTCAGCAGCGAGAAGTCTAAGTTGCCGAACATTGAAAATTGTATGATCGCTTTCTTTTTTGCCTCTGGTTTTGGTGGAATCCGGGCTTTCATAAGAAAATTGCTGACAGTAAGACAGCCAGCAAATATAAAAGCGAGAATTCGAATTGACCACTGATACCCGTAGGCTGGAAAAGAGGATCTTAAGACCAGAGGTATAACAAGACCACCAAAGCTCGATCCCATCATAGCGATACCCTGGGTGAGGCCCCTTCGCTTCTTAAACCAATGGGCGACGCATGCTAATGAGGTTGTCGTCAAAGTGGCTCCGGTGACACCACCAAGCACCCCAACACAAAGCATTATTTGCCAAAACTTGGTGCACTCGGCAAGCAAGAACATCATGACCACATATCCTGCACTGCCAAGCAACATGATCCAACGCGGCCCATACATGTCGAACAGAGGACCGACACCCAGTCCTCCAGCGAGACATAAGTATACGAAAACCGAAGGTATCCAACCAATGTCTCGCGAAGACATGTCGGAAAGTTGATGTTGGTGCCAGTAATCTTGAAGGGTGCCGATTGCCACCATAAATCCGAAAGAAGGGAAAAGAGTAATGAATGCTGAGAGCACGACTAGCCACGCTCGTAGTCCCCCCTCCGGAAATTCGCTTTCATGCTCAACAGTAGTCGGTTCTGGAGCCTCGAGCTCAAGTTGCCGAATGCGCCGCTTGACATTAAACCAAGAATTTTTGCCTTCGATCCTCCCGCCAGCACTCGAATTGAATGCTGTCATTCCTAAAGCATCGATTCCATGACCTACCTCGCTTTCTGCGACATGAGCCGAGTGCCCTGTTGTTTCACGAACCAATGGATTTGATGTGGGATCCATGACAAAAAATATACAGTGTTGCGTAAGTCTCCTTAGGCTTTGGATATGAGGTACTTGTTGTTCATCTACTCGATGATGATACTCATACTGCAATCGGATCAATTTGACATCGCTCCTTGCGCCCTTTCGTCAAGTGACTCCTCTGCCCATAATGGTCAAAATATCCACGGGTGGAGTACTAAATCAAAGCTGGCCAATAAAGAGAAATCTAAGTAGGTGATCTGGTTCCGAACTCGGACTAGAACTAGGAGCCATCGGCATTCGGAACTATGGACTTTTTCCTCAGGCTGTTACAATTAAGACAAAGCTGAACAAGTTTACAGTTGACGTTTGTTTTGCGCAATGATTACAAGCAAGGTTCAGATTTCGGAATGCATGGCCAAAAGCGAACGTGTGGAGATGCATGAGGACAACATCTCGCCGTGTGTGCAATCTCCTTTGTGTCTTACTTCATCTCAAGCCATCGATTGATTTGGAGTTCAAGACGAAACTTCCAGTTCTCCATGAATTGTAACACTTGCCTTGTAGAGAAACGCAGCTACCACATTCCACTGATACACTACCTCTTTCCTCACACGGCCCAGGAAGAACAGCAGTCCACCCCACGTCTGAAGCTTCGTCTACATCCTTCGAATGGGAGATCAGAATGAAAGAGCAAAAGAGGCCCGATGCCCGGTGTTAATCTCGTGGGACTGAGTAGCTCCCAAACTTTGAAGTCCGTCTCCAAGTTTCTCAATTCATGCACAAAAAAAAAAAGCTCGGCCAGGTCCCACATCAGGTCGACAATAGGTCTTATCATTGATCCCAGTTCGACTTGGCCACTTTCGGTAGCGATCTCTGAACTCCCACGAGAAGCCCACTCCTTCTGCAAGATAAGGCCACAGCCTTATACTATTCATTAAGCAAGATGAATGTCGTCGTCCTTGTCGGTCCTGGCTATTCCGAAAGACACCATACCAGGCCTAAATAGCATGCTGTGGGTAGATTGAACATATACAGCAAACTCTACCTTTATTGCCCCTTTCTTTCGCCAATTTTTTGGTCTACACAAGTTGTCAGTCATGGCGCATGTGCCCGATACTTCGAGAGTTGCTGATCAGATTTTGACGCTCCGTGAAAACTCTGATATAAAAGGCACGATATTAACAGAACACGACGAAAATTTCCCAAATATCGACGTCAAAGCCGAGAAGGACCTAGTTCGAAAGTTCGATTTGCGAATTTTGCCTGTTCTCGCCGTTATGTACCTATTCAATAGCCTGGATAAAAGCAACTTGGGAAACGCAAAAACCGCCGGATTGGAAAAGGATTTGAAACTAGGCGATCACGGATACAACATCATCTTATCTATTTTCTTTATTCCGTACGTTCTAACAGCGCCTTTCTTGGGCATACTGGGAAAGAAATATGGCCCGAACAGAGTCTTGCCTTGTATGATGTTTGGTTTTGGAAGCTTCACCCTTCTGGTAGCTTCGGCGAGGAACTTTGGAGATCTTCTGGCGCTACGATGGTTCCTTGGAATGGCAGAGTCGGCCTTTTTTCCGTTAGTTATCTATTATCAGGTCTTGTAGCCCTCTCCAAAACCCCGTCGTATGGGCTCGCTGATAAAAAAAACAGACTACATTCTACAGGCGTGGCGAGCTCGCCAGAAGGCTCGCAATCTTCTACGCAGCGCAATCAATCGCAAGTGCATTTGGCGGCTTACTTGCTTTTGGTGTATTCCATATCCGTACAGGTTCAGTCGCGAACTGGCGATATCTCTTCATAATCGAAGGGTCATGTACGGTTCTGTTCTCTATCTTCGCGTTTTGGTATCTTCCTCATTCGGCAGCTGATGCCTATTTTCTCACAAGCGAAGAGAAAATTCTCGCTGAACTCCGCATGCAACTCGACTCTTCGGCTGTGGTTAATGCAAAGTTAAACCTTCGCGATGCTTTCATCGTCTTCAAACATCCGACTAGCTGGGTAATTCTTGCGATTGAAGTCTGTCTTGGTGTCCCACTTCAGTCGGTCACGCTCTTTCTTCCTCAGATTGTGGCGAGACTGGGATATAGCACGGTCAAAACAAATCTCTATACCGTCGCACCTAATGTTTCCGGTGCCGTCATGCTTTTGATACTTGCCTTCGCAAGTGATTACACTCGACTACGCTTTCCTTTCATCGCCGCAGGATTCATTTTCACTTTTATAGGTTTTATGATCTACGTTTCGATTGACGTCCTTCACGATGTCCATGTTGCTTACTTTGCATGTTTCATGATGACATGTAAGTCTAAGAGACACTGTCTGTCAAAGCACGGCCAGTTTCGAAACAGCGCTAACACCAAGCAATAAGGGGGAACTTCTGCACCAAGCGTTCTGCTTGACGTATGGTATAATAACAACATTGCGGATGAGGGAAGAAGAGTTGTTTTGACTTCATTTGGAGTGCCTCTTGCGAACTTGATGGGCGTCGTCAGTTCGAACATTTTTCAGAATAAAGATGCTCCAAAATATATTCCAGCTTTGGCGACTACAGCAGCATTTGGTGCCACTGGAGCATTGTTGACTCTTTGCTTGGGCACGTGGATGGTAATGGAAAATCGGCGGAGGAACAAGCAGCAAGGTGTTAAGTTGGATGTCAGGGACATACCTACAGAACGATTGCGAGAGGGGCCCGCCAGTCCAGAGTTTCGATGGTTTTATTAGGGTATTTTTTTGTGATGGGCCATCGATTAGGTCGGTTCATTTTTTTCGTGGGCACCACTGAAGAAATGCAGCAACTGATATGAAGCACGGTATTGTGCCCTCAAAGATGAGAAGGTCTTATCCTTAGCTTCTGAAGTTGACGCCGTGGAATGTTATATTGGAATATATGCGTTTTCGTATAAGACAAGAGACGTTTACCTTCGCCTGAACAGGACCGAAAGCTAATACGGTCAGAAATGTAGGAACAAGTAGTATGCAGGCTAAGACAAATCTTGCTAAGATGTGGATCATGGAAAAGTGTGAATTGGCCATTTGTATATCCTTGCAAGCTGCGTGCTAAGCAATCGAGCGACAAGTCAGCCGCCAAACCACGCTCTTTGTTCGATTCTGGTATTCTGCAATCAAAATATTCGTTTTGATTTGCGACGCTCATCTTGTAGGAAAACAAGCACATTTCATCAAAGCAGACACGTGTCACGGTGACAAGATGTGGTTCGAGGGCGACAGTTCCAACTTCAGGTCATGAACACTGCCATCATAGATAGAAACGCGACAGCATGGGTCCACCTTAATGAAGAGGATTGTTACGCTTGGTCATGCTTTTGCCCCTGGGCTTCGCGACGAAAATCCCGGCGCACCACACTGGCCATGAAATGTCGCCAGGTTACGATGACATGCTGAAGGAGTTGACGAAGCAGAGTACGGATTTAGTCAAGAGCATTCCATGGGTTGACCACCCGAAGGATTCAGCGACAAGAAACTCCGAACGCATGCAGCCAGCCGATGTTTCAAAGACCTCGTCCGAATCCACTTGCGCTTGGCTATGTCGCAATACCGGGTCGTCCAAGTTGGGCCTGTCGCTAATTATTATGAACCGACTGCCAGGTGGTCACGGTCTTGGCTTTTCCCAGCCTCCGCTCCGAGCAATGCGTCCTGGACGGCGAGTTAGAACTATGGCGGCCAACTGGTTTCAGCGCGTATTTACTTGGCGCGGCTCGCAGTGTGCAAAGATTCTGCTGGATGCCGCGGAATACGGCGATACAGTATCTGCCTTGAGCACTTGATGACAAACCGCCGTACTTCGGAATAAGTTAAGATTCTGGCTATCAACTCGCTGGCCTATCAACACCCCGCTAGCAGTCCAAGCGCGCGCGGAGCCTTTCGAGATGAACCTTTGCCGCTTGGCCCTGCCGGTCCATTGCAGATCGTTCGCCAGCGGTGTCCTGACTTTGGTCATCGCACCCTTCGATATTCAGCGAGGAGCGACGTGGGCACGGCAATCAGAACAAACGGCCCTATGGAACAGTTGCTTCGAGCAGAAGAGCAACATGCACTCAAATCAAGATCTTCAACGAGCGTTGCTCAGAGAGGGAAGGTTTGGCATCTCTCAACGGAGTACTGCCTAGTTTGTCTGCGCAGCCCAGGAGTGCCGCTTTTGCCGTATGGTCGCGTCTCCACCAGCTTGCTAAACCCCGTCGAATAAGTCCGCCCTGATACGATCTTTAGTGCCCGAGGTGGAGAAAAAGTTGCAGATCGTCTTGTCTGTATCTCTTCTTGCCGAAATATTTTTTGCGACTTGTAAATAGATTGTTGCCTGCGCATTCTCTTTCGTCCATTCCCCTCACGTACTGAGCGCGCGCAGCCTCTCTCGAGTACGCTGCTTAGGCGGATTCTTGCTTGCCTTCATTCCCATCTCTCGGCGGCGTATCGTGAGCATAATTCGATCTTTACGTCTCAGAAGACAAGGAACCGGGCTCGGGGAGCTTCAGGTCACCTGCTGAGGGCAGCACGGCAAACAGAGTCGAAGAGCTTTGGATTAAAATTGCGTCTGAATAAAATTGGTTCTGCGGCCACTCGTTCAGAAGTCTCAATATCATAGGAGCGGAATGGCTCCTCCTCCGTCGATGGCGGAGAGGAGGGAAAACGACCACGGCACCGCGCCTGCGACGAATCTGCCAGTCCCTTCGCCTAGTGAGGAAAACGAAGCCGTCAATGGTCCCGTTTATTCTGAAAAGGACGATGCATATGACGTGACCGCTCGACCAAGTTCGGAGAGCTTGCACCATACATATACTTCAATTGTGCCTCCCGACCATGGAGTCAACGTCAAGCGCGCAGAAGCTGATTTTGCCGAATTGAGTAGAGAGCTTTCCAAGTCCTCGGCTCAGGCTGGTCGAATTTCTAGAGTGCAAAGCAAAAGAAGTCACTCCAAGCTGAAAGACGAGGAGAAAGACGTGGTCGTCTCTTCAAGTGACTCCGAGGAGACCGATGAGCCGTTCGATCTGGAGGCAACGCTGCGCGGCAACAAAGGCGAAGAGGAGGCGTCAGGAATCAAGACCAAACGCATCGGCGTCATCTGGGACGGCTTGACGGTCAGTGGGCTTGGTGGCGTCAAGAATTATGTCAAAACCTTTCCGTGGGCATTCGTGAGCTTTTTCAACGTCTATGAGACAGCGAAAAATCTTCTCGGATTGGGCAGGAAGGGACAAGTCTTCAACATCTTGAAGGACTTCCGCGGTGTCTTGAAACCAGGCGAGATGTGCCTTGTCTTAGGTCGGCCTGGGTCTGGCTGCACTACCTTCTTGAAAGTCATCTCCAATCAGCGGTACGGCTACACAAATATCAGTGGCGAGGTGTTGTATGGCCAGTTCGATGCAGCCACGTTCAGCAAACGATACCGTGGCGAAGCCGTATACAATGGAGAGGACGACATCCACCACCCTACCCTGACCGTTGGTCAAACGCTTGAGTTTGCACTAGATACCAAGATTCCCGGTAAGCGGCCTGCCGGTTTGTCACGAGCTGACTTCAAAGAAAGGGTCATCAATCTCATGTTGAATATGTTTAATATTGCACACACACGAAACACCATCGTTGGCAATCCTTTTGTTCGTGGCATCAGTGGAGGAGAGCGCAAACGTGTCTCTATCGCTGAGATGATGGTTACGGGAGCGACTGTGTGCTCGTGGGACAACACCACTCGTGGTCTTGATGCGTCAACTGCTGTGGATTGGGCTCGGTCACTTCGTGTCCTGACCGACATCTACGGTTTAACAACATTTGTGTCACTCTATCAAGCTAGCGAGAATATATACACACAGTTCGATAAGGTCATGGTCATCGATCAAGGTCGATGTGTGTACTTCGGCCCAGCGAAGGAAGCTAGAGCATATTTTGAGGGACTCGGTTTCCTCGAGAAACCTCGTCAAACTACTCCAGATTACCTCACTGGATGTACCGATCCTTATGAACGAGAGTACAAGCAAGGTAGAAGCGCTGAGAATGTCCCCAGTACGCCTGACGCACTCGCAAAAGCCTACACCGAGTCTGCCATTTACAAGAACCAAGACCGCGAGATGGCTGCATACAGACAACAGATCAAAGAGGAAAGACAGGTTTACGAAGATTTCCAACAAGCCGTGAAGGACAGCAAACGTCACACCTCGCACAAGAATGTGTACACCATTCCATTCTACCTCCAAACCTGGGCTCTCATGAAGCGGCAATTTCTTCTGAAGTGGCAAGATAAGTTTGCGCTAACCGTGAGCTGGATTACCGCGATCGTCGTGGCTATCATTGTTGGAACTGTGTGGCTTGATCAACCAAAAACTTCTGCCGGCGCTTTCACGCGAGGTGGAGTCCTGTTTATTTCATTGCTTTTCAACGCTTTTCAGGCCTTTGGGGAGTTGCCGGCCGTTATGATGGGTCGATCGATTGTGAACAAACACCGCGCCTACGCATTCCATCGGCCTTCGGCGTTGTGGATTGGGCAGATCATGGTTGACATGCTCTTTGCCGCCGTTCAAATTCTCGTTTTTTCCATCATGGTCTACTTCATGTGCAACCTGGTTCGCGACGCCGGCGCATTCTTTACATTCTACCTCATGATAGTAGTCACATATCTATGCATGACACTCTTTTTTCGAACCGTTGGCTGTCTCTGCCCGGATTTCGACGTTGCCATTCGGCTCGCTGCCACAATTATTACTCTGTTCGTGTTAACATCAGGATATTTGATTCAATGGAACTCAGAGCAGGTCTGGCTACGTTGGATTTTCTACATTAATGCATTAGGCCTCGGATTTTCGTCTCTGATGATGAATGAGTTCAGCCGTTTAAACTTGACGTGTGAGGGCGCAAATCTCATTCCCAATGGACCTGGGTATGGCGACATAAAGCATCAGTCATGCACGCTGACTGGAAGCAAGCCGGGGCAACCTATTGTTAGTGGCGCGGATTATATCAGGCAGGGATTTGCATATCAGCCAGGCGATCTGTGGCGCAACTTCGGCATCATTGTCTCCTTAGTTGTCGCCTTCCTGATCGCGAACGTGTTCCTCGGCGAGTACGTTAAATGGGGCGCAGGTGGGAAAACTGTCACTTTTTACGCGAAGGAAAATAAGGAGACCAAAAAACTCAATGCTGCTCTTGCTAAGCGCAAAGAGAACAGAAACCGCAAAGACGATACCGGTGGTTCTCAACTCAACATTGAGTCCAAAGCTATTCTCACTTGGGAAGGTCTTAACTACGACGTGCCCGTACCATCTGGTCAGCTACGGCTGCTCAAAGACATCTTTGGATACGTCAAGCCTGGGCAATTGACAGCTCTAATGGGAGCATCAGGTGCCGGAAAAACTACATTGCTTGATGTCCTTGCGGCCAGGAAAAATATCGGAGTGATCTCTGGCCAGATCCTCGTTGATGGCGTGCAGCCGGGAAAGGCATTTCAACGTGGCACATCTTATGCTGAACAGCTGGATGTTCATGAGGACGCGGCGACCGTCCGCGAAGCGCTGCGTTTTTCGGCTGACCTCAGACAACCCTATCATGTTTCAAGAGAGGAAAAATACGCATACGTGGAAGAAGTTATCAGTCTTCTCGAAATGGAGGACATTGCGGACGCAATCATTGGTTCGCCTGACTCAGGTCTTGCTGTGGAGCAGCGAAAGCGAGTTACCATCGGTGTCGAGTTGGCCGCAAAACCTGAGCTTCTCCTGTTCTTAGATGAACCAACCTCCGGCCTCGATTCACAGTCAGCTTTCAACATTGTTCGGTTCCTACGTAAGCTCGCAGCGGCAGGCCAGGCAATCCTGTGCACGATTCACCAGCCAAACTCAGCACTTTTCGAAAACTTTGATCGCCTCCTCCTCCTTCAGCGCGGGGGACAATGCGTCTACTTTGGGGACATCGGAAAAGATGCCCAAACCCTTCTGTCGTATTTCTCGAAGCATGGTGCCCACTGCCCACCTGACGCAAATCCGGCAGAGTGGATGCTTGATGCCATAGGAGCAGGCATTGCGCCACGTATAAACCCGGACGGCAATCCGAATAAAGATTGGGCGGACACATGGCGTGAATCTGAAGAGTTAGCATCGATAAAACAGGATATCATTCGCATGAAGCAGGAGCGCTCGCAGGAAGTTAGTGCTGCTCTGCTTGGGGAGCAACACGAGTACGCAACACCGCTGTGGCACCAGATCAAAATCGTCTGCACCCGCCAATCGCTTTCATTCTGGCGAACGCCCAATTATGGGTTCACTCGCCTTTTCAATCACGTCATCATTGCCCTTCTCACCGGATTATGCTACCTTCAACTGGACGACTCGAAGACTTCACTTCAGTATCGCGTTTTCATCATCTTCCAGGTAACCGTCCTCCCCGCCCTCATTCTGGCCCAGGTGGAACCAAAATATGCCATGGCAAGGATGATCAGTTACAGGGAGCAAGCCGCCAAAGCCTACCGCACATTCCCATTTGCGTTATCTATGGTCGTTGCTGAGATGCCATACAGTATACTGTGCGCTGTAGCTTTCTTTCTGCCCATCTACTACATACCAGGCCTTCAGTCGGCGCCTAGTCGCGCCGGGTACCAGTTCTTCATGGTTCTTATCACTGAATTTTTCTCTGTTACGCTTGGCCAAATGATTGCGGCACTGACCCCAACACCGTTTATCGCAGCACTCACAAATCCCTTCGTGATCATCGTATTTGCTCTCTTCTGTGGCGTAACAGTGCCCAGGCCTCAAATTCCCAAATTCTGGCGCGCATGGCTGTATGAACTGGATCCGTTCACTCGTCTCATCGGTGGCATGGTAGTCACTGAGCTCCATGGAGAGATTGTTCGCTGTCGCTCGTCAGAATTCAACACTTTCACCGCCCCCGAGGGTCAAACATGTGGCCAGTATATGTCGGATTTCTTTGCCGCTGGAGGCAGCGGGTACATTCTGAACAACGACACCAGCAACTGCCAGTACTGTGCCTATAGTGTTGGGGATCAGTTTTACGCGCCCCTTGGATACTCTTTTGATACTAGGTGGCGCGAGCTAGGTATTCTCGCCGCTTTTATCGGAAGTAATTTGATCATCTTGTTCCTCGGGGTAAGTTCGAAGACGGATTGCTCTGAGTACTAGTTCTGACGATGCTTTAGGCACGATTCCTCAATTTTAACAAGCGGTAACAAGTTGGACATTGTGTGCTGCAGGGAAGGAATAAAAAAAAAGCAAAAGTTTTTTAATTGAAGAAGATTAGATCATATAAAATATCAACTTTATCAATAAAGATTTTTGCCTTTGAATTGTAGTACTGCGTTTTGACAAATTGGGCTTTCCACCATTGAAAAGGACGGTACATCCTAGGCGACATCTCGCCTGATACTTGCTTCTCGCTGTAAGACCACGAAGGATGCGAAGGAATGTAAACACGGTTGACATCGAGTTTGACAGAAGGACAACGAACCATAATTCTAGCACCGACCAATGGCCATGGATGCCACAAACGAGCGCCAACAGCTCCAGCTACCGACGGAACCGACGGTGATCACAATCATCAGTTCTAGACGGTCCAGCTTGGCTCAAGCGTGCCCATTCCTGGCGATTATCTTCGAGTTTCATAAGCGCAGCTGGCCAACAACGTCGCGGATGCAATCATCAAACATACAAGCGACGACGAGATGAGGAAGGGCCTGCTGCTTTTCGCCACGCAGGATCCAAGTATTGTGGCCAGAAAGGTCTACGATGACGTCTGGTCGCGAAATGCCTTGTCGTGGTGTTCAGATGAGAACGACAAGGAAAAAGGAACATAAGTAGAGTTGTCAGGATCAATACGTGAAGTATTCAAAGGCCCGGCTCTTTATTTTTGAATTATTTATTTTTGACTCGTCTTTTGCACGTCCTTCTACACGTACTTATATCGATACTTTTGAGGCTCGCTCGTTCCCAGCTCTCTCACGCCCCATTCCCGAAGGAGTACCTCGCCCCTCAGGGCCATCTCCTTCTTCATCATCTGCATTCTCTCCTCCCACACCTTTTCTCTAGCCTTCATGATCTCCTGCATCCGCTTATCCATGGCCTTGTTGACAAACTCGTACTCCTCTTTAACCCTCGACAGCTCCACTTTCAACCTGTCAACCTCGGCGTCAGACTCCAGCCTCGCCGAGTTTGCCTGCGCAACCTGAGCTTCCAATTTGTTCACAGCAGCGGCGTGACATGCAGCTGCGTCGTCCAGTTTGGCCTGCAATATCTTTGCTCTTGATCCGAGAGACTGAATTTCCCTCGCGGCCTGTTCGTTTAGAGCTTTCTGCTCCCTCAGCTTCTGCGCCGCTGCGTTTTCCTTCTCCTCGGTGGCCGCGCTAAGCTGCGCCTCCAGTCGGCTGACTTGTTCCTGGAGGTTCTCAATCTCGTCGTCCTTCGCGTCAAGCTGGCCGTGGAGTCGAGCGTTTTCACGCTCTAGGTCGGCGAGAGCCGTTGATTGCAAGTTGCGATGTTGCCTGAGCGCAGCGCGCTGCGTCGCCTTGGCCGTTACCGAGTCTTCGACCTGCCTTGAAAGGACCTCGATCTCATTTGCATGCTCAAGCGCGATGTTGGCAAGCTCGGCTTGGAGGCTCTCTACTTTGTTCTCTGCAGCTCGCTTCGAAGCCTCCACTTCCTTGCACCGCGCACGGAGAGATTCACGCTCCGCCTTCGTGCTCTCAATTTCCTGCGTGTGTCTTTCAAGCGCAGCGTTGTACTTGTCGTTGGTTTCCTCAAGTCTTTGGCTGAGCTCTGCAATTTTGTAATGTGCATCCTTAAGCTGTTCGCGTTCATGCTCCAACGCAATCTCGAGGGCGGCGATGTGTTTTGCTTCCTCTGCGGATTGGCTGTCGATTGCCGGTGACCCGGCACGGATGTTGGCTTCTTCTCCGCCACCTGCAATTCGAACGTCCTTCGACCGCTGTTCATGCTCTTGGGAAATGTTGTCTAGACGTTGCTGCCAGAATGACTCTTGCGCCTTGAGTTGTGCGTTTGCTTCATCCTCCTGATGCTTTAACTGTTCCTCATATTCGCGTCTAATCCCCACAATGTGCTCTTGACTTTGAGTCCTCACTTCGTCCAGTTCTGCCCTCAATTTCTCGAGCGCTTCTCGCAGGCTCTTGACCGTTTCACTTTCCTCATCGACATCGTCGTCTTTGCTTGCGCACTCTACACTGGCATTTTTCAAATTCTGCGTGAGCTCCGGACTTCTCAAGACTGGGCCAAGCGTACTACTGCTGTAGTGCATGCGTGACGGTGTATCTTCGTGGTCCTCCACGCTTGCCTGCAGCTCCTTCTTTTTTGGCAAAGGCGCATGCTCTACCGTCCTAGGTGTTGAGACCGCCGTATCAACGCCGTTAAGAGGCGGAGATTTCGCTGCCGTTGTCGGAGGCTTGTCACGCGAGGTGTGTTGCTGAGGTATCGGTAACTTGGCCGTCATCCAGTACTCCAAGTTCTGCGTGAAGTCGGTCGGACCATCGATGTCATCTGAATTGACCACGTCGAGCTTTGCCCTTGGCAATGGCGTCGCAACTATACTAGATTCTTCGCCATCTGGCAGCGCATCAAGGTCGAGACTGAAGTCTGATGGGCTGCGACTGCGCGCAGTGGGCGAGCGCAGCTGTAGAGGGGGCGAAGAGGGCAACATGGATATTCTTTTTTTTTTCTGTCTATTGTTTGGCTTTCGCAATTGAACGTCGCGATTCCGATCCGGATGCCTAAGAATAAATTACGACGCAGTGCAATCTCAAAAGTCGTCGACGTGCTCGCGTTGTTTACATTCGCCGTGATTCCGAGCGCCGGAAGAGGTAAAGAAGCAAGCGGGAGTGCCCGTGCCTTCATCGCTGCCCAGCAAACAGATCCAGCCTTAGACAGGAGGGATTTGCGAAAAAAAAAAAAAAAAAGAAATAGTACACGCTTGGTAGTCTGTTATACATATACAGATATGTTTGGAGCGATTAATTGAAGGATGAGAGAGGACCAGCAATAACGCGGGACATTATTGAAGTCTTGGAAGAATAGGCAAGTCTGGCTGCTGAACACGTGATGCATAGCCAGTCCACCAAACACGACGGCATCACGAAATGCGATTTTTGCGACGTCGACGCCTTTTGCAAGGCGTGGGTTGCGGAGACGAAAATCGAGTCTATAAGCCGCCAGTCGTGTGGGCTTGTCCTCTTGCTTGCGCAAATCGCTACAAACTGCTTGACTTTCTCGTGTAGTCTCCGAGGCCTGCCAGCGACGTCTTGCTGAATAAGACCATCGCATCATGTATATCACGGCCACAGCCGTCAACGGGCAAGGAATCTTCTCGGGCGCTCGCTTCTCCGGTAACAGAGCTCGGCGACGGACGTATCGTGTCTCAAGCCCATCTCACCCTCGTTCCACAAGCCAGAGGCGCTTCTCGAAAGCGGGCAGGATGCGCTGAGGTCTAAAACGCGCTCTGTTTTGGGCCCCGCGGCATCACCACCACCCACAGAAAAACATCCTCCTCTCGACCGGCCAATGCATCGCTGCCCTTCCCTCGCCATCCAAACGCGCCTCTGGGTGCTGCGCTCCACTTTCGTTTGGCCGCTCTCCATGTGAACGAGTCCTAGCCCGCGATCTTTGTTCCCGCGTCCTCTTCGGTCCAGCTCCTGTCCGGCCGAGATATCCCAGCATCGGACCCATAGGGCCACAGGAACCCTCTCGGCGATAAACGAAGCGCAGTATCTCCTTCGCAGAGCCGAGCACTGACGTGGCCGTTGCTCGTCGAGCCTTCTCTAGACCGCCTTGCTGCTCATTCTTCGATCGTCATCGATACTGCTATTTTGCTCGTGGCAATAAACGCGATGTCTCACGTTTGTGCACAATAGCAACCTCTGCCCAATGTCCTCCCACTGTAATTCCAGGCCTGCCTCTGGTCTGGCTTTTCTATTGTCCGCCCAGTGCATGTGGGACGTGCTGTTACACATCCGCTGCTGCTCACCCTACCCAAGGACCGCCGACAGCAACGGATCGTAGAGGCCTCCTGGGCGCGATCAGCCTTTGCGCTTGCAAACACGGTTTCCCAAGCGAGCGACGCATTGTCTCAACCCCCATCTTGGCAGAGCTTGTTTGTGCACATACTGAAGCTTAAACCGGTCTCCCTGGTGCGCTGCACCCATGGTTGTGGCGCTGGACGATCAAGTCATGGCCTTTGAATTTATACCTCCCAAATGAACGCTCATGTCACGCCTCCCTTCTCTCGCCATTGCGATAGTCGTCCTCTTACGTGCCGCGGTCACCGAGTTCCTTCTTTCCACCTCGAATCTCCCGTGCTGGCCACATTTCTCTCCTTTTGGCCTTCTGTTCGTTCGGTTCTATCTTCAAGCAGCGCTTGATAGGTCCGCTTTCTCTTCTTTTCTCTCTCTCTCTCTCTCTCTCTCTCTTCACCGCTAGCCGGATTTCTTGTTACATCTATCCAACATGAAGGTCTTCGCATATTATAGCCTGGCTGTTGCCTCGCTAGCCATAGCAACCCCGGTGCCGGTGGCCGATGCCGAAGCTGAGGCTTTGGCTGAAGCCGTAGCTCAGGGCGTTGATATTTCCGCATTGGGACACTGGGTCGTCACCGAAGATGCACCAGAGAAACGCGAGGCCGGCATGGGGCTTCCTTCTCTCTTGCGTACATGGCTGCGACCCAGAGACTCCACCGGTACGGCTTCCTTAGCTTTCGTGTTTAGGAGAACGATCTGACCCCAAATCCTTGATTAGCCCAAGATAACGCAAGCAACGGTGCTACTACCAACAACAATAACAACGGCAATGGCAAGGGAAAGGCCAAGGCCAAGGCAAAGGGCAAGGGCAAGGGCAAGGCCGCTGGCCAAGCCACGAACTCGACCATGGCCGCCACAAACGGAACCGCGCTCGCCAGCAACGCCACGACCCCCGCCGCCTTGGCCGGCAACGGCACCGCTCTGGCTACCAACGGCACCGCGGCCGCAGCGAAGGGCAAGGGAAAGACGAACGGAAAGGGAAAGGCCAAGGCCAAGGGCAAGGCGAAGGGCAAGGCGAATCAAGGCAACTAGCTCCTCTACGGGCTAGCGGACGGTTTTGGCTGGCAGCGTCGGCTTGGAAGAGCGCGCGTCGCTGACGACCCAGCGAGGAAGAGTTTGCTTTTTGCGAACGGCGTTTTCTTATGAACCTTGAATTTTGTGCCGAAAGGAAGAAAGGAAGAAAGAAAGAAAGAAAGAAAGAAACAATAAAAATTGGGCGAGCCTTCCGTCCACAGCGTATAACATATACAAATATATACGCACATACGCACAGGAAATGGACACTAGAACTTTTTTTTTTAGAGGAAAGACAGAACGCTACGAAAGCTTCTTCTTCTTCCTTCTGTCGTCGCGTCATGAAGACAACTTTTTCCCCTCTCGTAATCTATCCTTTTAAAAAAAAAATTTCTTTTTTTTATCCCCTACGTTGACCCTATCTAAACCCTCAGCTAGCCTACGAGCTCGCTTGCAAACTTGCTGCGCGCTCTTATTCTAGGACCCCAAAGCATGAGCACCCACGGCACGAACGTGAGCAGGATGCCGATCCCGCCCAGCAGGCTCGAGGCGGGCCCGTACGTCAAGTGGGTGAACATCTGGTTCGTGACCAGCGGCAGGACGCCGCCCATGATGTTGCGGCAGCAGCTCTGGGCGGCCAGCGCGGACGAGGCGTAGCGATGATACGTGTCGGCGAGGTAGTTGAAGACGGCCAGGTAGACGGAGAAGATGCCCATGGTGGCGAGGCCAATGGCGATCGCCGGCGCGATCCAGTGAACCGACGAGTTGCTCGTCCACCCGAACATGAAGAGCCCAACAGGCAGCAGGACGCTCTCGTAGCACGAGAAGTAAAGCCTCGCCTCGGGAGAGGGGGGCAGCTTGTTGTACCTCTTTGCGATCTTCTCCTGGTAGATGCAGATGACGGCGAAGATGACGGACGCGATGCTGATGGAGGTGAACACGTAGCCGTTCTGCTGGATGTCGAAGCCGTGCTCGGTCGAGAAGACGAGGGGGATGGCGGCGAAGGTGAGATACAGGACGGCCCAGGCAAAGGACACCCAGAGCGAGAAGAAGAAGACGACCGGCTCCGTGATCAGGAGGTGGAACGGCCGGTAGCACGAGATGGCGATCATCCTGGACAGACTCGCCCGCTCCTCGTCGGACTTGACCTTCCACCGGATCCGCTGCGGTTCGAACTTGTCCGTCGCGCCGGGGACGGGCATCTTGAAACCGTAGTAGCCGGCCTTCTCGCGCTCCTCGTACCAAGCGTTCAGGGCCTTGGCCTTGCGGCTCAGCAGCACGCTGCCCCTGGTTTCCTTGAAGCACACGATCACGACGACCATCAGAACCGCGTCCATGATGACCTGAATCCAGAACATCCAGCGCCAGTGGAGGTGCTGGGCCACGAACCCGGTAACGAATGGGCCCATGCCCGTACCGACGAGAGCGCCGGCGGAGAACAGGGTCATGGGCGTGTTGCGTTCAGCCGTGTGGTAGATGTCCGAGATGACGCCACCCACCATGGTGCTGAACGTCGAGCCACCCACGCCGACGAAGAAGCGTGCCACGAGCATGCCGCCGTAGGACCGAGTCACGGCGCAGCACAGCTGGCAGACGACGAAGAGCAGGCCCGAGGCGATGAAGACGGGTTTCTGGCTTCTGGTTAGCAAGATTGCTGAGGCGGCTACTTCGGGATCGCTTCTTTTTTTTTTTATTGGCGCTCTTACCCGACCGTTGATCTCGCTAAAAGGGGCGAGCACCATGGGCGCAACGCCAAAGCCGGTTGTGAATGTGGTGATGCCGCACAAGATGGCCACGGTGCTCACATGCCACTCATCCTTCATTTGCTGTAGGGCCGGGCTGTACGCTCCCGCCGTGAAGGCGGTAAAAGCGGTCGCGAAGACAGATATCCATATTATGATCCGTTTGCGCAGGTCCGGCCACAAGAACGGCGAAGTGTACTTTGCTAGATCTGGCGGTGGGGGAGGGTGAGGAGCTTCAGGTGTCCTCGGCTCTACAGATATTGGATGCGGCAGCTCCGTCTCGAACGTCAGGTAGTGATACGCGATGGGCCAGTCGTCTTGCTCCTCGCAGTCGTCGTTGACATTGGGCTGCTTCTCGTCCTTGTCCCATGGTGACGGGCTGCGCTCGCTTCTTCCGCCAGACTGTGGTGAAGTCGGTGGTGACAAAGATGGTGAGTCGCTATTTCCGGGGTTATTCCCGCGCCGAGTCCCTTGCACGCGCTCTTCCTCATCCCGGGGCGCAATCTCGGGAGCTGCCATTTCACCCAACGACACGCCCGAAGCGGAGGAGGCAGTCGAGAATACGGTGGGGAGTCATCGTGGCCATGAATATATAATGGGGGCAGGAAGGGGGAAGAAAGTACATTCCCGAATTTCAGCTGTGGATTCGCCAAAACGGGTTGTGGACTTAACTCGGCGTGGAGAAAAGTGATCCACCAGCTGGTGTCATCGACGGAGATCCCGCTTGCAGGTCTTAGCTCCGCATCTCGTCGATATGCCAGTCGGATAAAAGTGATCGTCCGGTAAAGCAGTGAGCGCTGAAGCCTGGGACGTACCTGAGGTGAGGGGTTTCCTACAATAGCAACGATGAATGGACTTTGCAGAAAGCAGCGCCAGACCCACAACCGTGCAACAAGAACAAGCCTTTTCTTTGCTTTGTGCTCTCGCGTCCCAGGGCCGCGGATTCGAAGCCGCAGTGTCTTATTCCCGAACTTATTCCTGTTCCCTGTACTTGATGGTGTGGGTCACGCGCGGTACGGTTCCTGTGCGGTGAGTGAAGGTGAAAAACAAAATCAGCTACAGTACGTTGACCTGTCGTTCCGATCGATTGTATCACGAAGCTGTGCCGCATGACTGATGGCCATCGTCGACAGCCCCATTTGTTCGTGTAAGGGATTGCAAACGTGATGGCTGTGAACTGCTGGTCAAAGTAAGATGAAAAAATGGAATAGGGAGGAAAAAAAATTACTACATAGATCTATGATGTGAATTGAAGCGCATGTATACGACACGGAAGGACTGCCTATGTGCTGGCAGACCCAGACACATGACGCCATACGGCTCAAGAAACGTGGCTTGGTATGGTCAGTCCCGTATCTTAGAACACTATAGACCTGGAATATAGTTTCAGATCCGTTCGAATCATCTGCGACGTGCGCTAGCATCGTACTAGTTCATAGACGATATCCTCGAGACGGTCAATGCATTGGAGTGTTAACGCATGATTTTCAAGTCGTCCCAACGCTCCTTGTTGAGACGACTTGTATATTTTCCTATCTTTACGCATAATACTGCCAACACGACCAAAAGCCCTCGTCTGAACTTGTCATTTATTTTGGTGCAACGTCGGCGAAGTACGTCCTATCGAGCTCGTTGCTGATTGGTGTTCTCCTGGTTGTATCTCTTGACATCACTTGATCTTTGACAGATGGAATCGAAAGCCGAAGAGTACATAAAGGCGTGAAGATGGCTACGCCGCGTGTAGAAGATGCTTCTTGCCAAGCCGAATCGTGAAAGACGAACTTATTAGCCAGCGCCGGAGTGTCTATCCAATCTCCGATTCGTTCTCAACTTTGGCCATCGCCCCACTTCTTCACCGGTGAAGCGCATTCACGCCGTCGCTATCGGACGAGGACATCAGGACGCATACGATGCCGGGCACCAACTGAATTCGTGGTTTAAAAGACAAACGGCGTACAGAGTCTGACCCAAGATTTTGGTCGAAATAAAGCTGGTTGACTTGGCGTGATTCGAGGCAGTTCTGAACGAGAACACAAATTATTGGTCCTTGGACAGATCGGCGTGATCGCCGCATGAGTACGTGACAGCCCAATTGTTCTTCCGTGCTTAGAGTCGGTGATTCTCTCAAAGGGCACGGCCGCGTGCTCAAGCCATCGTATAGGTTTTCATGGGTAAGATAACGGAAGGGGGATCCAGCATAGCAGCGCGAAAGAGCAAGAGAAGGACTTTGAAAAGGATAGCAGGGTTCGACGTTTCCTAGTTGAGGCCGCCAATATTGCCTTCTGCTATTGACCAGGCATAGTTGTCCTGCGTCGGCTCCGTTCTCGAAGAAACACGTATCAAAACACCTTGAACAGGGCTCGGGTGCACAGGTGCCTCCCTCTACGCTCGGGTGCCCAAATGGTTCCACTGAAGAAGTGAGTGAAGAAAACAAGCACGTGTTCTCCAATCAAAACCAAGACGTCAACAGCGCAGCTTGCGCTATTCTGTCCCCCCAGACGGCGTCGGGGGCGAGCGTCGACGGCTTATGCTTCTACACTTGTCGGCCCAGCGCAATGTCATGCTTGCCTCCACCCACGATGGAATGTGTTTTGTCGGGGAGCAGGGTGCAGCGGAGGAGGCTCTTGTCACGTGTGGCTCGCACGCCATCGCCGTCAGCAACCAGAGGTCGATGAGCACGATACTTTCCGTAGTAGGAGAATGAATGTTGGACCAATGCGCGCGCAGCTGGCTCATCAGAAGGTCAGACAGCAGGCCTGTGCATCTCACGACTTCGTGTTTTCTCCCGGCCGTCCAGGCTCGACGGCATGCTTGTCAGCCAGCCTACATGGCCTTCGACGCAGGCGTGCGCGAGCGCACTCCAGCCAGCAGTCTCTCACGTCGCCAAATTTCTCCGTCGTAGCGACGTTGAAAGACGTCTTGTAACAAAGCCCCGCAGACGTGATCGTGTTTGGGCTGGACCCTGGACACGGGAAGCGCCTCGTGTGGCGCCGCCGTGAGCACGCAATCCGCGTTGGCCTCATTCGTTTTCAAAATTGTACCATCTGATGGCGTGATTAACCATAGCTTTGCAAGCTCTAGGCTGGGCCAAGCGATTTTGCAATCGCAGCCGACTGCTTAAAGAGGGGCAGGGCAGCGTCTCGTTCTTCCAGCTTAAGTTTTTTTTTTCTTCTCCTCGTTCAAACCTGCTCTCTTCTGCCCGCTCGTCCTCTGCGCCTCCATAAAGTGCCTCAACAGCAGCACGAACCAGCTTCGCAGGACACTTCAACAAGCCTACAAATACGACGACACATCACAATGGGCTCTGACCGTGTCGAACCTCTCCGCCTGGGTAGCATTGCCCCCAACTTTGACGCCGAGACCACAAACGGCAAGATCAATTTCCACGAGTTCATCGGAGACAGCTGGGTCATCCTTTTCTCGCATCCCGAGGACTACACCCCAGTCTGCACGACGGAGCTGGGTGCCTTCGCCAAGCTCGAGCCGGAGTTCACCAAGCGCAACACCAAGCTCATTGGTCTCTCGGCCAACACCATCGAGAGCCACAGCGGCTGGATCAAGGATATCGACGAGATCTCTGGCAGCAAGCTGACCTTCCCCATCATTGGTGATAAGGACCGCAAGATCGCTCTTGCGTACGACATGTGAGTTGCTTTCGGGTCCTGTTCCTGAGGCACTGTTCGGCTTCCGTTTTTTGCTTCTGTTCCGTGATGTCAACGAAAGAACGGGGAAACGCAGAACGATCTAAGCAGAACCGGTGACGCTGACTTCCGAACCTCAGGATCGACCATCAGGACGCCACCAACGTTGACTCCAAGGGAATTGTACGTGTCTCCTGCGTTCGCGTCCGCGACGTTATTCCATGACGCGGCGATGAAACACTGGCTGACCGAGCAACGTGATACACAGGCCTTTACGATTCGCTCCGTCTTCATCATCGACCCAAAGAAGACCATCCGCTTGATCATGTCGTACCCAGCCTCGACGGGCCGCAACACGGCCGAGGTCCTGCGCGTGCTGGACTCGCTGCAGACGGGCGACAAGAACAAGGTCACGACGCCCATCAACTGGGTGCCCGGCGACGACGTGATTGTGCATCCGTCCGTCAAGACCGAGGACGCTAAGGCTCTCTACCCTGACCTGCGCATTGTGAAGCCATATCTTCGCTTCACACCTCTGCCCAAGGAGAAGACCAGCGCGGCGGTCTAAGGGCTGGCGCGCTGATCTGACGCGTGCGCGAACGGGTGGAAAGGGGAGGAAAAGCCGGCTGCGTACATGAGGGAAAGGGTCCGCGAAAGAATGCGACAGAACGGTGGGTTGGTGCGCGATCGTGCATGATGTTTTGAAGTTGGGAGATGTACGTTTGCCCTGCATGACGGGGTAGCCATTCAGGATAGGGCATTGAAGCAAAGAAAGGACGAGAAAAAAAAAAGAAAAGGATGATGGATAGGGGCTGCGTGTCGGAGATGGCGACGAGACAGCAGAATGCAGGGCACAGGACGGTGGCAAGTAGGAAAGATGAATTCGCATGATACCTTGTTTTTGAGCGTTAGCTAAAAGGAGGCAAATAATAAAAAAAGCTTCAAATGATAACAAGGACAATTGAAACGAAGAGATCAGTCCAGCAAAAAGGATTCACGCCATCGGTGAAAACTCCGCTCGGGGAGGTGCAATCAGAATGCGGGGGTGTAGCACAAGCAGTGTATGTAGCACATGCATAGTCTACTCGAAGGCGAGAAGGAGGAGAAGACGGTGAAGAAGAAGGGCGTCAGCGCGTGTAGCTCGTGGCTATGGGGGGCGAGCGACAGTACGGATCCAGAGTGCGGATGGTGAAGCAGAGAGCATGAGCGCGGTTGAGGGGGAAGATGATGGAGGATCGAGGGCCCAGCGACTGCGGGCGTTGGTGTTTCATGGCCGCTTACGTCAGGGGGGAAGGTGGAGGGGCTAAGTAGCACGGGGGGAAGGAGCGGGTTGCGGGTGGACTGCGTAGAGGGGACACGACGCGTTGATGGCTTTCGCGCCCGTTGCGTTTGCACATGCGGGCTTCGACGCGAGCAGCCTGGTCGAGCCAACGTAAGCGAGCAGTCGGGAAGATGGGGAGGATGGAAAAGTGATCGATCCGCGGTAAGGGCACGGCGCACGAGGATTCTTCTTCTTCCCATTCCGCGGCATGTGTCGGTACAGGAGCGGTCGTTGGAAGCTCACACGATCAAAAAGAAAAGGGGGGTGAGAGGGCTAAGAATTTGGACGCCGCAAGGATAGGAGGACAAGGCAGGCGGCGCAGTCTGATTGGGAACGAGGAAGCGTTGAGTCAGGCTGGGTAGACGGCGCTTCTGTCATGCGTCGAAGAAAGTACGGGACGTCTGTTCTTTATACTTCGTACTCCTCCTGCAATGTGCTGGAGAGGACGACTCAGGCGAGGACGCAAAACGCTCAGAGCGGACCAGGCTAGCGGTTCTCGGCCATTAGGCTCGGCGGCCAATCAGGAGCCAGTCGGGGTGGTGGATTTGTCGGGGGGTTTCCCTTCTCTCTGCTACGAAAGGAGCACACACGTCAGGAGTGCTTTTCACCCACACACGCACACACACACGCTCTCTCTCTCTCTCTATCCGTCTCTCCCGTTTTCTCTGTGCTTTTCTTGTTTCGCTTTTTCCGCTCTGGCGCGAGCTGGTCCTGCTCACTGCTAGAATCACACCGAGATCGGACCGCGCAGGAAAGGTAAAAAATAAAAATAAAATAGCGAAAAAAAAAGGTTCGAGGACGCACGACTCCAACCAGGCCCAGGCACTGGCAAAAAATAAAGAGGGAGCCACCGTCTGGCTGTGCGAGTGCGCGCGTACCTCTTTAACTACGTTAACGTTACGAGGAAAGCTTGGCTGGCATCGGGCTGACTTCCGCTGACCTAGTGCGCGGCCGGTGTGCTACTGCAAGCCCTTTCTCCGCTGGCGGTGCTGCTCCTGCTGCTCGCTGGAGCTGCTGAGACTCGCCGGCCACAGGCAGTCGTTCTAGGCAAATCCGCAGCAGACGGCAGCCAGCAGCTGTGCGTTGTCGTGCCGCTGCCAGTGCTGCTGGCGAAGGCCGTTGCAGGGAGTCGCTGCGCGGGGCTGCGCTGCTCGTGCCCGCCGCCGTCGCCACCGTGGCCCGACCTCACCGCCACCACCGCCGCCTGCCGCCGCGCACCTCGCTCCTGCTCCTTCTTTCCTCTCGTGCGCGAACCCGCTCGTCCACCACTCCTCTCGCCCACTCGCACCTGCTCAAAACCACGCCTGCCCGCACGCGCGAGCTGACGGCCGCACCTGCCCGCGTCATCGCATCTCTCGTCCGGACTGCGCCCGTCGCCCGTCGCCCGTCGCTCGCAGGAGCTCGCCCGCACGTCATCAGGTAAGAGCGGCCGTCTCGTCCCCTCCCTTCGCCCCATCGCCTCTCGCCCCTCCCTCTCGTCCAGGAAAGGCCACCTCGCGCACATCCGCGCCTGCCCGTCCCAGGAGCCAAGTCTGCTACCTGTCACGACTTCCAGCGACAGCTCGGATTGTTCGCTGCGCGCTCCTGCCTCAGCGATCGCCGTGTGGCTCGTCACGGCTGCTCTGACCGGAACCTTGTCCGACGTGCGGATGCTGCGTTCGACCGCTCGCACGCACGAACTATTGCCCGTGGCTCCGCTGGCCGCCGTCTCTGTCGCGCTCTGCCGGCTGTTCGCTCACGCACGCCCGCGCTCGCTCTCTCGCCTGCCCTCGCCTGCTCTCGCCGTGTGTGTCTCGCTCTGGCGCAACGCCGCTCGCTCCTTGCGTGCGCGAAGTGGCCGTGACGGTTCCCCTTCGCTCACGTGCACCGCCTCGCTCGCGGCCCTGCCCTCTGTCTCTGCTCCTGCTCTCTCATCTCTCTCGCACACACATGGCCTTGTCCGCCCTTTGAACTGTGGCTTCCCCACCTCTCGAACTCTCCCCAGAAAGAAAAGAAACCACAAAGCAACAGGCCCACTCACCCCTCCGGCACGCACCGTGTACGCCAAACTCATGCACACACCACGCCCAGTATATCTTTCTCGTACCGGCCATCTCTCGCACCCTTGCCAAACTTCCGATCTGTTTCCCCGACTCTCTGGTCGCGTTTCGCTTCGGCTGCATCTCGGTTGGGTCCGTTTTTTATTTCAAGTTTTTTTTATACTCGTCACTTTCTCCTCCTCGGCACTACTGTTGCTTATCTCATCGCCCTTCTTCCTGGTCTTGGCCAATCCTGGCCCCCCTGTTGGCCTTGCTTGCCTATGCAACCGACAAGTTGTCCGGAGATGGAGCTGGATATCTGCGGGGACGATGTTGACACTATGAATATCACTAGTTTGTCCATCCTGCCCGCGCCTCTGCGTTGAATTTCGGCTGCTCGCTGGGTCTCTTCCCTTCCTTCCTTCTTTCTTTCTTGCGAACTGGCCTCCTTACCACACATGACACCTGCGCTTCTATCACGTCCTTTCGCTACATGCCTCACCTGCCGACCTCAGACCTTCTCGGCCTTTGCTTGCACATACAGGACCACACAATCGTCGCCATGCTGAAGGTTGCTAACATGCTACCCGCAGGCCATTCCTCGGGACATACCAAGCACCCCTCGAGCGGCTCCTTCGAATCATTCCTGTTCAGAAGGGCGGCCAAGCCTAGGAAGAGAAGCTCCAGGGCCAACTCCTCGGACGCGTCTGCTACCGGCACCACCGTTGCGGTTGAGCGCTCACGTGAATCATCCTCTGCCCATCCTCCGCGCGCAGTCAGCTGTGCCGCCTCCGTCGACGCCTGCGTTCACGGCTCTCCCAAACGAGCGCGCACCTCTTCCCATCCCGCCAACGCCCGGACATCCGTCGCCAGCTCTCGCCCCAAGCACGTGCCCATTGTCATCCCACGCTGCGCACAACCCTTTTCGTCCAACTCGCTCGCGTCCGTGACCCCGACTGGCACCGCATTTCCCTCCACTTCGCCATCGCCCACGCGTCTTGAGTTCCCCAGGCCTCCTCGCAAGTCGTCCTTGGCCCCCCCGGTCACGCTTCCCTCACCCGAGCACTCGCCCGGCGGGAAGCCGCGACATGTGGAGATAAAAATACCCGCCTGGGCGAACCCGATCAAACTGCCCGACACGCCAGAGAGCATTCCGAGCCCCTTTCTGAGCTCTTTCCGCCCCGCTGACGCGGCCTCGAACTCACGGTCACCTTCGCCGCGTACGATGCTGCGGCTGACCCCAGGCAACAGTCGGTCCAACACGCTCGACTCGACCGTCTCCGATCCGGCCACGCTGTACGCGGCCAGCAGCGCCGGTGGGAACATGTACGCCCAACGTGGCGTCAACGGCTCCCAGACTAACCTGTATCGGCTCAACACCAACGATCTGGCTCCCGATCGCGAAGGTCAAGCCCGCACCCCCGCTTCGGGCTTCCAAGGGAACCCTTCACCCGCCATGCCGTCTGTGGCTGGCGTAAGCTCCGCTTCCTCGAACAGTGGGCTTTCGGGCCTGGTTTGCAACGTCCACAGAACCACCGGACGTGAGCCCAGGCCGCTGGTTGGCGCCTCCACCACGATCCTTGGCGACAAGCTCTATGTTTTTGGCGGGCGAAAGACGTCACGATCAAGACCCCAGCTGACAAACGATCTGTACGAGCTGGACCTGATCAGACGCCACTGGACGAAGCTTGAAACAACAGGCGACAAGCCTCCGCCACGCTACTTTCACAGCGTGTGTGCCCTCGGCGACACGAAACTTGTCCTTTTCGGGGGCATGTCGCCTGCCACGTTGCCCAACGGACAGCCCGCCGCGCCGGACCAACCCGTCAATCCGCAGGACCCGCAGCCCGAGGTCGTCGCCCTGTCGGACGTCCACATTTACGACGTGCCCACGCGTTCGTGGATGAAGATCAACGCCACGAACCCACCCCAAGGCCGATATGCCCATTGTGCCACCATCTTGCCCTCGTCTTCGGTGTTTTCGTCGCCCAGCGCCGCGAATTCGGCCATACATCACAACCCGTCCTCGCCGTCCTCGCCAAACAGCGGCACGCTCGGCGTCACGCTGGACGGTGACGGCGGAGCGGAGATGATTGTCGTGGGCGGCCAAGATACCGCCAATCACTACATCGAGCAGATCAACGTCTTCAACCTCCGAAGTCTGTCTTGGACGACGGCGCAGCCGTTCGGCAGAAGCTGTGGCGCATATCGCAGCGTGACGGCTCCGCTGAGCGCCTCGGCCGCATCCAAGCTCGGCGTTCCGTTGACAAACTCCGAGTCAAGGTCGGGCGCGGATCGCGTCGAGGATGCCACAGACGGTGCTTCTGCGCTTCTAATCTACTCGAACTACAACTTCCTGGACGTCCGTTTGGAGCTTCAGGTCCGCCTGCCGGACGGCCAGCTGATCGAGAAGGACATGCTTGCCACCCCGTCACCGCCCGGTCTCAGGTTTCCCAACGGTGGTATCATCGACAATCATTTTGTCGTCAGCGGAACCTTCTTGACCTCATCAAAGCAGGAGTACGCCCTGTGGGCTTTGGACCTTCGCAAGCTGACTTGGAGTCGCATAGATGCCGGCGCCACGACGTTCAGTCAAGGCAGCTGGAATCGTGGCGTCCTGTGGAACAGGCGGAACACCTACGTCATACTGGGCAACCGAAAAAGAAGCCTTGCGGAGGACTACAACCACCGCCGTATCAACTTCACCAACATCTGCATGGTCGAACTGGAGGCGTTCGGACTGTACGACAACCCAAGAAGGAAGTGTCCATCCTCTGGCTACGTCTCGGCTAGCGCCAAGCAGACGGATCTGCTTGTGGACCGTCACGCGGGCGGCCGACCGTTGCTTAAGTCGGCTGAAGATCTGGGCTCCCTGGCGCTTAGCTTGACGGAGCTTAGCGACATGGACTTTGTGGCCATGAACGGTGACCGTTTGCCTGCCAACTCGCACATTGTCTCCCGTCGATGGGGACCCTACTTCAAGCACATCATGGCAGAGGCCATGGCGTCGACAGACACCAACGACACGGCTACGCTGCGACCCCAGGCCGAGTTCGCCCCCCAGCGACAGTCCAGCGTTACCATCACGCCCTCGCTGTCGTCTGGCTACTCGACTGGCTCGTCCACTCTGGTGCCGCCAGGCTCGATCCTTGACAGCACAGCTGCGCCAGGCATCTTTGACCCTTCTCGAAACATAAATCCGGCACGGCGACCCCGCGCTCTTTATCTTCCCCACACGACGCTCACCATCCAAGCCCTCCTCCACTTCCTGTACACGTCATCGCTCCCTCCCCTGAACAGCAATCTATGCACGCCCCAGATCTTGTGCTCCCTCCTTCAGATTGCACGGCCGTACAAGATTGACGGTCTCCTGGAGGCCGTCGTTGAGCGCCTGCATCTTGTGCTCGATAACCGTAACACGGCCGCCATCTTTAACGCTGCGGCCATGGCTGCGGGTGGCGGCGACGGTGTCGTCTTCTTCAACAAGGGTCTTGAGGCTGCAACGGGAGAGATGGGGAGCCGGAGCAACGGCGACTTGCCGCAAGAAGATTCAGACACGGAAGGTCTGACGGCGTCGCGTCTCCGAAGCTTGCGGATCGACACTGAAATCACGCGTCCGGCCACATCCATGAGCGCACAGAGCGGCCATAGTGACGACGCGAGCAGCGCGGATCCGGATGGACCCAGTGATGGAGACCGCACGATGAGCCTGACGAATGATGTAGGCGAGAATCAAGACGTGTGGAATGGGAGCTTAAGCTCTGTTGTGGGACTGCAAAAGAGAGGCCTAAGAGGCTTGATGGAGGGACGCAGAATCAGGGAGCGGAGTGGTGGCCTTGGAATGGGAGGCCCCGGTAGTGGAGTCGGAGAGGCAAACAGAGTAGGTCTAGGTATCGCTTGATACACTGACGCAGCCAAGTATATCTGGGAGCCTTTTATCTGGTCACAATGCACAACGAGGAGGGAAAAAAGACTTCTCTTTGTGTTTTGGTTTTTTTTTCCTTTCCCTTTCCTTTTAAGAGAAGGCACAGGGTGACATTTTATGATGAGATGATCATGCTGTCGATTCCTTTTCTGGGGAGCACGGTTTCTTCGCTTGTCGTTAGCGTTGGAGTCTTTTTGCTTTTCGCGGACATGCGCTCTGTTATCTTGCCCCTTGGAAACATTGTTTGCGTTTGCCTGGCTTGTCTACTTGCACATAGGCGACATATATGAGACGCAGCCGATAACAAAGGATTGGAGCACGTTTGGTGCTGTGAAAAAGCTGTGGTTGTAGTACTAAGGGTATATACATTTTAGACTCGAGGCAATACAATCAGCATGGTACCAATGCAAGGTGCATCAACCGTTCGTGAACCATGCTGGGAAAGCGCTGAACAACCTGTTTCAATCCTTGACTCCGTGGGCTTGACACAGTCTTTGGACGAGTGGCTGACCGGGGCAGATCATATAGAGGAAAACACAGTCCACAGTTGCGACGAAAATCCCGCCGATCTGTTCGTCCTGTGTTGTTGTCCTAACCACGTGTCACCTGGCGGACGGGTTGGAAGTGAGGGGACTGGGTTTCTCTGCGTGAAAAATAAATTTTTTTTTTCGACGACAGCGGCCTGGCAGGTTGAAAGCAATGCACTTTGACGATGCTGACCAGGGGGGACTAAGAAAAAAAATAAAAATATAAAAAAAGAGGAAGAGACGATACAGGAAACGAAAGTGGGGAGGAAGGAGAAGCGATGAAGGCTGATTTTTTTTTTTTTTTTTTCGTTTTTTTCTTCGTTCTACTCTCTCTCTCCCCTTTCTCTCTCTTTCATGTCGCTAACAGGTCACAAATCCTGCGAAACGCGATAGAGCCGGCATGAAACGGATCGGCAGCGAGATCGCACGCGGGTTAGGGGCGCCGCGTCAAAGAGCGGCGTGAGGCCTGTCCTGGACGGCGCGCCAGGCCTCGTCGAAGCCTGCGCTGCGCACCCAGTGCGGCTCCGAGGCCTCGACGGAGTCGACGGCCATGTGCAGCAGCTGGTCCCACATGTCGCCGTTGATCTCGAAGCCTGGCTCGCCGTCGAACTGCTCGCAGGCCTTCTTGGCGTGGCACAGGGCCCTGACGAGCTTGGCGGCGTGGCCGTCGTCGTCGACCTCGAGCGCGCGCCGGATCGGGTCGGCGCCGGGCCTGCGAGGTCTGTACCGGACGATCTCGTCGACGAGGAGGTCCGGGGCCCTCCTGCTGGCGTACATGGCGAGGTCGAGCCTGGCCTTCCACTCGAGCAGCCTGCGCTTGCTGTCGTCGCTCAGCCAGGGTTGCCGGAGGAAGGCGCTGAAGAAGATGCTGGCGTTGACGCAGTGGATGAAGTAGAAGTCGAACTTGACCGCCTTTGTCGGGCGCTGCGCCGCGCCGGCGAAGAGGACGGCGGCGTTGATCATCTCAGCCGTCTTGCGCGCCACGTCGTCCTGGGGCCGCACGACGAACTGGGTCGCGTAGGAGAGCATCCGGGCGCCGGCGCGCGCAATGACGCCGTCGCGGATCTTGTTGCCGTCGCTCCAGCGCGCGGCGTTGCGCACCTCCTCGTCGTCGTGGATCTCGCGCAGCAGCGCCGCCAGCGTCTTGCCGCCGTCCTTGGGCGGCTCGACGCGCGCCGCCTTCTCGGCGGACACCAGCAGCTTTCCGATCCAGCTGTCGTGCACGGCTGCCTGAGCCATGGCCTCGGCGACGATGGCCGGCTGCTGGAATTCGATGCCGAAACCCAGGTGGATGAGCGGATGCAGGAACCCGGCGAAGGTCCGGACGAGCAGGTCGTCGGCCCGCTCGTCGCCGGCGAAAAGGTACTCGTTGACCACGTTCTGCCAACCCTTGGCTTGCATCTCCTGCTGGAAAAAGACGAGGTAGTCGTGGTAGTGCCTTTCGTCGGACAGGTACCGCTGGAACTTGGACGGGTCCGACATGGCCTCCACGTCGCTCTCGTGCACCGGCATGGTCGGGCGCTGATACAGCGCATTGGCGTCGTAGTGCCGCTGAAGCTGCGCAGGATCGGCGCCAAGTGCGTAGAGGGTCAGGATGTGGTGCACAATGTGATTCTGCCCGCCGCATCCGTTAGAAGTCTCATTCATCATCTCTACCTCAAGCCAAGGGTGGGATTTTTTTTTGCCTACGTGGAAGCCTTCTCGGTTAAAGAAGATGTGATGTTCCTGGTGATTGCGCTGCAGCAGCTCGCTCGCCTTCTTCGCGTTCTCCTCGTCCTCCATACCCGGCACGTAAAACGTCGGCTTCTGGCGGACGTCGAGCCGGATCGTCGTCGGGGTCGCCATCGTGATTTTCGTCAGCACAGCGGCAGCGGTGGCAAAAAGTCCCGTTTCAACACTTGACTTCGTGATCGATGTCGAGGCCCGCTTGCCGCCCACGCTCTTTATACCCGATCCCAGGTGTCGCGCAAGCAGTCTAGATCGTCGCAGTGCAAGCATGTAACGCACGCAGAGAGCCCGGACGGGATTTGCATTGTTATGATTCACACGGAGTCTCGAACGTGCGTGTCGAGGACACGAGTTTGAGCCACCAATGGCCACCCGTCCATGATGTAAGAAGCCTTATAAAGCAGCCGATTCTTGGATCCGCACGCCGTGGGAGACCGTCGCGAACCGTATGCACCACAAAACGCGGTCTTCGCGTGCGGGGCTAGTGCAGACACGGGGTAACGCTCCAAGTGCTCCCTTTGGTCGTCCTATGCGAGCCCTGGCGGGCGAACGTGAGTTAAACCAAGATGAGATTGTTCTCGTTGTCGATGATGACAAAGCCAAAGGCCAAGACGCCGGGGGTGAAGTGCGGAGTTGTGGCGCTGCCATTGGTCGGGCCGTCAATGAGCTCACGCCATCGCTAGGCAGGCTTCGACGGTTGCGGCGTCGTCCGTCGATCTCGGCGACCGAGGACGACGGAGGAAAATACGTTCGCATGGCTACACGCAGCTTTACTCATGCTCATCGGAAACATAATCGGTCCGTATAAGCTCCTCTTCTCATTCGCGGCACGCAGCGCAGGCCCCTTCAAGCCACAAAAGGCCGCCATCTGCATGAGAGGGTTGATTCGGATATAGTATACACGAGCACTTTTCCCATGTCCAGCCAACGCGCGAAATCATACCACAAACGCCTCCTCATGAATGTGATGTCGTTAAAGCGTGAATGCCATTTCGTCATAAACCCCGTTTTCTGGGCAGATCCTCACTGTGTGTGTGTGTGCGTGTGCGAAAGAGAGAGAGAGAGAGGGAGAGACAGAGAATATAGGAGGTCATACGTTGTGTCCCCACATTCCCGAGTCCCACGACAGACGGCCCCCTCGAGTCGGCTGTGCGAAGCTCTACTCTCCCCACTTCTTGGCCACCATGCCATCCGGTGGACTCGTCTCAACCTTGCGCTTTCCTACCTCCGCCCAGTTCGTGCTCAGCACCGTGCCGTTACTCTCGATGTAGCTCTTCATCATCGCGCGCTGGGTGTCCGGATCGGCGCCTGCGTACAGCTTTTTGAAAAAAAGATTGGCTTCGTCGCCGCCGTAGTCGTCCAAGTCGTCGTCCAAGTCCATGCCCCCGTCCTCGCCGTCGTCTCCGTCGGCCTTCTTAGGCTTCTTGGTCATGTCTTTGACGACCTTATCCCAGTTCTTCGGGCCTGACTTCGACGACGTCGGGTACGATGGCGCCTTCTCCGCGGAGGCGAGGACGTCCTTGCGAACGGGATCTTCGGCAGTGCCTGTATCTGGCGACGTGCTAGGCTTGGGGGCTTCTGTTCCTTCGAGGGTTTTCCACTGCCGGCCGGGCTCTTTCTTCTTGAGCGTGAGCTCCACCTTGCTGGGTGTAATGCGCGAGGTGGAGGCTGCGACATCAATGGCGGCGAACAGAGGGTCGAGAGTGAAGTTGTAGTCTGAGCCTGTCGCGGTGGGGAAGGTGATGGATATCTGCTTCGATTAGTCTTGCGCGTCCGATGTCTTCGTCATGCAGGACGTACTGAATGCTCCTCGATGTCGATGACCGCCTTGTCCTGTGGCACGCCTCGCGCTAGCAGCGAGAAGTATACGTTGTCCTTGTTCTGATACCAATCGTGTTTGATCTGACTAGGCGGTGTCTGCACGGGCTTCTTGGGAGCATCCGGAGTGCTCGTGACGGCGGAAGACTGGGCCGGTTTCGACTCCTCCTTGCCCTCAGTCAAGTCAACCGTAGGCTTCTCCACCGTGCTGACTTTGCGGTTCTCGTCGTCTTCCGGCAGCGCCTTGAGCTTCGACGCGATTTTGGTTTCCCAAATGGCTATCGTCTTGTTGCCCGGATCAAACTTCTTGACAAACTCAAGCACGAACTGCGCGTTGGCGTACTGTCCCAGGTTGAAGAGGACGGTCACCCGCCGCATGTGTGCCTGACCTATGAGCTCACGCTTTGCTCTTTCGTACGCATAGTGCAATCCTATCTCGGCATCTTTTAACGCAGCGGCATAGTCCGGTGGCGTCGACCGCTGGTAGGCAGTTGAGCGCTTGAGGTAATAGTCAACAGCTTTGGGGTTCTGCTTGAGTGCTGCCGTGTATTCTTTGATTGCTTCGGCGCAGTTGCCCGCTTCGAGAGCTGTGGCTCCACGGCTGGCCGCATCCATAGTTATGGCAAGACTCTGGACTAGCAGCACAATTTGCTATTTTGTACGAGGTTCGGGCGAGAAGTCTAGACGGAATCGTTTGGAAACACATGAAGGGGCGCACAGACCCCGCCAGCTATCCACCCTGACCTGCTAAGGGTCTAAGCGAATCAGCGAGAACGCACAACGCCGGAGAACAAGATTACAATACGGCCAGCGGAACTTTGTGCTGTATCACGCACGTGTGATACGGGCGCGTTCTTTGCTTCATTGTGCGTTGTTCGATGCGAATTATGCATTCATGTCTCAGAATACAGGCAAGGCGTTCAACGCCCTTATACGAACTCACCACATCACGTCCAAGAAGAAGATTGCAAAGCTGAGGCATGCAGCACATGTACACAATGTCTACGCGATCTTGCACTCAGGTAAATGCCCTGGCATCATGTACTGCGAGGGCAGTGAGGCTGGTGTGAAGAGCTGGGTTAGCAATGTGCAAGGCCTGCGTTGTATGTCGGACACAGCTAGATTGTAGCCTGTGGCCTCGAAACTGACAACACCCAAAAGACAAAGATTACCATCTAGTTGCACGGCCAGCAGAGGCTCAATTAACCCCCTCCGCGGACGACAGTTCAACGCGGGGAAAGCTCGTCGAGGTTTCGTCCGTGGCGAGTTTTGCTGGACACATGGAGTCGCGTAGCATTCTGGCCTGGTGGCGCAAGGCCATGAATTACACGCCTTGAGCAGCGCAGCGCATCAAATCAAAGAAGCAATTGCTGAGCTCGCACGGTTCTGTCAAGCAGGGTGATTCTTCGACCGTTGAGTCTCGCCATGGGCATCTTTTTCTACAACAGATGCTCAGCGCTTCGACAGCGCTGATTATGAACATCCCTGGTCTCCTTTGATCTTCATGAATATTTCGAAGAACTCCATTACGTCTCCCGAGCCGTCGACGATATGCTCACCTCCCTCAAATAGAAAAACGGGCACCCCTTGCACTCCGGACTCTCGAATGGCAGCTGCTTCCATGTCGACCTCCTTGTGATCACTGCTTGAAGCCAGGTACGCCTTCGCTTCTTCGACATCAAGACCGCAATTTCGTGCAGCGTCGAGCAGAGTTTGTATGTCGGTTATGTCGCGCTCCTCTTTGAATTGCAGCCGGAAGAGCTCGAGGGCGACGTCGTTTTGCATGACCTGGCCTTTGGACTTTGCAAAGTGCAACAAATGATGTGAGAGCCTTGTGTTGCCTGTTTTCCCTCCATACTTGAGTATAATACCCTCAGCACTAGCAAGGCTGGCCATGTGTGCTTGCACCCGCTCCGCACTCGCCGCACCCATCTGACTGACCATCTTCTCTGTTCGACGCGATATCAACACCCCGTACCCAAGCTGGATTTTCAGAGACAAAGCAAATCGGGGCATGGAATACCTTGTATGGGCACACCTTCTGTGGGTGCCTCGGGGTTAAGGTAGTACGGCTTCCATTCAACGTTGAATGTGTCATTGGAGCCACCAGGGTACGTCTTCTGATACACTTCAATGGCCTTTTGAAGGCGCCTGTAGCCAATATAGCACCATGGGCATACCGTATCAGATATGATAGATATATTGAAACTAGTCATTGCTGTTGCCGTTGCTATACCTTTGGCCGCTGCGGAGGGAATGATTGAGATTCGGCGATTCACCCCTCTTCCATAGATCTTCTTAAATATGTAGCATTTCTGGGCATCAACTCTGCCTCGGGCTCATCGTTTTTATGCCGCCGCCTTTGGTTGTCGTCACGCTCAGTCCGCAAAAGGGCAACGGCGCCGCAGAGCGTCCAATCAAGGACGATTCTGCGGAGGTGCTGGAGCGGAGACGCTAGCCACGTCTGTGGTTTGTTGTGAACGCATCCGCACGCATTTATACGTCCTCCATAAGTATCAATTTTCCGTGCCAGAGCAGAGAAGCGGAGATGCTTGGAGCTTCTCCGTCAAAGCATAGGTGAGCATGCGGGGGGAAAGCCTGGGACAGCGCAGAGAAACCAAGTCACATGAAATCTGATTAAGCATCTCTAGGATTACGAACAGTTCTCACCACGGCCCAATCATGCTACCCGAGCCATGCACGGAAACGGCGTGCATTGCATGGGACTACGAAAACTTCGAACTTTCCAATGCATGGCCTCACTATGGGTCCCTAGCTGTGTGATTTACTGGGGACGCTGCCGTTTGGTTGGGCTCCGGCGCCGCTTGATGACGTCGCAGTGATATGATGCATGGATTCTCTCACACTCGGAGCGGGCGGAAGCTAGAAGATGGGACCATGGAGTCTGCAATTCGAATCGCGAAGTGACAACATTGTGCCACTGCGATTAATAAGACCTGCTGGTGATTTTTTTTTTCCTCAAGTTTCTTACCCATCGTCTGATCGTCACCCCACGTATGCTGATTGATACAGCATACTACAGTTATTCAATTCTTTGCCGCGTATCAAAACCGAGTGATAAGAGTCGATTCTGTTTGTTTTAAATTGCCTTGGGTACAATCTACCGATACGTTTGAAAAAAGTTCCATCTCAGCACTTCCGCACAACCCAACCATGTCGCATCCAGAGGTACTGCCGGGAAGGAGGAAAGATGAGAAGCTGTCGCCCTTCGGCGTCGCGCGTTCAACCATCAAAGACCAGCCGCTGACCAAGGACGAGATTGAAAAGATGACGCAGTATTTCTACGCGTCCCTGTATCTATGTTTGGCCATGATCTATCTGAAGGAGAACCCTTTGCTGGAGGAGCCGCTCAAGGTTGAGCATCTGAAAAGGCGTCTGCTAGGACACTGGGGATCCGACGCCGGTCAGTCATTCACATACATCCACATGAACCGACTGATCAAGAAATACGACCTCGATGTTCTCTTCATCTCTGGCCCTGGCCATGGCGCACCAGCCGTGCTCTCAAACTCGTATCTGGAGGGAGTGTATTCCGAGGTGTATCCAAGCAAAAGCGAGGACAAGGAAGGTCTGCGCAGGTTTTGCAAGCAATTCTCGTTCCCGGGAGGTATCGGCTCTCACGCAACTCCAGAGACACCAGGCAGCATACACGAAGGCGGTGAGTTGGGATATTCGGTCTCACATGCGTTCGGCACCGTATTTGATCATCCCAACTTGATCACTCTTTGCGTAGTCGGTGACGGAGAAGCTGAGACCGGTCCGCTAGCAACCAGCTGGCATAGCACAAAATTCCTAAACCCGATCACCGACGGTGCCGTGCTGCCTGTCCTGCATCTCAATGGCTACAAGATCAACAACCCTACAGTTCTGTCGCGCATTTCCCACGATGAGCTAGAACAGCTGTTCCGCGGATACGGTTGGAGCCCGTACTTCGTAGAGGGCGACGATCTTGACTCAATGCACCAAGCCATGGCCGGAACAATGGAGAAATGTGTCACCGAGATCCGCGACTATCAGAAACAAGCTCGTGAATCGCGTAAAGCTTTTCGTCCGCGGTGGCCTATGATTATACTGCGCACGCCAAAGGGATGGACAGGACCCAAGAAACTCGACGAACATAATCTTGAGGGCTTTTGGCGATCCCATCAGGTTCCGATTCCCGACGTTCTGACGAATCCAGAACACCTCAAGATCTTGGAGAAGTGGATGCGATCGTATGGTCCCGAAAAGCTGTTCAAGGACGGAAAACTCATCCCAGAGCTGAAGGCGCTAGCACCCGAGGGCCAGAGGCGAATGAGTGCCAACCCTGTCTCCAACGGAGGTCTCTTGCAACACAAGCTTCGCGTTCCTGACTTCCGCGAATACGGCTTTGAATGCCGAAAACCTGGGGTCACCAACGCGCCGAGCATGTCCATCTTTGCCAAGTTTCTGCGCGACATTGTGGCCAGGAATCAAGATATCTTCCGCGTCTTTGGCCCGGACGAGACTCAATCAAACAAACTCGACGCAATCTACGACGCAGGCAAGAAGGTGTGGCTTGCTGAATTCTTTGACGAAGACAATGATGGGGGCAATCTCGCGTATGAGGGTCGAGTTATGGAAATCCTGAGCGAACATACCATCGAGGGCTGGTTGGAAGGCTATGTTCTCAGTGGACGCCATGGTCTCCTTAACAGTTATGAACCGTTTATCCACATCATTGACTCCATGGTCAATCAACATTGCAAGTGGCTAGAAAAATGTAACGAAGTAGAGTGGAGGGTTCCCGTCGCCAGCTTGAACATTTTACTAACGAGCACGGTTTGGCGTCAGGTAAGTTAACCCGCCTTCTTCTTCGTGCTTGTGCTAACAAAGCTCCAAAAAGGATCACAACGGCTTCTCTCACCAGGATCCTGGCTTTTTGGATGTTGTAGCCAACAAGTCTCCTGAGGTTGTGCGTATCTATCTTCCGCCGGATGCAAACTGCCTTCTCTCTGTTGGAAATCACTGTCTTCGCTCACAAAACTACGTCAACGTCATCGTTGCCGACAAGCAGAATCACCTGCAATACTTGAGCATGGAGGATGCCATCACGCATTGCACCAAGGGTATTGGAATCTGGCAATGGGCATCCAACGACTCCGGCGACGAACCTGACATCGTCTTTGGCTCGTGCGGTGACGTCGTCACTCAGGAAGCCTTGGCTGCCGTTGCGCTTCTGAGACAGAACATTCCTGGGGTGAAAATACGGTTCGTCAATGTAGTTGACCTTTTCAAGCTCATCCAGGAGAAAGATCACCCTCACGGCCTCTCTGACGCCGAGTTCCGCTCTCTCTTCACTGACGACAAGCCAGTCATCTTCAATTTTCACAGCTACCCGTGGCTTGTACACCGACTCACGTACGGACGCAAGGGAAGTCACAATTTCCACGTGAGCGGTTACAGGGAGAAGGGCAACATCGACACACCGGTCGAGTTGGCCATCAGAAACGGTGTCGACCGCTTTTCTTTGGCCATCGCGGCAATCGATCGGATGCCCGGCCTTGGCAACAAAGGCGCAGCAGTTCGAGAGCGTCTCTTGGACGCGCAGATCAAGGCTCGCAACACGAGTTTCTTCGAGGGCGTGGATCCGGAAGAGGTAACTGGGTGGACATGGCCGTTCTAGCCTACGGCTATCTACGCTTTTTTTTGTTGTAAATACTGACCTGGGAATCGTCCGAAGCTTGACATCGTGAAACAGAATTTAACGAGTTTTCTTGCCTGGTGGTTTATGTACTTTGCGCTACGTCGAGGACCGTCCGTTGAGCTGAGAAGGTGTTCTGATCCCATTGGACGAAGGAATCAATAGAACTTTAAACGACAACTCAACTACCTGTTTTTCTTTTTCGCAAAACAGTATTTAAACCAAATTCATCGTTCCGAAGACGTGACTTTCGGGATCGCTCAAGCTCAGGCTTTGAGAGGAAATTTTCGTGCCCAGCAGTCCGACATCGATACACGGTCTAGGATTTTCGTCTAGATTAGGCCGTCTAGCTAATTATCTTTGCTTGCTTTGCATTCATGTATGGATATGAATGTGTTATCTTACTAGCCGTCAAGCTTTTCTCATGGGGTTGAAGCTTCTTTTGAGACGTCAATGAACCCGCGCAGTATCTGTGAAACCTGGAACTACGTACCTATTTTACGCCGGCGTCACGTCTGCTCCAATGGCTCCGTGTCGAATAGAGTAATCTGGGGGATGGGTCTTGCTTCTTCCAGTTCGTCTGAACAAGGAGATGGCTATTATTCACTGCGCCTTGAACAGCACGCTTACTCAATATTGTTAGAAGAATCGAATCCTAGGGCGGAAAGAGGAAAACAAAATACGGGAAGGGGGGCAAGACGGGATCATGGTAAGTAAAAATTGGTCTGGGTTTTAAAATTTTGGCATAGTGATGAAGAAGAGAAGAGGCCACAGAAAATTGTCATGGAAATGTTCAGGAACCGACATAATGCCGCCTTGCATCCCGCGAGATATTCGTCAAACAAGTTCCAGGCTCCTTACTTTCCACTTGCCAGCGCGCAACACAAGAAAGCGCCGCGAAGGGGTTTTCTCGTCCTCCTTTGTGAAGTAGTGTGCGTCGCTGACGACGTCTCCCTTCCTGATCTTTACAGCATCACCGTTTCCACCGATAACATAAGCACCGCCGCTCTCAATGAGCTTCAATGCCTTGCTTCTGGACTCTGCCAGACCTGCCATATGCAACGCAAAGGCAAAAGGTTTGTCCGTGACTTCCGCATAAGCCACCTGTAGATCAGCTTTGGAGGCGGGCGTGTATCCCCGTGAGCGGCTTAGGTGCTGGTCTTGTGCGGCAGCAGCATCTTCAGGTCCGTGGACGAGTTCAACGAACTCTCTGGCAAGCAGGTGCTGGGCAATACGTTTCTCCGGGGCAAGGTTATGCTTAGCCATCGTGTCACTTATCGTACCCTGTGGCAGAAAAGTGAAAAAGTTCAGCAGTTTCTCGACTTCTGAATCCGGCAAGCCGACGAAGAACTGTTGGTTGTGATTAGCGTGCGTTGAAAATATCAAGGCGGGAGACCAGAGACGCACCCCATAGAGATCGAATACGCTAGTCTGTTCTTTGTCAAGCCAGACCGCGTTTCCTGCGCTCTTGCCGAACTTCTCGCCAGACGGCGTCGTGAGCAGTGGCACCGTGAATCCTAGCGGATGGGCATCTAGGGCACCGCTGTCGCCTTCGTCTTCCCGCACTTTGAGCGCGTACTTGATGCCGTCGGCGCCGCTCAGTATGTTGCCGTACTGGTCGCTGCCACCGATCTGCACGCGCACATCGTGATCACGGAACATGACGTACCAGTCCCACGCCTGGAGAACGGGATAGCAGAACTCGGCGAAGGACATGCCCTCTTGTGTTGAGGCGTCTGCGGTCATGCGGGTCTTTACTCTGCCATTCGCCCACATCAGTCTCCCGTACGATCGTCATCGCAAAATCTGTGTATGTGTGCTCACGTGTCTCGACCCAGCATGACGCCCAAGCGCAGCCCCGCTCCCACAGTACCCAGCACGTCCAATATACTCGTCTTCCCCAGCCAGTCCTCGTTGTTCAGCAATCGTGCCTCGCCTTCTCCAACGCGTTGCCCGTGCTTCGCCCCCAATCTTGACACGTTACCCCAGATCCTCTGCAGCTGCGCTTGTATGCCGTCTATATTCCTCCGTCTGGCGGCGGCGGAAAGATGTGGTCGTGCCTTGACGCGGCCGGTAGGGTCTCCAACACTCGCCGTACCGCCTCCCACGAGCGTGATGGCTTTGTGGCCGTGAAGATACAACCAGAAAAGGGCCATGAAGGGAATCAGGTGTCCGACGTGCATGCTCGAGGCTGTTGGGTCTACGCCGACGTAGGCGCCGATGCGCTTTCCGTCGAGAATTCGCTGGAGGTCATCTCGCGTCCTGCCCGGATCAATTAGCTCACACACGCGAAAGAAGACATGTACACAGGCAATGCGATAGGGCTTCGTTTACCCGGTTATCTGGTTGAGGTAGCCTCTGCGCTCGAGGATGTCTACGATGCCCGTGTTCTGTCGGGACGCATCACTCGCACTGTGCGTGCTCGTCCATCTGCGACGAGGCCGTGACGACTCGAGACGCAGAGCGCATCGGTCGCATATCCACGGCGTCGTCCGCCGAACCAATGGCCTGTACAGCGAATTCGCAAGCATTGATCAAAATAATGAAGATTCGTCGCCGCCAGCGTTCCGCGAGTCTTTTCCAATGCCGACATGACGCAGGGTTCGCTAAATTTAAGTGCCCTTCCTTTTTTGGTAAGCGCAAGGCTGAGCCTCGCACGCGCTCCACAGCTAAATGCAGCCCAAAGATCGTGTTCTCAATTCTGTCAACAATAAGTTCATTTTTCTCTTGTTCAGATGCGAAGTGCCTGATTTCGATAAGCAACAGACGCTGCAGCTCACCGGAAAGGAAGTACATGCAGTTGTCGGGCTGAACAAGCTCTAACCGTACGTCAAGAGGATGCATCAGAATCTGAACAGTTGCATCACGCAAGCTTGGAATCTCCTAAATGAGAAAATAAGACAAGAAGATACATTCTGGAACAAATTTCTTCAAATGTGAAGGCTCAGTAAGAGAACGAAAACTGCTCATCCATCATTCGTTGACACAAAGCTTCGCGAGTAGATCGCGCATGATGTAACAGAAATCTATGTGTATCAAGACACCTCCTACTCGATCACAATTTCGCCTTCCTTTTCTCCGCCTTGAGTCTAGCGTGATACGCATCGCGCATTTCTCTGCGTAGCATCTTGCCCGAAGGCGTTCTTGGAATCTGGTGACGAATTAGTTTTATCCCAAGGCAGTACAAAGTCGAAGTATCACATACTGCGTCGACAAACTCAATCCCGCCCGTCAAGTGCTTGTGCTTACTTAACCTAGTTTCCACGTGCTCATTCAACTTGCGCGTCACGACGTCTTCACCCTGCTTCTTTCCTTCTTCACTCAAAACCACCCAAGCTCTCACGAATAGACTCCCGTCGCCTCTTCCGTTATCAACACCGGCTACGCAAGCATCGGTTACTAGCTTCTCTGGATGCTCCAGAAGCGTGTCTTCCACCTCAGTCGCAGCAACCTGCAAGCCTTTAACCTTAATCATCTCCTTCAGGCGGTCGAGATAGTGAATGCGGTCTTCTGCGTCACGCATGACCAGATCCCCTGTTCTTAGCCAACCAGGTTCTGTAAAGATCTCCTCCGTGGCCTTTTTGTCGTGGAAATAGCCCATGCATACAACATTTCCTCTCGCCCACAATTCGCCCTTTGTGCCTTTCGGCACGTCTTGAAGTGTATCAGGATCTACCACGCGAGCTTCCATGCCTGGTAAAAGGTATCCAATCGTCCCAGGCAGCGACGGTTTTAGACCAAACATACCTGGAGCTGGTGGTGATGCAATTGACGCCGCCTCGGAGAGGCCGTAGCCTGAGGGAATGGGTGACTTGTTTGGCAGCTTCTCGGCCAATTGGTAGGCAACATCAGGAGGAAGGTATGCCGCACCACTTGCAGCACTAACCACAGATGAGAGATCGTACTTCTCCGTGAGCGGCGATTGTGCCAATTGGCGAACAAGCGGGGGAACCAAGGGTAGCATCGTGATCTTGTACTTCTCAATTGTCTTCAATGCAAACTCCAAATCCCACTTCGGCATCATGATGTTCGTGCATGGCTGGTTGTTTAGCCGAAGAATCCACAAGATCATGCCGTACGAATGGTAAGCTGGAATGATTCCAAGAATCGTTTGGTGCGTTAGAGGCTCTACGCCTGCGAAACGTGCGGTCTGCACCGCTGTGACCATACCCTGTTGTCCGCTTGCGATTGCGTTTCTATGAGATATCATCATAGCCTTCGGCAACCCAGATGTTCCCGAAGATTGAAACAGATAGCACAGCTTGTTGCCGCCCACGAGTTTCCGGTTAGGCTCGGGCAGCTGCGCTCCTTGCCTTACCAGGGATTCCACCGTGCGATGGCCCTCGATCTGATTCAAGGAAGAGTCATCTGAGAGGACAACGATTTTGTTCGGGTCAAGCACAAGCTTCAGCTGCTCCTTTTCGCCCTTGCCCAGTTTGAGCGCTTCAGCGACCACAGGCAATAGACTCTCGTGGCAGACTAAGGACGTGATTTGCATCTTCCTCAGTACATGCCACAGCTCGTACGGAGTAGATCCTGGACTTATTCCTCCGAAGACAAGTTCGGCCCTGAAGCATGCATGTGCAAGCATGGGATAGTGGATATGGTTTCGCGAGAAAAGACCCAAGATTTCCCCCGTCTCCGTGTCATCTTTTGGCGACTTTGTCAGTCCCAGGGGGTTGGGCCCATCATAGCGCAGTACACGAGCCAAGCACTTAACGCGCTCGTAGAATTGATGGAGTGTGACCTTTTCGCCGGTCACGGCGTTGACAAAAAGATCATAATCCGGTGCCAACGGTTCATCGGGCGGGAAGCAGAACTCATGTACATTCAAATCAGACGGCGTCGGTGGGAAAGGCCCAAAAGGCGAAGAAAAGATGGGCCTGTCGTGAGGAACATATTTATCCTTGATTGGATCGGGAGCTTGAGGATGAACAAACTTCTGCCACCTAGGAGCCATATTCTTCGACGGGTAGAAAGGGTGAAATGCAATTGCATTCGTGCCAATACGCAGGCAATTTTGATAGTCTCTCGACACTGGACTATTTCAATCGCCGCGAATCGCCGTGGGGTAGGTTCTGGGGTTTGCTGCACAATGCGGGGACGTCACCTCGGCACCAGGCCTTGTTGTATTCCCGATAGACGCTCTACTAGGCAAAAGGTAACGTTTCATTTTTGAAAGCTTGTTGACGCCTTGAACCGGGCTGCTAGAAGGAGGCTGATTACCGAAGTTGATTTTTCTTTAAAAGTGCGCGGAACGTTGCAAGAAGAAGCGTTTAAAGATCATGAACGCTTCTTTACCACAGCGAATAATTTCGGCCTCTATAAAAGATCACGAGCTTTTGAGTAGAAGCATAAGCGACTGGTACTGGCTCATCAGTGATAGCAACAATGAGGCTTCAAAGTGCTGATATGAACATGGCTCATTGCTTATGAAGCTGAGCAAGCTTGTAGGATTTCAATGTGCAGTGCTCTCTGACGGGGACACCGCTCAGTCATCATCGTGTGGTCTGCTTCTTGTTATCAACGAGCACGTAATTAAAACAACATGTCCATAAGTTACTCTATTTCAGACCCGACTTTTGGGAAAATCGAAAAAAGTTCTGTTACTATTTTTCAAGCATTATGCCAACGTGTCATACTTAAAGATCGCGTAACAATATCTTCAGATAAACTGATATAACAAACTGAACAAGAGTATTGATAATACCGAACATCTTAAAAAAAAAAAAGAGATCAACAGGAAAATGTTGGGAAAAGAAGCATTCTTGACGGATGCTAGACGGGGCACTTGGCGCGCAGGCCTATATAGCAAAAAATTATGGCAAAAAGAGGCTGCTTCAGGTCATCTAGATAGAAGACCGTCCACAGCAACGGGGACCTTTGCAAGCGATCGAAGCACCCGCAGCGCTCTCGTTTTACCTGCAATTTCGATACCTCGGAGAGGCATCGAGTTGCTAACTTATGCAGTCGTGCGTTCATGTCACGCTGCGCCAGGCGGCCGTTCAGACTACTAAATTTGAACCATTTGTTTATGTCGTGTGTTCGAACAAGCAAAATGCGCAGTCTCGCTCATTTCTCCTCCCGTAAAGTGAAGCGGGATTGAATATGGTATGTCCGAATATGTTCCTATTCACCGTCACAGCACAGCCAACGTTCAGTTCAGTCACTTCTCTCCTTACCTGATTCTTATCCGACTCCAAGCGGACCGTACATTTGCTACTGAGTTTCCTTTTACAAGCTTGTTGAATATGACCGTCTTCTTCTCCAAAGTTATTTGGCCAGTTGATGCGAACTCACCGCGCTACCCCGAGCTTTCATCCAAGAATGTGAATGACACCGCTAGTTTGCCATTCTCTGCATTTCGTCTTGATATCGTTTTGCCAGTCTCAACATCCTTGGCCTTCACTTTAGGAGCAGAAATAATGCGAGACAGATACGTCAACAAATGCGAATCCAGAGGCCTTTTGTCCTTGAATAGAGACAGAATGGTCAAAGAAATCTTCCACCGTATTGTGGCTAGATTCACGATAATGTGCTTCAAGACGTTTGGCGACGTGTCACTGTTAGTCAAACTATGCGAACAAATCCCCCGCTAATGGATTATATCTGGATCCGGGACATACATTTTGCAGTGGTTGTGATCGTCACACTCGTGTCCACGGTGACAGGATCCAATCTCATCGCCAGTTCGTCAAAGCGGCCGCAAGCTAGGATTACCTGACTATGCTAAACACAACAATCGAAGAGGGATCTAAAGATAAGAATAATCAACTTGAGTGCGTTAGGTGATGAGTCACTGCACTTTCAAGGCAAATAAGCACACTGCGGTCGCGTCGTCAGGCGAATGATACGGTGAGTTGCTTTGTCGGGGGCGAACGAGCCGTTTGCATCATCCACCTCCGAACATCGGCCATAATTTTCCCTTCGAGTAGTCTCATTCAAGTTCACAGACCGACAGAACGGCGACACGACTTTACGCCCAGCAACTACAATGGCTGTCGTCAACGGTTCGCGTCCGCATACTCCCGTAGATACACCCGTCAATGGCTTGGACAGCGGAGCGCAGACCCCAAAGACGCCTCTGCAGAGCGGGCTCGCCCTCACTGAATACACCGTAAACCCATCTCCGCCGACGGAGAGCGTCAAGGAGAAAGCGCAAACGGCAGTTCCTGAAGCATTTCTGCTACCTAACGGATATCCAGACGTATGAGAAACCCACATCAAGATAACTTGCATTTCCAGTGCGTGTTGTGCTGACATCATGTCCTTGCAGTATCTTCGACTCATTCTCACCTCGCGTGTCTACGATGTCGTTCAGGAAACGCCTCTCACACAGGCAACAAATCTAAGCAGCAGACTTGGGTGCAATGTGATGCTCAAGAGGGAAGATCTCCAGCCAGTGTTCAGCTTCAAGCTGCGAGGCGCGTACAATAAGATGGCACACTTGAACAAGAGCGAACGATGGAAGGGGGTTGTCGCGTGCTCCGCAGGTAGGCCAAGTTCGCGTATAGACAGTGCAATTGAAAGAAAACGCTTAAAAACTTTGCAGGAAACCACGCGCAGGGCGTTGCGTATTCGGCACGCAAGCTCAAGATTCCTGCTACCATCGTCATGCCCAAGGGCACGCCGTCCATTAAACACACCAATGTTTCACGAATGGGCGGACATGTTGTGCTTGAAGGTGATGACTTCGACGCAGCGAAGGAGAAGGCTGCAGAGCTTGAGAGGACACATGGCCTCATATCCATCCCGCCCTTTGATGACCCGTACGTGATAGCAGGTCAAGGCACCATTGGCATGGAAATTCTCCGGCAGACCAGCCTCGAGGATCTTGAGGCTGTGTTCTGCTGTGTGGGGGGAGGAGGCTTGATCGCGGGAATAGGCGTATACATCAAGCGCATAGCTCCACACGTCAAGATCATCGGCGTGGAAACCTTTGACGCGAATGCCATGGTGCAGTCGCTACAGCAAAAACGCAGGGTCGTGTTGAAGGACGTGGGGCTTTTCGCAGACGGCGCGGCCGTGAAGACCGTTGGTCAGGAGACATTCCGGCTGTGCTCGGAGGTTGTGGACGACGTGATCCAGGTGACCACAGACGAGACGTGCGCTGCCATTAAGGACGTGTTTGAGGACACGCGATCCATCTTAGAGCCTGCTGGCGCTCTTGCACTCGCCGGTCTCAAGAAATACGTTGCCTCAAATCCGATGCCCAACGTCAGCAACCGGGGCCTCGTAGCCATCGCGTCCGGCGCAAACATGAACTTTGATCGACTCCGCTTCGTAGCTGAGCGCGCGGCCCTGGGAGAGAAGAAAGAAGCTCTTCTTCTTGTCACCATTCCGGAAAGACCTGGCTCCTTCGTCCAACTGGTCGAGGTGGTCGGCGACCATGCCATAACGGAATTCAACTACAGACTATACGCGCACTCTGAACGAGCAAACATAATGATTGGTGTGGAGTTCTCCGCCGCCCGACGAGACGCCGACCTTGCAAATCTCATCGATCGTCTGAATGAACAAGGCATGTCCGCCGTCGACGTCTCGGACAACGAACTGGCCAAGACGCACATTCGATATCTCATTGGAGGAAAGAGTGGTAGCAAGGACGAGAAGCTGTTCATGTTCGAGTTCCCCGAACGCGCGAAAGCGCTGTACAAATTCTTGACGACGCTACAGCCCGGCTTCAACATCTCGCTGTTCCATTACAGGAACTATGGCGGCGACGTGGGAAAGGTGCTCACGGGAATCCAGTGTAAAGACGAGGACAGAGCCGAGCTGGACGCGTTCTTGAGGAAGATACGGTATCCGTATGTAGAGGAGACGGACAACCCGGCGTACAGGATGTTCTTGAGGGAGGACTAATTTATTTTTCTTTGCGAACGGGGGCGGCTGGCGTTTTGGTAAACACAAGGGCATCCGCTTATTTGCCAATATCTTCCCTTGGAGTGCAGGCTGGTCTTTGTTCTCTTCCACCAGAGACGTTTGTCAGCTTACAAGTGCTCATCGAAGTATGTTTTGACTATTGCTCATTCTCCCTTTTTGAGAGCTCTTCCAACGCGAAGACGATCCAGCACGCTTGTTTTGACATTGCATGAGTGGCTGACGGCAGCTTCCCCACAACCACGGCGAGTCCATACACCAAATGTTCTGCAAATTTATCTGCCGCTTTTCAACACAAGAAGCTTGGGATGAGTGTCTTATCTCGTTTTTATCTCCTAGACCGTGATCCCCAGGACTTACAACCTGGTATCCCAGGTCGTCATGATCGGTGAAGAACAGAACACAGAAGAAATACTGTTACATGTTGATTCGACTAAATCACAGTCTGTTGAAGCGATGTTTCCTTCTTCGTGTGATGTTGGCCACGAGTACTGCTTGCGAACTTGACGAGGTCACTATCTCTTAATGAACCCAAGTAAATGCGGATGACGGCATTTTGACTGATGGACACTACTTGTTCAGTAGCAGATCGCTTAGCTGGTTTTGAGGCCCAAAGATTGCCTGTCGAACATCTTGACCACTAATTAGAAGATTCTCCAAAGTCACAGGCAGCCTTCCGAAGGACGTGATCTCGGTGCCTCCTTCATACGCCTTGTTCTTGGTCTATGAGTTGAAGTAGCCAGTATTCGGGGCCAGTCATCTGTTGCTTACGGATGCGAATCCAGTTTGTTCCAGTTATAGCTTGTGCAGGACGAATTGACATCTTTTGCATGTTTGCTCTTAGACACATAACCATCTGATGGCTTGCTCGCTGTGCCTTGACGTTGACGCATTTCTGGTCGCGGAAGCACACGAACGGCGGAGAGACTCTCTATGCTTCAGCACGCAGGCCCCAGTCAGGCGGTTGTTCTTGGAGGGCCCACATGTCTGCTGAGTGCCATGCAAATCTTCACATAAACACTCAAGACGCTTCGAAGCCGCGGCTGAGTAAAGCGCCGTGTGCGGTTCGAGGAGATGTGAGGGCGCCGACGTCGGCCACAGCTGCAGGGACTGGGAGCGGGTAAGGCGCAAAGTAATTAGCCGGGGATGGAGATGCAGATGCGAATGGACGAGAGGAAGAAAAAAAGTTATGACACACGACACACGATCCGATCAATAGTCCTCCATCGTCGTCATCATGTCTGCCCGGCGGCTGCTCAGTAGTCGCATAGTCTCGGTAAGCCTCAAGATGCCACTGATCCTGCTGAATCGCTCAACTCTTCTGCTAACCTCTGCTCCAGGTGAGACCGCGTCTTCCCATCGCGAGGACGGCCTCCTCCATTGTGCCTCGATTCTCACCCGCCAGATACATCTCAAGCTCGCGCAATGTGCGGCAAGACATTCAGGCCTTCCACTCGCAGCTCTCGGACCCAACGGCGTCCGCTTTCCTGTCCTCGCTGTCGAAGAGCTCGCCGCCTCCCGTTCCCCAGACATTGACGGAGAAGATTGTCCAGCGCTATGCCGTCGGTCTTCCCGAAGGCAAATTCGTAAAGTCGGGAGACTATGTCACGCTGCAGCCTCACAAGGTCATGACGCATGACAACTCGTATCCCGTGGCGATGAAATTCAAGTCGATTGGGGCAACGAAGATCAAGAATCCGGATCAGCTCGTCATGACCATTGACCACGACGTGCAGAACAAGTCTGAAAAGAATCTGAAGAAATACGCCGACATCCAAGCGTTTGCAAAAGAGCACGGTGTTGATTCGTACCCCCCGGGAAGAGGCATTGGTCATCGTTAGTTGAATCGAGCATCTTGAGAGAACACCGTGTGCTAATTGCGCAGAGATCATGGTGGAAGAAGGATACGCCTGGCCGGGCACTCTAGCCGTGGCATCTGATTCCCACAGCAACCACTACGGTGGTGTGGGCTGCTTAGGCACACCCATTGTCCGAACGGATGCCGCGAGCATTTGGGCAACGGGAAAGACATGGTTGGTGAAATCACGAAACTGCCCTCTTCTACGCTTCTGTGCTAAGCCTGTACCTAGGTGGCAGATACCCCCAGTGGCCAAGGTGACTTTCACTGGAACTTTGCCCGAAGGAACTACCGGCAAAGACGTGATTGTTGCCCTTTGTGGCCTCTTCAAAAACGACGAAGTCCTTAACCACGCAATCGAATTTACTGGCAGCGAGGAAACAATGCGATCCCTTCCAATTGATGCCAGGCTGACGATAGCGAACCAATCCACCGAGTGGGGTGGTCTATCTGGGTTCGTGCTGCTCCTTTGGTCGCGGAAGATTGGCTAATTCGTGTAGACTGTTTCCAATAGACTCGGTGCTGAGGGCATGGCTTCGTGCAAAGGCCACGGAGTACGCTCTGTACGATCCAGTAACGGCCAAGCGGTTCAACCACCAGCGGTTGGACGAGCTCTTCGCGAATCCGCTGACGGCCGACAAAGGCGCCAAATACGCCAAGTACCTCACCCTCAACCTGTCGACTCTTTGCCCATACGTCTCGGGTCCAAACAGCGTCAAAGTAGCCACCCCGCTTTACGAGCTCGAAAAACAAAATATCAAGGTGGATCGTGCCTATCTTGTTTCTTGCACTAACAGTAGACGCTCTGATTTCGCAGCCGCTGCAAAGGTTTTTAGAGATGCTGCGGCTAAAAACAACGGCGTCGTCCCCAAGGTCCCGGAGCATGTCAAGCTTTACATCTCTGCAGCGTCCACGCTCGAGCAGGCGGCTGCGGAGGAGCAGGGAGACTGGCAGGTTCTGCTAGATGCAGGTGCAACTCCACTTGTCTCGGGGTGTGGTCCATGCATTGGACTTGTACGTGCGCTGCGACGTGCTATTTTACGCAGGAAGGCTGACATAATATTGATAGGGAACGGGACTCCTTGAGCCAGGCGAGGTTGGAATCAGCGCAAGTAATCGTAACTTCAAAGGACGAATGGGCTCTCGTGAGGCTCAGGCATATCTGGCTTCTCCAGAGGTTGTCGCTGCATCTGCACTTGCCGGAAAAATTGCCGGGCCTGGGTGGTACTCAAGACCTGCAGATTGGGCCGGCGTTGAGGCAAGCGAGGGCGAGCCGTTCGAGGAGAAGAGTGTGGATGAGGCCCTCGAGGCGATCATTGGCAAACTTGATTCTATTATCGATTCAAGCACCTCATCAACGTCGACTGAAACCGAGGCCGGAGAGGATAAAGCTGAAACACTCACGGAATTGTACCCAGGCTTCCCCGAAAAGATTGAAGGTGAACTAGTGTTTTGCGATGCCGACAACCTGAACACCGATGGCATATACCCAGTAAGTGCTCTTGCAACTGAGTAACAAACAAAGCTAACGTTACGTAGGGCAAATGTACATTCCATGGTTCTTCTTGTAGGTCAATAAGCTAACTATGTGTAGACACATATCAGGACGATGTCTCTAAAGAGAAGATGGCGGAGGTGAGCAACATGATGCTCAAACCATGTTGATTTTCCCTGACTCTGGATGTAGGTATGCATGGAGAACTACGATCCGGCTTTCCGTGACGTCGCCAAACCAGGTGATATCCTTGTAGGCGGGTTCAATTTCGGAACCGGCTCGTCGCGAGAACAAGCCGCAACAGCCATTCTAGCAAAGGGCATCCCTCTAGTCGTCGCCGGAAGCTTTGGAAACATTTTCAGCCGCAACTCGATCAACAACGCGCTTATGGGTGTGGAGGTGCCCAAACTCATCCACAGACTCCGTGAAGTTTTCGGTTCCGCTTCGTCCGATGACGGCAAGGCGGCTGGTGCCAAAGTGCTCACGAGACGAACGGGCTGGACGATGGTGTGGGATGTCAGAAGGTCGACAGTCACAATCAAAGAAAGCGACGGTACGAGCTGGAGCCAGAAAGTCGGCGAGTTGCCGCCAAATGTCCAGGAGGTCATTGCCAAAGGTGGCCTGGAGAATTGGGTTAAGGCGCAGATTGAGTCATCGTGAAAAGCGCGACAACGGGGGGGGGGGGGGGGGGTGATGTGTATGAAAAGATTGCGGGCGTCGCCGCACCATAACGGCATCCCACGCACGAATTCATGCACTCAGACGATGTTGATAGATGGTCACGACGGCCAGCCATTGTGTGATTTGGTTTCGAGGTAACTCTGTTTGGCTAATCTTCCCGAAGTTCAGTTCGGGATTGGGCCCAATCATTTGTTATCTGTAGGACTGACAGAGCTTGTCTAAAGTATACCATTAGACTTTCAATCCAAGTAGGGACTTGTAAGAATAAAAGAGGGAGATGACTACATTAACGGATGTGGCATCAAAAAGAAATGTTTGGCTCCAGCTCAAGGCATTCGAAGTGCCACAGTCCACCATTGCAGATCGCCTCTCATCGTGATTATTACCGATGTGTAAACGTGTAAAGTCTGGAGAATCATGACGAGCGCGGAGTTCGTCCTGTACGCTGTCCATCCATATACGGAAATACGTCTTCGATGCTAAGGTTAGCTTCGAAAGGGGATACACGGCTTATTTTTGTCTCTTCTGATTACTGCATCAGCCCCAGCTCGCTTTGAGGCACCACAAGAACGTCAACAACAGTGGTACTGCCAGATGAAAAGCCATCAATGGTTTTAAGCTCTTGACGCGTGGGCAAAGGCAGATTGGTCGCAAGATGGCCTGAGAAGGGAATGAAATCGTCGTTATATATCGAGCATTGGCTTGGAGTCGCCAATGTATGGAGATCGAACTAGTCCGAATTGGGGTCGGGGGTCGAGTTACACTTCCTGGTAGGAGCCTCGATAGACGCATCGCGTCCACAGTATCCAGTACCACTTACGAATGACAATTGGATGGTGGTCTGCGAGCTGCCGTGATCGATTGTCTTGGATCACAGCATCAACATGTCCCGTTTCATGTACCCAGCGTTCCCCGGGGAGGATGGGATGCCCACAGGACAGCCGACCGCTTATCCAACAACCCATTCGCCTTACGCTCCCGCTCCTCCACAGTTACCGAGTCAGCCCTCGCCTGTGTACGGCTACCACTCGCCTGCGAACCACCGCCAGCTTGCCCCGGCCCCGTATGTGCCTCCGCAGAGTCCCAGTCCCAGCTTGGGCCTGCAGCTCGAGCGCGCCATCCAGCTCGAAGATCAAGCGCGGAAGAGCAGAAAGACGAGCAAGAACCAGACTCCCGGCCAAGGCACCTTTCGTGTGCAGTTGAATGGCCAGGATGCGGGAGACCCGGATGGCAATGGCGACGAGCTGAGGGGCGTCGGCAATGGCAGCGACGTAGACGAGGACGAACAGCCGGTGGAAGACCCAAATGAAGACAACACTCCTCCCGAGGGCATGTATTACCTGCCTCCTCCCCCCGAGCGAACGTACAAGAACTACGACGAGTGCCACCAGGCCATGCACGATTGGAACAAGGCCCACGGCTTCGACGTGTCGCGGCAAAAGCCCGCCAAGAACAAGAACGGCGACATCTACAAGTACCTGTACCAGTGCACGCGGCATGGCCGTCGCGGTAACAAGCACAAAGTGCTCGAGTCCGAGCGGAAGCGCAAGCGCGAGAGCAAGAAGACAGGCTGCCCTATGGGCATATACATTCGTGCCGTGGATGTCAAGAATGTCAACGGCAAATGGCGAATATCACACCAGCTCGACGGGAGGAGCAAGTGGCACAATCACGAAGGCATCTCCGCCGAAGAGCTCACGGGCCATAGAAGGCGGAACCGCACCGAGGAGATGAAGGCTCTGATCAAGCAGACGCGTGCAGCGGGCATGGATGCTTGGCAATCGCTAGCCTACATCAAAGAGAAGATGCCGGGCGCCCTCATCACGAAACAAGACGTGTTGAACTACCGCAAGCAAGATCCGGGCCCGGGCAGCGACACGCATAACTACCTCGACAAGGCTTACATGCTTGCCGTATCCTTTGGATCCGACTTCGAAATCGACGACGTGTACGGCATGCACTTACTTCCCAAGCTCCGCACCCGAATGCCCATCTCGATCTGCTCCAAGCCCGAGTCTCTCGCCGCACACTTGCAGCGCAATCCTCCTCGCGTCGTTCTCGTCACCGATCCCGCACTCGCCTATCCTGAAAACCGCCTTCATCTTGCGCGTCTGGTGACGTATGTCCAGGACGGGGGTACGATGATATTTATGGCACACTTCAACAGCACGCCTCGGGATTACATGCACGCGCTCTTTCTGCACCATCTCAACCTAGATTGGTCTTCGATCGACGTGACGTCAACACCCCTTGCGTACTCGTTAAATGACAAACTCGCCGCAGGTGGCACAGGTGGCCGCTGGGTAGTCGTCGCGCGCAACTTTGCTCCAGGCACCGACGCCAAAGCCATCGAACAGCTCGCCCAGCTCAGCCCTGGGACTCCCGCCTTGATATCCTGTAGATTGTACAGCACTCATCCCGTAGTGACGGCCGAACTAGTCTTTGGCGCCCAGGATAGCGCAGAGGCCGTCATCAGTGCGTTCAGTGGTAAATCTGTCAATCTGGGCCGTCTCGCCACTGCGCCCGGAAAGGAACTCGACTTTGCCCTGCGCGCGCCTGCGCCCATGGCGACGTCGGATTTGGCGCCTGAGATCATAGCCAAGGCGAACGCGCTGAGGAACGTGCAGTTGGAAGATGTGGTCTACGCCGGCGTGACCATGGTTCAGGATTCACCTGCTCACCAAGGCGGCTACGTCAACGGGGTGTGGGTCGACCCACAGGTCGCAAGGCAGAGCAACGTAGAAGTCGCCGGTGCAGCGTATCGGAAGGTCGGCAAAGGCTACGTCGGGTATGTCGGACTAGGGGAGTTTGATGACAATTATTTAAGATGTGTGGCTGCTATGTGTCATTTCTAGGGCGAAGGCGTTCGTAAACAGTGTAAACGAATCGGGATCGCACTATTGCGAATTACATTGCTTGGGGAGTCATGAGGATAAACCGCACTAACAACGTAGGTAAATCTTTTTAACGACCGTATGCGATATCTTTCAGGGTGATGATGAAAACCACAAATCTGTTTTACCTCTGTAGGTTATTATATCACTGTCGACGAACACGTAGCTTGAAGCCTGGGTATCAAAGTCCTACAAAGCCTCGTCAGAAAGAGATCGAGCACGGAGACAGTCCCTAGAAAGCAGCTAATCCATTCACACTACTCAAGAGGGTGTTGATTGTTCCCGTGTATTTAGCAGACGAGATCGTGCTCTAAATTAGTTCGCGGTTGTTGTTCAGCTTTCGCGTTGTTCCTCCGCCTCGATCGATAGAGATGTTGTGGACGTCTTGTATGTAAAGCCTGGGAAGGAAAAGCGTCCAGAACAACAAGAAGAAAAGAAATCGCACGTACGGATTACGCGTAAAAACGCGGGGGCCCGAAGGCTGCATCTTCTTTCACTCCCGAAGTCGGGGTTCTTCCAGAAATGTGCAATTGGCTTATCTAGCCACCTTGCGGTGAAAGAAGCCCAGTTACCGCTATACGAAGAGCGTTCTGTGTCGTTTCACCCGCTGTTTGGAACGTGCTTCTGCGCCGCCTAAAAATGAACGGGGACGAGCCTAGAGAGATGACCAGCCGATTCTACGTTTCCAACTTGCACTGCCAAGGATGTGTTGAGAATATCACAAATCTGTTGAGGGGCCGTCACGATGGCTTGCTCGCCGTTATGTGCTCGCTCGAATCCAAGACTGTCTCTGTCGTTCATCCCGCAGACTTTAGCCCAGATATCATATCCGAGGAGTTGACCAGCTGTGGCTACAACACTGTTGTTTCATCAGGGCTGCTTGCTTTGATATCGTCACGACTTCTCCAAAATCTCCAGGCTCGTCTGTACTCCCATGAGAAAAAAGGAGCGGAGAATCTTGGGCTTTGCGAGGCGTGTCGCCAGAGGGCCAGCGAGACGACAACAACTGTCTCTCGGTCTGTGAAAGATGGCGAACAACTCACTACCTTCGCCCCCACAGGGCTGACCGCTTCGTCCCATTCTGCACCCGAGAAGACACAACATTCTGCTCTTCGGGGAGTTCAACCATCTTCTCCTTCCGGTGAGCGGTTCCGGGCGTTGCTTTCCATCACTGGAATGACGTGCAGCGCCTGCGTTCGCGCTATCACCGAAGCGCTCGAAGCGAAGCCGTACGTGCTCAAAGCAAATGTCGTCCTTCTCGCCAGCTCCGCAACTGTGGATTTCGAAGGACCTGGTCGTGCGGAGCCGCTGAAGGAGCTGATTGAGGAGCTGGGATATGGCGCCGTGGTAGAGGAAATCTCGTTGTGCTCATCGCGCCAAGCTGGCAAAGCAAAGCTGAAAGCGCAGTTGTGGAAGGCTACCTTCGCAATCGATGGGATGACCGACAGTTCCTCCGCCGTGAATATCACCGATGCTTTAGAACATGAATCCTGGGTAAAGAAGGCGGAAGTCGTTCCCGAAGGCGAGAGAGTTGCGATTGAATTCGAGAACAAGAGCAACGTCTTGGAGATATCAACCATCATCAAGTCCATCGAAGGCATTCAACATGTGGTGTTAGTCGACTTAGCAAGAGTAGGAGATTCAGACGCTAAAACAACACCTCGCAACGTGTCTATCCTCATCGACGGAATTGCAGATGAGCAAACTGTGAGGCATATTCTTGCCGCGCTAACAGCTTTAGATCATCCCATTACTGTCTCCAAACAACCAACGATCCAAGAGCCAACAATCACAGTCAGCTACGAACCGGAAGCGCCGTATTTCACGATTCGCCATATTCTTGCTGCGATCGAATCTGTAGATCAGACTCTGAGAGCAAACATCTACCATCCGCCAACGCTCGAAGAACGGGCCCGAGCTATGCACGCCCGTGAACGGCTACATATCATCTATCGCGTAGTTCTCTCTATCTTGGCGGCTATACCCTCCTTTCTCATCGGTATCCTCTTCATGGGTCTTGTGTCGAGCAGAAACAGTGTTCGACTGTACCTTATGCAGGAGTGGGCAAACGTTAGTCGTGCACAATGGGCTTTGTTCATCATATCCACGCCCGTCTATTTCTTTGCGTCAGATGTATTTCATCGTCGCGCAGTGAAGGAGCTCATCGCCCTTTGGCGTCCTGGAAGCTCGACTCCCCTGGTCCGCCGATTCTACCGCTTCGGGAGCATGAACCTCCTCATGTCTCTGGGAACATCGATCGCTTATTTCGCATCCATTGCGGAGCTTGTTATTACATCTCGACAGCCCCGGACCAAGCATCGAATTACAAACCACCAATCGTTCTATTTCGACTCAGTTGTCTTTCTCACGTTGTTTCTATTGATTGGACGTCTGATCGAAGCATGGAGTCGTGCCAAGACGGCAGATGCTGTGGCGAGTCTGGGTCAGCTCCGTCCCGCAAACGCAATTGTCTGCAACTCAACGCAGCGAGACAAAACCTTGCCAGATGCTTCATTTGCAATACAAGTGGACGAAATAGAGCCCGGAGATGTCGTCGTAGTACCCCATGGCGCCTCCCCGCCATGCGACGGTATTCTGCTTGACGATCACGGAAGCTTTGATGAGTCAAGCCTTACAGGCGAGGCAAGATTGATAGATAAACGCCTTGGGGACGAAGTATTCTCTGGAACCACAAATAAGGGGCCGCCAGTCATCATTCGCGCGACCAAAATTTTGGGAACGTCGATGCTTGATCAAATCATCCAAGTTGTTCGAGAGGGACAGGCACGACGCGCTCCTGTGGAAAGAATTGGGGACGTAATCACAAGCTACTTTGTTCCTGTCATCACTGCAATATCGGTTTCTACTTGGATGGTTTGGCTCGTGCTGGGTGAAGCTGGTATCCTTCCTCGCAGTTGGCTCGATGTGCAATCTGGGGGCTGGCCTTACTGGTCACTGCAATTCTCTATCGCCGTTTTCATCATTGCCTGTCCGTGTGGATTTGGTTTAGCGGCACCAACCGCAATGTTTGTTGGCGGGGGAGTCGCAGCAAAGGCTGGTATTCTAGCAAAAGGAGGTGGCGCTGCCTTCCAGGAAGCCAGCATGTTAGACATCGTCGTGTTCGACAAGACAGGGACGCTCACAGAAGGAGGCAACCCATCAGTATCAGATTGGAAAGGCACGACGGCATCGTCTTCTCCGGAAATTGATTCCACACTTTTGTTCAGCCTGATCAGAACGACGGAAGAAAAGAGTAGCCACCCTATAGCCGCGGCTATCGTCAAATTTCTGAAGGGTAAGGGTTCAAATGATATCCATTCAACTTCGGTAGAAGAGCTACCTGGAAGAGGCATGAAGGGCTTATATACCAGCAATAAATTTTCCGGCAAGTCGTACATGGTCTTGATCGGCAACGAAAGACTCATGTCCGAGAATCATGTCTTAGTGGATAACGGCACTAAGGAGACACTGAACGCATGGAAGGTCCAGGGGAAGTCTGTCGTCCTAGTAGCTGTCAGAGTTACCGACATAGAAACGTCAATTCTCGGTAGCCTCGAACTCCGCGTCATTGCAGCGGTAACAGATGTGATACGCCCGGAGTCTAAAGGTGTCATTAAGAGTCTACAAGACCAGGGTATGGAAACATGGATGATTTCCGGTGATAACGAAACCACGGCACAAGCTGTGGGGAAGATGGTCGGGATATGTCCAGATAGGATTATTGCGGGCGTTCTTCCCGAGCAGAAGGCAGAAAAGATCCAGTACCTACAGCGATGTCCGGCAAAGTCAAATGATGGTTGGTTATTAGGTCCGGGTGCCTCCAAAAATACCACACGGCGAGCAATAGTAGCAATGGTTGGGGACGGGGTGAACGATTCTCCAGCGTTGGCTGTTGCCGACGTGGGTATAGCAATTGGGTCTGGGTCCGATGTAGCTATTTCATCCGCCGACTTCGTGCTCATGTCTTCGGATCTATCTGCTGTCGTGGTTCTCGTGCAGCTCAGCCGTGCCGTCTTCCGGCGTATCAAGTTCAACTTCGGGTGGGCACTGGTGTACAACCTCATCGCCCTCCCTATAGCTGCCGGCGTGCTCTATCCCATACCGAGGAGCGCAGGTCATATCCGATTGGATCCGGTATGGGCGAGCCTAGCCATGGCCCTGAGCAGCATTAGCGTTGTCACGAGCAGCCTAGCTTTAAAGACTACACTGCCGTACGTCGGGTTCCGAAAACGCAGTGTCCATCAGTAAAGGTATGATGAACATGAGCTTTGGTTACTAAAGGAAAAGTGGAGCATCCATCTGACAATCTGCCGTGGCTACATCATGAGGATTCAAGCCTCGCGTTGACAATGCATCTACGCATGAACTCAAGAATATTGTGCTGTTTATCGTCGTTGTAGATTGTGGCATGCTCTGGTGTAGCTGTTCGGCTCTCAACAAGATTTTACAACTCCAGCTTCGAGAGTACGGGAGACTTTTGTGCAATGAATTGACTCCGCCAAACGTTTTAGATCAAGGCATAATCTAACCCGATATCGCAAATAGTTTGGATCTAAGATTCGGGGATATCAATCTAGCAGTTTTGCCATCTCTTTCTCTATGATATCCCACGTGTCATCGCCTGTGAACCAACTTAGCCACCAGTTTCCTTCGTGGTCTCTACCAGACACCGCACCAAAGTTACGGATTGCAAAACCGTTGTTGTACCCTACCGGATGAACGTAGGAAGGTTTGCCGGCCAGTCGGTTTTGCTCTTTCTTCGCGGGATCGACGAGAGCAGCGGAGAAGTCGACCTGGAACAGCTTGGCTCGATGCCAATTTGACAGAGCGAAGAGATACTGGTCAGGCTGCCCAAACATGGCCGTGAAACCTGTTTTGTCTAGAGCCTCCCTGTGCGCCGCAGCCACGGCCTCGATTTGGGGACGAGTGCGTTGTTCGTTTAGACTGTTCCTTAGGCGCTGAGCCACAAAGCCAAGCGTGCTGGTCAATATTTGCTGACAAGTGAGAAGCGTGAAACCTCCAAATGTTGCGTTACCAACGTAGACACCCTGCTTAGGTAGCAAGTGTGGAAATTCAGCGCGGTAATCGAAGACGTTCATTAATCCAACAGGCGCATCCCTACGCCGAGGCTTAAGCGCCGAAAGAAGCATGCGCGACCACCAGGCAAAGAGGACATCTGACTCACTTACGAACTTTTCGTCGGGAAGTTGAACCCGGCACGTAGACTTCGGATCGATGGTGAGATTCAGCTCGCCCAGAGTCTCCTCGTAGATGCGCTGAAAGTATGTGTGAGGCACGCAGATTGCGCGAAGTGTGTTTCTCCGGTTGATAAACATGTCCAGGGCAAGATACAGGCCAAATCGTAGGCCGGCAAATCCTGAGAGCAGATAGTCGTGGAGCACGAAATCCTTCGGGTTTGCTGTCGTCCCCAGTGTCTGAAGCAAGTCTTCTTCGGCGCCGAGATATTCAGGAACGTAGTGGTCCTTGCCTTGCAAGATCAGCGAGATTGAATTGAGAATCATCGAAAAGCCCATCGCATCAGCCAGCGTATGCGGCCAGGTGGTTGTGAATAAGGTAGCATTTTCAAACGAGGTCACGTGAAAAAACAGCTGCGGAACGTCGCAATGTAGCCACTTTTCCATCGTCTTGGGTGTATCCGGATGTCTAGTTATGGAGGCGAAAGAGAATGGATCGCCGAAGAATAAAGGTCGCGTCTTATCCTTACCCACTGGATGTGGTAGTTGCGCTCCAACCGGGTGTTCCTCGATACGCACATTGTATTTGTCTTCCGTGAGAATGTAGCCAGGTCGGTCCGGGGTATAGGTCTCTGGAATGTGATATTCCAATTTCCCCTTGCTCTACATGACACTGTTAAAAGCGTGACTTCGCAGGTGCCAAAGCGTGATATACATTGAACCTAACTCGTGCTCCTAATTTACGCCATCCCTTCCTGCTCAGCAAGCGGTCCAAAGCGTTCCGAATCTTGTCCACGTCCAAAACATCGTCAAAACGTAAGGTGACCTCGGGGACGAAGGAGCGAAGCATAGAGTTGTCGTCAAAGTAGTGTAGAGGGATGACGGTATCGGAGGCGATCCGTGGGGGCGAAGAAGGCTTGGAAACGTACGAACCCATCCTTCAGCCACAAACACGCCCTCTGATGTTGGGGATTTCGAAGTCAGGATACACTTTGGCAATGCTAGTGTAAACACAGAAAGGACATTGGACATCAAAGGCCTGGTGGTCCGAATATACGTCTCTGCCTTGCCATGATGTTGACCAAAGTCGATTCCAACCAGGCGTCCAATCCTCGCACGTTTCGAGACGTACCGTAAGCAGCCACGTCCATATTGAGGGCAGATTTTCCCCATCACCTTCGATTGGTCCTTGTCAGCTCCATCAAGTGGCGCCTAAGGTACATCGGCTCGTATTCGCACTAGGCCTATGTAGCGAGTGCTTTGAGCGTTAAATGTGCAGGAGAGGCCAGATCTTCGACTTCAAAACTTTCATCGACTCCGACTCCGCGCACAACGTCGCCACGTCGCCAGGCTAACGCCCAGGAACGGTTTTCAGGTCAATATTTTCCTTTACACACCTTGCCGCGAGAGAGAATGTGGAAAGGCCTTTTGCCGTATCTTGCTGAACGCTCCCCTGATGGCCTGGAGTGTTATGAAGCACGAGCTGTTGGCTGCAAAAGAGTCCATGCTTTGGCGAACAAACGGCCACGAAGAACGACGAATAACTAAGTGAAGTATTTGTCTTGACCCAACTCTCGATTGTCAAATCTTATGAGCGGTTAGGAAGGCTTCACTGACACTGCGTATTTTATTGCCGACCGTACGCAACGATGCTGTCACAGCTCTAACCTAAGCACGTATCCCGTGGCCCTGTCCACATACTTTGGCCGGGTACGCAAATCAACGGGCCATGCACAACACGTCTTTTCTGTGCTCTCTGAAAATCTTGGAAATTATTTCTTAATTGTATTCGTCTTTTCTAGTACCAAATAACACGCTTTCATGACCGTGCGAAATGCATCTATATAAGGGGAATCTCAACTATGCCTTGAAAACCTTAAGTGTCTCGCTGAACGGCTTCTTCTCCGGGTTCTCCGGGTGTGGAGTGGTCTCGCTACCAATGTTGAGGTGCGCCCTCAAGCTCCAGGACTCGGGAATGTCGAACACCTTCTTGATCTCCGCCTCGACGGGTGGGAAGGAGTTCATGTGCTGCAGGTTGGCGCCCAGACCCTCCAGCTCAATGGCGGTCCACACCTGCACCTGGAGCATGCCGTTGGCGTGTTCACCCCACTGGGGGAACATGCCGGCGACGGACTGGTGGTTGCCCTGCCATTCCTTGATGGTCTCCGCGTCCTCCCAGAACGTGATCTGTTTGCGTCTGGTCAGCATGGCTTCTCTCCGTGCGCACATCGCGCACGCGGCAGCTGCGGGGATGTTCTTACCGAGCCGTACGCAGCCTGGAACATTTCGAAGCGCTGGCTCATGGTCTTGACAACCTCCTCACCGGCGCCGGCCAGCAGGGGGAGGGCCTTGTCCTTGACGATCTGCCAGAACTTCTTGTGGTGCTCGCCGAGCATGATGGCGACGCGCATGGGCTGGCTGTTGTAGGAGCTAGGAGAGACCTTCAGGACCTCCTGGACGACCTCGACGATGCGATCATCGGAAACGCTGACCTTGTCGCTGAGCGGGTAGACGGTGCGACGGTGGCCGATTGCCTTGAGGTAGGTTGCGGTGTCGACTTTGTCGGCGGCCATGGCTGCTGTGTTCTTCTCCGGGCCGGTTGCGGGCGCGGACGAGGTGGTGGTGGCTGGCGTGGTGGACGCAGTGGCAGAGGGAGTAGCAGCGGCAGGCGAAGTCGTCGAAGTCGAGACGGATGCTTTCTCGGATTTCGAAGACTTGAAGACCTTGAGTATTTTCTTCATCGAAGGACGGGAGACTGCTGGAGGAAGGGAGGGGCTGACGGCCGATATTTGTACACGCAGGAGCGAGAGAAAAGCGTGCGCATCGGCCCCTCATGGCGTTGTTGGTAGAAGCTTCGAGGTCGCTCGAGCGCTGCGCTCATTGTGCAGGGAGGCGTCTTGTCAGGAACCGATCGACGGACCAACCTCCTGCAAGCCTTTGGCCCACCAGCGGACACGTTCCGGCTCTCGCAACTCTCGCAAAGCTTGTGCTTCCTTGCTGACAGTTTGGCTCGCTGCTGTGCTGTGCGCCGCTGCGAACGGTACTCGCTCGGCCGCGCTCCTCACCATCAGCCGCTCATCGCTTCCGCTCTCCACGCAGCCAATCGCGTCGGACCCATCGACGTTGTGCCAATGACAAACTCCCTTCGGATCCGGGATCAGACGCTTCCGACACATTTGTCATCACGGGAAACCATCAGGCTGAGGATTTACAAGCAGTTGGAAATCAAAAAGACTGCGCTAAGGGCCAAACCGTCGTTTTGCTGCTCTCCACCACGGTGGCACGCACGCCATCTGCTGCAGCTTGGCCTTTCCTGATAGCCCTCCCGCCGGCTTGTCCTATAGTAGTGTACAGCGCATCTCTCTCTCTCTCTCCCTCTCTCTCCTTCTCTTTCTCTCGCTCTCGCTCTCTTCATTCATCCGCTGCGGCGCTTTGGTGCGGTGCGAACACGCGAGCGAATCAGCCCAGCGATTTTTCCCGATATCGGGTCGAGATTTTTTTTTTTTTTTTTTTCCACACCTGTTATCGGTCTCATCCCTGGTGACGACTGTATATTCGTGACGCAGGCCAGCCTTGCTCCGCAACATTTCGGTCCTTGTTTGGTACAGTTGTCTTACAAGGTCGAGTACATTTCATCGCGTCGCCGGCGAGTTGAAGAACACGATTGGAGCAGCCCAATCTGGCGCGATGCGTGTTTGCTCTTCGTCAAAGCCCACCAAGTCACCACGTCCTACATCCTTGCTGCCAACATACGCGGAGATGGGAGCGCGGCGATGTGCATCAAAGAACGAGATGAGTTGCGGAGGTAGACATGCGGCTTCAAAGGCCAGTTCAGGTGTCTGAATATCACGGCATGAAGTCTGCGCCGTTTCGCTGCCCAAGTGAAAACAACGCAACTCCACGTTTCTCGACTTTGGCAGATACGCGTCCAGATTATACACATTCAGTCATGAAGTCATCATTTCCTGCAATTCTACTGCGAAGGACACAACCAGTAAACAAAAACGTTGACATACAACGTCAGTCAGCCGACGCGATTGCGGCCAACATCGAAGGACAGACTTGGCGCCCACGTTTAGTTATCTTGCCACAGAGAACCAGGTATGGGTCCACTTTCGAATTGTGACTCTCGTGATCACGCATCTGTCATTGCCTGCGAGTTCAATCTCTTGTTCTTCGAGCTCCTGAGACACGAGGCAAGATGAACATATATTTGTTAGCTCGACCAAAAAAGCTAAGCCTCACCTCCTACAGCGCACCTTTTCAATGTATTTCACAACTTTGGCTGAGAAGGGAGGGCTTGTGTGTGTTGATAACTTGCATGGTTTGCTAGAAGGGAGATACGATGTTGCCAGAAGGGAGATACCATGCCGCCATATCTACACCTTTACGGGTCCCAGATTCTACTAGGTTACTCCGCCAATGATCGTCATCCGTAACTAGTTCTATTCTCGCCACCGGGATATTGCCCGTTGAATATAGCGTGGTTCACCGGGACCGCAGAACCTGGTACGAATGGCGGTTCAGGCGCTGAGGAAACCTGCCACTCGACTGCGATGGAATTACTCCTACTCAATTTCTGGCCCTCGAACCCTAGAGCACAAGTCAGTGAAACATCCCGGACGGAAGGTGGCAAAACAATCACGCACAAAGCTCGAATGTAATGTCCGCCGCTCCCATCACAACGTGCACCTCGTATTGTACGCGCAAGTACCTTTCACCAGTCGACCACCAATGTCTGTTCTTCTCCTTGAATTTCTTCTCGTCTGCCGCAGACAGATCGCACGTAATCCGGCAAAGGACATCTGCGCCTGCGCCTTCCCCATACTGCAGAGGAAGAAATGTTTTATCCAAGTGACTAACGATAACCTTGTCCGAGAACGCTCTTCGTGGGTCACCGGCAGTGATCTTGCGAGTAAACCGCTGTACAATTGGCTTAGTAACATCAACAGGCTCGCCTCTACTATAAGGTCAACAAGGAGGCAAGATTACCGCGCATACGCAACTCACTTCTTAATGAACCAAGCTATGCCGTTCATGATATATTTCTTGCCATCGAGTCTGTCGGTCATCGTCGTCCTGCCAATATGCTCGGGGTTTTTTCGGTTATACAAGATCTTGCAGTCTGTGCCGTAGCTGGCTCTGCAACACCGCCAAATCAAGACGGGTTTGGAGTGCTGCGAATTCCTCACTCTATCTAGGCAGAGTCCCTTGCAAACGGCCAGCTGCGGTTCTGAGCTCACATGCACTGCCAGATAACGTGACCTTGTAAGCCCATTTACACTTGTCGAATACCGTTCTCGCAATCGATACTGCACGTAGGTTGAGTTGCCGAGACCGCCGGATAAGACAAGATGTTGAACTCTCTGACCTGGGTGGGAGATCGCAAAGTTTTGAAGCTGATGATCGATCAAAGCGAAGAGTTGTGTGATCTGTTTGTCGAATAGTTTCTGAAGATCCGACAACTTGAAATGCATATGGCCATCGAAGATGCCATGTTGCGGGTTCGAGTAGCTGAAGTGGAGGTCAGGTATAGCGACTCGGAAGTCTAAATCATCTGGCTGTCCGAAGCAACATTTCGTATCGAGGTATTGCGAGCTTTTCATCATGGTCCATGCTGCGGTTTCCAAGTCGAGATTCATGGGATACATTGCGTCAGCCTTCTCAAGTCGGCTGTACACAAGATCCTCAAACTCAAGGTCGATCTGAGTAGATCCAATAGCCTTGCCCTCAACCACGCTCAGTTGCTGCAGGTGTGGAATAGACCCCTGCAGGTCTTTGACTCTCAAGATGTTCAGATCCGTCGTGCCACCACCGCAATCAGCAACCAGCAAGACATCGTTTTCCTTGAAGCTTACAGAGGATTCGCAAGCCACATAAACGGCCGCGGCCTCTGCTTCTGTCAGGCCAATGGTGACCGTGTGGGCTACCCCCGATCCCCACCCAGCCTTTCTTACAATGGTTTTGAATTTTTGGACTGTCGGTTGCGGTTGCCAGGTCGTAGGCACAGAGAAGACGAACTCGATTCGCGTGTTTCCCCAACTCTTTTCAGGCGGTATCTCTGCCTCGAGCTTAGACTTCACCCAATTGTACAACGATTGCATGTAATCCTCCGTCCACCTGTCAACATCTTGTTGGCTTCGAGGGGCGGCATTTGGATCTTTTGCTCGCAACTTTTGGTAATGATCTTCATCGACACACGTCTTGAACCACTGGCAGTATTCGCGATCAGGGCTGTTCTGTTCATACCGGTTTTCTGATAAAAACCCCCAGCTTGAGACTCTCGCCGTGTGTTTATCATATGTAACGACCGTCGGCACCTTCTCAATTCAGAACCTGAACTCAGCGTACGGGCACCAAGTATTGTGCGCACCTTGTTTTCGTTGGCCTGACCCCGACCTGGCCACCGTTGAACATAGTAGACGTTGCGGGAACGCGTTAGATTTGCATACGCGACGCCAGTGCCTAAGAAGATCGTAAGCATACAGCCTTGCGAAGGCGAGGGAAGACGGAGTCGAACAGGTCATGCCAAAATCAACAGCGACCACAAGCTCAGGGGTTTCCCCCATTTTGGAATTTCTTGACAATCTAATCAGAACAAGGCAGATAGGGAGTAAAATGCAACGCAGACTTGGATTCAATGGCTTTTCCTCAACGAACAAAGCTTTATTCGTACGGTTGGCAGGCAGAGGCGAGTAACAACGCGGCTGATGGCTGGCGGGGTATAAAGCCGTTACTCTTCAAATGTACACACTACGAGAGGCAGTCATGCAGTCCCCATTTCCCGACCCCAATCTTCTAGCCATTTAGCCTGATCTTTGTTGGTCCTGGCGTGCTATGCAGCTCTGACTCGTACAACACTTCGAAGCTGGCCGGCGGGCATCAGGCTGAGACCCACTTTTTCCTATATTTTGTCCCGCACCTGGCGGTAGACCATGAGATACATCTGCCAATGCCTCGTAAAGCACTGCGCGCCCAGCGGATTAAGCAAGGCCTTTAAGAGCGGGTGAATTCCAGGCGTCGTGTGGGCTTGCTGTTGCATGGTGCCGGAGCAAGTCGTCCCAGACATAAAAAAGATCTGGCGCACCTTGCTGATTCTACGAATCGCTTTTTCTCGTCTTTTTGAGAAACTACTATCGAAAGCCCAAGTTTTCAATACTATCGCACGATGAGTAGTCCAAGTGTACCGGGAAATGTCTCTTCCAGGTTCACATCGACCTCTACTCCACCGGTCCTATCAACTCAGACTCCAGCGCAGCCAGCAGCGTCATCCAGTGCTCCATTAAACACCCTTACTGCAAGTACAACTGGGCCAGAGCCGACAGATCAGTCGATGTCATCGTCTCACACGGGTTCTACAAATTTGGCCTCCGCTATCTACTTCTACCTAGCAACCGAGAGTCAAATAACAACAAAAATTGGTGACTCTACTTCCATCATTACGACAGACGTGTCTGTTGGAGTTCCAGAGACTCTGAGTTCTGGCAGTTACAAATACCTCGCCACCACCAGCACATCCAGCATCAATGGAAATATCATTACGATGATTCCAATCAGCGTTGGCACGCCATTCCCAACTAATTTGATTAAAATAAACAAGGGGCTCTCAGCTGGTGACAGCGCTGCCATAGGCATCGGAGGGGTGATACTGGGAGTGATTTTGGCTGCCGCTTTCTGGTTTCTTCGCTTTTTTCACAAAAAGCGGCGAGGACGCAACCTCTATAGCAACAGAGGCTCGACCGGTCAGTACGAAGAGCATAGGATGACCAACTCCAAGGCTGCCTTAGCGCGCGCCTCCGCTTTAGTTCCCAAAAGCTCAGCTGCCGTCGTTTTATACAACCATATTCCCCAACCTGTTGACGACAACACTATAAAATCTGGATATTCGAAGCTGAAAAGCCGCATTGACGGTCATGTTCAGAAGTTCTACTTTTCTAAGGGTGGAGACGAGAAATCTGTCATCGACGGATTTTCTCGTGCGTTCGCAGGAGATGCGCCAATACCCTCTTCACACCATTTACAGAGCATCCTAGGTGATTCTCAGTCCAGAATGCGAGTTCTCCAAGCGGGAATCGCCTCGATCGTCATAACACGCATGCTTCCGGACGGCCCGCCTGCCCAGTCATTTCTGCCTTTGGTCTTCACACACGCGTACGCGTCTTTTTCCAACAATACTCTAGATGGGCAAGGTAAGAGTCAAAGTCTGAAAGTGGCAAAATATTATCTCATACGCTAACGACACCTCGCTTCACCAGTTCGCGCTGCATTTCGTGGTCAGTGGCGGGTGATAAGTGCTTGCCTTTCGCAATCCTTGTACGGTAGAGACAGCATAACAGAGGATGATCCACGCATCACGAACATTCAGGAGGCGCGTGCACGAGCAGATCTCTTCCTTCGGCCACTTGCCGCAACCAACGATCACGAAAGCAGGCTGAGAAATCTGGAAGAGATCATGAAGCGAGCCGCACGCCTGGGCTGGCTCATCTTCTCTCAGCCGTCGGAATACGCCGCTGACTGGACAGACAAGGGAAGAGGCGTTGTTTACCCAGCCCTCTTGCAGCTGACCGACGAAAACGGCGAGGCGCACCCATCTCCTGTTGTTTTTAGCCCACAGGAGCCCATGATGCAATAGAATTATGTTCGCGTACATAGCATGACATCACTATATCCCATGCTCACCCGCTCATCTTTTCTTCTAACTTTGTTTGTACGGTGGCAGTGACATTGTTGGTGATCAGGCTGAAAATCTTTGCAATCCAGAAGTGCACTGAAGCTGCAGCACGGGAAGCGTTCTTGTCATGATTGGACAAGAACTTTAGTACCCTCGCGGTACAGCTCACGCATCTGGACTTTTCCGGGCCGTTTGTGACCTGTTGCATATGCGCAGTCAATGGAGCCAACGACATGAGGCAGGATGTTGAAGGCGTCGCTGCTTCGAGCTTAGCGTCCCTTAGAATACAGTGTCCAGATGCTCCCGTCGACATTCGCTTAACACTCAGCGCTTCAGTAAAGCCCAAGCCCTCAGCCTGACTTACTTTCAATAGTCTTCCTGCCCCCAAAAACTCGGATACCGTTGTTAGAGTGAGCATGTAGTAACGGTAAATGTCCAAGTGGATGTCGTCTATCGCAGATAGGCGCCCATCGAAAGTTATGTGTCTGCATTATCATCAACCGAAGCTGCGCATGACGGCTTACCTTCGTTCAGCGAAGCCCCTCCAGGATGTAAGTTTTGACAAAAAACTAACCCAAAAGCAGCTATGGCCTCGTGGGACTATTCTCGCGGTGGGTGTAGACATCACTGTGCGCCTCCGACCGCAGCCCGCTTTGCTGAACAGGCTTCCCTCTTCACGGAGGCCTTGGCCCAAGGGTTTGGTGCTTTTTTGCGTAAGGCGGATGTGTCATACGTTCCTACTTGCGTATTTCTGTTGCTTCTAGTAGATAGGCATCCTAAGCCTGCTCGTTATCGTCAGCGGGAATAGGGTTGCAACTTGCCATCTTTTCACGCCAGCGTACTTTCTTGACCAAGACGTTTTCGACATCCCGTTTGACGACTCCTGACTTGAAGAGGCCAACGGTAGTCCTTACGAAGCATGGATTTCGGTGTGGGATCGGTGTTCTCCGGTAAGCTGCCCGTCCAGGGTAGTCATGAAGGCGATTTTGTTGATGACGAGCAGGCATTAACGCCGCGTTCATCTTTGCCGACTTCATCTCCAAACTGAATGACGTCCCAGAAGAGGCACGTCGCTTTAGCACCCTTATTCACCGTGTCCGGCTTGACTACTATGAGGCTCTTCGACTTATTTCCCATGAGTCTGTGCGATCTCGGTTCACCAAGGAGCCAAAGAGCCGAGAATATGTTTATGGGACTATCAAGGCCGTGAAAAGCGCGCTTGCTGACATAGGTCACTTCGTCGAGAGAATCCGGGTTCAGGACGAGAGTGGAAAGGGAACCGTGACTTTGTCCAGAAAATTAGAATGGCTGTGGAAGTATCGAAGCAAAGTGGACTCTAGCGAAAAAGTACTTGATACCAGCCACAAAAGCATGTTGTCGGCCATTCACAGGATGGAAATTTGGATAACCATGGATCAGAGCGCAGCATTTTCATCTAGCCTCAGTCCTCCAACATACCACGAGGCTGTAATGAGCCAAAAATCAGGATGCAGAAACGATAAAAGAGCAGACGAGAATGACGAGACAACATGCATCATTTTCCCAGAGAGTAAAAGCCATTTCAAAGTTAATGAATTGATTAGTGAGTTTGAGTATCAAAAAGGCCTTCCTTATTCGCCCCACTAATACGCCTTAGTTTCTGCCGAAGAGGACGAAGTAGCTGATTCCAAGCCTGCAATGTCTACCAGAGTCTACGACCCCGTCGATACAGAGTATACTTCTCCGAGTCGAAACATCCAATCTGATGTGCCCTCATACTCTCTTAGGAGGCGGCAGGACGCGCAACGACTGCGAGCGGAGTATGTATTGCCAAGAAACGTGGACCCATTTCCAGAGTTCAATGATATTTCTCGGTCAGTGATGGCTAGGTCGAGCATGTTGAGCTTGCGATCCGAGTATGCTCAGTTTTCCACGCTCCTTCCGGAGCCGCGGCCAGCCAAGCCCCCATTTCAGACCCAAGAAAGCACCGGACCCGTCAGAGCATCCTCGGAGAGGAGCACGAACCGACATGCTGGGTCGAACAGTGCACGATCGCGTTCTGTAATGTCTGAGAGAAGAGAGCTACGGAGAGCAGGCATGCTCCTAGCTTCAGGAGGTTACGACGCTACGCATGGGCTCTGAGGAGAATTCATATTGGTCCCGACGATCTGATAGGAGCGAGATCTGCACTCGACAAGCGGCATTCAGATCGACAAAGCTCAATTCGGTTCGAGGAACATTGCAGCCGCGCTTGCGCACCGACAAGGAATGTCCGGCCCCTCTTCACGTCGGCTCACATTCCACGAAGTCTGATTAAAGACATTTTACGTGTCCAGTCTCTCATGACTCGTAAAAACATAGAATTGGGAACCTTTCTTCAGATATTGGAGAAAGTGAACAGCCTGATTTCTATGACATAAGCGTATTACGTATGAAGGTTGTCCACGAAGAAATATGCCATAACTTTTTATTCAGAGGCCTCGGCATGCGTGGATACCTCCATAGAGGCTCAACTGAGTCTTGTGGTATCTGGCCAAAGTCGGTTGAAAACATAGAGTGAGAATGATTGAGATACCCTATCGAATTTGTAGCACAAATACAATGTTGTACTAGTCTATATAAAAATACAAATATGGGTTGTTGAGCATAAGCTTATGTAACGAGAACTAATTAGATGTAACAAGTGATCTCTTCAGAGCGCGCTGTTAGCTCGCGATGCACCGGGGAACTGCGCTGTCAACGGTGCCAGCAAATCTGTGCCGCCGGCTTCGAGATCGCCAAATACCGGACAGGAGAGGTCGATAAGCGGCCCAACCAACGCATTCGATAGGAACTGCAAGGGCTTGTCAAGAGTTTGGAACAAACTGCTCAGACTATTTGGCGCTACTGTCTTGACAATCTCCAAGACGAAACATATCAAGTTGTTGCCCTCGAGTAAGGTTGTTGTGTTGATAACACCGCCTAACAAATCTGACATGTCAACTCCCGCGAATGAGTTAACCGTACCTGTGTTGCCACCGATGGACAATAGCTCAGGCTTCTTCGAAAAGAGTAGTAGAAGATCCAGGTTTAAGCTGACAAGCCCGTAATCGACTGGGATTCTGTACCAGTTGTTCGGAATGCGCTCCCAGCCACGTTTGTAGACCAGACCCTGCTCAGCGGACGCATCATCGTAAACTCCCCAGAATGACTTGAAAACCTCTTTGGCTAACTCCACAGTCAGTATCATGTTCTGCTACTTTTTTTCAGTCAAACATACTCATTTGTCCTTGCGGATATTCTGCAGAGTGATTGCTAAGCAGACGCGCGGCGAACATAAGTCCTGCATTCCTAACAACCATACCGGTCAATGGACCGTAGTAAAAGTACGGGTTTGTGGCTTTGCTCTGCTCGAAGCGCACGCCAGCCTGCTCAGCAATCTCGTCAAAACCGAACGTGTCGCCGTCTACGGAATTGTAGGTTTGCTCGAAGAGAGTCAGGTTGAGAGTGGAAGCATCTCCAGTAACGTAAAGATCGTCTCGCGTCATAGAAGCATCAGCCTCGATCAAATTATGAGACCCATTAAGTCCACGAGGCGTTCCTGGTCAACCATTAACAAGTGTCAAAAGTTTGGCCCTTGTGCACGACCAACCAAGAAGATCGAATCCCAGGAGGTTTTGAACTTTGTCAGACTCGCCTCCGATGGAGAAACCCGGATCCAAAGACAATGGATTTCCCGTCCATACGGTGCCCATTGCCGCTATAACCGTTCCCAAGTCGATTCCCATACCAAACACTGGACCAGTCAGCACCTTTCCAGGGGAAATTTTTCACATAGAAAGAGAGATTGTACTGTACCTTGATTCACAGCAGCAATCGTCTCAAAAAACTGAATATCAATTGTTAGCTCTTGGTCTATACAGTATCAACATGGATGCGTACACCCGCGACTCCGTCTCTTGGCAGATATCCATGGTTTGCGAGAGCATTAAGACCCGGACATGGCCCCCTCTGGTCTCCTGCATCAAAGTTTGGAGGGATGAATTCATGCTGCCCGGTCACTGGACGCGTGTCTTAGTCTTGAACCGAACTGGATCCTTCAGGATTGGCAGAAGACTATACCATCAATTGGCTGACCACTGAAATTCGCCAACTGTCTCTTTTCACGCAAATGGACAAGAGCCTTATGGATGTCTGTTTCCGATGGGGCCAGGCGTGCAAAACTCTCTGCGGTTGGGAAACCATGTACAAGAGACAGGCTTGGTAAAGTCAGCAGCAGGCTTGCCAACCACGCCATCTTCATGGATCGCAGACACAGCGAAGAATAGAGAAATAGAATTCCAAAAGAATGACTAGAACGAATGACTTGAATCTGGGAGACTTCCAACTTCTGTTGGTCGGAAACTTCCTGATCGAAAGAACGAAAGAATTGGCACCAATTTCAAAGCATGCCATGCTCTTCATTGACACGTAAATTACTGTATACTTATTCCCTGTTTCTAAGCGGCCCAATAAAATTATGGGGCTGTCAAGGTTAGACAGATCATGACCAAAGCGTTTCTCACGAGGGGCACGGAGCGCAGATCGTCATCACTGTCTCCATGATGGGAGTAGCCGCTCGGGAAGGATTTTAAGGCCAGCGTTCCGCTACGGGTTTTTTCTTCAACCGGGGGTCTGGAAACGTGCATGGATCCCTGCTTTAAAGATCAACAGCCTGCATACGGGGAAAACGGCTGGCTTTCTGGGGTAAAGACAACGAAAATCTTCACCATGCTTATCACAAACCAGCCTCTGCCTTGTTCTGCATGCAATTGGAGCTTTCTCTCTCTGGAAAGTAGCTTGCAAGGTGAAAGAGCTTGGACGTAGGGCTCCTTGTTAGCTGACACAGGATGCCGTGACTTTGCCTTATCCTAGGAACCTCCTCTAGAAAGCATTTAGCAGGATTGGATAACCCTTCTTCGTTGACTTTGCTAACTTCCATTCACTTCAGGTTTGTAGAAGTTAGGGTGTGCACAATGAAGACCTTTCATTTCTTGCTGGGCGTGCTTCTTGTGGTCAGTCCAATTGTACTTGCCAGTGCAATTGAGGAGGCAGTGGCTTTATATCCCTCTTGTGCGGTATGGACTCTGACACTAGTTGCACTTCTGAAGTGCCACGCAGACTACTGACTCAATGACCAGATCGAGTGCTTGACTGAGCTCATTCCAACATCTGGATGTGGACTTACCAACACCACTTGCTTGTGCACGAACGTACCGCTGAACACGAAATTGGAAGAATGTATCGTCACTGGCTGCAAGGTTCCAGATCAACTGCGTACATCTTATTCACTGGGTCGTTCATGTGGCATCCCATTACTAATTCTAGACTCAGGCTCAAAGAATGCGTCGATAACACTCTGTGATCCAACCGCCAAGCCTCGAGACAAGACGGCATCTGTCATTGTCGGCGGACTTGTACCCGGAATTTTGGCTTTCATTGTCTTTCTGGCCCGTTTGGCCTCTCTTCTCCCGTCGAATGCTAGAATAGCCTCGTGGGACGATTGGACGATATGCGTGATGGTCTTGTTCACCATCCCACCGACAGTGTTTGCAGTAACATGTAAGTCTTGTTCACACCAAATCTAAATCAAAATTAGAGACTCATACAGGTTCAGTGGCCAAACATGGTCTGGGAAGGGATATATGGACGCTTCAGCCTATTGATATCACAGCTGTCCTTCGTGTGAGTGGAATCATCTCCTTGTCAAGTAAAGAACGGAGCTAACCAATTAGCAGTACTACTATCTCGGCGAGATATTCTACATATGCGCGCTTACTATGTTTAAGGTGTCTATGCTGTGCTTCATTCTACGAATCTTTCCAACCAGACCTTTGAGAATCGGGACTTTCATTGGACTTGGATTAACCACCGCTTACGGTATAAGTTTCCTCTTTGCCACAATTTTCCAATGCACCCCCGTTAGCTTGGCCTGGTATCAATGGGACGGCGAGCATGAAGGTTTCTGTGAAAACATCAAACTCCAAGGTTGGATGTGTGCAGTGTTGAACATCATCATCGACGTCTACATCCTTATCCTGCCTCTTCCGGAGGTGGCGAAGTTGAAGATGAATCTGGCAAAAAAGCTCATGCTCCTCTTCATGTTTTCTCTCGGTATCTTGTAAGTTGCGCTGGCCACTTGGGCTCACGGAATATTTGGCATGCTCACGATTTGTAGTGTCACGTTGACTAGCGTACTTCGATTGCGAACACTGGTTCTCTTCGCTAATACCCAGAATCCGACTTGTAAGTTCATAGTGTCCGAATAAGATGACTTGACTGACAGCGACTGAAATCCAGGGGATTACGTCGAGGCTGCTACTTGGAGCACGGTTGAACTTCACGTTGGCATCATTTGCGCGTGCCTGCCGTCCTTACGCAGCTTGTTCGTATCCTTGGGGGCTAAAATCCTTGCGTCAAGCAAAGGCACGTCTGGTGGAAGTACAGGCTTTGGCTCGAACGCGTGGCGTACTCCTAGCAGATTGCAAAAGATCTCACTCACTCCCAATCTTCGCAGCGAAAACGGTGACTTCATCAATCTTGTCGATGTCGAAGCCAAGCATGAAAAAGGTTATGATTCTCATACGAGCAGTGATGCGGGCATTACTGTACGCAGTAAGTTAAGCGTTATTGAGTCCCGCCGATAGTGGTACACAACGCTTGTATGGACTCTCTCGAGTCTAGCGAAAAATGGTGCGGCACAAAAAGAAGATATGACAAAACGTTTGGGGTATACATTTGAAGCCATGTATTAGACTTGCTATTGCTTCTTCACAGCTTGATCAAAAGCTGTCAGCCACTCTGAGGCTCATTCAATGGACAAAACAATGACACAATCTTTTTACACCACTGCTTAGTTGCTGGATGGATCAGCGCTCGGTACACCTAGTGTTGTTTCTTACCCTGGTTTGGAATGCAGGAACACGCTCAAGCTGAATGAATTGCGCATTTTGTCCACTTTAGATCGGCGAAGCCAGCAACGTTCCCAAAAACCTTGCTCCGTGCCCCTTGACTACTAGGTGCTCGAAGCACACATTCTTACGCTAACAGTTCCACATGCTATTTGATAGAAGCTGCCGCGGCTCACTACATGGTAGTTCCCCGCTTTCCAAGATTGCCGAATGTATTGGAGTTGTAGGAAGTCAGAAAACTGTGTTGGCATGATTGAAGATTACATGAAAGTGAAACTGGCACAGCATCGTGATCAGCGACTCTTCACGCCCTGCGAGCAGGCAGGTATGCTCCTGCTAGCATGTGTAGGAAACGGCTGTATACCTCACCGCAAAACGAGACTGTGAATCTGTTCGACGCGGGCGTTCAGCAATTTGCATGGTACCACGTTTCTAGCGCTCACGATTCTCCTGAACAGGAATATCCCTACCCAGCAGTCGGGATGCCTGCTCCGTGGCGCACAAACCAACCACTAGAACGTGGTGGTATCCACCGCTTTGCACGTACCAACTGTCAAACGGCCCTTGTCCTCGTGGAATTTCTGCAATCCCATGCGCAGATCATGAAGAACGAAAGCGAGTGTAGATTTCTCCCATTTCTAGAATAGCATGCCTCCGCCTTTGGTATCCTTCATGCAAATCTGTGGCTCGCCCCATGCTTGCACCATCATGCCTTTACTCTCTTCGACGCCTCTGATGTAGATCTGAGGCTCGGTACGAGCAGTTGACTCGCTTCTCTGACGACGCTTCAGCCTCCTGATGGGTGAATCACTATAATGTGAACTGCAAATTTGTACACGTAGAAATAGAGCGTGGTTGTACCTCAAGTGATGGTCCTTTTACTTTCTACATTATAATAATCTAAAAGTCTGCTTACAGACGTCCATTCCTTTTCAACTGGCACTCATTCCTTTGAAGTGAAAACACTCGTTTGGACTCGTATTTGCGGTGTTTGTTCTCTTTGATTTTCATCGTTTGTTGTTATTCGTCACTCATTTATCATGTTGTTGAAGCAGCTGCTGGGGGTTGCAGCATATTGTGCTTCTATAGCCCTCGCTCGGTGAGTAGACCTCTCCTAACGCTGTACTTGTCTAACGTAATTGTGGCAGAAGTCATGAACCTTTCTTCCAGGGAGCTAGGCGAACATTCAACACCAACTCACCGCCGCCTCAGGACGAGTACGAATATATTGTCGTCGGCTCAGGACCTGGTGGTGCACCGCTTGCCGCACGTCTCGCTCTCGCTGGGCACAGCGTCTTGCTTATTGATGCAGGAGCCGATCATGCAAACGATCCTGTTCTACGAGTCCCAGCACTACATCCTTACGCTTCCCAGTATGAGCCCATCTCATGGCAATTCTTCGTCGATCACTACGCGGACGAGGCGCAGGCTGTCCGAGATTCCAAGATGACATATCTTCTGCCAAATGGCAGCTACTATGTCGGCTTATCTCCACCTGCTGGTGCAGAGCGTCTTGGTATCTGGTATCCCCGAACTGCAGCGCTTGGTGGCTGCGCAGAGCACAACGCCTTGATCACGATCCTGCCAGACACCGCGGACTGGGATTACATGGAATCTCTAACTGGTGATTCTTCGTGGAGCTCAGACAACATGCGCAAGTACTTCGAAAGGATGGAGAAGTGTGAATATCTTCCCAACTCCGTGGTTGGCCATGGGTACGATGGATGGCTTGAGACGCAGACCACACCAGTGATTCTCATTGCGGAAGATCTGAAGGTCCTCTCACTCGTTATTGCTGCAGCAACAACCATGGGCAAGAATCTAATTGGCAAGATTGTGAACACGGTTACAGGTCTGGCTGAAGTCCTCCTGCAAGACATCAACTCTCCACTGAGATCGCAGTCCGCGGACGAGCTGTACCAAGTGCCACTGGCCATGAAGACATCAGATTTCTCCAGAGGTGGACCACGTGATTGGGTCTATAATATCTCTCAGTCATCCCAATACAAGCTCGACATCCAGCTCAACACTTTGGTTACAAAGGTGCTTTTCGACGGTAACTCTTCTGACGGCAATGTACGTGCGACTGGCGTTGAGTATCTTATTGGTGAAAGCCTTTATGCTGCGGATCCTCGCTACGACCCATCACAAGAAGGAACACCAGGTACTGTCAAGGCTACTCGAGAGGTTATCGTGTCTGGTGGTGCATTTAACACCCCTCAAATTCTTAAGCTGTCTGGTATCGGTCCTAAGGATGAGCTTGAGAACTTCGGTGAGTCCAGTGGCAGTTTTCTCAGTATGCTTAACTAACAATTTCGAAGACATCCCCGTTGTAGTCGACTTGCCTGGCGTTGGAACAAACATGCAGGATCGTTACGAGGTCGGCATTGTTGGCAAGGCACCATCCCCTTTCGCTTTGCTGGAGAAATGCACATTCTTGAAGGGAGATGATCCATGCTACGACCAGTGGTTGAATGCGCCACCATTCCTCAAGGGCGGCTACCAGACAAACGGTATTGCCCTTGCTTACATGAAGCACAGTTCCGTCGCAGCCAATCCAGCTCACGATCTTTATCTTGGAGGTGTTCCAGCTTACTTCAAGGGTTACTTCCCCGACTACGCCGACTTTGCCACCGCAGACCTTAGCATTTGGACTTGGCTTACTTTGAAGGCCCAGTCCCGTAACAACGCTGGAACGGTTACACTGAAGTCAGCTAATCCTCGCGACACCCCCAACATTTTATTCAACTCCTTCTCCGTTGGTGGTGATGAGGACCTTCAAGCCGTATACGAGGGCATGGAATTCGGTATCCAAGCATTTGAAAATTTGGTTCCTCTTGACGGTTCATTTGAGCGCATCTGGCCACCACAAAACATCTCTTCGGAGGACGACCTGAAGCAATTTGCTCGAGATGAAGCGTGGGGCCACCACGCCTCTTGCACGTGCCCAATTGGAGCAGACAACGATCCAATGGCCGTCCTGGACAAGGACTTCAAGGTTCGAGGAACGCAGAATCTACGTGTTGTGGACGCCAGCGTGTTCCCCAAGATTCCCGGCACCTATCTGGTTACGCCTGTCTACATGATTAGTGAAAAGGCTGCAGACGTGATTCTAGCAGCAGCAGCGTCGAATTCTACAGCGTAGAGCGTCTCTTGAAAGATAACCAGTCTTAGATACGCTTCAGCTTAGGGTCCGAGGCAGCTTGCATATCTGATGGGCTTCGATAGGACTTTGGGGAAGGCATGTAAATTAATAGATTAATTCAATTCTCTTCCTGAATTTATCACTTTGACCTTTAAGTGGATTAATGATGCATATGCCCTTTTTCCGCTTCCCTCTTTTTGTACCTTTCTTTTTAACATCGTAAGCAATTGTTCTTGTCGGAAATATTCTGGCTAAGATGATAGAATGAGCGTTGATATACTAGCTTGGAAGAGAAATGTTCTTGAGCAAGGGTAAAATCTTTCAACAGAACATCACTGGTACGCAGCGCTGCTTTGTGTGATGAATTTATAAGTGGAACTTAGGCAATGGTACACGATAATATGGAAGATTTATGAGGTTGGGGGCTCAACATGACCTGTAAAATCAATGCCTTACGCTCTGGGTGAATTAAGGTGGTTTATTTCTTTTCAACAAAGCGCCATGATGTTCAGCTCTCGCCTGAGACTAATCGAAAAAGTGGGACTTGGCCTTGAGCTGCTCCGCCACCTGTTTTGGTGCAGGTACTCATTCTTCTTAAGATTCATGTCTCGGAACAACATTGCCGTGAATTTTTTGTGTCGACAGGAGAAAAAGAGACTGATCGCAATACGAGCCAGAGTGTCCAACAATCTCCGTGATTCAGGCCGCAATTGTCGGACTGATGAACGGTTCATTACCTTTGACCAAATGCAGACACAGGGATGTCCAGGAAGTACATGATCGACTTCGCATCCCGGAGTATATTTTGATAGCGTGAATGTCGTGAGTCTTCTGCATGACCGTAGGGCCATTACTAATTCTAAAGTTGATCAAAATATCAGCTCCCTTTGACGCTAGAAAATAACAGAAGCGCGAATAACGCCGCAAGATTAATAGTAAGGAAACTAAAAGGGACAAATGAGAAAGAATATAAACAGTCGTGGACTTTTTTTTTTGATAAAGCCCGAGGAATTCATGAAATCAGTTTTGGGTCTTGAAGGGATATTATCTCAATGAGGTAGAAATTGAAAGACATGCGGCCCTTCATCGTGCTTGCATGTCTACTTATCATCAGAAGCTTGTCAGCATTGTGCCGGAAGATAACACAGATAACTCTAGTTACATGTGTTGGAATGTACTCTGCGGCAATCTTCGAAGGAGAAAGGAAAATTAGTAGCGGAAGTGTCATAAGCAGCCGTGTATGAATGAGTAGAAGATTTCGGGAAAGTGCGTATTATTTTCGTCATGTGCCATTGTCAGGCAAATTTGATATGCATGTTATAGTTTGCAGCTGCAACTATTTGAAAGAAATTAAATACATCGCTTTTAGGATCTTAGCGAATATCGATGCCGAATTAGTGACTTTATTTACAAGTGTTTCAGCAAAAAGGAAGTAATATCAGCAGACTTTGATAACAATCTTTCCCTGAGCCCTGCCACTGCTCAATTTTTTGTATGCCGCTTTCGCGTCTTCGAAAGCGAACACTTCATCGATCTCTACTTTTAACTTTCCTTCGGCCACCCACGTTACGATCCTTCTAAGATCTGTGTTATCATTGCTCGTGAGATAAAACCCGTACTTTCTTCTCCCGCCGCCTAGGAAGCGGGGAAGAACCGCGCGCCTGATCACCAATGCAAGGTCCGTACCCGCAACTTGGATGAAGCGTCCGCTGGGCTTGAGGAAGTGATGAGACTCTTCGAACAATTTGTCATTGTTACCGACATTCTCAATAATCAGGTCGTACATGCGTCCCTGATCCTTGGCCATCGTCCTCAAGCTGCTCATTATGTCCGTCTCCCGGTAGTTGAGGACCTCATCCGCACCCAGGGCTTTCATTCTTCCCACGTTTGCGGGACCGCACGTCACCGTCACCTGCCCAGCACCGAGCAGCTTAGCAATCTGCGTGGCGAAGGAACCCACACCTCCAGAGCCGCCGTTGATGAAGACATTGTACCCAGGTTTGACATATGGCTGCATAGGCTGTAGAGCAGAAAGACCGGCGGTTCCAATGGCAGCGCCCTGCTCAAACGATACATTTTCCGGGAGCCTCACCATCCCATTCGGCTGACCAAGCACATACTCCGCTAAGGAGCCATGCTGATACATCCAATCTAGTCTGCCAATCACTCTGTCTCCAACTTTTAGGTCCGTCTTCACGCCGTTGGGAATCTCCTCGATGACACCTGAGTAGTCTAGGCCTGGTGTTGCCGGTTTTGAGTTGATCCAGTAGCCCAAGATAGGCGTGGTTGGCACTTTGTAGTCGGCCGGGTTGATGGAGGCGGCGTGCACCTTGACCAGTATGCAGCGGTCTTTCAACGACGTAGAGGACGCGGGTGCCTTGAGTATTGGGATGCTGTTTAGAACCAGATTGGCTTCAAATGGCTTGTTGCGCGTGGAGTATTGCCAGGCGCGCATCGTCACGCCGCTCATGCTTCTCTGGTCTCGTGATGCAACGTCTTAGATGTGAACTTTGTTCCTCACACGCAGATATGTCTTTGGCGTATTCTGGCTCCGGTGCACGCTATGATATTTATCACCAGTCTACGCTGTAGCGACCGGCCGCAGTAAAAAGAGCACGACAGCGGTTGTGAGAAGATGACGAAACTCGAGAGCCATTCACTCGCAGCACGGTTCAGGAATCTTCCAAACCAAGATCAGATGCAGCCGAGTCCCTGTTATACATCAAACAATCTCCCGGAATTGGAATCGAGATCGGATGAGTCCATGCTAGGTCGGACAAAAAAAGGACGTGACGCCTTCGGCAACGCGGAGCATTATTTAAGAGCAACATGATTGGCCAAGTTGGTCTTCAGCCTTGCGATGACACGGACCGAATTAACGGCGCAGAAAATCGGAACACTGCTCAAGGTAACATGGCCAGGAGCTACTTGTCATCTCAAATGATTTGGAATTTCTGTTTCGTTCTAAAAATTTTCGTGTTGGTTCTACCGTCAAAGCCCATTGTTCATCCCTTCTTACTCATGTCCGCTTAATACGCCTCTATGATGGTCGCACTCATATCCCAAAGATGGGAGAAGCTTATTTCCCTCCAGTCTTTCCTGTCGGAATCGCGAATAGGATCGCTGGCTTCCCGTTCATGAATGGCTTGTCAACCCTAAAGTAGCCTTTCCGGTCGAATTGAATGATGTCACCCTCCTTGAGGGCAGCGACATTCTCGTCCGCCACACCTTCAGTTCGGAACTCTGTTTGGGGCGTCAGGAAATCTTCGTAGTTGTCATCTTCCTCCAGTTTGTTCTTTGTGATCAAGTAGTCAAAGTCCACCATCTCCACTGGTACGAGATTCTGGTCTGTTGAGAGCCACGTGACCTTTTTCTTCGTTTTCTTAACATCGCCCTGGAGGTGAAGCTCTAGCTCCAGCGATGTAACGGTCTTGAAACCTTTAAGCGGGTTGAGGGTATGGTTAATCTTGCGCACGATTGCGTTTCCCCAATTCATGAGGGTGATTTCCTCGTCCTGCTCAAAAGACGCTGCATCGACTTGGTCTAAGATGATGTTTTTCGAGTATACTACTTTCTTAGTGCCAAGCTCGGCAGTCTTTGCATGAACTGGTTTCTCTTCGGCGTAAGGGGCCTCTCTCGCACCTACCACGGTGCACTGTACTTTGTCCTTCTCGTCCACGGCGGTATATCTCTTCGCAATGGGATCGATGTATTTTTTATTCGTGGCCCAAAACAGTGTCCAGTCCAAGTTGACAATGTTCTTGCTAGGACCCTGTTTGATGATGAACTCACGTAGCGCGGGGATAGTACATCCTCTGCGGCGAATGCCGCGCACGGTGGGCATTCGTGGGTCGTCCCAACCCCACACAAGGCCTGACTCTACAAACTTGGTAAGTTTTCGTTTGGAGAGAAGGGTACGGACAAAGTTCATGCGAGAGAAGTCCCAGTTGTGTACACCACGAAGGCGCAGGGTTTTGATGAACCATTGATATTGCGCGTCCCGGTCCTTATACTCTGTGGTACTACAATTCAAAATTAGTGACGGATCCCTCCCAGAAGGTGATGTATGTACTTACCGGAGGGCATGGGTAACACCTTCCATGCTGTCGACAATTGGGCAGCAGAAGTCATAGGTTGGGTACACCTTCCAAGTGTCTCCAGTTCTGTGATGCGGTGTGGGATTGCAGCGATAGATAACTGGATCGCGCATGGCCTTGTTCGGGTCATCCACAGATATCTTTGCCCTAATGCACCACCTCTTGCCCTCTTCAGTCGCCTTGGTCATCTCCTCGAACCTCTTGAGATTCTCCTCGGGGCTGTCATCGCGCCTCTTACTAGGTATACCGTCCATACGCTCTTTCCTCATGGTCTCCTGATCGGTGTCGTCGGCATACGCAGTGCCTTCCTTCAACATTTGCACACAGTACTCGTACAGGTCCTTGAAGTAGTCACTCGTGTAGCTCAGCTTGTCATGCTTGATGCCCATGAGCACAAGATCTTCCTTGATGGCCTCCTGGAACTCTTCCTTCTCCTTGGTAGGATTGGTATCATCAAACCGAAGAATGAGCGTGCCCTTGTATCTCTCGTGTGCGAAGTAGTCATTAATCACTGCGGCTTTCGCGTGACCAATGTGCAGGTAACCTGAGGGCTCTGGTGGGAATCTCGTCACGACATGATCGCCCACGTCTTGAAGCCCAATCTCGAAATTCGCACCCTCCTCCTTCGCTACTTTATCGATCTGCTCTTTTGCAGCTGCTTTTGCAGGCTTGGCAGCGGCAGCTGAGAGCGCCGGATTTGTCTCTTCAATGTATTTGTACCATCGTGTGACATTAATCAGGAGCCCTTGCTTGACGAAGGAGCCGGCAATATGGTTCTCGCGTATAGCCTTCCAAACAGCCGTATCGGCATCTGTGAGGCTGTAGCCTACGATGTATGAGCGCAGTGTCAGATGAGCATCGAGCTCAGCAAAAGGTGCGTCAAGCGCTTTGCGGTCCTTGACGGTGAATTTCTGTGCGCGGTCTTGCCACTCTTGAATTGCGGAGGCCATGGCGGCAACTATAAATCTGCTCTGCAGATTCTTGACTATGCTTAAGAACAATGTAAAGCTTAATGTCTGCAAAGGTTTTTTTTGTGTATTTTGACTCACCTGCCCACAATTTCACATCGAGCATCCCACCACTGCCAAGCCCCGCGCGTCTCTCGCGTCTAATATTTCCTTATTCGAACTTTTGCTCAAACCTCCGATTGACCTCCGTTACTCTGTCCACTGTCATCACATACAATCCTAATGGCGACGACGACAACGAGAACCTGCCTGGCTCAATGGAGCCGAGGTGCGTCTGCGTCATCTTTCAGGCCGCTATGCGTGCGAGTGTCAATGCCATTCGAGCAGCGTCGATTCAAAGGTGCTACTGGTGCGAACTCAGCTAATGCGGCCAAATACAAGAGACGAGATGGGTCAGAGCCCAAGAAGCGGAAGCAGCGTAAAACCTACATCGTGCACGACCTGAAGGATATGCCGCAGTTTGCATTGTGCGATGCTATGCGGTATGTATCCTAAGATCTTTATAAATTCGTTTCAGCGTCCAAGGGATCACAGTATTAACCTTTGACTCAACAGATACATCCGAGCCTTCGAGGTCGGTTCAGCGCGCAACCCCAAGTACGAAGTTCACATCAACCTGCGTTCCCTGAAGAATGGACCCGTGGTCCGCAACAGAATCCGACTCCCACACAGCGTTGGAGAGGAGTTACGCATTGCCGCCATCTGCCCTCCTGGCTCCAAACACGCCGATGCAGCGCGAAAGGCAGGCGCCTCTCTTATAGGGGAGGAGGATATCATCGATGCGATCAAGGAAGGCAAGATCGAATTTGATAGACTGGTCTGCCATGAGGACTCCTTCCCCAAGCTCACCAAAGCTGGAGTAGGACGCATACTAGGACCCCGAGGGCTGATGCCCAGTGCAAAGACAGACACCGTCGTCAAGGATGTTGGGGCCGCTGTTCGTGATCTGGTCGGTGGCAGTGAATACCGCGAGAGACTGGGTGTTGTGCGCCTAGCTATCGGGAAGCTCAGTTTCACACCAGAAATGCTTCAGAAGAACATTCGCGCATTCATGGAGCAATTGAAGAAGGACATAAATGCACTAAGCGACCGAATTCACAAGGATGTTCACGAAGTTGTATTGAGCAGCACTTCCAGCCCTGGATTCAGTCTCAACGGCGAGTTCGCTAGCAAAACTGGTATTGGGCCAAAGGAGCTAGCCAAAGCAGTCAAGGCATAATTTAAGCTGTTTTTTTGCGTGTATCATATGTAAAAATGAGCAGGAAAATAGGATGAAACATTGTACATGACTTTGGCGACTCATGGCCCTCTATTATCCGATGTGTTTATCCTGGCGGGGCTATAGAAACTCATAAAACATGTTCTTCCGAGGATGCCTCTCAACCTAACTCTCTTCTTCTTGTCATCAATCTCTTGCTCTTTTTATTCTCTTTGTCTCTTTACATGCGTAAGTAGCCCTATTGAAATTTTGCAGGCGTCGGTTGATCAAATATCTTAGATTCTAATTCCAAAAAAATCTCTACGCTGGTAGACGTGACGGGGAATAATCTGACAGAACTGTCGCTTAATATACAAGGATTTAAGAATTACCTCATCTAGATCTACTAAGACGAAGGCCTTTTTGGGCAATCGCATCATGTTTGTCGAGGATTATCTATGCAGTGGCAAAGCTATCACCACAACGCAGTAATCGTCAGAGTCTAGACTCTCTATTTAAGAAAGACAAGATATTCCTGTCACAAGCATTGGAAGGTTCACCAGCTAGACAACGATCAGCTGCAACAACAGTGTCCAGGGCAATCATTGCCGTAGCTATCAAAGTGTGCATATGCAATATCTTTTCGAATAAACGCAGCCAATAGCAACCAGTCGTCAGTTTCTTCCTTCGGGAAACGGGAGGAGACCTGCCCAAGGTCAAGGATCAATCAGTCAAGCCGTGATAGCCGGGTTGCGCCTTTTACTTTTGATCAGCGAAAGGCCAGAACGCGAACATCCTCTCCCGCCATGCAGGGTTTTGGTGAGTGAGTACGGGAGAAGAGAGACGGGCGAGTGAAGATCATATCGGTGAAACCACCGGAAGGGCTGTGAGGTGCAGCTGATTTGAATGATCTGCAAGGGTCCTGGAATTGTGCCCGAAACAACTGTTGCGCTTATGTCTTTAGGGGTGCATGGTGCCCAATACCGGGTGGGTTCGCAACAACGGTCTACTCTAGCGGGACAACCTGATTATCTTGTTGGCAGTGGGGAGCATCCATCGCGCGGACGCGATGCTCACGGTCCTGTGGATCATCGTTGTTCTCGACCTTTTAACCCGTGAACGACGTACAGACACGAACTAATTTCTTTTACGAAGATGATTCATCACGGGTACGAGGGGTTGGGAGTTTTGGAAAAAAAAAGTCTTCATTGAATTTCCGTGGAACCATCCGTAACGACGATATTCTGATTCGTTGCATCGGCCGTGACAACAAATAGAACGAGGAACAGCGGATTTTTGGTCGGGTGGACCTCTCCAACGCCTTGATAAACTCCAAACGTCCTCTCTTTCATACGCTAAATCGTCAAATCCCAGCCCACAAACCGTGTACCAGACACAGCTGCATGTACTTCTTGTGCTTTCCCTCTGCGACTACGAGTCCGTAGAAGAAATCGAGCACGACATCGACCCCTTTCGAAGCGAGGCCGACTGCTGATTTGGAGGCATCGAAGGTCCTGACCTCCGACGCGCGGACTTCTGCGCGAGCTCAAATTGCTCCTTAGTGTGCTGGTGCATTGTTCTTTAATCAGGTGAGCTAGCGCTACGAAATAATCACATGCGCTCTACCTACTTGGAATACATAGCCATAGCCCTCTCTGGGTCGGCTAGATCGTGTTGGTTGGGATAGCTGTGTTGAGCAGACATTGGTTCAGAATATTGGCCGTGGATGTATACGTCGTTTGTGTGAGCGACAGATCCCATAGTTTGTGATAAGATGGACGATGGCAAACCACCACTATCGCGTGCGATTTTGGGCGGCAGCAAGCGCTATATATGCGTTTTGAGAGACGAACGTAATGTACGAGAGAAGGGCTAGCGGTGATAAACTTGGAAGCAGTGATCCAGAACGCTCAGGCTGAGATCTGCTCGCGGTATATAATTCCAGGCCGCCCACCACCTAAGGACAAAGAGTACCCTGAAAGTCTCTGTACCCTACTCCAGTGTGCCCGCGCCTTGCCATCAGCGGCAACAGATCGACGCCACGCCCAGACTACTGCATCATGTTGGATCTTTTGATCCCGCCTCGCCTGTTAGGATCGTCGTCATCGTACGAACATCATTGGCGGCACTTAAGGTGATTGCCAAAGGCATTACCATCCCCGTGCTAGAAATTTCAACGGCATGTCGAAATACGGGACTTGGAGAGCCCGCAGAGATCGGCGCTGGTGAAGTCAGTTTTTTCGCGCCTAGTCCGCTCTCCTCCCGCTAGGATGGGCAATTCAATGGACCTGGACTTTTCAACATTTGCCATGGACCCTGAAGCCCGTAAGGCAAGGCCACTGCACGGTTGCAATAGTTTGTCGAGACATAGTAAAGCCGCTGTTGATCTCCCTCCGTCACGATAACCGCATCGTCCCATCGAGTGAACGGTCTTCCAGTAGCACGGAGGCTAATGTCAAGGTGCACTGGAAAGGCGACGCACCGCACTTTCTTCTACGCGCTGTAGCGATTTGGAGGCACGCTTGGTTCGCCAGCTCAAGTTTGCCACGGAATGAAGTCACACGGTTCGGTTGAGCAGAAGAATGGTTTGGACAGACGTTGGTCAGGGTCTGGAAATGCCCCGGTCGAACAAAGCTTGGCTAAGCCAAATGACGTTTTGGCGTCGCCTCCTGGTCGTCGCACAAACGACGACACAATTCGCGGACGGGAGAGGAACAGAGTGTTGATATGTCCCAGCGCAGCATTCGTATACGGGGAACAGTATCATCTAGAAGGTTTCCATCAGCCGCGTTGGCGACACCTGGTTTCTCATTTGACGTCCGACGCAGCCGAGGTACTGCAGGCGAGATGCTAGTGCCACGCGATTCACAGTTGATAGACGTAAATCATCCATTGTCGAGCCTCAGGTAAGGATAGCAGCTACTCGCTCGTCTCCAGGTTGTACGGAGATCTCTTCAGATGCCAGCTGGAGTCGAAGAGCCTTCGTGTGCAACCGCGCGGGCCACTGCATGACAGCTATACAGTACAGCACTATGCTGGCCGAGGAAAGTAAGCAATTGGCCGAGAACTACGTCACGGGTTGTTCAGAGTTGCCTCCGATGGGGCGGCCACCCTTACATATTTCAGACAACATGCCACGCTATGGGCAACTGTGGCAACGATTCCCCAATCTTGGGACGTCCGCAAAGACGCTTTGTATCCCTTGCTTCAGTTCAATTTCTCGATGTAGGATTACTCAGGCTAGTTATTCGTGGACAGCCCTGCTGTAGCAATTGAGATGAACGTGCTAGCTGTGAGGCGCTCGGTTGGCGGGCTTTTTCTTACGAAACAATGAGTCGCCCGTAGCGAACAATGACAAAATATTGGCCAGTAGCGCATGGCTGGGTGGGAATACTGTAGAATGCACTAGGAAGCTGGCCTAGTGGAAGCGGATCCTGGCTGCCGCTCGACTGGCGAATCTCCTCACGTCCATCGACGTCACAGGATCAGCCTTGACATCAGCCTACTGTAGCTCTCAGTGTTCGCAAGCCAGGGCCCTCTGTCGCTTGGGCCAGTAGCTGCGTCAGAGGACCATTTTCCGACCTATGTTGGAGGTTTTTTTTTTGTGAAAAGCATTGGATCATGTCAGCTTCACTGACCAGGACAAATCCTCTACGATTCTTCGGTTGTGCTGGTGGCGACCGTGCTCATCGATACGTCGTGATCGTCGCATGAAGACCAAAAGCACTGGTCGTCGGGTTTCATGGCAGGTTTAGACGATGACGCTACGCCCGACGGTTACCGTTCGCATCCCCTTCCATGCAAGCTCAACTATATCCTGTTAGCGCAGTAGCACCATCTGGTATATATTTACGTACAGTGAAGGACGATTTTTCTCCACAAGGGGGCACGAATGAAGCAGACATCGTTGCTCTCTCAGCCGTCATCTCCACGTAGTGCACGACTTCCAGCGTAATATACCCGCAGCCCTTCTCTGAAGAAGAAGAAAGAAAGAGGATGGAAAAAAGAGATAAGAAGAAACCTGGCGGGCTCATCCTTGAGCCATGTACGAGCACGAACGTAGAGTCCCCCCAGCTCCAGAAAAAAAAATCATCTCGTATCAGTCGCACACGGGGGCAGAAAGATAGAACCAACCCGTTTGCCTAAAGCAACTCAGTGTACCCTTCGTGACGTCGCCCAATGCTCTCCCCGGGCGACGGACCAACCACCGCTCTACACAAAACACACACACAGACGCGCACAAGTGCCCATCCCGGCGCCATCAGCGCGCTCGCCGCCCCTCCCCCACTTGGCCTCGAGATGCTCGCCACATGGGCCCTGCATCGTGACGCTTTCGCACGCCGGACGCGGCCGAAAGGAGTAGGAAGATGCTTGGAAGTCAGGCCGGGGACGACGAGATGGGATGGATTAGCGGTGTTGCCCGGGCATGGCATGCGCACGATTGGACGAGCAGCGTAAGGAGAAAAGGGCAGTAGAATAGGATGGGGAAAAAAAAAAAGAAAAGAAAAGCGGAGGGGAAGGTCCATCTGTCCGTCCCGAGGCGAGGCTGCTGGCCTTTCCCGCCGCCAACCTGAAAAAAACCATCAGGTTTACAAAGCACTTCCCCACGATCTGATTTGACTCGAGGCCTTGGGTCTCTCTCAAGCACGACTGGCGACTCGTAGTGGGCTGGTCACGTAAAGACAACGGTCTGAGGTGCTGGCTTGCCGACATGTTCGAAATGCGTTTGCGTCATGGGCGACTCTGAAAACAAGAAAGGCGTACTATTTGAATATTCTGCCTCGGACATGGTGGGCATCCTATGCCGGAGCACAAAGGTAGCGCCAGCCGCGCTGATGCTGCGGTGAAACTGTCGTCAGTATTCGTACAATGCTTGTGGATCCTCTTATACGATCTTTTCTTGATCGAGCACCTCCTGCCCATTACTCTTCAGCCTTCACATTAGTGCCCGCCTCCGGCTCGCCTGGACTCATCACTCCCTCATCGTCATCGCTCGACTCTTCGCTCTGCCGCTTAGGCTGGAAGCTGAACACCTCCTCCGGACCGCTCCCACTACCGCTAGCCTCAGCACGATCGACAGTATCCTCAAAGAGCCTCTCGGCGTCTTGTTGCTCTCTTCTCTCTTCCTCCTCGTCCGTCCCGGCATCGACGTCGTAATCGCTGAACCCATCGCTCTTGTTATCATCCTTGTCCGTGACCGCGACTGCAGGACGTTTCTTGCGCTCAAAGTCTTGCGCGTGTGCTGTGTGGAGCAGGTTGCCCACATAGCTGAGTCCCCATATCAACGGACTGGGCTCGGTGTTTGAACGCGACTTCCGCCTCCGTGGCCGAACCGTAGTCGTGCTGTCTTGGGTGCGCTGTCGCTCGAGATCCACGCCTGTGGAGCGTGTTCGCGAAAGACTGGGCGAGATTCTGAGACCCTGTCTCCTTTGCTCTTCCTCTCTCGCCTCCCTCTCTTCGTCCTCCGCCGTCTCCTCCGCTTCCACGATCGTCCCTTCTCCTTCAGCACCTTCGGGGATCTTCTTGATCTTGTAAGGAAGCGGCACGTCTCTACTGGCTCTGAAGCGGCCAACATTTGTGCAATGCTCGTTCTCGACTCTGAAGATGGTCCAGACACCACGACGGAAGACCTCGCTCAAGGAAACGACAAAGGACAGAGTGGCCGAGTGCTGCACATCGTTTGCGTAGATGGCGTAAAAAATCCAGTTGAATCTTAGTATAGGGTCGATGATCATGGCAACATAGTACATCCACACTTGCTTGAAGGCCAGATGATCGCGTAAGAATCTGTAGTGCGAGTATGGGTCTAGAAGAGACCAGTCCATGACGAGGTCCCAAATACCTAGGAGGGAGGACAACAAAGGTCAGAGGCAGGTGCTTATCAACGGATGAGCGGGGGGCACAAGACTTACTGCAATAGACGGCATTGACGGTGGCAAAGAAGATGAATAGCGCCTTCAGCTCGAAAGTCTTGTCCATTCTCCACAGGCTCAGGCTCATGTAATAACAAATCGTCGCTGTGTATTTTCCACAGTTGGCCAGGTGGGGAAAGGCATTCTTCGTGTCGCGGTAACGCCTCAAGCACTGCAGCGCACGCCACACGCCAGGCAGGGTGCTGAAGAAGCCAAGCAGTCTCGAGTTGTTACTGTTGCATTGGGCAGGGTTGGCAAAGCTTGCATGTCCCGGCGCGAGGTGCGCATACAGACAAAAGAACAGCTCGATGTTGCCCATTGCGTACGTCTGCGAGCAGAACATGTCGCCCAGGAAGAAGTCACGGAACTCGACAGGGTACAGACCAGAGAAGAAGAGGCGCCACAGCGCGGTGAGGAACCACCATCTCGCCCGATGGTAGAGTATGGGCAGCGGATTGAACAGCAGAACAAAGGTGACGCCGACGAGGATGACGGGATAATAGATGAACATCTGGGAAGTTCCGTACTGAGAGAAGTTTATCCAGACGAAGAAGCCGAGAAGGAAAAGGAGGAACGAGGGAAGCTCAGCGAGCTGGCGCCAGTCGAGATTGTGGCGGCTGTCGAACTCAAATACGAAGGCGTAATTCACCTTTGCCATAGTCCAGAATCGGCAGTCGAAGACGAAGAAGAGCATGAGTAGCAGCATGAGGAAGTATCCGCCGTAAATCTAATAGTCACACCTCAAGTCAGTGATGAAGACCCTTTTTAGTTGAGTGTGCTAGGTTTACTTGAGGAGGGTCGTCCAAGCTGAAATATGAAAAGGAGGATACGAACCTGGAGTAGATAGCTGGTGTTCAATCTCAGCACCTGGTCGTGGCCGTATATGATCTGGCCGGCGTAGACGAGGCCTTCGACGGCAAAGACCAAACCCGCAGCAATATACAGGCCTGTCCTGAATACGACGCCGGTGAAGTCGACCGACTGCGTCGTCTTCTGTCTCAGCTTGCCGGCGGCGACCTTGTGATTGCCGCCCTCAAAGTAGCGGGCGTACAGGTCCTCGACGGCGCGGATGTGGCAGTCGACGACGTCGCTCGTGACAAAGTAAGCGTGGTTGACCTTCTCGTTCATGTACCGCAGACTGGGCCTCGCGTTGACGGCCTTGTCGTACTTCTTGTTGATCTTGCGAAACGCCTTGCGATTCAGCAGCGCGTAGCTCTTCAGAAGCTCCAGGCCGCGGTAGTACTCCTGCATGGCCAGCTTTAGCTTCCGCTTCGCTGTCCGGTAGGGGATCCGTGTGTGCTGCTTCCTGCGGACGTAGTCTCGGTTCCAATCTTCCGGGTTCCCGCCCTCGAGCACCTGCGGCGTGCCCAACGTCGCCATAGCCTTGGATTTTTTCCCAAACTTGCCATGCTTAGCAGCGGTGAGTGCCTCATCCAGTTTGTGGAGCCACGAGTCTGTCTTTGCAAGCAAGAAACCGTTCCCCTTACCGTCGTTGCCGTTGCCTTCGGAGGCCTTCGCAGCCTTTCTAGACTCCATGCGCGCCTTGACCAGCTCCTCGATTCGCCGATCGCGCATGATGTGCAGCTGCTGTCGAAGAACTTCCAAACGTTTGGTCGCCTCGTCCTCCTTGAGCTTGTAGAACGACTCCACCTTCTCCAGCTCGAGATCGAGGAAGTTGAAGAACTCGGCCTGGCGCAGGTCCAGCTCGCGATACGCCTCGAGCGGAAGGTCGACCGGAGAGGGCGTGCTCGGTGCGCCTAGCGAAAGCAGCCGCTTCATCACCGGCCGCGACGGGCCCTCGGATGCGCCGTACGGAAGCGAATTGACCCGCCGAGGGCTGAATATGCTTCTATGCCTGATGCTAAGCGGTGTCTTGCGTGCTGGTTGCCTCGTCTTGCCAGCCTCGTACGGCGTTGACCCCACCACATCGTCCTGGCCGACCTCCTCGACGCCCTTCAGCAGCTGCGGCTCGCTCGTCGTCGTAGTCAGCGGAGGCTCGTCTGCCGTTGGCGTCGTGGTACGCAGCGCGGGGCCCGGAAGATTCAGACTAGGGGGGCCGCGACCTCTCAGACTGTGCGACGCAGCATCGTCGCGAGGCGGGCTGCCGATGATGCTGCCATATCTCGTCAGTCCTCGCTCCGTGTACGTGTGGTGCAAAGTGCTTTCAAAATCATGCTTGAGGGGTGTAGTCTCAGCTGCGTCGTGGTCGTCGCCTTGATGCGCGGCGTCGCTGGGTCTACTGCGAGCACGGTACAAGGGAGTCAAGTACCCTATGCCATCTCTGCCGCCGCTGTGGTTGCTGCTCCGGGTGCGCACCGGGGCGATGTCCTTTGGCGCGGACGACGTATGCTGGTGCGAGGGCGTGTTCCCCTGTACAGTCTGCGCATCGTGCGGAGTGTGCAAAGGTCGCGAGCCTCCTCTGCTTAGGTACGAGTACTGGGGAGCGGCGTCCCTGCGGCTTGAAACAGTGTTTCCGCGTCCGAGTCGTCTCGGTGTGAGAGGGTTGCTGCTCTGCGCCGTCCTCAATGCCCGCTGGATTGCTTTGATCTTCTTCTTCCCGAGCTGGTTCACGATGACAGTCAGCCGTCCTGCCCAACCGCAGCAGATGCGACACAAGTCCAAAGGCGCAAAGGGAGCATGCCTACCTTATAGTCCAGGTACTTGATCCTCCATTCCGGCACAAGTTCGTGCTCGAGCTCCCTGTGCGCGTCGTGTCAGCATCTTTGCCCACTCGGCAGCTGGTCATGTGCATGAATCAGACAAGATAACGTACTTTGCAAACTTCATCGCCTACACAGCCAATGCCCAATGGCACGCCACGACAAGCTCGCTCGGTCGCTCAAACGACAGAACGGTGGCTCGATGTGTGTACAATGGTGCCCCACACGTTCATCACCAAGACAAGGCGTGGCCGAAGGGGATTTTTTTTTTCTATCACGGCTCTGGCGCTCCAACCAGCGTCACAGTGGAATTCGCTGGGGCTTCCCGTCGCGCTGGCCTCGGACCCAAGCCCAAAATGGAGACGGTGGAGACGAAAGCTGATTCCGATCGCGGATGGCGTCCGAGGAGGCAAATGACGTAATGAAAAGCCAAGCTGGTGTTTCGAAGTCAATGTTCAGGCCTTTCGCATGATGCAAGTGGTGGGCGGATGTGGGTGTTGTGTATGCGTGCATAAGTGTTGGGTGACAGAAACTGCTTCTGCTGGCTGGGTGCTTTCTGTCGGCAGATGGCAACTGTCCAGCAGCGGCACCATTCGCAGACCAGATCGCTGCAGAGATTGATTCGGAGCAGCACCAATAGGGCGGCCATTGTTCATTACCACTCGACACAGGAGACGCTCGCCTGGATTCGTCTCGGCGTCTCGTCTTGGGTTCTCGTGCAATGGACGTTTATGCTGCACACACGTGGTCAAGGGTCCAGGCCCGTGAGAACAATCGTTTGCGGGGTAGCGAAGAGGAGAAAACGTGGGAACATTGTTCTATCAGACGGTGCTGGCTTTGAAACGTCTTTGTGTTTGGCTGTTTTATTGTTCGGTAGTGTGTGTGTGTGTTTGTTTATTTGCTTCACGACCGCATTGGCTGGATCCTGGGCACATAGATGCGACTTCTAAGGAAAACGGCCATCTGGTTGATCTGACCTAGTAGATCGATACACGGGTGTTCTTCACACGATCGTCGTCACTCGAGGGGCGAATGCGAACTTGTCGATGATTGTACGGCAGGAAACAGCTTTTTTCACGTTGACCGAGCATCCAATGCAGCAGGCACTTTTCGCGGTTGCTTGCAGGCAGATTTGCACAAAGATTCTCAGATTTGACGAGGAAATTTTTTTTTCATTTATTGTTCATTTCTCATCTCGTAGCTATCGCTCACAATGGTCGTTGTGACGACGTGAAACGTGTCGACCAAGGCCCGACTACGACCGTCTACCAGCGGTCTTCTCCATACTCCCGTCGCAGCCTCTCGTGTGGTCGATGTCTCTCGGGGTCATACTCGTCATGGCGACCGTAGTGGTCGTCATACATGCGCTCCGCCGACTCGCGGGCATGTCGCTTGGCCTTCTCGCGGTCGATGAAATCAGCGCCCTTGGTCTCGGCAAGGCGATCGACCTCTGCGCCGGCAAAGCCAGCGAGCAGCTCCTTGGCGAAGGCGTGGTTGACGGTCTTGCCTGTAGTGCGTCGGTACGTAAGCACGTGTCACATTCCACATCGGAACGATACGATACATTGCATGGACGGAGCGGAGGAGGGGCCGTGGAATGGTTTATGAAAGGGCAGGGCACGTACCCTCCTTGCGCTGGTGATCCTCAAACATCTTCATGGCACCGAAGGCGGCAGCACCGCCTAGCAGCTCGTGACCGAACGATGCCTCGTGTGGTTCGGCCGACTGGTAGTTCTGGTACGCATCGTGAGACTCGTCTATGCACGTGTTAGCGAGCGTCGTCCTTCCGTCGTTGTATCTCAATCCAAGGTCTCGTCACGATAGCAGCCGCGACCAGCCCACACAGCGCGAAGTCATGAGCAAAGGATGGGACGACTCTCGAGCGTGCTTGCCCATGAGCGATGAAGAGCGTCCATCAAATTTCCTTGGTGTTGGACTTCGCGACGCATAGGATTGTGCAAGGGACAAGCGGACATACCCCAACCGTAAGCCATGATGACAGCTGTTGTAAGGCGCGGAAGTGTCTTGGAAGTGAACCTGTGTGGATTTTGAAGCTGGTCGAGGGCGTCGAACAGGCAGCAGATGTAGTGAATTGGTGATAGAAGGCGTTGGAAAAGCAGTGAAAGGGAAGTCGTTCGACCCCACCGGCGGGAACTGGTCAGGGCCTTTATATACGTGTCGTACTTCGGAGCGGATAGCTCTCAGCGGCGCTACCCGGCGGGCCCAACACCCTGCGTCATCTCGGTACCTGCAATCAAAATCGAACGTTCAGCTGCTCAGGGATCGCATTACGATGCAGGCCATGCATCAGAAGCCTGCCATGGCCCACCTCAGAGGCGAGCTTTGCCCTGCCTCCGCTCCAGCAGAGCTCCCGCTTTGACGCGGCCAAGCAAAAGGACGGCCGTAGTCTCGCGGTCCCAAGAAAAGCTAAGCTGAGCCTAAGGACAAGCCAGCGCAAAGAAAAGCCCCGCAGTAGCGGTGCTCTCACGTCACCGCCGCCGTCGAGTCTGCCGTGGACGAAGGCAGCTGCGTACGCGTGGAAGAGAAGAGCTTGGATTGCATCCTCGAGCCCCCCCTCAGCGCGGCATCCTCGTCATGGCCCGTCGAGCCACAAAAAGAGAAGGTATGCGGTGTAGCCTTCAGTCGTCGGACGGCGACACGCGATGGACGACGGGAATTTGCTCAGCGCCGGCGCTGGTGAGGGGCAGATCAGGAGCAGGAACGGATCAAACAAGGCGCAGCAAATCAGGCACAGCGAAGACACACGCCAGCCAAACCAACCGCAAAGCAGCGCAAAACAACCACATAATGAGAATCGACCGCCCCTGGCCTGCCCAGGGCTGCTCGTGGCGGGTCAGATCCTCATGCAGGGCTAAGCGGCTAAGCTTTCAACAAGCTCATTTGTCCACTTTCGTCTTGGCTGGTCTGGACCGAGTGCGAGCGCCCACACTGCACGAATACAAGACCTGTACATCATCCCCGCCTGTGTGCGTGGCAGTGGAGGCTGTGCATGAAAAACAGTCCTTCCAAGGCCGGGCATCGTCGTAGGACTGCGACTTTCTGTATCGCAAGGCGGCATGATGAGCAGAGCAACCATGTCACTACAAATGGAGGCATTGGCCAGTCCCACTCTGTGCCAACGTTCTTCATCGCTGTGCCACTCGTTCGGCGTGGCTTTGTAGATAGACACGTTCCCACCCTCAGACCCGCTAGGCGCGGTTTCGCTTCTCAGCGAAGGCCCAGGTTCTTTGGGGGGCCAGGATGTTGTACAAAACGTGATGACGATCCTGGGAATGATCCAGGTACCAAGAACTGATCTCCGACGACTGTCAGAGCTGCCGTTCTTTTGTTCTGTGCCCGCCCGGAAAGACGCCAGGAACCGTGCCGGATGACACACCGCGCCTGGCCCTCTTTCATCCCTGATGAGCACTGCGAAGCGCACTCCACATCGGCCTCGCGTTTCGTGAAACACGGCGCCTTATGCTCGAGGAAGCTGTTCATTTTCCGCCGACTTGGTGTCTGGGCTCGTCGGCAACGCAAACACGATGCGTTCTCGACTTCACAGCGGATCCAGACAGGTCGTCCGCATCTCGTCAGAACTAAAAGACACAGCGGTTGCACGGTTTGCAAATTAGAGCCATTGCATTCTTTTGGTGCACCATGAACAGCTGGCTTTGGTAACAGATCTATGGGTAACAGCCCCGCATCAAGACCTGAAGCTCGTAGTTCTGTCTCTTGAACAGCGCTTTGATGGCCCTGCAGTCTTCCTACACGCGTAGACAACACCGCACAGCGCATATAAAAGACAAGACGCCCTGTGATTTCATTTTGATGAATTGTCATGTCCAGCACACGTCCATTATTCATTCCACTGCCGCTAAAATCCATTGCATAGCCGACATGAGTATGAGCAGCCAAATTGGCTGCTGATAAAAATGCAACAATTGATTTCATCCCCGCCAAAGTCCTTCACATTTCTCAAAAGGTCATCCAGGTCACTCACAGCCACTTGGTCATTATCCCACAAGAGCTCTGGCATCATCGAAACTAGATCTTCGAACTGTATGAGATGGCAAAGTCAGCATATGGTACCCAGATTACACACGGGAGGCTTCACGCACCGCGGTAGACCCCGGGGCAAGTCATGCTCCAGAGTTGCCGGAAAATTTGGCGCTCGTTTCTGAAGAAAAGCCTGCACTCCCTCCTTGAGATCTCTGTTGGAAGGACAAGGTCTCCAGTCAGCCATAATTTCTTTGACTGTGAGACTCATCAAATCAGTTCGGGGGAACAAAGTAGCTCACTTTCCACTATAAAGGGTGCTAAGCACTTCGGTCTCCATCTTCTTGGACGATTCCAGCGTGTCGTTTCCTTGAAGGAGCATCTCACGGCACGCGTATCCCGCGACCAAGGACACGTTCTGGGACACGTCCTCGGCAATCTCAATGGCGCGCTTGACCGTTGCTTCGGGGGTGTCCAAGGTCTCTGCGATGATGCCCTCCAGCCTCCGATCGTTCGCTTTGAGAATCGCCCCAGTCGTAGCAAGATACGTCGCCGTGCTCAGGCCAACCATGCGCGGGAGATAGAACGTGCTTCCAGCCTCAAGAACGAGCCCTCGCTTTGCGAAGATGAAGCCGATTTTGGCGTCCTTGTACGCAACGCGAATGCTGAATGGCAGCGTGAGCGTGATGCCAATTCCAACGGCGGCGCCGTTGATGGCCGCGATGGTCGGCTTGCGGATGTGACCGAGCGCTCCCGACAGATCTTTGCGCTCCTCGCTGCCGCCGCCGCCGCCGCCTCCGACGCCGAACTTACCGAACCCTTGCTCGAGGTCTGCGCCTGCGCAGAAGGTGCGCCCGTGTCCCGTGATGACAATCGCCTTGATCCGTGGATCCTTGTCCAGTAACTCGAACGTCGTAACTAGCTCGTCGGACATGACTCTGGTGAAGGCATTGTTGTTCTTGGGCCGGTACAGAGTCAGGACAACCACCGGCGTAACGGTGGGACTTGAAGCCGGATTGTGCGACAGCTTGAGCGTCGTCAGGTTATTGTCCGCGTACGCAGAGTAGGAAGAAGGGAATTGAGTCGCCATGATGAAATCGTTTCTGTATCACGCCGCCAGAATCTGACAGCAGGAGCTGTTGTTGTACTTTAGAAAAGCAGTGGATTCAAGCCACGCTGCAGACGGCCGTCTTGAATTCGACCCCCATCCCTCCGTCTTAAACCATTCGTACGGCGCACATATTCATATTTGAGGTCGTGGCGTGTAAGCGGAGTTGCAGCGGGCTTCCTCGGTAACCCCAATATCCATGCCGGATATCTCTGCTGAGCTGGAATGGCCGAATCAAATAGCCCACAGCCAATGTTCAAGGCTTTCCAGTCTGGTTCTCCAGAGGCTATGGCTGACGCTGAGGGATTTCTATCGCCAAGTCCGCCGTACTCAAGATTCATATTTGGGATCAAGCTGGCGTGCCAGCTGCCAAATTGCTTCGTGTTCTCTGATTTCGCTTAGCGTGACCTGATGATCTTGGGCAGGACACCTCTGGCAAACTTTCTTTCCTCACCAGGACTAAACATACAGCTCAAAGGGGAAAAACAAACCAGTTTTTCTCTCCATCGGTCTCCGACAGACCTTTCTCCATGTACAACCGATGTTTTTGCTCGTCTCCTCATGCCCCTGTGACAGGACGTGCAGATTCCTTTTGAAGTTTGCTCTTTTCACCAGCCTAGTGAGACAAAGCGTCCAGGAGGAACATGTAGTCCTAGATTATACACGCACATGTCTCCGAAGCGGCAGCGACGTCGTTTGCGGTTACACGATTTCTCACCTGTATTTATTTTAACCGTTGGATCGCCAATGCCACCACTGCACCTCCTTCGTACCACCCCGGCAGGTAGGTCAAAAGGAATCTAACCCACCTTACAACGCACGAGTCGACAAGCATCATTCTTCAAATCTTGCCTTTCGTTAACTTACGTTGACGACCTGTTTACGAAGCAGTCAGAAGGGATCGCGACGTTCGCCGATGCCAACGCGGATTGTACCAGATCCTCTGCAGCGAACACTTCATCCGAAAGACTACACATCGACCTCACCACCTGGTTAGATTCTCGACCGAATACGACCTGAGAGGTCGCGCAGCTCGCCACCTTTCATGCAAGCCTGAAGCGGGCTGTTCATAGCCGTGGGCGCTGTTTCAAAACGCCCTTTCTAGCCCTACGGTGTAATCTCAGGGCCGAATCTTCAATACCCGCTTTGTATGCAAGAGGGCTATTTCGCGACGGTCATGGACAGCGAGCGTTCTCCGCAACTCATGTTTTCGCATGAATTATCACTGATGTAAGTTTGGATATGTAACTCTAGGAGGAAAAAACGGCCGAGGTGAACACTTCTCAAGCTTCGCGCCTGCAAGTCAAGAGGTCTGTTCAGTTCACACGAAGCCAATCACACTGCTGACCGCATTGCGCGGTCAATTCGTGAAAGCTAATGGACAAAAATCTCCCCATGAGCGAGAGCATAGACGTAAGGAAATAACAAGGATCGTGTGCTGCGTATACTAATCGTCGGGGAAAATGTGACATTTGTTTTTCATTCTACAAGATTAGCCAGTGCCAAGCGGATCTTGAACAGAAATCGTCCACGTAAGAAGACGTCGCCCCCAACAGATCCGCGTTTTGAGCAATGTCTTGAGACACGGAACAAGCGCCATGGCTATCCATGACCACTCGCTTAAGTCGAGGCAAGGAGCATCCTAAATATTTTTCTAAAATGTCACAAAAGGATTGTGCAAGAAGCGTCTTGTGCAAATTAAATCATTGCTAGGTGAGATGGAAGCAACCCATAGACTTCTTTATTCAGATCAAATTGGCCAAAACGGTGGAAAGGACACGCCATCAATCGTCAAATTCAGACTGAGTAAGGATCTGTACAATATGTATGTTTCGTTTCATGTTCAGAGTCGTGCATGTTTCGAGCGTACAAATCCCGGGAGCAGACGACGCTACAGAGGTCCGATGCTCGCGGGAAACTCTCTCAATGGAAGTGCAGCGGCGTCACCACTTCATTCCGCTGCGGCGTGCAGCCTCAGTTTAACACCGTCCATTGGTCTCCCCGTCAATGTCAAGAACCAAGGGATGGGTTCGTCGCCGTGCGCGGAACCGTCAAGTTTATCGAACTTCTGCAGCATCCGTACGGTCACGTAGCCGGCCTCCGTAAGCGCAAACTGCTGTCCAAGGCAGATTCTGGAAAGCGATTAGCGGAAGATGGAAAATGGTTTTGGCAACCACCGTTGCGCGGACATACCTTGGACCTCCGTTGAACGGCAAGTACTCGAACCCAGGCTTCTTGTTCTCCCACCGTTCAGGCTTAAACTCGTCCGCGTCGGGTCCCCAGAATTCAGGCGTGCGCATCGTCGCGAAGACTGAGTAGTTCACCTCTGTGCCCTTGGGGACAAATAGTGGTGACATGCCATCCGGACCGCCGCCTCGAGGTAGGGTAGTGTCAACGACGCTGCGCCTACTGTTCAGCGGCACTGAAGGATACAGCCTCAGGGTCTCGTTGAGACACCATTGCAAGTATTGACAGGATTTCAAGCTGGAGAAGCTGAGCTTGCTCTCGTCAGTACCAAAGTCATTCAGAATCGTGTCGCGCAGCTTGTTGAACTTGGCAGGTTCCTTGGACAGAACCCGGAACAAGAAGGACAGTAATCCGGCTGTGGTATCGCGACCTGCGACAAGGATCGACAGCAGCTGATCTCGTATCTCTATCGGGTCCTTGGTCGCCTGAGCGAGTTGCTCGAGGAAGATGTACTTCTCCTTCTCGCCGCTCTCTAGCTTCTTCTCCGAGTCATGCGCGAGCGCTTTCTGCACAAAGCGATCGATGTACTCGTGGACCGTCTTGCAGTAATCGCGGTATTGCTTGGTCAGATACAGCGAATAAAAGTCGTTCAAACGGAAGGCGCGCGCTATACAGTCTTGGCTTTGCTCGAATGCAGTCACGAAAGCGGCATGCTTCTGCCACTCAGTCTGGTCAGCGCCGGGCAGTGCGGCAAGTTGCGTGCCTACGCTCTCTCCGAACAGAAACTCCGTGGCGGAGTCAACGGTGAGTCGGAAAAACAACGGGATCAAGTCAATTACGTCGGTCCAGCCGTCGCTGCCTACTGGCATAGCCTTGAACATGTGCTGCATGTGGACCTCCTCAAGTTCCAGGTCGCTGACCTGATTACGAGCGAATTGCGGGCGAAGCAGCGCACGCGAATGCTCCCACTGCCGCCCATCGGCAGAAAAGATGCCGGCGCCGAGCCTTTGTAGGTTTAGATCTGGAATGCAAGCAGAAGCGAGTCATAGGAGCTTACAGCGGCGAAAAGGTGCCATGTCGAATGGGACCCAACTCAAAGTCTTTGAACTGAGTGGCTAAAATAGCCTGGATGTTCTTCGGATCTCGCGTGACATAGAGCGGCAAACGAAGCAGCTGTGCGACGAACGTGTGGACAGGCCGTCCTTCTTGCCGCGAAACGGTGTCGAACCGCTCAAGGACGTGTTGCGGCAGGTAGCCGGTAGAATTCGCCTTGAAGAGGTTCGCCACGGGAATGATACCCAAAGGATCGGGCGATGGGAAAGTGGGTGCTGGCTTGCAGCCCAGCTGGCGTGCTTTTCTGGCATTTCTGGCATTTCTCAAGACGAAGAAGAGCAACTTGTAGCACAAGTAGGAGGGGATGGCTAGGAAAGGAAGCAGAAGTGGGTTCATGACCAAGCGTGCGAGCGGGGCTGAGCGGAGAGCCATGGCGAAGGGGTTTGAATGAAGAACGGCTACAATCTTTCGCATGCGATTAATATACTGATTTGTGAGACATCGAAACACGAGTTCGAGACGCCCCCAAAAGCTTCCGATGGTGGGCAACGTAAGCAGTAATGGCCGCTTGAGGGACAGGGGAACTTGGCGTTTCTGGCACGCCTACAAGGATACCGAGGATCTTGGAGGCTCGAAACAACACATCCTACCTTCGAATTGCTGTTGAAAACGGCCAAATCAGATGTGAGTCCGAGATGGTGCGGGGATATGCAATCGAGTGACGAAACAGAAGCAATGTCCTCCAGGACGAACTTCCTGACGGGGAATAAGCTCATTTTAGACTCCCTTTAACCTTTTTCGATTCTAGGCATCGTTGCCGATGCAGTCCGTCGGGCCGTGGCTGCTCTTCCGTTCGCACGGCTTGATGTCGTTTCTCGCGTCCTCCATATCGTGTTCAGATTGAATCTTTCCATGGCTCGTGGAACGTAAGATGGTCGAATGCAATGACCTGCAGGGTGTTCTTGAAGGCGTCGCTGAGCCTGATGTGAGACTAAGCACTAACTTGAACTGCAAAGGACCAGCGCATTTTCACGTGATCGGCCTGCGCACGAGCCAGTACGAATGTCCGAACGTCGATGGCAGATCTGCCCCTCGTACGACGTCGTACGGAGTAGCGAATCATAGCACGGGCAAAGTCATCTTACGGGAAGGCTATAAAGAGCGGGCAGTCTGCGCTTGTCGAGACGGAAGAACAATGGTCCGCATCGTCCCTACTAAGGACGATAACATACCTGGCAAATATGCCATCGTTCCCCCGGCAAACGGGCAGCCGGCCACCAACATTCTCGTGCTGCTCCATGGCTTAGGCGACACTGAATTACCATTTAAGTCGTTCGCTGAGAAGCTGCAGCTTCCAGAGACGGCGTATCTTGCGTTACGCGGTACTTCGAACTTGCCCTTTGATCTTGAGGGCGCACACTGGGGCGACGACATTGTTTTCGGAGTTGACGGCACGATTGAGGCCGACACGGGTTTCAAGAAGAGTACGAGGATCGTAGGAGACGACATCATTCGCAGCGTTCTGATCGACAAATGGGGGTACAAGTCTCGAGAGATCCTCCTCTTTGGCTATGGCCAAGGGGGCATGTTGGCCCTCAACATCGCCGCTGAGCTTGGCCTAGAGACTGAGCTTGGCGGCGTGGTCAGCATCGGAGGACCTCTGCCTTCTGGAGCAGCTTTGCCAGAAGTTGGGAAGAAGTGCAGGACTCCCGTGTTGCTTTGCCACGGATATAGGCGAAGTGCTGTCCAGGACGTAGACGTGGACAGATTGAAAGACTACTTCGAGTTCGTCGAAGTCAAGGAATGGCGGAAGACAGGCGATGGGATGCCGGCTTCAAGAGATGAGATGCTTCCCATCATGCAGTTCTGGGCCAGGCGGTTGAGAAGCAATAGAGGTGTGCCCGACGGCAGCATCGAAATCACATGAATCATTCTTGCAGAGCCTTCTACTACGTACGGCTTTGCTTCTTAATGCTTACTTCGAAGCTGACGAAATGCGGGGAGGTAACGAATATGCTCGGAATAACCCCTTTCGCATGCACAGCATGCAAACTACATTTTGGAGCTTCAAACGAACACCAGTGAGCCTTTTTTTTTTGCCCTCACTCACGGGCTACGTGAACTTCTTCATCACGTAGCCATAGTACTCAAACATTCCCCCGCCTTCCGCGAGCGTATATGAATCCAGCGACCACGTGTCTGGACGTGATAAGAGCGGTTTGATGAAATGTGGCTGCCTCCACGTCACATACAGCCACACACCGCCCGGCTTCAGCACCCTTGCAACCTGAGAAGTAGTCGATTCATCAGTGGAAAGAAGGAAATCAGTGTATTGCGAGAGGCGTACTTCATCCACATAAGCGCTCACATTGTTCTTTACTTCGTCATCAGGATCCCACAACGATCCGTACAGCATGGCATCCAAAGTAGCTTTGTCAATGGCAATATCGATTGAATGGTTGTCAAATGTCATCTTGCGCACATCCATAACGTCCCATTCCATGTCAGGGTGCAATTTTCTCATCTGCTCTATGACCACGGACGAGAAGTCGATTGATATCTGATTCTCATAGCCCAAATCGTGTAGGTCCTTGGACAAAGTCTGTAGTTTGGTCAACGCCCATCACTCACAGAGAGCAAGTGAGAACCAGCAGGTACTGACACTGTTCCCACATCCTAGCTGCAATATTCTCACGTCGCTGGGTGCCCCAGGGAGATGTTTAGTTAAAAAGGGCCTGATCGAATCAAACGTACGTAACCAGTCATACTTCTCCTCCGACCCTGCGTTTTCGCTGTACCTTTGATCCCAGTACTCGGGATGCGTGAGCTCTTCAAGCGAGGCCTTGTTGCTCATCGTACGTCTATACGTTTAGAAAACGTCGTGATCGTTGTTTGCGCTGGCGGACAAAAATTGAGAGGCATGCCTTACTCGAATGGGCGAAAGACCCGCCCGACGGCAGCCGAGAACTCGTTCTAACTGCCCAAGGATTAGCGCTCCTGGCATTTTCTATGAGACTGATCTCCTCCACGCTTAGCAATGTGCATGGACTTTGATTGCTAAGTCACTTTCACTGCCGAACAACCCGGGAAGAATTCAGGTTTCTGATTCAGACCGAGCAATTGCCATTCCTGGGCTGTTCTAAATGAAGAGTTTGATTTGTGATGGCACACAGCGCCTGCAAAGGCGACATTAGAACTACTGCTCTACATTTTTGAGCCCGTTCTCTTCCACCCTCCGCTTCCTTCCCAACGCCTTGCTGGTTCCTCTCGATCCAGTATATGAAGCATTCTTCTTGCTGAGACTCAACCTGTTCAACCGGATAGCCTAATCGAGTATCCTTCATTTGTATAAGCCGCCGTTATCACCTAAAGTATACGTACGGTACGCCCGATGCTGCCCGCTTTTCGAAATCTAGCCAAAAGGTTTTTCTACCCACATGTTGCCATCATGGTCCGGTCCCAGGAACTGCCACGTGAACGTCCCTACAAATAGAGAAACAGTATAAATCGCGACCAGCCAGTAGGTTACTTCTTTGAAATAATTCCGCTTCGTCCACCTCTGAGCCTTCCATTTCTCCTTGGGTCTAGCCACTCCGGTCAAAGGATCTCGTTCGAGCAAATCCTCGCGTTCTGGGACGTCGGGTGGAGAAATGGCGTAGCGAAGAGGCACAAGACAGGAATGGATCATGGGGATCCAGAGCATTGGAGGCCAGCCTACATGCGTCAATAGGTACTCCAGAATAGCCCACTTTCCTTCCAACCTAAAAGCACGAACCGAGCTCAACACCACTGAAGCGATCACGAAGAGAACGAAGGCGATATGGACCCAGCCGCCACAATCAAGCAGGATAACCTTCAGACGTCGGGCAAGCCCTGCTCGATGGAGTTTGCTGCGCTCATTGATGTCGTCCTTGATGGATCCTGATGGCTTAAACGACATGATTTTGCCCCCAAGCCAGCGCGGAAGCAGGAAGGAGCGAATTACGGTGATTGTATGGTACGGGGCCATCCAGAAGGTCGCCGAGGTTTCTTGACGACCAAGCCTGTATCCAGACGGCAAATAAGTGATCCAGACGTTCGCCATGCTGAGTAGGAGGGAGATGGCACACAGGCGAATTTGCCATCTTAGCTGAGTCGTGTTCGTGTACGCGACAAGCTGACCCCCGATTGCGAGGACGATCGGAATCGTGGCCATGGAAATGAGCAAAAACATCTTGAACAGAGCGTCCATCGAGAAGACGAATCCGGAAAGCCGCTGGTAGAACGTCATGTGCTTTATGGATTTACCCCACAAGAACCAGCGAAGCTTGGTGGCTGTCTGCAGCGTGCCTAGAGTCCATCGTGTTCGTTGTTTGAGATGGCCCGTAAAGGAATCTGGCACTGTTCCATACTGTAATGGCTCATGGATGTACGCTGTTCTCCAACCAGCGCCAAGCAGCATCGAGCTGGTGCAAACGTCTTCGGCGAGAGAACCAGTGGGCCAGCCTCCAATGGACTCGAGTGCCTTCCGTCGGACGAGGTATCCCGAGCCAGTGCACCACGCTACACCGGTAGCATCCTTTGACGGTTCCACGACGTGTACAAACGCGTCCAGGGACTGCGCAAGAGGGTCATTAGGCGGTATGTTGTAGAACAACTGTGGAGGGCAGACGAGCGCCATTTTGGGGTCGTTGATAACGTGAGCGACAATGGCCCGGAGCCAATCCTGCGTCGGTATCATGTCGGCATCCAGAGCTGCGATGTATTCTCCTGGACCACCTTCAAGCGTCGCAACAAAATCAGTTCCTCCGATCAAGTTGCCAGCTTTGGCATGGTGAGGAATGGTCTTGACTCTTGCGAAGTAGTAAAGATTTGGATACTGTTCCCGCGCAAGGTTCTCGACTGCCTTCTTGAGATCGAAATCTCCCCCGTCATCCAAGACCACGACGCGGAACCGGTCTTGCGGATAGTCACAACTGCATGCCTACCATTTGTCAGAACTTCACGTGCGTACAAAAAAAACCAAAAACTTACAGCTCTGGCAGTATCGAGAACGACATCTATGTCTTCTTTGCAGCATGTGATGAGAACATCGATAGTCGGGACGAATTGACTTATAAGGCGAAGCTTGGGTCGAACTCGTCCTCGCGCCGCCAGGATGAGCCATAGCTGGTGAAAAACCGCCGGCACTGCTCGAAAAGCCTTAGCAGACAACTACTAAACAGTTGCGAATAATCGAACTCACTAGCGACAAGGGCCTCTGCGACAATGAAGAACCATGCCAGGACGTAAGTTTTTTTGTACTTAATTGAAGATTCGCGCGTGCAGTATATTCTGTAGGGGAAGTAGAGGTAATAAGACCCCACGGCGAGAATGGTGGTAAACGGAACAAGCTTTGCAATCCATCGCTTCCATGCTGGCAGAAGACCATGGTCGTCTCGTTCGTGCAATATCTGAATAGTGTATGTGCTCTCGCTGTATCTGACTTCGAACGAAGATAAACAGGTCGAAGAGGAAGCAGAGTGTGGTGGCTTCTCGGATCTTGTCAGCAAAGTATGGATAAATCCCAGAGAAACCAAATGGCTAGTCTTACAGCTGAACAATTGATAAGATCTTTACTCTTATCTGACAGGCTCCAACGGCTCGGGGTGTTACATGCTGTTGTCTCGTAACACGACGTGGACCTTAAGGACTCGTCGCCCAGATTCATGACGTCTTGTCCTGGTGAATTGGACATGTTAAGCAAAGTCATTTGCAAGTCGTCGCCGAGTAGCCGAGTTGCGGAGGGCATTGACGAAAAGTATGCTAATGGAGGCATTAGGGAGCTTTGCAATATGCACGAGTCTGGCCGAGGGATTTCAGTAATCTCGTCTTGGGAGACCTTGTAAAGATCTGTAGGTATCAATGACTCCATGCGTATGTCTAAACTTTTTGATGAATGGGAAGACGACAGTCCGCATAAAACTGAGGGGAAGTGAGATTTATGCCGGGTAATACGAGTTGAAGCGACTTCTAAGTATTGAGGTGGCGTCTGTCGAGTTACAATAGTAGCGAATTTCCGAGCGACTTTGATAAGAGGCGGATGAAGACTTGCAGCCAGCGGAAAACTTCAAAAAGTGCAGAATTGATCTGAAAAATAAGGCCAGATTTTCAAGGTTGTTTATTGTGATTCAGCACCGAGATGACGCTCAGTGGTTGCTAGAACACCATAGAGTAAGAAGATCATTTCGGATAACAGGACTGGTGAGTATATCCAAATTTAAACCACTTAGACGACGCCCCTCGGTAGCCAATTCGCAAGACAGGACACAGCTGGTAACAACATCCCTTGAAACCATCGATATAACAAGGGCTTTTATGCATAAAAGCTGCCAATGAATCGGCAATTCACGCATGGCCACGAACCATTGAGCATGGGTTTGACGAAGATGCTGTGATAGCCGCGCATCGTAATAAGCCGGGAACGACAATGGAGAATTGAGTATGTGCCTAAGAAACATAGTCAACCTAAGCCCAGCTAAAGCACATGGCAATGAAGAAAATAGCATACACTGTTCTCGAGAATACAATCGTATCGACTGACCAAAATATCGATTGTCAACCAAGACTGACGTACACGGGTTCGGGAGTCGTGCAATCAGAGTACGGGAAATGGCAGACCTACAACCAGGGTGTTTGGAGCCGCTTGACATTTTTCCGGTAACGCAGAGAATTTCCCGAAGGTCAACGTTGAAAGGAGTGGGCATCTATCTCGTACAAATGCTGGCTTTCAGGCTTCGGAGAAATCCTATCTGCATTTGAAGTTATTTGCTGTAGGTGTTGATGTCTTTGGATTAGAATTTTGGCCCGAACACGTGGATTTTGGCTTTACTAAGATCTCAAGGAAGATAATTCATCAGACGGTGCAAGTTGTCTTTGCAAGTTGTCTTTGCATAATGTTGGCCTGCAATTGGTCAGTGGGGCTTGTATCAACAAGTGCTGATGCGGTGCCTTGCAGGACCCGAACTGCGATAGTATCTGCAGTTGCTGCTTCTACGCCGACCTGCAGGATACTGGTCGCACAAGGAAGCAGTGTAGTGTTCCTCAAGACCGCCGATCTCTTGCTGAGGAGACTGAAAGGTGAGGAAAGACATAGCTTGCGTACTGTTTCCATAAATCCAAGACGCATTCTATAAGATGAGAAAAGATACTATGTACGCCTCAAATGGCAGAAAGTCGTAACGAAAGCCAGATCGGATCAGCAACTTAAATACGTTCAGCAAACGGGGGATAATCTGACAGTAGAATACAATAGCTACAAGCTGCATACTGTCATGAATGTGCGCAGCTAAGCAGTAGCGGTCCCAACGCTAGGTAATACTACATTGAGAAAGTTCTTGTGTCTGATAGGCGCAAGAGCGAGAATGAGAGAATACTTGCAGCCAGGGAAATTGTGGTGTTAACAGATGTGTCTTTAGATCATGAGGCTCCGATGAGCTGAGGGAAGAATCTGTGCGGAACTCCATCAAGCTACGTGCGCCATTGTTGCAACTCCAGTGTTGGCATGTTTTGTACCCAGAAAACGAACGAGCGATGACTGTCAATATGAGCATGTGCTTAGAGTAAATATAGAAAGGCAAGCAAGAACCAGGTCGTACCAATTCTTTCCTTATCTTGATTCAGTCGTACGCTGGTACGGAACAAAAACGTGGCCGTTCTGGGCCCCTCAGCTTGCCGGCACGGTGATCTAGAATAATTATTGTGATTATGTCCGTTTCGGAATTGGCGTGTCAACTCTAATCTTCGAGACGGATGGTTCAAGCCAATCTTGCTTTTTTTTTTCCGTGAATTATAGAACGAGTAAACGCTCCGTATCTAGAATGATGAGTGCTGCTTCGCTTCCTAAAACTTGAAAACGCCGCAGCTGTGTCCGTCAAATCGTCAAGAACAAAATATCATTAACATTAGAGTACGTCAAATTGGCGATTGGAATCCCTTCGTCTATATAATTAGGATAAAGCGCATCGATTTCGCGGTTGCGTTGTGCAAACTGCGGCGAGAGCGGAACGAGTTTGCAAATTTCGGCCAGTCCGATTTGCTACTCATCAGCACCATAACCTCACGCAAGGAGAAGATTGAAATAGCACCGACGTATGCTCTCAAGATCATATTTTGTTTGCGTAGAAGTCGCCCATGACGCACTGACATAAGAGAACACCAAGCAAGGCCATTGTCAGAATCTCCACGGCTGGTCGTCGCGCCGCAAACATCAGAATCGCGGTCAGCACCACAAGACTGCCACTAGCAGCCATGAGCCAGTGCGAGGCGCGTTTTGATCCCATGCGATCAACCTGTATCAAGACGATCGACAGGATAACCACGGCGAGAATGGCCATCACACAAGATACAATCAGGATCAGTCGCCATGGCTCGAATTTTCGAGTGCTCTTCTTCCTTTTGAGATCGGCGGCAATCTGGGCTTCTAGTTGGCGTGCTTCAATCCCGGAGTCGGTCGGGCCTTTTTCTACCCCGTTAGGGGCAATCCGGTCCTGGGGGTTTTGGCGGCGGCATAGTTCCACCGCTGACTTGAAAGTGTGCTGAAGGCTGATCAAAAAGGCCGCACTACGAGCGCTAAGTGGCGACCTCAGACCGAAGCGCGGTGAATAAATGAGGTCCTCAATATATTGCCGTGGAGAACGCCTAGGTTGTGGCGGGATAGGAAGAGTTTTGTGGGGCTGGAGCTGCTGTGGTTTGAAGCTGGGCAGTTCCAGTGCTACTGGAGTTCGTCCGGTACGATGGCGTGAAGAAAAGGAGCGTGGGCTATGTTGATAGCCACCTAAAGATGACTCTCTATTATCGCTGCTCGCAGGAACGCTCGTATCCAGCCGGTCGAGGACAACCTCAGGTTGCTTGTTCCGCGCCTGTCGGATAAGCCTGGCGGTGTTCTGTTCCAGTTCGCTTCGGTCTTGGTCTGGCATTTTTGGACGTAGTTACGGAGATAGTTCTATCATTTAAAGCTGCAACCTCTAATTGAACCTTCTCGTTATTGGAAGGGAAAAATTAGGAAAATTGAGGCCAGCTCATAAGCAAGAAAGAGACGGAACGATAGAATTGAAAGGATTTGGCACAGTCGCCATCGCTCTCTTAACCACCGACACACTCATGTATATATATATATATATGCGCGCGCATATAGAATCCAGTTTCGCCCGAAAGGCTGAGCTGACTGATGACGAACCGAGACAGAGTAGACTCTTGATTGTGGTTGGTTGAGCCATAATATAGGCCGCAGCCCTGCAGCTCGGCCTCCACAAAGGAGGCGCAGTCATGTTTCAGATATGCCACCAAGAACCTGTTATCTTGTCATCCAGTGGCCCAAACATGGGCTGAGGCGGACTGCATTGCATAAAAGCGTGGATTTTTATGGACGACAGCTGTGTTTCAGATGTTGATGAACGCTGTGAAACTAAGTCGTACATTTTTTGGGCGTACGGCCTGCTGAAGACTAATGTAGGCGCAAGTCGTCGAATGGCCTCCCACAAAATGCACTCGTAGAGTGATGGACAAGATGCAGTTTGACACGAAAAGAATACCAATCTCAAACTTGATATTATACTATAGAAGTGTTTCTTGTTGTGCGAATATAAATTTCTCTCATACCCCGTTCCATGCTAGCATCCCAGCGGCAGCCAAACTATGCTCACCAGAAGATGGGCTTGCAAACCTTGCCGAGAGAGATCTTCTTCTCGATGTCTACTATGCCGAAGAGGTCGAAGTCAAAACCGAATACCAACTAGTAGACAGCCGAGTCAGCGCTTCAATATTCAAAAATGGACATGATCAGCACTCACCCAAGGGTTGTTGCTGCAGCAGAACGCGGCACCGTGGGTAACGCTGATGACGGACTCCGAACCATGAGACTCTACAAGATTGTCAGTCGCTAGATCCGTTTGATTGCACCTTCAGCTTCGTTCATACTCAAGTCGTCTCCGCTATAACAGCCGTACGACTGTTCATTGGCATTGAACCAAGCAACATAGGCGCCGATACCAGCACCGATACATTTGTCATATGCATCGTCACATGTGGCTGAAGGAGGGGGTGGTGGAGGTGTTGGAGTCACCGAGCCATAAGCCTCACGAGCTTCGATTGTTGCTGGAGCGGCGGAGACGGCTGCTACGAGAGCGGTAGCAACAGCAAAAATCTTGAACTGCATTTTGGAAAAAGTGGCAATGAAAGTGAACTGAGTATAGTAGCGACTGGACTTGGGCTTCGATCGTTGCCCCGAAACGAATGACTGAGGTGAGTGATGAGGGTTGGTTTCTTTTGATCGCCGCCAGATGTTAGGTCCCAGCTCTTTATACATCCATTTGGGGGACGCAATTAGCACTGCTCCTCGGGTACAACCACATGCCGTGAGATTAAAGCTCGTAGCGAAAGTCGTGGCAGGGCATGACTTCTAGTTTGACGAAGACGCAGCCCTCTGTGGCGTCTATGCCAATGCTCAGGAAAGAGAGTCCAATCCAAAAGCGAGATTTGTTGTCACGGGAAACTTGCTGAGGGCTCAGCCGTATTTGTCAAGATCCACCGTCGGGTCGGGTTATACGATGATATTCTCCTGATGCTAGCCTAGGATGCCATGCGCCGGGCCTTGACCATGTTGACCATTCTTTCAGGCATCCCAACACGACTCTGAAGTGCAGAAGACATGACATTTCAACCCTATTCATATCCCTACCACTCTTAGGGAGCGCGGCGGGAAATGCTGAGTTGATTGCATCTCCTGGAAACGATCCTGAACATGTAGCCCAATGATGGAATGCGATGAGTTCACGGAAAGCAACGCGAGCCGCGTATCATTCTAGAAGCTTTTGGCGGCTCGAGATTTTGGCTCTTGCGATCGTGGCTTCGCGAGTACCCGAGATTCGAGATCTGATGGACTATTGTTTCAAATGTTTGCCCTACCGTCCACAAACATCTGTTCTTGGCGTTCTTAAATGGGCAACATCAGGTCCTTCTTTAGGGCTTGCCTTGAAACACAACAGCCGAAATTGTACAAGTACTGACCTTATCCGGTCACAATGGCCATTTTTCTGCATGGCCTCCTCGGGAAATAGCTGATATATGATCGTAAATACAGTGTTTTGCATATTTTGGTCGATGGAAAAAATTGGTCTTGCATTGTCGTTTCGCATACTCGTTTGCGTTGTTCAAACTAAGCATCAAGTTACACGCTTTCGAAAGAGACATGCCAGGTAGACGTACGTTATGCTCAAAGTCACACGTGCCATTTTTCCCTGTGTACGATCAAATAGCGGAGCGTGATGAAGATATACGGTCCTGGCGTGAGAATTGCGCAGAGGCTCGTTCAGAACAGGCAGAATACGGCGGCGCAGTGTGTACGCCTTGATCCGCAGTAGCCATACCGTATATGACAAGCTGGACATCAGTCGTCACGGTCAATGCGTAAACGGTAGATCTGGCAGTCCTGCATCGTCATTTTGGGCGCAAATCCATTTTGGCCTCAAATCGGCAAAGTTTACGAGCATATCAAACTGCGCATTCCGCCAGATGATTTCAAAGTGGTCATGACAACGCTGCCAACATCAACGATCGAAACAAGATTCGAGCAGTCGCCTCATGTGAAGCCGCTGACAGCAGTATCGACGCTTCTGACGTGGAAAAATGTTGTACATGCGTACTCACGGCATTCAAGTCATAAGCTTTCTCCAGTGCTGACGCTATATGCGCTGAACGTTATGTACGAGTTAACATACTCGCCTGTCATCTTTGAATACCTCTACTGGCTCATACAGAATCCTTAGCAGAGAAGACGCTCGTTAGTGCTCGCAAAAAGGAACGAAAAGCAGCCATGACTAAGCGAGAATTTTATGCCTGAGGCATCAAAAGTCTCCACCAAAATCTTTCCCATCCTCAGCATCGGACTGCAAGTTTCGCGAAACTTCAGCCGCAAAAGTATAACTACGATTTAAAAAATCTTCACCTACTCAAACATGTCGGAAGGCATCGATCGCAAAGCCGACGAGAAGTTGGAATTTGTCTCCTCGAAGGAGGTCAGCGTAGCTCCGACTTTCGAGGCTATGGTACGTTATGAGTCTGGAGCGTTGGTTGATTGTGATGGAATGTCTAACACAACGGCAGCACCTCAAAGAGAACTTGCTCCGTGGAATATACGCATACGGCTACGAATCACCCTCAGCAGTGCAGTCTCGAGCCATCGTGCAGATATGCAAAGGCCGCGACACCATCGCTCAAGCTCAGTCGGGCACAGGCAAAACCGCCACCTTCAGCATCAGCATACTACAAATCATCGACACCGCTGTCCGTGAGACGCAAGCGCTGGTCCTCTCGCCAACTCGAGAACTTGCAACGCAAATTCAGTCTGTCATTATGGCCCTAGGGGACTATATGAACGTGCAGTGCCACGCGTGCATTGGAGGCACTAACGTCGGCGAGGATATCCGCAAACTTGACTATGGACAGCACGTCGTCTCCGGGACCCCCGGCCGCGTCGCGGACATGATCCGCCGACGCAACTTGCGCACCCGGCATATCAAGATGCTAGTCCTGGACGAGGCTGACGAATTGCTCAATCGTGGGTTCCGCGAGCAGATCTACGACGTGTACCGCTACTTGCCCCCCGCAACGCAAGTTGTCGTTGTGTCTGCCACGCTACCGTACGACGTGCTCGAGATGACGACCAAGTTCATGACGGATCCCGTGCGCATCCTTGTCAAGCGTGATGAATTAACACTTGAGGGCCTCAAGCAGTACTTTATTGCGATCGAGAAGGAAGAGTGGAAGTTTGACACGTTGTGCGACCTATACGATACGCTGACCATCACCCAAGCCGTCATCTTCTGCAATACGCGCCGTAAGGTGGATTGGCTAACGGACAAGATGCGCGAGGCAAACTTCACCGTCTCAAGCATGCACGGTGAAATGCCGCAGAAGGAGCGGGACAGCATCATGCAGGAATTCAGACAGGGCAACTCGCGCGTGCTCATCTCGACCGATGTGTGGGCCAGAGGTATCGACGTGCAGCAGGTGTCCTTGGTCATCAACTATGACTTGCCCAGCAATCGTGAAAACTATATCCACCGCATCGGTAGAAGTGGTAGATTCGGCAGAAAGGGTGTGGCCATCAACTTTGTGACCAGCGAAGACGTTCGCATTCTTCGTGACATTGAGCGTACGTGTGCAAATCATGCACATTCCTAGCTTCTTTCGCTAACTGATAATAGTGTACTACTCTACGCAGATTGACGAAATGCCGATGAATGTGGCAGACCTCATTTCTTGAGCATGGCGTCGTGCGCCTTATGCTGAAGTGCATAACATTTGTCCATACAGCAGTGAAGCATGACGTGGCGTCTGTATCACATCATGGTGAAAAAAAACAGGCTATCCATGGCGGTTGGATGGCTGCACGAGAGTGGTGGAAAGGGCATGTAAGCCATAGCTTGTGAGTGTTTTTCTCCATCTCCTAGCATGGCTCTAATAGACATGAGCTGCTAACATGACAAGGATCCAGTTCTCAAATTCAATATCACGGTGTCGTCATATTTGATTCTGTTCTTGCAGGCGATAAATGACCACATGTGAATCACCTATCCGTCTACTGAGCAATATCTGCTCTCTTTACTTCTGAACGGGTCCGGAATTATTATTGGAATTTGCTGCATCTGGCAAGAGCAAAGCCTCTTACTGCCATTACCTCGACCATCTCAATCGTACAATCATCAAGAACAGCGGATTCATAGTGAGCGATTCGTCCTGAAAGATAAAGGAGAAGGCTAGTATGGAAACGTTCATGGGCTTCACTCAGCTTCGTGGCTTGAATGTCTGGAGCACGCATCATTTTCGCGACAGCATGCAATGGCTAGCAGCAGAATAAAACGTTGCAGTTTGCGAAACCAAAGTCGTAAAAAGATGTAAGATTTTCTTTTTGCATCATTTTGTGCTACTTATGGATGGTCTACGGATCATTTGAACTCTGCAGGACCCGTTCTCGGATTGAGCTGCAGTAAGAATCATTCCAACAGAACAGGACAAATACGCAAAGTCGTTCTGAATGTCTTGAGAGACGATTGTTTGTCTTGCACGATGTAAAAGCTCGAAGAGGACGGCTAGTCAACGGCCTTTGCGTTTTGTTACATTTGGTCGGGTTTAACACGTTTGACCCACAGAACCACGTAAATTGATTAGAGCCAGTCCGGCTTATTTCTGACAAAAACGCCCACCACTCGACTCTAGCAGCTCTGAAGAACAATGAAAATCTCAAGATTCGGATAAGTGAAAGACTTCGTCCATCAAAGAGCCCTGCAATATCTGTCGATCATGTAGAGAGATTCTACTGCTTATACGAGCACATAAAGTACATTCTATGTCCTTCAGATTTGACTGTCGCTCAGCATATCGACGAACGCGAAAAAGCAAATATTGGCTTCCGTGGTTTCGGTATTCGAATAGGGCTTCTGCATTGGTCGCAAATTTTTTGGTCATAACTTCAAGGAAATTGCGATGAAAGACACGCCGTCCTGCGCGTACGAAGCAATTCTTAGAAAAGCTGAAAAAAGGTGCTACAAGCTACTGCGTGAGCTCAAGGTCGTGACTGTATTCGGAGAAGACTTTGGCGAGCTTTTGCAACTTGATGTCGCCGAAGCTGCGACTGAGTTGATTTAGGTGCTTATGGAACGCCGAAGTACCCTCTGGTCATGACAAAGTCGCAGTTACCGTCGAGATCTTGCGCGGAACAGTCTCAATGTCGAAGTTACAGGCGAGAAACGTTAGATTCTAAAGCAGTTTGACTATTGGACTTTCTCTGAGCTATTCCTCGCTTGTGCAGCTGCGGGTGGTACATGTCACCAAACTAGGGTTCAAAAAGTGCGGGCACTAGCGGGCAAGATGAAAGAGCAATAAACGAAGCTTAGAAGCAAATTAGAGAAACTCCCACCAGCAGTTCAGGAGATCCAAGTATTTGATCTATCATCGGCTGCCGTATTGCTGGGGAAAGCATCAGCAAATATCCGCAAGTCCAGAATAAGGATTGGTTGGGCACAAATTCACGTGGTGTTGAATGCATTAATATTGGACTTGATGGAGAGCATTCTGACGGACAAACATTGTATGAAAGTTGTAGTTCAATATCAGACGTCGAGTTTGATGAGCTGTCGCTCTGCAGAGCGAAGGGCAATGGCGATCCCGGATAAGGATCGCGAAGAGCAACAAAGGGGCGGCATCATTTGCGTACATGGCAGATGTTTCCGCAAGGAAAAGGCAAAGGTATCTTGCTCTTCGGTTACCCGCTCTTCTTCATTCCTTGGCAGAGACGACGTTGCTAGTAGTCAGAATTAATTGACGCGACTTATAAGCGCATCTGCTCAGGATGTCACAGAGTGAGAAGGTTGTCGTCTCAGGAAATTTTAGCACTGTTGGCCTGGGCCATGGTCCAAAAATAGCAACTGGACGCCTTGAAGTAAACGGATCTATGCACATCCGTTTCGCGGGCAGGCCGCTACGCCGTATGCGCTGATGACAGCTCCGCCACCGCATAAGCAAAGGTTCCCTTGGAGAAATAAATAAGCTTTGCCCAGGTGGAGCTTAGTCGCTACTCGGACTCAGAACATACCGTAGCTCTCTCCACCAATGCTTCGTTGACACAGGCCATCCGGCCAGCCACAGCTGCTGCCGTGCTTATGGCTTCAGCGACGGGCCTTGCAACAGCGGACTGCCCTTAAGATCCTGTGTGATCCCCCTTTATGAGATCGAATGTGCCTTTCGCCCACCTCTTCTTTGGATCGACTTGGCCTTCTCAGAAAGTATACTTAGTTTTCAGATCCCCACGGTGCGCAATACTACTGCAGAGTCGAGTTTTGCATATCCGATCTGTTCTCACGCCGTCTCGAGTTTCTTAGACAAGGTTGAACGTGCGACGACAAACACGATGACGCCCTGGAACACCGGTGCCCTCCACTACTTCACGACCCCTTCGTTTGGGACCTCGTCCAGCTCTCTGAAGGAGAACTCCTCGTTCAACAGCAAGTCAGGCGCATCCAAGCACAGCAGCAGTAGCAGCAAGGCGAAGATCATCGCCATAGTCGTTGCAGCCGTCGCCGCGGCGATCCTGATCTTGGCGGCCATCTGCATCATTCGATGCTGCTATAGACGGCGCACCCGCAGGCTCGCGCAGCGGCGCGCCCCAGCGATGAGCGGAGGCTTCATGAGCCGCGGATGGCAGAAGGTCGACGGCGACGAGAAACTTGGTGACGAGGACTTCTCCAACATGCCTTACGACGCCAGAGACAGGCTCGTGTCGAACAACGTGCCTGTGTACAACGAACGCGGAATGGCGTACGAGCCCTACAGACCGCATGGCAAAGCGGAGGCGGAAGCGGAAGCGGAAGCAGAAACCAAAGTCAAGGAGGCACACTGAAGTGCATATGGTAACTGTCAAGAGCATCCATGTCACTCACCCCAATGACCATTCTTCCACGAACGATGCTCAATACGCAAATTTTTCTTCGGTGTGACTTGTCGAGCTATGGCAAGATACGGGTTTTTATTTCCTTTTTTCGCTTTTCTTGGCAAGGGGGAATTGGGAGTTCGCTCGTTGGAGTAGTTGGATTTCAAATAAGGGCCGGAAAGTACTTGTTTCTATTAATACATCGAGAGACTGACTATCGAAGTTCGAATATGTTGGGTTTGATTTCGTGCACGTTTTGGTACTTGATCGCCTCGCCGTCCATCATTGAGTGAACGTAGCACTCGCCTATAAACTCATACCAATAGTATTCGTCGGCGTCCGTTAATGCCCGTTCTTTTGATTGGGGCTGTCTCATTTCGGCCGATTCTGCCATGCTATCCGTCTTCGACTCCCCTCCAGCGTCAGATTGGCGCCGTGTTTGTGACGAACTCGGCCCTCCTAAAACTTCTTCTTGCTGGCCAGATCTGGGCGGCAGATGAGAAGCCTTGTTCAGATCTCGGCTTGGCTTCTTGGGCGGCAGAGGTTTTTGCTTTTGTGAGCCATTTTCTGGAGGTGATCCTATCTGCCTAGCACATGACGCTGATGTTTTTGATTGAGCACTACGGCAAGAAGTCGCCGCCGAGGACGACGAAGCAGGTGTTCCGCCCCGTCCACTTGTTTCCTTTTGCTTTGCTGTTTTACGCGCTTTACTCTCGCGGAACGCACGCTGTATGCGGATCGTTGCTTCTCTGCGCATCTTTTCTCGTTCTTGTTCGTCTTCCTTACGTTCATGCTCAACAACTTCTTTGGATTTGTGATGTTGACGCAATATGACAGGCACGCTACATCCATACAGAATGCAGATCTTATCGTCAACTCGGACGTCTTTGCGCACAATTCCGAGATGGCCTTGACGTGTGCGCATTAGGGATCGATTCCAGATCACGGCTTGCACTCGGCGAAAGAACTCGGCGACAACTGTTTATATGAGCTTTAGCATTTCCACGGCACGACAGCCAAGACTCACCACTGCACCGTCCCTCATTGATGAGCTCGGTTGTGTTCAATGAGCCACTGGCAAGGCCCTTCGAGATCGACTCCTTGCAAGCTCGTCCATAGTAGGTAGGCGGGTTGCGGCCGTGACGACCACGATCGGCCACCAAAGTCTTCCAAAATGCATCTGGGGGATCCTTCTCAAGATCAGTCCAACCAGCTGCGGCGACCCACTCTTCTGGAATATTCCCACTTTGTGAGGCAACTTCGACGGACTTCACAGTGTCGAGGATGAATCCAGACACGTACATGCTGTAATATTCGTCCCGTTTCTTGAAATTTAGATGCTTCAATTCCACCTTCTTTGTTTCAGCGGCACTGTAGTTCCTCTGGCCTGGAGCAGGCAGCCCGACAAGTGGGTCAGCATTTTTTCGGCCCATGCGATACTCCGAATTGGCGTGTTGGAACATAGCATAGGCGGCGCCAGATAATTGGGGAATCCAGGATGGAAGCGGTATATCATAGAGGCGGCGCTGCGTTGAGTCAGAATCGCTGCCCGAGGTACTCATTCGTTGCGGAACGCTTGGAGGGGCCCATGGCCTGCACAGAATATCCAAAGCTCGTGTGGGGTCAATTTCGCTTGATTGTCGGATGGCGAATTCTATGAAGTCCTTAAAGATCTGCACAAGGGGCAGGTTGTAATCCACAGGGTATGGCTTCCTTTGTTGGTTTTTGGCCCACATGTTGAGTCCTTTCAGTGCATTTGCTCCCACTTTGACGTCTGACTGCTCTGTCAGAACGGCAATAGGGTTGGTATCCCTAGCCACCGCTAATAGCGAGAACACAGTATCTCGCGGTTCCGAGGCTTTGAAAACAGATAAATTAGAGACAAGGTACTCGAGTGTCTGCAAGGGCGTCCGTCTCTTGTCTTCTGATATTCGAAACAGCGAGCCTGTCGCATCCACGAGGAGGCTAGCACCGAGAGCAGAGACATACTCAAACCAGCCTGGAATATGATAGAACGCTGGATCCTTTCGCATTACATCAGACAGCCGGTGAGTGGCTGTTTCTACTTCAACAAAGAGTTGCACAGCGTCGGAGAAATCTTTCCAACTGATGGACTTCGTTCCACAATACAGTTCCGCGGAGTTCGCGAGTGCGATCTCCTGTACAACCCAGCCTATTCTTATGTTAACTAGTCGAACAAAGAAGGCGTCAATCTCAATTGATTCTTAACTTACGTCTTTCAAACCAGTCTCTCTTCATCAAATTTAACATGGCGCGCCACTTGGGTGTCGCAGCCGGACTCTCACACAAGCTGTCGAAGGCTTGAAGTCTCAACACTTCTTGTTGGATGAAGTCGATCGCAGTGTCGCTGTCTTCGTCGGCCTCGCCGATCCAAACGCAAACTTTCGTCGCGTTTCCATATATCGACGACATCATCGGCACTTGGTGGTTCTTTTCCTCTGTCCGAGCCTGGTTGATGCAAATTAGGTCGACCCAAATTGTGCGCACCTTTCGTCGTAACCTTAGCGCTTTAAGTGCGCTTACCAAGGTCGGTGGGACGTTGAACACGAAATCTTCATCTCCCTCTCGAATCTTGATCCTGCCGGTCCATGGCGCAGTACCCCAGGACCAAGACAAAGCTTCGAAATTGACATGATGATCACCACCGAGCTTTTCTTCCACGAGATCGCACACTAGGTCCTGCTTCTTCGAGCCAGCATGGAGCTTTAGCAGGCGGATGGAATGGTTGCTTGTCAGACGATTGTATTGATAGGGCCTCAGCTGCTCCTCCTCTATGTTTGAATCAGATTCATCCTCCTCACGGTCAAGATTATTCCAAGGCATCATGGTGGGTTATCAAAGACATAGCATATTGAGCCGAGAAGGATCACTAGCTTCCCGTCTATATAAGCTCCATGCGGCTGAAGACAAAGCATTATGCTATCGTGGAAAGGTCTGTGATCGCGTGTCAAACAAACCACGGCCTTGATCTAGAATCGGAGAAGGCTGAAGCAATTACGAAGCCAAGAAAACAGGCCTCTTTACGCCACCAATAGACACTGGCATCATTAACCCTGCCGTGTGTAACTCGAACTTCAAATCAGCGCTCTGATTGGCTTCTTCACGATACATCCCTCTCTCATTTGCCTTATTTTTACCTGTGGTCTTGAGTCAGAAATGGAAGACAATGTTCAGCCGATCCCAAGGAGGGGTGTGGGATGGCCGCTTAAGGCCGTGCTGTGATTGGCAGTGCAAATGCGACAGATGAAAACTAAACCCAAGTCCCGCAGAAATACTACGGACACAATTGGAACGATTGCGGCTTTTCCCGCTTTTGTGACGGCTGAGGAGAGTTGATGGCACTCTCCGAGCCGCGCGAAAGAAGGGGAAAGGGAGACATTCGAACACTCCTTCGCCCATGACGGCTAACTGTTTTGGCGAAACATGAGCGCATAAGCAGCTTCACTTTTCACAAAACCACTCTCTCGTCATCGCCACACTATGGAATGCTGCTTTTGATTACGAAGTTGCGCACAAGCATCATCTGCATTACTACACTCGCTCGATTGAGAAGCTTGAAATCCAGAGGACAGGAAAACGAGGGGGATCGAATTTGATGATTACTGCCTACTCTTTGTCAGCAGATCTTCTTTTCAGCTCACGCAAGCCTTTCAAGTCACTGGCCCTATGGCGCGCACATAAATGTGATCTGGTGTCAAATTATCCCCTGCATTGCCTTCCCTCCCTAAAACACTTCGGCTTTCTTTCGAAATCGTGCCGCTGTGATTCACGCGCAACACGCAGAGCATGCTGTGAAATGATCTACTTGTCGCTTAGAGAGTCCCAGTTGCCCAACGTCACAAGGGAGCGCAGTCAATACGCCTGACCAGAACGCGGTCCAAATTTGACGTGCATAAAGCTCGCGTAGCATCGAACGCTTAATCAACTGAACAGAGCTTGAATATCCTGATTCGGGTGCAAATTTTGGGACTTCAACGGGGCGATTGGTTCGAGGCAACACCTTGTGGATAGGCTTTTTGAAGCTGGCCAACTTTGCCGTACGATCAGATCACGTTCAGACGTAGCGCCAAGTAGTTCTTGAGCTTGGGGAAAGAAAAGCCAGGCAGTGTAATCAAGATAAGCTTGTTCGGATCGCAAAGCGAGAGACAAATGTGATTCGATTGCGGCAGGTGCAGTAGCGTGGCGGCCTCCGAGGCCATCCCTTGACAGCTCATCATTCGTGAAGACGTTCGGCGTCTGCTCGACTGAACGCAGCTTGTCATCAAACACAATATCCCCACTTTTGTGCATCTGCGGAGATCAAAAGCATCGAACATTCCATGCAAGTTGGCTGGTCGTAGGCAGCTCTCCGCTTCTTCATCCCACCGCGCAACTTGCTGGCCCAGCGCCGAGTCAAAGTGGGGCACGAGCATGAACACGACCCTTACCTCTTGACTCGACAAGCCTGTGTAACAATGTGCGATTGCTCTGAGCCCCCTTACGCAGAAAAATGACGGATTGCCATCGTGGTCGGGCTGAGACACGCATAAAGGAATCAGCAACCATCCGATGCCGCTGAAGAGCTCGCAAGAAGATAAGCAAGCACGGCAACGCGACGCTGACATAGCGGCAGAACGAGTGCGTCAAGGCTGGAGCCCGGGAAAATGAAAAGCAGCGAGTTCGAAGCGGCCGGGAAGCTGGTTAATTCTTGAAACCGTCATAACTCCCGACCCACAAGAGAGAGGCCGCGCCGATTTAAGGAGCTCTGTTTCGTTCGGACGCAGAACATGCTCCGATTCGGCTCGGTGGGCCTTCCATCTCCCCGGACGCTGACGAGGAACCCAGCACCTCAAGCGACGTTCAGCAGTGAGGGGTAAACAGAAGCGAGAAAGAAAATCCCGGCACGAGAATCCCATCCACGATCATCTAGAAAGCGGAAGTCCAATGCTCCCATAAATGGAGAACCATCCAGCCGCACGCACACGTACGCGCTGTAGCTCGCACCCACCTCGAACCGCCCAGTTTCGCGACGACGTGCGCCACTTTTCGTGCGCTGGACCCAAAAAAAAGCGTCGGTCGAGGTTGGAAAAGAGGAGGGGCTAACGCGGGTGGGCTGCTTGAAAGGACTGTTTTGTGCCCCTCACTTCGGCGCGCATGTGGACTGCCAGCTTAAGTCGATCGGGTACAGGTGTTTATTGAGTGGCAGTATATAAAGCCGTCTTCCCATGTCAGCTCCTCGCGTACACAAATTTCCGCAGTTCTCAGCTTTTTTTGGTCCCCCGAGTTGTTTTGTATAGCCCTATATCATCCCAAAGTTCCAACTGACAAAGGACTCTCGAACGTTCGAAGCCAATTTCAAGATGCCTATCCTGGTCACCGTGCTGTACCCGCAGGGTGAATTCAACCTAGACTAGTACGACTACTTATTCTTCCTGTGAGCGTTCCACGAGAAAAGCTGATGCCTTGTTTCCCAGCTACCTTGCAACCCACATGCCCCTCGTCGAGAACACATGGAAGAACAAAGGCTTGCTCGACTGGAAGGTTGCCAAACTTGGCCCCCAAGCCGACGGCTCTGAGGTCAGCAGCAACCCCACATAGCATTCTATTTGTTGCGAGGTCTATACCACAGCCTTTGCTCACACCCCAAATCACGCAGTCGCCCTATCAAATCGAGGCCATCCTGACCTTCGAGTCTGCCGAGAAGTTCCAAGCCGCAGCTGCTGAGGACGGCGCTGCCATCTTTGGCGACATCCCCAACTTTACGCCGCTAAAGGCGACCATTGTTGCTGGCGAGAGCATCGCCAGCATGAAGTGAGTTAGGCACCCAAGGCCAATTGTCTCGTATGTAAAGGTGTGAGCCCTCCGAATTGGGGTGTTTGCCACGGTGCCGAAGTGGATTTTCCCCAGCGCAAAGAAAAATCGGTAGAGACCAACGTCTGCGTATAGAACGATCAACCCGCTGCCCGTCAACTGAACGCGCAAGCGACGAATGCGAATCATGAAACAAGTCCAGTCTGAAGCACGTTCGCGTCCCGATAGCCTTTCATCCCTGTGTCTTCGTCTCTTTGAGTACTCTGATCGCTTCCCTGCCCTCGCTCAGCTCTCCGTACAGTGCAACGACACGCAGCAATTTCGCCTTGCCCTTCGCGCCGGCGGCTTTCGCCTGCTTCAGTGCCGTGCTCAGATCCAGCAGCAGCGTTTCTCGTATCTTGTCCAGCCTGACCTGTTGCTTGACCAAGAACGGGTGATCCGGGCCGACCTGCTCAATCATCTGTAGCACGACCAGGTAGGTCATGACGAGACGCTCAAGACGTGGCACGCCAACAATGTCCTCTCCATCCTCGTCTTCTTCATCGTCGTCGTCTTCATCCTCGGACTCGCTGTCCTCGTCCTCGCCTGCATCCTCGTCATGGCCTCCTTTGCGCGTCTCCTTCGCGGGTACGGCAAGGGCCAATGCATGCTCCAGCTCTCCAATCCGCGTGTGAATCTCGACCAGCCGTCGCCCGATGGCGATTTGCTCTGCAGTTCGCTTCTTCTCCGCCAACAGCGCATCCACCTCATCCTTCCTCGCCTTGACCGCGCTCTTGACTCCATCCACGCCCTTCACGAAGCCCAGAACGCCCACTCTGACAGCCTCGACCTTCTCCTCGCCCCCTCGCAGATCTCCCCCCAGCCCAAGAAACGCCTGGTATTCGTTGTTCACCAGATCCAGGAGCTCTTTCGACAGCATCTGGCTCCTCGCTCGTAGCTCGGCTCGCAAGTCGGACAGCGTCTGGTGCCTGTTGCGCAGGGTTGACAAATACTCCGACGCCTTGAAGTCCTGGGAGAGAAAGGCGCTGCGGGGGAGGGGTTGCGGGTAGGGCAGCGACGAGAGGTCATCGTCATCGAAGTCGTCGTCATCGCTGGTATTGGCCAAGTCAGCGCCACGACCACCGTGGTCCTGGGAACGCTCGTCGTCGGACATGTTTGACGGCGTGTCAACATAGAAGCCGCTCATTGAGGAGCGTAGAGGTGCGTCCCTGGCCCGCGTTCCTGCATACAACGAAGGGTTCCGCGTCGCCGCGCAAACGATCAGCTAACCTAGCTTGTTCCAGGCAGAGCACTCCGTGATTTGGAGCGTGTGGTTTTTGCTTGGAAATCGATTGCCGACACCGGACGGTGGAGACGCAAGACCCACCAAAGCCAGCGGGCAGTTGGGTTGCGTCCGCAGTGAGTCGCTACGCCATTCGCGGCCTGGGCGCCGCCGGGATTAGTGACCAGAAGTGCCCCGCTGTTCTGCCAGAGGCAAGTATCTCGGTAATCTGGAGCGAACAAAAACTCCGCCGTCGAGTTGGGTCTTTCTGGTGAGCCTCTCCTCTCCCTTCTTCTCGCACTCTCTATCTCTCCCAGACCCCCGCGTTCTCTCGCATCCTTCGCCTCCGCCGCCCTCTCTCAGCCGAGGAAGCGTCCCGCAGCGTAAAGCTTTAGCCTGGCCGTGCTGAGAACAACCCGTGCCCCGCGCAGAGCATGTCACAACGGCTTCCCCAGCCCACGCTTCCTGAGGCGCATCTGGCACATCTGGACTCGATGCTGTCACGAAAGTTCGGCAAGGAGGTGGCCAACTACTTCTCCGGTATGACTGTCTTCTGCTTCACACACGGATTCGCAGGTGGGTGGTGTGAATTGACCGCGTCCCAGGGAACCCGCTGAATCGAGTCTCCTTCCTCCGGCCTGACCACGCCTTTCTTGCCGCCGCGCTTAAGCATAGCTCCACTTCCTTCTTGCTCTTCAACAACCTAAATCCCTTGATCAAGGATCCCAGTCAGCTTGCTTTTGCAAAGTATGACGACGTAAAACCCATCATCGGCGACAGCGTCTACGAGGGCACGGAGGAGTCGTACATCAAAGCGTACAACTCGTCAAAGTACGTGCCCCAGCTCGTCTTCCTTGGTCTGGACGACAAGCGCGACGGCCTCGTGTACAAGGAGCACTACAAAGGAGTTCCTTATTTCGCTGTAGACATCACGCCGCAGAAGCATGTCAAGGATGCCGCCGAGGCTCTGATCGCCTCGCTGAAGGAGCAAGGTCTTTCGTTCTCCGAAGGTCGCATGAATCTCAGCCTGAATGCCCAGCATGCCGCGATCTACGCAGAGGCCCGTCATGTGCTCGATTGGAACGCGAGGAACCCCTTCTGTGCTGGCTGCGGCCAGCCAACGCTCAGCGTGAATGGCGGCTGGAAGCGCGCATGCCCAGCAACGGACTTCGCCGCGGAAGACGGCTCCACGAGCGAGACGGCGCGAGATCGCCCCGTATGCGCCACCAGGCAGGGCATCTCGAACCTCAGCTTCCCCCGCACCGATCCCACCGTCATCATGGCCGTCGTCTCCTCCGACGGCTCCAAGATTCTGCTCGGCCGCCAGAAACGCTGGCCGCCCTACTGGTACTCCACTCTGGCTGGGTTCCTGGAGCCAGCCGAGTCGGTTGAAGAGGCCGTGCGACGCGAGGTCTGGGAGGAGTCTGGGATCCACCTCGGCCGCGTAGTCATCCACAGCACCCAGCCATGGCCGTACCCGGCCAACCTGATGATCGGTGCAATTGGCCAGGCCACGCCGGACGGGGAGACGATTCATCTGGGACATGACGCAGAGCTCGAGGACGCGAAGTGGTTCACGACTGAGGAGGTGAGGGAGGCGCTAAGGGTGGGCACGAGTGGGCTGGGCGAGGCTGCTGGTCCAGAATATAAAGAAGGAAATCTGCGGCTGCCACCAGCGACGGCCATCGCGCATCAGCTGCTGAGCGGCGTTGTCAATTCAGGTTTCTTGGCCGGCGTTGTGAAGATGTGAGAAGCGTGCACTGGGGTATGTGCATTTCGTTCCTCTTCCCACCCTGTTTTCCTTATTGCCATGCTTCAAGAGCTTCTCCTGCGGCTCCAAGAGGCCCTTCTTTTTCTCTCTGGTCGTTCGTAGACATAAACCTATTTTGTTTATGCGTAGACGAACAAATGGTCGCGAAGTGGACGACCTCTTTGATGTGTATAGACGAGCATGAATTGTAAAGGCGATCGGGGCTACTGTTTTCCCTTGGTCAGTTATCTCTTCTTTCAATGCCCTTTTGTTTAATGTTCGCCGTGTTGATAAACGGAGCTGCGCTGCGCGCCGGCTGTGCTTGTGATTCTCCTCCGTTGCTGTGATGGTGCGAACGACAAGTAGCCAGTCATGCTAGCTGGTCATCTAAGGTAAGATCATTCCGAATAACGGATGTGGTTGAGATATTTCCAAGTTAATTCTACCCCATATCTACGACGAGATCCCAGCCCTTCCGGCGCCCAGATCTTGTCCTCTCACACTTTCCTGCGGCACTGTGCGTGCTGAGTGAATGGTAATTCTACGTCTATTGACTTCTAACTTTTTTTCATTGACCAATAAATCTCACTGCTACTCAAAACGCAATATTGTTCTGATCAGCGAGCCATTTGCAAGAAAGACGACACCATTGACGTCCTTTGCAAGACGTTGCGACTTTCGCGTTTTGCGACTAGCAACCCGAGATCACTTACTCACAGGACGTCTCCGTCAACCTCAAAGATCTGCTGCCATGGCGTCGACGAAAAATTTCTCAAGTATTGATATACCAGACACAAATCCTCCTACACCACAGCAGACGCCGTCCTCTATGTCATTGCTACTCTCATTCCCTACAAACGCATATATCGGGCCATTCAAACGAATTTTTCAGATTTCTCAAGGCAAGAAGATATGTGCATCTCTACATACGATTATACCCTTGAAACGTAGGCGCTGCTCTGAGCCTCCCATGCATCCCGAAAGAGCACGGGAGGGATTAGATGACGAACCAACCGTGGCCTTGACAGCACAGGAAACCGCGCGACGCTTCATACAGACAGGATATGTATCCATACACGATCAATCCATAATTGTAAAAGAACCACGCGAGGAACCGTTGCGGAAGATACGGAAATGTAACAAAGGCGATGCTTGGCGCCTCTGGTCGCCTCGTGACTACAAAGCAAATCCGCGATTCAAGTACGGAGTGTTTCGCAACGAAGGTACCTCCCAGGAGCGCATCGAATACACTGAGAAGCAGAGGAAGAATAAAAGTACGGCATTGAGTGCGCTGGCGCAAGGATTGCTTGTCGCGAAGCAGCGGCCGTTATTGAACACTGTAAAGGCCAAATCAACCACCTTTAACGTGATTGATCCCTCTGGTGACCCAGTTGGAGGCGCTAGATACAAACTTCTGCGCCATCCATCTCTGGCTTCTCGTATGAGACCCAGAGGCTTAAGTAGGTTAGGGACGTCGCTCGACCAAGTTGTGCGGCGGATGCCACCAGCAGCTGTTTCCGAGCTAAAACTGCAGCTTTGGAGTGACCCAGACATAAGCTTGGATGAGGCTACACGTATCACGAACTCCCAGAATGTCCTAAACTCAGTTGCTTCAGTCGAAAGTCACTGCACGCCCGCAGACGTAGTGACGGAGTATGCCACTGATGAACGCCTAGACTCGACAGCGAGCAGCACGCACACCCCCATCAGGAGGCAGCTTGCACAACTTCCGCTGCGCGAGAGCGTGCTGATAGCGCAGGAGATGCGATGGACCTGCCCGATCAAACACGGCGAGAAAGCAGTGATGAAGCTATACAGCGAGTTTTTTCCAAATGTTCCCCAGATTGGCTACCTGTCCGCGCGCCACTGGTCCTCGGACCGCGAAAAGAGGTCGAAGAAGTGGCGGGCGTGCCAGAAAAAAGAGCTCGAGTGAATAAAGCTGAGGAAACAGCGGAGATACGAAATGATGGCGGTTCTGGACCAGGAACACAGACAGGCTTCTGGAGAGCGGATGTGTGATGGAGCAAAGGACTGGCTTAAGCGAAACGAAGGACGATGGACGAATTCCTAGAGGCTATTATTGAGGCTGAGCTAGAGATTCGCACCCGTGAGGAGTGGTCAGAAGAGTAATATGATGCCAATCAGTGGTAATATTGACGTCTATTAACTCACACTATTGAGTACTTTCGAGTAATTCCTGATGAATTATATCGATAGTTGTGGTAGATGTATGTGGAAAACAAGTCAAAGCAAGATTAAAACAGATCCAAGAGAATAAGTCAGAAAAGAACGGCACTTCTTCCAAATCAACTACAAATTGGTCCAGTAGTCCCGGCCACCCCACCTCCTGGCACTTCTCTCAGCTAGAGCATGTCTACCCGGGCAACCCTGGCCCTTCATGCGGCAATCCAAACAACAATCCCAATCGCCGCCAGCACAAAGACCACAATGCCAATGCTTGTCCGGAACTGGCGTACGGCATATGTCGCAATCCACCACGATAGCACCAGCAGCTCTTAGGTAAGCAACACGTTCATGAATAGGTGACGGACGGGCCCCAGGACCGGGGTTGAGAAGCATCCGAATCACAGTCCCATCACCGGTGTGCTGAGCATCATACAGTCGTCTAAGCTGCATCTCAAGTTGAGTTTTCACTCTGGTGAGACAAGCCCGCTTGCTCTCGAGAGGATCTGTCGGCCGTACAGGTGGCGGCATGCGGAAGTAGATGGGGTCACCGGAAAACAACGACTGCGGGGATCCCGAACTCGCACTGTAAAATATCTTTTGTTCATCAAGTGGCGATGGTCCAAAGGTCAAATGCGGCGGCCGTGATTCAGGCGCAATTGAATTAGATCGTCCGTGCTGGGGCTCGGTATATTCATGGACTGAGTCTGCTGGTAAGGAAGAGTTCCTTAGGGGCTCATCTATGCCTTGCGCGATAACCACGTCAGCATCATCCACGTCGAACATGTGATCAAATAGCTCGGCCATCTCATTTATCTCATTTTCATTGACCGCAGGCTTGCCAAATAAGACTGGGACTTGGCTATGGGACGCGTCACCATAGCGTACTGAAGTTTGGTTTGTTGACGGCTTGTTGCTACCAAATAAGGTCTCGCCAGTCGCGGGCTTACTTCCAAAGAGCCCACTACTTGTGGAGGAAGCTCTTTTCCCCACTGAAACGTCTGTACTCGCAGTCACAGGTGGTGCATAGCCGCCGAAGAGACTTTCACTTGTGGAGGCCTGTGGATTCCCGAAGGGGCTGGACTCAGTGAACGTACTGCTGCTGGGAGCACCAAATCCACCACTGGGAGCACCAAAAAAACTAGAGGGAGATTGTGAGACGAATGAGCCAGCACCTTGTTGTGGTTGTGGCTGTTCGACCGGTTGATTCACGGTGCTATGCTGCGATTCAAACTCCGACTCCGTGTGATTTACTGAGCCGGGATTCAGCAGCTTGCCGTATTCCTGTTGATTTGGAGGAGCATTGGAATTATTGGGAAGAGCGGTTTGACCTTCTTTACGCCTGAGTACAGGTTTTAGTGCTGGTGGACTAACCACGGTCAGCCCATCGTCGCTATTGCTGTCATCATTGCTATTCTGAGCAGGTCGGGAAGTTAGATGGTCGTCATCACTACTATAATCTGCATCCTCTGGGGTAGGTTGTTGCGATGGTGGACGATAAGCCCAAAGAGCAGAACCCGCACTTGGTGTTGTGCTTGTACTGCTGCGATTGGGAGCGGATGGCTGTTGCAGGGGTAGCTGTTGCGACACTGGATATGGTGCGTGGGCGGTATATGCTGGTGGCGCTTGAGAAACTGGATAACTGTGACGAGAGTCGGGCCTTTGATGAGGCGTGGCGTCTCGAGTGTAAGCTGCTGGCCGTGACTTTTCTTCAACTCGTCCCTTTCTCATTGCTTCTTGCTCTGAGCTTGAAGAACCTCGCTTCCAAAACGGCTCACCACCATTGTGCAAGTAGCGGATATATGTTATGATTTCGTCTCTGAATGGCTTCACGTCTTGAGCACGTATACCTTCCCAACTGAGGTCTTGACCAATGCTCGCCCATACATCGTCCTCTGAGCCTACGGCTGAGACAGAGCCAACGTCGGGAGTTTGCACATTGAAAGCCTGACTTCTGTCACCTAGAACGATGTGATTTGTGTAGCCAGCACTCGCAAATTGTGTCTGAGAGCCTTGTTGTTTCTGGGCTGAGCCACGCAAGGCGTTCTTGATCAGTCCTTCCAGACGGCCCAAACTTGAATGAGTCAGGCTCGTAAGAAAGATGTTGATGCTCGCGGTGTGAATGGCGAGCTTATCACGCGGGCCATTTTTGTTCTGCAAGGAGAATCTTACGTGTTCCAGAAATTTCGTCTTTTCAGGCGAGCCTAATGAGGGGAACTTCTTGGTTAGTAAGTGCAGCTGTTGCAAGCCTTTAGAGCAGTTATCTAGCAAGACACGAAGGCTCTCTTGACGCTGCGGCGATGCCAACAGAATGATTGAATTGGGAGAGTTTGCTTCTTCAGCCAAAGCTCGAAGTGTGGCGCTCAGGCTCAGGACTTCCAGGCGCAAGCCTTCAAATTCTTTAGGAGCATCCTTCAGTGCCGTATACGCATTGATTGCAAGCTTGCTGCAAACAAGCACATCGCCGACGGAGAATCCGAAAGACATATCAAACTCATTGTATAACCTATCTGTGCCTAGGTAGAGGGAATATCTTTTCCCAGCGAAGTGGAATCGCTTGTTCTTTCTCTTACCGCCAAGCAGTGGGATGATGATACGCTGCACTGATGAGCTAAATATAGAACTGGAAAATTCACGTGATCATAGCGCCACCCACGTGTTATCGTTCCAATCTCGCGTTCCTCGCGCTTGTCACGACCAGTCCAGGCTCTATAATCTGAACGAAAATAAGCTCAGCAAAATTAGCTCTACACAGACTTGAGCTTAGATTGTGCCAGCAAGGATCCAACATCTCTCGCTCCTTGCGGCTTTTCAGGAGCTCCAAGTATCTTTGAATCTTTTCCGCATCCAGATCCTCGAACATGGCTGGGGGCTTATCCGCGGAGGATATTTCTCTTCACGACTTCCAGGAGGCTCTTGGCAGATATTCAAAACATGTCAGGGACGACGAGTTAAAAGAGCTTGATACATTCAGGTTTGAGACAATGCCAAAACTTATTGAGGAGCGACGGCAGAAGCGAGCAGACTTGGGCTCTGAAGAGCCGATTTTGTTGATCACAAAGGAAGAACTGGTCAAGCTCGTTGTTTGGAAATTGAAGCATGGTACTTTCCGGCCAAAGCTGAAGCAGCTTGTAGAGTCGAATGATGAATCAGAGGTCCATAAGCTCATGCAAAACTTGAGTGTCCACAAAGGTCAAACCAAAGAGAAGCTGCAGCTGCTCACGCAACTCAAGGGCATCGGTCCTGCAACTGCCTCCCTAGTTCTGTCATGCACATGGCCCACGCAATATCCATTCTTCTCAGATGAGCTGTTTAGATGGATACATTGGAATGGTCAACATGCCGACGGAACGGCCACAGGTATCAAAAACGGCAAAGGTTGGTCCAGGCCAATTGGTTATACTTTGAAGGAGTACGAGAGCTTGGTTTTAAGAAGCATGGATATACAAAGAAGACTCAGTCAAGACCAGGAATTGAATTTTCTGGACTTGGAAAAGGTTGCCTATGTTCTTGGTAAAGAAAGAGCAGAAGTCGAACTTCCAATGGAAGATATGTCTTCAAGTCAACGCAAGCGCAGCGTCGAAGAAGCCATGGGCTCTCAAGTTGGCAACAGTGCAAAACGGAGTAGACCGAACATGATAGAGTCCGCAGAGTCAACTTCTCGCAGATCTCGGACACGCAAAAAGCTGTAGCGCATACTGCATTTTTGAGTATGCTTTCGGTGCCGGTCACTCGTGCATTAAAAGTCTATGCATTTACATTATTGGAGAAAGATGCAAAGCCTACCTTTAAGCGAATATCACAATATTCATAGGCAGTCTGCGTGGAATGCAGAACAGGATAGAGAGCAGTACAAATCTGCTGTGTCGGATATCTTCAGTTACTTATGCTTCAAGGTGATTTTCTAACACTATGCTCAACCCTGATCTGTGGAGCCTTTCTACGGTGTTCCAGCGAGAACTGAGCTTAAGAACCACTCTACTTTCGGTGCTCGTTCCGAGAAGGGTAAAAATATTAATATCCACCTGGTATCGCTTTGAAAAGATCGGGGTAGAGGGTCAGCACTGTCTCAAGCAGCTTATTCTCACCTCCTTAGATGGCGCATGTATAATGCCCTCTACAACATTCTCAATTTATCTGTCAATTTCCAACTGCCATTCTGCTAGGATCTCCTCCGTTTGCTTTTCAGTGACTCGAGAATCAAAAGAGAAAATGGTCATGATTTCAACGTGAATATGTATGCAAGTATCCAGCTTCTTCGCATTGCGAGAATAAAAGTTGTGAACAGTATCTAGCATTGGTTGATTAGACATCCGCAATAAATATCGGTTCGATGGCTACGACTTCGCTGCAAATAGGAGGAACATCGCAGGAATGTAGAATAAGAACGTTACGAGTCAGACGAGGTGAAAAGTAGCTCTGAAACACTTATAAGAAGATAGGTGATAGTGAAAGGCTTCGTATACTTCCGCTATCGGAGTCGTCATCAAGCATGCTCGAAATCCTGCACAGAAGCAACATTAAGCTATTTCTCTGCATGAGAAATGGATCTTATCAGACTCGGTCAAGTGATCATCGCGATCAATTTAGATCAGCATGCATGGGAAATCCGAGCAAGTCAGCGTCTTGGCTTCCACGTTTGACATAGAAACATGTTTCATACCCATGCGAACGAATCATGTATGAGTCGCCCTCATTTTAATAATTGCGCCATTATTAGGGCTTCTCGGCTCTTTACCGATTGCACAAGACGCGCAAGAAGTATTTTTTTTAAGTTTTTTTTCTTTTTTTGGCTTCATTGCTGTCTTGTGAAGTTCTCCAAAATATTAGGATTGTCTTCATTACAGTCACGGCGTGCAGGTATTCTCTTCGGTCTGCCAAATCCAATGCCACGATGCTGCAGTACAAGGTAGCGTAGTCACTCGAAATGACTCTGCGATGCAGGTAATTCTGTACCGGAAATCCTTTTATCATGCACTGGCCAAAGCATCCCGGGATTTTTGCCTGCACTTAACGACCTAGGAAAATCTATCTCGGCATTACGTTGGCCTGTATACAAAATTCTGCGCCAAAAACTAACAATCGGTTCTGCCGCGGCAGCAAGCCTGTGTGCTATTATAGAGACAACATCTATAAAAGGTAACGCTTAATTTGCACAATGTTCCCGCCTGTAAGCTCTAGCGTAGGGCAAAAACATAATGTCTTCTTTGTTGCCAAGCTTGCTTGGTGATGTGACTTTTATAAACAGTTTTTTGGCTTCCCTTGGAACGTCACTCGGTGTTGGACTCGCCGCAATTCCTGCTATTCTACAGAATGGTGCTTCTCCCCTGGGACTCCTACCAGTGCCAGTTCTCCCAAAATATCTAGGAGGTGGAAGCGGCGACTCTGCATTGCCGCCGTGGGGTAACCGAACAACAAACAATACAAATTATTATGAAGACATCCCGAATACAGGCGTCACACGGACTTATGACTTCACGGTGGCTCGGGCGACAATTGCACCAGATGGTGTTGAAAAAGAGGTTATCATAGTCAACGAACAATATCCCGGGCCAACGATCGAAGCGGATTGGGGAGACTGGATTGAGGTAACAGTGCATAACAACATTACGGGACCCGAGGATGGGACAGCAATGCACTGGCACGGGTGCGTCTAGTCATCTCATTTTTTGTGCTGCTGTTTGCAGTGATGACTCTCCGTTATGTGATCCACAGAAGATTGTCAATTCTGGACAACCTACCTCATATTTTGGTGTTCTGCCGAACGCTAATCCATTCATAGGTTGAGGCAGTTAGGAACACAACATATGGACGGAGTACCAGGAGTATCTCAATGCCCAATAGCCCCAGGGTAAGGATGAGAGTCACCCTCTCCTGTGCTTCACTAACATGTTACGAAGGAGCTCTATGACATACCGCTTCCAAGCTGATCTCTATGGTACGGGGTGGTACCATTCCCACTATTCAGCTCAAACAACAGACGGTGTTTATGGCCCAATCGTAATTCACGGGCCGTCAAGCATGGACTACGATATCGATCTGGGTCCAATTATGGTTTCGGACTATTACCGTTCAACCGCAGATCAAGAACTAAAACAGTTATATAGTACCAACATTATCGTCGCAGCAACTACCTTCGCAGATGGAACCATGATTCAAGGGAAAATGCAGGCGGATTGCTCGCAAGTCAAAAACGGAACTAAGTGCTCAAATGTCAATCTTGCCAAATTTCAATTTGAACCGGGCAAAACACATCGACTGCGCTTCATTTGTCCTGCGTCGTTCGGAGTCCTGCTCGTATCCATTGACGACCACGACATGACGGTTATTGCTAACGATTTTGTACCGGTGGTTCCTTATACCACAAGGCTCCTAACGCTTACCTCTGGTCAGCGAACTGATGTCCTAGTCACTGCAAAATCTTCTATCGAAGGGAATGGCGCATACTGGCTCCGGGCTAGACAGCCGCCTCTATGCTCACTTGCCTATCAGCCATTCGCCTTGGCTTCAATCCACTACAATGGTTCTGACGTAAATGCCACTCCGCTGACGCTACCTGAAGTAGAATGGCTCACACCTAAACTTATCGACTGTGGGAATGATGCGCTTAGTATTACCGAGCCCGCGTACCCTCTATCCATATCGGAGCCAGACGCGACACTTTACGTCGACATCAAGAGCTACACCAATGAAACAGGAGAGACTCTATATTTCATGAATGGAAAAACATTTCGTGCCGACTACAACGCGCCCGCACTGCTTGCTGCACAGGCGGGAAATCTAACGGCTCTCGAACAAGAGGACGACAAGAACATCTATAATTTTGGAAGTAGCCAGACAATCCGCTTAATATTCAACAACTACGTGCCTTTCTCTCACCCACTCCATGTTCATGGACAAAATATGTTCGTTCTAAATGAAGGCGTGGGACGTTGGGATGGTTCGACGATTGTGAGGCCGGAAAATCCACAGAGGAGAGATACTCAGCTGCTGCAACCGAGCGGCTTTCTGGTAGTGCAGCTTGAAAGCGACAATCCGGGTGTATGGCCGTTCCATTGCCACTTCACGTGGCATGTCAGCCAAGGATTGATGATAAGCGTTGTGCAAAAGCCTTCGGAGATTGAGGCCTTGACAGACTTGCCGGAACTGCTATCGGAAACATGTCAAGGTGAGTTTTTTGAATGAAGATTTATTCTTAATCCTTGTAGCGAGGTAACTAACGGTCTAACAGCATGGGACGAGTGGTCGGCTACTCATATTGTACCTCAAATTGATTCCGGCGTTAAGCATCGATTTTTAAACATTCGGGACTAGGGTAGTAGATCAAAATGCGTACGGCCGACAGCTAGACTTTGAGTACTTTTACGTTGAATGTAACTGTAAAACACGCTTTTGAGCAGATGAACTTTCCAAATGTAAAATAGCATTGCGGATCTAATTCTTTGTGTAATGCAAGAGTGATTTGCTCGTAGAGCTACCCCACATTTGGCTATTCCGTTCATAGTTAGAGCTTCCCCACACTGTCCTGTCCGCGTGCCCTTCGGGCATCGGGTGATCTACCCAGCCCTTATGTTCCGTCCTCCTTTTTCGCGCCCCTGAGGCTCTGTAAACCAAAAGCTACTTGCTGTTGTACATTTGTACCTCGTCACGATGTCTGGAAGTGCTCCAGCCGCACTTGTGACTGAGCATGTTCCCGTCTACCGTCCTGCATACAAGAAGGTTGTAAAGGAAGAAGACCCGATCACCCCCCTCATCATCCTAACTTCCTACGCTCATGTACCTCCCTTGCATCCGACGCCGCGCCTTAAATATGACCTGCGATCCACCCCGGATCCACCAAAGAGCATCAGAGACGCTCATACAGGCATAAGCAAAAAGCTACGAGATCATATGCTGCATCAAGACCACTTCTGTGAGCTTCTGGACAAGGCCGAAGAAGACATTACTGCGAAAGTCAAGGTAGTCGAGAAGGAATTTCACGAAGGCATCACGCCTTCGAGCCCCGTGCTGGAAAGAAAACGAACATGGTCTCAGCAGAAGTACAGCGACGACGAGGGAGACGAGGTTGACGAAGACGGGGAGGTTGAGGATGAAGAGAAGAAGGAGGACGACGACGACGACCCGGAGGGCAAGCGGCCGGTTCTCAGGGTCGGCGCGTTCTGCGAGAGAGGACAACACCGCAGCGTTGCGTTCGTGGAGGAGCTCGCAGCCCGAGACTGGCCTAAGGAATGGGAAATCCGGATTGTCCATCGGGATCTGGGCAAGAAGAAAGGTTCTAATAACAAAGGGCGCGGTGGAAGAAAGCTTTCTGTGCGAACGGCCAGCCTGGTGCTTGACGACGACTGATACGCAGCAGATGTTGAGCTTGGCCAATTTGGCATTGGGTAGGTTCATGATACTTTAAAGACATGGGCGTTCAAGCCTCTTTATGTTCTTCCATATACGATTGTCTGGTCCGGATCCAAGCTTCACACTCTCCGTTCTTTAGCTTCTTCGTCAAAGTAACATTCCATTTCCTGGCCCGCCTGACTATAGCCGCATTTTTCATAGAACCCTTTATTTCTTGGGCCACAATCAAGTATACTCTACATGACGATTAATACGTGTGAATCTCATGCATCTCGGCTCACTTCTCACTTTGTAGCAGCCAATATTTCGTGCGACGTCAGTTAGTGCGGCAAGGAGACATCGTCCGAGTTTCTTTCCTTGCTCGTACTTGACCACCGCAACATCTTCGATATGGCCTTGAATGCCGAGCTTGTAGAGGCTAAGGATGACGTGTCAGGGATCAATGCCATAGCGACATATGAAACAATGGACAATGTCTATATGATGGACGCAAGATGCATGCTTTGCGTTGAACATACAATTTCTTCTCAGCCACTAGAGTACCTGTTGCAACAATGGAACCTCTCGACTCCTTTGTCGTGTCCACGATGACTACAACATAGTAAGTTCCCTGACAACTGGCCATCCAATCAAATCGTTCTATCCATTGCTGCTCAGATATTTCCCCAATGTATGTCAAATCTCGGAGTGGTTCTAAGTGGCCTCGAGAATAGTCGCTGCGCTGCAAAGGCCGGACGACGTAGCCATGTGGAAGATCGGCTTGCACAGATGCCGATATCAAGCTCGCTGGGAACAGAGAATCGCAGGCCATCATCAATTACATGGAACGAATAGATCACGCGTTTGGTTGCGAAGATCCGAACGCAAAGCTCCAGCTTGAGTGACTTGGCAGGATAAGTCAACTATGACGAAGTCACATCGGAACTGAACATTGCGGGGATTTATGTATTACGTAAGCTAGAACGAAATAATCCGCCACGAAGTTGGAACGCTGGTACTACTTCTAGCTCCTCACACTAATCTGGCCTCTGAATGCTCTGAAAAGACTGAACATCATCAGAAATAGGTCAGGGGATGACACAATCATCATATTCTAATGTTGTCCATATTCATGACATTATACCTCTCTCTAGGATGAAGAGCGATGCCACGAACCTGCTTAGTCGCCGTAGTGTTCAATCGAGATGCTAACGACAAGGCAGGAGGGGTAAAAGAACAAAGTGATCCTACGCGCACACGCGTTATCTTAATACAGGACCAATATGCAGGCATCTTCGATCAAAATTAGGCGATGTTGTTGAGTTAAAAAGAAATTGGCAGAAACAGAAAACCAGTGCTAGATCCGTTTTCGTTGAGCCTCCTGCTCCATCATATCTAGCTCTTGCAAGGCCTTGTCCTGGATTGGACTTTGGGGCCCGTATGCTCCTAAGAGCTGGCTCAGTTCTTCGACAAGTCTCCATTTCACTCCGCAATCCAGATTTTGCCCCTGCACGCGTCCCAATAAGCGCTGCTGGACGCTTGCCTCCTCATTTAGAAATATATCGAGCGCTGGAATAGGTCTCTAGTTCCTGTGTTACCTTGACCACGTCTACGAGCCAGCTCGAAGACGAGTGTGCGTACCTGGATGCTGGTATTGTTCTTATGATTAATTGTGGAACAAAGTCTCCTATGTTTGTAGTCGGCCTGTTACGGGGACAAAATAAATAAATTCCGGAGGCCTTTTTTCGATTAAGAAGATGGACGTTGCCGGTCGATCTCTCTAGATTCAAGTTTTAGCTGTCTCTAGATATTTGCTGTTTATTTGTAAAGCTCTCAGGCCTTTTATAATTAACAACATGGTTGGAATCGGACTTCTCATCGAACGAAATGCGCTCCTAATATTCAAGTTGCCTCTGACAATGCCAACTATGGATTATGAGAATGTGCATTAGATTGGCGAACGCCCATTTACGCGGATTGACGTGAGTTCGCTTAACGACAGGCACGCGTTATCATTGGCCTATTGAAAGCTTTGCTGCATCTAATGTCGAACTGCGCGTTAAAAACCACGGCGGAAGGCTTAGAGGCTCGTTAGCAAAGTCCCACGACTTGCTTTTAAGCCCCACAATGTCAGCCTAAGCTCCATATCTCACTTGATATTTAATACCACGACAATATGTTTCTCTTCGTTCTCACTTTTCTTCATAGAACTGCTGCATCTTTAGCTAGTTTATCTCGCGGTTTTGTATTTGGAAGACTCGATGTGTCTTGGCGCGCGGAGATGAGGAAACCTTGCATAATGATATCAGACTCCAGTCCTAAGAACTTTGGTATAGCTAAAGACATCCGTTCTTACATTTTTAGATTACGCATTGCGAAAAGCACGCGAAGCGTCGAGCGTTTCCCTCATACCACCGATAATACGGTGAGTAATCGACGCCAATCAGCATCAAAGTGTGGCTTTGACGCTACGTCTCGAAAACTTCAGCATAATGCTCAGAACAAGGAAACGAAGCTAAATGATTTCGAGAAATCTGGGCTACATAGACTTCAACAGCCGAAAAACCACATACTTGAGCAGGGGAACAAAAATACACAGGCTTCTGAGTCGTCTTTTTGGCATGCAAAGTGTGCATCTGAAACAGATATCATGCATCTACAATTACGATCTCTTGATCATTTATTACCTCAGCATCCTGCGAATACCCGTGGTAGTAAGATTTATCTAAGAGTATTAAGAGTTTCAGGGTCGAAGAAAGGAAAATCCGCACGAAGATGCCGTGTGCAGCAGCAATTGAAAAGGGAAATCAAGGTAGGTGATACATCAAGCAGCCTTGCTGTCCAATATTTTCGTTTCGGTGAATCAGATCCTCAATTTGAGATTGAAAATGTCCCTATGATTAAGGCATTACGGATTACTATTATGCACCGGAAAGGCAGGTTATTAGGTTCGAGTTTTAATACTTTATTAGGCTTTTTGTTTGATCCTAATTACAGCGGACTTCAACCGACGGCTTCTTTGCAATGAGCATGCTGATACAGACATTGACACACGTCTTGAAGAGCCGCGAAACTCCATTAGAAAGCCGATACCTACAGGATCTATATCTACTGCTCTGCCTAAATTTTTCCAACCAAAGTATACTACAAATGCGGCACTATGTCACAATAATTTCAGCGTCGCACCTTTGACCGACCAAATGGTCAGCAAAGATTCACTCCAAACATCATATTTAATGCTGATATTAGACAAAGATTATGATACCAGAGAGCTGCAGGGCTCGAAAAAGTCTGCGAAACCGACAAGGTCTAGTCGAAGAAATTTTGCAGGAGCAGAGTTCTGAAAATACGAATGATTCCCCTAAAGCTACATGTTCTGGTGAGTTTCGACGGAAAGCCACATCATTACGGAGCAATAAACACACTAACTCTTTATCAGCTCAAGGACGGCGAATTTCGATTAAAATCAATGCATTCGGCGATAATTCGAGATTACATTCACCTGTCTCTGGCCAGCAAGACGATGATGCAGATTCTAATGACTGGAGCGTCAATAGTGATGAGGTCAGCTCTGTCTCTGAGACTCGCTCCAGCGATTGTCCGGAATCATCACTACCGGAGCATTGGCCTCAAGATGTTATAAACTGTCCAAACTTCCTACTCAATGCCATAAGAGATCCTTGGGCCGGGGCAAATATTAAGGCTGTGACTTGTGGCTCGGGAAATCCTTCAAGTCCAGCTCCAAAACACAACTCCGATGCTCGCAAAAGCTCTCCAAAAATTCAACACCTGAACATGTCTCGAAGGCGGCCTGTAAACTCTCGCGATAATGGGGATGATGATGGTGAAGATGACCATCCAAAGAAGCGTTTGCGACCAGACGGTCCACCAAATTGTGAGCATGTGTGACTGCGTACTGCGTAGAGTCTAACACGATTATCTTGCCAGTTGTCCCAGATCTACGTTTTGCCTGTCCCTATCTCAAAAAAGATCCGAAGAACACGCAACTCAAGCCGTCCTGTCTACAAAGTGGCTTTCCCGACATTCATAGGCTGAAGTGCGTTTGAAAATTCCTCATCATGACTACTATTTGACAAAGGATTAGGGACCACATTTATAAGTACCATAAGCAACCCATCTACTGTCCGAAATGCAAGGAGACATTCGATAGCCGCTCGGATTGCGACGCTCACATCGAAGCTGACCACTGCCAGAAACGTGAGAACGTAGCATTTCCAGGCATAAACTCTGACCAAGAAAAAAAATTACGCGACAGAATGAGGATAGGAAAAAGATCAGCTTACAAGACTGAAAAGGAAAAATGGATCGAAATTTGGAAAATCATCTTTCCAAACGACATAGACAATATCCCTTCACCGTGTAGGTATGAGAGGTGGGGAATTTTCGAATAGCGCTGATTTGACGTAGATCATGTCCAGAGACAGCAAATAAATCAGCTGACGAGATTTTACCGCTTTGCTTTGGTAAATTTTGAAAGGCATACAAGGCCACTTCTGCAAGAAGAGCTAGTTAAACATGGACCAGAAATTCTACACATTATTCGAGAGGTTCTAGGTCAAGTGTACAATGAGTACGTGTCCGAAATATGGCAAAATCCAGAAACGTCATCGCCCACGAGCAGCGACCATCAAAACGGAAATGAGCTCAGAACTATGAATACAACAAACTCAACCGAGACCATTCGCGAGACTATAGAGCCAATTCAGATTAGCAGACCATTGGACCTGTCACAAAACAACATCTACGAACAAAGAGTGGCACCATCCTCATCAACAAAATTATTCCATCCTCTCCATATGTTTTATTCTCTTAAAAAACAAGGACTGGAACTATCAATACCAACACCATCTTTCACAAATGCACAGGTAACATCCCTATCACAAAACTGCATTAATGGACAAAAAGTGGCACTATCATCATCGACACAGTCTTCTGCAGATACCAAGATGCCTTCCCTAAAACAAAATCATGTTAATGAAACAGGACTGGTACCGTCAGTATCACGACCATCTCCCACAGCAACCAGGATGTCATCCTTAATACAAAACGATATGAAAAAGCAAGATGTGGTAACGTTATCATCAGCGCAATCTTCTACGGATACATCAACGTCACCATTTGACGACGTTCAAAAAGAAGTTTTGGCGTCTCAATCCTCTGTGCCGACCGAGTTCACTTTTAAATCGCAAGTCGATAAGTCTGACCTACAGAACACGTCCATTGAGCCTAGCAGGTTCATTTCTTCGGGAGAAGATGGAAATCAGCTGGCCTTCTCGCTTGCGAACCCTTTTCTAGGCTGTGATTCACAACCACAGCAAAACGGAGAAGACGACATCTGTCTTCCCGAACCGCTATTTGACGAAGAAATTTTCAAAGAGATCATTCGAGAAATTGAGGCAAATGACGCCGGCTGGTCGCCAGAAAACATGAGGTTGCTATGAGCATGTGTAGAAGTCAGTCCTAAAGGTCTATTGTTCACGTAAAATCAAATTCAGCGGTCTACGAAGCGAGCAGGTCATCTTGCTTCCCTGCCAGTTAAATTTCCTTGCTTGATTTGATCTACTTGAAGCTCTGGAAATGCATATCTCTGATCTCTTCTAAGTGCTCAGAGCTCACCAATCGCGCGAGCGCCTCTGTAGATTCTTTGGCCGTATGGATATTCCGATCGATCTGTTTCCAAAGCAATGAAATCATTTGGATCAGTGGGTCATGCCATGGGCGTCCCTAACCCTTGCTGCTGTATCGGACGTCAGCTGGGGACTGACGTTCAGAATTCGTAATCAGTGGCCGTATGGTTGCAAATCTATATTTCCTCAATTCAAGGGGCCATCCGCACAAATTGTTAAGCTTTGAGAGGCCAAGCAGCATGAATGTAGTGTTGCGCTATTGAAGAGCCCTATTGGTTTAGCTGCGGTGTTTTCGAGCTCTGTTCGCAAAAACATCACAATCAGGTCGTCAAGGTATTTGTGGGCGATCTTCAATGCTGTATGACATCCAAGGCTGGCAGTAGCGCGTACGGCCAATGATATGCCCTGAGTAAGGCAATTATGCTGCGGAATAAATTAAAAGTGCAACTCTGAGTCTCCTAACTGCAACAGTGTATCTCATGATGAGATTGAAATGCGTGTATTTCTCCAGCTTCGTAGGATTCTAACACCGGCGTCGTACTCGGGGATGGAAACAGTCACGTGGCGACTGGGTATTCAGACAACTCTTAGTATAGGCCAATTGAACGGAAGACAAGCATGGGAAGAAACTCTTGGTGGCCGGAATTAACGCCTTCTGGCGATGCCTGTCGACTGGCCGACCCATATAGGCGACGGGCATGTCGCAGACATGACCTTTCAAAGCTTAGCATCAACCATCCGTTGAAGTCCGTTCGTTTTCTTATTATTTCTATTCTGTTGATGCTTGGTCGCGTGTATATCCAATCATAATGCAACGGAAGAAGCAATGCTTCTTACCATGGACACTCGACAACCGACCTGGAACGAGGACAGTTCGGAACGGAAGATTCACAACGCGAAGCAATGAATTGGTTGAGATCAGAACTACATACTCAATTCGAGTATATGCTGCTACGTAAATTCGATTTTGACTGGAAGCGCAGAAAAATGCACTAGCAAATGTCTAGAAGTCCTGTGTTTTGGACTGAGTAGGAGCTGCTCTGCGGTCAACGCAAGCACCTCGGTAGTACTCACTCCAGGTCGCTTGATGTGCATCAGAGGCACTGGATGAGTCTTATGCCTTTTCTCCTTGTATTGTAGCCACTAGTGTCCTGGAGTGTTTGCTTGCTCTGAATTCCAAGTACCAAATTCCTTGCCATGTGCCCGTATTCAGTCGACCATTGGTGATTGGTATTGTTACACTTGATCCAATCAATGCTGACTTTATGTGTGCCTGCGATCCAAAGTCAGCTTGAGCCTTTCGCGATTATCGCTTGGGTTGATTAGGTACCGGCATGTCATCCTCGCCTTCCGCACTATGCCTGTACAGATTGCCTTTCTTGTCGTACGGCACAATTCGCTCCAGTGCATCTGTCATGTCCTCTCTGACCTCGCTATCCCAGTTCTCGTTCATGCTCAAGGCACACGATGTGTGCTGCACGAACAAGTGCAGGATTCCAACTTTGTAGTTCTTGATCTCCGGCAGCTCCTTAACAACAATGTCCGTGATCAAATATGAGCCACGAGACTTTGAAGGCAACGTGAACGACTTCTGGAACCACGACATGGTCGGAGACGGTGTGGCAGTCGCAGGATTGTTAGGAGAGCAATCTTTGGAGGGAGGCGAGCCCAGCTTCAACTGGTGGAGGGGCAATCTGAGGATGCTGAAGAAAACGCCTGGGAAAAAGCACAGGATAAAAATGAAAAGGAAGATAAGCGTTGTGTTGACTGTAGATGGGTAGCCGTAAACTTGACGTGGCTGCATGTACTGTAAATTTGTTGCTCGTAATGTTCTGATACACATTGAAGAGATTCGGTCGAGTGGGGCACAAAAACAGCTCCGCGCCCCTGCCGACTGATGTCATGATGAGAGTCTGTCACGTGCGCGAGGCTGAGTTCAAGGCTACGAGTGCCTCTTTCTTGGTATTCTTCATAGTCCTCTGATAGAAGCCAGCCAAAACAAAAAACCGATGAGGCAGTTTTGAGTTTTCAGTGTTGCTATGTGGTGACGTAGTATGCCAAGTCCGCATCGGGCTTCAGCTCATGTTGAGTGAAGCCATTCCCCATGAATCGGAATCTATTTGGACTTCTATACCTGATGTCAAAGTCCTCGGGCCTGAGCTCCTGCACCATCTGATGGTATAATAGAGCACTTCCAGCAAAGGTTGCTGTAACCCTCCCGTCGACGCGATTAGCCTTGTACCACGATCTGCAGGCACCAGTCCATGTGAGCGTCTGGTGTATCTGATCTCCATATCGCACAAACTCGTCAACAACTTCCTGCTTCGGTGCAATCGACGCGATATCCTCCCTTGCCATCTTCTGCAGCCATTTGATCATCCAGTTGGCACTCCAGCCAAGACTTTGAATCAGGCTGCCATGCCCTACAGTCGCGTTAGGTCCCGTGAAGATGAAGTAGTTGGGCATGTCAGGGCAAGCGAGAGACATGTAGGATTCGGGTTCGTGTTTCCACTTCTCTCCAAGAGAGATTCCATCACGTCCAATGACTGGGAACGGCGGAATCTGTGATACGTCGAACCCCGTCGCGCAAACTATGACGTCCAGCTCGTGCAGTTTTCCGTCTGCTGTTCTTATGCCAGAAGGTTCAATATGTTTAATCTCAGAGTTGGTGAGGGAGACGTTTGATTTCGTGAAAGCTTCTAGATATCCATCACCGGGAGTCACCCGTCTGGCGACATGATTTAGCCTCGTGGATCTGGAGAGAAGGCCGATTGTTAACCTACCGACATCCTAGTTCCCATTTTGGAATCAGCTTCTCGCATAGCTCGGGATCGTGGTTCAGCTTCTCACTCATCTGTTTCACTGCAAACTCTGTGCTAGCCTTGTTCGCTTCGCTTCCCTTTAAGAACATGTTGAACGCCTTGTTGATACCTCCTTGCACAGTCTTTCGATATTTCTTGAGCTCCTCTGGGTCTTGGAATCTTTGCTTGTCCTCTTGCCGATACGCTGGATTGTAGCTCTTGTCGTCGCTGCCGACGAGCTGAGCTGGCGTCATGCGAGAAAACACCCAGGTTGGGCCACGCTGGAAGGAAGTAACCTTTGTTCCAGGGAGCTTCGCCATGGCCGGTAAGATTTGTATTCCAGACGAGCCGTTGCCTATGACTCCAACACGCTTATTCATGTAGTCGAAAGAATGATCCCACCCAGCAGAATGAACTTTATGCCCCTTAAAGTCGTGCAAGCCTGGAATATTAGGCCAGGTCCAGGTGCTCAGAAATCCCCTCGCGGAGATCAACACGTCGGCATGATCAGTTCTCGATTGGTGCCCGTGTGCCAATGATATCTTCCACTGGCTTGTGTCTTCGTTCCACTCTGCCTTCGTGACTCTTGTACTGAACTGTATGTGCTCGTCCAGATTCCACTTTTTCACGGTCGCATGGATGTATTCTAATATTTCAGCGCCGGCTGAGTAGAAATGAGACCAGTTTGGATTTGGGTCAAATGGAAATGCATAGATGGCGGACGGAACGTCACACATAACTCCTGGGTACGTGTTGTCGACCCAGGTTCCTCCGGGGACTTCTTTTTCTTCGTAGATTACGAAGTCTAGTATCTGTTCAATTTCAGATTTGTGCTCGTGCATTAATTTGTGCGCCATAATCAGGCCAGAGAATCCCGCGCCAATAATGGCAATTTTCAAACGTTTCGTCGGCGTGAATGCTGGGACATCGTACAATGGTATTTTAAGGCTTTGCATATACGCTTTCAATTGACTTTCATCAGACGAATCAATAACTCCATTGGTCAGCAAAGGTCCGCTCTGGGTTTTATTGGCCATCTTGAAATATTTCAAGTTTAAGTTTTTGCCTTTAATTCATTGATAGCCCGCGAAATCGCTACAACGATTCTCAAACGTGTTCAAGTTACCCAGTTCTCATAACCGAATTTTGGATCATACTGATGCGGGGTAAAGCACTCTACGGCTTACTGCCCTACCCCTAGATACATTAGCAGCGACTAGATATTAGAAATAATCCTGGGCATAACATTCGCAGTGCTTATCGCCCAAGAGCGTAAGCAATGCTCTTTATAGGCTCGGGAGAAACATGCCTCGCTAAGCATCAACGGTAAAATCTGCGTCACAAGGGTTGTTCGAATTTTCTTTTTGGCAAACATTCCAAACTCCAGAATACAAATTAAATATGTAAAGAGCTTCAGTACAAAAGATCACTTACCGGTCGTAAAGCCTGTTCAATGGCTATGCAGGAAGATTTCCGTTTCGTCGCGATGCACAAATCATACCCCAGAACTCGTTATCAAAGTAACTGCAGCTAAACTTTTGAGCTCTCACCACCGACTCTTGAAACGGCGGATTTCTAAACTGATAGGCTTGACCGCTCCATAGACATACTCCATATTTACTTGCGAAATTTGAGTATGGCATTGCTGAAGTCCATCCGGGCGTTGCTTCTTGTGGATCAGGGGCCTTCGACATTCGCCGGGCATGTCTCTATGCGTTCCACAAACAATAGAATCCAAAGTAATCTTATTAGGCATGCGACGCCACTCTTACTTTCGCCCACTGTGAGCTTCCCTGAGTTCTCCTTTTTTAATTATTATTATTTTTTCTTGCGACCTTGGTTTCGGAAAATTTCTACGCCGGACAACTTGAGTCCAGCCGCAAAACGACGTGTTCAAATATGGTCCAGAACCGGGTTTATAAAGTGACTCACCGACACATCCATAAGGTGGCTATGGATGATCTTCTGTGTGATCTTCCGAGAGAGATTCTTAGACGTCTGGTTCGTCGATGCTTAAGTTTCCAGGGACAGTAATACTTCTTGAATTGGATCCCCGCTACTGTACCATTGCGAAGCGGGGTCACATATTGTTCCACAGAATTGAGTGACAGCGCTTATCCATCTCCATCTGGGCATACAGGCTCAAATTTGCTGCCGTGTCTTTACCAGAGGAACTCTCTGGATCTGATGCGAACTGATTGAGAGTCCAGTGCGTACGCCTGGATGCTTCGACGCTAGGCAGAATGCAGCTGTACGCTTCTAGTAACGTTTCTTAGGCAGCTTTTACGTGGTCCTCGCTCAGTCGCTGCCGTCGTGGCAGTGCTTTTGTAACATGCCCAAATACTGCGACGGCAAGGCGAAGACTGCTTTGGCTTTAGCTACATGTGTGGACTGTGGTTTGCCTCTCTCGCCCAAAAGACTCTGAGGAATGGACATGCTGGCTCCGCACTAATGCGAGTGCCAGACAAAGTCCCACTCGGGCGAAGTGCGCCCAGTTGGCTTGCTTGAAGCACGTTTGGATACCATAATATAGACTGTATGGCACAGTTCAGCTTGGGTCAATGAGAGTGCATATTTCGTGCTGAGCAAAGACGTGAGCACCTGCCGAAATCATTTCTCTCTGCTCCGTGAAACTTTCTAATGTTTGCTTAAAATGATCTAGATATGTTGTCGTACCCTATCATAGCTCTGCCTCCACTTCCAGGACTGATTTCAGAGTTTGCAGCCTTGTTCCCTCTTGTCAAACATTTGAGCAGCCTTCATCGTGATCACCAGATCGTTGGGGAAACCGCCTTGTTATGCAAACTTCACGTAGGTCTGTTTCCGAAGCTGGGGTTTCTGACGGGCCTTTCGAGATATCTCAGCTGTGGTTCGGAGTTCCTCGATAGAGCTAGCTCACGAGGCCTGGCTGGTTCGACTGTGTGGGATGTGAGCTGGGGCAGCGTGTTCCCTTGTGCAAACGGGGGACTTATCGACCTTGTTACTCTTGACGTATTGTCAAAACCAGACATTGTGATGATCGGATGCTGTTCTCAAGAGCGCGGGATAAAACAGTCGAAGTCTGAACGTCCTTGGTACACCGGAAAGTGGATCGTCGAGGGCTTGTCGCGGCTAAAGCAGGAGCCTTTAAAAGGGTGCAAACACTTCAGTCGGCCCCAAGTCTTACACGTGTTGCATTTCACCAGAAAGCAAGTTAATGTCCGTGGCATTAGAGGATGGAGTCGAATGATGGAAATGAGAACTTTCGAAGTGCTCCGAACGATACTAATTGTTTTGATTGCTGGTTTCTTCAGCCTTGTGGGTGCATATGGATGTGCTATTATCCTTGTGAATGGTCTGATTTGCCGGTGGGTATCCAAGACATGCATTGCTAGGCGGCCGGTTGGATATCTCGACAACAACGAGGATCACGATGCTTGGATGCTGCGAGCCATCCATGCGAACTCGACAACCTGGCACCTATACACCGGTGATCGGGGGGTGGTAGACTGGATACTGAACAAAACGATGATCGAGATTCCTGCTACAAAATTCCACTCCATAGCTGCTCGCCTGCTGAAGATGGGAAATGCAAATCAGCTCATGGCCATGGCGTATGTCGCCGCTCATAAAGGTTGGGACGGCGTGTTCTTACTTGCCATCATGGTAGCCGATCTTATTCTCCTGTGGCCTTCGCAAGGCACCCAAGCAGCGAGGAAGTGGCGAAAATCCGAAGGAATAGAAGTGCGGTCAAAGAGTTTTGCGTTTACGGGGCGCACGATCATGATTGGAGCTATTCAAAAATTGAGCGGGTCGAAAAACACCGTATGGATGAACGAGATCCTTGTGCCACATCCCAGGCGAGAAGTTTGGCTATCGAAGCTCATAAACGATGAGGAGGACAACGCGCCGCTAAACGTTGATAGAGCAAACTTGACTGAGCGTGATCTTAAAAAGGTCAACCTTACTGCCGAGCTTTCCAGGGGGGCTGCGACTTGCATTAGTGAACATTTCAGAGAAACGAACTGCTTCAAACTGGAAGTATGATAGAGCATTTGCATTTTGCAGCTGGCTTTACTAAGAGCTAGAGGATAAGAATTGGGGGATAAGCCCAATTACAAATGACCGTACAACCACGGCGATTGAATCACGATTCTTTTTTCGATAAATTTAGGAAGCAGGATTTCCTTGACAAGTTCCAAAACACCATACCATTTCCAGACTTGGGCGATCCATCGATCTTACAACACCAACAACGTAGTTGGGAAGCTTCAGCGGGTAGAAATAGGGTTCTGAAGCACCGCTGTTATTACCGTTTCAAGCTATTAGTAATGCACACCACTTATCTTTTCCCCCTAATGTTGAGGCCGAGTGATGTATGGTTTGCCTGCTAAGCTCTGACCTATTCTTATGCGTCGAATGGATCATCTTTTTAAGTGGCCATACGCTCATCCTGCGAGTGCGAAACTCGTAGATGCACCAAGATCCGTGGATTCCATCTGCTAACATGGTGCCATTGCTTGTTTCTGCTCTTGAACAAGGTAATAATAGCTTGTCATAATCGAAACAAGAATCTGGCCCCGTAAGTGGAAGATTTGGGCCAGAGGATGCCCAACTCAGTCCCAGGCATTGGGAAACTCGTGGAAAATCCGATATGAGGTACTCTAGGATCAGCTTGGAGCTGATACGGCCGTGCCAAAAACTTCTGCTGTCACGTATACCTCATGGCCAACTAGCAAGCCCCAAATGACGATCTCGTCACCTGGTCTGCCTGCATGACGTTGGGACAGTAAATTCGCGGCAATGTCGATTTCAACAAATCCTTTGAGTTCACTAACAACCCAATCCAAACCCTTTATTCTCCAGTGATCTGCGCCAACGTTGCGAGTAAAGAAGGGGCAATATATGCAGGGCTGTAAGGAAGAACACAGCTGCATCAACACGGTGTTTCCTGAGGACTTGTCTGAGAGCATCCTTGAGGGCAATAATCCTGTCGTTCTGACAGAGTAGTTACAGATTTCGGAGGCCATGCAAGGCCTCCAGAAGTGTCCAGACTCTCACATTCCAGTCACAAACAAGCACTGTACCCAGTAGAAGGTCTAAGGCGTCTACGCTGCCATCTCCTATGTCAATTGACATGATGTCCCTATCGCATATAAGGACTATGCTGCTTCCAGAGAATATTCTGTTGATGTTAGATATCGCTTCTCTCCGTAGCATGTGGTTGCTGGGGATACAGGGCGTGTCCATCCAATATGAGTCACAATGATGAGATTTTGCAATCATCGAATAACGTTTGTGTAAGCACCTGTTAAATCCGGAGCACTCCAGTGTTGCGTCGTTTTCAGGCCCACCGCCCTGACCGTGACTCTAGCCATGGGACACGGCCATAGTTCGCGTGGATGTTTCACAGTACCTCAATGTTCCATCAAGCGAGTTCTCTATTGAAGCAGCAGCGTCACCTCCTATACTTTTCCACGATGTATCATCCCAATATAAGCTTTGACAGAGGCCATCGCAGCTTTCTGTGTGAAATGACTGATTAACCATGGTCGCACCAGATAGCCTTAGGCAACTTCCCGGCCGTTTATTGTCGCAGCTTGTGCGTGGACCAGATGATCGCGCAGTGCATCGAGGTTCCATACCGTCGACTTTTTCGCTGAAACGTTCAAATATTCTTCAGAAGTCTTGTCCGATCGCGTACCTGCTCGACTGTAGAGATCGAAGAGGCCATGCATGTCGTTGTGTTCAGATGCTCTGGCTTGGTGCCTCATGGCGACAGCTGATGCCTTAGGAGAAGTTGCTCTGTAGATGCCTTGATGCCCTGATGCCTGCGACAGGCTGGAAAGCGGGCCAGACTCGCGTGTTGCCTTGTGAACAAGGCACCAGATCACGGGACTCCGCCAAGAACAGCCCCATTTTTTTTCCAAACTTTCCTAGTCCGGCTAGACAGTTTCCTTATACGGACTAGCGAGAGCTTTCCAGTAGTCTGCGACTCCCCAGTTGTTGCGCCCTCGAGGCCAAAACGCGCCTTTTGCAGGTCGAACTCGAGCGACAGTATCAGAGCCTCACTTTATTCTCTCCACCAGCACCTGCGCATCCTGCATCGCCGATCCCGTCGCCGCTCTTTTCGAATGATCGCGGCCTTCTTCAGCCGCTGCGCTTACGACACAACTTGTTCGCGACATTTTTAATTTGATCGAGCAGTGCTTGCTCTCGATCCTCTTCCTCTTCATATCCAGCGCACTTCTCGAGCGAGCGTGTGAACCCTCGAAGGATGTACCGTCGCGCACACCTTGCCTTGAGCGCATAGAACCTTTCTTTTCGGATCCAAGGCTTCGCGGTGGCCTAGATCGCAAACAATCACCGCAAACATGGCGGAAGCTTCAGCTCAGCTGGAAAGTTTCCTGGAGAGGCTCAGCGAATCCAACACTGGTATGCTGGACTCTACGGCTACGCGCAGGGCACGAACGAGCAAGCACTAACGGTGCGCCAGATCTCAGGTCAAAGTTGATTGCGGCCACTGAGCTGAGGGACCAGATCGACGTCTGGTGCTCAGGAAACACGTACAGCTACTTCTTACAGAAGTTCGTGCCCGTCCTGTTGAAGCTGCTCGATGGCCCGCCAGTCTTCATCAGCACATCGCCGGAGCAGGTATGTCGGCTCGTGCATGCGCCACCTATACGACATCATTGACATGTTGCGCAGAAACTGCGCAATTCTGTGCTCGAGATCATCCACCGCCTGCCCATGAGCCCGCAGAAAGAGCTGGAGCCCTACGCGCCTCAGATCGTGGACAAGCTCATGAGCCTGATCAATATCGAAAACGAAGACAACGATATCGTCATAGTCAAGACCATCATGGATTTTTTTAGGCATCAGGCATCGGTGGTCAAGGATCGTGTTCAGCCCTTCCTCGAGCTCATTCAAGAGATGTTCCAGACCATGGAGCAGACCGTCAAGGACACGTTCGACAATCCCGCGTCGAGCGCATCGGCCGTGCCTTCGACGCCAGCTAGCCACACGCAGTACTCGCAGTCTCCGAGACCAGGCTCTCCCGTGTCGACCGTGTCCAGCGAACTGACCACAGATGCGCAGACAACACGTCAGCTGCAGAAAGGCATGCAGTCCTTCAAAGTCTTGTCAGAGTGTCCTATTATTGTCGTATCCATCTTTCAATCCAACCGCGACGTTGTCAGCAAGAACGTTCGAGCGTTCGTTCCGCTAATCAAGAACGTGTTGCTGCTGCAAGCCAAGCCGCAAGAGAAGGCACGCGCAGAGGCAAAGGCACGGGGCGATATATTCGTGGGAGTTAGCAAGGAAATCAAAAATAGGGCCGCGTTTGGCGACTTTATCCTCATGCAGGTCAAGACCATGAGCTTTCTGGCATATCTGCTCCGAGTCTACGCACAGCAGCTTTCCGACTTTCTGCCCTCGTTGCCGGATATTGTCATTCGAATGTTGCAGGATTGCCCGCGGGAGAAGTCTGGAGCAAGAAAGGAGCTGCTGGTCGCCATTCGGCACATCATCAATTTCAACTTCCGCAAGATCTTTCTCAAGAAGATTGATGAGCTGCTGGACGAACGGACTCTGATCGGCGACGGCTTAACCGTGTACGAGACGATGCGACCGCTGGCATACAGCATGCTTGCCGATTTAATACATCATCTTCGTGACTCGCTGAGCAAAGAGCAGATAAGAAAGACGATAGAGGTCTACACCAAGAATTTACACGATGATTTCCCTGGGACGAGCTTCCAGACAATGAGCGCGAAATTGCTAATGAACATGGCCGAGTGCATTGCCAAGTTGGAACCGAAGGAAGACGCAAGGCATTTCCTCATGATGCTATTGAATGCTATAGGTGACAAATTTGCCGCCATGAACTTTCAATTTGAGAATACAGTCAAGGTTTCAGAGCATTGGCATGCCCCTAGCATCGAGCAGACACCAGAAAACTACATGCTAGACCCAAGTTCGCCCCCGGACTGGGACGAGATCGACATTTTCAGCGCAGCACCAATCCGGACGAATAACCCTCGAGACAGGAGCTCAAACCCGGTAGAGGACAACAAATTTTTGTTTCGCAATCTGATTCAGGGCCTCAAGAACATCTTCTACATGTTACGGTCAACGAATCCTCCGAACCCTGTAGAGGACACGAATCCAGAACAGTCCATCTATCCCGCAAATTGGAAAGACATGTCTCATGGATATAGTGCTGAGGAGATTCAGGTGTTTATCAAGCTCTTCCGAGAAGGATGTCATGCATTCAGGTATCACGGTGTCGGTAAGCCGCAGCAGGACAGCCAGAATCTCACCACAGCCGAGCTTTTAGCTACGCAACACATGATGGCCGGCGGCAAGGAGGAAAAAGACCTGCTCGAGGCTTTTGCAACAGTATTCCACAACATTGATCCGGCTGCATTTCACGAGATATTTACAAGTGAAATACCTCACCTGTACGAGATGTGCTTCGAGCATAGCCCTCTTCTTCACATCGCGCAGTTTCTCCTTGCAAGCGAAACGACGAGTCCTGCGTTCTGTGGTATGCTCCTGCAGTTCTTGATGACCAAGATCGACGAAGTCGGTACCGCAGATGTCAAGAAAGCTTCAATCCTCCTGCGTTTGTTCAAGCTTTCGTTCATGGCCGTGACGCTTTTCGCGGCCACCAACGAAAGCGTTCTACTACCCCACGTGACCAAGATTGCGACCAAAGCCATCCAGCTCAGCACAACTGCAGAAGAACCGATGAATTACTTCTTGTTGCTTCGAAGTCTTTTCAGAAGCATCGGTGGCGGGCGTTTCGAACATCTTTACAAAGACTTGCTGCCGCTCCTGGAGATGTTGTTGGAAGTTCTGAATAATCTCTTAGAGTCTGCTCGAAAGCCGGCTGAGCGGGATCTTTTTGTGGAACTAATACTTACAGTGCCAGCAAGACTGAGTAATCTGTTGCCACACCTGAGCTACCTCATGCGACCCCTTGTCGTAGCTCTGAGCGCTGGCCCTGAGCTTGTTGGCCAGGGCTTGCGGACGCTGGAGTTGTGCGTGGACAATTTGACAGCCGATTACATCGACCCCATAATGGCCCCCGTCATCGATCAGTTGATGGCAGGTCTATGGAATCATCTTCGTCCTGCTCCCTATAGTCATTTCCACGCACATAGCACGGTGCGTATTTTGGGCAAACTGGGTGGACGCAATCGAAAGTTTTTGAATGGCCTACCGCCATTGGAGTACAAGCCCTATTCGGATGACTCACCGAGTTTTGACATACGGCTAATAGGCACAAGCAAGGACCGCGCGTTCCCTGTGGACACTGGTATAAATGTTGCGATCACAAAGTTACAGGAGACGCCGAAGAAGCAGACGGACAAGAACTCTGACGGTTTTCACAAGCGAAAGGCATTCGATTTTGTGCATGCTCAGATCAAGCTTCGCATTGGTCTAGAACAGCTCCCTGACGACTTTGCGCGTCTCGTTCGGCTTCAGGCAAACGATTGGATCGAAAACAAATTCGACCAGGGTGAAGATTTGCTCTCATTCTCGGAGCGAAGTAAATCAGCCACGAAACGGGATGTGCAGCAAGAAACGTTGAAGAAGCTACTCAAAGCGGTCATGTTCTCTCATTGCATACCCTCACTCGTGGACGACGCAAGCGCTCTGATGCAAAATCTCTGCAAACATTTTGCATTGCTTGATGTAGCGAAGAATCTAGCCCAGGTGAAGCATGACCGAAAGCCGTTTGACGTCAAATCAGGCGAAGGCCCTTTGTTTGTGGAGCCTAGAGTGCTAGCGGAGGCGATTGCAGAATGTCTGTCCAGCGACGATGCCCCGGAGCGGGAGGCGGCTGAGAAGGCTCTTTTGACAGTGAGAGACACCTTAGTAACGATCTTTGGGGCCAAGGAGCGCATTGATCGCGCTCCTTTCTTCAGCGCAATGAGCAGGATATTCAGCCACAAGTGCCACCAGGAGGAGTGGTATGTCAAGGCTGGTGGTACCACGGGCATCAAAATCCTGTGCACAAAAGTCGGCCTCAGCGACGCTTGGATGCTCAGCCGTCATTTGGAACTTGCGAGAGCGCTCATGTATGTGCTCAAGGACATGCCGACGGACATCGCTGCCAAAATTAGGGTCGAAGCTGAAGACATCCTCCTCCAATTGGTGAGACGTTGTGCGAAAATGATGCCAAAAGACGAGCTGGAGAAGCCGAACTCTCGACTCATGGCCTTGTGCAAATTTACTGTGCACGAGCTCGCACATTCGAGTCCTCACGTGCGTGCCGCAGCACAGAAGATATTCGCAATAATTGCAGAGAGTATCGGCGTGGAAGTACACGAGGTTCTTGCTCCGGTAAAAGACATGCTCCTCCAGCCGATCTTGATCAAGCCGCTTCGTGCGTTACCGTTCGGTATACAGATCGGCTACATCGACGCGATCAACTTCTGCCTGCAGATGCCCAAGACTATGGTTACCTTCGATGAACCTCTGACAAGATTGCTTATGGAATGTCTTGCTCTCGCCGACGCGGATGATGATACACTTACTACCAAGCCGTTAGAGCACCGCAACGCAGAGAATATTGTCCAGCTTAGGGTCGGCTGCATCAAATTGCTGTCTACGGCACAACCCAGCCCCGAATTCAATGCTGCAAGTCCAAGTCAAAGCCGCCAACGCATCATCGCGGTTTTTTTCAAGCTGCTTTATTCTCGGTCGCCAGCTGTGGTCGAGGCAGCGAATGCGGGACTCAAGGGTGTGTTGGCGAACCAAGCGAAACTCCCCAAGGACCTCCTACAATCCGGACTGAGACCAATCCTCATGAATCTGCAAGAGCCTCGCAAACTGACCGTCGAGGGGCTTGAAGGACTTGCGAGGCTGCTGAAGCTGTTGACCAATTATTTCAAGGTTGAGATCGGCTCGCGTCTGCTCGAGCACTCGAAGACTATTGCGGATGCAGCCCTCGTGCATAAAGTGAGCTTCGGGCTCGTGGAACAAAACAAAGCTATGCGGGTGATCAGGGCGATTCTGGATATATTCCACTTGCTCCCGCCGGCAGCAGTCAACTTTCTTGCTCAGCTTGTCGAGAAGGTCGTAGAGCTTGAACAGCAGCTGCGACGCACGCAGTCAAGTCCGTTTAGAGAACCCCTAATTCGGTACTTGAATCTGTTCTCGAAAGAGGCATGGCAGTATTTTGCTCCGAAGATGAAGGATTTGACATACGGACGCTTTTTCGCACAATTGTTGTGCGAAGAAGATGCACGACCAATGCGCGACGCCGTCGTAGCTGACTTGGAGGGTTTTGTGAAGAGTTTCGAACTGGAATCTGGCGAAGAGAAGGAGAAGACTCAAGCGAAGATTGACGCTGTCCATGTCGCTTGGGCTCTTTGCAAGGATCCAAATACCAAGTCTTTTATCGTCACCAGTGAGAGTACACGGAAAGCGCTTGTCGAGGCAGCCAAAGACGTGGAAAAACAGCTCCGCGACAATACCATCAACGGAAGTTTGCGGCTTGCTGCAGAACAAACAGGCGATCAGGCCATGGATATACTGGTCTGTTTTATGGAGCAGGAACCACAAAACGTCGATTTCTTCTTTGATGTCGTCGAATGCGTAACCAGCGGCGCACTCAAAAACACGCCTGCGATGCTCCATTTCATTTATACGCACATGATATCCGTGGAAGACAACGGGTTCAAAAAGAGCTTGATCGTCAAGTGCATCGAATTCTACGCGTCAAAGAACTCGTCTCAAGGAGCGAAGACATTCTTGTTCCATAATGTGGTTAACCCCATCCTAGCCATGGACACGATGCGCAACTGGAACGTAATCTCTGCACCAGATGCTAAAGGAACCGACTTAGTCGATCGGGGTCTTGTGGAATTGCTTCAACGTACCCTGTGGCAGCCGCAGGCATTCATTGATCCGCTCGAAGACACTGGCCAGGCTGGCATTGACCATGCACGAATGGAGTTCCTACAGCTCACTGCCACCTTGCTCAAGTACCATAAAGAGTTGCTGCAGGATGCGCGAAAAGTAATCATCAAGTTCTGTTGGAACTGGATTAAGCTTGAGGACATCGTCAATCGCAATGCTGCTTACGTCGTCATATCGTACTTTATTGCACTGTACGACACGCCAAGTAAAATCGTTGTGAGCGTGTATCAGACGCTACTCAAGGCCCATCAGAATGAAGGCAAACCGCTCATCACCCAAGCCTTGGAGCTACTTGCACCAGTGCTCCGACAAAGAATTGGGAACAACGACAAGCAGCGATTCCCATTTTGGGCGCGTCTACCTAAGAAAATTTTGGCCGAGGACGCGGGCAATTTGCAACAATCCATAGCGATTTTCAACTTCTTCATCCGCCATGAGGAGCTTTTCTACGAGGCGAGGGAGATGCTGACACCTATGATCATTCCTCAGCTGCAGAAGATTGCGCAGCCTCCAGTGACAAGCAACGAATACAAGAAAATCGCCATCAACCTCATGGATATGATATGGAAGTGGGAGTCCCGATCACACAGGGAGTTTTTGGCATCGCCGTCTGCGTCCCCTCAAAGCCAGAAACGCAAAGCTGATGGGACAGTTGTTCCAGCCTCACCCTCAAAGACGAGGACATTCGCTGCTACGCCGGGGCACAGATCGATGATGATCAAATACCTTGTCTCATTCATCGCATACCTGCCAGATCCGTATCCATGCTTGTCCGAGAGAACGAAAGAAGCCCTTAAGAACAAGAATCATGGTTCGCAGTCGCCAGAAACATGCCGCAAGGCAGTTCAGCTTCTTCGGGACCTACTTCAACCGCAGTTTTGGGCTGATCTAGATATTGATCCATTATTCTCGAAGATCCTTGAGCCTATCTTGACCGGTGAACAGGGCGATACGAAGCCGGAAATGTGGATAACGCGGATCATAAATACCCTTGAGATTCTGAGAGTGTTTATCAATGTGAAACCTGACTCGTGGGTTTTAGAGCGACTGCCTGTAATACAGAAGCTGCTTGAGAAGCCTCTGCGAATGGATGATGTCCAGATACAGGATTGTTTGCATGCGCAAGAAGCGGAACAGCATGATCTCATTATGGTACCGTTGTTCAGACGTATCTTGGACGTGATGCCTGCGCCTGTGAGCAGCAGCGTTGCTGGAGAGGACGAAGCCATGGAGGATTCCTCTGTTTCAGAATTCTTTGCTCTGACGAAGCAAATTCTGGAGAAGGCGTTCAGCGACAACCAACTCAACTGTGCGGTGAATCTGCTTTGGTCCATCTGCCAGCGTCGGCCGGGAGAAGTCGATTCGCATATCGGTTCGTTAATGAAGGCATTCAATCTTAGGTTGGTCAAGGATCTCGTGCCAAACCCGCCCGGTCAGCAACCCACAACGCCTTATCCGGGACAGCACGGACAGCAAGCTTCGAGTCAGCAGCTTGATCCAGTCGAATTGGCGATTTCAACCGGTTTGGTATTAAAAACGATTGATATACTTGCAGCTCGCATTGAAGTACTAGGAGAGCAGCGGCGACCTTTCCTTAGTGCTTTGGCGACGCTTGTGGAAAGAAGTCAGAACAAGGACGTGTGCATGAAAGTCCTCGATCTCACGGAGCAGTGGATATTCCACAGCGATGGCGTTCCGACGCTGAAGGAGAAGGTCGCTGTGCTATCGAAAATGTTCGTTTTTGAGAACAGATCCGACACAAAACTTCTGGCACGATTCTTTGAGTTGGTTATTCGAGTATATGAAGACCCCAAAGTGACGCGCACAGAGCTCACAGTGCGTCTGGAAAATGCGTTCCTTATTGGAACGAGGGCGTTGGACGTGGACATGCGAAATCGCTTTTTGACGATCTTTGACAAGCACATTAGCAGAAGCCCGAATTCGAGGTTGGACTACCTGCTCTGCGCGCAAGATTGGGCGTGGCTGGCGGACAGTTTTTGGATCGCCCAGATCAACCATCTGCTCGTTGGTTCCATCGAGATGGAGAAGCCAATCACCTTGCACAAGGAGGACTTCAAGACGGCGCCGCTCACCGTCCTTTATGGTACCTACGCGAAAGACAGCAGACTCGGCGACGTAATGGTGGATGACAAATTGGAAAACCTTCTCAGCGAGCACAAACGCTTCTCTGCAGAGCTTGCTGACGTGCGCAGCAAAGACGTCATCGAGCCCCTAACTCAACTTCAACATACGGACAAAGAGCTTGCGAAGCAGATCTGGGTCAGCCTTTTCCCAATCTTCTGGGCTGCGCTTCCAAAGGAGGACAAGCCCGAATTTGAGCAGCATCTTACCTCACTGCTCAGCAAGGACTTTCACAACCGTCAGATCGACTCCAGACCGAATTGTGTCCAAGCATTGCTGGAGGGCATTGTCCGTGTTGGTGCAGGTGGCTCGGGGCCGAAAATCAAGATCCCGCCGCATGTGGTAAAGTGGCTGGCTAAGACGTACAACTGTTGGTATGTTGCTGCGCACTATCTCGAAGAGTCCGCAAACAATCCTTTGGTCGATACACCACTTGTCCGAGAATCGACACTAGATGCACTTGTCGAGCTCTATGCCGCTCTGGAAGAGACGGATCTGTTCTACGGCACCTGGAGAAGAAGATGTCAGTTTGTTGAGACCAATGCCGCGTTGAGCTACGAGCAGATTGGGGTCTGGGATCAGGCACAGCGACTCTACGAACAAGCACAGATAAAGGCTCGTGTTGGATCTCTTCCATTTAGTCAAGGCGAATACATGCTTTGGGAAGACCATTGGGTTATCTGCGCCCAGAAATTGCAACAGTGGGATATTCTCGCCGACTTTGCGAAACACGAAAACTTCAACGACCTCTATCTCGAAGCAACGTGGCGCGACTACGAAAGCTGGCAGAATCCTAGCAACACGGACAAGAGAGAACAGCTCGAGTCCGTCATCAAGGGGGTTGCTGATGCCCCAACGCCAAGGCGCTTGTTTTTCCAGGCTTTCATGTCCTTGCTCAAGGTCCATGCGAAGGCAGAGACTCCGGCAGACTTCCAGCGAGTGTGCGACGAAGCCATCCAAACAAGCATTCGAAAGTGGCACCAGCTACCGAAGAATATCACAAATGCTCACATACCACTTTTGCAGAGCTTCCAACACCTGGTCGAGCTGTACGATGCGCTAACCATCTCAAACAGTCTCCAGCAAACGAACGCAGGCAACCTGGACCAGAAGTCTCAAGATCTCAAGATCCATCTCAGCACGTGGAGAGATCGTCTGCCAAACTTCTGGGACGACATCAATGCTTGGCAGGATCTCGTCACTTGGCGACAGCACATCTTCTATATGATCAATAACGTCTATCTCGGCCTCATCCCGCCAACGCCAGCTAATGCCACGAACAATTCATATGCCTACCGAGGTTATCATGAAACCGCTTGGATCATCAATCGCTTTGCACACGTGGCCCGTCAACACAACTTACCCGATGTTTGCATATCTCAACTTGGCAAAATCTACACGTTGCCCAATATTGAAATCCAGGAAGCGTTTCTCAAGCTTCGCGAGCAGGCGAAATGTCACTACGCGAACAAAAACGAACTCAACAACGGTCTTGACGTCATTAACAATACCAATCTCCACTACTTTGGCCAGCAACAAAAGGCTGAGTTCTACACGTTGAAGGGCATGTTCTTGAACAAGCTCGGCAACAAGCAGGAAGCCAATGAGGCGTTTGGCTCTGCTTTGTACTTCGACATCAAGCTCGCAAAGGCTTGGGCAGAATGGGGTCACTACAATGATCAGCTCTTCAAAGAAGACCCTAAGAATCTCGAGAAAGCAAGCAGTGCAATCAGCTGCTATCTTGAGGCGGCGAGCCTGTACAAGAATCACAAGAGTAGAAAATTACTCGGCAGAATCCTTTGGCTGCTCAGTCTGGACAACAGTGATCGTGTGTTGGCGAAGGCCTTCGAAGAGTTCAAGGGTGACACTCCCGTGTGGTACTGGATCACGTACATTCCACAGTTACTGGCAGATCTGAGCAGGCCAGAGGCGCCTATCGCGAGGCAAATACTGGGCAAGCTCGCTAAAGCGTACCCGCAGGCGCTGTTCTTCCAGCTGAGGACTAGTCGCGAAGACATGCACACGATTAGGAAGCAGCAGGAAGCCAAAGAGGCGAGAGAGAAACAATTGAAAGAGCAGCAGACGAAGAAGAAGGAAGCAGAAGAAGGCAAAAAGGAAGACGGCACACCGAAACAAGGATCGCCTGCTTCACGGCCCGGCACCGCCGACGGGCAGCCAAATGGTACGGCAACGACGAATGGAGAAACAAAGACAGAGCCGCAGCCGAATGGAGCACCGAAGGCCGAAGGTTCCGCAGAGCAGGCCAACGAAGCTAATAGGGCACCAGAGCCTGAGAAGCCGAAGAAACCCTGGGAGTACATGGACGAGGTCCTAGCCGCGCTTAAAACCGCATTCCCACTCCTCGCTCTCAGCATGGAATTCATGGTTGACCAGATCAACAAACACTTCAAGTGTCACCCGGATGAAGACGCGCACCGGCTGATCGTCGCGCTTCTCAACGACGGCTTGTCTTACGTCGGTCGACAGCCGAACACGTATGCGCAAGATATAAAGTTGCCACAGTCAACCGAAGCCAACATAACCAGGTTTGCGGAGTCAGTCTGTCCTCCGCATATCAGAAAGTCTTTTGAGGCCGACTTTGTCAAGAACAAGCCAACTATGTACGAATATATTCAACGTCTCAAAAAATGGCGGAATCGGTTTGAGGAGCGTCTTGATCGGCGAACATCGCCGGTTGCATTGGAATCATTCAGTCCGCACCTGAGCGAGTTCCGATTCCAAAAGTTCGATGACGTCGAAGTTCCCGGTCAGTACCTACAGCACAAGGACAAGAATCAAGATTTCGTCCGTATAGAGCGGTTCATCACCGATGTAGACCTAGTGCGTGGTACACAGGTGTGCTACAGAAGGCTGAAGATTCGTGGGCATGACGGTTCGCTGCATCCTTTCCAGGTTCAACATCCCGCTGGTCGCTACTGCAGACGAGAAGAGAGAATATTGCAGCTGTTTAGAATTTTCAACGAGGTCTTGTTAAAGCGAAAGGAGTCAAGGAGGCGCAATCTCCAATTCAACCTTCCTGCCATGGTACCCTTAAGTCCAAATGTGAGGATGATCGAGGACGATGTGAGCTACATCAATCTTCAGGGAGTCTATGAAGATTATTGTCGGAAGAACGGTGTTGACAAAGATGAGCCCGTTCTCTACACCATCGAGAAGTTGAGGCAGCTTTCACCGGTGAGTAGGACGAGGTCCTGAACGAATTCAGAGCTAATGCGGCCGTAGAAATCACTCGAGCAAGCAAACGCTATTCGCTTCGAAACCTTCATCGCAGTGCAGGAAAAGTATGCTCCCAACACGGTGGCTCTCGATTACTTTAGTCAGACTTATCCGTCGTACTCGGATTTCTGGCTCTTCCGTCGCGCATTTTCGTACCAATTTGCGGCCTTGACCTTCATGACTTACATGATGTGTATGTCGCAGCGTTATCCTCACAAGCTCTCAATTTCCCGTGGAAGTGGCAAGGTCTGGGGCTCGGAACTTGTACCCTCTATGGCCGCCCAGCGGCCAATTTTCAACAACCCCGAAGTCGTTCCATTCCGCTTCACGCCAAACCTTCAAGCCCTCATGGGCCCAATCACAACAGAAGGCATATTCGCCCCTGCTCTCATGACTTTAGCAAGGTGCCTTACCGAGCGAGAAGGTGAGCTTGAGATGCAGCTCAGTGTGTTTGTTAGAGACGAGGTAACATTCTGGTTCACGCAAAGCCACAAAGGTGCCGCGGCCGCGGACAGTGTGCTTAGAGAAGCTGTCATGCACAACTCGGATCTTCTATGCAAGAAAGTCAGAAGTCTGGCTGACGCACCCAAGGCCACGAATTTGCCTTGCAATCAGACCGTTGTAGATCGCGTGGGGGATGCGGTCGATCCGCGTAAACTGTGCCAAACCGAACCTCTGTGGATGAGTTGGCTATAAAAGGGTTTTTTTTTCTTCTCCGTGTAATTTGTTGTAAAGTTTCTATATTCCCAAAAGCATTTAGCAAGGCGTCGTGTGTAGGATGAATTTGATGGTGGATTAAACATTACCAGTGCTCGTAGCGTTTATGTCTGAACTTGAACGTTTGTAAGAGTGGAAAAATCAGCACGACTGTTGTCGACATCTATAAACCTATCCCTGTTGCTCTGTGATTGTGGCTCCCATTCCCACGTTCGAGGTGTCTAACTCAAGGCTAAGAATACGAAGTTCAAGCCGTCTTAATGACGATGGAGGCGAAATCCCTGATCCGCAAATAGCGCCGAGTAGCTTGAGCACTACACTGGGCTAATCAACCTTGCCAAGGACCAAAGATCCAGTTGCCTGCATTAGTACACGCAGGGTACTTGAAGCAGATGTGGTCTTTGCACGAGAAGCTGTTTGTGACTGGGGTAAGCAGCCTTCTGCATCACCCACATGCGTTCTGCAGACCTACAGTTTTGGCCCCCGGTTTTCCATGTGCGAATGCTGGCTCTCTCTTTCTATCTCTCGGTCTCTCTCTCGCGCGCGGGCTCGCTCGCTCGTTGCCCTCTGCTCACCGCTTCCTGCTTCACGCAGTAAGGGGAATGCATGCGGACACGCTCGTATTGCTGGATGATCGCACCGCGGTCCTGGCCAACATGCGTGCATTGGAGGAGGGGCACACGAGGAGCGGGTGACGTGCGTTGGGCAGTCCAATGCAAGACAAAAGAATCACGCGCGTTTCACGCAGATGGGAGTGTGGCGGGCACATCTTCACGAGCGAAAGCGAGGGGACATTCTGCGGAGACTAGGTTGCTTTTTTTTCATTCTTTTATTTTGGCTTCTCTACGGTCGTGTCGGCCCGAGACGGAGGTTGCTGTCAGTTCACCGGCTCCGGCAGATGCCCTTTCACGTCGGTGTCCTACGTGCCTAGGAAAGCGCCAATCTCCTCCGCGATCTCAGCGTTGACGTTCTTGAATCGCTTGACCTCCTTGCCGGCCTTGTAGATCACGACGGCCGGAGCGTCGGCGGGGGTGAGGCCCAGCCCCTTTGCAGCAGACTCGTTCTTCGAGATGTCGACCTTGTAGTTGTGAGTGGTGCCCGCGTGCTTCTGCGCTCGCCTGTCACATGTTTAGCCGCAGAGACGGGAGCTACAGGTGTTTGGAAAGCCTACTCCTCAGCTTTTGGGTGAACCTCGTCCACGTAAGCGAAGATGAGGACGTACTTGTCGTCCTTGGCGATGGCCGCCTCGTACTCCTCTCGGCTACAGACGTGTTAGTGCGCGGGCGACCTGTCGGGACCACGACGCAGCGTACCTGGTCAGCTCGGTGTGAGACATGGCGAACGTGTATGTAGATTTTGGTGCTTGGACTGTAGGTTGTGCTGAGCCTGGGAGTACAGGATAGTATTTGAAAAGGGGGCAAGCATCCGGCCCTTATATAGACGTCGCTTTCCATCTTAGCAGTAAGAAACATTGCCAATTTAGAGCACGCCACGACATTGCTGCAGCGTCATCACGAGCGTGACGAGTCCATGGCCTAATCAGAGCTCGCTCCACGGTAGATCTAACGGCTGCTTGCAAAAGAATACGGCTGTGCTCCAAAGATAGGCGTGCCTAATGCATGGGTTGGCGGCAATCTTCCGGTACGAGACACGAATCGGCACCAAAACGATGCTATGATTCCGACCTCGCAAGGGGGTCTCCACAATTGCGAATGAGCATGCAAGACCTGCGACTTTTGCGACTCAGTTTGTACAGACGTAGCTTCTTTGGCCGTGGCAGTGATCGTCTTGAAAGCAGCCTCCAACAGCTGCGGTGCACATGCGGGGAATGGGTCTTCAGCTTGGCCTTATCGCAGGCTTATCACACTCTCGTCTTACTGCTGCCAGAAATTAAACGACGAGCAGTTCGAGTAGTGCTTGCTTGGGCGTGTGAAAGCAGCCTGCCCCGCCCACAAACGACAAGTGTTGACTTAGGCTTGAACCAATTCTCGAAGTCCGTGCCGAGATCGTCTGGGACCACTAGCTCTGTGTTCTTCTCGCCAGGCCAGTATTGAAGGACGTTCGAAAACGACCGAACCACGACGCCGTCATCGGCGAATCATTCTTTTCTAGGTTCGAATTTCTGCTGTTGGGAGCGGGAATCAAGGCCGACTAAGGCTTGGAAGAGGTTCGAATAGACTTTGAGCACAATACATTCCGTCCTAGCAGCTGATAGAGAATTTGAAAGAGCCTTTAAACCACACTTCAAATCAATTGAAAGCCTCCTGGACACATATAATGCAAAACGACGGACAAAATTTGCTAGCGCTTTAGAAATCGTTGAACAACAAGCGACAAGACAAGTGGCAGTTCGACTTCAATTCTCTTAATTGAGTATCGTATCTATAGTACTGGTCACTCCAGCACGAAGTGCGGCCTGTGACAGGGACCGTCCGGGATTATCTGCACATGCGTGATCGCAAGTTTGAGACAACAGGAGTGTCTCTGCAGACTTTTTTGATCGTCGTAACAACTCGATGCCCGCCAATCGACTTTGTAGCCCAAAACCGAAAGCAAAAGACATTGTCGTGAGATCAATGGGATGCATTCCGTTGCGCAGTCCACGGCACGCCATGTTCCACAGCCAAACACGTCCATCCGCGACGTTTTGGGCGTGGCGAGCAGCGCTCGCGATCGTTCGCCCAGGAAAAGCACACAGGAAAAACCAAAGCTTGACTGCAAGCTGATAGAGGGGTAATAGTAAGCCGGAGGTGTTCACCTTTTTGGCTCCACTCAAGCTCTACAGTCGTGAACGCAGTCCAGACACCGCCGCCCGTCGACGTTGACAGCGCAAAAATCACACACTGCCTTGCCGCACGCAAGACATGAAAAAAGATCCCGCGGCTCGAGGAGCGTCTGATCAGCCACGTCGGAGAGCGCCAGGGCTCGATCGCAGTCGTCGCAGAGAAGGCTGGGCGTCTCCTCTAGTGCGGCGGGGGTGGCGAAGATAGGCTGTGGTCGACGTATGTTCCAGAACTCGTGCAGCGTGCTGCGCTGCGGAGGGCGGGACGGTAGGGACGGGACGAGAGACGACGGAACGGGCTCGGCATGAGGGCGTTGTCGCTGTGCATCGAACAGCTTCTGGATCGTGTGTTCTACGGCAAAATGGATTAGCATAGGTGCTTCGCGTGTGTGCTGGCGAGCTCGTTGGGGCCGTGAAAACCAACCGTGAATGGCGTCCTCGTTCGGACGGCTTCGCCACCGCTTGCGCGTGCGCCCTTCGTGGTCGTCCATGTGGCGGAATGGTTTTGAGACAGGGAAACACAGCTCCATCTGCGCGTCGACGTCCGTCCGCGAGGGTGCGGGCTGCCACGGACTTGGGGAGGGCGAGGATGACGCAAAGGACGAGACGGAGAGCGACGACGGCGAGGATGTATCTTCGGATGACCGCTTCCGCTTGAGACCCATCTTCGCGGATATTGCTGCAAAGGGTTTCCGGAAAGCAGGCGACGACGATTCGATTGTGAATTTTCCTTTCTGATAAGCTGAAGGGCGGTGGTGGTTGTTGGTCAAAAGATGAGACGCGCGATGTGCGGGTTGGAGACACGCGACGCGAGGCTGGAGTGCGTCTAGTCCCAATCGGGAAAATTAATGTGGTTCTGCCTCCACTCGCAGCCATCACCTTTTGTGAGCAACAGCAACACATTCGAGAAGCCAGCTACGGTCAACACGAATTTCTTCCGTAGTAGAAGCTTTCCAATGATAGCACCTGTCTCCCGAGGTGAAGTTTGACCCCGCAAAGCACCGTCATCGCACTGACATGGGGAGGCAATTCGCGCGATCAGAACGCTTGCAACCTGGCGCCAGCCACAAAGCTCATCACGTTATAGAGTCCGCACGTTCAATACATTATTCAATAACTATTTCGTTGTCTCCTCTAATACTAGCACCGTGTAAGTAGCTTTCCTGGGGGTATCACACACCGTCTTGCAGCAAATAAGAGCGGAATATCTTTCATGTACAATAAGCAAGGATCACGTAGCTTCTGTTCTTCCATCACGGGAGTTCCCAGCCGAGAACATTGATGCGCGGCCAAGCTGATATTGGTACCTCAGAACCTCCTTCCGCGTTCTGTTGCACGCTTCTCAGCGACAGATAGGATTTGTGGAAATGTGAGTACTCACTGGTCGAGCCTCTGCCCGATTCAGACGCTGTGCTCGCAGGCACATCTGAGACTCGGACAGCTCGATGAGAAGCGGACGTGCTGGCAGATGAGGCAGCCCAAGGCAGCGATCGCTTTGGCAAACCACTCCTCGAACTGGAAAGCGGAGCTGTGGCTTCGGTAAGTGCGGATGGTGAGGCATCGACGGTCGGCGTCTTGTTCAGTTGTGCAAATGCATTTCTCGACGCACGACGAGATGTGTCTTTCGAAGGGGACGATCCAAAACTCATAAGCTTAAGAGATTTTTTCTGCTTAAGAGTTTGCGCAATGCCTGTCGATGCGCCAGCTGGACTTGCTGCAGCTTGTGAGCGAGGAGACGGCACGTATCGATCGAGAACTCGTCGTGCATACGGCGGTCTTCCGCGACTGCGGGGAGATGCCTGACTGCCGCTTTGATATCTACAAACGATTAGAGCAAATTGTACAGTGTGTGGCCACGGCACGTACCTGATATCTTCAGCAGCAAACAGGCCATCAAGCTTGTCTCGTGTCAGGACACCTTGGATGTAGATCGGTTTGACGATACGCTTCGCGTAAAAGTTCTCATATGAGACTGGCCGATCTCCTGATTCCAAACACTCTATACTGTACGGCAAGTAGTCTGTCTTGTTGCGTATGACATAGTCATCCCACAGAAATTGATGCAAGTGATTGCCACTGCGTTTGATATCCTTAAGTAGATTCGTGAAATGTTTCAGATTGCCATTGTAATCCTCGTACGCAGTTGTGAATTCCTGATATAGAGACTCAAAAGAAACCGTGACCATGGGTTCTTCTGCGTTATTCTCTGATCGTACATTGTGTTCTTGAGCACCGTGTTCATCAGATATCCTTCCTGGGTTTGAATCTGTCCTATCTAGCTGGTGAAAATCGTCATCACCGTCGATGACAACTGCCTTTTCCGAAATTGCATGTGACGACGTCGGTGTGTTCGAAGATATCTGACCGTCAGGCTGATCTTTAACGTCAGCGCGTGCTTTAGCCTGCATAGCTCTGTTGCGATTTGCTTGCTTCCTTGCAGCCATGAACTTCATCTTCTCCTCGGCAGCGGTCAGAGCCGGATCCTTGATTACAGGCTCCTCCTGGCTGAACCCAAACTTTGATTTATGCGGCCTACCGCTAGTTGCAGCAGGGGAGGCCAGAACATGCTTACCCAAAACCTGCCGGGGTGGAGTTTTAGGATCAAGATCCATCACATCATCGTCGCTAAGTATTGACTGTTTGCCGAGAGGAGAAGATTTGGCCCTAGATATAGCAGAGGAGCTTTGCGTGACTGATTTCTTTTGTGCTGACGCAACCAAATCTCTCTGCAGCTGTTCCTCTGCCATTCTGTCTGCATTTGGACTAGACGAGAGAGGATTCGGCGATTCCTCACTCTGGTTTCCGTCAAAGAACTGGGGATTAGATGTACGCTGAGCGAACTGAATATCAGGCGTGTATGGACTTGCGACAATCCTGGTTTGAGCACTCGAGGCTTGTTGTTGAGCACGTGAGTGAGGAGGGCTAGACCCAGCTGCCGACTCAATCTTATGCGAACCAGCGGGCTCTGACTTTGTCAATGTGCTTTGTGGTACTAATACAGATTCTTCTAGAAATGGATCTGCCGTTCGGTCCGCATTCGCCTCTGATAGGAATTTACGTGAATTCTGCTGAGATGGCGAGGTGTCGAATTGGCCACGAGAGCCCATCTCCACAGGTGACAACTTTGACTCCGCCGATTTTGTTTCGACGTCTAGGTCTGGACTGCTATCGGGAGGCAGTGATTCGTCTACGACAATCTGTTCCCGTTCCTCAGGTCGGGTGGACCATCGCTCGCCTCTCGTGCCAAGGAGACTGCTGTCGGGGGGTAGTTCATCACGTCGGCTGCCAATGGGTGATGACAGCGGCCATGATAACTCTCGCTCCGGGGAGCTAAGTGGTGTGCGGGACGAATATGACGTTTTCGACTCTCGTGAGATAGGGCGTGATGGTATCGACTCATCGTGAGCTTCCTGTTGCAATGCCTCTGCGCTCTTGCGATCTTCGATTTGCTGCAGTATAGCACGAGGAATATTGAGCAGGGGAAATTCCCTGCCAGGAATTGGAGGGTTCCAGGACTCTTTCCGATCCAGCAACTTCTGTTGTTCAAGTGGGACGACACAATGCGATCGCTTGATCTGAGTGAGACCATACCAAGGTGCCCCACAATTCGCGTTGGAAGACGGTGAGGCTCCCAATAATCCAGGGTCGATGTCGTGGCTTTTTGTTTTGTCTGCTTTCCATTCATCACCATCTACTAGTGCAGATACAGGATCGTGGTCAACATCGTTGCCACTGTGATCGGCTTGACCTGCGAGATCAACTTTTGCGTCCTCCGTTTCAATATTCAATCCAGTATCATCCTCGTGCGTGTCAGCAGCATCCGTAAGATCGATGAAACAAGGTTGACGAGTCTGATCAGCTGGACCTGCTTTGCCGGTTGTGGGATTCACAGCCTGACCTTCAACGTCGGGGCTGGTCCGATCAACGTAGTGTACAAAGCCAGATGTTGGTCGCGTGGCGGGTAGCATTTTGATCGACTCCATTGGATCCTTAAGCAGCGGGTTTTTAAATCCGTTTCTACCCGGTGTGGATACCTGCGTGCTTCGCGCCGGGGCGATGGGATTGGCAAGGTTGATGGCACTGCTCTGCTGCTTCCCAGCGCCGCCGGCAGCCCACTGAGTAGCAAAAGCCTGACTATCTCCACTTGCGAAAGGTGTCAGATGTGTTAGATCATGAACTGAGGAAGAACTTGCTCCAGCGCTACCAGAAGATCCTGGCCGGCTACTGTGTTGAACCTCCTGTAGCCTCTTCCGAGACAAGTCCTTCAGAGTTGCCAATGCCTTCTCAACACCTGACCGCTTGTGGATGTCCTCTGGGTTCCCGAGTGTGCCCTGTCGCATGCTATTGAACACGGCGACATGACGAAGCTTCAGCTGTACGCGTTCATCTGACTTTCCCATCGTTGTTGCTGTGATTTCAAACTCAGGAATGGAAATTTGCATACCAGGGAGGAGATCGGCGACATCCCTTTGGCCCTGAGCTTCTAGTGCCTCACAAGCCTGCCTCGTGAACACCGCCTTAATAGCGACATGACCGTCTGAAAGGCGACACTTGAATTGCGCCGGGGAAGCGACGATGTCGAGGATCTGGACGACTTTTGCGACCGAGCGAGGGTGTTTGCGGTATATGGACAGATTGCTGCCGTTATCGCTGAAAATGCACGAAAAATCTTTGTCGCTGAACCTGCTCACTGGCCGTTTCTCAGCTTTGATATCCTCAAGCTACATTATACGAGGGGAGGGCGTCTCAGCAACGCACGTTGCTTCCACTCAATGGCCTCTTTCAGGTCACGCTCAATTTCTGGCCCAAGCCAGTCTCTCATCTCCATCGCCATGATTGAAGGGTGTGAACTACCGCATAACGAGGAATTTTGGTGCGACCAAACGTTCAGAGCGGGCTAAGAGTGACTATTCCGCGGCTGTGTGTGTTCATACGTCGAGGAGAGCGGAGAGCGGAGAGCGGAGAGCAGAGAGCGGGCGCGGGCGGTACTGGGTGCAGCGTGATCACACGTGGTTGTTGGTTTCGAAGGCCTTGTGGAGATAGAAGCGTTCCAGAGCAAGCATCAAAACGATCGTGCAGTGCGACAGGCTGGCATCGACGTCGGTGCATGTCATAGACGACATCGACGAGACGCGGAGCCGAATAACGCGCAGGCACGTGACCGCGGGTTTGTTGGGAGCTTGGGCCAATGACGATACCGTCAGTCAGCCGTCGTCCTCGACACCGCCAACACGCTGCACATGGAAGAATACAAAGTTGGCCTAGATCGCAGCACTTCAGTGTAGCTTCATGAAGTACTCTATTTCCAACAGCATATCCTCTCCATATCGTTTCGTTTTGCTTATTTAATGCAATATCCTGTTCCACATGCGACTCATACTCTTGCGGCCTCCGTCCTGTCGCTTCCACGCTTCCGCTTGCACATATTTCGCCGTTGCCACGCCTAGGCTGAACAGATAGGAGCGCTCTAGCGTGTGTTGGAAATCGAACATCTCCCCTCTTTCAACCTGTGCCTTGTGCTGAGACACACGATGCACATGTATCTAAAGCAGCTCTAGGAGAGAGCCTTGCAATATGCCGTCCAAAGGAAGTGCTCAGCTAGACAGCCCATCTACCTCCTCTCTCGCCCTTTCACACAATCACTCTCGACGACCTTCGCAAGCTTCGGTTTCGCCTAAGCCGGCACTCGACAAGCATGCCCTGTCTCAGACACTGGACACCATCCACACAAGCGCCTCGAAGTCTGAAGCCCTCACCACCTTCGACGACTATGCCTCGCCACGGCCTGGTACAAGGAGCGAGTCGAAAGGTTTCTCAACGGATGCGGTTCAGAGCGGGCTGAGTAGTCTGTATAGCCGACTGAAGGCCACGGTTGGTGGCTCAAAAGACGTAGGGGGCCCAGCTACGCCAGCGCTGACAGGCCAGAATCCCCCCGTCGAGCTGTCTATTGACAGTACTATCGCTAGACACAGGCATACAAATAGCAGTAGTACCATAGTGTCTCCTACCGCCGCGTCTTCTTCCTCCCGAGTCCAGTCCCCGCTGGCTACCAGCTTTGCAGCTTCGAAAACCCCCAGTACGGCTGTGCCCACTCCGTCAGGGGTGTCTCTACATTCACGGTCCTCTTCTGTGAGACCTGCTTCGGTAGCGACAAACGCCTCGGACTCGCTGAACGCAGCACGGGCAGGCAATGGTGTTGCGGGGCAGAATCCTGATGCTACAATTCGCTCAGCTCCGGCCTTAGCCTCGCCTACGACAAATGTCCCACCAGCGACTACTGAACCTACTCCTACAGATCCTTCACGAACTGCGCGCATTGGCGACTCTATGCTTTCGCTAGCCAAATCCCAGAGTATGCAGCGCCAGGACTCCGATATTGGCAGCACGCTGTCGGACCCGTCGAGGGTGCATGATCCAGATCAGACTCCGCGTGTCAAATCCAAGGCTGCACGATCCAACCTTCAGTTTGAAGGTACTTCATATGCCTCACGGTCTTCGCAATCCGTCACCTCGCAGGACGAGGATGAACCAACGCCCGCTCTGGACAAGTCGGCTCTGGACGAGACCCCTGCAATGGCTAGCTTACTGAGATCAGAGCGTCCCCCTTTGATACACGTTGGGCAATCCCACCTGCCTGGATTTCGAGCGTCTCGAACCAACTCTTCGGACGCAGACCTGAGCTCACTAGCTACCACAATGCCTCAGACGCGCCGCCCTGCTGCAGAAGACGTCGAAAAGTTTCCGCAGATTCACGACTCGAAGCCGACATCAACTCAGGAGTCCAATGCACCCCGCGTGAGGACTAAAGTGCTAGCCAAGGAACTATGGATGCGAGATGAGAATGCTAAGGACTGCTTCTATTGTGGAGACACCTTCTCGGCGTTTAGGCGGAAACATCACTGTCGGATTTGCGGAAATGTCTTCGATGCGAAATGCACCGTTTTTGTTCCCGGCAAATTGTTTGGTCAATCTGGCCAGTTGCGCACATGCAAGCCCTGCCAGGCAATCGTATACGGCACAGACGATGACTCCTCAGAGTACACGGATGATGACAGAATGTCAATCTCTGGGCGATCGTTCTCCTCACGTTCGATGACGAACTTTGACCAGCTCAAGGCGCTTCGCATCGACACAAACATGGTGCATCCGCTCGAGGACCACCTGGATATTGGCACGCCATCGATGGCCGTCCCCATGTCACGTAAGACGGGCAGTGAAGCCAAAAGACGCTCCACAGTCATTGAAGAGAGCCAGCACAATCTAGCCCGGCCCAGTTCTTCGAGGTCACTGCGGTCGCTCAGTGGTCGTCCGCGCACAGCTGGACACAAACGTCATAATTCGCGTCACGCACATCAGCATATGAAAAGCTTGAGATCATCGGAAGACAGAGTCCCGTTCCAACGCGGGGACGCTGATTCGTCGAGATCTGGCTCGCTTTTGCCAGCTTTCCATCATGATAACATTATAGATCCAGACTTGGCACCGTTTCTATCTGATGATGGATCGAGCGAAGATGACACAAACATCTTCACAACGCTGAATGCTGATTCTCAGTCTCCTGGTAAAGCAGACGATCGAGTCGGGTTTGCGGGCTTACTTGCATCGATGCGAAGAGGTATGGGATCTAGTGCCATTGGCAATGCTCGAAGCGACGCAGATAACATAAGTATCACAAGTCGCGCACGCACGAATCGCAAACGAAATGCCAGCATAAGCAGTGCACAGAACGTTCGTGCTTCCCCGAGGCGAACAAAAAGCAATAGTCTTCTAAAAATTCCCTTTGGTTATGGTTCTCCCGCCGCAACAGCGCTTCCAAAGCAGTCTTCAAATGTTGGAAGTGGGTCCAAGATGATACGCAGTGCTGCGATGAGAGGCAAATCTGCGCCTGAGCTGGAGCTGAATCAGGCGAGTCTGCAGCATGTGAGACGCTTGCTTCGCCAAATGCTCCAGGAAGCATCTATACCGGACATCAAGAGATGGGAAAAGGCACTAATACCAATTCTGCTTCAATGTACCGACGACGTGAATCCTGACATCCATCGCAACGACGACATTGACGTGCGACACTACATTAAGCTGAAGAAAATTCCCGGTGGCAGGCCCGGGGACACAACGTACGTTTCTGGCGTCGTCTTCTCAAAAAATCTAGCGTTAAAGAGTATGCCCCGCTCGATTCCCAACCCACGCATCGCTATCTTAACGTTCCCACTTGAGTATGCTCGTCACCATAAGCACTTCATGAGCCTGGATCCGGTGATTGCGCAGGAACGTGAGTACCTGCGCAACCTAGTCAAAAGGATCGCAAATCTAGAGGTCAATCTACTATTGGTCGAAAAAAGTGTTGCCGGACTGGCACTGGACTTTCTCGAACAGGCGAATATCGCTGTTGTGTACAACGTCAAGTCCTCTGTCTTGAATGCGGTTGCCAGATGCACACAAACACGACTGATCACGTCACCTGAAAAACTGAGTATGGATCCAACTCATCTTGGCAGATGTGGTAGTTTTGATGTCAAAACTTACGTGCATGGGGCGATGAAAAAGACCTTTATCTACCTATCTGGTTGCCAACCGGACTTGGGCTGCACGATCGTCCTTCGCGGAGCCGAGCTCAGTCACCTTCGGAGAATAAAAAGGATCACGGAATTTATGTGCTATGTTGTGTACAATCTCAAACTGGAGACTTGCGTTATGCGCGACGAGTATGTTCTTATACCTGCCACGCTTCCGCTCGGGACGATCGACGTCGGGCAGCAACCATCTGAACTGGATAAGAAGAGCGTACCGACTACGACCACTATCAAAGAGGCTAAAGGTGTTGAAGGGGATGCTGTCATTACGGTCCAATCTGCGTCGGACGATGATGCATCGGCTGCAGGCGATACAGACATCAGTAGAAGTACCTCCGCCGATATGGCACTCAAGAATGAGAGGCTCTTCAGCGCACTTGTCGATGCCTCGAATCCGCATTCATCCACAGAATATGTTGAAAAACACAAGTCTAAGATTATATCTGCATCTCCCTTCGTTCACTTTGTACCACCATATCTTCTAGCACAGTCACGACAACAAGAAACGAAGTTAGCAGAGCTCAAGCAAATGCGAGACAAATATGCCCCCGTGGCAGAAGAAGATTTCGACGAGAAGGACTGCGGTCCATTCCAGCTGGTCCAGCCTGATATGGTACATCGTTTGGTAGAGAAGCCCACGAGACAAGTTCGTGATTTCCTTTATGCCGTTCACAATGCACGCTACGAGAAAGCATTACACGTGTACCAAACCCAAAAGCGACAGTTTGAATCTTATCTACATGGCAATGCAACCCTATTAGATCCGTTCAACCACCAAAGGATTGCTGTGTTGTATAGCATGGTCAACACAAAAACTTCAAATCCATGCGTGGGTCCTGATGTGATTGCCCTGAGCTTCTACAACGAACACGATCTGGAGGATGACTTTCTACCAGACATTACACTCGGCCAGTACGTAGAAGACCTCTGTCTCTCTGCCGATAGCCCCTGCAATGCGAATGCCTGCGAAGAGAGCATGTTCAACCACCATCGCCAGTACGTGCATGGAGAGGGCCAAATGAGCGTCATCATTCAGCAGTACCCAGCGCGTATCCGTGGCATGCACAATACTATACTCATGTGGAGTGTTTGCCGCGTGTGTGGAGAAGAGACGCAAACTGTTCCAATGTCGGAAAACACTTGGAAATACTCGTTTGGAAAGTACCTGGAGCTCACATTCTGGAGCACACCGTTGCGTCCTCGTGCAAGTGCTTGTACTCACGACATCCACAAGGACCATATCCGCTACTTTGGGTTCAACAACGTCGCAATTCGAATACAGTACGATACTATTGACTTGCATGAGATTATCGTGCCTAGACCGACTATCACATGGAACGTAGACAAGGACCTGCAGCTCAAGAACGAGCAGTACTCGCGTCTAAAAGATCGATGGGACAAGTTTATGGCTTCTGTCAAGCATCGCATTGACAGCATCCACGTGGAAAGCGTAAGACCCGAGAAGGTTGAAGCCTGCAGAGCTGAAGTGGAGCGATTAAGCAAAAAGGCGAAAGAGGACCACGAGGCCTTGATCCTGAGCCTGCAAAACAAGTATATGAACTCGCGCTACTATGAGCTTATACCACTGAACAAAGCTGCAAAGGAGATGCATGAAAACTCCATCATGTGGGACGACATATTTCTGGATTTCGAAAATGACTACTTCCCCTCTGAAAAGGACATTCGGCGACTCGCGCAGATACAGATCAACAAGTTCTTGGATCGAGATGCATCGACCACATCCATCTCTTCCATGGATGACGGAGGAGAGAACGTGGGTGCAGATCTCAAGCAGCCCGACGAGGAAGGCGGAGAAAGTGAGATTTCTGGGTTATCTCGCAGATTATCTGTCCTGTCTCCTGAAGATACCCAAAACGTTTTGGCTTCCGTCATCAAGGAGGATCAGCTGAACGAAAGTAGTGAACCGCCCCCGGACGGCGCCTTGTCCTCAGTTGGCGTGGACCCTACTCCAAAGAGCCCCGTTTCAAGCACAATAGTCGCAGACGCCGTCGATCGTGAGGATGTAAAGCACTTGGATCTAGCCGTGCCTTCCGATCTAGCAACTCCGTCGCTTGTTCCCACAACCGATGCGACCTTAGCCCCAATGTCGCCTACTCAACCATCCACAGATGCCGCAGGTAGTGGACACAACGCTGAAGATTTACAACTGAACCCACGAGTCGCCAAGACCGTTGATCAGATGCGTGAGACTATCGAATCTACACCCCCTACCAGCGGAGATGGAACTTCCGCCGCACAAGATATAAAAACTCCCAGGCCGATGCCTAGTTCGGCGCGAATCGATCCGGTTGGAAAGAACATCTCTCCTCCATTGATTCGCACTCGCTCAACACCGCAGCCTTCAGTCCTTCTTCGACGCCAGCAAAGCTCATTAAATGAACCCTCCGCAGCGTCATCGACGTCTAACTTGTCAACTGCAAGTAAAGCAGAACGTCTAAAGAACTTTATCACCGATCCTGCGAGAGCTTTAGAGAGAAGACTGGGACCTGGTGCTTTCCGCAACGCACGATCCGTTTCGAGATCTCTGATTCCTCGATCAGTGCCTACCCAGCGGAATAATGATTCGAGGGTGCTTACACTTCGACATCATTTTGAGCAGTTGAGCAAAGAATTTGAGAAGCAGCGTATGCGCGAGCGAGAGCAACGTGTTGCCCGTGGTGGACAGCAAAGAGCGTACCCTTTTGCGTTGTCTAAACCTGTAGTTGAAGTATACAGAGACGCACACGAGGCTGTTCAAGAGCGGGACTCGGGAGACGAAGCGGAGACAGAAGACGCATCGGCTCGAGTAAGTTTTGAGAGCACCGGACCTGGAGGCACGACCGCAACCACGATAAGCGCAGAACACTCTGTCGAGCAGCCCCCAAGTCAGTCTGATCAAACAGAAGAAGGAACAAAGGATGTCAGCCTTGAGAGCTCAACCGGCTTGCCTCGAACGTCTGAAGAAACTCTGGAAGGGAGTGACACTGAGCAAGCCAGCTTGGACGACTCCGACATGCCAGAATTAGGAGCTGATACCCAGCCAATGTCACCAAACGACTCCAGCATTGACCTCCAGGAACTGAAGCAGGAGAAGACTTCGCTCTTAAAGATGCTGACTAGTTTCTGGTCTGAACGGTCCGCCAGTGGCTGGTCCCCCCTTGAATACCCTTTCCATGCGAATGAGCATGTTTGGGGTGACTCGGACATTATTGTTCGCGAGGACGAACCGAGCTCTCTGATTGCTCTCGCACTGTCGAGTGCTGACTACAAAGCGAAAGAGGCGAAGTTCCGAGGGATGACTGGTGACGCAACGCAGGAGCAGATTGACCAGTCCATTGAGCATAATTTGTTGCATCCCAAGAACACAAATATCCGCTACGCGTTCCAGAACCGCGGCGTCCGCGCGCACACAAAGATTTTCTACGCAGAATCCTTCGACGCTCTTCGTCGAAAGACCGGCGTCGCAGATCGTTTTGTTGAGTCACTGTCCCGCTGCTTGAAGTGGGATTCTAAGGGAGGGAAAACCAAGTCACTCTTCCTCAAAACGTTGGACGATCGCTTCGTCCTCAAGTCCTTGAGCCAGGTTGAGGTGAACGCATTTTTCAAGTTCGCGCCAAACTACTTTGCTTTCATGCACCAAAATCTGTTCCACTCTCTGCCGTCGGTCATCGCAAAAATGATGGGCTTGTTCCAGGTTACGATCCGTGCCCCTGGCACCGGCTTGGAGTTCAACTGGTTCATGTTGGTGATGGAAAATCTCTTCTACGACCGAATGCCAAACCGTCGTTTCGATCTGAAAGGTTCGATGCGTAATCGCAAGATCCAAAGCACGGGCGAACAAGACGAGGTCCTTCTCGATGAAAACTTGGTTGACATTATTTTTGAGAAGCCAATCTTTGTGCGTGAACACACTTGGCGGCTCTTGAAAGCCTCCGTATGGAACGACACGCTGTTCTTATCAAAGCAGAACGTCATGGACTACAGTCTCATGGCTGGTTTTGATGACAATGCAAAGGAAATCATTGTCGGTATCATCGACTGTATCCGCACGTATACCTGGGACAAGAAGTTGGAGACCTGGATTAAAGACCGCGGCAAGAATAAGCCAACGGTAACGTCGCCAAAAGACTACAGAAATCGGTTCAGGATCGCGATGAGCAAGTATATCCTGCAGGCGCCGAGCTGCTGGCATCAGTTTCAAACTCACCAAAGCCATATTGTTCAAAGGCAGTCACGACTTCCAGATCCCAACGCAGATCAGAAGAATAGAGTTACACAGAATGCAGAGGATGGGCGCGTCAAGCCTGGCGAGGAGATGTGGGCTTGAACTAGATGGCGTGTTTTAGGAAAATGTCTAGAAGCTTCTTAAACTATGGCATGGATATGAAAGCTCGAGGCTTATACTTCCCTGGTTTTTAATGCTTTATGAGTGTAGATTAGACATGAATACTTTCTGCCCGGATCAGATTCTGGCTTAATCATCTCGAGAAGTTCGTTTACACGCATGCAATTTGGAAATTCCTTGGTCTCAACATTTCGTCAGATGTAAGGCGCGAATTCTCTACTTCTATTTCCAGCATCTATGCTCTTGTTCTTGGAAAAGATCAGAGAAGGAATAAGGTTATTCACATAGAGATTGAAGTATTTCTTTCGCCAATTTCTTCAGCGCCGAAATCACGGGATCTTTGAGACAAATCCACCATCACGCTCAAAAATCTCGCCCAGAGTCTTTCCAGCACGAAGAACTCCTAGGTCATGATACCTTCCGCCTACCAGCGTCAATCCAACGGGAAGTCCGTTTTCTCCAGCAAAGCCCGGTAAATTGAGACATGGGGCGTGTAGAATCGTCCACATGCCGTTGAAGACTGCGCTTCCCGTGCGTTCAATGCCCACCGGAGCCTCGTCGACCACGCTTGGAGTGATGACCACGTCGTACTTGCTGGCAATCTCGTCCCACAGGGGTCTGAGGCGCGCGCAGCCGTCATAGCTTTCCAGCAGCTGCTTTTTCGTGAATCTCTGGGCATTCTCCACGTGGGCCTGGATCGAGGAGTGCAGCTTGTCTTTTGCCAGAGAGTAGTCTGGCTTGTCAGGCTCGTGTGTTCTTTGCAAAATCAGCACGGGGAAGACTCACTGCCAAGAAAGGACGAGCGGCCTTCGCCCGCCAGGATGATTTCGTGCCATCTGGAAATGGCGGCGAACTCGGACGGCAGGTCAAGCTCGCATACGTTCGCGCCGCGACTGGCTAGAAGCTCTTGGGCTTTGCTGAAAGCGTTCCGCGTGCCTGGTCCTGCTTCGGGCCAGACGTGGGTTTTGCAGAACGCTACCTTTGCGCCCTTCAAGTCAAGAGGCTGCGTTGAAACGACCTCGTCGTCGGCTAGCTTGAAAACAGAGGCCAGCAGATCCAAGTCCTCAACTGACCTAGCGTAGAGACCTACGGTGTCACATGTCATAGAGTATTGCGCAAAGCCCTCCCTTGAGATGGCTCCCCACGTCGGCTTTATCCTTCAATTAGCACGGGGTGAAATGCATGTTCTTTTGTTGAGCACAAGTGACTTGCCTTGAACGCATATATCCCGTTGAATGATCCCGGACGTATCGTACTGCCTACTGTCTGTGTACCCAGGGCAATAGGAACTTGATAATCACCTACTGCCGCTCCCGATCCGGAAGAGGAACCACCTGGCGTACGGGTGGGATCGTGTGGATTCGTCGACGGACCTCCCACGACGGTACTGGCGAATTCTGTCGTTGTGGTCTTCCCAAAGATGAGCGCTCCAGCGGCTCTAAGTGTGATGACCGCTGCCGCATCCGCGGTTACCGTTGGCTGGCCTCTGTATATTTCAGAATTGTAGGCCGTTGGCATGTCCTTTGTTAGGTACACATCCTTGACGCCCACCGGTATCCCGTGTAGAGGTCCTCTTTCCGGTAAAGGGACTTTATCCAAGGCTTTCGCCTGCGTTATGACGGAGTCCGGGTCAAGATATGCCCAGGCTTTTACGACGGAATCTCGTTTCTTGATACGATCGAGCAACGCCGAAGCATAAGCCTCTATTGTGAGATCGCCATCTCTAATTAATTTAAGGGCTTCAACTGCCGAAATGCGATGTAACTCTTTTGCACACATTGTTTTAGTTTTCTTCTGACAGTTTGACGACGAGAGAATCCATGCACTCTACAGAATTTGAAGTGGGGAACAATGTCGACGTGATGTTGCCTGCTATTTCCGACGCGGAATGCGTAGATTGAATCGCGACTTGCGCTGATCTTCGCCAGAGACAGACAGATTTGGTTTTCTTTCCCACGAAAGGGAAAAATATAATCGATATAAGTTTAGACTTTAGGCGAAATCTAGCCGTCCTGCAGCGTGTTCTTAGCTTATCTATCGGGTGTATGTGCCGATGAAGTGATGATTATTCCCGTAACGAAATCGGCATGAGTGAAGCAAACTTTTATGAACGCCGACGAACATGGATTCTTTTCGTTGCCGTGTAATGCAGGCGCTAATGGGGGAAAAAAGAAAAGAAAGAGATAGAAACGGTATGAAAAGTATTGACTTGACGAAACCTGCCTTGTGAATGATAGCAATCTGTTCAACATAATTGCAGGAAGACCTGTTTGCATAGCCATAAATCACGCCAGTTGGCCCGCTTTGTACGGATAATTCTTCGTGAATGCTTCAGCGATTTCTGTCCTCGTTGCAACCCACACTCCATCTTTGGCAGTAATATACTCCACGAACTCCCGCAAGGCATCGAACCTTGCTGGTCGGCCAATGATCCTGCAATGCAGACCAATCGTCATCATCTTCGGGCTTCCCTCCACGCCTTCCTCGTAGAGTACGTTGAAGGCACGCTTAACGTGGTCCAAAAAACTTGATGGATCGCTGAAGTTGGAACCTGGTGTGAAGAATTTGAAGTCGTTGCAGTCATAACTGTAAGGAACTATTAACTGGCCCTTGACACCATGTTTAGTGGGGACATCTGTCCAGTACGGAAGCTAGAGTGTAAAGTCAGCGCTTCAACATCAAGCAAAAAGCTTGAGTGGTTGGTTACATCGTCTGCATAGCTATCTGAATACCAAAGAAGCTCTTCGCCAAGCTCGTCGTACACTTCGCGAACCAAAGTCTTGCTTTGAGGGCTGGGGCGTCCATAGTACCAACTTCAAGTGTAACGTCAGTGTCCATAGAGTTGTGCTTTGGAGCAGCGAAAAGACAAGTGGGATTGGGATATAGCAATGGGAGTAACGATTACCCTTTGGGCGCATATCCACTCAATCTCTTGAGAGACAGGATTGCTGTTTTGATGTACTCCCGTTCTTTTTCCACTGGAAAATCATGATAATCAAGCCAGCGATATGCACTATGAATAGGTCAGTTTCAGTCAGTCCAGACGTCTTCACACACGCCTGCATCCCACTTCCTGTCTGCAACACAGCAACGATGTGAAATGTTAGCTTACTGGCTTGCAATGTCATGTCCCTCTTCAACGCATCTTTTAACCACCGCAACATTCGCCTCCACAGCCTGCGAAACTGCATACAGCGTGAATTTCATCCCATGCTTGTTGAACAAGCGAAAAATACGCCAGAATCCCACTCGGCTTCCATACTCGAACTCGGATTCACCAGGAAGGTGTCGCGAATTGATTTTTGCTGGCGCTGTTGGATTCTCCTTCAAGTTTGGCTCCGACTGCCCATCACCGTGCATAATTGAGCGCTCCCCACCCTTGCACAACAACGATCAGTATGATTTTTGTTGGCTCCAAAGGAAAAGTCTCACTTCTTCATAATTGACAACAAAAGACACTGCGATTTTCGCATTGTTTGGCCAACGCGGGTTTATAGGGTGCTCGCCATATCCGATGAAATCACGATCAACATCGTATTCCGGTCGTGGAATATATGGTCTGGCCATGCTCTACGAACAATCTAAACGCTTATAGACTAGGCTGGGTCTCAGGAACTGATGTATAGCGTGAAGATTACTGCTAACGATGCTCTCGATCTAGCGGAAGGAAGAAGTACGACCAACATGCACGGAGCGTACTGATTATTATCTACGCAATCACTGTATCCCGTAAGCACACATCACTACTGTCCAGCTCGGTTTCTCAACGGCGGGAATAACCACGGACAGCATGGTCGGATTGACTGATAACAGTGCCAGAATCGCATGAACAGGCAAAGTTTCGGGAACAAGTTAGCGACGGCTTGATGAGCCAGCCAATCGCTTCACGACATGGTCTGGTAACTGCGAGCTGTGGATCCTTTCCCCTCGCGAATGTGTGCACTGCAGGGGAAACCCCCAGTATATCACTTACAAACCCTCTAGGCTGCCTCCACTACGTTCTCATCTACGTCTAGATATATAGCGGCTGCACACCTCTCGATGCCTTTCATCTCCGTAATGCAGCTTCTAACAGAACGCAAGCTACGCCGAGCTGAGGGCGCTTCGTGGCCTCGACGCGTTTCGACGTGGCGCCCCCTAATAGCAGGACGCAAATATGCACCGTCCTTTACCGAGCTTCTCGTCTACGCTGTGCTTTCGCCCTTTCCTTCGCGATATTGTATCTGAAGGCGTCTTATGGCTACTTGACGTTTAGCTCATCTTCCGCTTCTCACATCTGTCATGTCACGATTCAGCCTTGGCGTTTTCCTGTTCATTTCGGTCTCCATCGCCACGCAATGGCCTTACAATCGGGTTCAAGGCGAACAGCAGGTGTCCGGGCATTTTCAACCGAATCCATCTAAACCAGAGTTCCGTGTTCAGCCTGATGACCTGTTCGTGGACTGGCTTCGTAATATTGTGAATAAAGACTCCGGTGGTGATCTGAAACACAACTTCGTCAACAAATCAATTCCGTCCCATATCACATCAGTGGATGCGCTGCTGGGCGAACTCGTCATTCCATCAGCTCTATTATCAACTTCAAACAAAACAGAACACATTGAGTTTAGTGATGTATATACTTTCCCTCTGAAAGCTGACGTTCTTTTGGATCATCTCGGGTTTCCATTAGATCCTCGATGTACCGCGGACCCGGCGAAATGGTATTTCCGTACTCAGGACGGGTCATGCAACTGGTTAAAGGAGAATGAAATTGAAATGGGATCTGTAGGTACTGCTAAGCCAAGAGACTATGACCAGCATTTCTATTCAGACGGCGTTTCAGCGCCACGGAAAGGGCCAAACCCACGGGCTGTGAGTAACGCGTTTTTCAAGAGAAAGAAGACTATACGTTATGAACATACGCCGCTCTTGCTGGGACTCGTTGAGGTACGCCTAGTTCTCTTGACGAAAATGCGATGCAATTTATTCATGATCAGTTCAGTTTCTTGTACACGACATCACGTACAGTCAAGATTCTCGTATAGAGTTTGTTGACGTCGAGATGCCCGATGATGAGCCAGACTTTCCCAAGAACACAACGCTTCGTGTTTGGCGAACAGAGGCTGTTCCAGGAACTGGAGTGTCGAAAAGTAATCCGAGAGAGAATGTCAACATGGTGTCAACTTGGATGGATGTATCGCCTCTTTACGGAAGCACCGAAGGGGTTGCGCGCAGTCTTCGCTCATTCTCTGGCGGAGAACTACTAACTCAGGAGCTGCAAACTCGCGGCACAAGATCGAAGAGCTCCTACCTTCCGTTCAACTCGATGAACGTTCCAATTAACAGCCGGCCTGGTGTGGATCCCAAGGACCTGTTTGCCGGCGGAGACCCTCGAACAAACGAAGACTGGATGATGCTGGGCATTCATACGCTCATGCTGCGAGAGCACAACAGGCTGTGCAAGGTACTCGCAAAACAGCATCCGGAATATGACGACGAGCGTATCTATCAGACAATCCGGCTCGTAATGTCCGCAAAGTTCATGCTCATCGCAAACTCGTATCAGATGGCCTATTGGACTAACGAGATGCCTTGGCCTCGAGATGATGGTAAAGCTGCTGAACCTCTGCAATGTGATCCGCTAACGATCGAGAAGGGTTTCCTCTGTATCGACAAATGTATGGTGCAAACGCATTGGAGATCAACGCGGCAAATGTCTATCCTTGGCCGCTTGTAACCAAAGGCGGCAGACCTATGGTTGTGTCTGCGGAGATGGCTGTCGTCTATCGATTTCACGAATTCATCATCTCCTCTTTTCCCATCAAGGATGCTGCGAACAACACTCTCTGGGACCAGAATCTTTTCTCTACCGGTTTCAACTCGTCCGGATTTATTGATGCCGGTCTGGAAAACATCCTTCGTGGCATGGCGTCGACACGCATCCCGACGTTCAAGAGCGGTGTTGACGAAAACTTCAGATCGGCGGGAAAATACAAAGGTCAGCCTTTCGACATTGTTACTTGGAGCATTGTGCACGAGCGAGAGCAAGGCTTGCCGACGTTCAACGCCTACTTCAGAGAGTACAACAAGCAAGGTACGTGTTTCTCCACCCGTGTCTTACATATCCTGATCATCGGTCAGATCCGGCAGTCGAAGTTCCGATCCGCAAACGCTTCGAAGATTTCTCAACCGATCCTGAGATGGTTGCGAATCTCAAGAGGCTGTACAACAAGCCGGATGACGTTGACCTCGTAGTTGGCGTCCAGCTAGACGAAGAATACTTCCCTGGAACAGTTGTCCCCAAATCCGCTCTGATTATCAGTCTTTTCTCCTTGTTCGGGATGGGGAACTCGGATCGTTTCTCCGTCGGCTACGCCATGATGCGCTGCCTGCTCGTCGACAAGCCATGGGACTGCCACCCAAGCAACGCCCTTGAAGAGCTCCTTTGGAAGCGCGTGGACGTCGCCGGCTTCCCGGACTTCCGGTTCTACGATGAATTTTGGGTCAAAGAGCTGGACATTCAGGCGCACGGCACGAACCTGCTTTGGCGAATTGTCACCGAAAATTCGGAAGTGAAGTGTCTGCAGAAGGCTCCGCTCTTCGCGGCCGACCCTGTCACAAATCCGGTTCTCTGCGCATTGCCTGGCGAGTCGACGAATGTTGTGGAAACAGCTTTGACCGCCGTGCAAGTCATCCTTTCACTTATCAAATTAAATTATCAGGAGATTGTGGCTTCTGCTGTTGCGCTGGTCGCAGCCGTGGCGCTTGTCCGTTCGCTAAGAAAAGTCTAGGACATAGGAGTCGCAAAGACATGTATATAGATTTATCATCTCTCCCGACACAGCGGGACAGCTGGTGAGATTAGTGATACACTGGTATCCTTTATTTCGAAGGCAGTCATAGTGTCAAAACTTATGTCAACGTTGCGTCTCCTGTCCTGTAAAGGACTAATAATCATCTGCTCTGCATTAGCCTCCTATCTCTGGACATGAGTAGTACGTCCGCGTCGCCGCCCCCTGTGCCAATTTATAGAAAGCTCACTCTTCGCCTGATCGAGAAACATGGCCATGAATGAATAGTCCAATCTAAGCTTTCCATCGGTCCTAATTACCATGTATAAAAGCGGATCAACTCAGCTGCAACAGTTCAATCAGCTTTCCGCTGTTGAAGAAAGGCGTAACGGTAACGTGCTGGCGAGCAACACGAACATTGGATCTCACGCCTCCTATCCGGCGTTCTGCGTTCTCCATTCAGACGGCCCGTCGAAGTTGCCGATACGCGTATCTAAGTTGCTGATGAACGGGGCTGGCTTTTGCAGCTGCCTGTGCAGCTTCCGCACGTCGCAGGCTCCCTTTTGCCAATTCTACATGCAGTCACCTCGTATTTGACTCTCTCTCTCTCTCTCTCACACACACACACATCCTTTCTCCAAGAACTGGGCGGCCTTGGGCTTTCAAGTTGTTCGATATTGCACGGTGCTGTCCTGATCGATTCACCCAGTTCCAAAGTCGGAGTGCGAACGACTTCGTTGGACTCGACTTCGCAGGGAATAAAAGGCTGAATGCCCTGATCTCCCGGGACGTGTTTAGAACGTTCCAAAGCAATCTGTCCGATACGGTCATCATCTTGCAAAGTACAGAACCACGAGCGGATGATGTGGACTGATACCTGCACACACTTTTCAGGATGAAAACCAAAAATGATCAAACTTGATGACGCGAGTGTCATTGAACCTGTTCGTGGGTCTTGGAAAAACTTATCATTTCAGAATGACGTGCTTGAAAAGAAAATAATGCAAGTTTTTCCTCCGCTTAAAAGCGGAATGGAGCAGTCGGTCACAGGTAGAGAGTAGAGTTGTGTCATTCGCGCTACCCTAGGCGCCCTGCTGTGAGCAGACAATATTCATACATGCTGCATGCGCGGGATGTTCCTTAAGCCATGCCAAATAAAAAGAATTTACCTTGCTTGCAGGAAAGGTCAGAGATCGGTACCCAAAAGGAAGCTAGGGGAAAAAAAAAGAGTCAATAGCATTGGGTATCATGTTCCGCAGCAGAGAAAGATCAGGAGGTTCCACGCATCGTGTCGATCTTTTTCCACTCAAATTACGATTACTTCTTCCCATTCGCCTCCTCCTTCTTGATCGGTCCAGTCTTGAAGATGAGCTTCTCTTCCGGCTTCACCCGTTGCGCATACTCCGTCCAGCTGCCGTCGTAGAGCCGCCTTCCTTCTTCGGGGTAGCCCGCTTCCGTGAGGGCAGCGTCGATGACGGCGGCCGTGACACCAGTCCCGCATGAGCTGACGATGGGTTTCTTGGGATCTACGTTCTTGAGCTCAAAGTACATGCGTAGCTCATCGGCCGGAAGGAAGGCCTTTGTGCGAGCCGATATTAGGTCTGAGAACGGTATGTTGATGCTATTCGGCATGTGGCCGGACGGAAGGCCTAAGTGAAGGTCAGCAGCATGGTCTGGCTTCTCGCGACACTGTAGAGATGGTATACCCGGTCTTGGCTCTGGTTCCTTGCCCTTCCACCTTCCCTCGCTTCTTGCGTCCAAGATCTGCAGGGGCTCGGCATCTGGATCGTCGCGCTTCTCCAGTTTAGCCTTGAGCTCCTCAAAGGTCATGACTTTGCTGCTGTCCAGCGTGGGCACGGGGTACGTGACTGCTTCCACGGGCTGGGGCTCGCCGCTTTCGGTCGGATATCCCTGATCGACCCAAAGTTTGTAGTTATTCAGGATATGCACGGCGGGGTGTCCAAAAACCCTCAGCGTCCAGGCGACGCGTGGCGCAGAGAAGATGCCCAGATCAGAAGAGTCGTACACGACTACACTGTCGTCGCGTCGGATGCCCAGCTCTCCCATCGCTTCGGCGAATCGCTCCGGCGTAGGCAACATGTGCGGATACGGACTCTGGTCATCCTTGATGGCGTCCAAGTCGAAGAATCGCGCGCGGGGAATGCGGCTCTCTTTGAATGCTTGAAGTCCCGTCCTCTTCTTCGGGTCGTTGGGCATGTACCACGACGCACACAGCGGGATGATTCTCGGCGCGGTGGAGAGCTTGGAGTGCACATTCTTCTTGAGGGCGAGGTCGAGCTCGTGCGGCGTGACGAGGTAGTTGTTCAGACTGTACTGCGGCGACTCTTCTGATCTCCACCGGCGCTGTGGCGTGAGGACGAAGCGAGATGCGCACGTGGGCGGCCGGATGAATGGCCGCGACGCGGGAAGACGCATCGTTGGGCGCTGAAACTGTGTTTCGTATGGTGTAGTGGACGGCCACTCGCCCAATGGGCTCTTTAAGCAGCGAGGCAACGGAGATGCCTATCGGCTCGAAAGAGTTGAGGGAGATAGCGAGGGGGGAGCGCGGCCGTCTTGGGTGAGGGGTTCCCTGCAATAATCCGCCGGATTAAGGTGTCAATTGCTCGTGCTGTATTATCAGGCGGCTCAAAATGGCTGCCTGCCAGCTGTATGCCGCTGTCGACGGCGTCGAGAGGACAGGAGAGATAGGGAGAAGGACGGGTGGCGATGAGATGCCCTTTGGGCTGCAGATAGACGCACCAAGCACGAGCTCCCCGCCTCTACACTGTCCAGATCGAGGCCGAAAAGCTGCTGATGCAAAGGAACAAGTCGGAATCGCTCGCAATCCTGCGGACCATCACCGTGAGGGGCTCCGGGAAGAAGGATGGAGTCGCAAGCCCGTCCGTACTCCGGGCCAATTTTTTTTTTTTTTTTTTTTGTTGGTGGATGAGCCCGCGTCGCCGTTCTAATTGCTTCTTCCAGGCGGCGCCGACGTGAAGGGCATAGACAACCGTGACGCACGTGCTCACGCGCCGCCACCAGATCCACCTCTGGCCCCGTCTTTGGCCGCCAGCAGGAAAACACCCGCGACGCCCGTCCGACAAGCCGCAGTGCCCTTCGACAGATCAAGCGCGGCCGAAAGCTGGCCGGCATCGAGCACCCATGAAGGTGAAGATCAAAACCTGGAACGCAGTCGCCGCCTGGCGGTGGGACATGCCGGACGAGGACGTGTGCGGCATCTGTCGAAACCCGTACGACAGCACGTGCTCCAAGTGCAAGTTCCCCGGCGACGAGTGTCCGCTGTGTAAGGCCGTTCCTCGAAGCTCTCGCTTCCGAGCTCGACGTGGTGCTTGGCTGACGGGTTGCAGTGATGGGCGAATGCAGTCATTCGTTCCACATGGTGAGCTATTCAAACGCCCCCGCGTCTGGGATCAGACTCCCACTGACATAGGCTCACAGCATTGCATTATCGCATGGGTCGCGCAGGAACAGAGCCAGGAAAAGTGTCCCATGTGCCGTCAGGGTAAGGCGACCCGCCATTCGCACGATGTTGACATGGAGCTGACTGCGGTTCGACCAGTGTGGAAGGAGAAGGGTGTTTGAGAGCAAATGAAACGGTTCGTCTAGTTGGAATGACATTGCGTAGTGCGGGAACAGCTATTGAATCATGATACCCTGGGCATAAAGGCGTTCGGACGGAGAGGCTTCCACTGGTGCCTGGATAGTTACGAAAGACACGATGGAAACGCTAGTCTATGACAATGTTGTTCATGGGACCCAGGCAGTTCACCAAAGAAAAAGAGTTGAACAGCCAGAAAGATCTCGTCAGCTCCTTCGCTACACGACTTTCCTACCTCCCAAACTTTTCTCCTCCACCGTTCTTGCTCTCGTTGAATGACAATCATTTTAACCTAGCGACCCGAGCGTAGCGGTGGGAATCCGAGAGGACAAGACGGCTTGAGCAAAGAGATCACTGAAAGGTGCCGCAACAACAACGTCGTGTGCTTGAAAGACGCGTTTTGACATACACTTCGTAGGCTCTAAGCTGAGCCATTGCTTATTGACAAATTTTCTTCACGCCAGACAGCACATAATGCGTGTAACCACCTTTTTAGCCTCATTCCCACAGACTGCTTATAGCTTCTCGATATGACCCAGGAGCCACTGGAGATGCCGATAGCTCGCCCTTGGCTGAAATTGAGGTTGCCTGCGAATTCATTAGTCATGTGTCTTGCTTCCCAGGGGAAGAAAGAGGTGTTCAAGGACAGGGCATCAAGGACTCTCGCGAGATATCCTAGCTCACAACGTCTTGAGAGCTATTCATGCTGCTTGAAATGAACGAGAAAGGGAAGAGAAAAAAAAAAACAGAGAGAGAGAGAGAGAGAGAACTAAAAGCAGACTCTGCAAGCGAAAGTTAGCATTTGATCTGCACAAAGCCCAGTTAGTATTACGCACCACATGTGCCCACTCTGTCTTGTCGTCGCCCACATCAGCCCTCGCTCAAAGTGTTGAGTTCCCATGATGCCCTGGCCACTGCCGGGATACCCGTCTGCGATTAGCGTCAGTGAGTGTCCTTCCCAAGGGCGTCGAGCAACGCGCTACGCACCATAGCCCTCCAGCCCGCTCTGATTGTAGATCTGCACGAGAGCCAGATCCTCTAGCTGCAGGTTGATCTCCTCGCTCGGCGCCACCTGGAACCCCATCTTGCCGCCCCACGTCATGTTCTGGATAGCTAGCATGGTTCCGAGCGTGGGCAGCTCCATGTCGTAGTCACCCGACGCGATGAGCACGCGCTGCGTCGTCTCGATGACGCGAGGTAGCACATAGGCAATGGAATCCGCCGACGTGTCTCCATACGATGTGTTTGGCGCTGCGGATGAGTTGAACGCATTGCCGTTGCACTCCGCCCACGTGGTGTTTGGCGCATGCAGCGCCGCTTTGACGTCGTCCCGATCGAAGTAGACGTGATCGCCGAAGCCTGGAGCCAGATACTCAATATCGGACGGGAAGCCAAGAGGGTCGAACATGAGTGGACATTGGCTTGAAGCCGCTTTCATCAGCATATATGTCGACACGGTAAAAAAGAGAGGCTGGGACACGAACATGTTGATCTCGTACACGTTAAAGCAGTTGTTGACCTTGTACGCCTCCTTGTACGCCATATGCCAGAGATCGCAGTCCACCCCTTCGGGTCCGCTTGAGTTGAAACTAAGATTCGGAGGTTGCGGCCCGGACGGTGGAAAGGTGTAATACTTCTTGATGAAGTCAGCGTATCCACATACCTCGTGTAGATCCGCGAGCTGCGCCATAAACGTGTCGTTGTAGTTTAGGAAGTCGTTGTACTTGTAAACGAATGGCACGATCGGAACCGCAAGTTGCACGTAGTCGTTGCTGATTTCCGGATCATAGATTAGAGCACCAGATACGTTGAAGTAGGTCGAGTCGTTCTCCGCGATCATGGCGTCCGCGACATCTCCACGCAATTAGCACATGTGGCCCCCTTGTGTGCGGCCCTGACTTACAAGGCACATAGCGGCCTGCGTATGACTCTCCAGTGACGTAGATTTTGAAATTCTTAATTCCGAACGTGTCTTGAAAGTTCTTGAAAAAGCCCAAGAAGTCTTGCGCGATCTCTTCCTCGGTGGTTGCCGTAGGAGAGTAGTCTCCAGAGTAGCCGACGCCAAGCGGGTATTCAACCCACAGCATACTTGGGGCGAACAAGTCAGTCAGTTCTTTGTTTCTCGTAGCTCGATCCGCCTGAACTTACTTCGTCAAATTGGGCCACGAGTAAGGATTTATCTCGGCGTTGTACATACCCCACGCCCATTGAAACTAATGAGAAAGGAATTAGCAGGCTCTCGAGCGAGATGATGCGACCGCAATGCTATACCATGCCGTTCTCTTGCAGGAAGCCTTCCAAGCTGCTGCAGCCAGGTCCGCCATTGAACCAGATCGTGATCTCGTCGACCGGATCCCCGACTCGGGGCTGGAAAATAAAAAACATGGCGGCGTCGAGGGAGTCATTTACAGGCATCATCCCGCTGTAGAACTCGCCGATATCGAAGTCGATGAGCGGCAGCGACTCAACATTGTATGCTGTGGACCACGGTGAGCTTTCACGTCAGGGGAAGAGGAGGGGCAAAGGGCCCAGGGAAGAGTGGTATTCACGGGCAGTGTTGTTGTTGTAGAAGCGAAAGTCCGACGTGTTGCTCGCGCGCCTGGACAGCTGCTGCTTTGGCGCATTCTGCGCCTGGAGCTCGGCCGCGAGTTGGCGACTACGCAGCGACTTGGCCGACGACAGAGTCGAAACTAGGAGGAGCACGACGAAGGACAGATGAGAGATCAATTGAGGGCGCGCCATGACTGCGGAGCCTCAGCACGGGAGAGCAGTTTGAGAATAAAGAAAGAGAGAGACGTTGAGAAGCGCCAGCCTCTGCAGGCAGGGCAAGCTGATTCTTTAAACTGCATTTTCGTAGGTACACACGCGATCGCATTGCGTCCCGGGGCCTCAGAGGACACCATCGCCGGCAGCGGGACGCTATCGTCGCTTTGAACACGAACCATCTTTCCTTGCTCTTCTCCGCAAGCTCTCCAACCACACGACACCGGGGGCAAGCTCCCACGCAATGTAACCGTCCCACTGGACATTCGACGTCGAATGGAGTAAGGCCGCCAATCGAGATAGTGGCAAGAAGAGCTTGTACGAGCTTCGCGAGAGGTGCCAAGGACCGATTGCAAGGACGATGTCAAGGCAATCGCATGGTGTGGAGAGCGGGAGCGGCGGATGGATAGGCGACGCAGGTGTTGAGGACCTGCTTGTTCAGGAACAGTGTGCTGACAGCTCGCGCCACCGCGTCATGCGAGCGACATGGTCGTTGACGCGGATCAGCTGTGGCGCCGCCGATGGTTTACCGGAACCTGAGCTTGGATGACGGTTTTGTGCGAGAAGACACTGGGAGCTAAGTAAAGGCATGTATTACGCATAACGCATCTGGTTCGCGTCGCGTCACTGCTTCCGCTCATGTACATGTATGCATCACGTGACCTAATGGATATCGCGACGGGACGTCAAGCACATAGAGCCATGTTCTCCTCGCCCACGCAGGAGTCGAGGTGCGAATTCATGCGCCTCGTGTCGGTCCTTTGTACGCCGTTCATCGTCCCACAGTAGCTTGCTTCGCTCAACCCGCCTCTATGACCTTTGGCTCCTTCGGTAATCTGAACGCAAGGAAGCCTTCGTCCGCTCTTTCACACCTGATCATGACATCCTCGATTGCCCTCCGCGCCACCTCAAACGGTTCTGCCACCCTGCCCAGCACGCTCAATGTCGGAGCGTCGCCTTTGAAGGTCAACGTAACGGGCGTCCAATACTCTTTTTCCGTCTCTTCCTCGCCTTTCTGCGCCCTGCTGTCGGGATTTTTCTTGCCCTGGCCTTTTTTAACAACAACGAACGAAACGGTGACTTCGGTCAGCGTCGCGTTGTACTCGAGGATGCTGTTCTTGGGAAAGAGGAACCGCTCATTCGGGTTCTCGGAAAACTGGATGAGTATGTGCAGAGGGGTTGCTGTGGTCACCATTTTAGGACGGGGGGCAGGGGGTGGAGTCGGCTGGTAACGATACTGCTGCACGGGGTACTGCTGGTGATGGTGCGTCACCGTATGTCGCGGTGCCTGGGCGGATGGTGCTGTTGACATGATGCCCTGTGAAGGCGATTGGGTTGGCATCATCTGACCTGGACGTTGACTCGGTGCTGATGAAGGAGCATGCGCTGGAATTGGGGCTGGTGCTCGTGTTGGCACCGGAGCCGAAGCTGGAGCTGGAGGTTGTATCGGTGCTGTCGTTGATGCAGTGGACGTGTTAGGAGCTGGCGCTGGCGCTGGCGCTGGCGATCTCGTCGGCATTGGTGCTGACGTCGGTGGAGGTCCTGTTTGAGATACCGTTTGAGGTGCCGGTATCGACGCTGGTGTTGTAGACGATGTGGGGGTTGGCGCTGGTGATGGTGATGGCTTCGATGTTGAGGTTGTTGCAGGAATCATCGGAGTCATTGTTGGGGGTGCAGTTGTCAAAGAGTTTGACGATGTCGAGGGCGGTGCATGTGTTGGTGCTATGATTGAGGTTGTCGCTGACGCCGGCGCATGTGTAGGTGCCGGTGCAGGTGCCGGTGCTGATGCCGGTGCAGCCGCCGTTGGAGGTCTGATTGGAGGTGTCGCTGCTGGTGATGTTGCCGATGACGTCGTCAGCGCTGGCGCCGGTGCTTTGGATTGGTTTTGGGTTGGATTCGGTGTTGGAACCGTTCGATTGGCAGGCTGTGATGACGCTGGTGTAGATGGTGCCGACCTAGGTTGTGTTGTCGTTGGAAGCTTCGGAGCGGGTGCATGAGTTTGAACTGCTGCAGGCCCTCTCGAACGTGCCTCCTGCTCTTGACGCTGCCGGACAAGCTCCGTTAGCTCATCGATATGCTTCTGAAAGTACTGGAGCTGCTGCTGTGACGCCAATCCTGTAGCAACAATCTTCATCACAGCCTTGAGCTCTGGATTCGCACTTGCTCGCTGCGCGAGCGCGTGGATGACCGGATCTGGTGCTTGAGAATTACCACCAGATCCTGAGGACCGTGGTGGAGCAGGCGAAGGCTTTGCTGTCGGCGTCGACGCTGTCGGCTGCTGTCGCGCCTGTGTAGGCGGAGGAGGCGGAGGCGGCCTTGCGGTTGGCTGTGCTGGAATTCCCTGCGGTCGTGGGTGTCCAGGACTTGGCGAAATATGCGCAGGCCTTGGAGACGTATATATGGGCTGCTGGTGCGCTGCTGGCGGTCTGTACGGAGCAGTATATGCAGGAGTATTGCGATGCGGTGTCCCATATATCAGATGCATTTTGTCCGGAGGTAGCTGGCCTTGCTTATGCCCTTGGTGTTGATCTTTGATCATGAGCAGCTGAACCTCAAAAGTCAACGGCTCGCACACCATCTTCACCGGTCCGACCTTGCTCTGCGTAGGACCCTTTGCAGCTTTGAGCTGTTGCTTCTCTTCCTCAGTCATGTCCTTCTGCTTCTTCGTTGCGGTGGGCTTGGTCCAGAACTTCTCGAACAGAGCCCCCTTCACAATCGAAGCCCGTGAACGTGCCAGCGATGCAGCAAAGACACCACTGTCGCCTAGAGACTGCCATTCCTTCTCGTCGAGATCTTCCGGTTGCGGTGCCGGCAGTATTGGAAGCGGCGTGCTCTCCGTCAGCTTGTTTGGCAGCACAAGAGGCGGTTCCGGCGACGGTTCCGGCGATGGTTTTCGTGGCGGAGGTGCATTCTTAGGCGCCGACTTCGTTGTCTTGGAAGTTTTCGTGGCCTTTGCAGTCTTCGCTGCCGTTTCTGCTTCCAAGGCGTCGGAGAGTCTTCTCTTCACCCCAGACTCTGCTTTGATGCGCGTCGACGATCTCGTTCCTCGTAGCTCCACCATCTTGGCGACACTCGCTATGTTTTCGCAACCATCTGCCACGCTCGAAGCACGTGTACTCCGAGATACGCCGCGTTCAAAGGTGGCTGTCTTCTGGGAAGTCTTGGTGCTGGTTAAATTGTGATGCGATGGAGAATCAGTGGCCGCGCATAACCTGACCTCCCCCCATTCTCTACTGGGTTAGTGCCCCCGAAGCCCAGCGGCCTCAGCCCCGATCCAATAGGGCAGGTGGTGCCTAGATTAGTGGCTCTAATCGCGTCTTATCGAAGGTCCCAACTCTACCTGCATTACTGCTCGACCTCTTGGACGTCGTTTCAACATTGCTCTGTACGTACCGATCGCCAGGCATTCCCCATTACATCCATAGCGTCTTCTCAGCCACATCGTAAGCGCCAGTATTCCGTGAAAGATGACCTTTTAAGCTCTGTTCCATCCGTATCGTTGAAAGCTGTCATCACCATGGTCCCTCTCCAGCCAATCTTCAAGAAAGCATACCTGTCCTTAGTGGGCTTTGGGGCAGTATACGCGGCCTTTCTTCTTGCCTTGACGAACAAAACTGCCCAGAGACAGTATGACATATACTCTGCGTCTGGAGACGACGGTGCACTAACTTCTGTAGTGCACTATATGCTCACAAGGTACACACGGACTACTGGAAAACCCTAGATCGGCCTGAGAGTGTAGGCTTCGCAAGTATGAAATTGCACCTTTTCATCTCTTTTTCTGGTTAATCAGTAATTTCTTTTTCTGTTTTGCCTCGCCAAGGCAATTTCACCTCCACGCTATAAATGAAGATTTGCCGAGCTAACCACAAACCAGAACACCAAGTGACGCCTTTCTATCTCAACACTACTGATGGCGAGGAACTCTATGCCTGGCACATCCTTCCCATTGGCCTTTACGCGCAGCATGAGGAGGCCATTGCATCTCAGGAACCATGGCCTCCAACCTCCTTCAAAACTTCATTGGCATACGAACTTCTCAAGATCGACCCGGAGGCCCGTGTTGTGATCAATTTCCACGGAAACGCCGGTCACGTTGCCAACGGATACCGCCCTCAGACGTACAAGTCGCTGACTTCGGCCTCCTCCAAGATTCACATTTTCACGATCGACTACCGCGGATTTGGGCGCAGCACTGGAGTGCCTTCCGAGATGGGCTTGATAACGGACGGTGTGGCCCTGGTCAACTACGTGCTGTCGCTCGGCATACCGCCAGAGCGCATTGTGCTTCTCGGTCAATCTTTGGGGACTCAAGTTGCCTCCGCTGTGGCGCTGCACTTTGCCGATCCGACTGCATCCGCGGCCCTGCTGCCCAGCGCGGAAACGGACATCAACTTCACGGATGACTCTACTCTGCTCAGCAAGGATCGAGAACCTGTTGCATTCAGCGGCGTCGTGCTCGCGGCGTCATTCCCATCGCTGGTCAAGCTCCTGAAAGTGTATCGATTCGCGGGACTAATTCCCGTGCTCTCACCGCTTCGCGTATATCCCTACATCCAATCTGTGCTCCTGCGTTTTATCCATGAGAGCTGGAACACGGGCGATCGGCTTGCTGCGCTTGTGTCCTCCGCTATCAAGAATGAGCACCATCTTAACTTGCAGATCCTGCATGCAGCAAACGATTTCGACGTCAATTGGCGCATGGGCCAGGACAATTTCGAGAGCTGCGTTGCGGCGATGAAAGCCGCAGCAGATGTGTCGGTTGAAGCAACCGGGGAATGGGGCGAGACAATCAAAAAGGTAGCGCGTTGGCACGATAAGGTGAAGGTTGAGTGGCAGTTGTTGATGAGCGGAGGGCATAATAGGATTGTTGCTGATGTGCCTGTTGCTCTGGCTGTGATGCGAGCGTTTGGTTTGTGAAGACCACCTTTATTTGGCGAAAGTGCCTATCAGGGATGTAGAAGCGATGTTTAGATACCTTAGAGAAGAATTTTACCGAGTCACCCGGTTTGAGAATCAAAGTACATGCCACCGCTACAAAAGGGATTTAAAACGACTCAGTTAGAGATGTTCATAACCAAGATCTGAGATGGCACGTCAACATAATGGACGCATATCAGAAAATATGATTATGGAACCCGCTATTGTATTTTCTTCGGTGAGATTTGCTGTCTTTTCAAGGTTCTAAAGCAGCCTGCCAGTGAGCAAGCCATATTCTTATGTCACGTGTTCCATTCGCAAGTGAAGGGAGGATCGCTTTGTTATCCGCGTTATCGCCACCTGTGGAACTTTTTTAAGAACAGAATGGTATCACAGCAGCAGCCTACCTATTATGCACACGATGGCGCTACTGAGGCTTGGAGCAGCACGAACGCCAACGCAAGCTGCTGGCTGCGCTGACGTAGGAAGGACTAGGATGTCTAGAGAGTCTCCCAGAGATGTGACGGCCCCGTTGCCACGGAGACAAGAATTACTTAAATCCAAAGCCGGGAGCAAGAGTCGAACTTGCTCTGTGAAGTTGTCCCTTGCACTTTATATTTCGAAATCATGCAATTCTCTACCACGTGCGGAGCGGGTGGTGTACACCTCAGTTGGCAACCTCATCAGCAATGCTAGCCGGTGCTAAGCGTAAGCGTCCAACCTGAGTAGTCACCATGTCGAAACGGGATCAAGGCCGCCTCTCGCGCAAGGCTCAAAACGCATGTTCGAATCGAATCGAGTACAGAGACCGCCTGATCAGAAGTTGGGGAGCAACTTTTTTGCCACTTTGACCATTCGACTTGAAACATTTTTTCTTCGCTGTTGGTCAAGCAACGTAGTAGCTAGGCATGATTGCCATGAGATTGCTTGGAGTGATAATGGCGTGTTGCTCTAATGGTCCGGACAAGCCTTCTTCTTCTCCTGTTAACAAAGAGTAGAGCATTGTGTTCTACGCTTTAACTTTTTGTTTTATTTGACTTTTTGCCAGGCTCACGCAACTTGGTAATACCCTAGTGGTGCCGACTCAACAAACGATAGAGTAAGTCCAGCACGAAATATCTAGGCAAGAAATCGATTTATCCAAAGGCATCACTTTGCTTCCCTCACCACTCAACACCAAGCTCTTTCTGAGCCACCAGTATAAAATGGATTACGAGTCTCCGGACCGTAGATTTGAGTTACGATGAAGGTCCGACGCCATGTTACTATCTTTGCTTTCAACGTTCTCCTCTCTTGAAGCATTACTTCCATTGCATTTGTTTGAAATCCTGTCCACACTTCGAGTTCCCACATAGACGGGTGCGATATTTCAACGGCATGCGTACGCGAATGACTATTGATGTTCAAGCTTCCCTTTGACCTGCTCTCTTGAGTATACGATTATACATAGTCGGTGAAGTCGCCTGTGTGCAGTCATTCGCCTGGAGCTGCAGCATGCTAATGAAGACACTGCCCTACTCTGACACTTGACCCATCTTAAGCAACGATTTCCTGCACTATATCGAATCATATCGAACCACAACAATCGAGCTAATTAGCAGCAGGTCGTCAAGTCAAATGTGACTGGCCAGGGTGGTCCGCGGGGGATATCGACAGTGTACGAGCATACGGGACGCCCTCAAGCATGATCCAGGGCACCAATGAGGACTATACGTCTGCCTTGGATCGCACACGCGCTTTCAAACGGGGCCAGAGGGTGTGAACAAGGCCCAAGGAACGGATAATCAGACGAGAGCTGATGGAATGAGGTCGTGTTTAAGTTCCCGAAACCACCCAGGGACGTGCTGGCCGGAAAGACTCCCTGCGTAACTTAACGGCGGACTTGCATAACGTGGTAACCAGGTTGCACCATTGCCTCAAACAACAACACTCCCCTTCACTTTCATTTGACTCCGAGACTTTTGTGACCAAATTCTCCTCTAGACTGCTGTTTCACTGCACTCGTGTCCTAGCGCCGCGTCGTCTTCTGAACGCCGACTTCTTTCCCATCCGCCGCCGATCATCGTCTCCTCCGCCTTTTCGACCCCTGCCGTGGCCACAATCGATTGCACAGACTGCATAAGCTGCTGGAGGTAACTTCGATCAGTCCACCGTTGCAGGAAGCAGCCGGTCATCATCAAACCGTAGCGGCGTGCTCCACGCACATCATGTCCAACGGCACCGGCGGCGGTGTCCGCAACCTACGGGCAATGTTCGAGAACAACAGCCAGCCGGCTTCCCCAGACGTCCGCGGCCGATCGCCCAGCGCTCGTAGCAACGATGATTCCAGCAGGCCGCTCTCCAAGGTCCGAACCAGCTTCGTCTCGGTTGAGCCCATCAAGCGGATTCGGAATGACACACCAGAGCAGAGGGGAGACTCGGATACTCATCGTCGGGAAAGCTTCTCATTGAACGAGAGCCGCCCAAGTGATGCCGAGGCATTGAGCGAGATGAAGAAGACGGTATCTCACGAGCTGGAGCTGCGCAAGTCAAATAGCAGTGTGGCAGAGGTAGTGCCGGAGAATGCCATTGTCAGCGAAGCCCCGACTCCCTTCACAGCAGCCGAGAAGCAGCTGGATACGTCTGCGGAGGCTATCACGGTGCCGTCCGTCACAAGCACGAGCGTGAGCAGGGCGACGAGCGAGTCACGGCCAGAGACACAGGCGTTGGATAGTTCCCCTCCTGCCGCTCCTGCTGCTCCCGCCGGTCAGCCAGCGAAGGACCAAACGTCTCCTTTCAGCACCTCCCCACGAGTCATACGTAATCTTGCCGAGAATTTACGCACTCCCCAGCCTGCTGCTGGAAAGAAACCTCAACCACAACAACCACCCAACTCGCCCACACCGGCAGCTAAACGCCAAGATGCGAAGAAGGTCGAGCCAAAAGCAAAACCTGCTCAAGCTTCGGCGCCAGCCTCAGCACCAGCCTCAACAACCGCCCAGCCAGAGGTAGCTGAGAAGGCACAACCAAAACCCGTGCAAGAGACGCCCAAGAAGACTGGGACAGAACGCCCAGGGCGAACAAGCTCAAGGGTCTCGTCAGGCACGGTTACAACAGGAGGTTTTGTGAAGCCCAAGCCGCGTTCCCCTACCAGGCCGGTCAAACTGCCCGCGCATCTCATCGCACCAACGGCTTCGTCGGCCGCCAAGCATGGCGATTCTCCTCCTAGTCAGCGAACTCTCAGCCGACGCTCATCCACCATCAGCACAGCGTCTAGACGTCCCTCGATACGTGCTGCGCACCCCCCAAAGCAGACTCGACCGAAGCAAGCCGCACACCCCCCCGCTGCGACGGAGAACAAATCGCCTCCGCCGAAATCGCCGACGGCACCTTCGACTTTCCTTGAGCGCATGATGCGTCCGACAGCTAGCTCGGCTTCCAAAGTAAAGGAAAAGATCGACACAACTAAGGGGAAGAAGTAGTGACAGTACGTTGTAGCGACACCAGAATACGGCTGGCATTTGATGGAATTTTTTTTTCGAATCCCGTCTCACTCGTATGCAGCTTTCAGCACAGTATGAAGATGGCCATTGTTATATTTGCCGCGAGAAAAAGTTTGACTAGGCTGCATCGTGACGGCGCTTGTATTCACCATGCACGATACTCCACATAGTAATTTCGTTTGCGCAACTTTTTTTTCGCAGACATGGATGGAAAGCAGATTCAGTTACTCTGAAATAAGGGGGATCGAAGCGCAGTTCTTTTTTATTTTTTTTTCTTTTTCCCCCCTCTTTTTTAAATGTTCGATTGGAAGATTTAGCATAGCGAGAAGGAGTTTTTCAAGCCGTTGAAGCTCCGGTTAGCGTATCAATTGAGGAGATAAGCATTTCGTTTTCACTACAATGTACGCTGGCCTTCTTCAAATCCGAGCTGATGTGATATTCGTCTGCTTCATGCACCATCAATCATCAAAGGATATGTGTTGGGCATGAAGGACTGAGATTGTGAGACCGCAAGACAAGGCTGGCCAATTACCTTTTTAGGTGCTAGCTCGAACCCGTCGCATGAGACCTTACGACATCATAGACATAGCGCAGAGCCAGGGCACACGACCCGTCTGTTTTTGCTGGCAATAGGAAACTCTTGGACCTTGGCATGTTTATTTTATCCCTCGTTCCACTCATTGAGTTTGCGACACATGGAGAAACTGGTCACGACATTCTCGCGACAGAGCTCGATCAAGTCCGCGGAGGATGTCGAAGCCAGTAAGCCCCCGAAGCCTGCCAACCGAGCCAGAGCCTTGACTCTGCCCCTGGAAGCACCGCAGAGGGTCGGGCTGAAAAGGGTGAAGCAAAAGACCGTCCTCCAGGTGGACTGCGTCCTGTTCCGTCTGCCGCTGGAGCTGCGGCAGCAGATTTACCGCATCGTGCTCGGCGGCAAGTGCGTCGCGCACGACATCAGCGGGAACAGAATCGGAGACCGGTCGGACCCGTGGCCGCCGTACGAGAGACCTGGCGGAGAGAGGAGAGGATTGCGGCCCTGGGGCTGGCAGCCGAACAGAAAGACGAACATCCTAAGCCTGCTTGTCACATGCCGACAGATGTCCGTCAAACCCAACCCTGTGACGACCCTTTCGAAAAGAGAGAAATGCATTAACGCGAACACGCAGCTACTCGGAATCGATCGACACGCTCTACGCAAACAACATATTCTACTTCCGGAATCCCTTCACGAACTGGTCTCTCTCGTCGTGGCGTGTGCTTCCCCAGCGCCTCGAACAGATCAGGATCCTCATCCTGGACGAGACCATCGGAGACACGAACATCGTGTTCTCCAACCGGAGGCAGTGGAAGCGCATGTGGCGCGTCGTGGCCAAGATGTCGCGCCTTAAGGTCCTCTACCTCAACGTAGACACCCCCTACTCCAAGGCGTGGACCCGGAATCGCGACTTTGAGAAGCGGCTTCTCTCGCCTCTCGCTGGGCTCTCCAACGTGGAAGATATCCTTGTCATCCTGAGGTGGCTGAAGCCCGTGGACTTGGACGAAAACGAGTACCCACCTCACGTGAGACGTCACCTCTGGAGACAGGAAGAATACGACCTCCTGGATAACTTCTACGCTGCCTGCAAACCGGCCGACATGAGAGAGTGGATCACGAAGGCTCTTGTTTTGCTGGAAGAAGGAGCGATATCTAACGTGCGAGATAGTTTACTGACCCTCACAGAGTGACGTTGAGATCAAGGCGTAACTATGGTGGACTGCACCATTTCTGCCCGACGCAGGCGCGCGAGAAAAGGGCGAATCTCTTCCCGCCTTGACCCTGAAACTTTTGCGGCCGTAAGAAAGCACATTCGTTGCCTCGCGCTGCCGTGTATAGCGTTAAGCATGTCTGGGGTAATATTGAGCACGGGAAAGACCTTTTATCCGAGCCAAAGCACGCGACAAAGCGAACAAGAGAGACGTTCAGCTAGTAGTCGCGCAAAAATGAGATGACGCAAAATAATGATATTTGGCAGATCCAAAAGTCTGTCCACGTCTGCTCGATTCACTTATATTCTCTACTTTTGGACCAAATCTCTAGGCCAACACCGCATACTAAAACCTTCCCTCCAGCATTCTCAAGTCTGCCTCTTTGAGGAAACACTGCAAGAGAGGATATGTCAGCAACTGAGGATGCATATTTGCCTCCTTTCATGACATGAATACCCTTAATGCCTGGTCTTCTAATGTCTATCTTGATGTTCCAGAGCTTGATGATTTGGTCGTTACTTGCCGTGATGAATTCAACGCAAAAATCTTTATCCTGGATCGAGGGTTCAGTTCGTCTCGAAACTCCAACGGCAGTAACAGCAGCCGCGTGCGCTCTTGGAATCAGCAGAGATGAAGTCGTATACTCAAAAGTTTCGTCGTTGATGCTGAGTACTGTGAGTCCAAGAGCGTTATCGTCCCCTCCGCTAATGATAAGCCATGACAAGTCTGATAGTTCAACGGTCGAAATCGCTTTTACAGAGCTTTGATGTACAGATTGAATTCCATAGCAGACAAGCTTCTTGGTACTCTCGGAAAGCGACCAGAATCCTAGCTGGCCGTCCGTGCATCCAGTGACTAATGGCCAGCCTGAAGAAACTGTGCTCAAATATGACGCGTTGGTCAGGCAAGCGGTTGTGTACTGAGCAGAAGCTATGAAAGACCATGCCTCACGATCTGGGAGCTTGTCCCGCGTGAATGAATATTTCCAGACCTGATAGAGTCAATATAAACGAGATTGCTTCAATTGGAATCCATACCTTTATCGTTGAGTCAGCGTAAACCATCGAGATCAAGAAATCCCAATGCAAGTCGCCGAATTTTGTTTTCTCTTCGTTTATGACGCAACGAACAGCGAAATCCATGATTCGCAATTCTGCATCTTCGCTGTCCAAGGGGCATTTTGACTCGCATACGACACCGATGGTAACACCTGGTACGGGTGTCAAGTGCCACACGTAGAACTCTTCAAAACCACCGCAGCTGAACAAGAAGCGGCCATCATCGGACCAGTGCAACGATTGAATTCCCGTCACATGCTTGCGAAGCACGGCCAATCGCTTCAATTCTCTTTGTGCGCCATGCCAGTCGGCGTAGTAGGAGATGTTGATATTGGTATCTTCAGCACCGGTTGCAACCAAAGGGCCAAGGCAATGAGATATGCTATTCGGAGCTATTGCACACGCCTTGATTTCTCTACCGTGGTTACCGCTTTGTATGACTTTATGGCTAGAACCTTTGACTTTGGCGATGTGGAGTTTCATTGCTTTCACCCATGCGAAAAGTCCGCTGGCCACGCCATCGGCTAACGTCTCGGGAGGCGCAAAATCCCATATTCGATGCGCTCCGCCGCATTCTATCTTGAGTATATCTTGGTTTGCAGACACGTTTTGGCAGACAAAATATTTACTTGTGAACCCCCAGACATGCACGTCCGCAGTCTGGTCGTCGACGGACATCCCCTCCAAGTTCGGTCCAAAGGAAAGTGATAATTTGTGGACCAAAACAGGTCCGGTATAATATCCTTTGAAATGGTGCACTGCCAGTGTACCGTCCCTTCCCACGGAGAACAGCCAACCGAAAGATGGGTCCCAAATCTTATCTTGAGGCCCTCTGTGCGGCATCCACACCATTGCTGTAACGGCATCATTTCCGTGTGCATGTCTCATCTCGAATTCAAAATTCTTGTCGCTTTCAGATTCGACTCTGCTGAAGGAATAGATTGAGCCATTTCGACAGCCTAAAATCAGACCTTGTTCAGAAGAATTATAAGAGGCAATGACAGCACTTGTAATTGCTGGGAAATCTTGAGTCCATCTTGCAAAAACTCGCAATGTTGACAAGGTAAGAGTTCCCCCAGTTCCTAGGTTAACACGAAGTTGGACAGGTGGAAGTCCACCCTGTCTAGAGGCCACGATGCTCATGTATTCGTGAGTCTTCTGAGGAAGGATGTCGGCCATGAGATTTGTAATTTTACCATTGATGTTTGTGAGGATTTTGAGCTCTTCAAAAAACGAGTGGTAGTAATAGATGTTACCTCGCGCGTCACCAAAGAGAACGTACTCAAATGGTTCGGCCAGGAGCCGACATGACACAGAATATCCCACGAGTCCATCGTATGCAGCAATATACTTCCATGTCCACTTATCGTTCTCCGCGCTCGTTGCCAGAAGAACCAATCCGCTGTTAGTGGTCAAGAGGAGTTGGTTCTTGCCTACAGGGGAAAAACTGCGAAAACAGTCTCTCTTTGTTCCTGCATTTGACGATTTAATCGCTTGCACGGTATTTCCCGGATGACCTGAAGCCTCAAGTGCGTTCAGAACCTGTTCAATGCTCCATTCACTGAATGAAAGATGCAGCCGAGATCCAGATCCCACGAGTGAGGACAAATGCTCTACAACCTGACCGTCTGAACCCCCAGTCAATAGAAAAGAATCAACAACACCGCCACCTAAATTTAAGGACCATATATTCTTTCCGGAATGATAGTCGTTACTTGTGATATTACTCAAAGTATAAGTTTTATTTTTACCAAGTTTCGCAAGGCTCCATGTTTGGCAAGTCGCGTCTTCACCCACCGAAATTATGCTGCAGATTGTTCTGCCATCACTCGCAGCATTGCTATGAGCCGAGAACCGAATGTCCCAGATTCTTGATAGATGACCTGTTGCCGATGCGATACAAAGGTCTTTTGACGCAGCCTCTGCCTCTGCAGAAACGTAATTGAGGAATCCGGTGGTCCGTAACGGGTCCCTGTATTCATTTAACGTATTTTCATGTTCTAATTTGACTCCCCCCGTCAGATCAGAAATATCCCAGACTCGGATCGTGCGGTCATCACTACAGCTCGCCAGTAGCCTCAGTTTGTTTTCGTCATCTTGAACTAGCTCGTCCGATATTCTTACGCCGAAAATCGAGCCCTCATGGCCAGTGAACACGAAATGTCGCAATGCTTGCATGTCGTCTTCCATCAAACAAAGTGACCATATCACGATTTCGCCGAAAGCAGTTCCTGAAGCGACCAAAAGTTGATCCGTCGAGAGCCATTTCAAAGTGGCTGAATATAACCCACAGCGGGGCCCAAGAAATAAGGATCTCATCTCTGAGCCTCCAGAGCTTCCACCGTCTCCCACTCTATCAGCTTCGATGACTAACTCCAGGAGCTCATTGTGGGCCGTGACAAGGACGGCGCCTCTTGTGCCGCGTAATCCATCAGTCACGCGGGGACGAAAACTGACGTCGAATAGCCAATCTGTCGTCTTGACGGTTTTTTGGTTTTCGATATTCAGCACCACTCCTCGGGAGAACTTTCTGTTCTTCTCACGCGTGACTTCGCAATGGCAAATACATCGGCCTCCCCACGCGATAAGAAGCAATTTTGAATCTTCGACGAGAAAGCAATGTGCGAAACCATGGATGGCTTGCCTCTTGAAGAGGCGTTGCTTCGCAAGCAGCTGAGCTGAGTCACGGCTGTAGATCTTCAAGTACGGTCCTTGGCCAACGAATACAGTGTCCTGCCAAGGTGACGAGAGCGCGGTCACCGGTACCTGCGCAGTCTCATTCTGTGGTCATTTAGCCATTTTCCTATAACATTCAGTTTGAGCTCTACTAACTTCATATTGCGGCGACATTGGAGAGGCTTTATGTTCGCAAGTTCACATTGCTAAGAAAAATGGATGCAGACTGTGGCGCAAGCTCACGTGAGCAGCATGCTTAACTTAAGCATCGTCAGCCATCGTGAGTGGGCACTGGGCAAGGGTTCAAGTGGTTATCACGAAGCCATCCATAATAAAATTTTCCATTTATTTCTAGCCAGTTCTATATAAATTGGGTATCACTGTGTTTAGCGAAATGTTGCAAGTACGATACGACCCTTTCTGAGTTCGCCTTTGCGGCTCTGGCGTCACACACTCACATTTCGTAGGACACTGTTGACTTCTTCTGCAAAGGCTCTGCTCCGCCTAAATCGTGAAGTTGAACAGATGGATCATTCCAAAGTGTCTCTCCTCTGTATGGAATGCATTCGGTCCGACTAGAGAGTTCTTCGAGGCTGCTGAGGGGCAAAGTAGACATCGTCTCGCCGAACATTTTCGAACATCGTTCAATAGTCCGGGTGAGCACATTGGCATCCCAACCGACGACTGCGGCCATTGCTAGAACGTCGCTCCAGTCTCTGAGGTTTTCCACGCCTGAGGTTTGTTGTGTACTCCCGGACGGCTTGCTGTTTATGGATCCACCGGAGCGCTGTGCGACCTGGGATGTCTGGAGACCAGCGAAAAGCTTGTCCATCAAACGAATGGTTCGTTGGATCACGGGCTTCAACACCGAAGCCGAGTGATCGTCGTCGATCGAGAATTCGAAGTCGGCGAGGTTTGGGATCTGCGTGTCCTGCTCCTGCTCTGCATGGTCCGATCGCGATGCCGGGTCGACGGAACTGTACTGAGCAAATTGACTCCGCGCATGTTCCATAGCAACGCTACAAAGAGCGTCCTCAAGCTCCGTTATTGGAGACACAATCTTCCTCCTTCTTTTTCTAGGCCGTAAAAATGCTTCTGGCCTTGGATCCGACAAGATCAATCCTCGTTGAGGGAATTCGTCCAGAGGAAGTGGCCAAGCCACCCAGTCGTTGGCCACCCGTAGAGTCTTCAACCATGGACCATCTTCTCGATCGACCCCACGTAACTTGGACGTCCAAGGTTGCCTATTTGCATTCTCGTTTTGCAGCAAACGTGCTTTCTTTTCCAAAGCAAATCCAAGCAAATTATGGGCTAGGTCCTTCGACGCGGCGGTTTCAACAGCATTAACGAGATTGAGATCATGATAATACCATCGTCGATACTTTTGATACTCCTTTTTAGATAGTTTGAAAACTTGCGAACTTTCGTCCCAACTTTCGCCGTCTGTGACCGCTCCGGGCGAGTCAGTGTGATACTCTGACGACGTGATCTCCTTGGAATTTCTCGAGAGTGTTGTCACATCATTCTCATCCACAGCATCCGTCGGATCTGACGGTGATTGTCCACGACTATCTCCAAAAGAAGACATAAGCCGTTTTTAAGATTTGTTTTTAATTTTATATTGCATACATCCACGGACAAATGGATTGAAGGACGTAAGATGTTCTTTCACGAGGAAGTGTTCCTGAGGCACAGAAGAATTTGACAGCCTTGTTGCCTTGACTTTTTTGCCGTCTTCTGCGTGTAGCGTGGGCTCTGCACTTCAGGCTTGAAATCGATCTTGTTTGCATAAAATATTAAGCATGCATCATGTCATGATCAGAACCGGATGCGTTGACATGAAGCTGCCGAGCTACGCAGACTGTCCGGTCACAATATGCTCATCGTTCTGGAACCTGACATTCCCAGACACCAGGAGCTGAACATCCTATCCTTAAGAACAAATACAGCCCATATTAGGGTTCTTTTTGTCTTTCCTTTAGTAGATGCCATGCATACGCGAATTTGCAAATTGTATCATGTCAACCATTCACAGCAGATCGATCTGCTGTGCTGTAGATGTCCGTTCTCTGTGGTATTTCAGCATCTAAATGCGATCGCGTCCAGCATCGAGAGGTTCTTGGTCTAACATTTGCCGAAACTGCCTGTGTTGGGGAGATACAATTGTCGCTGAACACCCGTGGCCTATAGACTGTGAGACAATTATGCCCCTTTCCCGAAGAGACGGAAGCATGAAATTCCAACCAATTAAATCCCCAGGAACGAGAGAGCTAACTGAACTGTAACTTAGGTTCACCACCAAGCAGATCACAGCGGCGTAAGAGTTTTCCAAATCTAAGCCAAAAAAGAAGGTCGCGACGGGGCGCTCTAAACGAAACAATGTCGATCAAAAGGAGTCCCTCGTTAAGTAACGATCAACTGCCTTTGGCCAGCCTTGTGGAACCAAGAAAAGCTCGGCGTGGGATGCGCAGGGAAGACTTGTCGTGCGTATACAAGGCATCCAGCAACAGAGCATGCCCAATTGAGCCCGAGCACTGTACGCCTAAAAGAGACTTCATGCAAATTTTGCCTGTGCGGTCCGGGCACTCCACCGGGCGTGTTGCGTCATTCTTTCTCTTGTTAATATCTTTTACGTGCTCTGTAAAGGCCCGCCGCTGCTCTTTGCTCGTGTTTAATACGTAACAGGACTTGCTCCAAGGGGACGAATCCTTTGGACCACCGTCCGAACTCCTGCCGTTTGGGTTCTGAGGAGCAAGCAGCGTCTTCTGCTTTCTATCCTCGCGAGCTTAACTCTTGAAGCTTGTGGATGCCACGGTGATGTCATGGCACAGTGTCGACCACGGGAGGAAGCGCATTTGCAGCGCCTTCAATATTTGTGATGAGATCCTGTCCACCCGATGCCAAAAATCAGCACTGCAGATGTGGATTCAAATCCCCATAGGACTCCGGGTGGTTATTTGCTTCACCATCGGCCTGCGATGCAACCTCGTCAGACAGTCAGTGCGCACGCAGTCTTCAAACCGCAACACACTTTTCGTACATGTCTCCACAAAGCATACGCCGATCGTCAGATTGACAAGAAACGGCTGCTGCTGATTGGAAACCCTTCAAACTCCGGTCGATGACCCTTCGAAGCTTGGACGCTCTTGTACAAGCTTATCCCATCATCCGTCCTCCGGCAACAGACAGCGTAATTCGCATCCGAGGAGCGCTCCGCGTTCAAACCCGCGTGGCCGTGCATTCCCGGAGAGATGTCATAACACACGCAATACACTAATATAGAGATAACAGACCCGGGGGAGTCCATCTTGAGACGCCAATGGCTCAAGATTGAGAGTTAGGATGGAACGTGTGTTTTGAATGCTTAGATACTTAAAGTGCTGTGCTCCGACTGCATTGATCTGAAATATGGTCTCGTGCACACTTTCCGTCTTTGACGAGAACCTCTTCCTGCGCTCCAACTCAACCATTTCTCGTGACTTTCAGTGAGAGTGTGGCCAAAACAAAATGATCAACGAAACGGGGAAGTCGGGCAGCTCTGGGTACTCCTCTGACCCAGAGAAGGGCGCTGATTTGCCGGAATACAGCGACTACGACAAGGAGAATGTACGACGCGGAAGCGTCACGGCATATCACGATGGGTTTTTCAGTGCGTTCAAGCCTGCCAGCTTCAAGCGCAACAAGAATGCCCGCATGGTCACTGAAGCCACGGATAATGAAGGACGTCCACTGCCCGACCAGCCTCCGGCTGAACCTGCTCTTGCCATGAAGCTCAAGGCGAGGCACCTGCAGATGATTGCAATTGGCGGCAGCATCGGCACAGGTAGGAAAACGGGCGCTGTCGTTAGATATTTTTTGACTTATGCTTAGAACAGGTCTCTTTGTCGGCTCCGGGAGTGCCCTTGCAAATGGAGGCCCAGCCTCCCTCGTCCTTGCATATGGTCTCATTGGAATCATGTTATATTGCACGGTCCATGCTCTGGGTGAGCTGGCCGTGGCATTCCCCATTGCGGGGGCTTTCTCTGTGTACAGCTCGCGCTTCATTGATCCCGCTTGGGGCTTTGCCATGTAAGGCTCTGCACGGAAGCTTCGAGTTCTAGCACTGATCGTCCTTAGGGGTTGGAACTATGCTTTGAACTGGCTGGTAACACTGCCTCTTGAAATTACCGCTGCGAGCATCACGTTGTCATTCTGGCCTGGTGCAAAGGATGTCAACCCAGCAGCCTTCGTGATCATCTTTTGGGTTGCCATTGTGCTCATCAACTTCTTCGGCGTCAAAGGTTATGGAGAGGCCGAGTTTGTGTTCTCCATTGTCAAAGTGATCGCTGTCATCGGCTTCTGCATTCTCGGAATCATAATTGCGGCAGGTGGTGTTCCAGGCTCTCCTCAAGGATATCTGGGAACTCACTACTGGTATGATCCCGGGGCGTTCAATCACGGTTTCAAAGGGCTGTGCTCAGTCTTTGTTACTGCCGCTTTTGTAGGCTTCTCTTCTTCGATCGCCACGTTCTACAAACAGCTAACTAGATCGCAATAGTCATTCGGTGGCACGGAGCTGGTCGGTTTGACCGCCGCAGAGACCGCAAATCCCCGGGCCACGCTTCCGACTGCCGTCAAGCAGGTCTTCTGGCGAATCTGCCTTTTCTACATGGTCAGTTTGACCATTATCGGCTGCATAGTTCCATATACCGATCCTGAGCTGCTGAATGGAAGCAGCAGCACAGACGCCAACGCCTCTCCTTTCGTTATCGCGGTGAAGAACGCCGGTATCACTGTCGTCCCATCAATCATGAATGCTGTTATCCTTATCGCTGTTCTTTCCGTTGGAAACTCCTCTGTTTACGGCTCATCTCGTACCCTTGCTGCCCTGGCGGATCGCAAGCAGGCGCCGAAGATATTTGGCTACATTGACAAAACAGGTCGGCCCCTCGTTTCGATAATCTTTGCCTCAGTCATCGGTCTGCTCTGCTTTTTGGCGGGTGCTGGAAGCAAGACCAGAACTGAGGCGTTCAACTGGATGCTGGGTAAGTGGCAAGTTAACCTGCTGCTACATGAAATTCTTATCCTTCTCGTCGATGCTGCCAGTAATTTTTTTTTTTTTTTTTTGATTTCTTAACTAATATTCACACATAGCTATCTCGGGTCTGAGTTCGATCCTCACGTGGGCCTCTATCTGCGCATGCCATATTCGCTTCCGACAAGTATGTTACTAACGACCCATGATGCGAAAGAAGATGAAATTGACATTTATGCAGGCTTGGAAGCACCATGGATACTCTCTCGACGATCTTGCCTTCCGAAGCCAACCTGGTGTTATCGGATCTTGGATCGGCCTAATATTCAACGTCTTGATCCTCGTCGCAACCTTCTGGACGGGCTTCGCTCCCGTCGGATACGCGGAAATGACGGCGAGCGAGCGCGTGAAGAACTGGTTCATGGCGTACTTGGCGGCGCCCATTGTTTTGTTCTTTTTCATCGGTTACAAGATCTGGTTCAAGACCAAGTTCAAACGACTCGACGACATTGACGTTACCTCTGGACGAAGAGAGTTGAATCTCGCGGAAATACTCGAACAGGAGCGAGCTGAGAAAGCAATGTGGCCCACGTGGAAGAAGGTTTACAAGTTCTTCTGTTAGTCCAGGTTCGGCTGCGGTTTGATTTTACGCCCTTGTACGATATGAAAAAAAGGTTATCTATTTATTTAAAACGCCCCTGGTTGTTCATACTGCAAGCTAAACAGGTATTTCAAGAACGCAAATGCCTTGAAGTTCATATTTGTGATCCCAAAGCTGTCATCCACTCCGTACCTTTGTATACTGGCGGTCAGCCGTGTGTTCCATTTGCTTTGCCAAGCTGGCTGTCAGGAATAATCTCGTTCTATTTTGGCATGCTTCTGTAGCACGGAAGTGAAGTGAAGGTGAGAAAGTAGGCCTGCCTTGAGCGGTAAATGCACTCGAAAAACTCTCACCTGAAGTAAAAGTAAGTGAAGACGAGTCTTGCGACAGACGAGATGATATGGCAGGATCGGCAGACAGAACATGAACCTCACATCCGTGGTGAATCCACACCGGATCTTCTGTTTGGGAACACATTTTGCACGCTCTAATATCTACTTGATCAGTTGGAAATTCTCTGATATGTTAACTGGTCTAATCCAGATCTAATGAAACTTGGGATCCAAGCCAAACTCCTGTCAAGGTCTGGGAAATTGCGCAACTACCTCCTACTGAATCGTGTGTCTACAGCAAGCTATTCTTTTCTCTTTGCCGTCTCCTCCAATATGCTGATTCGTTCTCCTCCTCTTGATGTGCGCTGTGGAGGCTGACGAGGCGATGTGATTCCTTCTCCGAGCCCATGATTCCAGGAAACATGAAGCCGGGGTGACTGACTGTTAGAAGAATCGACGCGAATGCAATCATACTGAGAAGTGATCAGCGCCATTGAGCCCGAGACAAATTCAACTTTGAAGCAAGGGCTGAACTTACAGGCCGTCCAAGACCAAAAACTCGGTCTCACGCCGCATAAGCTTGTTTCCCCAGCCGCCTGCCATCTCGGGAACGCGATATATGCAACGGATCAGCACGAAGACGTACGCGAGCGCCGACGTGATGCAGAAGACATGAGGTCGACTGAGCCGCACTCTGAAAGCGAAGCCGCTGGCCTTCTTGCTCTTCCACAGGCGAAACGCATAGTCTATTGCAAAAAGCCCACACACGCCCATCGTGACGACTTGGAACGAGATCCCTGCAACTATAATGTCGTTGCCGATGGTGGCGAGGTGTGGTTTGCTTTTCCCAGCAACGGCCACGCCTCCACCGCCGCTCTGTGTGATGATAGAGAAGACGTCGCAACCGATAAAGACCCAGGTGTACAATCTGGGCTTCAGGCGCGAGAATTCAGCGCCAAAGTGCAAGATGAGGTGCTTCAGCGTGAGGTAGATTCCCGCGGCGAGGAAGGACGGTCCGAAGACCAGGCAGATGATCTGGATGCGGAAGCCGTTCTCAGACCATGGGTTGGAGTGCATCATCAGACGGCCAGCGTACCCAAGTAGCTCAAGAAAGCAGCTGGAGGCAACAGCGAAGGAGTAGGTCCATAGACGGTAGTGAATCGTGAGCGGTATGTGAAGGATGAAGAGGAGAGTGAAGAGAGCGAGGAAGAAGGCATTGGCGCCCAGATTTGGGTAATACCCGTACGTCGTCGCCGAGACGGGACACGACGGTGAGACCTGAGTGCAGGAGCTGTACTCGTCACGCATGGCTTCAAGAGATTGGATTTGGCAAGCAAGGAACTGTGGAAAGCGGACGCGAAGCAGATTGTTCTTGGGCAGGAAGCTTACAACGCGCATATTCGCAGCCTGCTTATATATCCCTACCATCTCAGCGTCCAAGCTAGAAATGCTCTTAGCCATAGTCTTCTCGCCTTCACTCCATCCAAACCTTGCGTCGTCTGATTGGGAATCTGAGCAAGGCTGAGCCCAGTTTAGCCTAATGTGGTTAGTTGTACGAACACGAGCAGACTCCATCAGGCTAGAAGAGCGAGGAGAGAAATTGAGAGCACGCTCGGCTCGTGGCTTAACAAAGCACCGACATACTAGATTGGACGTCAAAAGCCCCCGGAGGTCGATGGATGCCGACGACAATGAGGTGCTAATAGACCCAGCAGTGGAGACAGAGGAGCCGTGCGAGAATGGACCGCTCGTGCGTTTTGAACTTCTGTCCAGGTGCAATGAAATGCTTCGCAATGCTCGATGATTCGTGACATACGCCGCCTCCACTTGTCTCGGCGTCTACGTTGTTGAGCACAGGATTGAACTGGACGGAAAACGGATCCGAAATTGAGACTGGTTTTTTTTCACGTGAAATATATGCTGAGCACCTCCAGATGGGCTCTCCATTCCACATCCAGCATGCTTTTGATTTCCGTGTAAAGCTCTTTGGACCATGCCTTAAGCCACCAGCATACTCCCTCCACGCCTCTCAACAAGGCCGTCCAATACGCCACTATGACAAGAGCACATGGGTCTTTTTGCTCGAGCAAGCATATCATGTCCTTCGTAAACCGGGCAGCGAAGCCAAATATCATGTCGTGCCATTCAGGACACTGTGCGACCCGAAAGATCTCGTGAAGACGGTCCGTCTGGAGCTGGTAGATTTCAGCACGTTGGAACGATGATACTGTGGCTTTCCAATGCACTGAAAGGCAGTCAAGAGCGGTGTGTATGTCCGCAGGAACGGGAGGAAGGATGTTGTAGTCTGGCGAGGCGACCAAAGCGGCGAAACCGCGCTTCTTGACTGCATACGCCATATCCTTAGCTACTACACGGGTCCCCGAGGAGATGTTTATTGCAGTGAGAAGGTCATCTAGTTTGGGCGTCCGTCTGCCGCTCAGCTGGCGCTCCGCGTTCTGGCATGAGGACGCATCGCTGCCAGGGAAGCTCGAGGCGGCGAAAAGGTTTGCATCCAAGGGCAAATGGACGGAGGCAAAGGCCCATATGGTTAGAAGAATAGAGCTGGCGAATAGCAACACACAATTCTCTTCTGAGGGCGATTCCAGCATGGATAGCAAGTAGGGGATCAGCTGGGAGCCTTTGCGCTTGACGAACTCTGTGTAGGCATCATGTTTCGCAGAGCAGACACCCAAGACGAGCTTGTGCATCGCGGCTGTCGCAAGTAGCGCGTCAAGGAAGGCTGGGTGTTCGAGGGCCATGTCGAAGAGATCGTCCTTCCAAAGAGCCGCTGCTTGGGGACGCAACATGAGCGTGCTACATGTTTGTGTCGCGTAGAAATGCGTCAGTTCCAGATCGATGCTTGAGAACAAAGTCGGGCAGGACTGGATGGCTGAGCTTGAGTAAGATCTGTTCCTAGGAGAGCCCAGACTGGACTGAGAGGGCGTTGTTTCGACAGTATTGCCGTTGGACCGGGCGATGTGCAGATGGACTTCGGTGAGCGAGCAGACCTGCTTACGACGCACGCACGCGGAGCACGCGGGAGCTGCTTGATCACACTAGGGCACGTTACTACATATATTGTCTAGACATTGTAATGGATGCAGCACTTGTACCTTTACCCTTCGCGCTTTACATTGCGCACAACCAAGGCGGGATTTGGCGTGAGGCCGACGTGTAGTCGAGACCGGCATGCTGGAGCCAATGCCCGTCGTGTGAACAAGACATAATAAAGACAACACTGAGAAGCACCAGACCTATGCTGGCGAAGACAGTGAGTGCTACAGAAGAGAAGGAGAAGCGATAGCACTTCTGCTGGTCAGACGCCGGGCAGATGAGAGAAGGCGGGGCAGCCACAACGCTTCGTCGTCGCGCAGGTTCCTTGCCCGCGAGGCATGAATGAAGGGCCAGTAGAGGCTTATCACAGGCCTTCGAGTTTCCAGGAAAGTCACGGTTCTATCGTTGCGGGCATTGCCATCAAGACGACGCATTCTCTGGTGTTGCGCACAGTGCCTTAATGGGCGAAAGCGCGGGCTTTCCCGGGCGCAGCGCCGACAGACCAGCCAAGCTGCGTGCTCGAGCTGCCAACCTGCCATCGACGCAACTTTTTCGCCTCCAAACCACTTCATCCATTGCGATCCCGACGCAACACTTCATCGGGCGAGGAGCGGGATGCTGCGCGCCTCAATCCGTAGTAGAGCCCTCACCGGGGCTCTGGCTGCGCGCAGTCAACGCCAATGGCTCATGCTGCAGGTTCGTTCTACGCTCCCTCGCATCCATATCATGACGTGCAAATTGCTCGCATGACGACGGTGCGGTAGCCATTGAGGCTGTGATGGCAGCGACTGACATCTGTGTCTGCAGCAGCAACGATACTACGCTGATCCGCCAGTCAAACAAGACACTACCGCCGGCGTGCCCACTTCTTCAATCAGCCAGACGACCAGGCCCGCCGAGCCACCCGTCATCGAAGCAGAGAACATCCCAAAGCCTCCCCCATCTCCTGAGGAAGTCAGTGTTACAGGCGCGGCACTCAACAAGACTCCCCCCGCATCCACGCCGCTCCCGCCGACCGGCACAGGCTCTGCGTCCGTCGCGCCACCACCACCCCCTCCGCCAAAGAAGACCGGCCGCCTCCGACGGCTGCTTCTCTATTTTGTGATTCTCTCCGCGCTGGGCTACGGAGGAGGCGTGTATGCATCGCTAGTCAACGACGACTTCCACGACTTCTTCACCGAGTATGTGCCCTTTGGTGAGGATGCTGTGGCATATTTTGAGGAGCGTGAATTCAAGCGGAGATTTGCACAGACGAGCTCATCAAAGTTGCATCAGCAGGTGAGGGGTGAGCCAAAGGTAAAGATTGGAAGCCGCTCAGGCGTGTCAGCCTCTGTTGCCAAGGAGCCCCAAATGAGCGACTTGGGCACGTCCGGAAGGCACATGAGCGCGGTGGAGGATAACCATCCCCAGAAGCCTGCCGTGCCGAAGAAGGAACCGGAACAGCGGGAGAATAAACCACTGCCCAAGGATACAGCTCCCTCTGAGACTGCTAAGGCGACGTCGAAGGAAGAGCCAAAGGAGCCAGCGCCTCAGCCAAAGATGGTCGAGACTTCGGCTCCGCCTCCACCCGGGCCAATTCCTGCAATTGACAATGTCAACATCGAGCTTGGGACTGAACCCGTTGTCCAGGACGTAGTCAAGATCATCAACGACATCATCACGGTCATCAACGCCGACAACGCCCAGTCCAAGTACGAATCCACCATCAACACCGCAAAGGACAACCTCAAAAAGGTTATCTCTGACCTGAGCATCTTGAAGGCCACGGAGCAGAAGGCTGCTGAGGACAAGATCAACGCCCTGCACACTGAATTTGATAGCATGGCCAAGGAACTGCTGCGTCGTCAAGACGAGGCCATCCAGAATCAGGAGCTGCGTTGGAAGGAAGAGTTCGAGGCCGAACAAGCCAAGCTGCGCGAGGCCTACGAGGCCAAGCTCAAGGCCGCATCTGAGGAGTCGCAAAAAGTGTACGAGCAGAAACTCAAGAATGCGCTGCTCGAGCAAGCCATCAGGCTGCGCAAGGAATTCGCGCAGCAAGTGCGTGACCAGGTCGAAGCTGAGCGTGCCGGCCGCTTGGCCAAGATTTCCGAGCTCAGCGACGAGGTTGCCGATCTCGAGAAGCTGACTGGCGAATGGAACGCAGTGGTAGACGAAAATCTGAAGACCCAACACCTGCTCGTCGCCGTCGAGGCGGTTCGTGCCAAGCTGGAGAACGCAGACAAACCTGCTCCCTTCATCTCGGAGCTTGCGGCCCTTAAGGAGGTTGCGCAGGACGACCCCGTTGTCAACGCCGCGATCGCATCCATCAACCCCGTGGCATATCAGAGGGGAATTCCAACCACTGCGCAGCTGATCGACCGCTTCCGACGGGTGGCCGCAGAGGTGCGAAAGGCAAGCTTGCTGCCCGAGAATGCGGGCGTGGCGTCCCACGCAGCCAGTCTACTGCTGAGCAAAGTGATGTTCCGCAAAGGCGGATTGCCCGTGGGCGACGACGTGGAAAGCGTGCTGGCGAGAACGGAGGTCCTGCTCGAGGAGGGACACTTGGACGAAGCAGCACGGGAAATGAACGGGTTGAAGGGCTGGGCAGGACGGCTGAGCAAAGACTGGCTAGCGGACGCGAGAAAGGTGTTGGAAGTGCAGCAGGCCCTTGATGTGAGTGCTCTTCGATGGACTTCTCAACACGTCAGCAGCTAACATGAGCGGACACAGGTCATCGCGACGGAAGCACGACTGCGGAGCTTGCTTGTAGACTAGACATTCTGCACAAGACGTCTTTTGCTACTGCGTCGGATACGGGAATGAGGTCATAGCAAGTACTTGAAAATAAAAAGAGGGACCGGTTTCTGTCTGTCGGAAGTGCAGAACGGTGGGTAGAATTCTGTATATCATAGACCCCTGTCTTATAGGTAAATTTTCTTCATCGCGTACATCCACAACCAACATGCGTCGACCACAATGCTCCCTTTGTCCTGCCCTCAACTCCGCCTTCGCTCTTGTTTCGTGCCCACCACCCAGCGTATCCTCATCCTGTTAAAACACTTTCCTTTTCTTAAGGCGTTCAACAGGCAGAACGATCATTTGTGCGACCGGATAACGCTAAGTGACACGCCGGAAACACCACAGCATGCGATACTTGCCGCACTAGAGGTAACTTAAATGTCTTACCTGGGACTTCAATATATAGTCTCGTCTCGTCCGCGTCCCGTTATTGAATCCCACGGCGCAGTGCATGAAGGGACGATCTGGAGCGTACAAAAGCGCAGCGCAACCCTGAACCTCTCTCACGAACAACATACATAGCCCTAGCCAGACGAGCAGGGACAAGCGCAAGACACCAAAACCGTAGCGTAGAGGACCGATACTCCAAGCACACAGGATCTGGACTCGAGCAAAGGCACCGGAGCGCTGTCTGCGCCATGACTCTTGTTCACGGCGCCAATCGTGTGCGCGTGGCCGTCGCGAGCGCCGGACTGAGCGCGGGTGTGGAGCCGCACCGAGCATCCCAGTGCAACGACGCCGGGCGCGGCGCCACGCTCCAAGGCAGAACACAAGGCGTCTTGTCAGCAGAGCGACCTGCCGCGAGGAGTCTACCGACGATATGCGCAGGATGTGGCGGCAGGCAGCCGGTGGCTGTAAGAACATGCGAGCATCCTGGAGGGCGATCACGGACCCGTTTCCGCCAGCCGGATTGCGGGGACGACGTTCTGGCGCTGCGAGCGCGCCCGTTTCTCTTTTTTATTTTGGAGGGGGGCGCCGGCAGCTTGACGAGGACAAGATCCTGCGACGCCACGACGGCCACGTGGGCCAGCGTCGCCGTCGCCGTTCGAGCGGCCTCGTAACAAGGACACCCCGCAACCACGCGCGTGCACCTTCTCTCACCGCGGAACCAGGCTCTGCTGCGAGTGCAGAGATCGCCGATTCGCCCCCGTGCATCCAGCGTGAACCGCTTTGGCGGCACATCCGCGTCGATCAGGTAGGCACATGAACGAGCTGGAGGACGGCAAGACGCGTTGCTGCGTACCCCGTGGGGGCTGGGCGTCTGAGATGCCGTGCGTGGGCGCTGTGCCATGTGAGACCGTGTCCCAGGCCGCGAAAAGGGGCCGTTGAGCAACGGCGGACTTGGGAAGAGACGGAGTCGAGCAAAGGTGAGGGAGGAGGTAGAATAGACCTGAGGGCGCGACTGGCGGTGGGAACCACACCAGAGCCCGTTCCGTAGGCCTACGTCGACATGAATCTTGTGATTCTGGGCCGTGGAGATGGCGCCATTCGTGCGTAAGTGCTCGTTGCCGACCGTCTCTCTCTCGCTCTCTCTCTGTCACTCTCTTTCTCCCTCTCCCTTTCTGTCTTGCTACTTCTTCTCTTTTCGAAAAATGCACAGCAAGAAAAGACATGTGACAGAGCACGAAACGCGCCACGTTCAAAACGACTGCGCCCGGCGCGTCGCCCGACGGAGACAGAGTGCCAGGCACACTCGAGCGAGCCAAAATTAAGGCTTCTCACACGACATGTTGGCCTTTCTGCTTTTTTTTTTGGCTTTGAACGGTGCCGTCGATGCTGACGCCAGACATGCCAGACCTAAAGCGAAAGAGGCTGATGGACCGGCCGGGAATCGCGTAGTGGCTAGCGTGCGATTGGCCTGTCGAACTTAATTGATCTCCAAAGCGCGCTCCGGTTCCTAAGCAGAAGGCGGACTTGGGAACACGATATCGCAGCGGAGCAAATCCTCCTGAGGACAGCCTGGAGCGGCCGGAAGCGCATTGAGCATTGAACGGCTGCGAGCATTGTGTACTGCAGGGCGAAGGAAGATCGTGTCCTTTGGCACCCATCGCGCGAGCCTTGGGCCGCTAAGGCTGGCTGACCGTGCGAGATCTCGATCCATCATTCTCGAAGATAAGCAGATGTCGGGGTAGAGAAGCATGAAGAGGGGGATGCTGCTCGGGTGTCGTTTCAAAAGCTGGCTATGGCGTCGATGGGCATCCACGCGTCCGGCTCTATACATCCGGAGGGCGTCATGCAAAAGAGCGCTGATCGGAACGTGGACATAGACATTGCAAGCTCAAACAACAACGAAGAAAAAAAAATTAATTAAAAATTGGTGCAGTTCTCGTCATGGCCTAGAACGGTTACTCGTGCAAGGCAACATGGCTCTGAATATGACAAGAGCGACTTCTCATACGTATGTCTGAGACAGCCAAGCAGAGGGTAACAAAAGTCTTGTACACTTCACCGATCAATGAAAGGCTTCACAACGTGGCGCTTGGAGAAAAGAAAAGAGAATAAAGAGGATAAAGGCGAAAACCGACGAATGAGGGGCGGCAAAATGTGGTTCGACTGCGGATGGGCGGCAAATCGTGGAGGCTAATCATCCTCGCATCCTCGTAGACTGGGGGGCTGGTTTGGGAAGCTGTGCTGAAATATAAAGATGCATGATCTCTCTATGTGTGTACATGAACTCTATTGTGACGTCGCTCCCACCGCACCGGTACTCGACCTAACCGTCAGCACGCCGGCAATTAGACATTACTTGCACCTTGTCTCGCGTGGTCGTTCTCTCACCGTTTCGGGATCACTTTGGTACTCGGGGAGGGGGAGGGGGAGGGGCTCCCCACGCGGGGTGGCATCCTGTGCTAGACAAGATCTGGTGTTAGATAAGATCAGGTGTGATAGCCGCTGGTTTGAGCGTCGCTGGACCTGGGCTCGTCGTTGTTGGTCTGTCCGCCGTCGTTATGGACGACTGGCGTTGTCGAGCCTTGGCCCTTGGGGTTCGACATGGGCAGCTTGGGGTGTTGCAGCGTGAAGAGCTCGACCAGGGCGAGCACGGGTTCGGGCTGTTAAAGCTCTAGAAAGCCTTGTCCGTAGGTGTTCTTGTTGGATGGTTGTGGTCTTTATTGGCCGCCGTTACACATGGGGGTGCAATGGTGGATGTTCAGGGTGGTTGATGCTTGAACTGTTCTGTCCACGCAACGATCAGGAGGAAGAACTGGCATGCAACGACTCTTGAAGGGGTTGAACTTTGGGGAAGGAGGCTTTTGTTTGGTGAGGGGGCCAAACACCGGTGTAGCACCGTGATTTAAGTACGCCTCCGCTTCATTCTAAGGCGCTCGGTGAGGAGGGTCCAGTCTGGGCTCCTCTCGATCTCAAATCCACTCCATCGCCGGAGGCAGTACGTACCCGGAGGCTGCTTCAAAGTCTCAGTTCACCCGTCAAGGCTGTCTCTTCGGCAGTATTGCCACAACCAGGCATGTTGTTGTACTTCAGATCCTGTAGAAACAGCGCGCGCCTTGTGCCAGTGCCAATGAAATGTCGCTCTTCCGGGAGCTGAAGATCAGGAATCGAGCCACGCGACTATGGGAGCAAGGTACAAGGGAGAAGGTATACGAGTAAGTGTACATTCGAGCAAGGGCACGACGAAGCCATAATAGATAAGAGTTATGCTGCACCCTGGCCAGCTGCTCCACGGTCGAATGTTTGCGGGGTCAGACGGAAATGCAACTACATGTCGTCAGCGGAGGACGATGAATCAAACGGACTGACAAGCAAGGCCACGCTGAGCTGGGGGCGAGGGGGAAGGGGGAAGGCCGAGAAGACACGGCGATGGGATCTGGAGCGGGTGCTCGGGCACGGCGCTGTCGCCCAGACGGCCGGGCCGAGCGCTTGTTTGGTCAGAGAACAAGGAGCCAGAGGGCAGACGCGGTGGCAGCACGGCATTCATTCATGGCCGCGCACGACACGCTGGAGGACATCCAGGCAAAAGGATTGTGCGACATCCGAGGTGAAGGCGCCGAGGGTACATGGATGGTACCGCCAGGCAAGCCGCCGGGCACAGGGCAGCACAGCGGCCACCCAACGGCTGGACGGCGAGCAGATGACACGCATGAGCAGCAGGAGGTGAGGCTCGCGTAAGAGACGGGTGGAGCAAGGCGGACGGCTCGAAGCGAAGGTCATTTCCGCGCGGGGACAGCAAAGGACGGCGGCGGGAGGCTATAGCGGGCAGATGCTAAGAGTCGGGTGGCGCACAGCACGCGGGCACTCGTGTACTTGTCGACGATCAAGGACGCTGGGCCGCGGCGACAGGCGGCGTGGGAGACGGCGACGGGTGCACGACGAGCGCGCGGGCGGACTGAGCAGGACGTGGACGAACGAGAGATCGCAGGCCGGCGACGGCTGAGGCGTGGAGGAAATGTGGGGAGCGACCGGCTGGCCGCGTGCAGAGGGGCCGCGCTCCGGCGTGCGGCGCCGTGGGCCACAGCCAGAGAGAGCGGCGCTGGCACATGCGCGCTGCTGCGGCGTGATCGTCGCTCCGGGCGACGCCCAGCCATCTTGGGACTCTCCAGCGCGTCTGCCAGTCCATCGCCCTCGCCCCGTCCTCGACAGCCCGTCCTGCCTTTCGCCCTCCTCCGGCCCACGCACGGCTGAGCTCGACTGTGTCGGCGTGGATGGGCCATGCGTGCTTGGACCTCGCCGCCTGCGCCATGCTCCTCGCCCTCGCTCTCGCCCTCGCCCTCGCCCTCGCTCGCCCCCTCCAGCACGGAGAGCCGACTGCACGATGACGACGTCGAATCGCTCCAACCCAGAGCCCTCCGGCCGCTCGCCAGACACTCGCCTCGACTCGGATGCGCGGCCGCACCCCACACGTCGTGAGGGCGATGCCCGTCACCATGACACGCCCAGTGTCGTGCATGATGATGGGCGCCACGATCATCCGCTCCCTCAAATTGCCAACATATCCAGTCCTGACACGCCTGGGGGCCCGCAAGGTGGACGAATGCCATCGTCCAGTCCGCATCCAGGAAACACAACGCCTGACTCGCATCTCGAACATGGGCTCCGCGTGGAGAAGCGTAAACACCGCGCTGCCGGCTTCCTGCTGCCCTCCGCTCTGCGCGATGTAAGACGTCATCGCAGCCGTGAGGCCGGCGGTTCCAATGCCAAGGGCAAGGACAAACTCCCTGCCAATGCCACATCTGCTGCCAGTCATTTGGCTTCGCCCGGCAGATCGAGCGGAACGTCGATGCGGAGCTCGCCGCTCGCCCAGGTCGTTGTGAGCCCACGCACGAGCTATGCGGACGTGGGCAGGGCGAGGCCCTCCACGGAGGTAGACAGCAGACCAGCTAGCCTGGCCAGCAGCTCGCAGCCCAGGCCCAGCAGCGAGTACCCGTCCACCGTGGACGAGGCGGTGGCCGGTCAGCAGCATTCGGCGGCCATAGATCCTGCTCAGATTGTGAGCATGGCGCTGAACCTGAGCGAAGGCCGGAGGCGACATCTGAGTGCTGGCCAGCTGCTGCAACACCAGACGGGCGCCGCCAGACGTGCCACCTCCGTGGCCATGCCTTCGCCCGGCGTGCTGCAAGGCAGCTTTCAGACCGCCGGTCATTCTGGCAGCCTCGGCCAGGCTCTGCGCCAGCAAAAGCGAGGCTCCAGGAATAACTCGCCTTCTTCAGGCAAGGGGACGCCGAAAAGGCACAAATCCGTCGTGCAGCCGTTCATGTCGCCCGAGCCGACCTCAGGCTCCTACGCGTCGCCCGACATATTCTACAGGTTCTCTCCGGCGACACTGGCAAGAGTAGAAAAGGCACGGCAGTACATAGAACTGTCGGTGGAGTACAGGCGCTTGCTGGACTATCTTCCTCCCTTGCGTCCGGAGTCTAGCACTTCAGGACAATATGAGCTGGCCACGCACAGCGTGCCTGGTACGCCAAATGTGGAGATCACGCGAAGCCCCACTGCGACAGGCAATTCCAAGCCGGACTTAGGTCGCACCTACGATCCTTTGCAGCTGATCAGAAATCGCAAGCTGCGCATGCGAAGTCGGATCTATCTGAATCCAGATGTCGAGCGGTTTTCAAACATCGACACCGTCAGGAAATGGATTGACGAGGTGGAAGATGTTTCACATCGGCCAGACTATCGTGGCACCGACAAGGTACACCTTCCATTACTTACGGATGACAGTAGCTCCATCATGGCGGTGGCTGGGCATCAGAGAACCGACAGCACAAATCTTCCCAAGCGACAACGGAGCGATTGGTTCTTCACGCCGGCCGAACATCTCGCAGATGCATACTGGATGGAGCAGGACTCCAACAAACGTCTCATTGAGAATAGGCTTGGCAATAAGATCTTCCCCCCGCTGGCGACTGCTGAACTCTCTCAACAAAGAGCAAGCTACGAGAGTCGCCGTAGCCATCGTAGTTTGAAGGGTTCGATCGTCACCTCGAATGGATCATTTGAGCGACAAGAAAATGTGAGCGAGGAAGACAATGACAGCATGCGCGGACGCAGGCAGCACACGCGAGGCCACAAACGAGACGAGAGTAGAGGCCGACTGAAGCAGGTTTGGCAGAAGGCAAGACGCAAATCACGCAGCTCATCCTCCGGCCTCTCGAGCTCCGACGAGGGGCCATGTGGTCCACCCAAGCGCAAGCCTATGCCACGCTTGACATCTGCAGGTGACAACATTGGGTCTTTGGATCTGCATATGAATCAGCTTCTGAATGCACAAACCCCCGAAAAGACGTCAGATCTTGTCTCGCCGGACACACCAAACAAATGGGGTGACGCCGGGACAAAGCCTCAGCTTGCAGATGTGGAACACAAATACTCTGATTCCGATCACATCCCACCGGAAAGCGCCGTAAAGGGCGGCGGCCGAAAGGGAGATGTTCGAACGCCCGATTCGTTGAGAGGAAGACGTCGCGTGGGCAATGAATCACGGTCGTCTTTTGAGGATCTTTACTCCACTGTTCCAAACTCTCCTGCGCTAATCGCGGAAGCACCGTCCATCAGCATGGATTTTTCACCAGCAGGCAGTCGTGCTGCGTCACCCCCAAGGAGGTTAGGCAAGCCATTACTCCCATTCATGCGAACCGAACATCACAAGTCGAGTAAAAAGGGCGCGGGAAGAGACGACGGTCATCAAAGTTCTAGGCAGACCAGCGCTGAAGTCACCTCAAATCCCCGTGACAGTCTCGAGGTGCCAACTACTGTGGATCACCAGAAACTTCTTCGCCACAAAACCAACACTAGTGTGCACGACTTCACGGTCGTCGACGGCAAGGAGCCGAAGGAGCCGAAAGAGCCAAAGGAGCCTCAGTCTGCAGTCCGAAGATTCTTTAAGGGCGGGAGGATCGGAGAGATAGTGAGGAGTGAGAGCACGAAGATGACGGGCCGTGGTCGCAAGCGTGACATGCCTCAAGGTGACGGCAAACTCCATGAGCAAAGTTCCGAATCGGAGTCCATGGATGAATCAGACACCGAGGATACAGAGCTGAACTCGAATAGAGACAGGCCTACTTTGTCACATCGATCTACCACGGGCTGGTCAACCAAGTACAACAGTGATAAGCTTCCATCCTTCCGCTCCGCAAAATTAGACGGAAGGGACCGACGTGGCTCTGATCATATAACAAAACAGCAACGCGAACTCCAAAATAACCGTTCTCCAAGGTTCGATTCTCTCGCACCTCCAGGGCTCGACCTCACTCGCATCAGCAGCAGCACATCGAACTTTGCGGATATCAGTCGCGTGAACACAAAGGCCAGCGAGTCCTCGCGCGAGGACCGTCGCAACGCGCAAGCCTTTGCCTCTCACAACCGTAATCGTTCCCGACTTGGCTCGCGTCTCGAGGCCATTCTCGACGTGCCAGGCACAGTAGTCAGCGGCAATCTTCCGGTAACGGGCCTTGCGGAGTACAGCAACGAGAGACCGCCGGCGCGACCAAGCATGAAGGACAAGCGGCAATGGAGTATCAGCGACAAGCCACGCTCACATTCTCGTGGTCCTCCCGAAGCAACGTTCGACGCAGCGGAGATCGCCCGTGTCAAGGCGCTGCTCTTGTGCTCCGGTATCAAGGCCTCGGTGATTACAGCCCGTGCAGATCGGCCCCGTCTCCCCCAGCCCGACTTCCTAGTCAAGGCAGCCGAGACGTGCAGCACCGAAGTCACTATCGTCAAACGCAGTGAGGAGCACGTGCTCGCCGCTAAACTGCTCACCACACACCTAGAATCCGAGACAAGCGCCCTCCACGAGGACGCGGAGCGCTTCCTGGAGGGACCGGCAAACAGACTAAGGAGGGACCTTGAAGACATAAAGGAGGCGGTGAATCAGTGCATCAAGACGGCGCAGAATCTGGGAGATTCGTGCATAGGCTTTGGCTCTGAGGTCACTGGGCAGAGGACGCTACAAGTTCGACAGGTGGTAGATCAACTGGAGAAGCTCGCGAGAGCAAGGCGGAGGCGACTAAGATGGTTGAGACGATTGGGCTTTGGGCTCGTGGAGTGGGGGGTCGTGCTCTTCATGTGGTGGATATGGCTACTGGTCGTAGTAGTCAAGATGGTCTGGAGTGTGGTGCGCGCCGTGGGTGTGACCATCAAGTGGGTTCTCTGGCTATGATTCGCCCGAAGCCCAAGATTCGCATACTTTTTTCTCTCTCGTTTATTCTTCCTTTCTCTTCCTTGTCTTTTGGGCTACCTTTAATTTTGACTTCATCGAACATATACCCATGATCGAAGCAAGCACGGCGTTTCTGGGTCTTTTGCGGGGGACATATACATCAACAGCGAGCCATAGCCAACCTGCAAGAGAAATAATGATGCTGCTTCAGAAGGCAACTTTTGGCCATGTCTCTGTGCCCGTGGATTGCTCGTACATCACCTGTGCTGTGCTTCGCCATCTCGAGTCTGGTGCTCGTCAGACAAAGCCAAGAACGATGCCCGGGTCCGAAGCGAAACAGGCAATGCGATACTTTGCCCGCGCGCATTCCTCGCTTCCGCCTCGCATGGAAACCATTCTGAAACTTCGCAGGTGAAACCACCGCGGCGCGTCAAGCTCGTTTCTCATGCCGGCCGCCCCGGAGAGCCGAGGTCAGCATCTTTGTTCCAGTACGAACACGGCCGCTCTGTGAATTATTCGGCGCGTGTGCAGATGCAGCCATCTGACCGCCAAACGGTCGAGGTCGCTTGTCTGAGGAGCGTTCAAACCCGCTTCGGAGACCGTCACGCTCGGCACCGCTGCGACAGGAACAGGTCAATGGCGCCGTCACGTCGATCGTAAGACACTGCTCCATGGATGAAGGGCTACGAGTTTTGCTTGGACTAGGTGCTGATCACCTTCTTTGCGACCCCACGGGTCTCCCTTGCGCGGACGAAGGGTTGCTGCCATGTTTCCCGTTCTCTCGTCTCACATTTCTTACTCCCACCTTCCCGCGAGACGGCTGTTTGAATTGCAGGCTTGATCGGGCTTGGGTCCAAACCAACAGGTCCTCTCGCTGAGGTTGGTGCACGATGGACTGCGGATTGTCTTTCTTTCATCTGCTTCTGTGGACGGCGAACAAACCCGCTCACCTTTTTTCGCCAAATGTTCCGGTCACAACACCGCCGCGAGACATTAGAGAATGGCCATCGCAACGTACGAGCAGGTCCCTCTTGGACCGCCGTCGCCCCGAGCCACGGACAAGCATGGCTCCCCGCCAACACCTGTCACGCCGAGCTGTGAGAAAGTGGAGCTGCGGAAATGGGGAAGGCCCGCGTCCAGGCGTGCGAGCGACGAGTTGGGGGAGGACCCGTTGGAACGACTGCAGAGGGACGATTTGGTACGTTGCGTGGCGACGCGTCGGATTCGCGCATCCGCCCCCGTGCGCTCTTGACGTTGACATCGTCCCAGGAGCTGAAGCGACGCATACGCGTTCTGAAGATCGTGTCGCGGGTGACGGCGGCGTGCCTGTCGACCGCCGTGCTTGTGCCGCTGGCGATCACGATACACAAGTTCCTCTCCACCCGGGACCAGTACATGGTCGTCACGAACGAGTCGGCCGGCGGCGAGCCGGTCCGGCGCACGGCCTGGGCGACGCAAAGCGAGACGTGGCCCACGTACATGTACTTCGGCATAGCCGTCGTCTCGCTCGTGTTCAACTCGTCCATCTTGATCGCTTACCTGCACAGCATCCGGTCCGCGAACCGCGTCGCCACGCTCGGCACGGCGTTCAGCGGCGCCGTGTTGGTCTTGAACCTGGTCATCTGGGCCATCACCGTCGCTCTGTACAAGCGTCGTGCCGAGATCACACGGGACGGCAAGCACAACGATCTGTGGGGCTGGACGTGCTCGCCGGCCGCGAAGTTGCTGCAGCCGGCTTTCAAAGAGCAGATCGACTTCGACCGGTACTGCAACATACAAGCCATATCGTGGTACATTGGCCTCGTGCAGGTGGGATCCCTGCTTCTGACCGTCGTTCTCTACGTGCTTGCACTCAGAAGGCTGAGAAGTAAGAAAGCCGTAAGGCAAAGTCTGAGCGCGAGGAAAAATAGCATGGTCAATTCGTGACGATATCGTGCCCTTGAGACGTGAAAGAAACAATTAGCTTAAGAAAAAGGTTCTCTTTCGGTCTGCCTAGGCAAACAATGCTTGAAATATTGGTTCTTTTTTATTTTTTTCCCCTTCTTTTTCTGGGTTCGGCGCGATCGATCTAACCTTGCGAGCTTCTTCCCCTCTCTGATAAACTTGACGCATGTCCATCTCCCGGTTGGTGACGATTGCACACTTTTCTTGCGTCTGTCCAGCGTGAACGAAGACCTTCGAACAGACCAAAGCACTCAAGCGTTACGAAAATTCCATTCATCGTCAAAGTAAATGTGCTCTGCAGAATTTAAAGTGCCGACATGCTCATCACTCGTCGTGTGTTTCAACGGCGACTTCGCCGTTTGCTGCAGATCTGTTTCCTGCGCTTGCAACCTTGGTCGGTTCCGCCGTGGATCCTGACGCGCCACCGTCTATCTTTTTCTTTGCTTGTTGAGTGAGAAGGAACATGTCGTCTTCGGCAGGTTCATTCCCGTAATCCTGCAATGAGATCGTCATAGTGCAAGAAGTCAAGCCATATATGCTTCTTCATGGAATACAGCGTGATGAAAGGTTGTCGGCAAATATCTTCCTCGTTCCAGGGGCAAGTCTGGAGTTCCTTGAGCTGCTTCATCCCTCGGATGACAGCGGATGATGTGTGTTTTCAGTCTGTAAAGATCGGATGAAAAGGTGCATCCATTCCGATGACGCCTCCTCATTTCCTGTGCCATAGAAGACCATATCTGCGCCGTCATAGCACTAAGATGCGTTGATTCTGCGCCAGAAAATGGTTAGCCCGTTTGCAGAAGCCCCCTGCTGTAAAAACACTAAAAATTCGAGCAAAGTCTCCCAAGAGACACAGCTGGGTTGCAAAGTTGTAATATTTCGTACGTGCTCGATCGCTTTCGAGAATCTCGAACATATTTCTTAACGCCACGTAGCTGTCTTTACGGCTATGGGTTCCATTCGGATGACTTACTTTTGCCATCTATGCACGGATTGTTTTGACTGCTTGTTCCGTAACACAGAGGACTGTGTCAAACGGCGGTGCTCCGGCCAGATTCTTCGCTCTCTCATCTCAATATTTTCCTCCGGATCTGGCACATACTTTCCCTGACAGCTTGTCATTCGTATCGTCGCTTTCAGGGGCGCTTTCAACACCTTGAAGCCGCTGCCTTAAGGAATCCGTGTCTGAAGGCTAATCTTTGGCCCTTTTGAAATCATTCGCAGTTACTCGTATCGGATTTACTTTCGGTTCACAGGCCAACCTCTACACAGGTGTCTCTGGCGACGATCCTCTCGCCCTTCTTCGTCAACCAAGTCAATGTATCCTCATACTCTCTGCTGCAGACCGTGTTTCAATACCGAGGAATTTATTCTGAGCTCTCATGGATGGCATGACTTTTTTGTGTCGTAATACTTGTCTAGATGGGTTTTGTTCTCTGTTAATCTGGAGGAGATGCTCAGATGGACCAGTAGAGAAATGCAGTGTAGTGTCTTTTTCTAACTTGACACGGTTACCTGCCGACATGCGCTGGAGTCGTGGCTTGGATAAACTACGCCGCCTATTGCATTTTCAGCACACATTTAAAATGTCGTAAATGTGCATAAAAGGAGCACACCGCTCTGTGTTGAAGTTAACAAGGACATTGCCGGACTGTGAACTCCTTTCAGAAGCGATAAAACAAATCACGATCATGTCCGGGCAGCAGAAATCGACAGAATCAACAGTAAATTTGGTTGATACAATTGCTACGCCTGCATTGACTCCCTGTGACTTGGTATCTATTTTCCCAAAAACTCTCCAATAATGGACTATATTCATGGTCATTAAAACTTTTACAAATGCATCAAAGCTCAGTATTCGTGATACGCGGCTTTCTTGGTTTCTTGGCCATGGTTGTACCCTTGTTGCGAAAGCGGCGAAGTGAAATGAGTTGTCATCAACGTGGGATTTGGAGCCGGCGTCACCGAAGGTGTCACAAACGGCGTGGAGTGCTCGCTATGGGCCTCTGACGCTGCAACTTCGTTGACAGGTAGTTCAACCGGTAAAATCCCCTGGTAATTCCGAGCGTCCAGCTCATGGCCGAGTGGTTTGTGTTCGGAATAGAGCTCATGCTCAATTCTTGTGCCTTCGGTTTCGTGAACAACAGTGGCATCCCCGTCAAGCTGCGCAACCTTCTCGCGTTCCTCGCGCTGCCGCGTCGAGTCAAGTTCGTGTAGTTCCTTGGTATTTTGCTGCCTTTTCTTGAACACACAGAACCAAAGGACCAGTCCAAGTGCAATGACTATGATAGCCGCACTTCCTACAGCAATTCCAGCTATCGCTCCTGTGCTCAGGGAAGACGAGCTTCCAGCACCTGCAACGATTGCAAATTTAGCTGGCAAAGACACAATATCCTCCGCTACATCACTGCCAGGATAGGCTGCTTGATAAACAGAAAAGTTGAAGTACTCATAATTGGCCACCACGTACGCATTTTGAAAGAACGCGCGGCCTAATGTATACTCAGAGCTGTCGTTTGCACGTTTCAGAGGAAAATATCGGCCTCCGCTAGGCGAGAATGGCGCCTGGGACTCCAGATCAAATGCTCCGTAGGGCATGTCGATTTTGACGCTCTCACCACTAGCTTGTGGACCCAGAGTAAAAGTCACTGTGGGATTCTGCTGCTGTAGCGCTGTGTGTAGAGTATCTGACACCAGGTAAAGCTCCGCCTCGGCGTCGTAAGTCAGATTAAAGGCGGTTTCAAAAGCTTGACAAACAGATACAGGGAGCCAGATCGTAGGGATCGCGGAGTCGAGAAACGCGAAAATAGGTTGGCTCAGAAGTTTTGTCGATCCGGTATCGATACTCTGTATGCTAACAAGGAGATCCCTTGAGATGTCCGCTCCCATAGTAAAGCTGACGTTGTTTTCAACAAATCGACTTTTGTCATATCCTCCTAGAACCAAGCTGCCAGAGATCGACGGGTTGTTATTATAGTAGCCGGCTGTATAGCCATACGTCAATGATGGAATCTTTGACTGGTTCTTCAACAAAGTCATCATGCTTGGTGTACTCTGTGTTAAGCTAGTAAAGTTAACCGCCCAAGGATTCAATGGCAGTCCTCCCAGATAGAAGTCTTTCGTAGCGATGCCGGCGATGATCGAGGAATTCAAACTAGGCAAGTTGTCGCCCGGCCAACCCAAGGTCATAGTATCATATCCGTATATCCCATTGCCAGAATATCCTAGAGGTGCTTCCGCGATCAGAGACAACTCATATAGGCCTTGCTGTTCCCATGTACTTGTGCGGTTGATTAGGAAGAGAGAACCGCGGCTATCTCCGCAGTTCGAAGGATCGCTAGAGGTGCAGCCTTCTGGGACGACGGTATATATGGCACCCTCTTGGGTCATCGGAAGAACTCTGATCTGCTGGGCAGGCGTGCCCACTTGAATCCCAAAAGAGCTCCATTTGCCGTCAATACCATCCCTAAGTCGAATGTTAGGTTTGCACTGCTAGTCTCTATCACGGCGGTCTACCTACCAGTACTGTGTGGGCGGTACACTGATGGGAGAGACCGCTTTCGCTGAATCTGCAGCATTTGTGCGTGTTGACAGGATTGCGGCTAAGATCGGCCACAGTCTGGGCCTCTTCGGGAGGAACATAAGGAGGAAACGACCGTGCTAATCTGCTGCATGTAGAACAGAGAGAGAACAAAGATGAAGGACCGCGCCAGCAGAAGTTCAGGTCGACCGTCAGCTTTGCATTCTCGGCATTTAGAGTGCGCTGGGCTCGGGGCATCTGCTGGCGGCGTTCTAGAACCATCAAGCTATAGACTCAAACGAGAGCGTTGTACTTGTAGATCAAACATCCGGGTTAAGAAACAGGTGGCGAATGGTCTTGCGTCTTGTGTTCTTATTGAGGCCTGGAGACGGATATACCCAGCCTATGATAAAGGATGCTTGAGGTTTGGCGATACGAGGTGTCCATCGCTCAACGCCGAGATTCCTCCAGCGCTGTTTTTATTGGTTCGTGATACGAGCAGTCAAGGCGTTCGCTGCAAGGCAACACATGGCCATCAAACGATTTCCGCACAGGAATCATAGAATATTTTCGAGGAAGACAAATCCAATGTACCATTGAAAAACGTCCGAACAATGGTCATGGATTGAGCATGCCATGATACTTCGCCAACTTGTTGTCCTTTTAGACTCGGCCCTTGTCTAATCACAGTGCGAATTTCGATTCAGCAGAGAACGTATTTTTCAGGTGTGCTGGGTCTCTTTTCTGAGTTTCCATGTCCGTTTCTTATACGTGTGCTTGCTGTGAATGAACGTAGGATAGATTTATATCTGGATGCGGTCCTGCCCTTCGGTCCTACTTCTCCGCCTTCATGGCATGTTGCGCGTGCCGTGGATTACGCCTGCACAATTGCGAGCATTATGGCGGGATACAAAGCAGTGTAGCAAATGCTTGAGACCATAGGGCTGCAGATGAACGCTGTGCTTTCGAATAACTCTCGCGCTGTATATCTTCTTTCTATGTTCCTGCTTTACCCTCTGCGTTCTGATAGCAAATCCCTCTTTACATCATGAGGCTTAATCCATTGGACGGTGTAATCCGCATTTGAGGGGCAGTTTTTAAATTACTACAGTATTGCTTCAATTCACTTTGGCGCTGTGTCCTCATGATCAGAGGCACAACTCATTCTTGGACCTCGTTCTCTTCTGCCTCCGATTGAAATAGAGTCAGGATGATGTGCAATCCACTTCGACAGGTGCATTGGCGGTTTTGTCTGCCGTTATCTCGAATTTTGTCTCTTTAGACCAAACGGGACAGAGCCAACATGAAATAGACAGGATCACTTCCACGTAAAAATGGGATTGTGGGACTCAACGTAGGACACGAATACTGCAGCGTTGCAGCGATAGCCATGCACAATGGTTCCCCATCTGACTTAGTAGGCCGACACCGTCGTCATAATACCTGTGCAAGCTTCAGCCGTGGCTTCGAACATGCTCTTTATTGGTCAAGAGAAGTCGTCCGCGATGCTGGAGTCCCCTGTAAAGAATGATTCAGGAACGCGTCCGAGCAAATTAAACGCGTCGTGGGTCGCAACATTGACATGATTGTAAGTTCTTGTTGCCTAAAAAATCGTAAATATCAGCGCTCGGGAAGCTATTCAAGATTCTTGCAACCGGTTTGACGATTTTCGCTCAGCATGTCGACAGAGATCAAAAAGAGAGGCCGTCCGAAGAAGGTGGTGAACGAGGTGCCGCTTTCTGTGGAGGATTCCCCGAAGCCGGCGAGCGCCAGATCGAGCAAGACGTCGGTCGCCAAAAGTTTGGCATCAACATCATCGAAAACTGCGGCAGTGAAGAGCAATGGGATCGGCAAGACAAGCAACGCCAGGAAGCAAGTGTCAGAGGATATATCGCAACCCGAAAAGGACACAGAATCCGTGAAGAGCTTGCCGGCCAAGTTGAAAGAAGACGCACCAGCTCCGCCGACAGTTATTCAGGCGATCGCCATTGAAGAGTCGAGGATCCTGAAAGAGTTGGCGCAATCAGAGAGCAAAAAACAACGAAAGCCAGTTCATAGGACAAAAAAAACGGCCATTGTCTCGAAGTCGGAAGTAGCAGCACCTCCTGCACAAGAATCGACGACGACGGCGTCCTTCCTCGAACCGACAAACACGTTGGCAGTGGGTCTGCCGATTCCTACCTACCAATCCACCATGCAAAACGTCGGTCATCAGCCGCTTTGCCTGCCATGGCTACCAAATCCATCCCAACTGCGACAGACTGCTTACCTGTCAACGACTACTACAATGCATGCGGCGAAAAGGAAGCTGCCTTCCGTTAAGGAGGTCAACCGATTTGTCGTGGCGGAGCAATCGTCGCGAGGCGGTCCAGGCAGTGGTGCGATAAGATCACGAGCGCAGCAAGCTGCTGAGGAGACACGGGGAGGTGGTGCACAGTTTACCCAGCCAGGCGAGTTGCCAGCGAAATATAAGCCGGCGTTGAGAAGGGTTCAAGCAATCATAGTGGCATTGCCTATCGTAATTGTAACAAGTTACATGCTTTATGAGCGATGTCAGTAGCGCCTTTTCTTCGCGCAGTGCTCGGGACTAACATTCCGCAACAGTAGTCTTAGGGGTTGAGCCAAAGAAGCTGCCTCGATTACCATCAGGCAGCGAGAACAGGACTCCTCCATCATCTAAGCCCTAACCTCCGCGCAGGCTTAATAAAATCATGTATTCCACGATCCCAAGTCTAGGCGAGTATCTAGATCATCATTGATGCCATGTTAGCGAAACACATATGCACCGCAATGAGATATATGCCGTTTATTCTCGTTGAGAGCTTCGCACAAAATGCTCGCTTATTAAAAATGCTCGAATATCCATCAAATTGAACCCGATTCTCGAACTGTCTTATTTTTGATACGGGCGTGGCAGCTTTCACTAAAATTTTATGTTCCCCCAGCTGTGCTTAATTCACACCATGCGCGGCGAATATCCGTACCACTAATGCGTTAATTTCACACAGGGTGGTTAAGCTGAGCAGCGCGGCTGGCTGGTTTGACGAGTTCAACCGTGTTGAGTCTTCAAGTTTTAAGTGTGAGGATGACAGTGATGACTGCAGTTTGTCCGAGATGTCTATTGGCAGAAGAGAGTCTGTCATCCAGTCATCCGGCGGCGGCCGGCCTAACGCCTCACAAGTCATTTGAATCCATTTCGTGGGTGTGACAGGTGTCCCGCACCTTGATGACGGCGATGTTCGAGTTTCGTTTTGACTAGCGATCCTCTGCATTGATGATGGTACAGAAGAACATTCGGATGGCGCTAATAAAGTTGGATCGGCCAAGAATGCATTGTCGCAGTTCGGGCAAATGCTCGTGGTTTGATTGTCCGTTACCAAGTCCATTGACGTTCTAATTGCAGGGAGTACTCTATTAGTTGTAGCACAATTGCTCATCTCGGTGAAGGGCTTTCGCGTAGCCCCCGAAGCGTTCGACGTCTCTGCTACTACTATGCCTAGCATGCGTCTAACGGTGGACTTAACCAAATCTATTGCCAAATCTGAATTAAAGATGTCGTGCTGCTTTGGCTTGGAGAATTTGGGATTTTGCGTCATGGCTAAATCTTGGGATGGAAGCGCGAAGAAAATCCGATCTGATAAGGATTCCGGAGTTTCCGCAGCGAGCTCCAGGAATTTGTTCGTTAGATCGGAAACGACTTCTCGGACGTTTTCAAGCCTAGACGATAAGCCCTTGTCTGCTCTCATTGCCTTGATCGTGATCGTGGACAAGATCCAAAAGAGCCAAGCCACCGATGCAGTCTTGTTGTTGTCCAGGCAAACCGGTACACATGAATCCAATGACGAGGTTGTTACACTCGACTTGAAGCTTCTGGCTATTCCGCAATCGAACGACTTGCCATACCGGCGTTCTAGGAAGAAAAGGAACAGAACCATAATTTTCAGACGCTCGGAACTCCAGATAGAAGGCGATATAAAGTCCAGAGATGACCATAAGTGTTCAAATTCAGCTCCAGAAGCCGATAGGAGCTGGTTGCGACACCAAAACATCGCATTCAATAAATCTTTATGATGTTTTCTAGCGAGCACCATCCATATCTGCTTTATGATCATTCGAACCTCTTCCAGGAGTCCCTCTTTGCGTTTGTGATCTTCGTTCAGAATGTGACGATTCATTCGTAACAAGCCGAACGCATAGGCTCGGAGGATCTGGTAGTCAGCATTGAAATCCAGTTTCAATCGGTCCTTGCTCATAATGTCACAAATCTCGCTCAAATGGGAAACTCGGTCGAGCTTTGGCAGCTGCTCAAAAGCAATACCACGGTGAGTTCCGGCAGCCACCAAATCCCCTTGCTTTGTGCAGATGTCTGCCAAAAGCATGTGAATAATGGGTCTATTATTCTCCCCGTAGATATCTAAAGCATCGTTAACGTAGCTTTCCAGCGTCATACGCGCAGTTTGTAGCTCGAGTGGTGTTTCAGCGACGCGTGCACAGGCTTGAAGTTCCCTGAAGGACAATTGGTGACATCTTCCGCAAGGGCATTCCTTGCCAAGTTCCAACCGTTTCCAAACGTTGTAATGCAACTGGAAGGCAGGTTTTGACATCGAAAATACCGAAAAGATGTCGGCCGCATCTCTCAGAGAGCAAATGTCATCCCATGGTAAATCTGATATCTCGTGGGCGAAAAAAGCCGACCCTTCGAAGTCGTTTGGCTTGGACGGTACAGAAGAGCATTGGAACACAACTTCCCTGTCCCTTCGAGAAGCTCGCAGCCTTGTTTTGCACGACAAGTCGAGCGTGCAACCTTTCGATGTCGCACTGGTAGTGTCATGTCGTGTGTGTTTCTGATCTGGTTTCGCTGCGGATGTAATTGCTTCAGCGAAGCAAGCATCATATGAGTCCCTACCAAGGGATGGCATCGCGAAAGAAGTGTCGTCATATTTAAATCTCTTCGTTGATGCAGGAGAGCCTTGCGAGCTTAGGCTTGCTGGTCTCTTGTGAGTCAAATCATTGAAGAGCTGAGCTGAAGCCGCCGACGGGTCACGTTCGTTGAGCGAAACACTCCCAGATAAGAACAGCGCTTTCTGGTCGACATGAGCTTGTGAACCCCACGCAGAACCGGTTTGATCAAAATAATTATAACGATCGCACGTAGCTGGCACATCCTTATTCTCGAAATCAGGTATCACACTGGATTTCGCTGTCTCGTCAAGTCTCCAGCCTTGATCTTCAGAAGTTTCATTTGTGCGCGCGTCCAAATCTTGACATTCAGCATCTGGTACTCCGTCGTTTCGAGAATCGTTATCTCGGACATGATCAGCGTGCCGTCCAGAACTTCGGGTCTGTCGGCTCTCAGTAAGCGTCGTCTTCCAAATAGTATAGATCCTGTATTTGTACTGATGCAACCTGCCGGAGTCGGTCAGTATCGACTCGGGCTGTTCTTGTCATACGTACTTCGCAAAGAAATTATGCTTGTCCTGCATATATTTCCGAACATGTGCCAAGCTGCCTCTTTGGCACTCTCTTAGAATAACCTCTTTGTGCTCATCCCACACTCCGCTATCTAGGCGGTTGTTTCGTGGCTGGACGGGATTTAAACTCCACACATAACGGTTAGAGCTAGTTGCCATCGAACCTTCGACACCACGAGGCTACTCGTCAGGCAATCAACATGAGTTTTACGTGAAAAAATAATATCAATAGAAATTTCATCGAACATGTGTTCTAGAGTAAAGGGAAACAATGCCATTTTTTAATCATCCGTAAGTGCTTGAGCTGAAGCTAGATTGAGAAGTGCAAGTGTTCAATCCCGGCGTGTTGGCCCCGACTCGCCAACCTTACAAGCCCAGAGGATAGGGTATCTTCTCACATTGCATGTTATTCGACAATCCTTTGCAATCATTGGTGCCACCACGGTCGACTGAACGACCTTTCTGATGACAAGCCTTCGAACAGTCCAAACTCCTATCTAGGCAAGTGGAGCAAAAGACCACTCACCGGAAGATTGGCTGGCAAGGATGATCGTTTGCGAATTGATTGCAAAAGCGACAAGGCGCCTGCATGTTCGGACAGACAGCGGTCGTCCCGATTTCATCGCCTCGTCAGCCTTTGTGGCTACGCTTTGCTCTAATCCGGAAGAACCAGCCATATCGTTTGTGAAACTCGACAGGTCGGTCGTCAAGCCCAACGCCGATCCTTACCAAGAACCGCACCTTTCGTTGTCGATCTTTCGAACGCGCATGGAAGACGAAAATAACGTGGCTTTCAAGACGACTCGTATGTCCTTGTAGGGTTCGACTTTGAGGCTGAAAATACGCGGAACGTGCCGCTACAGTGCGGTCGGATTGTACCGATTATTCATGAGCCAGTATTCTTGCTGTAGCGATGCTCGAATCCGAACTCCTTTTTCTCCCATTAATTTGGCTGACCTCTTAGTAGTAACGCCTATCGGCTCCTACTACAAATATCGTCATATCCAATACGACACCAGTCAATAACCAACAATGAACATAAGCAACTGCAAGCACGGTACCAAAGCCAGCAGCAGGAGGATGCTGAATATCGAGACTTAAGGCTTCTCAATCGCCTGCAGAGACTTATCCAGGCTAAAGATAATGAGCACATCCAGTCGATTCACTCTTGAAAGATGGATTATATAATATGCTTGATTGCCAAGAGACTCGGGTTAGACAGATATTCTTGATATGCTGATGCGATACGGCTGTAAATCAATTTATCTTTATAGCCCCACCGCACTGTACTCCATATCTCAAGCTGTAACCTGCAGGCTCGACCTGTGCCCTCGACGACCTTTGAAATTCCAGGAGCATGCAAAAATTTGTTCCACTTGATGGCATTCTGCTCGCTACGAAATCATTATCGTCAACCACGTTCTAGTTCTAGGTCGCCCTGAGCACCAAAGTCTCCAAAGGCAACGTGACGGATCATTCCAAACACCTCATGGTCATGAACGCCTTTTACAAATTGACGTCATTTCCGTCGTTTCGCAACTAGAACATTCTCTGGCTTCGTCCTTGTTTCGATAGCCAAAGTACCCAGTGCCTCGGACCTGGTGTTCGAAACGGCGTCAGATGAATCCAGGCAAGTGCTCGGGCCTACCCTAATCCGGCCAGAAAATGATATGTATCCAAAATATTTTTGCAAAATCGAGGGGCCAAATTTGAAGTGTGTGCTCTTCGCATTGCAGTCGCAAAACCCATCGCAAGACCCCAAGTGGCGTTGCCAAAGGAGTCACGCGGAAGTAGCTTGTACAGTGCGTGATCTGTGCACTAGACACGGTCGGTCTCTTCAATTTCCAAGCGCTTAGGAAGTAATTTTTTGTTATCCCTAACTTTTTGCCTTCAATACTCGGTCGTGGAGCAAGCAGAGAACGGCAGAGCCTCTATTAGCGAGCGGTATGGAAAGCCCAATAGCTTGTTCGCAAGCGTTGGTGCACCTACTCTAATGATAGAAGATAGGACGGTCATGAGGGGCATCCTAACACATTGTTGCCAAGCCTACTCCTCAGCTTAAACCATTGCAGAGGTACAAAACATAAATAGACAAAAATCCTTGATCCCTGAAGAGCGGCACATGCTTAAGCCATTTGAACTGGTGCAGACGTAAGATTGGTTTTAAAACCAAGTCGGCCTTTGCAATAGACTTCGCTGCTGCTGGGTGATTTGCTACCCATCTTGACGGTCTAGAGCGTGTGGAGCTTTTAAATCGCTTGTGGTAATTTTTATTTCCTCAGAGAACGCCAACACTTTATCCGTCATGGAACTTGCTGTGGCTTCGTGTTAAGTCAGTTTTGTGACTTTGGATATTTCAGTCACACCTGTGTAACCACAGCGTACGTAAGGGCATGCAAGAGCAAGAGCATGAATCAAAAGATTAGCACGTGAACTGAGGCTCCATCCCTACCGCACCTCAGAGATGTGGTCGTCAAGCATGTTAAACTCGCGACAGCAAAAGCGAAGAATATTCAGTTTCCACGCGTCAAAGGTATAGGTGAAAGCGGACAGTATTTTTTTGCTCGAAATCTCTCTCATGCCTGCCTGATGTCTCTGTAGTGGCTCTTGAGCTGGCTCATAGATCTCCAAGTATCGTTTTAGCGCTCTCCTTGCCCGGATCCCCGCCATTTGTCAAAGATAACGGTTCGTTTTGCGATCTGAGCAGCTCTGTCTATGCGATAACTTAAGAACCTGAAACCTTGTTTCTCTAAGCTTAGGCCAGGCGGGTGAGCATTGCGTCGGCGCGTGGCGACATCGTAACAATCACCGTCTACGCTGTATTGGACCAATAGAAGTGGCGGCTTCGAGCGCGTAGATGGTCGTCTACGGTTGCTTGACAGTAGAATAACCCAAGATGGGCATTCGACTTGTTGGACTCACCTTTCACCGTATGGAGCGTTCAGAACATAAATAGAGAATCAAACCCCGTCAGTGAAAAGATTAAGAGCAGAAAAATCCTGATATTTTCCCCTCATCTTTCAAAATGTCACAAGGCCATGCATTTGGTAAGCCTTGATTCCAAGGTTCAACCGTGTTCATACTGTTTACCGTCTCCAGAAACCCACCAGCAGCAAGCCCAGTCGATTCATCAGCAACGCAACGGCCAAGGCCAGCAAGACCAGAACCCCATGCAGAGATTTCTTGAGCAGAGCGCGAAGCAGGATCACTGGTCTGGCGTTGCAGCTGCCGAGAAAGCTAAGGAGCAGCAGGCTGCACGTAATACTGTATGTATAACATGCTCTGTGCCGTTTAACAATTTGAACTAGGCTGATGGCATTTAAAGCCCAACTCTGTCTAAGCTGCCCCATCCCCTCTGCCTACGTAGTTATGAGGAAAGCTTTGGAAATGGTTTAAATGGTCCTGCCTCCTGCTCTCAATAGTATTATTTTCGAATATGCTGCATCCTTGAATCCTTTACATCTCACACACATATATTTAAGAGGAGCTTTAACGGCCTTGAAGAAGCTGAGAGGAGGAAACCGTCCTTGTCGAGTTGGAAGGCAATTTAGGTCGAATCATCCAAGCATGATCAAGTCGGTCCCAAGATAAGGAAACGGCCACAAGTCCAGGGCTGGGGTGTAACATCTAATCTTTGTATTTGTTCGATGCAATTCTAATTCAACTTCAATCCGATCATTTTCCACACAAACCTGGTTTCTTCATTTCTTGATGGCTAGCCATGCGATCCTGGATATCTCAAACTGCCATAACAAGTTGACAAAGGGAAAGATTAAAATGACCGTTGAGGAGGAGAAAGCGATCTGCAGCCTGCCTGTGATATATATTTCAAATATTTCCTCCGAAACAAAAAAAATCGAGGTATGTCTTTTGTGATAAAAGTATTCACAAACAAAAGATGCTGGCTGGTATTTCGTTGCGGTCAGTGAGGATACATCATCTCTGTTCTGGCGCTCGAAGACTCCTGACGCCTGTGCTCATGGTCCGTTTCATGCGCTTGAGCATTCCCCTAGTGCCACTGATGTCGATCTTCAAAGGCGAATGATGACTTGATCTTCTGGAAGAAGGCCTATGAACTTCGCTTGCGCCACTGGATCGCCGGCCTCTCGTTTGCGGGAGGTCCGCCATCTCGTCGTTTTGGATGTCATCGGTTTCAGTGTGGTAAGTGCCAGCAGTCGAGGGCCGTGAGTCCGGAGCGCCGTGGAACATACGTTTGTACCTACGCTCTGGCGAGCTTGGCTCTCGCAGCGTGTGGTTTGATGCGGATGGAACTACCAAGCGGGGAGTCATAGATATTGAACTTTGACTATTTGCCAATCGCGAGGAGAAGAATGGTGTGGGAGGTTGGCTAGCCGAAGGGAACAGTACTTGTCGAGTAGAAGGCCAAAGTTCCGGCTTCTGGGCATATTCTTCGTCGGATGAATATGAATCCGTCGTGCCTTCCATGTAGTCCGAGAATAACTGAGTGTCTGGATCATCTTCCGCACTCGAGGATAAGAATTCACCACCCGCGGCTTGGAGCATGGGCGACTGGAAGGTCACGTTGTTTCGTGGCACCGATTTCTTCGGCGAGTGCTTGTAGCTGTGCCCGTCGATAAGCGATCTGGGTCGTTTCACTGCTGCTTGATCAGGCTCTACTGAGCTATGCGCTGGGCGGTGCAACGTTCTGTTCGACCGTATGACTTCTCTCTCGCCATTTGCGCTTTTCCGTGGTTGGTAATGCGTGCCTATCGTGTTCAGTCGTAGGTCGACCTGGCTAGGTGAAAACACAATTCTAGAACGTAATAAGGAGATGGCTTGATCCAAAGCAAGTTCTATCGCGCAATGATTCTGTATCCGGCTCAGCTTGGGCCATGTTGCCCTTTCGCCGCTGAGCATTGCTTCGAGCATGAACTCCGCGGTCGGGTTCTGGAGAATCTTGGGGAAATGTGCGTATGATATCTCCGGTAGAATCGTGATATCTCCAGAGTATTTTTGGCTTAGGACGGATTGTGCTTTTGTGAAGTAGTTCGGAAACACTCCAAACTCGGCAAGTACGTGCATCCGGTGCAGTGCTTCGCCGCGCGCCAGATCTGCCATTGTGTGTAGCCAGCCCGGACCAGCATTGACGGCGCTCGGAGATGCTAACTCTGTCGGCGAGGCGAGCAGATCCCTTGACAAGAAGGGAACCACATGTGGGTTCACTTGGGACACGATAAAGTGGTTGACATTGAACATCTCAGCCAGTCGTGTCATGGGTAGATCGCTATCCACAGAGCCATCGATCCACTTCTGCGGAGAAGGGTTCCAGTCGACGATGCTGCCAGTTTTGGGATCCTTTGCGAGCAGCTGTGCGGGCGAGAACACCAGCGGAACCGAGCACGAGGCCGCTACTGCGGACCAGATGATCACGTTGGGAGCAGTGATGTAGTTGAGCAGCCGCGGCAACTCGTGCACACTCTCGCTCGACACCGAGATGTTCAAAATTCGTCGTGTCCGGTTGTAGGCCTCTTGAAAAGTTATATCGCCGATCAGGCCCCGAACCACGCGGATCAAGTATGTGATGTCGAAGACCGAACCGTGTTTCATGAGACGCGCGGCCATGCCGATGAAGCCCTTTTCCTTCTCATCGTGTTCGAAGACGACAAAGTTGCCGCTGCAAAACTTTTCCATGATGTCAGGAACCTCGTCATCTGTCTTGGTGCACAGGACAGCGCAGATGATGCTGCCCGCGGACGAGCCAGAGATGATTCGAGGCAGCAGCTTGGCCTCCCACAGTGCCTTGATGACACCTGAATGATACATGCCAAGTGTGCCTCCACCCGATAACAGCAAGGCACTTCTGCCAAACGCTTGTCTCGTCTCCAGCAGCTGATCCAGGATATAGCGTGGTTCTAGTGCCGGTTGCTTGTCCGACAGTTCAAGCAGTGTGTCCAGCGTTTCCTGGGCGCTCTCGATGTACCGTTCGATGAGGGCCTTTGTGCCAATGTGTGAGTGCTTGTACAACCTGAGATCGCCCATCCCCCCCAATCCGCGCGTCAGCGAGGTGCGGATGAGAAACAGCATTTTCTTGACATCGCAACTGATCCTCGCTTCGTCAAGCTGCTTCAGCCTTGCTTGTACGAGGGCGACGTCATACTCGCTGCTCTCCGTCTGCTGTTTCCACGATTCGTTGCCCTCGAGCACGTCGAGTTCACATGCTGCGCTCTTCCAGCTCTCGTAGTCTTCCGCTTCTTTCAGCTTGAAATACAAAACCTGCCGCCGATCTTCTTTCTCCTTTTCCTCTGGCAGCTTTCCCGGTGCGTCTGCTCCCTTGAAAACGCTCCATGCTTCTTGTAGAGGTCGCGTGGGATGCCGGGCCAGATCGACGAGCGGCGACAGGAAGCTCGCCGTGCTCTGGGTCTTGCGCAGCCCAGGCTGCTGCCTCTGCTTCGTTACCTCGACATCTTCTCGAGGCGACTTGTGCAGCAACGCCGCGCCGGCAGGCTGTAGAAGGGACATCTGCGTCGCGGGGACCGCGGATCCATGCGAGGGGGGGGTCTCTGCGGCTTCGGAGGGACCACGATCAAAGTTGCCGCCAGAGAAGGCGACTGTTTACGGGTCCCAAGAGCCAAAGGCAGTCGCTTTTGGAGACGGCGTTGCAAGAATGTCCGCAGGCTTGTCCCACGGCGACCGATCACGCGCGGGCGGATTATTTATTTCTGGTGGGAAATGGCCGGACGGCGTTTCCGCGATTTAGTGTGTACCAGAAGGTACGAGCAATCGCTCATGCACCAAACTTGGCGCAGATGACGTCGGAATCTTCAGCTGGAAACGATGATACAACAACGCACGAGACAAAGCGCAGAAGGCGTCGAGAGAAGCGTACGGCAGTCTTGGACCAGAATACAAGCGTGCGATAGGTTTGGCAGCTGAGAGCGCGTGTACATTTGGCTGCCTTGTAAAAGGGATGGTCCCAGGTACGTATCTCTCGACCGGAGGCAAGTGACACGTCTGGGACTGAGACAGGCATTTCGTCCTATGACGAGCGATGAGAGGCATGACCTGAGAAAGCCGGGAAATCCCACCAACCCAGCGTTCTGGAAGACCCGGGGATCGTTCTCACACAAGCCCGCGTGATGTATACCCAGCTGAAAACCATGCACGCGGTGTGTGTGCGCGCGTGCGTGTTCGTTCATCAATAACCGGAAGTGGTTTCACGTCGTGAACACCCCGTCCGACGTCGTACTTGGTCTGCCGTGCGCTGGGCCAGTATTCCTGCTCTCGCGCGAAACTGTTGAGGAGCATGAGCGTCTGTCCCTGACCTGAACGCACATGGGCAGAGATAATGGTACATATGCACATCTACCAGTACAAGGCCACCACGTTCCCGGCACCAGGCACAAAATTCAAGGTACGTACTCTGCTCGTACGGCCATCCCGAGAAACCCCTATCAGGCACTGCGCTCCGTAAGCAGGACCGAAGGGGATGGGCAGGGAAAACTGCACTCTGAGCGTGTGACGGCGAATTCTCGATGCATGTGCGAGCCAGTGCAGGAGTCCAGGACGTCGTCGGTTGGCTGATCCACATCGCCGGGAAAGGCGATCGCTTGGTGCGGGTACAGCTTTTTCACATGTTCGTATGCGATTTTGTCTGATCTAAGCCGTGCACGAGACGCGCGACCAGGCCGCAGAGAGTATTTCTAACTCAGTTCTTCTCTGGGTGTGTTGCATCGGAGTCCTTTTTTTAGAGGCATAAGGCACGTATTGCCATCCTCGACTCGAAAGGATCAGGGACTGTACGTTTATAGACATACACGTCCTGTGGCCGGGCTGAGGCCAGGTTTGAACTAAAACGAGCAGAGCTGAGATACGCCCTTTCTGATCTCCATTCACGTTCGGAGGAGTTCGTCTCTACCATCTAGACCATCGTCCCCAAACATTTCCTCTCAGTGTAAAAGCTAAGGGTCACCAGAACGGCATGCGTTGCAATCGCAACTCGCCGGACGAACAAAACCAATAAGTACCCAAACCATCTCAGCAACCCTCTTCTTACCTTTCAAGCCCAGAACCGTAAGTGCGGCACAGTCCCTACAATTTGTGCCAAGTGCGAAGATGCGAATGCCATAACAGTTCCATGGATCAGCTCTCAGGCCAGCACAGAAGAAATAGTTCAAAAGCGGCTTTAGGAATCGATATAGAACACGGAAGCAGCTGAATCATCGGAGGCCAGACAAGAAATCGGGAAGTGCAGCTCTTGCCAGTCTACCGCGCCAATTTATGTACCAATGGCGGGTTCATTTCGTCTACCCGTCTCTCGCATACGTTGAACAAGTACTCGTGGGAGGCCTTTGATGATCTATTCATTTATTCATTTTTTTTTTAATTTCCAGAAATTACCTCTCCGGCCATTTATTGAGTTCGAGATCGGGGGGGATCTCATCGGAAGCTTTTTAGTTGGGTATCTCTCCCAAAATCAACAGAATGTCTAACCAGAACTGTTCGAGATTCTCACACCGCGAACGCGAGCTTGAATAGAACAGCTAAATGCGAGCGCGAAAACTTCCCATGAGCGTAGATTACGTAGCGCACGAGCTTGGTGCTTGTGGCGTCTTTCGAGCCTTATATCCACTTTCCAAGGCTCTTTGAGCGCGCGCGCGCTCTGCCCTTTAAAGTTTGACTTGAGAATCGTAGCGTGCTTAATGGAACTTGGCCTTGGCCAGCCTCCGTGCAAGCCCCCCTACAGGAACAATCTCCTCTGCTGAAACAACACGACACGACCGTCGCTGGCCCGATCAAAAGCTCACCTGTGTGGAGAGACAGGGCTCGCTGGTGTTCGGCCAAAAAGCGTCGCACGGGTTGCACATGTGCTCCACGACACGAGGCAGTACGCGAGGAGGGTGAATGTCCGAAGAAAGGTGGTCAGATTGCCCCTTCGAGGCTGTCGAGCGATGCGGACCGTAGCCGAGATATACATGACGAGTGATGAGCGCAAGGATGCGATTTAAAGTAGGCTCTTACGCACGATGGGCCCTCCGCGAGGCGCACACGCGACGTCTGGCTGGACGAGGCATCAGAAAGAGATCTCTGGCTCCCACGCGGGCGTTCGAATCTGACATGTGACGCGGCGCTAGTCCCAAACGGTCGTCTCCTCGGCTCGTCGCTGCGATGACTTCATGACCTGGGTTGACATCACCAGCGAATCACGCGCAGCGCAATTCCATCCATCGCGAGTGAAACCGCCCTGACCTTCGGGCGTTCCCCAAATTCTGCTGCTCTTAGCGGTCGGCGCCCCACACGCTAAGAACCTCGCTGCGGCTCTCCCAGCTGTCAGATTCCCCGGGCCAGGTGACATGCCTTGCTGCGGCCTTCGATGCGCGGATTGGCATGTGAAGGGTCACGCTCATAAGAAACCCGCCGGAGGACTCGGTCGGCCTCTTCTGTGCCATTTTCTTCGCTTTCGCATCTCTCGCTCTCTCCATCTTACCGTGTGACCCCTCTGGCTGCGTTGCCGTCATGTCGAAGACGTTTTCTGCTGCGGACGTTGCGTCCCATAACAAGCCAAGCAGCCTTTACATCATCGTTGACGATGATGTGTATGATGTGACCCAGTTCCAAGATGAGCATCCAGGCGAGTCCGCTCCTGTTGTCCTGCCGTAAAAGAAAGACGTTCTAACAGAGCTTCCAGGTGGCAAAAAGAGTAAGCCGGGAAGATTCGTCTAATGCGCGTCCGCCCAGTCTAACGTAACGCGCAGTCCTACAAAGGGTCGGCGGCAAGGATGCATCGAAGCAGTTCTGGAAATACCACAATGAGGCCATTTTGAAGAAGTTCCAGCCGAAACTTAAGGTCGGCTCTCTGGACACAAAGAAGGCGGCACCAGCGGCAGCGGCACCGGAGGCAAAGAAGAGCACGCCGGCTGCGACGGGCGAAGCCGCGAAGAAGGGACCTCCAGTCAAGCCAGGCACCGTAGTTACGCCTCAAGAGACATTCGATCCTCCTCTCGACATGTTTGGCGACTTGGTGCCGTATGCTGACCCCAATTGGTACCAATCGGTATGTTTGCCGACTGTCCAAGGCTGACATGTGAACCGCACGTGCTGACCTACGCAGTATCACTCCCCATACTACAACCAGTCGCACGCGGACCTTCGCGCTGAAGTTCGGGCCTGGGTTGAAGAGGTCATTATGCCAAATGTGCATGAATGGGACGAGGCGAAGATGGTCCCCCCTGAAATCTACAAGCAGATGGGTGATCGGGGATATCTCGGTGGTCTGTTGGGTGTCCACTATCCAGTCGAATACGTCAAGCACACTGTCGCAGCCGTGCCACCCGAGAAGTGGGATCTGTTCCATGAGATCTTGCTGACCGACGAGATCTCGCGCGCCGCCAGCGGTGGTTTTGTTTGGAACCTGATTGGTGGTTTTGGCATCGGCATGCCACCTGTCATGAAGTACGCAAAGAAGGCTCTGCGTGATCGCATCGCCCCGGGCATCCTGCAGGGCGACAAGCGTATCTGTTTGGCGATCACCGAACCAGACGCCGGCTCGGACGTTGCCAACATCGGCTGCGAGGCAAAGCTGTCCGAGGATGGCAAGTACTATATCGTCAATGGAGAGAAGAAGTGGATCACCAACGGTGTCATGGCTGATTACTTCACGACAGCCGTCCGCACCGGCAAAGAAGGCATGAATGGAATCTCCGTCCTCCTGATCGAGCGCGAAGCCGGCGGCGTATCAACACGTAGGATGGACTGCCAGGGCGTGTGGAGCTCCGGCACGACGTACGTCACGTTTGAAGACGTCAAGGTCCCCGTCGAGAACCTCATCGGTAAGGAGAACCAAGGGTTCCGCGTCATCATGACCAACTTCAACCACGAGCGCATCGGCATCATCATCCAGTGTCTCCGCTTCTCGCGCGTCTGCTACGAAGAGGCCATGAAGTTCGCCCACAAACGCAAGACGTTCGGCAAGAAGCTCATCGAGCACCCGGTCATCCGCCTCAAGCTTGCCCACATGGCGCGCCAGATCGAGGCGTCGTGGTCCTGGCTCGAGAACCTCATCTACCAGTGCCAGAAGATGGGAGAGATGGAGGCCATGCTCAAGTTGGGCGGCGCCATCGCTGGCCTCAAGGCGCAGTCGACGACCACCTTTGAGTTCTGCGCCCGCGAGGCTTCGCAGATCTTCGGCGGTCTATCGTACTCGCGCGGCGGACAGGGCGGCAAGGTCGAGAGACTATACCGCGACGTCAGGGCTTACGCCATCCCGGGCGGCTCCGAGGAGATCATGTTGGACCTCAGCATAAGACAGGCGATCAGGGTGCACAAAACACTTGGCATGAAATTGTGAGCAAAATAAAAATCATTTGTCTTTCGCGCATTGTTAGCTTGCTTTTACACGGTTTCCTGTACCATTGGTGGCTAGATCTGAAGGCATCCCAAGTAGATTGCGGACTAGTCATATTGTGTATAATAAGTATCCCACTCGATGACTCTTGAATACGAATGCTCGCGTTATCCAAGTGTGTTTCTTTGCTCCAACAGCGCGCGTATCAGGCGATGACTTGCGCATTTCGATCCATTCGCTCTAGCATAGAGCCTCCGTATCACGGGCTTCACACGTGACTTTATACTTTTAGTTATCAGGCGCTGGTCTTTTCCGTTACAGGTCAACATGACAAGATAGCCGACGCCTTTGGATCAAACAAGAACAATGGGGAAGTAGAGACGTGCTCGTAGGCTCTGAAAGCTTTATCGATAATAGGAGAGGATTGAAGTCAAGCGTCGAGCACATCTCCGTCTAGACACGCGCACAGTCCGCAGTCTGCATGATATATGCGAGCTGAGTTTGGCATAAAAGGAAGAAGAAAAAAAAAAGAATGAAGAAAGAAAGGAAAAGGAAAAGAAAACCCAAAAACGATGAGAGCAGTCGTCGTTGTCTGAGTGGTAGGAATAAGAGTCCGCGAATCAATTTAAGCCAGATTGCCGTGCTGTGCTGCTCTGCTCTCGAGAAGTCGATTTTGCTCCGTCCTGATCGGAGAAGCGTTTCGCACGAGAAACGCACGGCGGTGTGTGACAGATAGCGCATCCGGGCAGGCAAAGAAAACCGTCTCTGTCCTCTGGACATGCTGGCTGGTACCATGTCCGGCGTCCTGGCCGATATCGACCCAAAGCGGAGATCTCCTTTCCCGCAAGGCTAAAGGCCTTTGCGACCAAGCTGTCTGCTCTAAAGATCGATGCGGCCTTGTTTGTTTGTTCATCTACAAAAGGGCGTGTTGGACCTGTCGGAACATGCGCGAGCCTTTGCGTTTAGTGAGATGGCCGTGACGCTGTGCTCGCCAGGCCTCTCTAGTACAGGTGAGCACGAAAGACACAGTATTTCCAGGGGCCACGAGACAATGCTTTGGTCAAGAACAAAGTCCGCGTCCACCGCACGCGGCGAGGAGCCGCCCTGGACAATCTTTTCCGAAGACGGCCAGCGGCTCAGGACAATCGACGCCGTTTGCACACTGCAGTAGAACTCATCCAGTCGTCAGGAAAACAAGAGGGCCGACGAGCGCCAGCACGCTTGCGGGTCTGGGCGACCACACGAAACGATCGCGGAGCCTGTAGTGGTGGTGGTGTGTGTCAAATAGCACGAGCGAAGCACGCCATGTGTGCGCGACGGTAGTAATAGCAGTAGTACCGTAGTGAGCGACTAAATCCCACAGCACTCCGTCGTGCTGCGTTCCAGACCAGGCCTCTGGGCCCATGGCCAAAGCCGGCCACACAGAGCAGACGCGTTAACCTTGTGGCTCGCAAGAGGGCCAGACTCGGGGCCCGCATGGGCTACTTTGGGACGAACGAGCATTTGCTTGGCATGGGGGCGATGGTGCCAGCCTGGAGACGGGGCATCGCTCGGCCTGGCGGCGCGCGAGTCAAGGAAGATTTCTGTCCCGAAACCATCATCCGGAGGCGCGCCCACCCCGCGCGAGATCGTGGAACTGGGCCGGGACGAAACAGTTTCGCGATGCGTTCCAGATCCAACGCACGTTTGGGGAGCGTTTTGGGACGTTCTCCTGGTGGCGATAGGGTGGTGGAGGACGTGGTGGCGCTCGCACGGGTCGCACACTGGTGCTTGAGGGCGCAAAAGGAGGACGTCGAGCAGAAGAAGACGACGCAAGAAGCAAAAGGAAAAAAGCTTAGCACGCGATGCCAAGACGACGATGCCAAGACCCGCGAACTCAGGTGGGCATCAAACACCCAATGCGTTTGTCGCATCTTCGCACGCAAACTTGTGCACGCCGTCACCACGGCTATGGCTTCGGCCGCTCGCGGCGCGTTTGTGCGACGCAATCCAGGAGGCTCATGGCTCAACCTGCCCCTCGGAAAACGATGTGATTGCTCGCCCTTGCCCGGCGCACTGACGGCGCTGTTCTTGCACCGTGTGCGTGTGTCCCGTCGTATTGCCCTGTGCCTACCGCCAGCGCTGCCTCCTGTCAGACCGTTTCACCCGGGCACTGCCTTTCTCCGCTGTCAATTGTCTACTTAGACCAGCCGGATCGCCGAGTTGTCTGGTGGATGGAATTCTGCCCTGCGAAATCTTCTCGACAACCACCCCTCTCCGCGTGACTCGTAGCCTGGCCTCTGTCACGACCGCGTCCTGGCTGGCGTCTCCTGCGTTTCGATCGTCTGATGGCCAGAGAATCGCTCACCTATGCCAAGTCTCCCTTACGCCAATTGTAGACGACATTTGCGCCTTGTGCTCCATCCGCAGGACCTGCATGTCTCCACTGCGGAGACGTCCTCACCAAGTATAAGACAGAGCTTGGTGCTTCCGTACATGTGCGCCATGGACGCATGGCCATGTTCAGGTCGCTTCTGTTTCTAGCGGCGTGTACGTACTGTTTTGCGGCATGACGGCTTCGGAGTATAGGTATTGACAACAACTTGCGTAGGCGCTTCCGTCTCAGCCGACGTCGACTACTCACAATATGTCAACGTCCTCGCCGGTACCACCAATGGCGGGAACATGTTCCCAGGCGTCGCAGCACGTCCATTTGCCGTCGTCAAGCTCGGTCCTGATTTCACGTACGGCAAGGCGGAGGCATACTCAGGCTACCTGCCGGACGCCGGCGCTGCGCTGACTGGCTTCTCGTTGCTGCACGAGAGCGGCACCGGCGGTGCTCCAAAGTACGGGGTCGTCTCTCAACTGCCTGTTCCTGGCGCTGTGCCCAACCCTTTAGCGGATTTGTCTGTCAAGCGCGCCCGGGGCGATCAAGGCTCGGTAGGCTACTTCAACTCCACGCTGGAGAACGGTATCACGGTCGAGCTGGCAGGGACTACGCATGCGGGCTACTTCGAGTATACTTTTCCCGCAGGCCAGACTTCAAACGTAGTAGTGGACGTTTCCCATGTCCTGCCGTCCTACCGTGGCATGAACTGGAGCCAGCGTTACAAGGGAGGCTCAATCTTGATTGCTGCTGATGGCCACTACGAAGGCAACGGAACGTACAACAACGGCTGGAATCTGGGTAAGTTCCTTGTTTCCCGAACCTCTACGGAGCCCTTATGCTGCATCTGCCACCGAAGCGTGTTGATGGATCTTACTTGACCGTCCCTGAGTAGCTAACGATCACCAGCCCCCGATTGGACAGTTTATTTCTGTGGCAGATTTGACCAGCATTTCTCTGCGCGAACCTTCGCTGGGCAGGGCAGCAACCTCACTCAGTACGGACAAAGCGCATCGGTGACGAGCCAGGACCGCGTGGGCGCCGTGTTCACGTTCAACACCACCAAAGTCACTTCCCGAGTAGGTGTCTCATGGATCTCTTCGGAGCGCGCATGCGAGTTTCTTGACGCTGAAATTCCAGCGGGCACGACGCTGTCGTCATTGGTGGAAAATTCAAAGGCAGTATGGAACCAGGAAGTCTTTAGCAAAATGACGACAAGTGACACGAACACGAGCACTTTACAACTTTTGTACACGTCCTTGTACGGCATGCACTTGCTTCCCTCGAATCGAACGGGCGAAAATCCGATGTGGGAGTCAAGCGAGCCATACTACGACGACATCTTCACTTTTTGGTAGTACGTTTTAGGTCCTCCATTCTGCGTGGTGGAAAACTGGCTGACCTCTGCGACAGCGCATCATTGGTTGGTGGTAGACGACGGTTTGCCGAGAGCTGACAAGCGCCTAGGGACTTGTTCCGATGCACGACACCGCTCTTTCACATTCTCCAACCTGTCGCGTATGAAGAACTGCTCAGGTCGATAGTCGACGTCTGGCGACACGAGGGCTGGCTTCCCGATGCCAGATCGAGCAACTTCAACGGGAAAACTCAAGGCGGCTCCAACGCAGACAATATCCTTGCTGACGCCTATGTCAAAGGTCTTCGGGGACAGATCAATTGGGACGACGCATATGCAGCGATGCAGACGGACGCGGAGAAAGTTCCACCAAACAACCACGACCCAGCCGCCCCGGACAGCAGCACTGCGCAGGGAAGGGGTGCTCTCCCGGACTGGCTTCAATATGGCTACATCACGCCCAAATTTACACGAGCAATAACGCGGGCGGTGGAGTATGCAGGAAACGATTTTGGGCTTCACCAAGTCGCGCTTGGTCTCAACAAAACGAGCGACGCTTTGAAGTATCTGCGTCGCTCGAGACAGTGGAGGAACCACTTCAACCCAGCCGCTCAGTCCTTTGGAACGTCCGGCTTTCTGGTGCCCCGTCTACCCGACGGATCGTTTATCGAGCAAAATCCAATGAACTGCGACGGCTGTTACTGGGGTGCACCATACTACGAAGGCAGGCCGTGGGAGTACACCATGAACGCACACCATGACATGGCGAAGTTGGTCAACCTCAGCGGCGGTGCCGACGCTTTCGTGCAGAGGCTCAACACGCTGATGGATCCTTCGAAGAACATTTTCAACCCGGGCAACGAACCTAGCTTCACGACGCCGTATCTTTACAACTTTGTTGGAAGGCAGGACCTGACGGTGCAGCAGTCACGGCAGGTAGCCAACATGTATTATAACGCTGGCCCGGGTGGCCTCCCCGGTGCAAGCGATGCAGGCGCCATGCAAAGCTGGATCCTGTGGAACATGATCGGAATGTACCCGCTCACCGGGCAAACGACGTTCCTCGTCGGTAGCCCATGGTTTCGAAATCTGACCATCAAAACGCCGAGCGGCCAAGATCTCAAGATAACCTCTACTGTGGAAGGAGGCAAGGACTCGGACTATTACGTCCAAAGTCTCCGAGTCAACGGCGCAGCCTGGAATAAGAATTGGGTCACTTGGGACGACGTCTTCGCGAATGGTGGAACCATGGACTTCGTACTGGGCAGCTTGCCGGTCCAATGGGACACGGGCGAGTTGCCGCCTAGTCCTGCCAGTGTTATCCATGAAGCTGGTGACAATGGCGAGCCGGCAACTGCCGTTCCGCTGGGAAAGACGGTGCCCGCACCCATCGTGAGGTAAGCAACCGACGCCAGTAGTCCTTCACGGAGAATGGCGGTGTTTGTCCAGCCAAGCTGCAAAACGCCTATCCCACACAAAAGAGGAAAAAAAAAAAAAAAAAAAAAAGTTCACCATGCCTCCAGACAGAATGAGCGCTGACAGTCGCACAGACGTAGAAGAGATCCGCGGATCCTCGCAGCTATAATTGTCATGTCCATCGTAGGCTTTTTACTGCTGGTCGTGGCCACGCTAGCCTATATGCGGTGGACCAGGACGGGGTTGTTCAAGAAGACACGCAAAATCGACGCTCCTGACAAGGCTCCAAAGGACGGATCTTCAACATCGCAGAAGGAAGAGGACGTCGTCGTCGTCGCAAGCCAAGACGGCGATGGGAACAAGGAGCCTGAGCAGTAGGGCACCGCATGAGCAGAGGATCAAGGCCAAAGATAGGCATGGTTTACCCCCGCATATCTTGCATCGTGTCGTTTTATCGTAGCGCATCATGATACCCTTAGCATAGACCTGGAGTTTTTGTAAAAGTCGAAAGATCATTTTATCGCATGGTTGCGACCACAACGAGTTGCATATTATTTTTTTTTTCCCCTTTAAACTGCGTCCGCGCGGCCTTGCGGACACGCTCATCCGTCAGCTGTTGTCAGTTGCACGTTTCTCTTTTTAAAAGGCCCAAATTTTCGACCCGCCTGATCGTCGTTCGATTGTCGCCAGGCCTCGTTCTGTCAGGCGCTCTGCGCTGCTCCGTTTTCTTTCCTGCTCCAAGCAGGCTCTCGTTGAAGAAGGAAGAAAAGGAAAGGCTGGTTCGTCTTTATCATTCCAAGGGAAAATTTAAAGAAAAGAGAAGTATAGATAGCTCGTTTGATCACGCTTTATTTTAACTTTGTATTTCTCTCGCGGAGCTGCTTGGGATCTCTCACACGGTCCCGGGCGTTGTTTGGGGTACACGTCGTGGTTGAGGATCGCCTCTAGCGGATCTTATCAATCACGGCATGCATCCAAGGTGGCATCGCCTTACCCACGCTGAAGGGCCCCCCCGCTTCGTTTCGAAATGAGTTTGACGATCTGAGCCCCCCGTGCTCTCTGATCGGCGGAGGTGTGCTGCGCTCGTTGCCGGAAGACACAAGTAGTACAGCATGTCGTATAGCCGCATGGGTCTCTCTCACATCCTACACCGCGGTTCAAGCCCTTCCCCCGTCCGCGCCTCCACAGGACGAAAGCGGGCTTCGTCACCGCAGTGGTACGCGGAAGGACTTGGAGGAGCTGGATGGGAACCGTCGCGGCCGTCTTCTGCTCTCGCAGCCTGGGCCGAAGTCACAGCACGGCGAGCGCCCTGGGCGCTCCTCAGGGTCCAAAGCGCCGATCCCGCCAGCCGCGGCGCAGGATGGAACGCCGGCTGATTGGCTCGCTTCGCGGGCGTCTCTGGCGGCGACGGGCAAGTTGCTCCCGCTTGCGCTGCACGATGCTCACCGTGCTGCGGGCATCCAAACGCCAGATGACCCGTCGCTGGCTACACGCTGCTCATCTGATGCTGAGCCCTGATGCCACCCGTGCGAGCCAGTTTCCTCGTGACATCGGCCGGTCGTCCCACCGGTCACCTTCTCGGCCGCCGTGATAGGACTGGCGCTCGCATCCGTTTCGCTCTCCCCGCGGCCGCCAAGCGGGCCCAGCACACCCCGTTCTTGGGACGCACCACTCACCGTATTGCCCACGACCAGCCGTTGCGACTGCTCGCCATCTGACCCTCCTCCGATCCGGGATCCTACTTAAATAGGTCCCCAGCTTTCCCCAGGACAAGGTGCTGCCTGCGGGAGCCGGATCGCACGCGGCCTCTTGCTTTCGCTCGCATTCCTCCCTTCCATCGTGCTTCAGCCAGGCTTGCCGTCATGGCTTCCGCCGCAAGCACCGTCCTCAGAACGGTGACGAGGACGGTTTCGGCCTCGTCGACACCCAGCTCGACAACCCGCGCCACGCCGCAAGGCGGCATCCTCGAACATGGCAATCCGTCCGTCTACGACGCGAAGAACCCGATTGTCATGTTCATCATCCAGGCGGGCATCATCATCATCTTCTGTCGCCTGCTGCACTATCCGCTCAAGCACATCCGCCAGCCTCGCGTCATTGCCGAAGTCATCGGAGGCATCCTCCTGGGCCCTTCGGTCATGGGCCGCATTCCAAACTTCTCAAACACCATCTTCCCGCAGTCTTCCATACCCAACCTCAACCTGGTTGCCAATCTCGGCCTGATCATGTTTCTGTTCCTCGTCGGCCTGGAGGTCGACCTGAGGTACCTCGTTCAGAACTGGAGGATTGCCGCCAGCGTCGGTATCGTTGGCATGGGCCTCCCGTTCGGGCTGGGTGCTGCCATTGCAAAGGGGCTGTACAATCAGTTCAAGGATGAGCCCGGCACCGTGCCCATCAGCTTTGGCGTGTACATGCTCTTCGTCGGCGTCGCCATGGCCATCACCGCCTTCCCGGTCCTTTGCCGGATTCTAGTCGAGTTGAAATTGCTCAACACGCCGGTCGGTATCATCACATTGTCGGCTGGTGTTGGAAACGATGTCGTCGGTACGTTCTTCCCTGCTCTAAACACGTGACTTTTCCTAAGCTGAGGTACCTCTCAGGTTGGATCCTGCTTGCCCTCTGCGTTGCGCTTGTGAACTCGGGTGCAGGCGTGACTGCGGTGTATGTTTTGCTGACTTGCCTTGGCTGGATTCTATTCATGGTTTTCGCCGTTCGACCCGCCTTTATCTGGCTCTTGCGCAAGACTCACAGCATAGAGAATGGACCCTCTCAGGGAATCATAGCTCTGACATTGCTGATCATGCTTGCGTCTGCATTCTTCACGCAGGTCATTGGAGTCCACGCTATTTTCGGTGCCTTCTTGGCCGGCATCATCTGCCCTCATGAAGGTGCATTTGCTATCAGAGTGGCGGAGAAGATTGAAGATCTGGTCGGTGCGATCTTCCTGCCTCTCTACTTTGCGCTCTCCGGCCTTAGCACCAACCTTGGCCTGCTCAATGACGGCACTGTCTGGGGCTATGTCATTGCTATCGTTGTCGTCGCCTTCTCAACAAAGTTTCTGGGCGCGGCCATCGCTGCTCGTCTCAACGGGCTGGTGTGGAGAGAGAGCTTCACCATTGGCGCTCTGATGAGCTGCAAGGGTCTTGTGGAACTTATCGTCCTTGTACGTCTTTGTCACCTAAGGGCACAAATGACTAAAGCTAATTGATGAAATCAGAACATTGGCCTGCAAGCAAAGATTCTCAGCCAGAGGACCTTCACGATGTTCGTGGTTATGGCGCTGGTCACCACCTTTGCCACCACGCCCCTAACAGCCGCTCTCTATCCTCCATGGTACCAGAAGAAACTCGCCGCTTGGAAGCGCGGAGAGATCGACTGGGACACTGGTAGGCCATTGTCTGAGGACGACAACAGCGCGGGCGACAGTTTGGCGTATGAGAAGATGGAAAAGAACAAGATTCACAAGATGCTCGTGTATCTCCGCCTGGACAGCATGCCACCTCTCATGGCGTTCATGACCACTCTTGGTGGAAACACGCCCGCGGCTGCGCCGAAGCTGCATCCCAAACATGCTAAGAGCCAGGTCGGTGAGAGATCTAACGAAAGCTCCGCCGCACTCGTTAAACCGATTGAAGCCTACGGCGTTCGATTGCTCGAGCTCTCCGATCGAGACTCGTCGGTCATGCAGGTATCTGAGATGGAAGCATTCGACCATCTCGACCCTCTTGTCAACACGTTCCGCACCGTCGGTACCATGCACAACTTCGCCGTCGCTGGCGAAGTTGCCATTCTTCCCGACCGACGATTCGCAGACGCCCTTGTCACCAAGGCCCAAAGCGTCAATGCGGACTTTATGCTGATTCCTTGGACCGAGACGGGAAGCATGAACGAGGCACAACCCATCTCGTCGGAGAATCTAAAGAACAAGCTTGAGTCATCAAACTACATCAGCTTCGTGCAGGAGGCGCTTGACCAAGCAACTTGCAACACGGCCGTCTTCGTGAACAGGGACTTCGGCGGCACCGCCTCACACAGAGCAGGCCGGCCGGGCATCTATCGGACAAAGTCCGTGCAGAGCATCAGTTCCGCCAAGTACGACGACGTCCTCGCTCCGATCAAGGATCGCTCGCACCACATCTTCTGCCCGTTTTTCGGCGGCGCAGACGACCGCTACGCGCTGCGCCTGGTGCTCCAGCTGGCAGAAAACCCCGAGGTCACGGCGAGCATCGTCTTCTTCGAGACGGACGAGAGCTACTTCCACGTCGACCCCTCCGTCGAGGCGATGGCGTCCATGACCTCGAGTCGCAGCCTAGGCAACAAGGCCGACGCCTCTGCGGCGCGCACCCGCTCGCCGCCCGGCGAGCACGACGCCACCTTCTTCCTAAGCCTCAAGAACAGCATCCCCGCCACGCTGGCTGGCCGCGTCGTCTTCGACACGGTCCGCACGGGATCGGCGCCTCTGAAGGCAGCCCTGGCCCGCGCCGCCGAGGAGGTCGGCCAGAGCCCCCGCAACGCGGGAGACCTCGTCGTCTGCGGCCGCAACGCCTCGCATCTCGACTCGTTCGCGAAGGAGACCGCCAGGGACGCAGGCGATGCCAAGAAGTGCCTCGGCGCCGTCGGCATCGAGCTCGCCAACTCCGCGTTCAAGTCGAGCGTCATCGTCGTGCAAGCAAGCGCGAACGGCACGGACTGAATCACTGCAAGGGGCGTATCGACTCAAGGGAAAATAAAAAAGCCCCGGTTTTGCGGCCTGGCAAGAAAGAGATCGTAGATTTGCTACCCCTACCCCCGCTCCCCCCAACCCTCCTTAGCATATACAACGCCATTCCAATCTCCATCGGTTACGGCAGGAAGAGGAGGGAGGAGGAGGGTTGGCGGCGTATATGCCGTCCCGCTGATGGGCTAGTACCCAGACGTAATGAAGCGAACGTCTCCCTTTTTTTTGGCGCAGACGAGAGAAGAGCATAAGATCCGCCTCTAGGTTTTTTTTTTCTTTCTCATCTTGACGAAGAATAGACGAATCGAATTTGCGATGATAAATCTCTGCATCAACATGGTACGCTTTCCTTCCACCACTCTCCCTCTCCTCTCTCCTCTCCCTTTCTCCCTCCCTCCCTCTCTCTCTCTCTCTCTCTCTCTCTCTCTCTTTCTCAAAGGGTATTGGTATGCTATTAATGTCCATGTCCTCAATGCTACAGGGTATCATTTCGTCGTGTTTTTCTTTCCGTTCCCACGTCGTTCGTTCCCATCATTCCTGCAAATGAAACTCGGGCACGTGCAACGTTTCGCAGTTGCAAAATCCCACGCGCCCCTTCTGCACAGCCCTGCTCCGCGCGAAAATGCCAGCGCGCCGGGTTTTTTTTTCTCTTAAATGTTGCAGTTTGCGCCGAGAGCCTTCTCGTCCCAGAGAGTCCGCCCCCGTCGTTTCCCGACGTCGCCCGAGGGTCAAGAGTGTCGGGCGTCCTGGAACGGGTTCCGTGATATGTCCCATCTCCGCTCGCCGTTCTCCAGCGGCTGCTTCGACGAGTTGGTCGAGGCGCCCTGCAGCGGCCACTCCACGCTTCGCAACGACGGCGTCGAGTTGTCGCCGTCGGATTCCTGCGAGAAGTAGAACGAGTCGTCGGCCGGCGACTGGGTCTCTTCTCGGCCGGGCCGTGGCTCGGCGTCGAATCTCGACTTGAACGGCGACTTTGGCGTCCCCGGTTTGGATTTTGGTGCTCGTTCCGACACGTCGGACCTCGGTCGCGAGCCCGAAATGCTGTGGTTGTGGCCGAGCTTCTTGTCGGCTGGCGACCGGTTGCGACCTAGCCACTGGTTGTGCAGGTCGTGCGAAGTGTCGTCCAGACGAATGTAGCGCTCCTGCGAGGGCCGTCCGACCGACTCTGTTCTGGCCTCGTGCCGCACTTCAAAGCTCTGACTCTCCATTATCACCAATTTAGTAGGCTGTGATGGCCCCTCCGAGTCCTCAGGGACCCCCTTCTTCCAACTCTTTGACCACTTCCTTTTTGGCATGCCCGCTTCGCTATCCTGTGGGTCTTGTTCTATGTCGACAACGGCGTCAATTTTCTCAAGTTCGTGGTCGAGGTTCGTGTTGTTTGCAGAGTTATTGGCCAAGGCATTGCTAGCACTGGAAGAGAGGGCTCCAAGATCGGTTGAGCGGCCTGAACGACTTCCCTTTCCGTACTTCGTTGTGATTCCAGAGATAATGGGCCGCGTGAACATGGCGATCAGGGGGCGAATGGTTGGCGCACAAGCACATAGCACGGCGAGGTCGATCTCGACCTAAGTGGCATTAGTTTTAGAGGACCTCACTGAAAGGAAATAAGAAACATACGGCGGCACAAATCCAGAGCGGATAGGCATACCACGTCTCATCGTAGCTGTCCATAAGCGCCTTCCAAATGTCTGTCAAAGCGATGTTAGATCATTCTTGGACTGAAGAAGGAAGGAATTGCGGAATTATGTGGCAACATGAAGCGTGCACTTTTTATTGCCCTCGACGGGGCCTTTCTTGAGCGTGGTAGGCGTGAGTTGGGTGCTTCAAGCAGCCAAGCGATCGGCATGAACACGAGCCCAGTGACTTACAGTATGTCCTGGTTGAGTTAGCATTCCGTTACGGCGTTCGCGCACCGCAGGACATTTTAACGTACCTAATGATCCCAGCAATGGTGACGATCAGACCCAGTCCAAGGAGTATGGCCACTCCGAGCCGCTGCTTCAGTGGCATCTTGAGCTGCATAATCATAGGAATAGGGAGCACGGTGATCAAGAGATCCGCAAAGCAGTTGACGATTCCTGCTCCCAGTGTAGTCTTTCCTTCGTCTAAGCACTTGCCCGTCGTTGAAAGCGACCAGTAAGCTGATACTGGCCTGTCGCGATGGTCAACCGGTGTCGTTCAAACGTGGCTCGCTTCACTTACGTGCACAAAAAGATGATTAGAGGCAAGAAGGTGCAGAACACGGCTAGGTTGAAGGCCATAGCTATGTGCAGGACCCACCTGTACTTCGCGAGGCCGGTGTCCGACGTCAATCGGTAATAGAAGCACAGCAGTGATAACCTTGTGGTTACAGAAGCGCATACGAAGAGCGACTTTGCGGCTATGGCAATCTTTCCCACGGAAGCGACGCCGTTAAGTGGGATGTCCCAGATGTGCCGATTCCAGTAGTATCTTGCGTTGGCAAGCATTACAGAGGCATTGAAAGCCAACGTAAAGATCTAAAAACGGACTGTTAGCAAGGGCAGGCCATGGATTCGGTTAGACAAGCTCACAGCGGCGACAACTATGGCGACATCGTCGCTACCTATCCATCTCTTGACCGAGGTTCGCGTATACAGCCTCAAAACAACGGCCAGGACCACAAGGCTGGCAAAAACCGCATTGATGACGATTAGACTCATGCCCTGAGTTTGAGGGTCTGTGTAGTTTGGGGCCGGAAAGGTCAAGAGAACGCTTATCGGTATGTTGCGCATCTTTGGAACCGGCTAAGACCAGGCGACAGTATGTCGCCAACATACGTGACGTCGTTCTTTTTGCCGAGTTTCCAGATGCTGCTCCTCAGGCTTCTGTGCTGTCTCGATATCGTTTTCCAGCTTCCTCGTTCTGACTATGATGCTCTCCAGAGTTTTGTGTCGTCCACACAGAACTGAAATCAGCGAGCACGGCGTCCTGAAGTTGAAGAGTTCTTGGGTACGGGGCCCGGCTGGCTGATAGCGCGTCCACGTCTTGGGGGCGGCAGGCGGCTTATGATTGTTCCCAGGACGCGAAGCGAAAGCCTCTCAGCCAGGCTAAGTGAACACAGACAGGGCGGAAGATGTCGAAGCAAGCTCACAGACAGAGTAAGGAAAGGGGCGTCGAAGCTTCGTTGCTCGCTATGGGCACGGAACTGTGCAGCCCAAAAATCCACCCAAAAAATAGATCCGCAAAAAGGTCAACCGGGGGCCGAGAGAAAGGGACGAAGGTCAAAGGAGCAAAGGGAAGATTTGTATCTTGACGATGCAGCAGACACAGAAAAATAAAGAGACGGCCAAAGCTACGGGTTCTTGCATAAATTTCTGGAACAGACATCCGTACGGCTTTTGGACGAGGCTTGGGGCGCCCGCGAAAACCCACTTTGGGTCGTCCCCATCGCGCCGAGAGTAATAAAACTGACCATTCTGCGCAATCGCGTGGTGACGGCAGCAAAGCGAAACCAGAGATCACCGCTGGAGCACGCGGATGCTAATCCCTGGGAGGTCAAGGCCTGATCCATACTGTTGCCCGCGGATGGTGAGCTGGGTTCCTGGTGGCTGGAAGGACGTTCGATCTGCTCCGACTAGCTCTAGCCTCAAGGCCCACCGGGCTTGAAGCTAGGAGAGAAAAGCACAGGCACAGAGCAGATTGGGTGGAGCATAGCACAGCATAGCAAACGTGTTTTTGTGAACATGGCGGCGCAGGTGAGACGTGGATGCAGCGAATGCCCAGCTCGGAGATGCAGCACGAGGGCCGCCGAACGAGTCAGAAGAGCATGCCATGCCTTTTCCACGTCCGCATCCTCACCTGCTGTGCAGTCCAGCGTGAGCAGGAAGACCCCTGGCTTGCGATCGACCGTTTTATGGGAGCTCTAAACCTGGCCTGGGTTTGAGATCCAGCTGTGAGCGCCCATTTCACTTTATCGGGGAGACGAGTGAAGAGGCACTTGTCGAAGCTTTTCGAAAAGCTCGACGTCACGGCGCACACTTATCCGCCTGCAGCGTCTGGTGCCAAGATTGACGATTTCGAAAGCTGCGTTGAAGGCATCGTATGAAACACTCGTGCTCAGGGAGGTCGAGTCCATTGTTCAGACTGTCGGGGCTGTCCATCGGCATGAGCGTGAGCAGATCGAGCGAGGCGAGAGAGAGAAAAGAGAGAAGAGAGAGACTGGCGATACCGAAGCCGGGCTTATTCTCGGTGCAATGCTGGTCTAGCAATGAATAGTGAGCGTTCGGCGTTTGAACCTGAGTGGGCCAACCACTCTCTCGCGCGAGTCATCTCTTGACCTTCATCGTGAACAGCATTGTCCCCATCCCATCTCGGAGAGAGCGTGTATCGCGCAGGCCCCATGCCCACGCAACATGTGTACCATCTCGTTCGAGACCGTCACGATCGTGGAGTGCTCGTTCCATTGCGCAATAGACTGGGGTCAAACCCCTGCTGTCCAGCTCGATAGCCGAGAGAGCACAAGCAGGCCAGCTGAGGAACCGATGTAGGGCTGGAAGAACAGTTATGTAGCCGAACAACCATGGCGACGGGCGATGGACGAGTTCGCCCACCGGGTGCGTCGTGGCTTCAAGCGCGCTTCCTCGGCGCTGGCGCCTGCGGGTGCCGATGGTGAAGCATCCAAACGTCAGAGCAGATGCTCTCCGTCACCACAGCGCGGGCTTACTTCAGACACATCGTCTGAGCATCACGCTCCACGCGACGGGGCACATGGTCGAGTCGCCGATCGCCTTGCCTCGAGCCTCGAAAAGAGCCGGTGCCTACTTAGCACGCTCAACCATGCATCTCGTGGGATGAGTCCGTCCGGCAAGCTTTCCCAATTCTCGACCGTGGCTGCTGCGGCCCGACCAGAAACACAAATTTCCCTTTCTCCCACCGCGCCGGCTGCACGACCATGACGCATGGTCATCGCCAGAGACTCTGCTGGACCTTTTTTTGCGCGTGAAACGCGATGGCAGGCCCCCAAGTCGTACAAGTCGACAGCGGATGTGACGGTCATGCTGCTTTGACCAGGCCTCCCTCCCCTTACCTTCATCCTGCGAACCGCGAGAGGCACACGCGTGAAAGCGAGCTTACCATCCTTGCCAGGTTGCGCCGAAGCGAACGAGGCACAGCAGGACACGACGAAGAGAGAAGAACAGAGCGAGAGGGACAGGGAGTGTGGGAAGAGGCAAAGCGTGGAAGGCTGCATGGAGGCTAGCCGCTTCGATGCTGCATGCGATGAAGCAACTCGATTTGCATTTCCTCCGCCGGGTTTAATCGCCGCCGTGTCGAAAGAGGTCGCGCCGAATCTGCACAAACCAAGCCATCTCTTCGCCCTACACCCTCGCTCGCTCTACAAGTATGCTCTTCTGGTGGAGCCCGACGGGGGGGGGGGGGGATTTGGCGGGCGTTCGAACACGGCTGGGTCCTCCCCGCAAACCTGCGGTGAAAATGAAGAGGGCGACAACGACGACAAGCACAAAGAATCGCCAACCCTCCCCCATCCCCGTCAAATATGATCGATAAACAGGCTCGCGGGAAACAACGCGGCTCTCAAATCTCCTCCCTGGACGTCGCCGGATTCTTCTATGTTTGCTTTCCACTCGCCGCGTAAGACGGGCCCATCCGTCCGATGCTACGAGACGGTAACGCGAGCACAGAGAAAGAGAGAGAGAGAGAGAGAAAACGAGAAGAGCTGAGAGCGAATAGTGCAGCAAGCGGCATTTCCAGCCGTCCGCTGCCGGCGCTACCGCTCGCCGTCGCCCATCATTTGACCGCCTCGCCCACCGCGCCGAAGCGACGGCGGCAAACAGGTTCTTTCCCACTTCTCCACCGCCCCGCTGCCGACCGCGTCGCCTGTCCGGCCTCACGGCGCAGGCAATCGTTCGCGCGGACCCGGCTACGGCCGCCGATTCCTCTCACCACCGCCACCTTTTGCGGGGATGAGAGAGAAAACGTCCAGTTCTACAGAGGACGTGTGCGCCGTTCGGCTGGCTCTCGCGATCGACCGCCCCGGGCAGCCTGCCCTCCGCTCACGCTGCCTCGACGGAAACCGTCGTGTGTGCCTATGTAAAAAAAAAAGAACCGCAAAGCACAAGTTACCACGTAGACCGCCCGCAGGCCTCCCTCTTCTTCCTATCTCTTCTCTGTCCCTTCCCTTCCAAACGGGGACTGTCGATCCCCACCCCCCCCCCCCCCCACCCTTTCATGACGCAGTGCTTACACTCTTTTGGACATTTTGCTCTTTTCATCTTTGCGGTGAGAAGCTTCGCGTGTGGTTGGACGGAAACAAATTAAAGAGAAAGTCAAATTCCTGCAGCGTAATCCACAAGTCGCGCGTTGGTGGGGACGTCCTTTTTTAAGTTGAAGCACACTACACCCTCCGTTTCTTCATTGCTGGAGTTACGGCAGTCAGCACGGAGGGAACGTGAGTAAGGGAGTGACGGAGAGAGTGTGTGCGTCTGTTCGCTCGCCGTCACCCAAAGCCGATGCGTAACGTGACGACACCGTTAAAGCTAAGTTAGTGTTTTGGAGGTAACGCTTGGGCTGCCAACGTTCACCACCGCGAACGACGAGTCAGATAAATGAACTTAGTTCAAGCTGATTCACTGTGTGTGTGTGTGTGGAGTGGGGCGCCTCAGAAAGGTAGCAGGGTAAACCTATTTCCGCAAATAGCTCTAATTCTGCTATCCGCTAAAATCTCATCTTTGATTTCCAAAACAGCTCGTTTCAACTTGATGTGCTCGACAGTGGGTTAGACGCGTTTCGATTGCAAAGGGGTAAGGGGTTGCGATGAGGAAACTGGGCAGTCACATCGCCTCCCATGAGCGAGTTTTCCCGAAAAGAGGGAAATCGGGGAAAGGGGGGGAGGAGGATGCTCTACGTCCGAAAAATCCTTTGCGCACACACACATCCACACAATAATCTAGGCGTCCTGGTCAAGACCCAGGTCCTCCGTCGCAGGTACGATGCGAAGCGTGTTGGTGTGGCCCATACCACCACGCCAACCTTGCACGCAGACCACCGCGTCGCCTCTGTTTAGAACGCCGAGTTTCATTGCATTTACGATACCCCAGGTAAGACGTCTGTCGACGTCCTCTTGCCACGGCACCTCGTTAAAGTCTGGCTTCTCCTCCGGGAACCAGAACGGGTAAACACCACGATATAGATGTGCGTACTGGACGACGTCACGTCAGCCGCGCTGTGCGCAAACGGTTGTAGGCGAGAGGGGTGGAACAGGTCGGCTAACTTACCCTGGCAGCGCGTGCGTTTCTCGTAACCATGATGATAGGGCACACGGGGCGGTATTTGGATAGCAGGCGGGCCGTGCTACCGCTACGGGACTGTTAGTAACTTCTCACGGCGGCAAGAAGTCCCGATCAGAACGTACCTGGTGGTGAGCACGACGATGGCGCCGGCATTCTGTTCGAGACTGGCGCTCACGGCAGCCATGGCACATGTCTCTGCCGTAGGCACAGGCACGGGAGCCAGGCGTCTGAGTTCGTCGTACTGGCTGACGTACGGGATGGCAATCTCAGCGAGCAAGCAAGTCTCGTGCATGATGGTCACGGCTTCGACTGGGTAGTTGCCCTTGGCCGTCTCGCCGGACAACATGACGCAGTCGGCGCCATCAAGCACGGCGTTTCCGACGTCGCTGACCTCGGCGCGGGTGGGGCGCGGGTTGTACGTCATGGACTCGAGCATCTGCGTCGCGCAGATAACGGGCTTGCCAGCGATGTTGCACTTGGTGATCATCATCTTCTGCGCGATGAACACCTGTGCGGGCGGAATTTCGATGCCCAGATCGCCACGCGCGACCATGACGCCGTCCGTCTCCTTGAGGATCTCGTCGAAGTTGTTGACACCCTGCTGGTTCTCGATCTTGGCGATGATCTGGATGTCCTTGCCATCCTCTCCAAGCACCTCACGGATGGCCCTGATGTCAGAACCGGCACGGATGAAAGACGCGAAGATCATGTCTACTCGGTTCTTGACGCCAAATCTTATGTCGGCCTTGTCTTTCTCGGAGAGCGGGGGAAGGTCTACGTCTGTCTTGGGCAGGTTGACACCTTTGCGCGACGAGATCTTACCGTTGTTCTTGCACCGGCATCTGATGTTCTGTTCGTCGACCACCTCGAGCACTTCGAAGGAGAGCACACCGTCGTCGACGAAGATGATCTTGCCCTTCTCAATCACCTTGGTGATGTTTTTGTAGTCGACATACCTAGTCGATGTGTGTCAGCTTTGTTTGTCTTCCGGCCCGTTCTGCGTCTGCTTCTCGCGAGCGCGGAGATTACGCCTTGCGTAGTGGAGCCATACATGATCTTGTTATCGCTGGCCGTCTTGTACTTTTCGTCTGTGGTGATGATAATCTCATCGCCGGCGCTAATATCAAAATCCTTGTCGTCGATCGTGTTACCCGTCCGGATCTCTGGGCCTTTCTGCGGACACATTAGCTCCAGCTGGGGCCCTTTTCGACGTTCCACTGACCGTATCAAGCGCAATTGCGACCGGTCGACCGGGCATCTTCGCCTCTGCCGCTCGAGCATTGTCAATTACGGATTGATGGTACTGTGTGTGCACTTGTAAGCCATGCGCGCTCTCGCTGATTGTTTTGTTTTCAGGGAGCTGATTGTAGACGGACCTCGTACGAGCCGTGGGAGAAGTTCATGCGAACAACGTTAAGACCAGCTGTGCACGAATTAGTGTTTCGTCACTTTCCATCCGGACACGGCTTGGCGCACCCTTGCGGAGCTCGTTGATGCGGTCGACATTGTTGGTCTTTGGGCCAATTGTGCAGATAATCGACGTTCTGCGGTAGTTTCGAGAAGGGGTATACTCGGTATTCAGCTGAGCCAGCCATTCGAAACGCGTGCGGCCGGCGTTGAGGTGGTCGAGGGCGTTGGCCATGGTGGGTGAGCTCTTGAAGCTGATAAGAGGGGGGTTGTGTCGCGAAGGAATTGCAGCTTTGGAGGGGCAGAAGGTGCTTAGATATCAAACCAAGCACAGTGGAGCCCGCAGCAGGATGATGTAAAATCAGGGCGACAGCTAAGGCGTCGCGTGAAGAATCGAGGTTTTTTTTTGTTTGTCTGTCAAGCTAGGGATGCAAAAAAAAAGAGGTCAGAGTCCAACGTAGCGCAGCGAGGGTTGAGAAAAAAAAAGTAGCTTTTTTGGGGGGGAAATGCGTTTCTGCTCTACGTAAGGCTGCGCCCGCCGATCCAAGATATCGCACTCAGCGAACCAGCAGCGTCGAATTTGCTCGTCTTGACCACGGCGGGCAAGCTGTTCGACTGCGTGATAAAGCGTTCGTTTAACGTGTGTGATACAATCTAACAAGAAAAACTCGGCCTTCTCTCCAGACAGAGCCAGAATTAATGACGCCCCCACCAGCTAAGCTGTCCATGGACGGGTCTCACCCAGCTCCCGCTTACCAGCAGCTCAACAAACAACAGCGACTTGAGCGCCAGCATCCCCATCAGCGGCGACAGGGGTCGACCACAAAAAATAAGCAGTCGGACCGCTGTGGACGGGAGCACTCCCCACCGTGACGACTTAGGACTTCTTCGGCAATGTGTTGAGAACGACGCCCGCTGGTGTGCAGAGCCCTGTGATTGGCTGCGATGGCGGAGCGCGGCGGGAGCGCCAAGGCCCAACGTAGCAGTGTCAAGCACATGATCGTCGGCTCGTCTCGTGCCTCAGAGTCAGACACCTGAACCCGATCTCCCGGGCAGCAGATACACCACCAGCACTCCAACCCTCGATCGTCCTTGTGTGTAGCTGCCAAGGAGATACAAGAACAAGAAGCAGAAGAAGCAGCAAAAGCTTGCCTCCGCTCCGAATGCTCTGTTGAGCTCGCGCCCAGACACTCATACCTCCACGCGTCCAGCTCCTAGTTCACCATGGTTGTATGCCGCGTATCCTCATCTGACTCGTACGATAACGGCCACTGATGGAAGCAAACAGCTCGGCAGGTTAACACATTATGCATTTGATGCAGTGCTGTGTATGCATACCAGACCGCCTGCTGTCCTCATCACCACTACCACGGCCGGCTGACAGTGACCCAGTTTCTGCCTTCCTCGCCGGTGTGAAGCGCTCCACCGGCTTAACGTGAGCTGACCCCTTCCACCCCACCTTCCCCTCAGGACAACAAAGAAGAACAACAACAAAACAACAAGAGCATACAACCGCATGGGCACATGCGTCCCGCACCAGCCCTACCCATCCCGTTGCCTACGCCACACGCCCCATCCCATGCCACGCCTCGCCCTCTTGCGATGTTCTCTGACTAAAAGTACAGTCCCAGTTTTCGCTCCGAGCAAGTCTCCGACAACAAAGAGGTCCGCAAGTGGATTGACAACTACCTTTGGGTAGGTGAGGTGGTGATGGATCAAAGCGTCGCGCTCATGAGCTCGAGCGGCTACTTCGAGAGGAAGAGATGAGGGTTGATGCACGTCCTAGACGATGAGATGAGAACGAAGATGGATCCTGAGGTTCCTGGAGGATCAAACAAGAGCGGCGTGGAATGGGCGTTGGTGGAGTGTACATGGGTGAGGGCTGTTACTGCTGCTGCTGCTGCTGCTGCTGCTGCTGCTGCTGCTGCTGCTGCTCAGGCTGTTCACAACCTTTCGAAAGGCGTTGGAGGCAAGACGCCGCCTTTCATCCGTGTGCCGCCTCTCTAAGCATGCTACCCAAATTAAGTAGAATCCCCCCAAAATGAAAGACTCTACTCTACCCCCTCCCGATCTAAATAAGGCTAGCTACTACTTTATGTTTCGCTCTGCTGCATTTCAAGTTTGGGAAAAGGGCCCGCTCAATCATCGCGAGCCTGCTTGGCGGAACGTCCCAATCATGATCGCGTTGACAGATGGATGGACTCCCTGGCCGAGCGGCCGACTTGTACGGCAGAAAAAGCACCATTCAGGACGTCCAAGCCACGCACGTCGTCGTCGCAAGTCCGTAATGTGGATCCATCACCCCAATGTGGACACGACGAGACCTTCCAAGACCAAAACAAGAGAGAAAAAAAACAAGAAACCGGTCGTAAATGTGCGGGTCCGTTCCCTAGACAGCGCCATTCCTCCTTTTAAGAAAGACGTGTGCTCTCTCAACAGACCGGTAACGAGCACTGCTCGCCGGAGCTGGTAGCAGCGGCAGCAGCAGCAGCAGCAGCAGCAAACGTGCCCAACGAAAACGAAAGGCCAAAAGGACAGACGCACTAGAAAGAGCCGCCGGTTCGTTGGCGTGCATGTTTGCGGCGCCAACCGCTGGTCCTTATTAGCTTTCTCTCCTAAGATCACCGCCAGGACCCTGTCCCTGTGCGCCGTGCCAAGCTTTAAAACTGCCCACCCCAGTCCCCCTTCCCATCTCGGACCAGTCCAGCCCGCTAACAGGTCAACGAGAGTTGATGCATCCCAGGACGGGAGGTCGTCGTTGGCAAAGAAAAAAAAAAAAAAAAAAAAAAAAGAAGGCGATACGTTTGCGGCTGCTTCTTCGATACGGACACGGTCGAGAAACTCCGCTTGGCTGCCTGGCCCACAACGAACCCGCTCCATGTAGTCCGTCTTCTCGGTCCCTTTCGTCGTCATCGGCTTCGTCGTCGTTGCTCGCCTCCTCCCCTTTCCTTCCCTTCGTCGTCGTCACTCGTTCTAACGAAAACCTCGACCGCGCACCTAGGAGCCAGCTTTGGCCTGTGTCATCTAGCGAAGCGCTGGCGCTGAGCTCAGCACGACACGATCCTCGCGGAACCGTACCCTTGTGTATTCCTTGTTTCGCGTTCTGTGCTTCGTGCTCGTGCCGCCGGCTTCACACTTCTCGTTTCTTCATTGTGCACGACGAGAATGCGGCCGCATGGCGTGTTCGGAAAGCAGAATGCCCTTTCGCTCTTCGCCCTCTTCGCCTTCGTCCTCACTGCCCTTCACTTCTATTGTTCACCCTCGCAACGGTTCGGTGGTGACGGTCGTCTCTTGGCAGTGCCGGCGTTTGGACGCCGCAAGCTTCAGAGGCACTGGTCCATAACGGGGAGGGGTCATCTCGAGGGCGTCACGAACTTCAGAAAGCCCCCAGGACTGAAGGTCGTGGCTCTTGTGTTCTACGGCAGGCCGGGGAGTGTGTCCATCCTGGATTGCTATCTGAAGGTAGGGAGGCCCCTTCGATGTTTCCGCGCTGCCGTCTCTGACCTGAGATTTTATACACAGAGAAATCTGGCCGTGAACGGTGGTGTCCTGGACGAAGTCGTCTTCCTGGCGCGCACGAGACGGGTGCGCGACCTGCTCTACCTGGACGAGCTTGTTCGCACGTCGCCGTACTACCGCCGGCAGGATCTGACCTTCACGCGTGGCGATTACAGATCGGCGTACAACTTTGTCGAAAACGGGACCATGTATGTGAAGATCGATGACGACATTGTGTTCATGGAGGACTCTACGATCCCGAGCCTGGTCTCGACAAAGCTGGAGAATCCAGACCTGTACATCGTATCTGCCAACGTGGTCAACCAGCCGTCGCTCAGCTGGGTGCACCAGCACTTGGGCGTCGTCAAACCATACCTGCCGGAACTGGATACGCCTCCGACCTTCTTTGAATACCAAGGTGCGGTCGTGTCGCGCTCGCACGACCACCACGTCGCAGGGACATGGCGGCCGTCTGAGCTGCCCACCTGGAGCGGACCGCCGTCCTTCAACTTCACCGACTACTTTGCCCACCACCCGAACGGGCCGTGCCCAAGCCACAGGTGGCTGCCGCTGCGAAACCAATCCAACCATGACAACACGCCCATCACGGCCGCTCTGTACGACGCGTTTGGGCCCAGCCTGTGGCACTGGTACATTGGGGCGCAACAGCACTTCTCCTTCCTCGAGCATCTGGAAAACAACGAGCTGTGGCGGTACAAGTTCCACCGCTGGGACTACAATTATCAGAGGATGGGCATCCAGATGATCGCCATGATGGGCGACGACATCAACAGGGCGAAGCCAATCGTAAACAGGGATGACGAGTACTACTTTTCTGAGTTTATGCCGTCGGTGACCAAGCGACGTGAGTGATCCCTGCCAGGCTGCACACTTTTCGCACGCATCAGTTTTGTCTTTCGCTCGACGTTACTCTTGAAATCTATGCTAATCCTGTTACTTTAGACGGTGTCGTCGACGGCCGAGCACTTGCCGTGCACTACAGCTTTGCACCTCAGAAGGAAGGCATGCACACGACCGATCTCCTGGAGCGATATCGAGCATTTGCGATGGAAAACATATGTGTGTAGACGATCTTAACTTTGTACAATATCCTTTCAGTATGCAGGCGGGCGTTTCATTTGGTTGCGACACGATACCCGGCGACCTTGCGCAGGATGGGACGGCGAGAAAAGACTCAGATAGACTAGGGAAGTGCGATGGTTTGTTCCGGATAGAGTTAGCCAGCTGAGCACACGCATCATGGCACGAGAAGGTTTTCGGACACGGCTCAACGCCAGGAGTGATTTGAGCGGGCATCCGTATTCAGCCCAGCATCTCGGCAGCCGCGAGGACGAGGGTGCTGATGACGATGATGACGGGATCAGCTGGAGCGGCCAGGCGACGCGTGGTGCTTCCCTTTTTGGGCTGGACAGACTAAGCGCCAAGCAACGGCGCCTCCAAGCCGGACCAAGAAGAACGCTCAGCGTCGTGCTGCTGACTGCCGAGCGACGAGGAAAATTTTTTCTGTCCGTCGGTTGCTGCGCTATTATTCTTGATGTTACTGTATTTACCGTAGCCGCGTCTTGGCTCGTGGAGTTGGCTGGTGAGGAATCATCGTTGCTGAGGCCACGCGTACTCGTCCTGATTTAGAACACGGTGGATGACCCCAGACACATCACGTCACAGTGGAGCACGAGACGCCTTAAGCGGATCCTCCATTCCTCGCCTGGCCTAGAGCTCAGGGCGTTGCCAAAGGCCGCAGAGGCCCAGTCCACCTGCTAGGGGGCACCTGCTCGGGGGGGGGGGGGACCCCCTAAGACACGCCTGAGCCCGGGGCCACTCCTGGCGCCAGGAACCATCCGGCCCGGCTTCGCGAGCAGCGTCGTGGTTTTCCCCGACAATGATACCTTTACCACGCCAATGATTCAGCTTCTGCTGTGCGGCGTTTTTTATTTCCCTTCAAAACACTCTTGAGGCTGCTTCTTGTGCCTTCTCCTCCCCTTACATTCTCCCCCCCCTTACTTTCTCCCTGCCCCCGCCAAAAACCAATTACTCGAATGTGTCCTCTGGCTTTGTCTATCTTCTCTCGCTCGTTTTCTCTTGTTTAGAGTCCGATGTCCTCGGGCAGGCCGCTACGTCACCCATGGCCGAGCAAGGCAGACTCGAGGGCTTCGCTGGTACGGACCCCGCGCAGAATGCGACGCCAATTGGATCAGACCTGGAGAGCGAGCCTGGTCGGGCTGTTGAAGACACAGAGGCGAGGCAGCCTCCCTCACAAGATGCAAATATAGCCGCCACGAGCGAACCGTCACAACCGTCAGAACCGTCGCCCGCCCCGTCCGACAAACAGAAGGCCGAGTCGGAAAGTGCTGAGGAGGTGGAAGAGAGGTTGCCGATGCAAGAGGCCGAGGATGCGAGGACCGAGCACGCCAGCCGCGACACCGTCGGCCCCGCTGACCGCTCCGTAACCACCGTAACCTGGGTCGACGAGAAGGTCGCTGACGAGCACGTCTCAACGCCGCACATCCCTTCGATCGTCCTGCAGAAGGGACGGCGGAACCGCTACGTTCCCATTCCAGAGCAGAAGCTGCGCAACAACCTGTCAGGCATGGTCGGCTTCCTCGAGTTCGCAAACGCGTTGGACTTCGCCGCCAACGTGTGGAACACGATCCCCGTGCCCACATTTGCAGCCGTGTTGATGGGCCTGGGCGGCGCCACCGCCCTGATCATCTCGGTCTTTGCGCTCCGGGACGGGCTCAAGGCCTGGAAGAACGTAAAGGTCCTGCGGAAGGAGCGGGCGGAGCTGCTGGCGGCCATGCGAGACAAGGAGAAGGGGATACCGGTCGACGGCTACGCCCTGGACGTCAAGGTCGAAGTCAACCGCCGTGAACTGGGACAGGAAATCGTCGACCGGCTGTCCATGGATGTCTTCATGGGCTTTTCGGCCCTGGTGGTCGGCGTGGGCACGATCTTGGCGATCGCCGGCGCCAATCCGCGCATCTACCACGCGTCCAACCTGCTGTCAGGATACATCGGCAACGCGCCGTCCGCGGTCTGGGGCGTCGGTAATACGCTGTGGAGCGCGTACCTGTTTCGCCGCGCCCGCCGTCACTTTGTCATTGGCACCCGAAACTTGCGAGACGAGGTGGTCAAGGCTAGACTAAAGAAGCGAACGAAGTCGATACGGGTTCACTCCTTCATCATGGGACTGGCAACCTTGGTGTCCGCGCCGAGCGGTATAGTCACGGCTACCATGTGGCAGGGCTATCCTCCCCTCGTGCCCTGCATTGTGCTCGCGAAGTGGGGAAACGAAATATGGAGGAGACGTCTGGGTTACACCAGGTTCCCCATCGGCCCGCAATACCCCTCCGTGGACACGGAAAGCCTTATCGAAGAACTCCAGTGGACGATTCGTATCAGCGATGATCTTGCCAGAGACAAGACGGCGAGTCACAAGAACTACATCCAGGTCTATCGCGGCTCTGACTCCACGACGGCTTTCATGTGTCGGATCGGTCTTCTCGAAGATCTCTGCGTGGAGTTGGTAAACGCCGGCCACATCAAGCACGGCAATCGGCAGACCGTTGAAGTAGACCAAGACATGATCGAGGACTGCGAGAGACTGGAGCCCGCGTTCGGCGCGGCGGCCGCTAGGATCTTCCAGAAGAAAGGCCGTCGAGCGCTGGAGCACAGGGAACGGCATTTGCTTGAGCTGTTGGGCGCAAGCATGCTCGACGCTACTTTCCGACGAAAGCAGTCGATTTCACAGCGAGTAACCACACGTGGATGAGATACGAGCAAGCTATGTTCAGTGGTACAGAGATAGATTTACAGCCTTTTAACGTTGTCTAATGCCGTTGTGATCGGTTTGAGATCATGACTCTCCACTTAGTCTCCGCGACCGTCCACTTCCGCTGGGCGACCTTTACGCCTGCCCTCGAGAATCTGCACGACCACAGTCGGCAACACGCTTGCCGCAAAGATGATGCCGGCAGTCAGACCTCCGCTTCCGCCGATCCCAATGCTTGAGACCATGTCTGGCAGCCAAAACGGGCAAATAAACCCCCACGTGGATCGCACCACGTTGACAAACGCGCCGATGCTGCTCGAGTGATTCTGGTGCATGTCGACCATGTACGTCATGCAAATGGTCGTAACAATCTGGTTGCCCGCTGCCGCGATGCCAATCCCGACTATCGGGGTTACGTTCCAGGTCTTAGCCTGGGCTGTCCGCACACCAAACACGATCAAGCCGACCATGGCGAGCATGTAGCCAAAGTAGCTCAGCCACAATCTAAACTCAGGCCTGACCCAGCTGCTTCCGTTCCGTTTGGCTTGGCGACGTCTCGCAGCGTGCATCCACCAGTCGCTCAGCGGGCCTGCAAGCTGCTCGCCGACGACGGAGCCGATGATCATGCCGAGAAATTGCAGGCCGAGCTGTTGGGCGTTGAAATGGTACAAGGGCAAGAAGATCTGCGGTATTTCGACTGTGAGGAAGACGGACGTGAAGCCGAACACGACCGAGTATGCGATTGTTGGCAGAAGAACGGAGGCATGTTTGCCCAGGAAGAGCGGCTCGATGAACTCCACGGCTCGGAACGGTGCAGGGTCGATGCGTCTAAACGAGAAGTACGCGCTTTTGAACGACGACTTGCCAGCAACCGACGCGTCCGTTGTGGAGGGGTCGTCAGTGCGCATATACCTTGTCTCTGGTGACAGGAAGAGATATGCGACGAATTGCACGGCGTTGGTGATTGCGAATATCCAATATATCCAGCGGTAGCCGACATGGTACGCAACGAAGCCCATCAGGAACGGTCCCGCCGGCGGACCGAGCGTGACCATCAGCGTCCAAATGCCCATCTTGGTAGCTCGCTGGTTCTTGAAGTATGTTTCGACGACAACGCCGCTGCCAATGGCAGCTGGCGGGCTGATGAAGAAGGCAACCAGGCACCGGCAGGCCGCCATGGCGCCGTAAGAATGGCTGACGGCGCAGCCAACGCTGCAGATGCCCGAGCCAAGACACGAGATCAACCAGACAGGGCGACGGCCGTAGCGCGTCGAGATGGGCTTCCAGAAAAGAGGCCCGTACCCTAAGACGACGATCTGCACCGACGTGAGGTATGACGTCTTCTGCAACGACACGCCCAGGTCTTGGGCGATGTTCTCGTATGCCGGGATGATGCCGGCGGCCATGAACGTCGTCATCATGGCGTGGAACGCAATCAGGAACAGGTTCACGTTTTTCTTCCAGTCCGGCCAGTTGTACGGGTCCTGGGGGTCTATGCTGGGAATCGGCTCCAGCTCGTGGGTACCATGTCGCCGGATGAGATAGTCCTTGTGAGCGCTGGTCAGCTCTGGCTTGACCGTGGCGACCCGTCCCAGGCCATTCTCAGGGTCGCTTGTTGCCGGCGGAGCTTGCTCCTGACGAATGCTTTCGGCCTTTTCGACGGACGACGACAGAGAAGGCTCTGAGGCAAAGTCCTGGCGGATCGTGTCCTTCATCCTTGCCGCTGTTCAGGCCTCGTCGGCAGGCCTTTAAGGGCAGTGCCTTTTGTAGATTGGACGTGTACGTTCTTATTGTTTATTTTTGTTTTATTCGAAGCACTGCATATAATCAGCGTGGTGGGAGGCAAATTCGGTAGACTCCTATAGAGCGAAGAGGTCCGCAGAATAATAATATCAAACGTAGACGCGAAATTCGAGCTACACCACGGCCGTCATATAGTCCCAAGCACGAGCACCTTGCGTTCGCCATCCTTCTTGGGAAAAAAAAAATGAACTACCGATTTTCCTACCGAGCGACATTTGACGCTTTGTCCCGACTACCCGTCATTCTTGTGGATCCCTCGCAAGACCCTCCCCTTGGAACTAGATCTGCGTCGCCGCAGGCGTAACTCCCCCAACACTCCACAAAATTACGGGGTTTCTCCGAGGTTTCCAGAGGAAGGGACCCATCCATTCCCCCCCCCCCCCCCCCCCCAGAAACCAGCAAACCGCCATCTTTCCTTTGCCGTTTTCCCCAATTTTCTTCCCCCTGGGCAGAGCGCGACGACGTGGTGGCTCCGGAGGGAAGGGAAGAAAAAGAAAAGGCGGGATCAGCAAGCACTGTTTGTTTACTGCGAGGAATGGCCTGAGGCCGTTGGACGACGGACGCGAGGCCGCAAAGCGGCAGGGCGGTGGTGCATTATCATTGCATGCCTCCGGCGTTTCGCCTGCTGGCTTGATTATCTAGTATGCGGCTCTGAGATAAGCAACGAACACAAGCTTTTCTTTTTTTTTTTTATTTCTTGGTCTCTCCCCCGGGGTGCTTTGCCCCGGCCTCCCCACTTCGCTTGTTTTTTCGGGGGGGGGAGGGGAGGGAAGGGGGAGGAAGAGCCAAAGTCGGCGCGTGGCAGGTGGGCAGGCTAAAGCGGGTGTCGTCCGCGTCTTCCATCGTCACAACGATTTACGGCATTCATTGTCGTTGCCATCCTTCGTCCTCGTCCTTCTTCCGCTTCAGACGCACACGCGGCCGAGGCGGAAACGAGGCACACCGTCTGACATCCGGTGTCGGGCTTTGAATGGCGAAAAAATGGATATGAGAGAAAGGAGCCTCGTGAGGCAGAACCGGGTCCTGCAACCTGATTTCCCGTCGCCGAATTTCAGCTTGCCCGTCTCGCCCACAGACTGCCATCCAGTCGTTGCTTGCGGCGTGTTCCGTTCGCTGCCTCCTCCATGCAGCGCGTCGCAGCGACGGTCAAGACGGCATCGGCGGACAACTTGAGGGCCTTCGGGGACTGGGAGCGGCAGTCTTTCCCTCTTTCTTTCTCTCTCTCTCTCCCTCCGTCTCTGGCGGAGCGTCGACACGCAAATTGTCCATCAAAGTCCCGGGCGGTGATCTGCGATGTGCCGACGGATGTGGGACGGGATATGAAGGTGGGTCGTCGGATGGGGGACGTAGCCCCAAACGTGAGCTTTGGACAACTCCACGTGCAAAGGCTTTTCGGGACCCAAAAAAGAAAAAGAGTGTTTTGTTGCGGGGGATGTCGCTTTCTAGCGTTACGCGTATTTGCAAGCCGTGGCCTTTTTGTTGGCGTACGCTTGTAAGCTGACAGATGTGCCAGTGCGTGAGTAGCAGTGACCCGGCCTTGCCGAGCTCGAGTCATGTCTTAATTGTCGTGCTATCAAACTTCAATTACACATCTTGTCTCCACGCCATCTCGAACGCATAAACCCCACAAATCACTTTACCCCGGCCTCATATAGATGGTCCAGAGCATCATGGAAGATTCCACACCTAGAAAAACCTGCCTGTCTGCATCAGCCCCCGTCGTCGCCTTTCTCCAAATCGCCTGTGTTTCTCTTCATCCTTTACCCCTACCTTTACCCTTGCCGTTCCAGTCCTCGTCGTCTCGATGTTCGTCTCTTTTCTTTCGCCGCCCAGCACGCCGGTGGTCTGCAGCGAAGCATTCGACGCAAGAGTAGATGAAGCCTAGCACAAAGACCGTGAGGCAGACGACAAACTTGGCGGGATGTACGCCACCACCCTCTTTGTCGCCGATGAGATGGTCGACGGGGCCTTTCTTGGGCATGGTTCCTTCAAGCTCGTCGATCCTCCCACTTGCAGCGTGACTGAGCCGATCTGCGTTGCGCCTTATTCAGACGTCTAGACGGTCTTTCCGCATCCAAGTTCGCAGCCGGCAACGGTTTCCCGTCAAAAGTCTTGTGTTTTGCACGTCGAAAAGAACCGCCTCAATCAAAAATGCTTTTTTCTTACGCTTGGCTGCGGCTTCGTCCGCTTCTGCTCCTCGAATTCACGTTTCTTTCTCTGCTGCCGCTCGCGCCGCTTCTTTGCGATGAAGGAGTCGACAACAGTGACACTGATAGCTAGGATGCCTGCGAGAATGATGAAGACGACACGGTGAGGAGTGATCTTCATGTGGAAAACTCCTCAGTCTTGGTGCCTGTACCTTTCTTTCCTGCTTTAGCGACGTCGGGATCGCTTCGGCTAACGTCGCAGACCGTCGCTGCGAATGGACAAGCGTGGGAGGGGGAAAAGCCAAATAATATGATAACTGGAACGATGAAGGCGGTGCTGGCCAAAGGGGAAACGAGGAGTTGAAATGGTTGTGTACTTGGGTGGAAAAAGAACATACGTATCTCGCTCTACCGGTGACTAACCCTCCTCCTCTGGGCGAGAGCGCAATTTCATACAGTGATACACGTTTTCGTGATTACGAAGGATGCGGCTGCAACCGGCTGTGTGACCTATGGATGAACAAGCTGACTGGTGCAGCTCCCTCACCTCTCATCAACATTGATGGGTTGCTGCTGCACAGATTTGGCAGGATAATATCGATTCATTTTGCACCTGAGAGGTAGATTGACAGTGATTGCAATATTGGTTGTGTGCAGAGTGTGAATTGATTTGAAGTTTGACTTATCTGTATAAATGAATGTGAAACTTCCGTCTTAATTCACACAACTCGGAGGGGTGAGCTTTTGCGCTCCCGTAGCATCAGAAAAACTCCGCCAGAAATGCAGGCACGCTTCCTATGTTCTAGTCTCTCCCTCGATGTATTCGTACAAGTTCCCTGTTGGCCCTGCTTCCCTCCCTCTATTCTTCTTCGTCCTAGACTCAACCTGTCCTCACCAGCAACAAGCCCCCCCTCTTCCGCTCAATTGCCTCTCGAGCCTCCAGAATGCCGATGTCTGTGCTGACAAACATGCATTCTCCAGGGTTCACTAATGGCTGAATTATGCCCGCCTTCTTCCCGGCTACCAGCCGCCGAAGTTCCTCGACTTTGGCAGTGATCTTGCGTTTCGGTTTCGAAATCATCTGCACGGATCGTAGCACCGGCTCATTGTCCCAGTACTTGAGGCCGAGCCATATCCGCCTGTGCGCCGGATTCACGGGCACGCCCACGGATTTGTATACGCTCGCGCTCAGGGTTTTGCTCCTCGCTTGGCTTCTCAGCACTTCGTCCGGGGGCAATGATAAGCCTGCGGTTGCCACGCCGTCGTTGCTGGCCGCCTGGTAGTCCATTCCCAACCAGGGTTGCTCTGCCAACTCGTTCTCGAGAGATTCCCGTGACTCCAGCGTGATATCTTCCCCCAATTCGGCTGTGGGTGGTTTTCGGCCAGCAACTTGGAGTGTAGATATGAGGCCCTGCTTCTGCAAGGCGAGGCACAGAGCGAGGTGCATTTTGGTCATCGGGATGGAGGTTAGGCTAAGGCGGGCACGCGAAGCATTTTGAAGATGCGAGCAGACGTTGCTCAGGTTGGAAAAAACCATATTGTAGCCTAATTTTTTTTTTTAAAAGTTGGGCGGATGAGCGTGCACGATTACGGCGTTTGTGCTATTCGGATGCTCGCGGTGGTGGTCATGCAAGCGGACACGGCGCAATGATTGCTCCCCTGCGCCTGTCCAGTCTGGTCGATAATCAAATCAATTGCCGGTTCGAGACGGTGGTTGTCGTCGTCGTCGTCGTTGGATGGGAACCTGCTCGTGAGATGGGTATGAAGCATGTCTACAGTGGTCGTGGACATGTACTTTTTCCGCAAGCCCAAAAGGGAAATACGCCATGCGTGCTCCGATTGGTGGGTGCTAAGCGCCGTAGCTTGCGCCGTCGAGGGGTTCACGCCCAGTGAGCTGACAAGGCTTGGGTTATATTAAGATTCCATTGCATCCAGATCCCCTAAGCGTTGGCTGCGTCGTTCTATATAATCGCGAACAGACTTTGCTTCAAGGATTCTGCCTTGCTAAGCACTGGGCTCCCTCTCCCACACACACCCAGCTTTTCGAAGTCGTGATAGTCGCGCGTCCGGGCCATCACGTAACACTATTTGCAAAAGAGCTGGGGAGACAGATCTACGTGCGCCCGCACATGCTGGGAAGATGCCCCTCCAGCAGGGTGAAGTGTCGCTTTTGACGCTGTACGTCCCATCAGGCACATTCGATTAGGGGCTATAGGACATGCTGACACTGCGCTTGTGTACAGCTATGCTGATGTACATACGTATTTTGCCCCGCCTACTTCTAAACCGGCTCACCACCGCTTCGACCGGAGATCGTACCTGTATCTCTTCCACGATGCGCTAAACAAACGTGGCCGCCTCGAGATCGCAAATAATGCGGGAACGGCGGATCAGGATGCCTTCAATGGGTGTATGCTTGTCTTAACAACGGAAAATCGGAAAAGTGCTGATGTTTCATGCTGTATACTGTAGACCTCGACATGTCCCGTGTGGAGTACTCGTACAAACAACCAAACCTCTTCACAATCACGGTGTCAACCCACACACAAGGAACCCCTCAAAACGACCTCTCGCAATGGCATCTACCCGCCTTCGACCTACGGAACGAGAACAAATACATGTACAAGATTCACAGTTTGGACATATACTTGTGGACCGCGGAGGACGCTTCACTGCTAGTAGACTCACTCAAACGAGTTCTTCAGCCTGGCCAGCTTGTTCTCTCGGACGTGCCCCCGAGTGCCACACACTCCGAACACAGGAATAGCATGAGCCCGGTGGTCCAGCAGCTGGAACAGGCAGCCATATCGACACAACCGCAGCGGACGGCCAGTGTGAGCACCACACAGAGTTTCCCGTCTCAAGCTCCACACACGAACGGCGTCAGCGCCGCGCCTGTTCACCCATCCCAATCGCCGCCCGCGACCAACTTCACGCCCATGGGCTATAATCCGGCCGCACCTGCGGCTCCAGAGACCAGAGTCCACAGAGAGAAGACTCCACCTCCTCCAGACGCGGAGTCGGGTACCGGTCTCGCAGCAGCACAACACGATAACCCAGTCCCCTCATTTGCCGGTCCACCGCAGGGTGGTTTCGCACCCCAGCCTACGTCGTACATGGGGGGTGCGCCCTCCATGAGCTCTCCTCACCCGGGTCTCCATAGAGCCAGCACCATGAGCTCGATCGCACCGCAATCACCACCGCCTTACCAGCAGACCTTTGCTGGTCCCCCGCTGGCTGCATCGACCCTGCAGGACAATAAAGCCATGTACACCCAGGAACCCCCCACCCCAGGCATCCAACGGCAGCACACTTATCCCTATCAGCCAGCCGCCACTCAACAGCCCGTTCAGCAATATGCTTCATACCCATCCACTTCCGCGCCCAATGGACCTGCCTCTCCTGGTTTCGCATCCCTCCAATCTCCCGGCTTCGGCATTCCTCCAAGCAGCGCTCAGTCCCAAATGTACAACACGGGCGAGCAGACACAGACTATGCAAAGCGCGAGCACCACATTCAACCCCACAAGCATCCACCACCCCATGCATCAGCAGCTGTATATTCCAGAGGGAAGCAGCACACCCGCACAAGCTGGGCCGGGAGCGCAGGGCGGCGGGATTGTGGACCCCAGCAAGCTGGATCACAAGTTCGAACAGATTGAGAAGAGTGTGACCAGATTCCTGAAAAGGCTGGACAAGAAGCTATAATTTTGAGACCACAGAGGTCATTTTGGCACTATTTCTTGTACAATGATGAGAGTCCAAAGAAACGTGCTACGGATATCCCTATTCGTATTTGTGCGTGAAGGGGGGAGAGGCGGGGGGCTTTTTCAGTTGACGACACAGCGTATTTTGTGAGCGAGCGAATTTATGCGCTTGACACAGGATTTAATCTTCATTGGGGAAGTTGCATATCAATTTTACATCATGAAGAGGTCAAAAAGGTGCTATAAAGTCCTAAGTCTAGCCTTGGAGCGTTGCTAGACCTTCATATTTTGGTTTGGTATGGTTTTTGAGATCATTTTTCGCGCACTCAAACACAGGGATTCACAGAGTTTTTGCCCTTGAGGTCGCACATGATGTTGTCAATGGGAATAAAGGGTTGTTTCGCGGTTCCGTACGTCACCTGGCCTCCTTATAAAACAGCACACATCGAACGAGAGGATCGAGTTGGTCATTCGCATGCCCTATCTTCCGGGCGGCCTGTCATTATTCTTCGCTTCGAATCATTGTCCTCCTCATGTCGCATAATGATACTTGAGACACGGATTTATCCCTTTTGATGTAGATTTCTGTGGTCGACCGAAACTGCGGCTCAAGCGACGATGAGCAACCTTTAACTTACCCAGGAAAGTCGACCAATAGGATTCTACCTGGCTCAATCCCCGCATAGTGTGCATGCTTACTACCAATGTAAGTGGCATATCCAGTCCTTTCCGCTTCCTCGTCCATTTGTCGCGCAGGCTGTGAATCGTCGTGAATAGAACGTGACAGGAGGATCATGCAAATATTATCCCATTATGTATCTCTCGTGTGAATTACCATGGGTTGCAGGCGGCATCTGGTCCAATGAAGGTCTTTGAGAACGCCCGCTCTAGCAGGAGTCTCGCAGCTGAGTCTAATGTTACCTTTGCTGCTTGGCGAGTCGATATGAGGTTGGCTATCTGCTGGAAAGGCAATAAAGACTCTATTTTGTGGTGAATCAGGGCCGCTAATCGACCTCTATCTGGCTCGCAGCAGTTGTATCGTGGGAAGGGTTTGGAATTTCGCCCTTGGTGTGTAGATTTGTTCGGGGATCAGGCCGTGTTCTCAGGTAACGCTCCAGCTCCCGTCGCCAAGTTACGTTGTGGAAGGTAGTCCTCGAGGTCATTTTGAGCGTGTCAATCCGCGAATCTTCCGCCGACTCCAATGACCTTGTTCCACAACCGTCGTGCCTTGCCCTTCTTGCCAGTGTGAAACCTACGGTCCCGAACCGCAAGAGCACGCATCTGCTGAGAGAGGTACTTCTAAAGCGAATGACTGCATCGCATCTCAACCGGTAGAGATGACGATGATCGAAATGCGCGTTGACTAGACAAAACATCCGTCAGGTCTCAGGACGAGCGACCCACATCGCACAGGATGATATGGTTTTCCAAAGAGCTCTAAGTGGTTCTCAAAGTTTCGCAATTGCATGGGAAGCGCCCTTGCTGAAGTGCAGCGCCAGTAACGCCAATGACGTGCTCGAACTTTCCCAATTCGTGACGTGTTGTAAAGTGGGTTGTAGAACGTTGGCCAAGAAATTGCTAGTCCTTTCCTTTTGAGTAAACTTGGAAGATTTGCTTTCATTCCTTATTCCGCTGGCATAGTCCGCGAAACGGATCAAGCGATCTCCTCCGACGCAGCTGAGATCTACCCAACCCAATCGAACCTCAATTATATCAAGCAATTGTCTTTGGTACGCTACGTTTGGACCAGGTTTTGTCACCAGCCTGAATAATTGCAGCCATGGCGGGAAGCCATCAGATAATGCCCGCAAGCTGATCATGCGCTAACGTTGGCATCATTATATCGGACGCGAACGTAAAAGGGTTACCCGTCTCGCCAAAAAGCAACCAATGCAGTGGCCCCTGCGTGCGCCATAGGGCTGAGCAAAAGGTGTCCACATCGCAAAGAGAACAAACGTCTGGGCATCCAGCTTTCAGGCCCCATCTCGAAACCCTCTTTCCCTTATTTTTTCAAACCCGCAATCCAGCCGACCGCGTAGAACCCCCTCCGTCGCGATGCACTCGGCGCTCGTGAGGGCGCAAAATGTGTTCGGCTACTTCACGACGGTGGCCACCGTGGTAGCGGCCATCATCGCGCTGTCGGCCTTCGTGGTGCCGCAGGCTCCCACGGCGACGTTGAAGATGCGCAACGTGCAGGTGTACGTGTTCTCCTTGACGTCTCCCCGCCTTTGGCCGTTCCCCCGGGCGGCGTGAGGGCCGGGCGTTTGCACGGGTGTGACTGACGGGCCGGCAACAGCGCGAAGGGCAGACCGCATTACTACAGCACCAAGAAGGAGGAGTACGCGCATGTGCGCTTCGATCTGGACGCAGGTACGTGCCTTCGACGGCGACCGACGGCCGCGCTGGCCCTTCCTCTCGGTTCCTAAAGGTCGAGGGGCGAGGGCCTAGCAAGACGATCGGGGCTCGCGGAGCGACAGCAGAGACGAAGAGGAAGGGAAAAAAAAATGAGAAAGGGCAACCGAAAGCTAACACGGGTTGGCCGCGCAGACCTGTCCAGCCTCTACAACTGGAACACGAAGCAGGTGTTCGTGTTCGTCAAGGCCGTCTACCCGTCGACGAACGCGTCGGCTCCGCCGTCCGAGGCCATCATCTGGGACGCGATCCTGCCGTCGCCGCTGGCGCCGTGGCACCAGAACCAGTACATCCACCCGGCGGCGGCGGCGCCGCCCTCGCACACGACGGACAAGTGGGGCAACAAGAAGGTGGTGTCGCGGCCGGGCCTGACGTACAGCGGCACGCGGCGGCCGGGCATCCTCAAGCTGAGCAACCAGAAGCCCAAGTACGTCATCACGGACTACACGGGCAGGATCGCGGAGCGCGCCAACGCCACGCTCGAGCTCGGCTGGAACGTCCAGCCTTGGGTGGGCCCGCTCACGTGGAACACGAAGCGCGACCTGGGCGCGTGGAAGAAGCTCGAGGGCGGCGTGAGCAAGCCTTTCGACTTCCCCGAGGTCAAGGGCAAGAAGAGCGAGATGGGCACCGTCAAGGGCGGCGAGAACAACAGGGGGAAGCCGGCGTAGTGCCGGTCCGCGGTTCGAGATGCAGACGGAGCAGCCAATGCACGACAGTTTCTTGTGCGGATGGGCGAAAAGCGGAAGGAAGAAGAAGAAGAGAGAAGGGGGAAAATAAAAAAAAAACACCACAACAGCGTTCTAGATCGAATCGTGTATACCACCTTTGAGCAAAATTCTAAAAACTGCTTGCCGGCGACGGAGCGACGGGTTCAACCAAATAGTCGTTTCCCTTTTCAATTCTCCCTTTATGTTAAGAGACGTCGGTGACATCAAGGGCACTTCTAAATTCGCTATGGCCACGGTCTCCGCGTCCGCAGAGACATTTTGTAATCGATGATACAGAGCCGAAAAGAAAACCACTCGTCCTGAAATAGAACTAGCTCAAGACCAGCCATCCAGATAACGTGAACATTGCGTATCAAGACAATGTTCAAAAAATGACGATCGCGACTCAACCATGAAGCGAGAGAATATTAGGGGGGGGGGGGGGGGAAAAAAGAAACGAAAAGACGGGGCATTGCCAAGGGCAAGACGAATCCCGCTGCGCAGTTCAAGAATGGATATAAGCTCGCCGAATTTACAAGCATAGTGCACGCGTTACCCCGTGTCAAAATAGGATCATTTTTATGACCTCGTTTCATCCAATTCCATGTCAAGTCGCTAAGCGTGAGGAAATTAAGATACGCTTTCGTGTCTAGAGAAGCAAAGGAATTTTTTTTTTGGAAAGAAATTATTGAAAAAGGGGGAGAGACTGAAGAGCCATGTATTATGCGTGGAAAGACTCCTCACTCCTGGAGAACGACAGCTCGCCCAACTGAGGCGGTCTATCATCGCGGTCAACCAGCACCGGGCTCGACATCGGTGGGGTTGTGCTCGTGACGGCGTCGAGCGTCAACGGGCTCATGGGCGCGGACCCGCGGTCCAAAGGCCCCGGGCTGACGCGGCGCGGGTTCCTGGTGGGCGGGACAAGCATGGGCGATTCTTGCTCTACTGACAGTTCGTAGTCCGACTTCTCGTCCGGAAAACCGACGAGTGCGCTGCCGAGCGGGCTGCTGATCAGGCTGGGGCTGGCGAGCGGACTGCGCACGGGGTGCAGGGATGGCCCGCGCGTGCTTTCGGGTGAGAGGAGGCCGCGCGAGGTGCTAGAGGCGCGGGACGAGTTGGTGACTGTGGAGGCGTTTATGGCCGTCTGCAGAATGGAGGGGTTACGGTGCATGCTCATGCTGGAGTGTGCCTCGGGCTCGGGGGTGTTGTTCATCGGCTCCGTCAGCTCATACTGGTGGTTTGAGTAGCCCGGCGGTGCTCCTGGACCAGAATGCCGTCGCGTCGAGTCGGTCCAGGTTTGAGGTGCAGTCCAGCAGTAGCTGCGTTGTTGGCAGGCTTCAATCATGAGAGGTGCAGCGTCTGGCGAGCGCCAGGGAGGGCATCCCTCAAGGGATGGGTTAATGTAATAACGGACCTTATCCTTGTATTTAAGTCCGACTGTGTCAACAGAGATGGTAGAAAGCACCTGAAGAATACCGTAGAGAAGGACCCAACGACCAAGACGAGCTTCGGACGGTGTCATTGTGGATGTCGTCGCCGACTTCTCGTACGTCGAAATCGATTCGAGCAGTTTGTTGTCTTCAAGGCATTTGTCAGCACGCTTACTTTAGGAACGACGATCCGTGGAGGTTCTACATATGTACAGCGTATCGCTGAGAATGTTAAGAGACGGGGGAAAGTGTTTTGCTTGATCTCACCTTCAAAGGTAGTACCCAGTCTGTTGATGTTGGAGGCCTGGTTAAAGGCGAGCGCCATCTGATACTGTTGCTTCACATCCGGGATGGCCTCCTTATCCTTGGATCTGAACTTGCTGAGCAGGTTCTTGCGCGAGCTTTGTAGCTTCGGGCTCGGCAACCTTGTTTCCGGCAGCAAGGGGTAAGGGTGTGGGATGTGGTCGTACTTTTGGCTCGAGTCAAAGCCGATCAGCATGTCGGTGATTGGAAAGCCAGGGCTGTCGGCCTCGAAGCCACCCGCGCGAAGTCGCTTCGGGACCATTTCCCACTTCCTGCTTGATCTGCTCTCGTTGCCGTCCCAGACGATGTCTCGGTCAACCCAGTAGTTGTACACGGCTCCAAAGTCAGCCTGCAGGCGAGTCATGACGGCGCGGCTGAGCCAGTGGCCTTGGTGGTCCTCGCTCCTAGGTGGCCAGCTGCCGTACTCCTCCTCGTAGAAGGCGAAGAGGAACTCACGGAAGGACTCGAAGCTCTTCTGTATCGGCGAGTTGTTCGCCACGCCGTCGACATACCACATCTCTGGAAAGTCGAAGCGGGCCAGTCGCTCTTCCGCCTCGATGAGCCGCAGCTGCGAGCCGTTGTACGCCATCTGCAGCTTGTGCCGCGTCACCTGCGACAGATTGCGGTATTCTTTCGTCTTCATGGTAGCCTGCGTCATCATACCTACGGAGTGAACGAACGCCTCGAGGTAGCCTGCGTCCCACAACACGTTTGGCTGCTCCGACCAAGTCAGCAGACCAAGAGCATTGGTCAGGCTCCCTCGAACGTCGTCGAGTCTTCGCTGAGTCAAGTACTGCACAATGACCTGCGCGCTGTTCCACCGTTCCGACGGCTCGTTCAACTCGTAATACGTGTCCATGACGTTTTGAAGGTCGGACAACATCTCGTAAAAGTCATTACCGATAATTGGAAGACCACTGTTTGAGAAGAGAGAAAAAATCGCTAGTTAGCTCAGACCAAAAAGTACAGAAACATGCAAACACAAATGTAAAAGATGAAACGAAAGAGTCCACGTACTATAGCAGAGCGATGTAGTTGCGTGTCGCCATGTGATGCCGTCTCTGGATATCCGGCCGCTTTATGTGCGACGGGGCTCGGAACCAGATCTCGTGAGTGATCTCAACAGCGGAGTCGTCGTGCTGATCGCCGTACAGGCTCTCGGCAGGCGACTGCAACGTGATGCTGGACGGCGCCTGCTGGCCGCCTGGGCCCGTTCGGGACCGTTCTCGGTCTCCTGGAGAGAACAGCGTCTGATCAGACGTAGACCACGTGTCCCTGTCTTGGTTGTACCTGGTCGTCTGTGAGACAGGCGGCGACCTGAGGTCGAGCCTCTGCGTGCTCTCTGACAGCACCTGGTCCAGGTGGCCAAGGCTCTTGGTGGTCAACGGCCATTGCGACTGCGAGGGCGTGGGGCCCGCACTGCTGGGCGGCGTGTCATCATCCTCGCGCACGATCTCGCCGTACCGCAGCAGGTTGATCATGAAAGTTGACTTGGCTTGCTCGAGCACGCCCTTGTGCACCCTTAGCATGGGCCGGGGATCGTCCTCGCTGGTCTCCTCGCTGAAGAAGATCAGGCAGTCACCGTCGGCCATCCACATGTCGTCGTCGTGCTCGAAGCCCGCGTACGGCTTTGGGGAATGGCCGCCGCCGATAAACAGCTTTGTGTTCGCCCAGGACTTCTCATACGTAGGTTTTGCATGGTCTGACGAGACGGAGTGCGAGCGAGACTTGTTGGAGCGGCCCTCAATGCTGGCGGAGAAGCTCGACTTGCTGCGCGTCTCCTCTAGGTTCTTGACCTTAACAGGTACGCCGCCACCCCGCCCGCGCGGATGCGACGTCGTTTTGCCCTTGGCTGCATACTTCTTGCGCTCGTCGGCTGAGGACAAGCGCGAACCCATGACGGACGAGAAGGTGGAGCCATTGCTACCGCTGGACGTGACGGACGCGCTGGACGGCTGTACGGGGGTTGCGGCTTTGTTCCACGGTGCTACGTGGCTCTTGTCCGTGGGCGAGAACGGGCGCGAAGCGCTCAGGTTCCCCGCTGGTGAGTGCAGGCGTGCGAATCGCTCGGCCCGCTCCTTCTCGGAATTCTTCTTCTCCTCTTTGTGTATGTTCTTCTCTGTCACCTTTCGCGCGCGTGCGCCTCTCGATGCCATGTTGACCAGATAGCTCGCCGGCAGCTGACGCCGGGACGACACAGTCGGCCTCCCCGCGGGTTTGCTGAAGGAGTGCGGGACTGGATTCTCGAGCGGTTCGGGGGCGTAGAGCTGTTGAGTGAGCTCGTAAACGAGAACGCCCGGAGATGGCGCGACGACAGCGGGTGCTCCTGAAAGACGGAGTGCGGCTTTCTCTGGTATAGAATGCAGCGACTGCCTGCCTGCAGTACCGGCAGCAGTCGCAGCAACAGGCGATACGTCTGGCCTCCTTTTCTCTGATCTCCTCCTTCCGGTCGAGGGTCTTCTCAGAAGGGGTACCTTAACCTTCTCGGCAACGTTGTCGACGGACGCAGCGGAGCCAATGGACCAAGAGTAACCCGGCAGATTTTGCGGCAGCCTACGGGCGGGTAGGCCGAGAGGATCTGCCCAGGGAAGTTCGCTGAAGGGCCAGGAGGGAGACGTGGGCGGAGAGGTGGCAGTGGTGGACGAGGCGGTGGTAGACGAGCGGTCGTCGAGATTGCGGATACCCTCCGACTCCTGCGCGACGGAGACGGTGATGAGAATGCCGTTGTCCTTCCCAGGCCGGCGTAGCTCGGCGAGGCTCCTGCTCTGGCGTCGTAGCTCGTGGACGGAGACCTCCCGCGCGCGGGTCTGGTGGGGTGCGCGCGTGTGCGGTGAGCCTACGACATAAGCGGACTGGCTCCTTGATTCGTGCTGGTGCAGGGCGTAAATTTTGCTGAAGTTTAGGAAGGTAGCAGAGCAAGCAGCCTCGGAGACAAGGCCTTTTGCTCACCTACCCGGGAATTGTCGAGCTGTTCGCAAAGGCACCGTGCCGACGCTGGTTTGCGCATGCAGTCTGCTGAGTTTGCCGCGACCCGCCCTGGGCTAGCTCGCTTTTCGGGCCTTGGGGGTCCCTGTCAGTCCTCGCTGACGGGCGTGCGGTCGCGCACCTCGTCTGGACCGTAATGCTTTGTTGGGCCAAAAGATAGCAGTACACTCTGACCGTCCGCTCCAGCCGTTTGGTTTTGTTTCGCCAGCCCACGACGCCAATCTTTCGCGATACGGCGTGCAATGCCGGCAGCGCGTTTGCGTGTTTGTGCGTGCGTGTGCTAGGGTGGGGGGCCCGCCAGCAGAAGCACAGTGTCCCGCGAATACGCAGAGATACTGTGCGGGAGCGATGCAACTATCGTCTCCAAACACTCGGGTTTGCGCCGCGGGTCCTGATAGCGGATGGGCCAAAGTTCCCCCTGTTAGCAATCTCTCAAGCTCAGGGCTACTGCTTCCCCCTTCGAAAATGCCGATCTTTAAGGCTGAACGAGTGCTAGGTCTGCGGGGAGAGAACAACAGGCTGTGGGGGAGAGCAACAACGCGCTCAGAAAGGACGAATCAAGGTCTATCAGGGGGCAAAAGACGGCCTTGCACGATACATGTGCATCTCAAGAAGATGGGAAAAAAAAGTAAGGGAAAAGCGGTCTGTAAAGGAGAGTCAATCGAATTGAAAAAAGACAATGTGCGCCTTGCACTTTCTTTTCCCTTTCTCTCAGCTGAACATGGTTTGTATATGTGGAGTTGAGCCGCTACAGAGCCACACTGAAATAACGAAGGAGACGCAGGCGCAGGGGAGAACAGCGCATATAAGGATAGGCAGAGAGGATCCGGCCCCAAGGCAAATAACATGTCGGGCGCACCTGTCACGGCGTCAAGATGGACACTTGATCTCTTGGCCTAACGGTCGTCCATTCTTGTCTCGTCTCATACGGTGTTACTCCTGAGCCTCGAGAGATCGAGCCGAGCGAGAGGACGGGGCAGACACAGCGAGTGAGGGACAAGAGAAGCCGCCGGCAAGCTGTCAAAAGCCCGATCCAGGTCTGGGCCCAAACAAAGTTCTCCTAAACGCAAGCAGCCCCATGGTGATGCGAGCTAGCAGTTTCTTCAGACGAAGAAATCAAAACGCGTAGAGGTCCGTAACCGGGCTGAGGCAGTCGCAAGCCACCAGCGCTGGTGTGCATGCAGAGGGGAGCAGCACTAGGGGCGAAAGAAAAAGCAAATGGGCCTAGTGTCGAGATAAGACCCGCTGGTGCGCGATCGAAGGCGGTTCTTGGCCCTGGGGTTATCGACGAAAATTAACGGGGCCTAGTAATGAGAATTGGAAAGAGAAAAAACAAGAAAAAGAAAATATGGAAAAAAAAAAGAGATGGAAAAGAAAAGCCTTCCAGAAGGCGATCCTGTGCGGTGAGACGGGGATGGCAACAAGATCCTTTGCTTCCCAGCAACGCGGGGCGCTATAGGTTTCGGCTCCTTCGCGGCAGTAGTACGACCGGCTTTCGTAACTGTGATGGTATCAATCGCATTCTCCTTTCTGGCCAAGCGAAGACGCGGGCTTGCGTTTTGACTCCGTGGAAAGCTTAAGCAAAGAGAAAGGGCAAGAGTCCAGAAGCCGGCGAGTGATAGGCAGTGCCACGCGCGGGATTCCCACGGTCGGCGCCGCAAAGAAGAATACAAGTAATAACAAGTTGCGCCCAATCAGACACGCGTCCGGTGCACGAATTACTGCGTTTTCTTGGACGGGACTTCGGCGGCCATTTCGACGGTGCTGCGATGCGGCCAGCTTGTGATTCAGCGGCAGTCCCCCCGTCCACGGCGGGCGACGCATCGGAGGCCTGGTATTCGCGGCTACGCACAGCCAGAGGCCGACGATAGTAAGCAAAGCTCTGCAGGCGAGTTTCCATGGTAGTTCTCCGCAGAGTTTTCTCCGCAGTCTCCTTTCCTCGACGGTTACGGGCGGCGTCCGTCCAAAAGTCGAGCGTCCTGTGAGCCGGTCAAAACGCGGGGCCCAGCCAGCAAGGAACGAGGCGAGGCTATGCATGCCCACGGCGCGTTGCATCAGCCGGACGTCCCCTGGATGCCCGGTCAAAGGTCAGGTCTTCGTTAGGCCAGCCATAATTACGGTTCCAAAGAGGCTCTGACCGACGGGAGAAGGGAACGAATTTGCTGGAGTGAGTGAGGGTGCGTGTGAGTGCGTGGTCAGACGGTCTCGCGCGGACGCGAACGAGCCGCGTCGCAAAAGCAACGAGACGCTGTTCCCGTATTCCAGAGCGTGGGGCCTCTCATTCCTTCTTCTCGCTCTCTGCGCGCAGTGCTGCGTTTCTCTGATCGAGCCGTTTCTCTCTGTGGCGTCTGCGTTATCGTCGCACAGCTGCACCGCGCCTTTCGTGACATGTCTTTGTTGCTGAACGCAGAGGTTCGAGCGAGCAGCATCTTTCGCCGTCCCAAATGCGGCCAAAGCAACATCAAACAGGTAAATGAGCTGACGGACTGGCTGCCTTGTGGGCGGTGAAAAGAATGGGCGAGGCCACGCGATGAGGGAGCTCAACGTCTCTGCACGATTGTGCTTCACCACGGCCTTGTGCAGACGCTTGCGTGGACGACGAGAAGAAAAATAGAGAAGAAGGAAGACACGGATGCGATGGAGTGAACGATGCCAACAGCATGCAGAGAGCGAGTCTCTTTATTCTTCCGACGCGAAACGTCGTCGACCGCAAGGAGAGCCCGTTCTTAGGTAACAGCAACCACGTCGATGCCCATTGAGCGTCCGTAGTGTGCGAGTCCTTGCTCGACTATTACGTTACGCCTTCAGCACGCCCTCGGAAGGCAGCGCAGGCTCGCACAAACACAAGATGCGCTGAGACACAAGATGCGGGTTGTATAGCCAGACACTCAGCCGACGCCCGAGCACGACTTCGCCCACGCTCTTCTCTACACGCGCTGGCAAAGTACAGCCCTGCAAGCAGCGCCGTTGTCAGACCCCAGCTGGGGCAGCAGAGGGAGAGGGGGAGGTTTGAGCCCGGGCCGGTTGCCCCGCGCGACGAGACATCCAGCAGGAGGGGGGTGGGAGAGACGCCGCCGGTCCGTGGGTGCGGTGTTGAGTTTAGTGGGTGCTGGGATGAGTCTAGTGGGTGCAGCGCTGAGTTTGACGGGTGCCGCGCTGGGTTTAGGGGGTGCCGCGCTGAGTTTAGGGGGTGCTGGGCTGAGTTTAGGGGGTGCTGGGCTCGGTCAGCCCGCCCGAGAGTGCGCGCCCAGCACTGTCTCAGCAGGCCCTCTGCGCCGTCTCAGGCTGCCCGCCTCCCCAACCTCGCCTCCGAGATCAGCCACCGGCTTTCTGCGCGGGGGCCCACCGACAGCCTCCTCACTTTTAGCCCTGGGCGCCCGCAACGTCATCCCGCGAGGAACATCCTGAACACAAAGACCACAGCCTTCCTTGTCGCCGTGACAACGCATTCCCGATCGCCTTCTCGCTGCAAAATTTTTTCAAACGCGCTCGTCTCTGCTCCCTCCGTTTCTGCGTGCTCGTCTCTGCAGTCTCTTCTTCCTTCTGCTTAGCCGTCCGTCAGCTCGCTCAGCCTGCTTCAGCTCCCTCCCGCGCTCCTCTAAACACCGCGTTGCCCCCACCACCACCACCACCACCACCACCACGATCTGGTACCACCTCCACCAGCAGAGAAACAAAAGCTCTGCGCTGCCTCCCCTCACCACCGCTCCCTCCCGTCGCAAGCGTTGCTTTTGCCATCGGTCTTGTCGCCTGGCCCATCGCATTGCCTGAACCATGTTGCCCGGCCTCTTCTTCGGCTTCTGGCGCATCTGCGAGATCGTCACCTTGGTTCCTCCAGTCGGCATGCTCGCCTGGTTCGTCCATGGCTTCACCAAAAGTAAGACACGCTCGCTGCCGTGGCAGAGCCCCCTCGCGCACCCAACGTGCTGACCGTGGACTCTTGCGCTAACGTCTTTTGTTCTTCTGCCTCCAGATAACCAGCTCACCCCGACCTTCGTCCTCGTCCTGTTCATCGTGTCCACTCTCGCGCTGGCCTGGGCCATGGGGACCCTCTTTCTGTACTTCCGCGCCCGCTCCAGCGGCGGCTTCGTCGCCTTTGTTGACCTCCTCTTCTTCGGCGCCCTCATCGCCGGCGTGTATGAGTTGCGCGCCATCACAGACGTAGACTGCGGCAACTTCGTCTCGAACAACCCAATCTTCTTGAACCTGGGGCCCTTTGGCTATGTCGGCCGCCAGACGGGCAACGGCCTCGCCAACGACGAGCACAAGAACTGTTCCATGCTTAAGGCCAGCTTTGCCTTTGGCGTCATGAACGTCGTCTTTTTCTTCTTCACCTTCGTGAGTCGCCCTCCCCCTCTTGCTTACTCGCCCTTTCCAACTCGATCTTGCTGACCAATGTCCTTTGCTAGCTTTTGGCAATCTGGGTCGGCCATCACAACAGACCGGAGTACGACCGCCACACGCGCCGCACCGTCGTTGAGACCCGACACCGGTCGTCGCGCTCCCCCCGCTACTCCAACAGCCCGCGCCGATCGCACCACAGTCACCGTAGCAGCCACCGCCACGCCATCATTTAGGAAGCCAGTCTCTCTTTATCGCCAGTCTCTTCCGAGGAAGACGAACGCGAGACAAGATACGAGTAACGACAAGATTTTTTTCTTTTCACATGGTTCGCAACCTTGTTCCTACGTCGTGCGAATATGTCCGGCGGCAATGGCGGAGCTCTTTTTTTCTTCCCTGAGGGGGGCGGCGGAGTGGCCGGGTAACCTGGGCACGCAGAAATGCGAAACCAATCCAGAGCACAGGGGACGACCCTTGGAACACCAAAACGTCAGCGATTCCAAAGGAATTCGAGGACGGAAAAAAAAAAAAAGAGAGAGAGAGAGAGAGAGATTTGGGTTGCAGCTGTTGCCTTTTTCCTCCCCTCGCCACGCTTCTCCTGATTTCATTGGCGTGACGTGCGTACTGACTTCTGTGCATGGAAAGCATGATTTTGACGACTGAACGAGAGCGCAACGTGAGCGACCGGAGAATATCATTGACTTTTTGTCATAATGGGAATTTCTTTCCTTTCTGCTTTTTCTTTTCTTCTCCAACGCACGCGTTGTTTTGGGCAGAGGCCTCGACGGAGAGCTGTGCTGGACGGATTGGCTCGTCTCTACGCCATCTCATCAAAGATCTCGTGCTATTCTTTACCATTCTTCCCCTCCCTTTTTTCTTCCCTCTCGCTTGGTCTCCTTCCTCTTGCGTATTACGAGGCCACGAAGAACATGTCGTTCTGTAGGACTGTGGGATTGTAGGATTGCGTGGATGCCATGCGCGCACCATTGTATATAGCTAACCGACCGAATGTCAAATTTGTGCCACTTGCGACTTTCTCTCTTTCCTTCCTTTCTTATTTTACCCCTATATTCTTTCTCTTCGGCCTTCCCTCCCACGCGAGCTGCGATCCCTTCCCCTCCGTTCAGGGCCCATCCCTTTGGCTCGCAACCCGTCTCGCCCAGACACCGCGCTCTCGCCAAACCTCTGAGCCCCCTCGTATTCTTCGATACCCACTTCATAAGACCCTCACGCTGCTTCACATCGCCGCTCGCGACAATGCAGACGGCATCCGCTCTGATCCCACCGTATTCCCTTCCCCCCTCTCTTCCAGCCTCTTCGGGGCGACTTCTCGGCGGCTTCCCACGTGTCGGTCCGTTCCCCGCGGACGATTAGAGTTCGCGCTGTCGCGATCTGCACCCGCCGCCGTTGGAAGATCCGACGCGCGCGCGCCGTCGCATTAGAAATCGAGGATCGGTGGCGCGGTGTTTTTCCAGGCCTTGCCTCTGGTGGGTCTACCCCCCCCCCCCCCCCACCCCCCGGCCCCGCCCCTGTCTTCCCTTCCGCTGTCCGCTTCGAATCCCTCTCTGTGTGTATGCGCGCGTGTGTGGTCCTGGGCGAGGAAGTCAAGGTAACGCGGACGGCGTCGCACGCTCGTGGATCTGTCGGAGTTGACGGCCTCGACGAGGGGATGCGGATGTTCCTATGAGGGGCTAGTACCCTACCGCTGCAGGAAGAAGACGGAAGAAGAAAGCTCATCAGACGGTGCAGCGCAGCGCGAAACGTCTCCGCGGGCACACATATGTACGCCAGGCATGCAGGAAGACAGGGCGGCCTTTCGCGTTCACGTCTGCGCTTCATACATCCCAGCTCGATCACAAAGGGACGGTCATCACGGTGCTATTGACTCGTGCAGGAATCAGCCAGGTCAACTCCAGGCAGGGGAAACAGCACGTGCGGATACGGACGCGACGAGGGAAAGGAAAAAAAAAGAGAAGGGAATTGAGATTGGCCCAGTGGGTGGTCAAAGGAAGAGGGAACAAAAATCATATGCTTCCACATCTAAAATGGCACGAAAAAAGCTCAAAAAGACAACGACTTGTGGGTATCCCTTAAAACAAGACGGCCTGATGAGAAAGCTCCACCGACGCCAGGTTCCAGCATGTTCGCCGAAGACGATGTTTGTCTCCTACCCGCTGTTGTGACTCCTCAGTCGCCGTCCAATGCCCGGATGGATTGCTCCAGCTCCAACGCTTCTGCTCAGATCTACGGTCAAGTTCTCTCTCTCGCCGCTCGCCAGCTTCTCCGCAGCGCTCCCTGCAACCGTCATCCTGGTGGCCCGCTTTTTCGGACCAGGCAGCTTCGAATCCGACCCGGAGTTCGGGTGCTGCCTCTTCAGAGGAGGCATCCCTAGAGCACCCAAGCCGTCCTTATCTGCGGTGCTGCTCTGCACGTCAGCGGGGGCGGCGACAATGTTGATGTCTACTTCTCTCAAACCGGGTGTGGTGGCTCCACCACTGGAAGTAGCCGAATGGGACGCCGCAGACAAGTCGGAGGATGAGTCCGTGAAAACGGGTGCCTTTGTCGGGCTGCGTTTGCTCGGCGAGCCAAGCGGCGAACCGTGTAGCTTAGCTAGTATGACCTCGTGCTGCTCAGTACGAGGCAGTTTGCGCGGGTAGTTGTACTGCGTGCGCTGCGGGGTCTGCCCAGTGATCTTGTATTCCTCAAGCGCATCGGCCTCTAATTCTGCTCGCAAGCTAGACAGTGGTTCTCGAATATCGGACCCTGCTCCCAAAGACGGAAGCGTCTCTTGCAAAGCAGAGGCACGTTCGGCCATGTCTGAATCAAGCTCTTCAATTCTCACGAAAGACGTCTGGAAGTGCTCGCCGATATTCTTGTACGATGCCTGTACATCGGAGCTTAAGATTGCAAGCGAAGCGGAATGCGCTTCGTGATGCGTATTGTTGTGCTCTTGAATACGGCTTACGATCTCATCAAGCCCCATAAGTTGAGTGTCCAGGTGCTGCATTTGCTCCTTGACAGTCTGCACAGTCGAATTGTGGACCGACTTTGTGACCGATCGCAGAGATTCTGTGTTGGTGTTTGCAACCTATTCACGTCAGTATCATATTCAAGCTCAACTGAGGCCATTGAACTCACAGCAAAGTCAGACTTAATCTTTGTCTTCACACTTTCTCTAGATTCCACCACACTGCTTACCAACGCCTGCGCTTGTGCCGACCATGATTGGCTGCCAGTGATGAACGCTTCGTGAACCTGTCCATGGGCGGCACGGCTTTGGTCCATCTGGCAGCGAACGCTGCTTAGGGCTGTGGCGACACGATCCTGCTGCTTCTTGGCTGTCGAGTTGATCAGCGCCGAAATCTGAGACATCAATGCTTCTCGCTCAGTGGCCTGTTGCTGCTGCTCCTCCTCTATCAATGCAGCCAATCTAGCCTCAGCTTCGTTGTTCCTCAGTGCTAGTTCTTCGTTTGCCTTAACTATCTGATCTTGCAGCTTCTCAGCTTCGGATTGCTGCTCATTAAGCCGTCGGACAAGGTCGTCAAACGTCGTCTTGAAGTCTTTGCCGAGGGAGGCATAGGAAGTGTGCAGTTGAGCGTGGAACGCATCGATCTCCGTCAAGATCCCGGCAGATATCCTTTCTGCCGCAGCCGAAAGATCATTCAGTCCTGCGCCAACCTTAGTCTTAACTTCTTCGCGGAGGAGCTTGATCTCTTCCAGAACACCATTAACATCATCACGGGACTTTGCCGTCTGACTATTGACTTCAGCGTGCGACTTCCCGAATGCTCGTGCCTTTTCTTGCAGCATCTCCTGGGAATCTTTCAGTTTTTGCAGCTCGTCCTGCACGAAAGTTTGCATGCGCTGCGTTAGACTTTCAATGAGGTTTTCTTGATGTTCCTGAAGCGCGCTCAACCGATCTTCGACGAGGCGTGTTGTGTTGGACACTTGTGACTGCGCAGAGCTCCAGTGTTGTCGATTCGCGGAGTGCAAATGCGACCGTCTCCTCAATTTCGAATGAAGAGCATCGATGTCCGTCGTCGTTCGACTAAGCGTAGAAAGCAAGTCCGTGCCCACAGCGTAAAGGTTCTCCTCGGTCTCCTGATGAGCTTTCCGCAATGCAGTTTCGTCAGCCAGGTTCCGCCGTGTATGATCAAGAACTGCTTCCGTTTTCTCAAGAATAGTCTTTGTGCCGTCGAGCATCATCTTCGTCATCTCGTTGTCCTTTTTGAGATTGTTGAAGTTTGTGGTCAATGTGAAAAGCTCCTGCACTTTATTGCGCAGATTGATCTCCATTGCTAGAATCTTGTCTCTCTGTTCATCGGTCAGAATTCGTCGAGACTCATTCTCCATTGTCAACTCGTCGTAAGCCTCTTGTGTGAGGTAAACGCCGTTTCGTTGTCGCGTCGCTATCAGCTCGCTCTTTAGCTTCTCAATCTCGTGCGTAAATTCCTTTAGCATCGTCTTCTTGGAGACCATAGCATTAACTTGGGGCTTGTTCCGGATGTTCTTCGCCCGGAAGGCATAATCAAGAGTCGAGATCGTCTCCTCCAAGTTGCTCCTCGCAGGCGACAGGGTCGCAATGATGCATGTTTTGGTCGGTCCTCCCAACGAATCTTGCAGTAGGCGCGTGAGCTTCGACTCCCGATAGGGAATGTGACTACTGCGGTCAACAAGGGCGTTAATAACACGGCCTAGAGTGAGCAAGCTCTTGTTGATTAAGCCCGCCTCCGTTGCACGTTTATTTTCAGCTCCACTTCGCTGAATATTCTCACTTCCGGCCAAATCAACCAAGTTGAGCTTTCCGGTACTCACAAACTCCTCGCCCGTGTCTGCCGTCCGCTTCATGTAAACGGTGATTGTGAAAATCGTGTGACTTCTAGAACTTAAGTCATTGCACTTTGTCGCGGCAACCTGTCGCTTGTGGCTTCCTTCGCGAAGTAGCTGGATTCCCTTTGATGCAGAGACAATGTGTGACTCCTCCATTCCTTGAACCATTGTTGTGACGTGGCCCTTCTTGTTGTTTTCTTCATAGATCTTCAGCTTGACGCTGTCATCGGCTGATAGCAAGTCTCGCAGCTCTTCATTGTATAGCTCGATGAAGGAGCACTTGACGGAGTTTTCTGACTCATTATCTCCGTCCAGCTTTGCGAACAAGGAATGTAATACTCGCGGTATTATACCTGCACTGTCAGGAACGGGAACAGTATCCGAGATGTCGCCCGACATGGTGTATGTTTTGCCTGTGCCGGTTTGCCCATATGCGAAGATCGTGCAGTTGAAGCCAGACAGCACCTAGAACCGTTAGAGAGTTGCCTCTTGATACATTATGAGAGAGTATATACTTCGTCTAGTATGGGCGAGACCACTTCATCGAAGATCATAATCTGATCTGCAGCCGGAGAGAAGACCTTGTCGAAGGTATATGTCTTGTTACTTAATGCGCTTGGTCCCATGGAAAGTTCAACGTAATTGCCCTTGAGTCCATCCGTTCTCACGACAACGCCGCTGTTTTCGCGGACTTCACGATCGCTCCGCCCTCGACAGCGGACGACGACATTGATATTGGCGCCTTCGCCTGAATCACGATCAAAGTCACGCTCCTTTCGTTTACCACAGGCCACAGAGCCGGCGGGTGAGCGTACCCGCGAGGATGCGATGGAATCTGCTGGTGAGGCGCGGCCGTTCATGGATGGTGTCGCTGTGTGTGCGCGATTGAGTCCGCGACGCATCGTGCTTGGTGGTGGCATTGCCCGAGACTTGAGCCCCGGCCTCTGCGCGTTTGACATGGCCGATTCAAAAAGATATACTTGTGCACGACTGCGAGGTGGGTTGTGGTGGAACTGGATGTGCAACTTTGAATGTTTACCAAAGCTTGGGCCATGTTGACGCTCTGACCCCCCATTGTGTAAACATGACTTTCTTGCATCAATGTGGGCAGCCACAGCAAAGATCTTTGCTGAGATGTCAAGGAGCTTTCCGACTGCACGCTTTGCTACTTGTAGATGCACAAGCACTCTTCTGTCGTCTTAAGCTACCTTAACCTTCCTCCCGTCACTCGTCGGCATAGATATTATGTAAACAAGCGTCGACCAAGACGTCAGCGACACACTCGATAACCGTCCAAGGAAGAACATCCAAATTCAGATGAAAATTTGCACCACGATTTCGATAGCTTCCTATTGTTGAATCTATCTGCGTACTTGACCATCAACCGAAGGTTTTATAACTTGTCCTGAGCGTCCAAAACTTAATAGGAGATGGGCCATCCAAAGGTGGACGGGAAGTCTCACAAGGCAGCCGGAGCGCATTAAAGCCACACCTGAGGTTCACTAAATGCCACCCTTGACGATGACGCCGAACACTGCCACAACTTTCCTAATTTGGTTATGCGGCGAGTGCTCGCAGCATCCGGTCAGTGGCTCATGAAGACTACAAGAACGCTTGGAAGCCCGTCCTTTGCGCCTGAAGACGCGGCCCTAGGCGCATAAGACTATATTCAATTTAATCCATCCATGCGAATGAAACAGCTGGAGAGCAATGATGACCTTGGGCCTCGGGGCTTCAAGCTCGTTCGCGTGTTCAGCCCTTCGAGCTATGATCCTGTTGCCGGTATAGAATGGCGGCCGCCCAAGGATTCGGATGAGCTGTTTGAAGCTTTGAAAAAGGCATTTCCTACTAGAAAGACGCATCGCGAGCGGATGTGCGAGGCATTGGTTCAATTTCTAGCAGCGGAACTTGGAAATGCTTCACCAGAGTCGGCAGCCGACGTACCAGAAAAGCGCAAGACCGTCGACAAGGTCAAGTCGGCAACTCAATCTTACCAGGATTCAAAAAGGCCTCTTTTCAGAATGCACGCTCCATGCCTGGAGCAAAATGGATCAGGTGCAAGCGCGAAGAAAGCCACGAGCAATCACCAGGCAGGAAAGAGCTCTGCCAATGGAATGGATGACGTTGCAGCCAAAAAGAGCAAGGACTGGGAAGACATGACAGTCGTGTGGAAGAGTGACCTTGGTCTTACAAAGGGGGCAAGGCCACGTCGTACGATGACCGAAGAGGAGCGGACGGACTATCGGATGCGAAGGGTGCGAGGAGCATGTGTGGCCTGCAAAAGAAAGAAGCGCAAATGTAACCATGATCCTGATCCATCACCCCGTTCATCGCTCGAGGCGGTTGGCGATTCTCCGAAATTATTGACTCCTGTATCAAGCCAGGCTGAAGGATCTCTGCGATCAACACCACGGCAGTCACCCGATTCACCCTTTCGATCATCAGAGCAAGGAATCTCAGGAGCCTCAAAATCCACAGAAAAGATACACGAGGGATCTAATAAGCCAGATGACGGTCAGAAGCCTGGTCGAGTTGATGAGATGTTCTCTACAGTCGGATTCCCTTCGAGAAAATCAAACAATATCGTTGAAACTACGACAAACATTCGCCGCACGCCGAGCTTTATAGACCTAGGAAATTCCGTGCCTTCACATCGCGAAGTCTCACTCTATCAATACGCCACTCTGCCGGGTGACGAGCCGCAGTTATGCTGGGATCTTTCTGCAAACGAACTGCAAATGCTGGACTTGCAGCACCATACAGGAAGCACAGACTTTAGTAGTCTCCCCGTCGATGCCGGCTCCAATGACACGTACGGGAACGGTCTGTCTGCTTACACATGGGAATCAAACAACTCGACAAGCTTTGACTGGGCATTGCCTTTTCACGCGAACGGCAAATCCTGGATCGATACAATACATCATGCGGATTTGGCTCCAATGCATCATGTCTCAAATATTCAGCAGTGCAAGAACCTCGATCTCGGCCGTGCCATAACCACAGTTGATTCTATCGCGCATGTTAAAGAGCACTCTCTTCCCGCCAACGTAAATCTACTCCACAGCAACCATGTCCCCATCCCTGACGAACTAGAGAATCACTGGGCGCAGCACCAGGCCCAAATCCACGTTGAGCAATGGCTTAAGCAAAAGATGATTGAAGAACACTCCACTCCGCTCAATCCAGAGCTTGAGGCTCCGCAGCTTGTCGAACACACGCCCGCGTCTCCCAAGCGACGAAAAGTAAAGTTCGATTTTTCGTCGCTCATCGATGGCCCGCCTACATTGTCGCCTCCACCTGCAGAGCCTTGGCAGCTGGGAGAGGGATTGCATGGCGTCGAGAAACAAGAGCATCACGAACAGCTTCTAGAATCTAGACCGCCGCGAAGCACAAGTCGACACTCGACGGGTTCGCGAATGAGCTTCTCAGATATCATTTCGCTGTCTTCCGCAATGACATCATTGTCAGTGAAGGACACCGGATCAGAGCGAAATATGGATGATGAAGAGGAAAATGCGGACGAAGAAAGTTTCCATGGAGATGTTGGAAGTGACGCAGAGCAGAGTGCCGATCAAGATTCGTCCTACGGGGATGAGCTGAGCGAGGAAGACGAAGACGAGTGGATCAGGTGGATCGCGGATCCTCACAAAGTAACCGAAGGGTCCAAGGATGATCTGTTTGAAAAACACGTTCGAATCGGAATACCAAAAAACCCTTAAGTTTAATCCTAGTGGGGGTATCATGACCTATCTATGCTATCAAAGTTGAATTTTCCAGTACCGATCTTCAAGGATACAAGCCTCTATCTCAATCAAAGACCAATGAGCACATCTAAGAAGTACAGGCGATCTTTTCGACTAATTTTTTCACTGTGGCTTAATTACGCCCATTTTCCGAGCAAAGCCATCAAACCAGCACCCAAAGACATCAAGACGAAAGCGCTTAGAAGCGTAGATATCTTAGCCTTTTGCATTGACGGACTGAACATGAATTCATGTGCCATCAATTCGACGAGACCCGTATACCTACGTAGGTTATTAGTCTCTTTTGTTCAACAAAGTGTGAAAAGATATGCTTACAGCAAAATACCAGCGGAAATGCTGTCGAACACGCCGTTCGTAATTAAGGCCGTTCTTCCACCGGGAGGATAACTATTGGAGAAATTAGCATTGAACGCACGAAGTTATACAAATTGAAAATCAAATCATGCGAAGATCCGAACAACAAGAATAAATCTCAAGTTTCGCATGGCTTCGCACGATTAGACGCCGGTATTCACGTTCACTTACGTCATTCGCACACCCAGACCAATAGCTATCGCAATTGGTGTAGAAAGCGCGTACGCTGCACCAAGGATGTACGGAGTCCATTTCTTAGACTCTGGCCAGGGAGCTGCCGCGAGACGGGTACCCAAACCAAGACCTTCGAATGTTTGGTGGAATACCAGAACGATGTAAAGCGTAATGAACTCTGCCCCAGAAACGGCCAACGTGAGTCCAATGAAGATGGAATGGAATATGACGCCGAACTCTAGGATAAACAAAGCAGTCATCTGGGCTGCATATGACTCAGGAAGCAAGCCATGGCTTTGCCAGTCGGACCCGATGTCTTCATTTGAGCGATGCTCGCGGCTGTGGCCCAAATGATCTTCTCCACGAGCATGAATATGGCGCCGGGAGGCATCTTCTGCGCTGCTAGCCTCAGGGTCCTTCTTTACCCTAGCTTCGTCATCCTTGCCTTCGACGCCAATACCAGTGCCAATGGCAGCTTCCTCGTGGTTGTGGCTATGGCCATGGGAATGGCCGTGATCGTGACCATCTCCAAAATTGCCATACCGCATCGTCATCAGCTCGGCGAAGAAGAGAATAAAAATAGTCATGAGGGCGATCCCCTCCGCCCAACTGTACTCTGTGATTGGTCCCGTCAAGCACGGGTCTCCCAATGCCGAAACGGCAGATGCCAAAAGCTGTGTAAGATGTTAGAGAAACTATCTCGTATCAAACTGATTTCACAAGGGCTTACGTGGATAAACGCGGTAGCGATGATTACTCCGGATCCGAAATACTTTGCTGCAAAAAATAGAATGTCAAAAATCTTTCCAGAAGACCGTCTCCTTGTGAATATCGGAAACCATGCGCCTGTGCATAACGTCAGCAAAGGAATATACGAGAATGGTGACGGAAAATCAAGTACCCCAAAGCGAGGTGACAAATATGACGAAAATTGCCGATATACGCAGACCGAGTCTTCCATCATACTCATTGCCCGTCCCACAGTATCCCGGTTGGCCGATGAGAGGCACCGTGGTTGTTGCTTCGTCCAGATTCTCCTGTCGTGCCACCAGCGTTGCGACGTGTAGAACAGGTGATGGATCCATGCTGCCGGATAAAATATGGCGTGGGGTCGTCCCTGTACCAGACTTGGAGGAGACGAGTGTGTTGCAGATTCAGTATTACAACGTCGATCCGGTTCACAAACCAGGCTGTGCGGCAGTAACAAGCTCTTGGAGAGAGCTGTGTCGACTTTTGTAGACTGCTGTCGTTGCAGGTACTGAGATGGCCACAGGCGTCAAGGCCCCTCTTTTTGGATCAAATTTGCAAGACGAGAAACAGTGGTGGAGTAGACGGACGAGGCGCAAGCCGTGCTGCATGAAGCCGTGATAAAAGCGACGGTGATGGGGATTGTGCTGGTTGCCGTCAACCAATCACACGCTCGAGATTTGAGCAACTTGTCCATCACGGTACCCGGCACCCTGATGGCCCATGACACAGCGAAGGAAAAAGAAAATGCGCGAAGAAGGATGACGCCCACAGCACAACGCCACCATCAATCGTATTACAAACCGGACGACTCCTAACCTCCAAGTCATGGAAAGCAAGCAATCTACCGTCCGCGGTTCGTGAACAATGGCCATCAAAAGCGCAGCCGAGCGGCAGCCGAACGCGTGGGGAAATTTCGGGGCCCAGAAATGCTGGTCCCAAGATGAGACGAACGTCTGCAGCCGCCCACCAAGGGACACGGCAGAGATAGTCGTGCAGCAGTCCATCACAAATCCGGCATCTCCCTCGTATTGTAGCTACCCTGATGGCCCTTTTCCTACCCGCTCGTCCGTCCTGGAACCAGCAAGAAAAGGCGCTGACACTGCATTCTGCCTGGCTATTTGATTGTTGTGGGGTTCTCTTTCTAAAAAGACGTCCGAAGACGGCAGACTCTTGGGATAACAACAACAAGGCCATGTTGTGGTCTAGCGATATCCCACTTGTGCGCTTGGGCGCGAGCGGGCAGACGTTCACTGGCTGTCTCTCCTTTCCCCGGTGACTCTTTCGACGGCCTTATATATGGCAACGACACATCACATCCCGCCGTTGTTTGAAGTCAAAATGCCTCAGAGTGACCTGTGGTTGGTGAGGACTGTAAAGGATGAATTGTCTTCTTAACCCTGCCGTAACAAGTCCACTAAGTTAATTTGGAAGGCGTTCTTCACAACCTCATATCCGCTGTCTGTAGCATGATTCTACTAAGTTGGTGCGCTCAAAAATGAGGCTCGACGTGGGATTCCCGCATGATAGTGATCAGATCTTAGCAGTTCTAAAAGCCGAATACAACGAGTTTGACACGTGTATTCACTTGCTTTTCGGAGTCATATGTCACACCTATTTGTTCGTCAAGCAAAGCTTACCACCCCTACTTAATTCAACTCATGTATGACATTACGATAAGAAAGATATCCGGGACCGAACGATCTGTGTGCCTCAACCTCTCAAGCCTGCCCACGAAGTAATAAGGCAAAGACAGGGGAATGTGGCCTGGTTCCCTTCGTCTCTACTCTCAATTGAAAATGAGATTCAATCCGTTTAACACGTGAGGAGCGCAACAATTCCGACGAGTTTGCTGGGAAGTTCAGCATGAAGAGAAACAGAGTCAAGCCTAACCTGGTGTGACTTCGTATTATACCGTCGTGCACTTTTACTGACTACTGGCAAGAATCAACCAGTATCTTTGTTGCAACACCAAATAAGAAAAAGGTTCAAACATAGAGCCCAGCAAGATGTCGAGTGGCCCTGAGGTTTCTCTGAACGTATCTTCGTGAAGGAGAACCTCCGTCAGCATGACCTGTGGCATTGAAAATGCCTCTTCCATCGGCTGATTTGGATCATTTGTTCACCCTGCTACCTTCGTTAAAGTTAGCAAAGACCATTAAGAATCTTGGCTAAGTGATCTCGCTTGCGAGCATGCAGTCGAATGCACCTCAAGCAACTTGAATATCTACTCCTCGTGAGTCTTTATCATTTCCCCTGTCTAGGAAAGCAACAAGAGTTCGGGCTGGTCGACAGCATGCCGACCCTGGTTAAAAAGGGCGTTGCCTGCACGATGAGATTGGGACGATTCGACTAGATTATAAACTACCAACATATGGCATATTTACAAAGCCGCCTTTCATATCTGATATGGTTTGAATTCATCCTATGAGGGTTGAATTCGCGTGAGCGTAAGTCTAGTCCAGTGGAGCATATTGTGATTAGAAGATGATTTGACGCATGGCAGCCGCATCAGGAAAAATTAGGAGCATATTGTTTGTTTACTATCATTGAGCGTAAACTTCGAATATTTCTATCACAGCTGCTAGATTCAAATCTATAGGCCATGGATCTTTGTCATATTATACATTATAGGGTATAAATAAACGTCCCAGGAGCAATGGCGAGCTAATATGCATTTGCCATTAGACAGCTAGATGCATGCGCGTATTTATTGTATGCAGCGCCCTTAAGCTTACAATATCGCCCCCAAAAACTTGACCGGTCTGTGCCCAAAACTAACATTTGAGAAATAAAGGTGTCATGTTAGATCCAACAACAAAGCTTAAAACTTCGGCCTCATCGCATGAAGAAATGACGAAAGCATGTGTCTTGTGGAGAGCTCCATAACAATAGTCCCTGATATAGAATGGCCGAAAGAGCACCCAGAAGAACTCGACAAGGGACATCAACAGCCAGAACTGGTTGTTTAATATGCAAGTACGTCTTCAATAACAGTTGACTCCCGCTCATCCTCATGGTTGAGCCAGGTCTCGACGAGTCAAGTGCGATGAAGAAAAACTCATCGGTCGCCGTCGCATAACAGGTTGCCGAATTTGCGAGTATCGCGATCCTGTAGATGAACAGAGCCATCAAAATTCGTTGTCAAAATGTATCTACCGAAAACTCTTACGGTGTACCACCAGCCATCGCCTCTCCACAATACCTCTTCGCTCAATATCTGTCACGGAGGTCTTACCGTTAAGCTTGATGGGAAATTCGACATGGAATCCTGGAGCGTTCTTGTGATGCAGTTAGCATAGACTGAATCCGCAGTCCGGCATGCTGTTTCTGCGATAGGTGCGATCCACGAGGACATCGAAAGGTCCTTGTCGAAACCTAAGCCAGATTTAATATCCGTGAACCGTACGGCGCTGGAATAGTTGCACGCCGCAATGACTAGTCTTTTAGAGCGAAATTAAACGCGTCCTCACTCCGCTTTTGTCTCGCTTGTCAGTTGCCTTCTATTCACTTGTTTCGAATTCTTTAGAGGCGATGCTGAGTCAGCCTTTGTCCATGTAGAGAGTGGGTAGAAATAGAGAGGTCGATCGTGCCTCCTTTTTTTTCCAGGCTCAATGTCATATGCACACTTTTCGGTCGCTCGACTCCCATTGCATATTCTGTTTCAACGCTGTCTGACTCTCCTTTCGGCAGCCTTTTTGAAACTAGACAGCAGATTGTCGAAGTCCTGGATGTGGTGTTGAAGTTCGTTCGGATCACGACTGAAAAAATCACTACTCTGCGGGCTCAAATTGGTCGATTACGTGACACAAGCGAAGCTGCAGGCCAAGCCGATGCAGCGATTGCATCTATTTGAGCATTTCCTCGCCGGGTTTCCGACTTTCGAAGCGAGGCTGCGTGAAGAAGCAATACTTTAATTTGAAACTCAACTACAAAGATGTTTCCACTTGGCTTATAGCATGTTCACGCCAGGAAGAGACAGGACTTGATGGGCAAGTTGCCGATTTCGAAGAAATGCTACAGTTTGCAAAGCATATCATCCGGTCAGCGTTGCCAAAGTCACGGCCGGATTCTCTATTTTTTGATACACAACTCATTCCACCACTTTATTACCCTTGATGCTTTGCCCTCACACCTATCTGGGATTTGCTAGAGACTGTATGTGCTAGCCGCAATCCTTTGTTACGAATCAAAAACATCATCGCCATGACTCGTATCCGGATCTAGCCACACAGCCAGATCTTTCCATCGCAGCGCTTGGATTTCCGGCCTATAAGGGCATTATCATTAAGCAAACGCGTCTCTTAAAAAAACGCGAGCTTTAGAACTGCTGCATCGAAAGTAAGTGACGAATTTCGACTGGGGATTCAAGAGTCACAATCTTAAGACGTAGAGTTCTGCTTTGCAAACTGGTAATGTTGGACAAGCCTGTGACTTTTACTCTCTAAAACTCCGCGCAATGCTAAACAGTACATCCACTACTCTGTACGCCTCTACAGAACATACAGCACACGAAAGCGATCATGAAAACGTAATCTTCCATCCGCGTGAAATGGACACCCCAGGATCCCTAACAATAGCGTAGTCCGTGCCCTTGTCTTCAAGGAACTCCAGCTTCGCTGTGTTGCTGGCACCGCTTGACTTAGTTCCTTCTTCGCTTACACTGACAGTGGAGAGATTCTTCCACGCTTTGGGAGCTCCAACAACGATCACCCGCTCCACCCTGACCTTCTCCATCTTCGAGGCGTACTTGTCGGAGAGCTTTCCCTTCGCACCAATATCTTCGCTCCTCAGAGCACCATTTTCAAAGACGAACCTGAGATGAAGATATGCGCCCTGTTGAAACTCGAAGCTTTCACCGTCATCAACGTAAAGCTCACCCTCGGCCTTTTGATCGGCTCCGAGGACAACCACGAGAGTGTACGGATCCATCTTCATTAAGCCGCTGCTTCTGCGGAAACGATCGCGGCGTGGGAAAATGTGGCCGGCACGCATGAGAACAGGGATCTTATCCAACGGAGCCTTCAACGTATGGCGACCCTTACCCTTGACAGGAGAGTAGTCGAAGTAATCATAATACTGAGTATCGTCGCCGAGATAGATGTCCACGCTATCAGCGCCCTCCGTAACAACAGGTTTGACGAGTATACCGGTCGAGCCGAGGTACATCTGGTCGTCCAACAAGAATCCAGCCTCGTCGTCCGGGTGAACATAGAAATTCGGTCGTACAATAGGAGCGCCGGTGACAGACGACTCATGGAAGGCGGTATACCAGGCAGGAAGGAGCGAATAGCGCACTTTCAGTGCATCGGTGATAATGCCCATGTACGGGTCACCTGCCAAGTACGGCTCGCGGCGGCGAGTGTCAATGTGAGCATGAGCTCGGAAGAACGGATACCAAATGCCTGTCTGGTACCATCGCGTCAGGAGCTCTTTCGAAGGGTTACCGAAGAATCCACCGACATCAGCGCCTGCGAAAGGGTAGCCGCTGATGCCCTGGTTCAAAATCATTGGCAGAGAAATGGCAAGATGCGACCACTCTGCCAGATTATCACCAGTCCACATCGCGGACAATCTTTGGGAACCAGCATAGAAAGAACGAGTCAACACGAATGGTCGGCGTGGAGATTTCTCTTCAGCCTTGCTGCGAGACATCAGCGCTGTGTAAGTTGCGTTGTGAATCGTCATGCCGTTGATATTATGCACATCCCTGTGCTCCCAGTTGCCAAAGTGAATATTGTCTCTTGGCATCGTCATGTCAGGGCCGTTGAAGACAGATGGCTCGTTCATATCAACCCAAATCCATGTGTTCGGCATGGTGCCTTTGAATTTGTCATACTGGAAGAGTGACTTCCACCAGGTATGTGTCGCAGGGTTGAAGCAGTCGATCCAATGGGACGAGCCAGGCCAGCACCAACCCTCGTATATATTGTTGTCTTTGTTCTTGACTGCCAAACCCTTCTTCTTGAGTTCATCATCGACATGGTAATTGTCCGTGTTTTTGATGTGAGGGTCAATAATGATGACCTGCTTCCTTTCTCGTCTCGCCAATTGTTTGTGCATTGCCTCCGGGTCGTCGAATGTCAAGGGATCCCATGTGAAATATTTCTTGCCTTCGGTGTACTCGATGTCAAGCCAGATAACGTCGTAAGGAATATTGAATTTGTCAAATCTGCGATCCACGTCCATGACATCGTCATCTGTGACATAGTTCCAACGACATTGATGATACGCAATGGCAAACTCTGGAGGCATGCTAGTGGTACCTGTAAGGTCGGTGTATGTAGCAATGACATCTTTCGGTGTTGGCCCGAGGAAAACAAAAACGTCCAAGACGCCAGACTCAGAGAACCAATGAGTTTGTGTTGTTGTAGATCCCTTCACGCCAAGGCTGAGGGGATTGGCCGTTGTCTTCGATTTGACAATATCAACCCATGTTTCAGCACCGTTGAGCCAAAAGACACCGACGGTTGAATCCTTGCGGTGAGCTTGCATGAACGGGATTGCCCCATAAAGTGTCATTGGACTATCGAGCTCATACTCGAACACATCTGAATTATACAAACGATATGGTTGAGTGTACGCGTTGTCTCCGCCTCTGCTGTCCGTTAGTCTGACGTTCTCTGCATCCGATGTGTTGGTTGACCCACCGTGTTTGCTTCAAAGCCATGGAAGCCGCGTGCTCCGGAATACCGTATACCACTTCGAAGCCGGGAAAGGAAATATCCAAGGCGACAGATTCTGGACCGCGAGGCTTGCTGTCGGTGTTGCCGCCAAAAGATTCTTCCCACCACGTGCTCTCGTCCTCGGCGTTAGGATCTTCCGCTGGCGGTGGTGAGGGACCCTCAGCATCACCTTCCTTCTTTTCCAGTGGCGGAGGGGGTTCCTTCTTCGGTCGCCAATGTTCCATATTCAGAAATCCACGCTCGTTGAATTGAACCTGAGTTGTGCCATCCCGTTTGAAATCCATGCCGAATGGAGCATGTCTGATGACAGCCTCAAATTTGCCGCTGGGTCCATACTTGACTATCGTCGTGCCTTTGGGGGCGTCAGGGCTCAATGCAGCACCCTTATTCGTAGCCAGACCACCGACGATTGCCCACTTTCCAGCCTCATTGTAGCGCTCCTTTCTGGCTTTGCTGTTATGCCTCATCTCAATCTCTCCCTTCTGTCTCTTCTCTTCGTCTATAGTCAAACGCGCCGCGCCATTCTCCAAGAAGCTGATTGTCACAGGGAAGCGAACCTTCTCTCCGCTCTTGAGCGTCTTCAGTATGATCCCGGTCAATTGACCGTCCTTCATGGTCAGCGTTTCGCTATCGAGCTCGTAGGGGGAAGTCCAGCTTCCACCGCCCGCGGTCGCATCGTCGGCGTATTGGCGGTTCCGTTTGCAGAACCCGGATTGTTCACACGTCTTGAAATCATGGTGCTTGACCGCAACTGCAAGTATTGTTAGCAATACGAGCTGAAATCAAACACTAAAAGCAATAGCGCCACAGGGAAAGTTTGCCGCATTGCGTCAAACTCTCCTGCTGCTGTTTGCCTTGCCAGCCATTGCTGACGCTAATCAGCCTCTTCGCTGGGAGGTTAGGAAACCACTGACAAACTGATGCTAGCAAGCTAATGACTGTAAACAAGAGCACGATTGACGTGCTGCCATGAGTCTTCATTGTAGCGACATCAATGGCTTCCGGAAGAAATCACTCCTGTCAAGGTTGAGCTCAATGTCTACATCTGGCCGTTTCATGTACCTGGGGGGGCGGAATGCCAACCTTGTTGCCTGAAGCATCAGGCGTAAAACAACCACCTTTTCGTTTCCTTCTTCGTCACCTCCGCATTTTCTCCGCACATCTTGCACGACTGAAAGTGTCTGCTACAAGGCAAAGCAGTCACAGACGCTTGCCGAATGTTTGATTCATATAGCTCAGCAGGCTTTGAGATTTTCTTGAAGACGAATCATCATTCCTCTATCGTTTGCGCGAATGCCGCACGCAAACGAAATCCTAGACATCTACCTCGCAATAGTGACTAAGGAATCACCTTGGCCTCCCTCAGACGTTTGAACGTTGCTATCCAACCATCAGCGCCTCCTACCTGGTCCTTGAATCCAAGCCCAGTGGCTTTTCTCATGTCGTACTCTTTGTCGTAATCCAGGACAGTCATGATTGCCCACATGAAGACCCAATTCGCCGTTGTCCACGAATCTCCAATCAATCCGTGTTCTTTGATGAGCTCATCGATTTCCTTCTTATGTTGATGAACCCACTGCGTGCTCTGCATCATGTCGTATGGTCTCTCCCCAGGACCTGTGCCCTTCAGACCAAAAAATGCACAAATAGGCCCCCATTTCTCTTTCCAAGTCGTTGGCTTATCCACACAGTTGAAGGCTTCCCCGTTGCGCAGATCCTGTGTCGCAGCCCAGATAGATAATTTCCCAATTGTGTCTTGCCAGCTATCGGTATGGCGATTCGTCCAGCTTTTTTGTGAGCCAGGGAATGGAAACTCAGCTCCTTCACCATGCACCTTGCGATACAATGAGAGGTACAATGCAAGTAACCTTGCGGCATCCTGTCCACTCACGCTTCCCAGTGAAGGAACAAATCCAACAATCACATCCGGTCGGACCTCGCAGAATGTCCATGATCTGTCCCTGCAGCTGTCTGCCACGGCATCAATTTGTCCGTAGTAGAAGATGGGTTCTGCCACTTTTCCTGTTAGTCGCGGTCGGGACTCTTCATACGGACTATCAAGCAATGAAGGAACCAGCTTTGGACCTGAATCCATGCCATAGTGCTTGCCACCAGTTTGCATCACAAAGCGCTTCAAGCTCGGCGCAACTTCGTTGAGCGCTTCGGATGCGTTCTTGACAATCTTCACATTGGTTTCCTTGACAAGTGCATGCCAATTCTTAGTCTTGTACTCGGGCATGGTCTTCAGGCTCTTGACCAGTTCATGATCCTGGCTAGATTCTTCAAGGAGTTGTATGGCGCGCTCGTTTATGTGTATATATGCAGTGAAGAACACGTGAGTGATTTTGTCAACATGTTTGACCTTTTCTTTCAATGATTTGGCTATCGCAGATGGAGGGTTTGTAAGGTCGATTCCAGACACCAATGAAAGTCGCGGATCGTTGGGTAGCAGCGCTTGCGAAGCAGTCAGAGGACGGTTGGTTGTTCCGGCAATGCTCGTCCATGCTGTGGGAGTTGGGTATGAAAGCAACTGGTTCATCACCCCCCAGCCTGATACACCAGAGGCACCGAAAACTAAAGCATGCATCTCCGAAGACATATTCGAGTCTAGGTGGGGCCCAAATCAGACGAGCAAACAGACCATAAGACGACAAGACCGCGCCAAAATGGTTCCTTGAGCAAGCTTACACACACCGTAAGGTACAGCAGACGAATCTCAGCTCCCGATGTATGATGCAACCGTTGCTTACACTTGGGAATTGTTTGGCGTTGCAAAAACATCTTCTGAGTGAGTTGTCTCCCAAGCACTAGATAAGGCGGGGCGCAATGTGAATAGCCACGTACAGAAGTGTTACCGGGGCCCCCAACTCAGCATTTCCGCAAACGAATCTTCAACGGACAAGGTCAAACCAAATTGGCAGGTAGTTCTCCGACCGCAATGGAAGAGAAGCTAACTGCATGATGCCAACGTTGTCGGTCTCGCTTCAACATTTGTCGCGTCGTTGAACAACACAGTAATTTTGGGTCAAGTTCTTGTGAGTACTTTGTTGGCACGTCCAAGCCTGGAAAGATCAGCAAAGCCTCGCAAAAACTTAACTACACTCGAAGCATGAAGCATGAAGATGACATTGAAAGCTCGTCCGGGCTTTCTTTCGCTGATCTCATTGTTTTTCTTACAGAGGCAAGCGAGCTTCATCGAATCGAATAGTGGACTGTTCGTGCGCACGAGTCGTTGCCGTCACGCCTTGGCGGACGAGCGAAGTCCAGCAGGTTATGACGATTTATTCAACCGGTATAAGTATTTATGCAGAGTGGGTCGTCTCGCTACGTTCCCCTCGTGCAAACCGTTCGTCCACACGGTCGAGTCATTCGGTTTTACGTCGCAGGGTGCTATATCCGTGGCAGCTGTGAGACAAGGCAGTGTCTAGTCACGGTACGTACAGTCGGGCTGCGCACATTAGTAATATTAATTTGAGGATGTCTGCGCGATCGAATCAGGAGGTGAGCAGGTCCTTTTCCGTAGCTTGATTCATATATGTCAAGGTTTTTGAAGCTTCTGTCAGCTGAGCGAAAGGGTCGAGATCACATGAGCCTAATCAGCCTGCGCGGTCGATTTTCATGACTAGCGTACTCGAAGTTCGCGCCTGGAAAGCACGAAAAACCATCGTTAGTTTTGCCCGCAATAGGAAGCCTTTTTCGAAGCGCCTCCCGCACGATCAGCTCTCTCCTGCTCGCTTCGTTGTCCAGCAGCCTACAGTTCAGACGCGCTTTTCGGACGACGGCAGAAAGACGTGGCCGCCGAGAGCGCGTAGCAAAGAGTTGCGGACGGTGTGTGCTCCTCGTTGCCCCCGTTTGCCGTGCTGTCCAGCCACGCGTAGGATCGAGAAGACGAAATCAAATCCGCACGACGCGTCTGCTGAGAGCAAGAGAAAGAAGGCCGTTCAAAACAGATGCGCTGCTGAAGAGCCTGGTGCCATCTCTTCGTGCTTCTTTTGGGGAAATCTCGTACGACAGGGCCCGCTAAAGACAAACACCGAAGCCCAAAAGATAGAGAGCCGTGCCCGTTCGCCCGCCATTCGGCTTGAAAAGCCTTACAAGAAACCACCAATTGACATATTGAAATGCTGGATGCATTGCTTAGACGTCCGCGTTGGTCAGAAAGCTAGGCTGACGCTCCGGGCGACATGCGTTACCGCTTGGCTGGATAGTTCTTGTTCCTTACGCTTTTCCGCATTTGCCATTGTTTTCATCGTAGGATTCCCGTTCCTGCCACTATCCACATGTTCATCCTGGATGTCTTGTCGTGTGTTCACAGCACCCAGAATGATCCGCTGCTTTAGCAGTAAACCCAGGCCAAGTGTTCAGAGCTGCCACATGCGGACACAACATTGTCGATGTACGTGTAGATCCTGGCGAAGGAATGGCTGACGCCATTGTTGCCCTCGTTTCACTCCTCGTAGAGAGCCCCCTGAGCGCTCATTCTGCAGACATCAGAAAAGCCTGGGTGGCCGGGTGGAATGATGAAATGGCACAGTTTCTGCTGCGTTGATGACACAGACGTCAAAAGAGAGAGCATCATGTTACTGCTATTGCTGCCAGCTCAGGCGAGCGAGAATCTAACGCTGTACAGGAGAAATCACCAATACGCCACGCTGCCATGCTTCTTACCCGAGAAAAATAGAAAGAGCTTTGGACGCCTGCGCTGCTATGACAGGACAGTGCCACCCTTGTACTCCCATATGATCGCTTCAAACCGAAATAAAAATCCATGTCTAGACGCCTCAGTAATCCCAGTCTACTGATAGAGTTACTGTGTCCGCATACGCTGCAAAAAAAAAAATGTGGATGTACAACAATTCGTTCTTTTTTTAACATCCCCCATGATATTTCCTCTCCACCTCCTCGTCACTCATGTCCTCCTCTTCCATCCAGCGCAGCCCATTGTTGTATTCCTCGACGGGGAAGACTTCTCGAGCATACTCCTCCATGTCTCTGTTGCCCTCCCACAGCTTCTTGGCTACTCTTGTACAGCCGGCTTCTAGGTCTGGCCCAAAGTACGGAGCCTCCTGCTCGCCGAGAACTTCGGCTAAGATTTCAAGATGCTCGCGGTAGCCTTTTGGCACGCTGATCTCGTACCTTATCGGGCCACGTACGTAGTGAACTGGCCGCTGAAGGGCGCGTGAAAACGCATCGCAGACCTCGACAGGCGTAAGATATTGGAACGCCAGTGGTATCCTGCAACGAACGTTTAGTCCGACGATCTTACTTGTGTCTGTGACGTGTCAACTTACCGTTTGCCTGCCCATTCCTCTGGACCTTGCTTGAAAATCTGCAGCACCACAGGGCCTACGTCGTGTTCTGCGTCAAGCCACGGCAAGCGCTTGTTTGGGTTGAACGGGGCCTGCCACTCAAAGCTTCCGTCTTCCTGTAGCTCCATGCGAAACAGCGGATATGGCAGACTGGTGAAGTTGTTGTGATAGATGCCTGTGTAGACGAACGTGGCTGGCAGTCCAAGTGCGGATATGTATTTTTCAATCCTGTGTTTGGTTTCGTACATAGGCAGCGCCTTCCAGCCCTTGCCGAAGCTTGAGTGATCCGGCATGCTCGAATAGATCAGATGCTTGATTCCTGTCTTCTTGCACGCGTCGGCAAGGGCCTTGCCTACCGCCACCTCGTCACCCCAGTGAACGGTGTTCAGGAAAGCAAGCTCAGGCTTGCCCTCGAAGAGTTGGGCAATGATCTTGGGATCGGACAGCTGGCCCTCAATCACGGTGACATTTTGTCTCGAACAGATATCTTGTGCGACGATGCCTATCCGGTCCTTCATATGAGCTCTGACGTGCCACCCCACCGCGGAAGCAACGCGAACAAAGCTCGCACCCTGTCGACCTGAGGCATTGATTACAACCACCGTACGGCTTGCTTGGATGGGCATGTAGGTCATTGGATCGAGCGCGGTGCGCCGATGTGCGCGAAACAAGAAGCGTGCGCAGTGAAAGCAAGCTGCTTTATTATTATCCGAAGCGAGTCTTTGTTCCTTTTTTTTGGTATTTCGTTTTCCGAAGGCAGTGTCCGATCGAACAGAGAAAAGAAGGAAAAAAAAAAAATCAATGCCAGAACCGTTCGCGCCAGTACAGAAAGATGATGTATGGGTCTTAAGGTAAGGCTGGTAGCGGTGTCGGTGCCGGGTTGTTGCGTGATTGGCTGCGCGGGCAGGAAAGGAACGACCCAGACAGCTGGTCAAGCTTGGTTCGAATGTTATCAAGCAGGTAGACTAAGACTAAGAGCCTGCCTTATCGCAAAAGATCATCTGCGCGATCAGAAGACGGTGAAAAAAAAGGCGGACCCTCGCAAAGATCATGCGAGAAGAAACGGTCGGTGTTCCGAACGGAGGCGGTCCAGGCAGGGCGGTTTGGTGGTCAGGCTTTATTTAAGAAAAATCCGGGGCAAATGCAGGCAGACCACAGAGTTGCGTACGCTGCGTCCCATCTTGGAGGTCCAGCAACGGGGTTGGCGTCCTCATAAACGTCAAAAGACGACATCATTTCGACATTGCCCAACACGCGCGTGGTCCTCGGAGATGGCCAGTTCGACGCTGAAGAGTCTTGTACCACGATGGCAGCGTTCACGTAAAAGGTTACGTAAAGCCCACGAATAGGGAGCGAAGGACAGGATCATGGCGAAAGGGAGCGACTGCGAGGGAAAGACGGCGGTGCCAGACAGCCGAAGCTATAGCCAACGGCGGCCGGGAGGGTTGGGCGAGAGGAAAGCCGATGCTTGCTGGCCGTCGGCGAGGTACATCATCGTCGTTCAAGGACAAAAGAGGGGACAGGAGCGCACGTTTTGCTGCGCGCCGCCAGAGCGTTGTTTGGCCCCGAGCAGGTGACAGGACGCAGGGAGCCTGGAGAGGAGCGCGCCAGGAGAGCGTCAGAACTAAGTTAGCGCACGAAGCCTTTGGCCGCCTTGCCCGCTCGTCGGCCTTTAGCTGGCGGTTTGTTGCTCCTGGTCTTGGTGTTGAAGTTGCCGCCGCTTCGTCGTTGTTGTCCTCGCCCTCGGCACTGTCGCCGGCCGTCTGGGCCCGCGCCGCATCTGCTCGTCGGCCTGGCTGGTCGTCCAGCGGAGGAATCGCAGACGAACGGGCCGGCCTGGTCTTAGGGAAGCGGGTAGCACGCTGAGCACCGTCGGAGCTGGCTGTCGTGCTCTTGAGCCGGCGCCGCAGCAGCGCGAACGAGAGCCCGATGGGCGCCTGGAGCAGTCCCAGCACGCCGTCACTTCAGGTCACTGCGGGGAATGCCAGGCGGGATCCACCCACAGAAATTTCCCGTCGTGGGCGTTGTCCGCTCACTACAACCCAACCGGCGCCGGCTCTGCCAGATCATGCTACGTATCCGCTGCGACTGTGATGGGAGCGCCATCCTGCCCTTGTCTCACCGACTCGCTTATCATGCACGTCCGTTCTGCATCTGACGAAAGGCTGGCTAAGCATTGCATCGTGCCTTCGGGACGTGCTCGCAATGGACAACCCCGAGCACGTCAACGTCCCAACCAGGCCACGCTTCCACGCTACCTAATATCTCTTACCATACCGTCTGCTACTCTGCTAACGGAGCCCTTCTACAGGATTCCACTCCACCGGATTGATTTGCTCGCCTCAGCCGCACGCCTCCACTTCTTTCTCCCTAGCCTGTACTTAGCATAGACAACAATCTACCGCCCAGACGTGCTGTTGCGACCCCACCCAAAAAAAAACATGGCCAGTACGCATCCTTGGTCGAACACATGCACAGCTTCTTGAGGATCGACCGAAGAATCCTCCGATGCACCCGCCAAAGCCAAGAAAAGAGAATACTACATCATGAAGCCGCTTTTGCTTCTTCTAGACTGTTACGATCAATAACCCGGATGCCGTCAGATGCACGCAGAAGGTCCTTATTCTACTCCAGCCGCTCGCCAAATGGGCTCGCTTGCTGCCGCCTGCAGCCTTGCCGCAGGAAGCTCGGATTCATGAAGGTGTGCACCAGCTTCCCGCAGTAGCTGGACCGCCTCGAACCCCGCATTCGCTGCTGCCAAGAACAATGGTGTATGTCCTTCCCTATTGCGAAGATGAACGCTAGCACCTTGAGTAAGAAACTCGCGCAGAATATCCACGTTGGGAGACGTAGCTGCAATATGCTGTCGTCAGTTAGCACGACTTGACCGACTGAATGACTGCTTCGTTGCAAGAGAAGAAAAAACGGCAACTTACCACCGGAGTATTGCCAGCATAGTCCGGGTCATTCAATAACCACCTGGTTTCGCCCCGCATGACGTCCCTAACCGCCTGAAGATCTCCTGCGCGAATCGCGTAGGCAAGAGCCGCAAGATTAGACTGTTCTGGAGATAGCGTTCCACTGTCCGGGGGCGGGTGTTGAAATAAGGTACGACCCGTTGCTGTAAGCTCTCCGGCAATCGAGGTTGACATTTTAATGGCTACTTCCTCGGGAGTCGCGTTCGGCAGCGAGAGTAGATACGAGAGTTTTGTTAACGCGGCTTCGCTAGTCATGTCGTGACCAAAGACTACGCCGGCTCTTCCCAAAGCCGTTGCCGGCGCATATAAGGGGCTCACATTGCCGCTGAGGCACTGCGTTACGTTAACAATGACGATGCCCCGACTAATGGCATCCGCAAGAATCTTGGTCAACGCTCCGTCTGCGCCTCCTGGAGTGTTTCCGGCTCCGAATGTCTCCAAGATCAATCCTTTCAGCCCCTCAAGTCGTAGTACTGCATCTACCATTTGCGGTTTGATGCCTGGGAAAACCCGCAAGCATGCCACGTGCGTCGTGTTTAGACGTGTCTGAATTGAGAGCGGATCGATCGTCTTGGGTCTCTCCACAATGCTCCAGTTCACAACTGTCTTTTGTGATGTGATAACTGCCAGCGGCGGGAAGTTCGGGCTTGAGAATGCTGCAAAGTCATCCGCTGATATTTTTGTTGCCCTGTTGCCCCGGAATAACTTGAAATTGAAGAACAGACATACTTCAGGAATCATGAAGTGTCCTGCGATGACTAGAGATCCCAGAAGATTATCCGTCGCGTCATTCTGCAGCTCCAGCATGGGCGCTTGAGAGCCAGTGAGAATAACTGGCTTTCCAAGATTCTGTAGCATGAAACTCAATGCAGAGCAGGTGTATGCCAATGAGTCGGTGCCATGAAGAATCACGAAGCCGTCGAACAATTGGTAGTTTCGGTACACAGTTTTCGCAATGTGATCCCATCCTTCAGCGTCGATGGAGCTGCTATCAAGCAAATTCTCGAATTCGTACACACAGTAACGTATCCGTCGATCATACGTGCTAATTGGCGTCCGTAAACTTTGTACGGCCTTCCTCGTACCATTGTCATCCGTAACAATCTCTAGTGGTTCCGGAAACGATCCATCATTGAAGGTTGGGAAGGGAGCTAGTCCAAATTTAAGAAAATTTGTTGCCTTCGATGCATCAGCCTATATCTACGCATAACGATTGCACCATAAAGTTTTGGCGAAGATTCAAGACGTGGGGAAAAAAAAACGGGACCACGTACCGGCACAAGTCCATTCTCAGACCGCTTCATACATATAGTACCACCTGTTAATGCGATCTGTCAGCCTTAAACTTGTGGCTAGAGGCTGAGGGGAAGGATGAACCGACCCGTGATAATAATCAGGACCCGAGACTCCGGAAAGAACAGCTCAGGAAGAACGTTTGCCATAGCTGATTCAGATGACCGCCAGATCATTCGTAAGACAGCACCCAGGGATAATACCGAGAAAGAAAAGGCTCGAAACGATGCACAAGATAAGATCCCGATTGCGGTACAAATGCGGTGTGACACACAGACAACAGCGATAAGGACGAAAAATGATGGATGGGTATGAAAGTCGACAGTGGACTCGTGAGAAGAGTAAGTCTCTCGGGTATCCACCTGCAGACACCAGGATTCGATAATGTCAAAGAGGAAAAAAAAAATTCTCTGTGATCGGCTTCGTCACAGCTCTCACGCTCACTGGAGAAGCACGCAACACGTCAGAGCCCTTGAACCCGCAGCAGCACACCGAAAAGGTACCGGAAGAATGTCTGCACACTCCATTACTCTTATATGTTGGCCAGAGTACATTCTATGGGGAGATACTAGACAGTGAAGGGTCAAGCGCAGTTCGTGGTGTTGAAAAGTTTTTGGGGATGGCCTGGCCAATCACTGCTGTTCTCGTTACCCCTTCTCAACCTTGGAATGGCAATCCGCTCCATACCGTTGCCAGATCTCGTCATGTGCGAATCTCTTAGCTCAAACTTCGGAGGAATAAAGAACAGGACTTGTTCCACACGTGAAATAAAATCGGTGTGATGTGGCTATGCAGATGAACCGGCTTGTCGTGCGCCAAGTTGCACCTACGACGTGCACGCAACCTGAAATGTCAAAATTGCGGATAGGTTGCGTGTTCGTCGCAGCGCACATGGCAGCACTAAAAGCGTAAAGGTTCTTCCTCTGCTCGAAAGTCAAAAGGGGGATAAGAGGGAAATAGAAGGATTGGCATCGTGAAGTTTGGCGAAACTAGATCAAAGTAGTCCGTTCGATAATGACAGATGTGCAAGCTTCGTTATCGACTCGTCTATTCCTCAACCTCATTTGACACCAATCTAACAGCCCTATATGCAACGGTATACAGGGTTATCGGACGGAGCCGGGCTGTGGTGGAAGCCAGGTACCGTCGACGTTCCAAGTCCCTCCTTTAGTATAATCCTCCGCCCCGCTACCACGCAGAAAAGCAAAGCGAAAATATACAGGAACCTAATGATGTCATCAGTTATTTGTACTCTGCATAGTCGGAGAGTTCTTACATCGAGCCACTCTTTCTCTCGAACAAAGGTAAAGTTGCTCATGCCACCGAATTTGCCCTCGCCAACGTCAATGTAGCCCTTATAGCGCTCTACATCATTGATCAAGATCTATGGCTGAAAATTAGCACGCGTCGAGCAGGATCAAGATTGTGCGAAAAGCAGGGCGATTCGCATAGGTGAGACACCTACAGATATACCATCGTATCCAAGCTCAGGGTTAGGCTGAATCCACTCGAACGTGATGTTGGGCAATTTAGTGTTGAAAATGCCGTCATTCATGTGTATTATCGGTGGCAGGAGTTCAGGGATGAGACTGTTGAGAGGTGCATCGCCACGTAATTCCATCCAGGTCTGTACAATGGAGTCGAAGCCCCAACGGGCGATTCCATTGATAAAAAATCCCACAAGTAGTCCCTGATACAACAGCGAAGGTCTAGTTTGCATTGCCGTACCTGGTAGAAAGAGTAGTGCAAGAATGTAGTGGTGAATCCTGACGTGTAGCCCCGGCACGGCTACAAGAAGAAGCAGGAAGGAACCCATGATGGCGTAAATGGAAAGATATTTGAAAAACTTGCCCTCTACCCGCAAGCACCAAGCTTGACCAAGGACAATGATAATGATGATGCAGATAATGCTGATCAACGCCGGTATGGCTCCGGGCTGCTTGAGATCGTGTGGAGTCAAACGTTGGATGGGGATCTTGTCGAAGGTGTAATTGTTCAGAGCGCCAACCCAGCATGCCCCCAGCCATAATATTGTCTTCTCATACTGTGCAGTCAAGCCCGTTAGTGTTCGGCGGATAGCAACGTGGTACATGACTGCCATGCAGAAGGAAGCTGGTAAAAATCTTCCAAATGCAGTACTGATGAGAGAATAGTAGTTTGAAAGCGGGGGTGGATCGGAAACCAGTGAGACGTGCGCAAAGAGACCGACAAAGATAGAGCAGAAGAAGATTGAAGGGCTCGTGACAAAGAGTGAGAGAATAATGCTGAACGTCAGAGAGACTCCCAAGATCTGCCATCGTAGATCTTTGCAAGCTTCCGCCTTGCCTCGGACGAATTGGAAGGAGAGTGGAAACCATGAGTTGAATTCGACGCTCTTCACATGGTTTCTGTCACTGGCGGGGAAGTCAGCGCGTTCGCCGGTTAGGCGTACAACACCACATCCACCCGTTCTGTCGCTGAGGTAGCCTGCATGAATCGCAGCGCTACATATGAAGGAGTCACCGCGATAGTAAGCATCATCAAGATCATCACTCCCTTTTGGGGGCCCTCCGATGACCAGGTTCTGGTACTGGAAGGTTTTGTTCCCCACGGCGTAAGGTTCATAGATCTCTTCATGGCTGCAGCTGGCCGGACACCGGAAAGCGTAGACATTGCTGTCGAATGGTCGGCAAAGATCGCCGTTGAGGCCACAGTCATTTCCCCGTCTCCTGTATCTAGTTTCAGTGACTACTAGTGAACTCTGTTCCACGTCTTGCCTACCATAATTTTGTGGAACAGCTTAGCACCGCAGGTTTTCCATATCCCTTGACGTCTCCCGCGAATGCTGATTTCCACAGCATCAGACTGAATACCAGCAGCCACAAGAGATAGAAGCCGACGAGCAACCAAAACTTCTGTATCTTCTTTGGCGCATACCGATCCAACAACTTCAGGTGGTATGTCTGCACGTCCCCGAAAAGTGGTGTAATGCGCCATATTCGTGGAGGCTGAGGTCCTCTGAGCCATCGAACCGTCGCAATGCATGACTTCCGCGCCCGAGGTGGAATGTGACGAAGAAACGAATGCTTTTGTTGGTATGTGGTCAAGCCGTCGCCCGTCTCGTCGTCCTCAACCTCGGCGTCGTCATCGATTCCCAGGAAGGACAAGGCCTCATTCTGGCCATCGCCCACCGTGTCTTGTTCGCTAAGCGCTTCGGGGCTTGTGGGATCGTCTCGGTATGGCTCGTCGAAGCCCGCATCTCGGGCGCTGCGTTGCGGCGCCATGGTAAGAGTGAAGAATGTCTAAACCGGCGCATGAGCATGCATTCGTCTCAACAAGACAAGGCGAAGCCACAAAAGCGCAGGCTAAATCGCCCGATCAAGACTCGACCATAGACTCTGCGGTACGTGCTGCAACGACTCGGCGCATACTCACTTGTGGATAGATCCGCCAACTGCCGGGTCTGCTATGATGATGATGATGATGATGATGACGACGACGACGGCAACGGCAACGGCAACGGCCCAAATGACAAGGCCAGGCAAGAACGCCCGCAAGTGCGACGACTCAAGGCGCGACAAAACAACACGATCACGTCGAGGAAGGCGGCGCAAGAAGGGCTCAGAACTATGTCATTCCTCGATTTCACCAGCACGACCCAGGGACAGCTGCAGGCGGCGTTGGACGGGGCTTCGTCTCACTTAGACCCGCCAGCCACCACCACGACCACGACCACGGTGGAGCTCGTCGAACAAAACCTGAACGCCAATGACCGCATCGCGTGGTCCCGGACGCTTGGCGTCGTTGTCTCTGCGCCCGGCGACAGGAACACCAATCGCAGGCGTCACTCTGCGCAGATGTCGAGTACCACCTCTGCGCATGGCCGGAGCTGTCTTGACGCGCCGTCAGCGTGACCAAAGCCTTCAGTCTGTCCAGGCGGCCGGAGGCGCTCCAACGCGTGGTGGATTCGAAACCCAGCAACCTCGCAACTCGACGGTCTGGCATCCGCGGACCAGCCTCCAACGCTCAATCGATAAGAGCAATGCGCACGTACAAGTACAAGTACTTGAATCCGCTAAGCCCAGCTGTGCCGCTGTGCCGATCTCCCGGACGACGGAAGTCGGTCTCTCGGACCAGCACCTGCGTTCTTGATTACAATTCGCATGCAGGGCGTGCGCCTTATCGCTCCGCCGAACACGGTAACCGAGTAAGAGAGCACTTCGGCCATGTAGCACTACGGTTCCCCAGATTGTCTCGTCGCTGCCTGCACTCTTTCTTGAGATTCACTGTTATCGTTACCTCTACTTGAAGATGGCTGAGCTTCGCCGCGACCTCCCCGAGCCCAAGGATCTTTCCCATCATCTCACCAGATCCACCAGAGCCAGGCAAGCGTCGAGCATCAAGTCATTCTACAAATACTTTGCCATTCCGGGCATTGGGCAGCTAGCTGGAGGTAAATGCGCGCAATTCTTGCCTTCTGTGTTCTCGCCGTACAGTTCCACAGTTGCCCGTGGTGCTGAGGAAGAGATGATGTTCGTTTACATGCAAGGCACATCCAAAGGGCGATTGCCTGGAATGAAGTTGACATGCCGCACGCAAGACGCATCTTAGATTGTGCAACCACCGACCATGAACGCTTATGTCTATGATAGGTCTGCCGAATCCCAATTATTTCCCCTACGACACGCTCGAAGCAAAAGTCGCTCTACCAAACCGGTGGACACCACGGCCCAACGATCCTGTTGACCCACCAATCACGCGCAGCACGTCCAGGAAGGATAAATCACCTGCAGAGGCCCGACTGCTCGTGCCCAAATCAGCAAACACACCGGATGTGCTGCGCAAGATCGATCTTACTACTGCACTGCAGTACGGCACCGCACAAGGCTACCCTCCGCTTTACCAGTTCCTCACAGAATTCACGAGAGACTATCTTCATCCCAACGTGCCATACAAGGGAGGACCCGAGATTATTCTGACAGTGGGCAACACGGATGGCTTTGCCAAGTGCATGCAGGCCTTTGCTGAGGAGTGGCATGAGGGCGAAGATCCGCCTTCGGAACGGCAGGGCTGTCTCGTTGAAGAGTATGCATATATGAATGCCATTCAACAGGTGCAATCGAAAGGCCTAAATGTCGTGCCCGTTCGGATGGATGAGGGCGGCATGACCACCGAGGGACCAGGCGGCTTGCGAGACGTCCTAGAGAATTGGGACTTCAGCAAAGGCAAGATGCCACATCTGATGTATACTGTCACGTACGTGTGCGCAATCTTTCTCATGATTCAAGTTACAAGTGCTAAAGGATAATGCAGTATCGGGCAGAACCCAACAGGTGCCGTGTTGAGCGTTCAACGAAGAAAGGAAATTTACGCTCTATGTTGCAAGTACGACATCATCATTTGTGAAGACGATCCGTATTGGTATCTACAATATCCCGGTGGCGGCTGCTCGAACAATTATAATACTGCGGGAGGTGGGAAATCATCTGGCTTCCCTTACCTCGACTCTCTTGTTCCATCTTATCTAAGCATGGACTACGAAGGCAGGGTCGTTCGCATGGACACATTTTCGAAGACTGTGGCTCCAGGTTGTCGATTAGGCTGGATTACCGCTCAGCCTGCCCTTGTTGAGCGTATTCTAAGGATCACAGAGACAAGTACACAACAGCCAAGTGGCTTCGTCCAGGCTATGATCGCGGAACTAATCATGGGCCCACCAGATGGGCCGAAGAATGGCAGCGGCGGAGCAAAAGACGGAAAAGGCTGGCGTTTTGACGGTTGGGTTAGATGGCTGGAAGGTTTGAGAGGCGAATACCAAAGAAGAATGGAAACGATGTGCGGAGTCTTGTCCGCCGGTAAGACGATTATGAAGTCTGGTCGGAGAAGCTCACTCAGCCAACTCACTGCTGACTTGAATGTCAATGATGGGGACCGTGACGAGTGGAGCGTCATCGAGCAGACTAAGATCTACGATTTCGTCCGCCCGCTTGGGGGCATGTTTCTCTGGGTCAGATTTGATTTTGGTACACATCCACTCTCCAAGCAGGTTCCGGGACCAAGACTTGCCCGAGCTCTCTGGATTTATTTCACCACCGACGCCTACAAGGTCCTAGTAGGTCCGGGTACTATGTTTGCTCCGACACAGGAGATCAAGGAGCGTGATGCGTGGGAGTGCTTCAGGCTTTGTTTTGCTGCTGCAGAAACACATGAGATCGAGGAATTCTCGAAGAGGTTCGTAAGAGGCGCCAAAGGGTTCTGGAAAATTAAAGATAAGCAAGTTATCGACGATCTGCTGGCAGAGGATGAGGTGGAAATGCTGGATGCATCAAATGCTATGGGAAATCTTGCAGGCTTCTGCTAGGACTGCCCTTAACTGGATCGAACCCCCAATCTTACTTCTCGGTTCCGGTATACGTCACATTTGGCTCTAGCGATACCTACCATGTCAGTGATTTCTCCGATTTTCAGGTCTGCCATGGTATTTGGATTGGCACGAATAGAGCGTCATAGTATGGTCTAGCTGCGAAGGGCAAACCTGTACTTGTTCTACATACACGTCATCCATCTTATTATTCTATGTACTATCCATTCATATACTTTTCTATCTCTAAGTACTACTGATCATGTTTGTCCCATTACCAACCATTCATCTGTAAAATCCCCCTTCCTCTCTCCTCCAACCAGTCTGTGTTGCCCCAGAATCCCCACGAGGCTTGAAATCGAAGCCAATCGAGCAACGCAAATTCCCAATGGCGAATGAACGTATCCCATGGATAAGTCCGACCCGATGCAAGTTCAAGTTTGTCGTGGTAATAGCGCAAGAACACTTCCTCTTGTGCTCCGAGCCCTTTATCCGCAGGCAATAACTTTGCAGGAACAGAGCAGGTAAAAAGTTTCGCAAGGTCACTTACACCAAGACCAAGACCCACGTACTGAAAGTCATAGAAGGCTACTGATGAACCGTCTGCCGTGCTAAAGAGATTCTCGGATTTAACATCACCGTGTATAAGGGTGATGTAATCCACGTTTGCCGCATTTTGAGGTGAAATTTCTATTGATGCCAGCTCGGCGACTGATGGTGCACCCGAGCAGAGTGCTGAAGACCATTCAGATGACGCATCTTCCTTCAAAGAGCTATATTCCGTCATCCTCGTTGCCAAATACCTGACCACATGTTATCGTTTGTAGTACCATGGATGAAAATGAACACTCACGTGTAGCCGCCATTCAACCACACCCCTTCAGTCCTCAATGCAGCGATTCCGTTAGCTTTCACGTATTCCATCGGCGGAGGACAAAGCGCTGCTCGGTCAAACTGTTTCACACGAGTCCACCAAAAGCCGTGGAAGCCAGCCAGCCAGTCCAGCGCAGCATATACTTGTCGCTCGCTCAACTCGACTCGCTTCTCACCAGCAATTGGAAATGTTTCGCAGAGGTCACTCAGCAACGTTGCCGTTGAAAACCCATGTGAGTCGGACGAAACGCTCGCAATGCAGGCTGCGACTGCGATTTGCTTGGGCAACTGCGGCGCCAGCTTGGTGTAAAAAAACTGCTCAACCTGGTAGGAAAGGATTTTGCGGATATGTCCTTCATCTACTAGTCTCCCATTTGGTTTGATGACGGGAGGTTCAATGTGCTTCAAAATTAGTGATGTAGGCGCTACGTCTGAAGCACTGGAAGCGGGCACAGCCTCTATCCTGCAAATATGTCCATAGCCGGCCCAAAGTGATTGCAAAACTTTGCATGAGACCAGACGGAAGCTTTTAGATTCGAGCAAGTCGCAGGCAATCTGCTCAGCTAACGATTTTCTCGACGTGGCCATCAAACCCTGCTCACCGTGCCGAAAAGAGAACTTGTGAGAAAAGGAGCGCAAAGTGAAAGATTATGGAAGGAATGAAGTACAAGAGGGTAAAATTGCATTTGGTCATATATCATGTAATTTAATTCACGATAAGAAAACAAGACGTTTTGTGGACAATTTAGGAGTGTAGTTGAATGGGTTTATGAAATCACGTCCGATGCCCAAACTAAAAATTCGAAATGATCCAACCATTCATTGCCGTTTTAGGGTAATTCACACTACGAATGTCGCAAAAAATAAAAGGAAAAAGTAAATAAAAGTAAACAATATAGGAATTAAATGCGATTTTTAGATCATTTAAAGCCTTTGGTCGCAACAACGGCCCTGATATTCAAGAACTTGTCATTATTTTATTCATCAGCCATTTAAAGTCGTCCCTGCCTTCTAGGTGATTAAAGATTACAAACTACAGCAACGAGAACAACTATCAGCATCGAAAGCCTCGTGTAATCCGCCCTCATCAACTGTAGGCCTTTATTGGATAGCTCGATCCCAGATGCGATTGCACCTCCAATTGCGTTGCTCGAAGATGTTGGGAGAGTTGAAACGGTCTCAGTCTTGCCGTCCACAACGGCAACAGTCTTACCCGCACCATTTGTGGAGAGTGAGACGGTCGTCTGATGACCCAGAGTTGAGAAAACGAAGTTTCCATCACTGTTAGCAGTAGCCGTGATGCTGCCAAAGCTAATCACCACGGCAGCTGTAGTTGGTGCAACGACTAGAGACTCAGTCTTCCCATTGACAACTACTACGGATCCACCGCTGGCAAGAGATACGGTGTTTGCACCCACAGTGATCTGACTTCCTTGTGAAACGGTCTGTGAACCAATGACAAGGTTGGTTAATGAATCAAATGAAGCAGTCTCGCCCCCCAAAACAATGGGCGTGGGAAGTGGCGTGAAGCTAGACAAACTGGTACTCTGGCTGCCATCACGAGAAGGCGTGACAGTTGGTTGATTCACCGATGAAATCTGGCCAGCCGGGGAAGCTGGACCGGTTTGGCCGCTCTGTCCCTGCGGTGATGTCGGACTTGGAGAAAATATGCTGCTCTGGTTCTCTGGAAGCGCAGTGGCGGATGTACCTGGTTTCGATGTGTTTTCGGGTGCTGGATCTGGTGTTGGATCTGGTGTAGAACTCTCGTGGCTGACACTTGTCTCTGTCAAGAACATCACTGTCTGGACAGCAGCTTCAGGACAGACCGCTTCCAAGGAACAAAGAGTTGGAGCGGCGTCGCCAATATTTATTGTTGCTATCGGGCGGAAGTAACAGACCTCTGAAAGAAGAGCATATGTGAACCCAGGTTTGTCAGCGCTGTCGGTCGACGTTGGCGTTTCCTGGGCAGGTGTTTTGTAGGAGCTGAACGTGATATACTCTCTATTTTCACTATCCAGAGTCGAGCACACGGACTTGCCGTTACTGTCTGTGGTAGGTAGAGTTCCGTACCAGTAATAACTGAGAGGGTACGCCACAAACTCTGTTGGGTATGCTCTTCAATTTAAGCCATCAGTATTCGGTTCTTGTTGTGTTCCAGTTGATTGAGTCATTGTCTTAGAGCGGGGTAAGCTTACACTTCAACTGTAGTCGTCTTCCCGACCTCCGTCTCAACGGGGATCTGAGATATGTGCGTGCCGGCTGCATTAGTTGGCGGCATCGTCACATTTGCTGGCAGTGTGTTGAGCTTCGTTGTCGTCCTTGTCTGATTTGTTCGCTCATCCACGATGTAAATCACGGTCGCAGCTGTCACAGTCCCAGTAATCGTAGCTTTGACCCAATGCCATGTCGTAATTCCATTAAGAGCATGACAAGATGCCGTACAAGACGCTAGCGGCGCGGGAGATGTTATGGAAGACGAGTTGTTGTCGCGAGGTATAACTATGTAATTGTAGTCAGCATTCCACTTGTACAGATGCCGGGAAACAATGCGGCCGTACTTCTTACCGCCTCCGTGACGGTCACTAACAACAACGAAAAGAGAGGCAGCACCTTGAGTGCAGAAACAGAATACATTTTCTTCAGGTATAGACAACAATGTAGAGGAAAAACTTCAAAGTAGATTCCAACACATTATCTGCTAATCGAAAATGAACTAACCCGAACCAAAAGAGAGCGTGTAGTTATGTCAGCCTAGTCTTTCGTGGGAAAGGATTTTGTACGTCGATCGAGGCTAAATCAATGTTTGTCCACCCATGAGAACTGTGCTCTCGTGCTAAACTAGCAGGCAAAGTGGGACTCCAGTCCTGCACAATTTATTTGCGATCATCGCATGGACAGGGCAGGGGCAAAGTTATTATCAAGGATTCATTGTCGGCCAGTCCGGCCCCAAGACTTCTGCGCCTGATAATTTGGAGGCTGAGTAAGCCGTTCTCAACGCCTGTCCAATGCAACGATGGCGACTTGGCAGTTTGGGGTCTTGAAGTAGATCCGAAACTGATCGATGACAGTGCTTTGACTTTAGTCCCCAGAAACGACGATATCGCGCTGGTCTGCAACTTATCGAAAGGTACAAGCCAAATTTTGGGGCTCCTTCTCTGACAAAAAGTCGCTCACGATGTCAAAAGAGATTGAACAACATATGTCCAATGTAGCAACACTGGAACTTATTCTGGAATTCTTCTGACTTTCCAATTTGGACATCCCACTCTTGGCATGCGTCTATGAGCAGCTTGGACGGTCTCCAACGATAACAACCTCATCAAGCGTAGCCGTATTTCTAGTCCAGAAGTTCTGTACAACGTCATTTCATCGTGCTTCGCATCCACGAATCGGAAACCGTAGCCCTCTGAAACCAGTGAGATCTTCGAGACAACACAGGAGCATAGGATAGATGCATTTCTGAATACACTTGTGGGTGCAATGTACAAAACGCTTAAAAGGCGTAGAATGAAGGTTATGATCTGGGCGTGGCCTTCTTCTTGGCCTTGCCCTTCTTGTTGACGCTCTTCATCTCAGCAATTCTTGCTCGCTTCGCCGTTCTCTTCCTCCAGGCTAGCCATCGGTTTCCTTTCTTGAAAGGTCTAACTCGGGTGCGCGCCCTCTCCGCAGCGCGCCCAATCTGCCAATTGTCTTCTCTGAACATGTAGTTGCTCCTCATTTTGAGCAATGTGCCATCCTTCAATGTGAACGTCGGTCGGAGATGGCCTCCCTTGCCACTTGGCTCCAGGCTCATGCCCTCAGGCAACACACTATTCTCGTCCAATCCAGCGATGGGGGAGGGTCGCGGAACGTAATTATCAGTGAGATGACTTGAGTCTTCATTAATACGCACTGGGATCATGCCCAATCGTCTTCGTCGCGGAGCATCTTTAGGTGTTGGAAGCGACCAGTCGCGCTCCAACGCAACGCCGATGTAACGCCTCTTTGGATGTTTGAATGGGTCTCGGTAGTATTTCACGTAGCCCTTTTCAGTGGCATAGATGGTATGGTCGCGTCCCATTGCGCAATTTTCGCCAGGAAACCACAACGTGCCTCTTTGGCGATAAATGATGTTCCCTGGCACAACGAACTGCTCTTCAGTGTTCGTTAGATTCCACCATCTCTCAACGATTAGAGCTAACACATACCGCCCGTCTTTTTTGCACCTAGTCGCTTTCCTGGGCCATTCTTAGGGCCATTGGCACGACCTTGGGCTTGATGGGATGCCTGGCGAACACTCGTGAGACCAACGGGCTGTCGCAAACGGTTATTGAGCGAGCGTAGATAGTGCAGTGCTTGGTCCGATGGTCGCAATGGCAAAGAAATGTACCGAGATGATAGGAGAACAGCCCTAGCAGGCCGAGATAGGCTTGATGCTGCCATCTCAGGAAGCTGTTATCGTAGACATTCTTTGCTTTGAAAGTGAAACCCAAATGGGAAAACTTGCGGACAATGCGGAGTTTCGGCCTCAGGCAACGGGCAAAAGGAAGTCGTGGCGTCTGAATGTGGCAGATACGATAAAGAATACGGCGGTAAAGTCTAAAAAAATTGTGCACATCTTTTCCGTCCTCTAAGCAGAATAACGTGCTCGCAGGAGCTGAACGTCAAACTAATCACATGTTTTTGACGTTGCTTCTGCTACCTCAAGTTCCAAAATTCATGACGTCTTACGCATACCTCATTCATGCACACAACAACTATGTTTGTGCTTTGGAAATGCTGCCATATACAGGGTAGATTTCAATTGACCCGAAACAACCACCATGATTTCTAACACTAATTTCGTTATGGTGCTTTAGATGTGTGCGGGCCTATCATTATGATTAATGTTAAGATCTACACGTAGAAGGTCATCGGTGGTGAGATCGTCTACAAGATCTTGTCACCTTACCTACTTTTCTAGCATAGTACTCATAAGTCTTTTTTGACAACTTTCCTAGCTTACCTTGGATGTACAGTGTTGCAAATTGAGACGTCACGATGCTATCTCTATTTGACATTTTCTCGATCATGGAAAATCGAGGCGGCAGAAGTTGGACTTTCGCCGCTGTAAAGAACAAACATAAACTCTCAATAGCGTCATAGGATGCATTTTTTTGGATCCTGTTCCATGGGACAGAAATATGAGAGCGCAAGTATAAGATATGCTAAGAAACACTGCCGTCATCTTCATCTCAGATTTTCAAACATACAATTTAGGGAAGCAGCTTGTGAGTGTGTAAACGCTGTATGAAAAATATTTTGGGCAGCAAATAAGTGTGTACACAAGGCTCATCCTTCTGAGATCCTCCGTTTTAGCCTGATTGACTCACCGTAGCATGATGTAATGTAGACTCGGTCCCCAATATGGGGATTTTCCTGATTCTCAATCTAAACTCAACTGGTCCCCTTCTTTTATTTACTGTCATCACTCTTCGTCAAGAAGGGTAATCGAAATTAGAGGAAGAATTTCGACTCGCTGTATAAATTTTACATGATTATGAACAGCTCAAGTTCGAGCCTATCGGCAGGTTTCCCCAGAGTGACTACGTCAACGTCATGTTATCGATGGTCTGCATACGGATGTTTCGTGACACAACCTTTCAGGCCTTAGAGCTTACCATCTGCACATCGCATCCGTCATACGACATTGCCTAAACCAACCAAAACGCGCGATGTGAGACCCTCTTGCAAACGCTCAATGGCTTTTCTTTGGAAGACGAATGTAGCTGTTACATTGTAAGACTTGCGATTACGGGAGAACTATCCTTGCTAGCAAACAACAGGACTGCCTCTGCCCGATTAAGTTTGAATGGTTACTCAAGAACGTTTTACGCGGGTCATTGTTGGTATCGTACAAAAATCAAAGTATCGAAGCCATTCACAGAAAACGTTCTTAACCCCATAACTAGCTTATTGCTCATTTCTCCGCCTGAAAAGTATTTATGCTAATTGAGACGCTAAGTATCGTGGGCAATTTACCAGAATCAATTCAATAAGGCGTCCTAGAAATCTGGACAATTAATATAATAGCAGTCTGCCTCTATTTCTGAACCTCTTAACCTCGGTGCTCCGAAATTTGCGACCTTCCCTACCTGCTAACCGTTGACGGATTTTACAGCTCGCGAATTCGGGATCTGATAGGATCAGTTATCGTACACCAAGTTCGCTGGTCCAGGCCTTGTCTGACTCCGTGTCACAAACATGAAGCAACGGAGGAAACCAGGTCAGCGGGCCAATGATTCCCCAAGCGAGTGACACAGTTATAACATATTCCAGATATGTCATGGGAACCCGCGGACACTCGTCGAGAGCTAGCTAGATTCTTTAGGCAGTCAAATTTCACAGAAATCTGACGACCGGGACCGCGTAGTAATTTTCAACCCCAACGCTAGTTCAAAACTTGGGCATCCAAGCCTTACAGTTCTAACACGTCGTTCGAGTTTTGGTGTTGTTTTCTTGGAGGCACCATTGGGCCAACGGCGGACAGCGAAGGGCCTGCGCGCGTCCATCTTAAATCGGAAAGATCGAATGAAAATTCACTGGTGTTAAGGTAGAAATCACTTCCTGTCCCCAGCCCCTCCTCTTCCTTCAATCTATGTTCCACTCCAGGCCGGTTTAGACGTTAGAAACAGAATTTGCGGATGCCATGGACATTTGCCCGTTTGAAGTTGCCTCTTCAGGTAGGCAGATGTGCATGTCTCCTGGACGACATGGCATTACCGGTTTTGTCATTTCAAGGTATCGTTATGACTTGCTCAAATCTCTGAGTTTATACGTCGAGATGCCACGTATAGCTAGAGGGGCAGGTAAGTCCTGTAAAACAATGGAACAACAAGTTCAAATAGTAGTCTCACAAAGGCGGCATTACGTCAACGTCGCACGCGGGGGATTCATGCTCTGATCGAGAACTCATCGCAGGTTGAACATAGACGGCGAGGTCCTACAACCTGCCCATACAGTCCCACGTATTTTGTCCATAAATGGCTTCGAAGTCCAGAAACTTGGAAACTGCTGAGCATGTCCGAGAAACAGGCAAAACCCGCCGTGCAACCAGGTTATACCATTGCAGAAACATATACATGATCAGTCCAACTAGTTCCTTTGTTTATAAGAAAGGTATACATGAGTATCAATGACTGATCAGAATATCCCACATTTCGTCAATCTGCTCGGCTTCCCAGGTCGAACAGGAATTGCAGTGTGGTAAGTTTCTCTTGGAGCTAGGTCATTTCAAAACTGCATGTGGAAGTCGATCTTAAAGCTTGTGCTTTTACTTATTGAGTGATATGACACTCAAGATTATCTGAGAAAGAGACCTGTCTGATTCGGTTTCTTGCGCAACGATTCACCAGCACTACATAGTCGCACGTACGGAAACGGGTCGCTTTACGAGCTGAACTCAGCTTTCTTAACCCCTCTGTGGCGCTCTGCACTGCTGCTACCATAGTAGAGGAGTTAAACACGATGTCGTAGAAAATGCCATATAATGTTGTCGTCTTTCGTCTATGTATCCAACTTTCAAGCACAGAACCCTTTGTCTTTGATATTCGCTCAAGCTAATCCAAATCAACCCACACTTCCCTAATTTTGTCCAAATTGATTTGAATCGCTATCCCTTGGCCGAGCAGTCAGCCTGGATTAATTTTGGCAACTCTTTCTCCAAAAAAAAAAAAAAAAAAAAAAAAATCAGCGGCGATTCTCCGCTAGGAGTTGATTCGCATCAACCCAATTGCGCCGAGAATATACTAAATGAAACTGAGGTTTCGCGATATGTCAAATCGCGTCATTTGATTTATCAAACAATTGGCAGCTAAATCAGGCGCTACATTGGCGTTTGGCGGGGGCACCAACCCAGAGGACGAAGCCTTTCTGAACTTCTCCATTAGGATCGGACCGGCGCTGATTCGATACCTGATTAATGTGCGCGACACAAATATCATGGCCTCGGCTGAATTCAACTGGTTGGGCATCTTGCGAAAACAACAAGGTTATTCTAGACGTTGAAGCACAGTGTCAACTGGAGGAAGCGTCAGCGACGTATCTCAAGAGAAGTAGAAAACCTTGTGATACCGATCTACGAACCGAACGGGAGTGTCATCCTGACGAACCAAATTTTCTGTCGACATCCTTGGCGTCTTCGTGTACAACCATTTGCGAGAACATGGAAGCATTTATGGAAGAATCGTGCGTTTCTCCATCAGCAAAATCTCTGTCTGAACGATGCTACGCACGCTGCCAAGCTCTTCGGTGGAGGCTATGCACTCCTTATCGAAAGCTGTTCAGCATTGTTTCTGTTTCTAATTTTGTTGCTATGGTGTTTATTTTAAAGCGGCTCTGCGTTAACCCGCGGCCACCAGAAGACCATATCCGGGATGAACTGACTGACATCCTGACAGCGGTCTCAGTCAACCTGACAGCTTCGATAGCTATCCGCAACGAACATGTAATCAACATGCTCTTCAGGATATTTGTTACGCATGTTACACCGCGCATGTCATTGTCCCTACGACGCGTTTGTGCAAAGGTTTACCACTTTGGTGGTATTCATAGCGGATGCGGAGTAGCTGCAGTTTTATGGTATGGGATCTACACCGCGGCTTTAATGTACGACTTCGTCGATTCTGCGAGTTCCTTGCCTAAGACCATGAACATCTCGTTCGCAACCACAACATGGCTACTAATGTGCGGGTTGCTCACAGCAGCCTTGCCGCGAATCAGGGCAAGACTTCACAACTGGTTCGAGCGAAGTCATCGCTTCCTTGGCTGGATTATTCTCGCCTTGTTCTGGGCACAAACGTTGTCCTTTTGCATTTTCGCAACGCATTCAGACCTTTGGGGCTCGATGGTGCGCATACCGACCTTCTGGGCACTGCTCGTCATGTCGGGTTTCGTAACATATCCATGGCTGCGGGTGCGGCGAGTAAGAGTTCGCTGTGAGGTCCTGTCGCAGCATGCAATGCGAATGCATATTGAACAAAGGCCCGGAGAGGTAATGCAGCCATGCAGGGTCGTCGCTATATCGCACTCCCCACTCAAGGAAACCCACAAGTTTGCCACAATACCAGAGCCAAATGGAAAGCCAGGCTATTCGATGGTGATATCTCGTGCCGGCGACTGGACCGCGAAAATGATCAACAATCCGCCAAAGATGATCTGGATCAAGGGCACACCAGCATGGGGTGTCTTGCGGGTGGCCCCAATGTTCGATCCCGTGCTTATCGTAGCCACAGGTTCGGGCATCGGACCCTGCCTCGGTCTCTTCAATGGATACCCAAGCCTCAATTGCCGTGTTGTCTGGCAAGCAAGGGCACCAATGAAGACCTACGGAAGAGATATACTTGACACAGTACTGAAAGCGGACCAGAAGGCTCTCATTGTCGATACTGAGAAGGAAGGTCGCAAAGACATGACGCAGTTAGCGTGGAGAGTCTACCGAGAAAGTGCTGCAGAAGCTGTTATCGTAATTTCTAACACCGAGGGGACGTACAAAGTTGTGCGAGAACTAGAAGCAAGAGGTGTACCTGCATATGGCCCGATCTGGGACTCATGAACTGCAGTGTGCTTGATCGGCATGCTGTTGACGAAGGCGTTGTGCATTTTGCGTTCTTCTCCAATCAAGCAAGAAATGTAGAAGTTAAAGTGTATATCACAGGGTACGATGACGTAAAGTAAGTATAAATAATACAAGGAGGTGTTTGTCAAAAGAAAAGTGCCGAGAATTTTAGATGCATATTCGGTATCCAGGTGTCAGCATTCCAAATATTGGAAGATAGCCAGTTGCATGTCAGCTTTGCGCATACTTTCGGTTAGTGTATAGATCGTTTCCCCCAAGAGCTTTCTCCATGACATGCGAATGTTTCAATGAGAGATTGGTGGATTTACGAGTTTAGTCTATTTCGGTCGCTGACAGTAGGGGTTTCGTGAGTGCGTTGTCACTGTAGCTTTTCAGGGCGACATCGCAGGATGCCTATTTCTACAAGTGCAAGGTCGACTCAATGCCCCAAAGAGAGAAGAAAAAGCATCGAGTCAAGCCAGCGAACTGGACGGTTTTCTGATTGACATCAACGATCGAGGAAGCAAGGTCGGAGAGAGTAGTGCATGGGAGCACATGATGGCTACGTGACAGTCGACACGCAAGTGATCCAGGACGGGAAGCTCTGCATGAACTGTGCTATATGGAGTAGACACTGGGCCGTCTCAGCAATGAACAAGCCGGTCGGGACGATTTGCTGGAGCTGTGATGCAACATGCACACGAGCTGTCGCTGAAGCGCCAGATGAGTCCATTGTAAGGGCCGACCAAGCCTGAGTTGGAACTTACTCCGACGTTCTGACACCCATTCGGCCATTTCGTACGAGGTCTCGAACAGCTGCCATGAGCCTTCGCATCGTGCAAGCCTGTGGACGGTGCTTCAACCTGTCAAGCTCGCCGCCGCGCATCTCTGGCTTGAACTCTTCCCGCGTGCCACGCGTTGCCGAGCATGAGCGACCACTCGCGCGCTGAGTTAGAAATACCGTTCGGACCGGACGCGGACTTGCAGTATTTCAAATCACCTGCATATTCCCGACCAAACACGCACGGCGAGATTGGGCCTTCAGAACGCAGAAGAGATTTGTCATGCCTTGGATCGTCATGCTCAAGCGGCTGGCCCTGCATCCAGCTGGCAGTCGTCCACGAATCAAGAATTCGTTCCTATCTGGGTTTGCCGAGTGCTTCTGCATCATCTTCAACAAACCTTTCGCTCACGGTTTCTCTCCCAAGACGGCGTGCCGAGATTGAGCATGCTTCATGCAGCGATTTCCGAGCGTCACCTCCATGTCTACTGCAGCCGCAGTTTTGGCTCTCCCGGGTGGATGACTCCGCGAATTGTGAACCGCGCTCGCATCATCCGCCTCCAGTAGCTTCCCAGGATTAGAATCCTTCCACGATATCTGCACATCCTATAACTACTGTCGCAGTCGCCTTGCAATACGCCTTGACGTCGCTTCTTCAGCAAGACTTCACTGCAATCCATAACGTGCCCGATTGTGCTTGGAAGCCTCTCGCTGTGCTAAGCACCACCGACTACAAGCACGCTTCTTTTCCAAACACCGCGCATCCTTTCACCGCCAGCATGACCACGAGAGGCTCTTCTCATCAATACCTTCCTCAGGGCCAAGCATTTTCCATCGCGACTTGGGTACGCAACGTATCAGATCAGTCATCAAAATACCGCACCGCATCGCCAGGTCCTCAACCGCCAACATCGGCAGCCATTGACGCCTACAGGCGGCAGATCCAGGCCATGTCAGGACGATGAAACTTTGAGGAACCACAAATGAAAAGGCATCTGCGCGTTCTGCACCTTGAAGACCGAGATCATTTTTCTATCCATTCACTGGCTGGCCGTTCAAAAGCAACGAAGCGCTTCCAGGGAACCCAGTTGTCTGCTGCTTGTACATGAGAGCCGAATGTTCTTATAGGCGTGGCCAATGAAGGAAATTTTAAAAGAGCCTTCCGATATGTGCGAATCGCAGGGTCTCAGCTGGAGGGGTCGAACTTTTTTTTTTTTAGTTGTTTATTTAACATTCCTTGTCAATGCCTTTTGATGGACTGTAGGATCGCGAAGGAGGGTTGCGTAAAAGAATACGACTTGTTCAGAAAGAGCGGCTGACAGCGAGGCAGAGTCAACGCTCGCGACAAGCTTCAAACACAAACAACAGCAGCTTGGTGGTTTCAGAATTTCTCGATGTTTTTCACGGTAGCAATCGTCTGGCCTGGTGGTAGCGCTGTGGGCGAAGCCATGAAGTGTCCTCGTCCGTACCTGACAGCAGAATCCAATGAGAGACGCGGGCGCGCGACCAGCGTGGGCCGGCCAAAGCTTGGCAGTGACGCACTTGGGGCGGTAGAAAATTCGTGTCACGAGCGGCCGGAAATCCCTCACCAACTGCCACTGTAGAGTTTCTTGCGTCTGCCCTGTCCTCAACCCACGTTCCAAAATCTCTCTCTCTTCTTGCCGCCGTCCAGCTGCCTTATGATCCACCATCCATTGTAACAGGCACGTCCAGGGCACGATTCGGCCAGTCTTCTCGGTCCGGCTCACCAGCGTTTCCTTCCGCACGCTACCCACACTCGCGTGCATCTTCACCACCCTTCCGTCAATTCTCTCATCTGCTTTGTCCCCCGCCCTTGCCACGCGACAGCTGAACAGCAACATCCACACACTCAGATCTCTTCTCAGGACTCAGCACGAATGATCAGAACTACGTGCTTCTGATCATTGTTGAGCCCCCACCACCATCTTTGCCACCTAGCCTTCCATGCGTCGAGAGGACCTCGTCAGGATCTTGAACAAGCCTGCGAAGTGAGTGCACGCCGCCTTCTGCTCTCTTTCACAATGCACTCTTCGGAGTCGCCCAAGAACGTCCAAAAGGCAGATTCATGGGTTCGCACGTGTCAAGGATCTTACACTTACACCGCTCCAACAGGCCCAGATAACACCTCCTCCAAGCAAAAGTCGAAACCGGAATCTACGACCACACGTAGCAGATCTCCTCGTCTGCTGGACCCGATATCTCACCAAGGGTATCGGACCCTACAGCTCGAGGACTACAGGCATAGTCAACATTCCGTCCGACGAAGCAGTCTTCCTCCCCCTTTCCGCCCGACCTCCCTAACGTCCCTTCAGAGAGACGTCAATCTATCTCCGCTGACTGCTGCTGGCTCAAGCCAGCCTCCATATTCTCCCACAGATCGTGGGCCTTCTCTCCTCAAGCGGGCACCGCATTGTTCGCTTGGGTGGTAGATTGTGCTCACCACAGCATCGTCACACGTTTAAGATAGCACAAATCCTCGATCTCCAAGACAACCGCGCTTGATCTCCTGTATTACATCAAAGTTCGCCTTTCATCATATAGGAGATGGTGAACATTGAGATTCCAAAGCACTATACCGCCTCGCCGTCCTCGTACACTGGGACGCCGCACCTGACAATCAATCGCGAGGCTACAATCGACCTTGACTCCACCACCGCTTTCGAAGGGCCCGAAAAGCTTCTTGAAGTGTGGTTCGCCCCTGACTGTTCATCTCTGCCAGGGTCGTGCCCTAGGGATGGTCTCAAGGCGGTCTCCGCGGAGACCTGGAAGGGCATGCTTGACTTGGTCAACTGCAAAGTCCTGTCCGTCCTTGAGTCGGAAACCGTGGACGCCTACCTGCTTTCGGAATCGAGCATGTTCGTGTGGCCGCACAAACTGGTTCTAAAGACGTGCGGGACAACCACTCTGCTCTGTGGTCTACCACGTATGCTCGAGATTGCGGCCACTGAAGCTGGCTTTCCTCATGTCTCGGCAAATCCGGCTCACGGCATCCCAATTGCAGCCACGCCGTATCGCATCTTCTACAGTCGCAAGAACTTTCTCAACCCGGATCAGCAGCGTGGACCACATCGCAGCTGGCGAGATGAGGTGCGCTTTCTCGACAAGCTCTTCGTGGGAGGAAGTGCCTACATGATTGGAAAAATGAATGGCGATCATTGGTATCTATATATCACGGAGCCTAACACTCAGCTTACTCCACCGACAACACCGGATCGTGAAGCGACGGAGACAAAGCAGCTCAGCTTTCCCGACAGCGCCAAAGGCATCGGCTGTGGAGAAGAGGATGAAACGCTGGAGATCTTAATGACCGACCTCGACGAGGAGAACGCTAGGCAGTTCTACCTTGAAGACGCGAGTGCGGTCGCGGAAGGTCGTCATTTTCAAAAGGCACGCAAAAATGCTGTGAAAAATCTGGGGACGATTGCGGAAGAGAAGTGCAATTCCACTCACGTTGACGGAGGTTTCGACGTCTTCGAGCAGACGTCATCTGAACATAGCCAATACTCTTCTGACGACGATGATCTGCCTCTTCCAGAAGAGCTCACAACGGAGGGACATGCACTGGGCACAGTGGTGTCTGAGAACTGTGGGTTGTCGGATGTGTACTCGCCCAGCAAGTATCCCGACGCGAAGATTGATGCGTATCTCTTCACGCCATGCGGTTTTTCGGCTAACGGCGTTATTCCTGCTCCTATGGACGAGAATAACGTTAAGACCAAGAATACATCACACCACTACTTCACAGTTCACGTCACGCCTGAACCGCAGTGCTCTTACGCCTCCTTTGAGACAAACGTTCCCGCACATCAGAGCGGTCGAGAGACTGCTGACATCGTCGAGCAAGTTGTCAAGATCTTCAAACCTGGACGATTTAGCGTCACGCTTTTCGAGACGAAGAAGGACGACGCTCTTGGCGTGAATGGGACCACAATGGCCAAGAAGAGTGGCCGTATGGATGCAATTGCTGGGTACAAGCGTGTTGACCGCATTGTTCACGACCTGGACGGTTATGACTTGGTGTTCAGATACTTTGAAAGGTTTGACTTCAAAGGAGGGGCACCAAGACTTGGAGAGATTGGGCTTTAAGCGCTCGGCAGACTCATGGCTTAGTCTTTTTTAAATCAGCGTTAGGGAGAGGGACACGTTCGAGTTGAATCTAGCGGAGGATAGGAGCGCGCTTCTGATGGCAGTGGTAAGAGATGTTGAGACAAATTGATCATTTCGGAATATTCTCGAGGCTCGACAAAGTTTGGCAGCGCTCAGGGTACACTCAGTGTTAGCCGAGCTGTTGTTTTCGTAAGGCTCTGAAGGAAGATTGCGCAGGGAGTGGGGTGTTCCACATCACAAGACACATTCATTCGTGGGGCCATTTTTTGGGGGAATTATTTTCTCTTCAATTTTTTTTTAGCGTTCAATAATGCAACATTCCAGCCATGATGGGTCTTCAAAACACTGCGTGCATCGGCTCGTGGACAAGCGAAGCTGCTTTACGGTACTTAGGCAATTTTGCCAGCATTCCTCACGGGCGACCCGCAGCCGTTCTCCCCTGCCATCTCGTAAGCCTGGACGCCGTTCCAAGAAGACGTGAGGAAGGAATGGCGTGTGACTGGAACACCACGGCGGAGATGTTGCGTTCTTTGAAAAATGCACATTACCGATGGACGGCGTCGGAAGCAGAAAATGCGAACTGGTCGTCATGAGAGCACGTGAAGCAGAAGAAGCACGGTTAGGACCGCGCCTGTCTGACGGCCGACGCGACGGTCACACGGGTTGTAAGGACGCGGAGACGGGCGAGACAGACACCAGAGGTCCGCGCGGAATGGGGCTGCTAGTGCACGTCTTACGAGCATCTGCATCCATCTGAGAGCGCGACGACTTCGATCATTCGCGCATAAGCGCAGCGCGCGAGGACGGAGCTGCACATCGAACCGGACGGGCGTCGTGTCATGAACGGGGTCGCACAGCTGCGAACGCCGTGGGCGAATTGCGGGCTGGGGCTCGAAGGCTTGGACACGGCCCTGACGAGCTTAATGCTAATAATATCGACGGAAGTGGCAAAGCCTCAGCGCCCGATTGTCCGCTAATTAGGCCGGCACCCTGGCAGGGTCGCAGCGCCGGTTTGGGGGGGGGATAAACAGGGGCCTTCTTGGGTCAGCTCGAGTTTCAGCTGAGATACAAACGGCGCCCGTTCGTTCTCCACGCAGAGCACCACACACCGCCGCGGCGACGCAGACGACGACGGCATCATTCCAGTTGCTGGCTCAACCCTCAGCGCCGTCTGACCGTGCGAGAACATCCCGTCGTTCCAGTCCCAGGAAGCGTCCTGTTCCTTCGTCCCTTTCCGTCCTCCGTCAAGCCTCGTCGCGTGAATCAGCATGAGTGTAAGTCTGGCTCCCGTTGAGAGGCCACGCCGCCGATCCCAATTCCTGCTCGTCAACGGCGTCGAGTGCTGACTGAAGTTGCGTGATAAAGTACGGTGGATACAACCAGGGCGGCTATGGCCAGTCAAATCCCTACGCCCAGCAGAACTCCTACGGTAACCAGGGCGGCTACGGTGGCGGATACAACGACAACGTCGAGATGCAGCAGTACAACCAACCAGCGCCCGGAGGTCGTTACGGTGGTGGCCTCCCCTCAGGTCCCAGGCCAGGTGGTGCTGGCGGCTACAACGGTGGCTACGAGGGCGCAGGCTACGACAACCAAGGCGGCAACGTCGGTGGCAATCTGCTGAACCAATGTCGCGACATCGACCAAGCCATCGATGATCTGCAGCGTCGTGTGCAAGATCTCCAGGGCCTTCACACCCGCGTGCTCAACGACCGGGCTTCAAACGACGAAGTTGACCGGCAGAACAGCGAGGTCATGGCCGCATTCCGCAACCTTGGAGAGAGATTAAAGAAAATAAAGAGCAAGCCGGAAAGCGGAAGTCCTACAAATGCTCCTCAAGTCGGTAGAGTGGACAGGAAGCTGAAGAAGGCCATCAATGACTTCCAACGTGTGGAAAGCGACTTCAGGAAGCAGATGCAAGACGCGCAAATCAGGCAGTTCAAAGTCGTCAACCCAAATGCGACAGAAATGGAGGCTCGTCAGGCTATCGAGGATCCTAACTTTGAGGGCGGCGTCTTCCAGCAAGCGGTAAGTCTCTCGTGTTCGACCTGATTCCCGCCCACGTTCGTCCCCTTCGGGTTTTGATTTTGTCGAATGAGATACAAGAGTCCCTTGCATGGCTACCGAGCGCTGTGATGTTATCGGAATTCCGTGCGATCTTTCAAAGCTAACTTGGGTCATAGCTCATGAACTCCAATCGCCGAGGCCAAGCTACAACCACACTCAACGCCGTCCGACAACGACACCAAGAAATTCAACGCATCGAGCAAACCATGATCGAACTTGGACAACTGTTCGAAGATCTCGACCGCATTGTTATGGAGCACGAGCCGCTCATCCAAAATATCGAGCAAAAAGGCGAGGAGGTCCAGCAAAATGTTGAAGCTGGTGTTGGCGAGCTAGACAAAGGTGTGAAGAGCGCTCGTGCAGCACGGAGAAAGAAGTGGATTTGCTTCTGGATCTGCATCGCTATCATCATCGCCATTGTTCTCATTGTCGTCATCTACATGGCCGTCACGGGCAAGTTCAGTAGCAGCAGCAGCAGTAACAGCAATAAGAACAACAAGAGGTGGCTTCTGCAGGCTCGCAGTATGATTGAGGCAAGAGCCGCAGAGGCGGATCCCATGGCTCTGATGGCGCCAGGTGTTGTGCTCTGAGCAGCACTTGAGATCTCCCACACAGCGGGACTATTCAGACGTTTGAGAAAAAGAAAAACATACTCCAGTCTTATCAAGGTCTGCAAAGATGAGCACAGCGCAGAATCATCTATGCGGACTCATGGGAAAGAGTACACTTGAAATCCCTCGGTTTTTTTTTTCTTTTTTTTTTATGGAAGGTCTCTACTTTCTACATTTTCATTAAGAGTTCCAGTGACCAACAAAATTGTTTGAGGAAATTGTATTGCTTGTAATTGCGGGTTTTATCTGTTCGGCTGGCTCACATCAAAGATCTTTGATAACAGCCAGTCATGATACCTTGTTCGCACATATCTAGCATTTGTAGGCGCATTAACAATCATTGGAGAATGGATATTTCCTCTGTGCTACTACCAACGTTCCATCGACATTTTGCTGTCCTGTTCTTACGTGTCAATGATTTTCCCTTACGGTCGATATCGTAGGATATATTTCGCCACGATCTATGTATATTACGTCCAAGATACGTGCTCCAACCTCTCACCCCCCCCCCCCCCCCCCCCCCCCCCCCTACGGTAGATGGATTGCTTCCAATCAGATGGTGACGAAGCAAGAAAGTTCAAGAAAGAAACGCGGAGTCGAAATGTGAAATGTGCGTTGGTGAGGAACGTCGGAAGATTTATGTCTGAGAGACCTTTTGCTGAATTGTTTTCGGGTATCAGGCCTACGGTACGATATTAACAGCGAGCAAGCTCATGACTGAATTACAGCTTGCTCGAAGACACGCTCATAAAGGCGCTTGCTTCTGCACGAGCCAACTCCATGGCTGATTCGGATGCCTTCCATTTTCCATCCGGCGTTCTGACAGCTTTGCCATCTGCCTCCAGCTTGTGCAGGACTTGCAGAAGCCCACCTTCAGCAGGACCCCACAGGTTTTCGGGATATAGTCTATAGATTACTTTGACCATGTCTAAACTCTCCCACTCTTTGCCCAACGAGACTGACGGGCTCTCGCCGTCCGCATGCGGAGGCACAGATTGTGGAAAGCCCTCCGCAGTCTTCAGGGAAGGTTTACCGGGCGCCGTCGTCGTGCCATAGCAGAGCACGTTCATCGCTTCGTCTTCCCGCATCTGTCGATGTGTGATGTACTCCTCCAGCTTCTGCCTCGCATCACTGATGACGGCCCCGTGGCCGGGGAACGCTCTTTTCCCCTCGCCGGTCCTCGCTTTCATGCGTTTCAAGCTCGCGACGTACCGCGCAAGATCCTCAAAGACGGATGTGCCATGCCCGAGCACGTTGTCGGCGGTAAAGATGCATCCAACCTCTTCGGGATCAGGAGACTTGGTTATCAGCAGGCACATGTGGTCCTTTGCGTGGCCTGGTGTGTACAACGCTTCCACCTCGAAAAGGTCGCCCTCTTCCTCAGAGCCTACGCAGAATTTCGCCCCGTCCTCAAAGTCGATGATTGTCTCGCCCACCATGGTCTCGTCTGGATCGTACGCATTGCCCAAATGCTTGTAGATCTTGACCTCTGGGCTATGCTTCCTTACGTCCGGAATTCCCATGACATGATCATGATGCCAATGCGTCAGGATGCAAGTCTTGATTCTTACATCAGAACCGCCTTGCTGAAGCACCCGGTAGAGATTTGTTCTCCAAGAATCGAACCCTTGAGCGGTGTCGATCAAGATTCTCTCCTTGCCTCGACCCAGCAAATACGTGTTTGTCCCTTGCAAGGTGAATTTACTCGGATTTCCACCCAGCACCCTCCAAATCGAAGAGCTTACCCGCTCGATTTCAGGCAAAGCCGGGATATTCACGGCCATGAAGTATCCGCGACGCTTCCAGTAGATGCGTCGCAGAATTTCGTGGTGCTGTTCTGGGTAGACAGCAAAAAAATGGCCAGGATATGAATTTTCGCCCTCACTACCCTTGTTCGGGTGTGTGTTAGGATAGGGGAGAGGTCGAGGAACCATACAGACTTTAAAGCGAGCCTGAGAGCAGGCCTTTGCCGTTCAGAAATTCGTCTCAGATTAACACCTCGCGTGTCTTTGGTGCGCTGGTGGTTGCGGACGACGTCAGGCCAACTCAATCGTTCTCCATGCGCATCTCGCGAAATTTTAAGACAGCCGGAATCCCAGTAAGTTAGTGATGTACTTCGATTGCTCCTGATTTCGACATCAGCTACAGATCGATTTAGGGCACACCAGTGGCTATGGTGTGGAACAGCTTCTGGATGATGGAGAAAAGAGCAGCAGAGCAAGAAAGATATTGAATGTAATTACAAAAGAGCCCTTTTTTTGCTCTCAGAAAGAAGGAAAACTAGCCAGCTAATGTTACCGACCGACTGCGATGTCCAGACCTGACATATTGTAAAGATGCCGAGGTATCAATTTACACAGGCGGAGTATGCATAGTACAAACTCAACAGCGAAGAGCGAGACACTATTACACCGATCAAAACCCCTTGACGTTTGATTTCCTTTTCCAATTAGATCTAGTGAGCCTTTTAGTGTTATTCTCAATCTGTAGTCTCGTTCTTTAGAATTGTTCAACGAATTACTTCAAGTCGACAATTTTCAAGGCCACGTGATAGTCACAATGCGGCATTCTGGAGAGAACACTCAAACTTTAGCTGAAAGTGGCGTCAATCTGTCTCTAGATGTTTCAATAAAATTTTGCCGTGCTGATCGTAGAACAAGGTCGAGTTAAAATAGAGACAAATCACTAAGCGCATCAGTTTGCAATCAAAATGAAAAAGTCCTGATATCTGCCTCAAACGCTGCATTGCTTCCATGGTCATTTGGAGTTATATATACATGTATATTTTAGACGAGCAATATTGGACTCTGCTAAGAATGTGTCTTGCTCCGTGGCTTCGTTCAAGATTGGGTATGTTCTCCATGACGGAGGGTAGGTCAAATGAGGAGCAAAGCATATTGCCGAGGCTCAATCTGCAAGGCCAACAATAAACAAATCAACGACTTGCTCAAGTGTATCGCTATTATATGAGATAATCACCTCTTTGTGGTAGTCGCTAATTCTGAATACAGTCCGGATAATCACTATCAAGCGCAATCATGACAACGCTGGACGATCTCAAAGTCTCCTCGCTATTTGACTTCAAAAACCACATCGTCCTCGTCACTGGTGGCGCGACAGGTTTAGGGGAAGCAGCGGCTTCAGGCTTTGTGGCCAACGGAGCTCGCGTCATCATCGCGTCTCGAAAGGAAAAAGAACTTCGCAGTACGACTGATCGGATCAATTCGACCTTTGGCGGTACTTCCGGTGGGAGATGTGAATACATCGTGGCTGATCTCAAGGACAAAGCTGGATGCGACGCTCTTGTTGCTGAAGTCAAGAAGCGCGTGGACCGACTGACCGTTTTGCTCAACAACGCCGGCGTCACATGGGGTGCACCCTACGATGACTTCCCAGAAAGCGGCTGGGATAAGGTCATGGCTCTCAATGTGAAGGCCATTTATTATATGACTGTTGGATTACAGCAGCTTTTGCAGAAGGGAACCAATGCAACTATGCCTAGTCGAGTGATCAACGTCTCTAGCGTCGCTGGATTGAGCACCGGAGACGTTACAAGTGGTGATGAAGGAGGGTTGAGTGCCCCCGGTTCTGGCCCATTCAGCTACGGCCCCAGCAAGGCTGCAACAATACATCTGAGTCAGTTCCAGGCTAGTAAACTCGCTCCTCTCAACATCATGGTTAACTGCATCTGCCCGTGAGCCAACCTGCGTGCTACCGATTTTGAACAAAGCTGACGCAGGTTGTAGGGGTCTCTTTCCTTCACGGATGAGCAATTACGGAATACAGAACTTCGGGGATACGATGCTGTCAAGACAACCCACGGGAAGAATTGGAAAGCCTGCTGATTTTGCCGGATTGGTACTATTTCTCAGCAGTGCGGCCTCTGCACACATGACCGGAAATGTGATAACGATTGATGGAGGAAGTCACGTCAGCGGCTGGAAGCGTAAGGTCCAAACGGAGAGCAAGATGTAGCGCTACCTGGGATAAAGTGCTGTGGTTCAAAGGAGCATTCTCTCAAATCCGATAGAAAAGAATCACTGTAAAGATTTTTAAGAACTCATGTTGAACGAGTAAGGGAACGATTTCTAGCAGCTTTTTGTTCTTCAATCTCACCATTTGAAGCCATCAAAACGATCAAATTTGTTCATATCTAAGTTTGCCAACTCATACTCATCTAGGTACATAAAGCTTACGTCAAGGCTAACAGAATTCGATAATGTGACTGGCCTGTTCAATATAAGGTACGTGTATTCTGAGCCAAGGTTGGTGCTATTACAGCACTTGAAGTGTTGAAGTGCTTTTTTGTTCTGTACTAAGTTTGCAATCAAGGCATTAACAGCAAAATTTGGTAACATGTTCCGGTATGTTGTAGGATAAGACCGAAATATCACGAGGAAACTTGAAGTAGTAAGCTTCTTATGATCACCATTTCGATGCGGGTGGGAAAATGGTATCTGTAGCCTGTAAGTATTGGCCTCATTGAAATATTGTGTTTTCGTACCCATCACTTTCTGCTGTTCCTCGTTCATGTCGAATCTCGGATCATTTCCCATAATATCTCTCTTGTGCCGCTCAATCCCACTTTCAAGCTCCCTATACTCACTGCCCATGATGCTGATCGTGCACCCGTTGTAGGAGTCATTCGCAGCCAAGAATGCAGCCGCCATTGCTGTTTCTTTGACAGAACTAACTGGGATGCCAACTCTTTGCAGCTCCGGGATCAGCCAGGGCACCGATCGAACTGCTGCTGTATCGGTAACATGTGGAGCAATGGAATTGACGCGGATGTTCCAGGTTGGGGTATGGTTTCGTAAGCCTCTCATCAGACCAATCATTCCATGCTTGGAAGCGGCATAAACAGGAATGCTTTGGCAGTCATATCCACTACGGCTCACAGTAGACACAATAACTCCACCCTGAGGCCTTTGCTTCCTCATAAAGTGCATAGCGAGCTTCACGGAATACATCTGCCCAATCAAGGTGACTTTTAGGCACGCAAACTCGGGTTCAATAGGATCCCCGTTTTCATCCACTTTGTCGAAGAAGTCACCTCTGTCGCCGAAACCTGCATTTGGTACGACAATATCAATGCGACCGAACTCTTTTTCAGCACGCTTAAAGAGTTGCAGTTGAGATATCCAGGACCCGGCATCTGTCTTCTGGAATATGGGTCCTTCAATCGGCTCAGAAGGTTCTTTAATATCGCCAATGAGTACTTTTACCCCAGCTTTGGCAAGATAGTGGACAATGCCTTGGCCGATTCCGCTTGAGCCGCCCGTCACAATTGCTGATTTTCCTCGGAGCTTGTCGCCGATATCTTCATCTGTGATATTTAGAGCAGTCATTGTGCTCGCAATAACTTAGTGCTTTGAGTAGGTACAGTAATAAGTCAGGGCTGGACAACCTGAATAGTCTGGGGAAACGTACCCGTGGCGATGTATGAATATAGTTTGAGTTTCGTGAAGCATATTGCTCTGGTTTTTCAAATACGATATCCTTATTTAAGGCCCAAGTAACCCAAGAGAATATCCGGGGATATGTGGAGAGATGCGGAGAAGACCAGGTGTTACCTCGCTTCCACACCTCACGGTTCAAAGTGGCAAATGAGGAGCATTTTGCAACCAATATCAAATGGACTACCAATAACGAATGCTTGCAAACAGGTTTAGATTGCTCCTCGTAAACATCTGAAGCATTCCTCACCGGCCTGAAAACATCGCCTAGGGCTAAATTTTGCGGCTATGTTTAATGAGTGGCGCCGAAGCTTGATGCCGAAAACTGAGAAAACAAGTACAGGTCTGCACAAAGCTATATACCGTTGAATACCCACATTCTGCATCAAGATTGTGGATTCTCTCGCTGAAATAATGCAAGTTGCGTTGTGTGTGGATGGGGTTACGGCGCCATAGTTAATTTCGAGGGGTGCAGAGCTTGAGAGCTGCCATGTTGTGACGAGGGGTGTTTTCGCTAAAATTTCCATATCGGGAATAATGTTTACCTTAAACATTCTCAAAACTATTCTCAAGCAGCTCTCCAGTCAATATAGCTACTGCAAACACCGGTCGCATGTCGCCATTTATGTATCCCTAAGTGCATCGATACTCTCGTTACAATCTAGGGCCGGAGACGAACAGAACAGAGAGGCGCAGTCCTTGCAATGGCTGCACCACAATCTTTACCCACCAGGTTTCCTTGCTGGTGCAAGGCCATATACTCATGGGGCGGCGAGACCAAGCGAGATCTGGGTTTCATGGAGGGCGACTTGATCGAGTGTCTTAACGCCGGCGATGGATCATGGTGGATGGGCAGGCTTCGCAGAGACAGGAGGATGGTTGGTCTATTTCCGAGCAACTTCGTTGAAGTCATGCCCGAAGGATGGTCACCAGTACCCAGCGGAAGCTCGCCCATGCCATCGAGACAAAATTCTGCAAACAACGGCAATGGCACACCTCAACAGACTCCCCAGAAACAAAAGAGCACTTTTCGGAAGCCGTTTCAGGCATACTACAAAGCGAGCAGTCCGAATCCCGAAGCAGCTAAGAGAGAACTTGAACGAGCAGGCAGTCGGTTAGAATCAAATAGCCCAGCTGGCAGTCTGCGGAAGACACATCGCCCTTATAGCTCGATGAAGCGTCCGAGCAATGAAAGTTCAAACAGCGGAAGCCCTAGCCCAGGCACTCCTATTCAGCAGAGGAACAACAGCTTCCGAGCCATCAGTCCCTCACCAAGACAACATCCTCAGAATCATTACTCACACTCTCGAGTAGTTTCTCCTTCTCTAAATGCAAGCCATCCAACATCGTCATCGCACTACCATCCACAATATCGTGCCACGTCTCCTGCGCCTGTCCATCAATATCATTCTCATTCTCGCGCAGTTTCACCAAATCCATACCAACATCACACACGAGAAACTTCTTTGAATATTTATCAAGAGTATGTATATTGCTTTCATGTCTTTCTTCTGTGAATGCGTGCCGTACTCACATTGAACTAGATATGACAGTCATCGAGCAACTTCACCAAACCCAGAATGGGACCAGCAACATGCCCCTCCTCCACCACCTCCAACCCACCGTTATATCAATAGTCGTGCGCCTTCCCCACAACATTACACAAATGGATACCACACGCCGGATCCAACATCTCCAGCTGTCGGTCACACACCGTCTCCAATCGCGAACGCTATGAATGACGTGATGGACTGCCTTGGAGACATGACAATAGCACGAGATCCATCCCCGGAACCTCCAAGAGAAGCAACAAGCATCTGGTCTCCGGAGGCTTTTGACGAGCTGTATGCTAATAACGGACGGAAACAGCAAAGACCACATACATCAATCGAGCATCGAACGAATAATGGCTACGAGGGCCAGAACGGAGAGATGCTGAAACATTCAGATAGTTTCAGGTCAAATACTTCAAATGAGCCATCAAATGTGGGAGATTATGTGCAGCGTATGGAACAACGTTTGCGTCTGTTGCATGAGCAAGATGGAACACAACCGGGTCATACATACATGAACCATGAAACTGACGATGCCAGCCCACCGGAACCACCACCGAAAAGCCCAGGTTATGACAGTCGGCCAAAGTCTTCTCTTAGCATACGGAGTGGTAAAGGATCTAGACGTGGCCTTCGGCATGTAAAAAGTGGTTATGAGATCGGCAAGCAAGCAATGAACCGTACTTTTACTCTAAAATCAACAAGCACGACTGTAACAAACAGCAGCTCCAGCACCAATCACACATTAATGAGCGGCACCTCCGCAGGCGGCTTTAGTGCTACTAGTGCTGGTAGCTACTATAGACGGAAATGGTCGCGATCAGGGGACAAGCGACCAACTAGTGTATTAGACGTACGTTCCGGCGCAAGCAGCGCTTTTGTCAGCAGGCCTAGCACACCTATGACCGGAATCACGTATCATTCCAGCCATGCTTCGAATGCTGAGGGACCAGATGCACCCGCGTCAATAGCACCGCCACCAGGATTTTATCAAGATGGGACTTCGGAGAATGTTGGTGTGCTTGGAGGTCTGTCCACACCTCGAGCGAAGAAGAGCGGTTTCTTCAAGAAAATGATCGAAACTGCAAAGACGGGGGCGGCCACTGCAAGAAGCACAATCTCTACAAGCCGACCCGGATCGCCCGTCAAGATGGCTGGATTCGCAGGGGGTATCGCTGCCAACGCTAGTTCAAGTCGACCACAGTCTGTTGCAGCTGCTCAGCGGCCTCAAAGCGCTCATGCATCAATTGCGAGGGACATGGGCTTAGGCGGAGGCAGCGATTGGGTTCAAGTCAGACGAGACGTAAATCGATCCAACTCAGTGTCAAAAAACGAACGAATTGAACGAGCTGAGCGATGTCAGATGCTTGACATGGTCGTCATGCAGCCAACCGATGAACTATATGCCGTCGCCGAGGGTGACGAAGGTCTGGATGGACTTCCAATCACTGAGCCGACAGATTTTGCGGGCTGTAATTTCCAGCTTGTCGACAAGAGTGCGAGATTTGTAAACAATGTTCCAGGGGCAACCACTGTAGCCGGACTGGTGCAAGGTTATCTCTGCCGACCATACCGGAGTGATGTCCAGCGTCTTCGTGCCATTTTCACATGGACGAGTGAGCGAATATGCTGGGAAGAGGACTTCGAGATCGGTGAGGGCGACTTCATTGACACTCGAAGAGTCATATCGCAGCACCGAGGCTGCAGTCAGAAAATTGCGTACCTCGTTGCGGAAATGTGCAGCGCAGTCGGCATCCACGCTGAAATTGTTAGAGGCTACTTGAAGACTCCTGGAGAACCTATTGACTTTGAAAATGTGACGCGACCAAACCACTGGTGGAATGCTGTAATAATAGACGGCGAATGGAGGATCATGGATACGGCTTTGGCCAACCCGACACATTCACGGAGAAAGTTTTACTCCACAACGAGCTCGAATATATCAGAGACATGGTACTTCCTCGCACGGCCAATGGAAATTTGTTACACACATGTGCCATTGCTACCCGAACAGCAGCACATTGTACCATCAATTGCAACAGAAATTCTAATGGCACTTCCCACAGCGTGCCCGACATATTTTCAGAATAGGCTTGAGATGGTTGATTATTGCACTTCTCTACTGCACTTGGATAATCTCGAGATGGCTCAAGTGCACATTTCAGTACCTGAAGATGTTGAATGCGTGGCCGAAACAGAAGTGAGAGCATTTGCAAAGGACGAAGATGGCGACTTTTTTGAGAGTGGTGATACAGTTTCCAAGCCTGCATTATCGCAAGCGGAGTGGATCGCTGGCCGCAAAAGATTTACAATCAAAGCATTGTTGCCTGGAGACGAGGGTCAAGGTGTGCTGAAGATATATGCCGGCAAACGGGGTCTGATGGTGAGTTCAGCTTCCTTTCTTGCAGTGACATTTTCAGTTATATCTTCAACTGTTCAAGCTCAGTTCTTGGTTCAATTGCCGGAGACAGTGAGATTGATGGATGAACTGAACTAATCAATATGTTTCAGCATTCGATCAAGTCAAACCCGCATTCATTAGCCTTAGCACTACCACTCACACATACGGGTTCCAACCCTCCATACAGCTTTTTCGTACGACACCCGACTCCACACGCCCAAAAACATGACTTGTACGTCATACAGCCTCAGTGCATGCGTCTTGTGGTCAATAATACTTTCATTTTCTCCGTCCGACAACATCCATCAAGTCTGAAATTGAGTTGCCCAACCCTTGGTGGATCAACATCTGGTGTTACCTTCTCAAATCTCTCAGGCCGAATCTCACCAACTCCTCTTCAACGGCCTCCTTCTGCCATGAGCATGGCATCAGTTTCTCAGTCAGGCTCGAACTACTCGATTGGAAGCAATAATTCCTCCAATCCTAGTAGCAGCGGAAGTTCAAGCGGTGATTCAAAGAAACCTGCTAAATTAGCGATACAGTCGCCGAGCGGGAAGATTATAAGACTCACGCGGAAAAGTGAACATATGATGACCTCTTCAACTAAAGAACCAAGAGAAGGGACTGAATGGGAGACCGTAATCAAAGTGGGTGAACGTGGAATATGGCGTGGACTCGTTCTGGCCGATCGAAGCGCTCGCTGGTGCGTCTTTGCTGAATGGGAATGCGTCTGATGTAAGAAGGCAGCTCTACGGAGACAGTATGTTGAAGGATGTGAAGTTCCGAGAGGATTTCCATGCTTGGTTGTGGCACTGGCGAGGGATGCCTCTGAGGAGATGGTGTTTCTCACGCAGAGTTGGGAAATGGACACATGAAGTGATCTTCCGAAGTGGCTTTGCCAAGTCAGATGGTTGAAAAAATTACCTACTCGAATTTGGGACAAAAGCATTTCTTGCGCGCATCTGAACACTGGTTGGTAGGGCCATTGGGCTTGGGGTATTATGCAGGTTCATTGGGTCGGCGTTAAGCAAGACAAAGATGCCAACGCAGCATAATTTATGATCACAGTAACACCACCTCCGGTGCCGTTTCGAAACCTTGTCCAAAGATTCTATTGTCTTCTTCGGTATCGAATCCACAAGTTGAAGTATTTATTCTCAATCAATAAGTATAATTAGATATTATACTATTCTTTGATTCTATATTTTTTATCCCGAAAGACCAAAACAGTAAGTCTTATAATTACTTCAACCTGCTCGAGTGCCCAAGTGTCCAAGAGCTCTCTAGTTCTCATTAAACTGTTACTGATAAGATAGCATTACCTCCTGTCTTAAAGGAACCGGTCAAGAGGATTATCAGCAACAAGGGTTAGCGTAGGGTCTGGTGCTTTAATCTTACACCTTTATATTGATCCTACTCCAGTTATTTGTGCACCTCACCTCTTAAAAGCGTACTGACCGTCGCGATCGCCTTTGTTGCTCTTTCGAGCCACGGAGCATCGCACCATGATAAGAAAAGCTCGCGACAACTAAGGATTGCGGAAGGAAATCAAGTCAGACTCGAATTTTCTTAAATCCCTAATACGCCATTCTCTTTCGTGCAATGCGAGTGGATATGGTTTACAGAATGTCTCTTGCAGGTAAACTTCACGTAGACGAAGCAGAGAGTCGTGATTCGAAGAACTTGCTATTCGCAGGCCCAAGTAAGCGGCAGGATAGAAGCGGGCTCGCCAAGCTCACATCCAAATTTCAGATCTGTGCTGCTGAGGAAAGGATGAAAATATACTTAGAACAACAGGAGATGTCACGATGAGAAAGAATGGAAAAAATCGTGATATCATTGATTACCCATAAGTTCTGACGCATTCAGCCATCGATGAGTTTTGCCAGACGAGATTAATAATTATAGACATTTGCTGGCGAAGTCATTTGCATGGAAGGCAGGGCGCGATTGTGCACTTTGAGTTTCAGTCCATCGTGTCGCGTGCTCTTTCAGCGGCGACTACTTATGTTGCATCACCTAAATCATCGTCCTAGCTATGTTCTCTTCTCGTATACGCCGTTAGACAAATGGCATCCTAAAGTATTTCGCGCATTGAAAACTGGCTAGGGCTCCAGACGCTCTAGTTACGAAGCAACGGACAAGAAAGTGATTGGCGGTAGTTCTAGCACTCAAGAAAAGGCTCATCCCAGCTTTTCCTGAGTAACTGTGATGCGTTCATTGTCATAGTAAGTGGACTCTTCATCATCTGGATGCGTCTCCAATAGAGGTTCGACAGGTTTCGAAGGCGTCTTTCGATCGGGGCTGCTATAAAGGAAAGTAGCGTAGAGCACGGCAGCCATACCAACCAAAAACTAAGAATTAAGTTAAGACTGCATTACCCAGAGAAATCAATGGACAACGTACAGTGATAGTGATGGGAAAATCGAACAAGTAGACACTTGCGAAGAAGCTGATAATGATGCTGATGCTCGTGGCAAAATTTTTGGCGATATTGTCGGCGTAGTTGACGACCAAAGCGACGAGTAGACCGCCAACCGCCTGAAAGACGATTGCTGTCCAAACAACGGAGTTGTAGCCAGCGAAGAACCCGTATTCCGCGATTGCTCCACCGTCTTTGAGCAAAACACCGAGGATGGCCGGTATGATTGAGAAGAAGGACAGTTGGACATTGCGAACCCATACAGTGGCCTTCTTTCCGTCTTTGAGAACCTTTTCAAAGTATACGCCGGCAAGACCAGAAATGGCGCAAGCGATGAACACTGCCATTAGTCCAACAAAGCGATTCATTTCTGCATGCTCCGCTACAGCTCTCGCCGTCTTCTGACTACTGGAAACGTTTGAAGGTAATTGCGAGATTCCCACACCAAACATGAGAATGACCAAGGACAGCCACTTTTTAAGGGACAAGGATCTACCGAGCATAGTCACGCTGAATATAGCTGTAGTCAATATCTTTGACTGGTAGGTCACCTGAAATGTAGCGGCATCAAGATTGCTCACTGCAATATACTGAAGAGAGTTCTGGATGGTGTACAATGCCGCCGGAATAGCAAGCTTCCAGCTGTCACCGGAAAACACCTGATCGTATAGCGTGCGCCAGTTACGTAGATTAAAGTAGCTTGCCTCGCTAGATTCCATTTTCACATCGTATAAAGCGACCGCGAGAGCAATTGCTAGCTTAAGTACTTCATTGAGAAGGACGGCAGTCGACGTGAAATACTGATGACTTCCTGTGATAGGCATGACCCTAGAGTAGTGCATGACCTAGAGGACGTCAGTTCTGAGCTGTTAAATGACGGACAGGAGATCACTGACCAGGATAAGGGCCGCATTTTGAATTGCCAGCTATGCACGACTTAGCACGCGGAAAATTTGTTAGATAGGACAAGCTCCTTACAGTAGCCAGAGAGAGGTAGCTAAGAGGAATGCCACCAATGTGCGTTCGTTGAGACATGGTCTGAAAAGGGCTAAAGGAGTGACTGAACGAGAAGGAAGCGAGAGTGTGTACAGCAAATTAAAAAAAAAGAACGGACGATCTCAGCAAGATCTCAAAAGAGTGAGGAGTGCTTTGAAAATCAGAGGGAGGGAAATGAGAGTTCATGTATATGAGCACAAGCTCTAGGCACTATTTTGACGGCCTCAACCAAGGAGGGCACCTCTTGGGCACTTAGTCACGGTGGACTTGCCGCCGTGACTAACTCTCTCTATAGCGACGGTATGAATTCAGCTCAAGCCCCAAGCGAGACTATCGACAAGACTCGCCGAAAATAAAATGATAAGAGGCTGCCGGGCTGACCGGCGCTAGTGGAGGCTCCTTTAGGGGTGTAATTTCCACTCCTTACCACGTGCGCCTCGTCCGTTACCCGTAGCCTTGGGCTGGACTTGCAGCTACAAGTAGCGATCCCCTGCCTAATGCAGGGGTTGATCGCGCCGCAAACTTAAATTACGCGATTTTACGTGCCGTTTAAGTTGATCTCTTTTGCGAGACAGTTGTGTGCTCGCTGTACAGGAGGAGAAAAAGTTTTTGAAAAAAAATTAAAACGGTTTGAGTTCGAACACAGGTTAAATGAAAACGGCCAAGTGGACCTCAGCACAAAAAGATTAAGCCGCAGCACAAAGCGTAAAGTTTCGTTTCCAGTCGCTAAATGAGGACGCAAAAAAGAAGATACACCCCAAGCAAAAAAATTGCTAAGGCAAATTGTGTACATGCAGGATTGAAGCTCGCCGATACATGAATGGACCACTCGATCGATCCGTAACAAGCTTTCACGAAGCAGTTGCCTTGTAATTCGACCAGTAATCCCTTAGCTTGAGTCCATTCTTGTCGTAGCACGCTGCTACACGCAGATAGGTCTCATCCTCCTTCAACATATGTGGGTTCAACGCGCCAGGAGCCATAGCGTGTCCCAGCACATTCAAGTCTTGATCTTCTGGCGCCCATGCAGTGCCGTCGCCTCTTGCCTTGTCGTCGTAGTAGTCGAAGGCAACTTGTGTAGACATTTCGGTTAAGGTGTACTCAATACCAGCTTCGGCCATCAACCGAGCAACCAGGACGTCCTCATGTTCGTCGGCAATGTAGTTTTCCTCGTGGAGCTTTGCCAAAAGCTTGACCATATCGCGACTCAGAGTGTAGAATTGACCACTCATATAATCCCACTTTGCCCAATTCTTAATTGGTCGACCAATGTAGGTGCCGGTGACATTGTTGTTCTCAATTCGTGGCTCTAGCCAGTCCTTCCAAAAGTGCTTGGCGTCTATCCACGAGTCTTCATCCATCTTAGATACGAACGTCCAGTTCGCGTGGTCATACTTTGCACCCAGATATTTGAAAAACTCCATGGTCTTAACCCGATTCGCCCACAAGTGGTCTTCGTGCTCGTGGTCGAGAATGATAAGGTCTCCAAATGTCGCGTTCTCTTTCTCAATGAACGGTAGCCAGAGAGGGTCCGGCTTCGCGAGCACGAAGCGAGTTTCGAACACCTTATCGTTCCGAAACAGTGTCTGCCATGACGAACGTATGATTTGCCGTCGCTGCATATGACTTGCCGTTGAAATTGTGGCGATCAACCAGGGCGGAGAGGCCGCTGAAGCGCTCAAGGCGCCTCGAAGGTTCTCGTGCCAGGAGGATGCACTGGAGATGGTAGAGGGGCTGGCGGATAAGTAAATCAGAAAAACCAGAACGATAAATGCAACAGCAGCCACAGAGGACGCTGGGCGTCTCTGAAAGAATGAAGAGTCGCCCATCATGACGGAACGATTTTTGCGGTAAGGACTGTCACGAGTGACTTATGTCATAACATGAGAACTCGAAGGTGGAGGAGCACAGAGACTGAAAGGAACGAACACTGCGAAGGCGGACCCAAGCATCGTATTATCCTCGACAGCCACATTGTGCCCCAATGCGCTCCAAGGAGCTGCGTTGCCGCTTTCTCCATCCTCGCTGTCAGGAGCTGCCTGCTTTTGGCAAGGTTAGATCTGCGTGATCAAATTACTGGGCTAGCTGGTGAACCAGACTTTTTGCCCGGCTTCTACCCCTGACGGCATTCACGGGTGATCATCCACGCACTGACTGAAAATAGGATTTCTGGCCAGCCCACGCCAACGTCTGTGCCAGTGCACCCTTGTCTACGATAAGGCTTTACGGTCGTAATCTATCCTGTCAGACAGCGCTATCAATGTACTGCCAAGATTTACAACAGATTGCTGACGGTTCAGGACGTGCTGGCGATGTTTAGCACTAGCGAAATTAGGGCAAGCACACCCTCAGAGTTTGGCCCGGCGTGTGTGAAGGAGCCTCGTGGATAAAAAGACCGGGAGGGACAGGGGCCCAGAGAGAGCAGCGAGGTAGATTGTTCTACCGTCCAGACGCTGGAGGCTCTATCTGAGTGCGAGCTGAAGCAAAGTTTCTGTGCAAAACAATGGCTCCTGAACATAACTACAGGTCTCGAATCGTCTAGTGGCCGTGTCTTTTGAGACCATTGCTATCATAACAAGCTGCCACCCGGAGGTACTCCTCGTCTCCTCTCATTTTGTGTGGATTTATCGCGCGAGAGCCTACAGCATGTACCCACGCATCTAGATCGGCGTCTTCTTTCGCCCAAGCAGTCTTCTTTCCTCCAAGATTTGCTCCCAGTGAATCGTCGTAATCAAATGCAACCCGATTTGGAAGTTTGGTGAAATGCCAGGGCACATCCGCCTCGTGTAAAAGTCGACCGATGAGGACGTCTTCGTGCTCATCAGTGATAGGATTTTCCGCGTGCAGGCTGGCAAGCTTCTCAACCATTGCCCAGCTTAAAGTATAAAACTGACCCCCCGGATATTCAAACCCGTTCATGTCCAGTTTGCGACCGATACCAACAAGTTGTTCAGACAGCTGGGGTACAGAGTTGATTAGTGGCATCAAGTACTCTTTGTAGAAGGCATTGGGATCGAGAAAACTATCGTCGTCGATTTTGGAGACGAAGGACCACTTGCCAGGCCAGGCTGTGATGTATTTGAGGAACTCAATTGACTTGACGGTATTCGCAATTCTCGACGACTCCTCCAGATGTTTGAGAATTATTATGTCGCCATGAGTTTCGTTCTCTTTTGCGATGACTGAGCTCCACTCAGCCGGAGGATTTGCAAGAACAAAGCGCGTTTCGAACAACGTTTCATTTCGAAAAAGCGCCTGCCACGTTGATCGAATAATGCTACGACGCTGGAGGGACTGCGCTGGCGTACTGGTCGCAATGAGCCATATCGGTTGTGTTGCAGAGCCGCGGCCTCGACCAAACGGCTGCCACTCAAAGAGATCGGTGTTCGAGGGGAGGAAAACTGGATATCGGTAGACGGTAAGAAACAAGAGTCCAATGGCGAAGGCAGTCAAGATCAACAGCCTGGGCCGACCGCAACCGATCATGACGGTGGAAGTGCCGCAGCACAGTGAAAGTTGGATGCGAGGCTCGATCTTCGCGTTCTTGTCACAGACGAAAAGTGACACACGAGGATCATCTATGATCTCCTGTATTCAAAGATGCCGCCACCCCCTAATAATCCAAGCCTTTTGGCGGATGACACCTGCAGGACGCGTGCTTGCAAGTTCTTCTCGCAGATGGCTTTTGATTGGCCGGACGCTTGACCTGCTGAGCCTGGCTAACTTAGTGTTCTCAATGATAGCGCCATTGTCAACCTGCTTGTGAGCTAGTTTCCCGTTCTCAGCACTAACTTGCGCCGAATGTTTACAATACCACTCTCAGTAGAGCATCGTCTCGCCCTTCCTGCCGACACGTTTTTCTGCGTCACATCATAACGAGGTTAAACTGGCTAGACGCTTGTGGCGACGACCCAATGCCATTAGGACGAGGAAACTCATTTTCACCGGACAAATCGAGAAGTTGTCAAAGAAACACCGTAATCATTTGGCTTCTTTCTGCGGGTCACACGCTTTTTTTGGACGATCGATAAATTTGTAGCTAGCTGCCCTTCACACAGGAGCTGGCCAAGCCAATCTGCCCCTCCAATTTGCTGGATGATTTTCAAGGGTTCCATTCTTTGGGATGGGATGGAAAAAAAAAAGTTGTCTCCTGGGATCGGATCGCTCGTTGAGGCATAGGTTCGTCAAGGCCATACACACAGTTTCTCGGCTTGGGCTGTATATGTCCTGGCAGATGGTAGGTTCGTGTGACGACAATATGAACGCTGGAGGGATCACACTGATAAGCTCTCAAGGTCACATTGGGACTGCAAATACTTCGTAATATCGTGACATATGCAGAATCTCCTGCTCTTGGCTGCAGTGAACGAGACCAAGTCCCAATGCGGCATTTGTCCGACATAACTAACCCGCTCCCCTATTTGAGCTTTGGCTGCAAATGAGGCAATGATGTGGCAACAACTAAACCATCATTTGGACTTCGTCTTTCAACCACGCCTATATGTGGAACAGAATGTGTTCCATGTTCTATCTGAAAGCACGTGGAACGTTTTAGTTCTACGTGCATCTTCCTTTAAATTCAATATAATGAGATTGCAGAAACGTAGGAATAGAAACGCGCGTTCGTGGAAATCTCCTCAGCTATACCAAGCAGCACAAGGATAGACGGGCAAGTCGCTATTTGGATCCTGCCTCACCCATTACAGCTGATGAATAAGGATAGACCACAAGATGTATCTTCTGGTCGACCACGATTCACCGCATTCCCAGTGATCTTCACTTTTTCCATGCGGTCTTCCATTACATTGCCACGATAGTGAAACATTCACCCGCCGTGGTTGACAGTTGAGACAGAAGAGGATCTTTGGTTATCGAAGGACTATATCGTCTTTTATCAGTTGTGAAAGCATTCTCTCGTCCCGCCCAAAATGCCAGCACCCAAAGATTATGTCGAGGAAACACGTTGAATGTGGGCCTTTTACACATGTCTCCGCATGGTGGATCGATAATTCCCAGCGACAAGCGTCTTTTTCGGAAACGAACTCGTTACTCTTGACTGAATATCGTATGCCGACGGGCAATACCCAACTCGTTCGTTCGCTCATGATCTATCTGTGCCATGATTCTCAATCAGTGGTAATAAGTCCAATTCGTCGTCAAGTCGTCTTCTGGTCGGTCTAGCCTTTTTCTTCTTTTCGTTCAGATTGAAAACGTCAGAGTACTCCTTAGAAAGCCTACCAACTAGATCTTTGACAACGCCGCCACCAAAGACCACATGCTCGAGATCGCTGCTAGTCCAACTATAGCGCATGAATGTGCCAACGCAGTCATATCCTCTTGTGCACAGTGGAATATCCGGTTGCAGGATATTGACGACCTTTCTACATCCGATGTCTTGCCCGTTGGTGTCGAGACAATTCCGGGCCGCAGCGAGACCTTCTCCATTTGCAACATTCTGGATAATCATCAGACCGGGAAACCTTGTCTCCCTCTGCTCAGGATTGTACGCAAATGCGAATGGCGTCTCTTTCGTCACTTCCCATCGGTTGAACAGCCATTCTATAGGCAAGTTCATTTCAGAAAAGCCGAGTGCTGCGTCAACGAGGACAACTGTCTGGCACTGCTCTCTAAAGAGCTCTTCCACCTTGAAAAGAACGCGTTCCAGGTCGCTCGAGCTTTGCATGAACATCGACCCATCGCCAGATTTGTATGAATATCCGTGTATACGTGCTGTAGTTCATTATAAGCCGCATGCCTTATAGTCATTTTCATATGTTGGCCTACCATAGATATAGTGATTTAAGGTACCAGGATGGACAGTTGGGGGACTTCTCCAGATTCTCTCGGAAGCTCGAGGCTTTTGTCTATCCGTCTCAATGTCAAGAATGCAAAGGCGCGAGTTTGACGGAGTGGTCCACGGCTTAATCTTTTCCAAGGTATGTTTGTGTTGATCCTCAGTGGTAATCTCATCGGCAGTGACAGACACAAGGAGTGGCTCGTACAACGCCTTCACGATATAGGAGATTTGTGACAACGATGGTGTAATACCACCGGGTTGGTTTATGTGGCCTGAGTGAGGTCGACCCCATGTCCACAGGTAGTGTATTCCGTTCAGGCCGAGTAAGATGGACAAGACGATCGTAAGAGGCGAAGGCTTCCTTCGCAAGTGAGGTCGTTGGACGTAGTGAGGAATGAAATCACCTTTCTCCTTCATCTTTGGCAGCATTTCTGAACTTCCTTCTCGTCCAAACTAGCGACAAGATCAAAAGACTCTCTTTGCAAAACGAGGAGACATCGTCTGCATTAAGGCTCAGAATAGCCCGCCGCGCCCCGTATTCTTGGAACATGAGGCTGCTGCCCATTTCCTCATTCCGAAAGCCGGAGTTAAAAAAAAATAACTGTGAATTCAGCCCCTGGAACAGCAATATTTGGCGTTCAAGCCGTTCGAATACTATCACTTCAGCTGAAGAATTTGTGGATCTAGTCTTTCTGCAAAGAGCCACTGTTCTGTGCAGGGGTATTCCGCAGCAGCACGCGCCAAGTGGAAGGGATTCCGCCGGAAACCCGAGCTATAGCTAAAAAGTGCCTAGAATGTGTGTCTAAAATTACTTCTTTTGACTACGAGAGTGGCATTCCGTCTGAGCATTAGGGGGAAAGCGCAGCTTGACGATTTTCGCCACACACGAGTTGTGAACGCGCGATGGCGAGCTTCACCCTTTCTTTGTCAATTTCCATCCTTTGTCAGTTGCTTCACCGGCCATGTTGGCTGCGCACTTCACGATAGTGACAGTCGAACATCATTATCACAATTCTTATGCTATCAGCTTTTCATAGCCCACGAGGGCAACTTTATGTTGCCCTCTCCTCAGTCCTGATCCTCGCCATATTCGCCTGGACCTGGTTTCTTTCTTCTTACCGAGTAGACGTTCATGAGACGCTCTCACATGTGTCAAACATTCCGTACGTTACCGCTCGCCTGATTACCATCCTTTTGCGACGACATCTTCGCTAAACGGCTTCAAAGAGCAGCAGGAATCTTCTCACAGCCCAAAGAAATCACATACCGAGATGCACTTCAAGCACTATATCGACCAATGCGTATACCAATCAAGGCAGAACAGTTCATAGATTCTGTTGACGGAACTATATACCCCATCAATAACTCCGCTCCGAGTTGGTCGAGCCCTCTTGGCAAGGAGATATGCATTGTTGACATTGATACCCGTGCCTTGGACGAAGAGAATCACCTTTTTAACGAGTGGTTTAATTGGCAACAGCTGGATGGAGTCTCGAACGGCATGTTAAACCACTACATTTATGGTAAGTCGATACTACTTCTATTTCTGCAGTACTAATTAGGATTAGCTTCTATTCATGGCTACGACTACAGATTCATCAACCCTACAACTTGGCCAAACGGAGCGCGTGATAATGTGTGGACAAAAGTGCCAGCTTTGCGTGAAATTCTTAAAGACTATCGTATAGTTCTTATGATCGATGCGGACGCAATCTTCAGGCATCTCCACCTGCCGTTCGAGTGGTTGCTCAATAGATGGAACTTCACAGCCGAGACCTCTATTGCTATGCCTTGGGACGTTGAATTTAACGTCAATGATGAGGGGTGGAAATGGCCGATGGGTTACACAAGCAACAACAAGGGCGATCTCAACCCAAATGCTGGGGTTGTTATCGCACAAAACTTACCCCGAACATTCGAGATTCTAGATTCCTGGATCTCATGTCCAGACAATCCCGACTTTGAAGACTGCGCAAGGTTCCATCATGGATGGCCAGCCGAGCAAGGTGCATTTGGAGAATTCGTGCGTTACAAGTACAATCTGTCCACAGATTTCAACGGTTTCAGTTGCGACGACGCGAATGGATTCCCAAGTCAGAGGACTGAATGTCAGGGCAGATTCATTAGGCATTTCACGACCGGGAAGGACCAGCTAAAGTCTGGAGTCGGTGATGCTATGCTACAAACGTTTATGGCACGTACGCAGCATGAAATGGTGACGAACCAGGGTATAATCGTGCGTAAAAACTCCAGTGAAATCATTGAGGAAAAGTATTGGCATTATATAGAGCCGGACAAAGAAGACAAGGATAAAGATGATGGAAAAGAGGAGGACGAGTATAAGAAAATTAAAGATGAATCCCAAATTGAGAAAGAAGAAGATCTTGAAAATGAGAAGGGGCAATTAGAAGATGAAGTTACGGACGAAAGTAGGCACAGTAAAGGCGCTGAGGATGTTGGAAAACACCAGAATGAGCTGAAGGAAGACAAGGTATCGCAGGATGAAGCTTCTGATGACATGGATGAAACCACGACAGTAGGCTCTTCTAAGGCCGTCTCTTTTAAGACAGGTTTGTTCAAGATTGTCCCCCCAAAGATTGTGCTTTGAATAATGAGATACCGTAAACTTTTCCACTGTGTTCATGGATACCACATAGAAGACAAGTCAAAGCTGTCACGTATATTCCAAATCACCTTCACGTGCTATTCCCGTAACAAATTTCTAATAAAAATCTAGTAATTTTTATAATTTTTTTATAATTATTGTAACTGCTTTCTATAATATTCCATTTATTAGAGTGATAGTTAACTGATAAACTTCTATAATTCTAGAGCCTAATTAATCTGATCATGATTTATCGCCATGGTAAATCACGTGAACTTCTCAATCACTTACCATAACATAGAGTCTGAATAACTTAAGATCTGTAAAAGAAGAACGGAACTGATGCGGTGCGAGATAGGAATCAGTAAGAAGAAGCAGGCCAAAGTTGTGAAGGACCACCGCAATTGACGAGATGGTATCTCGTCTACATAACCACAAGTTCCGAATTGTTGGTCATCGTAGTCGTCATTCAAGGGAGTGCATGCTGTTGGTTCGTGATTGGCTGTATTGGACAATTTCGGGGTCATGAACACAGCCCCCCTCTGCGACATCTCAAATCCGCCGTGAGCCTTTTATCATCAAATGAAAACTGATACTATTCACCCTGCCCGGGACAGCTTTCTGAATAAACGAGCTGACATTCCGATAAGGCAGATTGATCATAGCAAGGTTGATAAAGGCTGCTGGAAAGCAGAGTATATCCCGCGTCGAACATGACATTTTCCTGTCCTGCAACTTGAGAAGTTGGCATAAGCATGGACGACAACCTACCGTCATATGGAGAGGCAACGACTCGCGATCATTGGTCCATCATAGCATCTTTTGTTAGATCTGCGGACCTCTGCTCTGCGGCTTTAGTATGTCGAGAGTGGAGTATGTTAAATCCACTACTATGACTTTGCTCAGGCTGACACGAAACACAGACAGAATATTCTCGCCATTGTTGTGGGGCAATCCTGCTTCTCACTTTGGCAGAGAGAATGATGCTGTCTACGTAGCCCTAGTGAGATTCAAACGTACGCTTCTGTGGGCAAGACCAAGCACACGCGAGCAAACGCACACGCTGCATTTCCCACCTGCGCAAGCCGAGATATACGGTGGCCCGCATTCAGAATGGTTGCGTGATATTCTAGACCGACTCCCTAAGCTTCAGTCTTTGGTTGTCTCCCATCTGCCATTCTTTGATCACGGAGCGTTGTCAAGTTTAGTACGCCTCGGTCAATCGAATAATGTTCAAGGACTAACCGCCGCGACTTACAACCTGCGTCTTCTTGATGCGTCATACTGTAATAATGTCACACCGCATGCTTTAGCCGCTGCCTTGAAACTCTTTCCCGCTCTTATCTATCTCGACCTTTCGGGTACATCATCAGCTCGATATCCAGAAGTCCTCTCTAGCCTTGCATACATACCAGCTTTGCAGATTTTGAAGTTGCAGAGACTATTTTTGGATGATGATGAGCTCAATGTTCTAATTAGAGCCATTGGGAGGAAACTGCGCAGTTTAGACTTACGATGGAATCGTATCACCGACCAGGGAGTTCGGAATCTAATTCAAGATTCCATCCGGCCTAATATGACTCTCATTGGCTACGAGAGTCCTCATCGATTCAACACAAAACTGCAGCAGATTCTAGATAGCCACCAACAGGACGAATTCATTTGTGACCAGCTTACAAGTGGCTTCGTTACCTACCTTGGTATTGAGTGCATGTCTGGTCAAGGTCTTACACATCTCTACATTTCGAATAACTTGGTGACCATCGCTGGCGCATCTGGCCTTCTTAAGTGTGCGCAGTTGCGAGTTTTGGACCTCGGTGACATTGTCACAGAAACGCTGGTGAGAGGGCCAACAGAATACGACACCCGACGCATGTACCCTTCACTGCCGCGAGCAGAGAATCTAATTCCGATCATTGAAAATCATGCAGAAGGACTCACCTATCTGAGAATCAATCATGCTGTCGTCACTCAACCTGTACCAGCGAAGGACTGCAAAGTAGTCGAGATGGACGGAACAACTTCGGCACTTCCGCCAAGAGGTGTTGTTGAGTTGGATACAGCTCAGCATGTCATAAACGAAATGCCAGACGACCGCCAGAATGAGTTGATTGCAGATTTCACTGTTTATGCGGAATTGGATGGTTCTCCTGTGACTACAATTCCTCTCCACGAGCAGGTTTCGTCACCTGGAATTCGCGTTCAGGAAAGCATTATTAATGCGAACGTCAATGCGGAACCAGCATCAGTTGTGAGTCCTACTGTGGATTCTTCTGGTGGATTGTTCTCGCCAATATCGCCAATGTCGCTGGATATGCCGAAGCCCTTGCAACTACATCATAGCTCTTCAGGTAGCCTTTTGAGGATTCAAATGGAGGGGACGTACACACCGGAGTCCTTAAGTGGCCTGGAAGTTGACGAGCGTACCATTGATACAGATCTACCCGAAGTAGTACAATACGATCACCGAACATATTCAGGTGTTTGGGATGATCACGAAAGTCGACTGAGATTTCGACGATCGCAAACTCACGCTTTGCTCCCTGGAACACTTGGCAATATTCGGACACTTGTTCTTAGTAGCGTGCCATCTAAGCCAGACACACCAGAAATCGCTGCACGTATTATTGATTTTATTAAAGGTTGCGCCGAAGAAGAGCAATGGGCTGAGCTGCTTGCTTCAGTCGGCTATCAGCTCCCACCTGGACGAGACAGACGAAGTGCAGAACGTCATTATGCCCATACACTCTTTCCACTAGAAAAGCTGGTTCTTGAAGTGGTATCAAAGCAAGATGGGGCAGACTCTCAGAGTGGCTGGATTCGCCCTTCTTCTCAGTCGCGGATGCTCTCATCAACGCTTGATCCGGATTGCGAAACGTACTTGAATGCGGCGAGGCACGATTTCTCCTTTTTCGGATCAGAAGAATGTGGTCAGCCAGATAGAGAAGGACTAGCACCTTTTCCTACTGCGATATTTCGAGAAAAGATGACACATGCAGATGATTGCCAGACTTTAAAGGGACACAACAATACGGCAGGAATTCAACGAGTGTATGATGTTATTGGCGATATTTCAAGCTTTCGACAGGCAAAGAAAGAAGAGCATAACTTTGCATGTGGAAATGGCCATATCGATGGGTATTGGAGTGGTACAATTGAGGTAGTACGTCCCATGCATTGATGAAGCTGCGCAGATCATTCTCCCGGGGCTTCTAAGTTGCGGGGAAATTGTTATCTTCAATGTGAGCACAACAGAGAGCTTCTCTCATGAAGTCTACCCCTCTCTAACAAGTTCTTCAGATTGATATGAGAACAAGGCTCAATAATTTCAATTGTAGTCTTTCTCACTGCTTTTGCGGTGCTGCAGATGCCCCAGGCGCAACGCTTGCTAGCGTTCCTGCCAGGTTAGATACAATTGCTCCTGTACCAGACGTTGTTGTCGTGCTTGAAATCCCTGCTGGCACAGCACCGGAGAGAGCGGCGCCTTGAGCCGTGGTTCCTGTTCCCGTTGTACCTCCTAGCGTGGTCGCCGGCAGATTGGCAAGGTTACCTGTCCCACTCAATAGAGCAGCCCCAAGATCTCCGCCTTGGATGATGCTTCCGCTGGCTCCTCCGAGTGATGAGGCTTGCAGAATCCCGTTGAGATTGCCCGTGACACCGCCGTTTTGTTGAGCTGCTGTCCCACCTGTAGATGCAGCTAACGTAATTAGTATACAAGTTTTACAAATACAGCCATTGAATACTCGCCCTGCCGTTTAGTGAGCCAGTCATCACCTGGTCCCGACGCGGACAAGTCTACGATCCGCTTCGTCGCCCAGTCGTCACCAGTTCCCGTTGCAGACAGGTCCACGATCCGCTTTTTCGTAGCCCAATCGTTACCTGGTCTCGTTGCAGACAAGTCCACGATCCTCTTCGTCGTCGCCCGGTCATTGTTGGATCCTGCTCCTGCTGTGTTGAAGAAGCGTCTTCTAAGCCAGTTTGCACCTGGCTCCGTAGATTCTGATATGTCCACAATTTTGGTGACAAGTTTGTCGTCTGGGACCTTGCCTGAAAGATTAACTATTGGCGCTGCAGCGGCGCATGCCACCAGGGCCACCGCTGAAAATGCAAATTTCATGCTTTAGTAAAAGGAAAGCGATGCCTGATCGCGAATTATGGGCCGTGTTAAAATAAAAGGCTGGAAAGAATGTTCTGAGCAAAATCTCGCTCCCAGCAAGTTAAATGAAGAAAAAAGAAAGAAATATACAACTGCACTGCCATCGCTGCTTGTGTTTCCTTTGAAATATTCGCCGTGAGCGCTTCGGCGAGGGCTGATTCATGATGTTTTGGCGCTCCAGCAAATCTTGTAAGAATGTTACAGTAAACGTAAGCCAAGTCTCACTTCCGTTTCAGATTAAGGCTGTTTCAAAACGTCAATGCTATTCTCACCATTGAGAGCACCCTAAGCCTGAAGACTCATTCCGCATATTGCAAACAAGGCCCCCAAAAGTTACGGATGTTGCGAGATGGGTTTGCTTGGGTTGTATCTTTATCATGCTGCAGTAGGATAAGATGTTTGGTAAAAAATCACCAAGCAACGTTGGCTACTTAGACCTCGGAGAGAACCCAAACAAACCATATAAATGAAGCTTTCACTTGTCTACGCCAATTCAAGATCATCTGCAAGCCTCAGGAAGAGCTTTGCTGAGGAAGAGCCGTGTGACAACGAAGTGAAGATTGAACATCAAAGGGGAGATCCTGCGATAAGCGAAAGAGTGGCAAACAGAAATCTATGTCCTGATATCCAGATTGATACTGGGTTTGTGTGAGTAGGCTTTCCTCTCTCAGGAAAGAGATAGAGAATCAGAGCAGAATTCGAGTGATCTGATTGATCCTGCTTCTACAAAAGAGATGTGGCACTGACTGAGCCTCTCGAAAGAACCTGCTTCCTCAGTGGCGACTGCAATGAAGCGTATACACGCATGATCTTGCAATCGTCTCAAAGCCACAGAGAAATTATCAAGATTATATCGCAATGGACTTCGGAGGATCATTTACGCGACAGGATGGTCCATGGTACTGTATTCAAAGCAAATTTCGCCTTGAAAGAGCCACGCTCAACTTGATCGTATTCTTTAATCAAAGGCTGTGGAGATTGGAAACCCTCGGCCTTCAGCGATGAGTTTTAGTAATCTCTTTTGTTATATACTAATTCAATACGGTTATCCGCTCCGATTTTAGATGCTACTGAGCAATTAGGATAAAATAAAAATGTCTGGCTCCGACATTTCAAATGGTCACGTTGTCTGTTACTGCGGACAAAGGTCTATGGTGTGACAGCATCTAAGCTCCTACAATTACGACAGCGGAAACAGTAGATTATGAAGATGACGGATGGAGTTAACTGCTTCAATCCACTCATTGCTAGATCTCGTCAGCCTTTGCTCCTCCCGAGTATACGTGTGAAAACTAAGAATACTAATGCTCAAGGCGTTATGTATAGGCTACAAATCAGAGAAGGCTTAAAACTCTTGCCGCCATCACTAGTAACTTCTAAACAAGCTATCCTAGAAAATTCTCTGGGCCCTTCTCGATAAGTGGCCTTCTGAGCTTGTTACTCCTTCACTCATCTCGCAATAGACGCACAAGAAGGTATCTCTACAAGCGTGTACTTTGCAATCGGAAGATTCCTCAAAGGTGAGACTGCGTACGAGGACCGCATCCTCTCAAATAGGGTCATTAGTCGCTTGTGCGGTAGAAAATTCGCTTCCTTGAATAAACCAGGGTATTCATTCCGCAAGAGTTGAACGTCCGCGAAGTCTTTACTGTCTGAAAACTAAGAATGCTTGGAATCCAAATTTTGTATGGTAAACGAAATTTCCATGCGTTGATTAGCTGTTATACTTTTGAATAAAGTGTTGGTCTTCTTAATATGCATTCACTGTCGTACTTCAGATTGATGAGTTACACTATTACAGTGTAAGTATCAGGGAACATAATGCAAAATATGCTTGAAAATATAGCTACGAATGAATTTCGTTCAGCAATTGTAAGCTTGAGTATCATATTAGCTAAGAGCTATGTATCTATGAGCGCGTCGTAAACGGCTTTTTCGCATGCAAACCATTGTCCTACAACATTCGCATCTAGATGGCTCATCAGCAAAGATTTCGGTAATCTCAGGAAAAATGTTGATGCTTACCTCCAAATGGTAATACCTGCCCGCAGATCATTCCAGCAACGCCTTTTTCGCGATCGCACCACCAATATTGGTTGCTAATGCCGGCCCACCAACCGGTATTGGCACCACGACCAGTCTCACCAGGCTGAATGGTTAGGAACATACTCAAACCCCATCCCTGAGGAGGATTGCCTGCTTGAGGATACATTTCAGGTGCTCGATTTGCAAGAGTGGTGTCCTACTTATGTTAATACGTCACGGCTATATTATCGTATATGAGCATACTGCAGGTTCTGGTCCCGCTCTGGCGAAGTCTGGGAATTGTGGAATCTGATTAACCCACATAGTGTCGATTGTCTCTTGCTCCAATATACGATGGCCAGTCTTTGGACTGACGCCTCCATTAAGAATTGCGGCAAGAATCTGCACGTACTCGGACGGTCTGCCAAACGAGCCGGCTCCGCCAGAGTTGAAAATTTTAGTCTGCTTCTCGGGCGTATCTGCGTCGAGAGCCACTTGATAGAGATGAGGGCGCTGAGTCATAGTACCGCTGGGATCTATTATATGCAAGAAATGTCAGCTTAATTCTGCTCTTAAGGATAATAAAGAGCGTACCTCGTTGCAACATGGTCATGATGTTTTTCTTTTGCTCAGCATCGGGGAAGAACGTAATGTTCTTTAACCCCAACGGTTCAAAAATACACCTTTTGCAGTATTCACCGAGAGTCAAGCCTGTAATCTTCTCTAATGCAATCCCAGCCCAATCAATGTTGATTCCATATTCCCAAATCGTATCCGGATCTTGAAGGAGCGGCTGATCCGTTAAATCCTTCATGTTCCCGGACCATTCTGCAAATGTTCGACCTACTTTCTGCCCGTACATATTTAATCTTGGATCAAAGAAAGAGTATCCGAAGCCTGCAGTATGCGCAAGCAGCTTTCTTAAAGTGATATCTCCCTTTGGAGGTCGAAGCTCGCCTGTCTGAACGTCAAAAACTTGCTTCTCCTTAAGTTCTGGGACAGCCTTATAGAGAGCTTCAGCATCGTCGAGGCAAATCCTGCCTTGCTCAACAAGCTGCATGCAAGCGATAGCCGTGATGAATTTGGTGCATGATGCAAAGTAAAACATTGTTTCGTTGTCAACTGGATCGCTACCGTTCTGCGTGCGGGTTCCGGACGCATGTTGTGCAAGTACGTCTCCATTTTTATTAACAGCTACAAATGCAATACCGTGAAGGCCATTGAGCTGATCCTTCGTCGCTTGGTCGAGCGATTCCTCGATTATTCGCTGAGCCTGCAAAATGGTCATACTGTGCTATTGCTGGGGCCTTAAGAGGTACAGTGAAAAAGAAGTGACTTAGAGGAGATTTAAGAGAAAAAGAAAAATCCAGTAAAGCCGATTTACTTTAATACTTGTATGTCAATGTCTCATTTCAGTTGGCGACATACAAAGTGCACTGTGCCCTAGCAAATTAAGCCCATCCCATCATCCGGTTCTGAAATACGGCCCCGCAACCCCTCTCGCAGGCCAATGTTACGTTACCCTTTAAGGATAAAGTGCGGTATTTACATCTACAGCATTCTGTCGGACCAACGGCTTCGGTGTCGACGCTTTCTAGTCAAGTTTGATCTAAAGTTCTAACGTGGGGTAAAATGAAACGTTCGGATTTCTATGCAAATTTTTGAAAGCAATTCGAGATCGTCGCGTGATTTTTTGCTGTGAGAGCATCAGCTTAGGAACGTTTTAGAGCGTTTATTAGCTCGAAAATTTGAATTTCTCGCCATGAAAGACATTGTACGCACCAGTCTATGGCATTTCATCACCTCTCATTGTAATGACTCGTAAATCGAGACGATAGTATCACCAAAGATGCGCACGGAATACCAACTTCATATGACATCTCTGCGAGCTATATTAAATTCCTATAAAACTTTCACCTCATCCTCGCGATTGTCTAAATGCCTTAAACTCTTTCATGGCAGACATGATCAAGGGAACGGCTACTGGTCCAAGCAGCGGCAGGTAGACCGCAATTTTATGTTCGTCGGGGAAGTAGACCATGGCAACCATCGATGGCTCGAAGAATGCGCGCTCGGCCTTTAATTCAGCAAGCTTAGCACTCTCAAGTGCCTGATGGAAACGACCGTTTTTCAAGCTAGTGCATCTGCAGCTCCTATTAGCGATCAAGTTAAGCCATTATGCACAACGGCAGTGCATGAACATACGCAGAGTCTAGATGAGCCATAGTCTGCTCCACATCACGAGCAACTGTATCCGGTATTGCAATAGAAGACAGAGATTGAGTGAGTCGAGCTATTGCTCCAAGAGTTGACGATGCAGAGAATATCAGAGAAGCTGCATGAACGCGTATCAATGTAGATAATCGCAGGGGAAAAGATCCTGGCTCCTGAGGTAGACCAAGCAAAGAGATCAGCTGATGAGAAAATGTTCGCATGACAGGCTCCAGATCCGTTTTCGATAACTGGAATTGTTTCCGACCAAGGTTGAGGATCTGAACGCCACCCCATTGCGGAATTAGCCAACTCGTTCCACCATTTTCATCAAGAAGGAGTGGTGATTGTTTTGTAGAGGGAATGTACAAGATGAAATTGATTGTTGGCCCATCGCCAATACTCGGGCTCAAAGGCCACTCGGCTGCATTTATAAACCCACCAAGGTCTTCCTTTACGAGCGTCCAAACTTGCTTGGACTCGTCGTACTGCGGACCAGCTATGGATGGAGATAGGGCGGCATATAGCTGGACTTGGGAGTCCACCGTAAAATTGCTCACAACGGACAAAGACTGGAGGAGTGGAGCAAGGTAATCATGCAGCGCGTCCTCAATGTCCCAATCCGAGGGCATGGCATTCGGCGTGAAGAGAGAAAATGTAAGATGATATGTAGGCGCATATTTGAACGTTCTAGTCTTGCGTTTTGCAAGAGAATCCGCCATTTCTTGTGATATTGACTTCCACTGGGATGGATGCCATGACGTCGATGCCATTGAGTAAGCAAGAACAGCCTGTTCTTCGTTGAATGTATTTTGTAACTCATTGGCGATGAAAGTGGCAAGAGGCGAGCCCGTAGAGGAGGAAGACGGTATTTGGTTTGGCGTATAGTAAATATCCATAACTGACTCAAAATTGTGCAGGACAGCGCGTGGTGTTGTTCCAACGGTGTCAGAGATGAGGTTGATCGTCATTGCAATATCCTCTTGATCTTGGCCTATATTTTCAGGAGAGCTTCGGCTAACTTGAGTGTTGTTTCGAGTTTTGTCGGGTATGACAAGTCGTAAGTGATGAGAGGAGAAATCATTCATGTCGTCCAAAGCATGCTGCGTTGTTCGAAGCATATGCTGAGCTTCTAGGGGTGGTAAGCCTGCTTCAACTGCAATTCGTAGAGGGAACGTAGGTCGGCAGATCTTTAGAATAGTGAGCATAATTTCGTATTCATGGATGCAATAAAGGAGAACGATCAAGAAAATCCAAACCCGTGCACCCTGTTTTAGAGAGCATAATGAGTTTCATCTTACCTTCCCATCTGCCCAATCTAGCATCTTTTGTAGCGGCAACGGCGCCCTGTATACGGTAGTCGTCTTCCACCATACTGGGAAACCGAGGAATAGAGCTGTGGCCCAGAAGGAAAGCAGAGCTAATCGTCGGACCCAGATGCTCTCACGGGTTTCACATGGAGGGGATTTTGGAACTTTGATAGCTTCAAAAATGATGTTGTTTGCCTCGCCGTTGAAAATGACGTTTGGCGACATTGCTGTTGCTTACGCTGCGCGTTACCTGGCTTCGATGTTTAACAAGGAGTGGTAATGTTGATGACTAAGCATCACGAGGCCTGTCAGTCTAAGCACATAGAAGTCATGACCCCCGTGTGCACGGGCCTAGGTATGCACGCGCCATCCACCACCAGCACCCAGGCACTATATTAATTAATAGTATATATAATAATAGTTTAATTAATATAAAATTATATATAGTATTATAAGTAATTTATATAAGCCTATTAACTAAGTTTTATAATCTTTAAGCTATTATGGCGGTGTTACGAGGTAACACATGATTTATCACGTGAGTGATCATTTTGATTATTTTCAGAAAATGATCAAAATAAGCGCATTAGCCAATGGTTGATAACCAGGGTGTCATTAATTAATAGAAGTAATTATTTTACTTATCCTTAATAAAATAATCAGAATAAGTTAATAAGGATACTAAAAATAAGGTCTATATAAATATCCTATCTCTACTGATATTACACCTTTTTATAATTCAACTATCTAGTTTACCTAGTAATTAGTTTAAATATATTTTTATACTCTTAAAGCTTAGACTATTCTAAGCTATAAATATAACTATCTTATTATATTCCTTCTATAATAAGCTCTTATTATATCTTATTCCTTTATTTTAGGAAGCTAAATCTTTCTAAAGTAGCTTATATTAATAAAGCTAATTAATATTAGGAAAGTATTCTTAATAAAAGTTAAATTACTAAATTATTAGATAGGGTAAGGAATAATATCTTATATCTACTATCTCTAAAAGAAGTAGTAGAAGTTAATAATAGTCTAATCTACTAAAAAAAAGGTTAAGGTTACTTTAAATATAAGTACTACTAGGCTATTAATATTTAAAATAGTAGTACCTCTACCTCCTCTATTATTATTAAGAGATTTAAAAATTCTACTAGATATTTAATTATCTGATAATTCTAATTTATCTAATTTAAATTCTAATTCTAGAAGTAAGAACCTATTTAATAATAATATAGCTTAATCTAAAGTTAATCTATCTAAATCTTTTAAAGAAGAATAATCTAAATATAAGGCTTTTAGGTTTTAGCTTGAATTTATATTTATTAAAACCAGGATAAGTTTAAAACTAAAGAGAAGAAAGTTATATATATAATTCTCTATTTAAAAGAAAATATATATACTTAAATCTAGAGGTAAGTTAATTAATATATCTTAAAGAAAAGAGATATTCTATATAATATTAAGAAGATTTTCTAGAACTATTTAATATTTATAAGAGAAATAGATTAGTATTTTTAGTAAATTAATAAGGCTTATTTAGCTAAAAAGAAGTTATTAGAACTATACTAAAAGTTAGATATAAGTTCTTATATAATTAAATTTAAGAAATAGGTAATAATTTTAAAATAAAATAATAATATACTCTATACTAAATTCTTTATAGGATTTAAACTAGAAGTTAAAGCCTAATTATAACTTAGGAAAAAAGAGATATCTACCTTTACTAAACTTATTAAATTAGTAATTAGGGTTAATTCTATCCTATTTAAAAATAAGCTTAATAAATAGGGAAAGATATTTAGATATTAACCTAATTATAGAAGATTATAATATTCTATAGATTACTATAGACTATAGTCTATAGAGATAGATAAACTCTAGAAAGGTGATTAAGCCTTAAGAAAGCTTAAGAATTTTAAGAAAAATATAGGAAATTATTTTAAATATGGCTAACCAGGATACTTTACCTGAAATTATTTAAAGCCTAAAAAATAATTAATTAAAATTCTAAAAATTAGTATATAGGTATAGAAAATTACTATATTTAAGAAAGGCTCTTATAGTATTTACTAATAGGGACCAAATCAAAATATAGGACTATAGGATAAAATAGTGATTTAGGGAATCTTAAAATAATATCCTAATACTTAGATAAATATAGCTTATAAATTCTATTAGGGATTATTAATTAGCTATTGTAAGGTCCAAAATTGTGGATTCTAGGAATATAGTTATAGTAAAGTTACCTATAATTTTAACTTCTACTATTAGTTTACTTTCCCTTGATTTACTAAGGCTTTAAGGTTCCTTCTAAAAGTTAACTATTATACCCTTTAATAGTTAATCTTCTTATTTTCTGAGAAGTAAGGATGTTTACTTTCATCATTATTAAGTATTTCTTTATCTAACTCTTATTCCTTAGAATTTCTATTATCTAAGTTGGATATTCCTTTTATTATTTATAGGTTTATTTGATATTTCTTCTGTAGATTATTAGAATCTAGATCTATACTTATCTGAAATCTAATTTAGTATAGGTTCTTAAGTAAAACTTATATAATTACCTTTCTTATTAAGTTATATATTATATAGATAAGTTTTATGATATATATAAAGATACTTTCTATTATTTTATTTTCTTTAGAGTTAAGGTTTCTAATTATACTTTAGATTCCTTAAGGTAATAGTTTAATATTGACTGATATATCACCCTTATTAATAATTCCCTATTTTATTAATGGTATATAGGGTCTTAGATATTAATAACCCTAAGTTGTATAATAGTTAATTAGAAGGTACTTATAGTATATATAATAATTATTATTTTTAATACCTTTAATCTAGAGTATTTATTATACTTACATAAAAGAAACTTTAGGTGGTCTATAAGAGTATTCCTATAATAATTCTCCTGGGTCCTTATTTTTACTATACTTCTAGAATCCGTAATTCTGGACTTTATAATAGCTAATTAGTAATACCTAATAGAATTTATAAGTTATATTTATCTAAGCATCAGGGTATTATTCTAAGATCCCCTGAATCACCATTTTATCCTATAGTCCTATATTTTAATTTAATTCCTATTAGTAAGTATTATAAAAGTCTTTCTTAAATATAGTAATCTTTTATATCTATATACTAATTCTTAAACTTTTAATTAATTATTTTTTAGGCTTTAAATAACTTTAGGTAAAGTATCCTAGTTAGCTATATTTAAAGCAATTTCCCATATTTTTCTTAAAATTTTTAGGCCTCCTTAGGGTTTGATCACCTTTTTAGAGCTTATCTATCTCTATAGGCTATAGTCTATAATAATTAATAGAATATTATAATTTTCTATAATTAGATTAGTATTTAGATATCTTTCCCTATTTATTAAGCTTATTTTTAAATAAGATAAAATTAACCTTAATTACTAATTTAATAAATTTAGTAAAAGTAGATATTTCTTTTTTCCTAAATTATAATTAGATTTTAACTTCTAGCTTAAATTCTATAAAGAATTTAGTATAGAGTATATTATTATTCTATTTTAAAATTACTACCTATTTCTTAAATTTAACTATATAGGAACTTATATCTAACTTTTCATATAATTCTAATAACTTCTTTTTAGCTAGATAAGCCTTATTAACTTATTAAAAGTATTAATCTATTTTTCCTATAAATATTAAGTAGCTCTAGAAAATCCTTTTAATATTATATAGAATATCTCCCTTTTTTAAGATATATTAATTAACTTACCTCTAGATTTAGGTATATATATTTCTACTTAAATAGAAAATTATATATATAACTTTCTTCTCTTCAGTTTCAAACTTATCCTAATTCTAATAGATATAAATTCTAAACTAAGACCTAAAAGCCTTATATTTAGATTATTCCCTTTTAAAAGGTTTAGGTAGATTAACTTTAGATTAAGCTATATTATTATTAAATAGATTTTCACTTCTAGAGTTAAAATTTAAATTAGATAAATTAGAGCTATTAGATAATTAGATATCTGGTAGAACTTCTGAATCTCTTAGTAATAGGGGAGGTAGTAATAATACTACTATTCTTGTAAGGGGTGGATATAAACATGATATCAGGATGGGGAGCAATAAGTATAGATTAGTATTAAAACTGATAACTAAGAAGTAAAACTAAGGTGGATATTATATATAGCTTAAATACTACTTCTCCCTAGAGTATATAACCTATAGCCTAAGCGCAGCTATACTATATATATATTCCTACTCTATTCCTCACAACTCTTCCCCCCCTTCCATAGTCTGGTCCCCAGACTTGCTAAGATTATATTTCTCTACTGGTATGGTATTATGTTAGATATATTTTATCTATTACTTCTATTATTTATTATTATTATTATATCTTGATATTATATTATATATATTATTATATTTATTATTATTATATAGTAATAATATTATAATTTTAATACTTAGTAAAGATATAAATTCTTCTATATTCTAAAATTTATTCTTCCATTATTTATATATATATATATATATATACTTATATATATATATATATATATATACATATATATATACACACTTACATATATATATATATATATATAAAATGGTATCTTTACGGTGGTTGGCCGTTTATTTATCAGGGGCGAGACGGGGTCCATCAACGCCTCGCTCCTCGGGTGCGGGTTATAGGCGTTCCTTGTCTCGCTCCCCGTCTCCTTATTCCCTAACCCCTGTGCTGTTATTGTTGGTATCCTAGCGCGGCGCAGCAAGTTTAAGGCGCCGGCATCGCGGCAGTAGTATTAAGGCGCCAGAGCCTCCTAGTTGCCGTCGCCGGGTTGCTTTTGAGGTGACGGAAATATCATCTCCTTAAGGTAGGGGTGAAATCCTATCTCAGCTAGGGTAAGGGGATAAGGTAGAGGTGGATATTTTTATCTGCCTCTAATATAATAAGGACATTAACCTTATCTTTATATATAATATACTTATATTTTAGAAGTATACTAAATACTTATACTAATATTATAAGTATAAAGAGGTTTAAGTTCTACTATTATTATTATATTTCTATTACTTTATCTTACAATTTATAGGTCCCTCTATAATTTAACTACTACTTAACCTAACTTATTAAACTTACTAAAGCTCTAAGAAATTTTAAGAAGGGTATTATATTAACTATCAGGGTTAACTAAGCTAAATATATATATATATTTATATATTATAAAATAGTGG